ATACAATACCAGCGTGTACGCGAGTACTAATAGACACCCCAGCCGCCAAAGGCGGGGCTCATAACCTAACAACGTAAGTTATGGCGCTAGGGTACAGCTAACGCCGTAAACGCAGTGGCGCGACTGGGTGAGGTGACAAGACCGGAGAGCAGGAGCTGCAGCGACACAGAGGTCAGAGGGATGCTCCAGGTGTAAGACTCTGTATTCATACCTGCAGCGACACAGAGGTCACTGCACGGCTCGTAAGTATAAGTACATGTGAACAGAAGTAATGGGACATACGAGGGATGCTCCAGGTGTAAGACTCTGGAGCATTCCTCATTCGACAGGTAGCCTTATGTACCGTAGAGTGGTCTTGTATCGTAATCGAGATTCAAGACACATGATAAGGTAACAAGAACACAAGAAAACAATAGAATAAGAAATACGTACGGAAGTCGACCATGCGTGTATTGTAAACGCGCCGTACAAGAAATCACATCTCAGATTGCGACACGTGATTGGTAGAAGACTGCGTCTTACAAGGAATACTTGAGAAGCGAGCGAATTGTGTATTACATACGTGTATGTTACAACAAGGGTGCCCATCGGCAGCATAACAAGACAAAATGAAGGGACTAGTAATACAAAGTAGTACAAGGGATCAGTGACGTGAAGTACGAACGCAAACGGGGTCATGAAGGTAACAGGATGAAAACGGTCAGTATCGAAAGGAAGATATTAAGTTGCTCTAGCTACAAGGACGGAAAGGGTATGGAAAAGGGTATGCATAAGGGGGTCATAGCAGCAGATCACATCAGGTTAAACTGGTCGTCATCTTTCCTTTTCGCGAGAGAAACAGCAGCGCGCAACAGGACGCAATCCTCCCTCAAGCGCTGTTCTCTGTCTTGGTCTCCGCCTTGGTCTCGGTGTACCTCCACGTGCTGAGGCCGAGCGTCGAGACGTCGACGTTACGGAGGTGGAAGACGAAGAGGAAGAGGAAAATTGGGCCGGCGAGGATGTCCAGAATACCGTACCAGATCATCTCGGACGAGTTAGAGATGACGTTGCCGCCCTCGGAGCACGCCCAGCAGATGGGGTACGTGATAAGCATAAATGCGAGGAAGCCCGCAGAACGCAGATAGCCGGTACGCAGGACACCGCCAGCCCGGAAGGTCGAAGTCGAGCCTTGCAAGAGGAGGGAGTACCTATGAACCACTAGTTTAGACCAAGGGATGCGCGTCAGGGTATTACAAGACACACCAGATGTAGAAGAGTGCGGCACAACCGAAAACGTAGTAACCCCACTTGTAGGTGCTGTGTACGAGGGCACCGACGAGGCCGCAGACGACGGTGACGACGGACATGAAGAGAGTGGTCAAGATGTCCGAGGGGGACAGACCGGTGATAAGCAGCACTTCAAGCAGACCCAAGGGACCGGTAATAATCCACTGGATGTAGCGGACATACTGCAGGCAGACGGTTCAGCGAAAGATCGTTAGGGCCGCCAAGTGAGATTGACATACCCAGATCTGACGAGTGGGGTCACTGCCACGGCCACGGAACTCAACAGCGATGGGTGTAGCACCAAGGTCAGAAGCCATAGAGAAATAACCGATGGTAAAGGTAGCCAGGCTGACGATGGCGATCTGGTGGAAGAGACGGGCACCCCTGGGTTGCTATGGACATATCTATCAGGAGACAGGCCTTATGATACTGAATAGAGCCCTACCAAGAAGTCAAGGAGGATCATGCAGCACAAGGAGAATGCCATGACGGCGAAGGCCGCCCAGAGCCAATCCGAGGCATTGGTGGTAATGTGGAGGGTCGCGTTGGGCGGGTTAAGATCCAGAGCGCGGTTGGTCATGGCGAAGTGATCGTGTAACGCAAACGCAGGGAAGGATAAGCGTTAGGTGATCGTGAAGCTTGCAACCACGAGGGGAGGGAGGGCGGAGGCTGGTCTTGAACAAAGACTTGAAGAGCTGAACGATGAGATGCGGATGCCAGCGTGCTTATATACGCCGAACGAACAGAGGTGGGTAAGTGGTACTGAAAAAGACCCGGAGTGGTCGCGGTCGCGAACCGGAGAAGAACGGAATGGTCATGGGGATGGATGGGAAGGCGGGGGGGGTGAGTGAATGTTCTAGGACACTAACGGCGGACGTGCGCACGGGGCTGGACCATCGGGGGCGTGTTAGGATTACCTATGGTGGGCTTCTGACAGAGTTCTCAGTCAGCGCGAGAGCGTACCCGTCGGACGCCGGGCGCTGGGTACACCCATTGCGTCACTGCCTACCTCGAATGGCAGCCTATCAACAGCGCCGGCGCCGTCTGCTCGCCCCTTCTCGACCACAGGGCGAGATCCATCCTATGCTCATTCCGTCCCGCCCCGCGGACGAGAGCGCTCGACGCCCAACCCGAGCCAGCTGCACGCTAACAGCACGCTCCTGGTCGGCCGAACGTCCACCACCGGCGCCGCCGCTCGCGGACGACTCGGAGCACGAATGTCTCACTTACGTTCAGCGTTTCGACGAGCTTCCAACGGCATCTCTATACGTGGGTGTCAACTGGATGCGCGATCCCGCACCTGCATTTGGGACAGGCCAAGCCAGAAGCTCTACATGCTGCACAGGCGCGGTGATACTATGTAGATTCCCAGACAATTTGGGGCAGACGTGCGACGCGTTCGTAGCCGTGAGTGGGAACGAAGCATAAGAATCTCGAGCACGATAGCGAGCCCCGACTCTCACTGAGTCTCAGGCGAAAGAACTCGTCGGTCCACAAACGCCCATGAGTTTCCGCGCCGTCGGGTCACGCTTTCTCACGCCGCACTCGTTTGCCACCGTGATTGCTGCGCTCAGCCTGGGCACGTATGTCGGTCAACATAGCCAGGCGCACTCAGAGGCATACCTCACAGGTCCTCCGCGAGGCAAACTTTGCAAAAAACAAAGGTCAACCAAGTTATCAACCCAACAGAAATTCAGCTTACAATCCGCAGGTTGGCTTAACGGAAGCGACCGAAATCATGTCTTGCTCGTAGACTTGCCTCGTACCGCTCTGCCTGCCGACGTGCGGCGACTGTGTGCGAAGCAGCGATTCGACCATGTATCCAAAGGTGAGCCTCAGTATAACCGCATGCCCTCAGGGCCGAGCTGATGGCACTCCTTCAGTCGCACTCGATTATTACCGCTTTTCACCCACCGGCCGCGCCTGGGTCACAATTAGCGATGCAAATCACACAGAAGCCGCCGTCAAGGTGCTCAAGAACTGCAACATTGGCGGCGCCATGATCAAAGCACATGCCGCTGAGCCTGTCTCCGAGCGTCCATCACGGACGCGGGGTCCAAAAGGCCGTATGGAGGCCGCAGAGCGCGGGATTATCCCAGGAACAGGCCCCGACACCGGCATCCCGCACCAGGGGCGGTGTGTGGTTATGTACGGGCTACCCGGCCAACTGACAGTAGAAACTCTGAGAGCCTTCCTCAAGAGCTTCAAGCTTGCTGGGATGGAAAACGGCCAGAAGGAGGTCATCAAGGTCGAGCTGTGCGTATATTCAGCCTTTCATCGTGTGCATGCGCGCTGAATATGCCACAGCGACCCGGACAACAAAAACCCTACCTCACGATTTTTCGTGCGCCTGGCTTCCGTAGCAGAAGCGCACCGACTGGTCCGTCGTCTGCATATGACGCACTACCAGCCTGACCATTACGGCACTCGATGTCCTATACATGCACATGTCATCTACTAGAGAACATCATACCACTCATACATCTTCAGATAGGTCTCAGCCCCTCTCCCAGCCCATGCTGCACGAGCTGGCTGACAAACAGTCAGAGCATCACCACCGCCTTTGCTTTTCTGTACCGTGACTATGGACCGCGCTTACACTAAGCACTGCGGTCAGCTCTTCATGTTCCGATGTTTCACCTGCCAATTAACTCGTCTTCCTCCTCGAGTTGCCCGTCTTCTGTTGTCATGAACAAACACTTATGACAGGTGGTGCAGTCCGGTCTAACCGTATACGCATGCTCCGCGACTCTTCTCAGTCTCACGAGCGCGCGAGCGTCGTTGTATGCGTAACCTTCCGCTCCGCTGGTGCTTGCAGTTCATGTTTCTGAATGCATTGCGTCCGGAGCGCGGGAAATCTTCCCGGGCAGCTTTCATTCGTACTCAATCCGGGCCTCGCGTACGTTCCGCGAGTACCATTCCAGGATGTTTGCTTGCTATTTTGTTTTGGCGTTCGTTCCGACGTGATGATAAACGGAAGCCAGAAACCTGAGTGTTCTGAACGAGTAGATCGTCCACTTGGAAATTAGCCAGGCACTGCCTGCTCGACGCTGTGCTCCTCGGGAACGGGTTGTCCTCGGATATCCGACGCTATGCAGTACATTCATGTCATGTTTGCAGTAGGTATCAGGAGCAGTTATTCGCATCTGGTCACATTTCTGGAGCAGGGCGCCGTGTATACTACAAGCATTAAAAAAACGATAGCTCACATGCGCGCATCGTGTCCGGCGTCGTCCAAACGTGGGCGGGCACCCTGAATTTTATCGCGCCGTTAGACCATACTACAAATGTTATCGAGAACAGTACGGCTCACCGTCCGTCCACTATCACCCTCGTCGTCTGGCGAGCGAGCACGTTTGAGCGGGTTATCCGCCGTACCCGCCTCCTTCCAGTCGCCACCGCCACCGGCAATCGCACCGGGCCCGTCAGGCGCGTCCGCATACCGCTCTTCCACCTCCCTGCGGCGCTCGATCTCGAGTCGCTGTGCCTGAGCGCCCCAACCGCCGCGCCCGGGGTCATAGTCCTGTCTGTGTTCGTCACGTACCTGGGGACGGAGTGAGTATCAGAGATACATGTTGTCGACCATTAGTGGCTGTGTGCGGCGTACCTGTCCACCACTTTTGCCGCGTCCGAACTGTCTACCTTCGCGGTAGCCGAGGTCGAGGTCGCACCGGATGATGCGCTCGTCAAGTTTTGTACCACTGACGTACCGCAGACACGCTAGTGCCTCCGAATGCGTGTAGTACTCAACAAAGCAAAACCCACACGGCGTCCTGCATTTACAAACGGCCGCGGGTAGGGGTGCTCAGACCAAGGCCTACGATAGGAGTTGGCCGCACGCACCTCGTATTCCGGTCGAGCCCCATGATGATACGCTTGATGCCGCCGCCCTCCTCGGGGCTGGTGCATTTCGAGAAAATCTCATATATCTGTTCTTCTGTCGTGAAGAAACTTAAGTTACCAATCTGCATGCGGCCATTAGTGGCGGGTGCGAAGGACAGGAGGGCCGGAAGTGTACATAAAGCGTTGTGGACCTCGCGAGGAGCTCATTCTGCTTCTGGCGGTCGACGCGTGCTTGTGAGTCCTTGTAGTTGGAAGGCTGGTCCAAAGGGGTCACAACGTGCGCCATAGCTGCTGCAACGCCTTTTCTAATCCGAGTTCGCCTGAGAGAACCTGAGCGACACCGCGAGCGCCTAGGACCCGAAAGACTGATCGAAGTCAGGTGACTGGCGCCTAACCCTAGCGTAGGTGTTGCAACGCGTCGAGACTTGAGCCGCGTCAGCTTGCACCGCGACCGCGTCTTCAGTACACTTTCTTTCAGCACACGCAGAAACCATGGATGAGATTGGCATTGAAATTCAGAAGCAGGTGTGCTGTAAAAGGAATCGTGTGGCAGTCTGACGAGCCTGACTACCCCCACAGGAGCCGACGTTCGAGCATGTTGTAACGGAGAAGGCAGCCCTCTTCCAGGAGTTGCAGGAGGAGGACTTGTATGTCAAATACAAGAAGCTCGCGCGGCACCTTGAGATGCTTGAAATTCAAGAGAGCTACATCAAGGACGAGCAGGCCAACCTTAAGCGGGAGCTCATCCGCGCGCAGGAGGAAGTAAAGCGTATCCAATCCGTCCCACTTGTCATCGGCCAGTTTCTGGAGCCCATAGACCAAACAACTGGTATCGTCGGCTCGACCACTGGCTCTAACTATGTCGTCCGCATCCTCTCCACTCTAGACCGCGAACTGTTGAAGCCTTCCTCGTCTGTCGCGCTGCACCGGCATTCCAACGCGCTCGTGGACATCCTACCCCCAGAAGCAGACTCCTCCATCTCACTCATGGGCGAGAAGGAACGACCGGACGTGACATATCAGGATATTGGTGGTATGGACATACAGAAGCAGGAGATCCGCGAGGCGGTCGAGCTGCCCTTGACGCACTTCGATCTGTACAAGAAGATTGGTATCGACCCACCAAGAGGTGTTCTACTTTACGGGCCGCCAGGTACTTTCATCTTCGTTGCTTCGCTTGGCAATTCTCATGTACACCATAGGTACGGGAAAGACGATGCTGGTGAAGGCGGTCGCGCACCATTCTACCGCGGCATTTATCCGTGTTGTGGGAAGTGAATTCGTCCAGAAATACCTCGGCGAAGGTCCCCGTATGGTCCGCGACGTCTTCCGGCTAGCTCGAGAAAATGCGCCGGCCATCATCTTCATCGACGAGATTGATGCCATTGCCACCAAGCGTTTCGACGCACAAACTGGTGCCGACCGTGAAGTGCAGCGGATTCTACTCGAGTTGCTCAACCAAATGGATGGGTTCGACCAGGGGAGTAACGTGAAGGTACGTGGCCAGTTACCTTCCCATCGGCGAACGACCAATTCATTAGGCTATGTCTTCTATAGGTCATCATGGCTACGAACCGTGCCGACACGCTGGACCCTGCACTGCTCCGTCCTGGACGTCTTGACCGGAAGATCGAGTTCCCACTACCTTCGAGACGTGAGAAGCGCCTCATTTTCCAGACGATCACAAGCACAATGAACCTTGGCCCTGACGTGGATCTGGAGGATTGTATGTATTTATGGTACTTAACATACCAGACTTGTACTGATTCCTGGGCAGTCGTCTCACGACCAGAGCGATTATCATCAGCAGAGATTGCGTCCATCGTACAAGCTGCCGGTTTGCTTGGTATGTTTTTTCGCGGTTCTCATACATGCGGCGACACAGAAGCAGTGCTCAACCTTGGTATGTAGCGGTGCGTAAGAATCGCTATATTGTGCTCCCCGTGGACTTCGAGGAGGCGTGGAAAGTGAGTTATTTGGCTTTGTTTGGTGCACACGTGCGTGAAGTATAAAATCTGATTTTCTCCCCCTTCTCCCTTGCCAGCAAAACGTCAAGCGTGCAGATGAGACGTTGGATTTCTGTAAGTTCATCTTTATGCGTGCTTCAAATGCCATGCTCACTGCTCATATCACATCAAGACCGGTGATGGAGAGTTGTGTATCGTTAGTCCCTCTGGTCAGTCTATTGTTAGTTAGGTCTTCTCGATTGCCAAGCTCACAGGGAGTCTTGCAGATGTCTGTATTCTCTGGACAATCTGTTATCCTGCGCATTCTTCATCTCGTCGACGGCCCCCGTCTATGTCTTGGCACGTTCCAATCGCACCTTCATCGGCAGCTCTCTCACTTTAGCGTCTCACCGTTGTATCCCACGGAGTGGCGCTCATTCTTCTGAGCGATATCTACGACGTTTTCGTCTTCCCGTGCTATATTTTGCCTCTCCCTATGCAGACCCTCGTCATCTGGGCTGGTCGAAAACCAGTCCTATACGTAGGGAGTGGTTCACACGCGGGAGACATTTTTACGTTTTGTCTCCTAGCGTAAATGGCTGATATGTCTGGTGACTGTAAATGCACGGTGAGTACAAACTTGCGGACTATTTACGCCATTGTTGACCATTGTCGCAGCTTTAGATATATATATTTTTGCAAGGTCGACGAAATGCTGGATATTGGGTAATGGATATCCGGCGCGAATATTTTTCTAATCGCTCTCCAACACTCTGGGTGACGATGGGTTTTCTACACGTTCATCCTCATTTTATGGGAGCAAGAAGGATATGTGCATCTTTCGCAGGATGCACCAGCCGTTGCCTTGGCGGTCCCTTCATCATGAGGGTCACCGAACGAAGATGATGGTGACATGCAATAACACACGTAGTTTACATAGATCGTCGTTCTCAATATATTGTTGTTAAGTATGATGTGAGCCGTGAATCATCATCTCAGTGTTTTTCCGGCTGGCCGAGCTGGGTGGCCTTCTCGGTCGCGATCTGAATCGCACGAGCGATGGTCGACCGCACTCGCCCGTCTTCCATTGCTAAGAGACCTGCAATCGTACAACCACCTGGGGCTGACAGTAGTGCCAGAGCTCAGGACATATGGTCGCCGAGGGACGGAGGTATCACGTACTTGTTACAGAATCCTTGAGCTGGGCGGGGTGAGTGCCTAGTTGGAGCGTCATTCGAGCTGCGCCCTGTAGCGCTAAGGAGGTATAACAGAAGTTCTTGTTAAGTCGCGAACCCGCAATTGTCATAGTATTGTCCTTACTTTGTGCGGCCAACTCGAGCGCCTCTGCGCGAGGCAGGCCCATCATGACCCCGCCATCTGCCATAGCCTCGAGGAAGATGCAGGCAAAGGCAGGGCCGGAACCGGACAGCGCGGTACACGCATCGAAGTGCTTCTCCTCCAGGAAGCGACATCGCCCAATGGACGAGAAGATGTTGAGGATGATCGAGCGATCGAGCTCGAGCGACGGGGACGCGGGAAGCGTGGTGACGACCGTCATGCCCTCTCGAATCTGTGCCCCGTAGCGGCCGTGTTAACCCACAACTAAAAGTTCATCGGAGTGACCTAACCGACCTTGCACGGGGTATTAGGCATCGCACGGATAACTTTTGTCGTGGGTAAGACCCATGCTGATATTTGCGAGATAGTCACTCCAGCTAGGATGCTGATGAGGAGCTTCCCGCTTAACGCCTCCTTCATGCCGGGCTCGTTCAATATGATGTGCGCCTGTTGGGGCTTGCAGCTATGTCGAGGGGTTAGTTATGGTGCGGGCGTACCGCACTCTGACATGACGAACGGACGAACCACAGCAAAATGACATTGGACGCCTGCGCGGCCTCCACATTCTGTGCTTTCAGCACCTCCACTCTACATCCGAGAGAGTTCGGAGTCGAGAATACATCTTGCAGCTTTTTAGCGCTCTCCTCCCGAGTAACGCACGCAAGGAAGCGTGAAGGCAGCGACTCGTCCTCTAGCTCATGGGGGGTCGTCGTGCCCGGGGTGTGGGACATCCACTTTTCCTGCGCCGCCGGTGTGGTTGCGACTTTGGCGTCGAGACTAGCGAGCACGCCCGATATTACGGCGACGCCCATTGTGCCGCATCCTAGTCACCTGCCTGTCAGCGGGCGCGCTGCAGCGAGGTACGTGGGGAAAAGACCTAGAACGCAAAGCGTGTAGCCCATGTTGCGTAGCGCCGGGCAGGAGAAATAATGGAGATCAGATGGAGGTCTTAAGCAGCGGTTGACGGAAGGAGCGAGACGAGAAAGTGCCTGCAACCATGTCCGAGCCTCTCAGCCCGTCCCAGGCCTCCGCATCAGCGATCGAGTCACCCTTGCGCACGCGCACAAATGTCCTTGTTACGGTTGGCTCGACGCGTTTCGACGCCCTCGTGCAGGCCGTCCTCTCTGAGCCTGTCCTGGCCGCTCTACGCGCGCGGGGCTACTCGCGGCTGACCGTGCAGTGCGGCAATTCTGAGTTCGATGCCAACGGTTTCGAGCAGCAGGAAGAGGGGTTAGTGCAGACGACAGAAAACGGGATAGACATTGTCGTGTGGAAGTTCAGGCCGTCGCTGGAGGAGGAATACGAAAAGGCGGATCTGGTCATAAGCCATGCGGGTATGATCACAGTGGGTTCCATCACTCTCAGACTCACGCCTCCACAGGGTCGGGCACTATCCTCGATGTCCTTCGACTTCCACGGCCGCTGATTGTTGTGCCCAATCCGACGCTGCTCGATAATCATCAGCAGGAGCTAGCGGACGCATTGGGCTTGCTCGGACACCTGAGGCCGTCCACCGTCTCGTGAGCAGTGCCCACTCTCCGTGTCAACCGCTGCTAACCGACCGTCGGATGCAGAGAGTTACCACAAGCTATCGAGACGCTGAGAGACTCGAAGCTCGTGCCATTCCCTCCATTCAACGGGAGCAGGTTCCGCGAACTTCTAGATGAGGAGATGGGTTACGTCGACTCTGACGGCTGATCGGTGCTGCATCTACCACTTGACTTCTCTCCACCATCTCGCTATCTGTGCGATACCCGATTTACACTACTACATAGCTGGGCTACAACAACGACCTCAAATATAATCGCCTAGCCTTGCCCTTTGTGTGTTCACTATGCCGGCGGCCGTGACTGCTGCCAATGTGTCCGATGATCCACAAAAGTACGAGATCGAACACGTTCATTCTGTGTATGAGGAGATCGCACCTCATTTCTCTTCTACGCGCTACAAAGTAAGATAGCTAGGCACAGGTATTCACGCGTTGTAACTCTGAGAATTCGCAGCCGTGGCCCATTATCGCACAGTTCCTAGCATCCCTGCCGGCCGGATGGGTGGGTCTTGACTCTGGCACAGGGAACGGAAAATACCTACCGCTGCCACTTGACCGGCCGGGGGATGTCTGGACGATTGGCTTGGACAGGAGCAGGAATCTCTTGGAGATCGCGCGTTCCGCAGGCGCAAAACGGAGAGAGGTCGTGTGGGGAGATGTGCTAGACGGGCCGTGGAGGCCCGGAGTATTCGTGCGTACATGCTGCTACCTGCCTACTTGTCCTCACCAATTTGCTCAATGCTGCAGGACTATGCTATCTCTATTGCAACCATCCACCATTTGTCAACACATGAAAGGCGAAGGGAAGCCATACAGGTGAGTCCAGGTCATAAGAAAACAGAAGCCATCTAACTTTCATTGCACAGCGCTTGCTCGAATGCATCTCGCCATTGCATGGACGTGCACTCATCTACGTGTGGGCAATTGAGCAGGACGATCTCTCTAAACGAAGCATAACTTCAGCACAACCTAAGGCGGCAATATCTGTTCAGGAAGATATCTCACCTGCAGGGCAGGACGTCTTTGTGCCGTGGGTACTCTCAGCTCAGAAGTCTCTCAAGTCGAATGGCGCTCGCGAATCGTCAGCAAGTCCAAGACAATCGCCACAAGAGGACGACGTGGAAGGAACTCAGGAAGCAAAGTCAAAAGTCTTCAATCGCTACTACCATATGTTCGCAAAAGGTGAGCTACCGACCTTGGTGAGCGCCGCGGCGAGAGGGCTAGGGCTAGACGTGGGTGATCCGGACGACATCAACCAAGGCGGAGGAACAAGAGGCATCCAAATCGTGCAAGATGGCTGGGAACGATCCAACTACTATATAGAACTTAGGCGTTGGGAGAAATGATACGAATCCGCATCGAACAGGCGAGATGTGTGAGACCAAGACTCAAGATATTCATGTCGCCTTACACCGAGCCAACGATGAAGCACACAATTGTTGTGATCTTAGAGCTACTCATTGCCACAAAGGTCCCCTAGATGAGAGTTTTGGATATCAAGCAGGGGGGCAACAGAGATATGATACACAAGGTGTCCGAAGCACGCAGTTTACTCGCTCGCCGCCATAACTGTATTATCGACTTCATCAGGAATCCACAAAAAGTGACACGACGAGGATTACTCACTGGCATTGATCAAGTCACCTCCGCTCTCCTTCAGCACGCGTACTGCCTTCGCTCGTGAGCAGCCAACCTGCTGAATGACAAGCTCGATGTCCTTAGGGTCTACGCCGCTCTCATCGACAGGGCCCTCCTCCTTAACAGCCTCGAGCTCAGGGATATCGTCATCATCGTGGTCGCCACCCGCCACCGAGCTCTCGAGGTTGGGCACACCTGCACCCGCGCCGCTGGCGAGCTGCTGTGCTGCCGAGAGCTGCGCTTGCGAGTTCATGTCCTCAATCTGCCCCCATTATCAGGAACACGCTCCTGTGTGATCACTGGAGTGCGCGTACCTTAGCCTCACCGAAGACGATGTAGCAGTCGCTGTTGGGCGACTTGTACACGTCCGGCGCCGCAATCACGAAGAGGACCTATAACGCGATCAGCGATAAGCAGTCAGCTCATGACACGCGAGGACGTATCGCGCACATTCTTTGGTCTCCGGAGCGTTACACGCGTGATGCCCTGCACCTTCTTGAGACCGAGACCAAGAAGAGCTTTGCGGGCCTTGCGCTCAGAACGCGACTGGATCTTGTCGAGCGCAGCCTGGGAGGTCGGGTCCTCCTCGTGGTCGTGGTCGTGATCATGGTCGTGCTCGTGCTCGTGCTCGTGCTCAGAGTGGTCGGAGTGGATCTCTTCGATAGTGGCGGACATCTGGTGCGGGAGTCGTCAGTACGCGTCACTACATCCGCGGCAGACGCTGTCCATCCATCCCGCTATCGTGGGTACGGGACAGAGCTCATGGACCATTCGCATCGCATTATCAAGGGGACCGTGAACCTCACCGTGACTTTTAGATGCGGGGAATCGTTCTAGAGCGAGCTCGATGTCGGGAACGGCGGCGACGGGTGGTAGAGCGCGTTTGACCCTAACCCGACAACATTGATATGGGCGCTTGCTGCCGGTCGCGTCGGCGTGGCGCTAGTACGGTACTCGAACTCGACGCTAGATTTCTGAACGCAATGACTTCGATAGACTTACCCGGTCTCCAATGAATCGCCTGGCTAATGATGACACCACTGGTCTGCGAGATCTCTTCTCAACAACACGTACGCCTGCATAGGCAGCACTTGATTAATGTGAACTATCCAGCGACTTCCGACCATGCCATGACGTTCCTCCGTGTATTCTGCACAGAACTTTGATTTGACTCCGAATCATACATGGGAGGCCGCGAATCTGGTTTCACTGTTCCAAACAAGAGTAGGCATGCCTAGGGACCGCGCAAGACTTCTGCGCCTCTTTCGATAAAACGAAGCCAACGGTGCCTGTCTCGATAATCAGAACATCGAGCAGATTTCCCTCGTACTCCAGTAAGTAACATGTCCCGCATGTGAGCGATTCGGGCTCTGTCACGTTGGCAAAGTCACCGACGTTTTGGAAGTGCGAGAAGGTCGTATAGCCCAATGGTAATGTCGTGTGCTCGATGTAGAGAACGGTGAAGCTTCTCCAGGCTTTGGCTCTTGTATGCCACCACTCCCCAGTTTGTGTTGTCGAAGTACTAAGACACTTCATACATCGACAGTTGGGGCATATGGAACTCTATGTGTGTCCAGTGTTCTGCTACCTTCAACAATGGAACGTCAGAGGCTCACTCGATGAATCCTCCACAATGAAAACAGATGCGTGACAAGTCTCAAACAGTATCCCGTGCACGTGCTCGAGACTATTGAATGGGGCTTTGCACGTACTGAATCAGCGTTCCGTTGTCGCAATGCAAGCGCAAGACAGTCCTTGTGCGCTTGTGGTCTGATGTCGCGGAACCTATTTAGAGCATGTAAGTCCTCAGCGCGGCTAGGGGTTTGACAATGGAAGTTGAGTTTCTCACACTGACTTCTCCAGATGCTACAGTGCGGTTGTCCCTGTGAATTGACAAATCAATTCCCTGAACAAGTGCTTCTGTGTCATCATCACATTTATCCATATTCTTATGATTGTATGGCCATCAATGGCTGCAGCATGCGTACAATGATGTGACCTCGAGCGTTGCGATATCTGGCCGAAGTTGTCCAATGCATTCAATCAACAAGATAGTGTATATGTAAGCCCTCGTCCTTTCAATTCACCATATACAATTATCCAAATGACCAAAGCCCATTGACTTTTCCGAACGCAATATTGTTCCGGTGTCAGCGCACCGGGAGGCCATGCTCCATGCCTACATTGTGGGCACAGAATGATCAGTACGGCAAGTAAATTTGGTGAATGTCGGAACGTACCAAACTGACGACGATCAAGATAACAGACTGCAGGCGGTCGTATTGCTGACCTGGTCAAGCGCTGCAGTACCGTATTGATAGTGGGTAACATTGCCATCTGGCGCCAACCACTGCATTGTCTGCTCCGAAACGACAATCCCTTCGTCGGCATGGTCCACGACCAAGACTTTCGCGAAGGCTCCAGCGAAATTGATCAGCACGCACTCTCCGCAGCCGCGTTTCGCTGCGTCTGCATCAGTGACGTTGGCGGACCCTCCGATGTATGGGAAGCCCGGAAGCGAGCCGAGCGTCGTATAGCCGAGCGCCTTCAACTGTGCGCCGCAGGTAAGTTCATCAACGGGAGTGGAGGCTTCGTCGTATATGGTGCTGTATGCGAGCGGCACCAGTGTATATGTATGTGCGATGGGAATGACTGCGGTAGCGAGAACAGCGGCGAGGGCGAACATCTTCATCTTGGAGGTAGAGGCTTGTGTTTGAACTGAAGTATTTTGGCACTCACAGCTGGCTCTATATACTGCAGGGTTGGAGGTATCTTCCTTCAATCTTAAACACCGCACATCGCTCAAATAACAGGCGGTGTTGCCGTGTGTGCCCGTGAAACAACTGTCGTTTATTCTGTCCGATGATGGCGAGGAACTCTTGTTTCTGCGTCGGCGAGGGTTCTCCGTGCTGAAACGTACGCAGGATCCACCACAGCCGACGATAGGCCTTTACGGAATAGTCTTCTGAAAATCTTATCGAACTGCCGATTGTTCGCCTGGGGGGGCTACGGCAAGATATTGTTCTTCGTGAAGCTTAGCTATGCTCGTTCGTGCGAATAGGGCGCCCTTATTACACTCATAGATGGGTTGTGAGCAAGCAAGTATATTGCTGCCATGATATCATAGCCATATCGTTCACTTCTCGGCTCGGCTCAGATTGCTCTCTACAACTTGCTGAATATATGGTTAAACAGAATGCGGTTCCAGGGCGGCGTAGATGGCGATCTGAAACACAAGGCAGGCCGGAACCTTCATTCACAAGTCAAGTACACCCCAGAAATAACCGGTATTGACTGCGAACAGATTCGCACGCTGTTGACATGCAGAATCAAGAGGCTGCAGTTCTGGCAGATGTCTGCGAAAATTGCTGGTTCGGCTTCTGGATGATATCATTAGCGGTACGAGCTATCTATTGCCTGTTCTGGGACCAGTGTCATTTCTTTGTCGGCGCGTATGAGCGAATGGTTGGTTTTCACGATCGACGCGAAGTTTCCAGCTGTCTATAAGTAGCAAATGATCTCCCGAATTAGTTTCGGTGTAGAGACACCTTGCGACGGATGCCCCGACTCTTTTGACGATGTCTCACTGGCCTTGTGCCTCAAGTGACGCGGAACTGGGTCCTTGTCCAGGTGCTCATGTTTCAGGATGCAGAACCTACTATTGAATATTGTGTATGGAATTCCGCCTTCTGAAGGCAGCAGTCTGCTATTTATGAACAACGGCCCCCATTCGCGCTCGATGCTGAACAGTGGGCTGGATTGGATCGAAGTATCTGTTCTCTATCTTACATCTCGTCATACGTCGAAGGCAACATGCTGAAATGCCTTTTTACCAGGACCCTGCTAACTTAGTGACCAATTTCCCATGGGCACGGAACCGCGCTCGATCCGCTATAGATTCAGACGAGAAATGTTATTATCGCCAGTATGTTTTCGTGGATGTTAGAACATACCAAATCCAGGGCGATCAACTTGACAGTCCACAGTGACTGGGATCGCTTTCCTCGAGGAGCTCCGCAGTCCCGTAGGGGTAGTCGGTTACGTTGCCATTCGGCGCCAACCACTGCATCACCTCCTCTGAGACGACGATCCCCTCGTCCGCATGGTCCACAAGCAGGACTGTCGCGAATGCGCCAGCGAAATTAATCAGCGCGCATTCCCCGCAATTGGGCGAGCTGGCGTCGCCGTCGGTGACATTGGCGGACCCTCCGATATACGGATAACCCGGGAGTGAGCCGAGCGTTGTATAACCCAATGCTTTCAGCTGCTCCCCGCAGGTGAGAATCGTGACGAGGGTCGAAGGTTCGTCGTAGATGGTGCTGTATGCGAGCGGTATCAGTGGATACGACTGCGCCAAGGCCGTAGGGACGATAGTAATAGCGAAGGCGAGGACAATGGTAGGCAACTTCATCTTGAGGAAGGTTTGTCTGCGAGCTGAGGTACTTCCTGCACGCACAGCTGCCTAAATATACTGCAGCGTCAAACCGCTTTTCTCGACCTACATCCTCGGAGCTCAGACGCCCGAGATGCCCTGGGCAGCGGGTACGGCCTTCATGCGCCGTGAAGTTCATCCCGATACCACCAATGTTCGCGCTGACGCCAGCGCAAAGCCATGCGCGCACTTGGACGCGGAGGTAACCCACCGCCCTGTGCCAGCATTATTGATTGAAGTCCGGGTCAATGGTTTACATCACAATTTGAGCGCAGTATATTCAAGAAGGTCCGGCACTGAATGCCGCAAGAAAAACCTGGCAGGTTCTCTGCCTTATTCATTTCATTGATTCATATGATGCACACGGGGATGACATCTCGTGAGGATGTCTTCCGATGGTTGTGTTGTCGAAATGAAAGAAGCAGATCATATCAAGCGTTGTGAGTACAACATTGATCGCTTCCTTGACACTGCTTACTGTTTTTATCAGATTGTGTGCTATTAATAACTGCATAGGAGCCGAGGCATTATCGAATTGGTCACAAGTAGTAAAACTAAGATAGCGACCGGCCTCAAATGAGCGTTCTCCAGGAGGTACAGTACTTTGAGAAGCTGATTATCAGGTGGGACTGGACTTGACGTCACTATGTTGCTAAATCAGTGCGCAGCCCAGACATCCAGAAAGACAGCGTACCGGCTCAGGAGGACAAGCCACACGAAGTCCCAGGACTCACCCCGAGAATATCTGCGACGACTGTCGGGTATTGGGTAATATTACCCTCTGGCACTAGCCACTCCATCGTTTGCTCTGAGGTCACCATCCCCTCATCGGTATGATTCACGACTAGAACTGATGCGAAATTTCCGGCGAACTGCAGGAGGATGCACGTCCCACAAGCGGCTGAATTGGCATCGGTGACGTTCTCAGATGCCCCGATTGACGGATAATGGGGAATATCTCCGAGCGTGGCGTAGCCCTGGGCCTTTAGCTGGCTTCCGCACGTAAGGGATTCGACGGAGGTCGATGAGATATCATATGAGTAATTGTAAGTCATTTGCACCTGTGGGTATGACTGAGCTGTAACAGCGAGCGTGAAACTCGCCGCGGCGGCACTAGTGAGGGCTCGCATGATGGTGAGTGGTAAATCTGAACTCAGCCGATTAGACGGTCCGAACGCCCACTATTTATACATCTTTTGTATTGACAGGTGCCCTCTATTTCCGTGAAAGCTATTCCCTGGACATTACCGCAGCGGCGTTCCAGAGCCACAGAACAATTTGCTGGTGTCTGGAAGTAGCGGCGCCCAACACCTTACTGCAGTGCAGTCTCGAAGCGGCAAGGCACGACCGTAACATTGACGTAAGCGATGTGTCTATAAACTTCTGCATAGCCCTGGGCAGTAGGCTTCGAAAAGGGATGACATCACCAAATCGAGTAATATCTTCCTTGAATATAGCAGGTAGTAGAAATTGATTAAGGCGTTGTATTGAATAGTATCCGGTGTCCTGCCAGCGGGATATACGCGAGAAGCTCTTGCCGGCCGGGGCATGCAGCAGCAATTACCCCATGGGAAATCAAGTAGTGAGTTGATTTACAGGTGGAGGGCGCTGGAATGCCATCCATGACCGCGACTAGTGCAGAGCAGATGCTTTATTCGGTTGACCGCGGCACGCAGGGCAGATCTCAGCCAGACCAGCGCTTAGTGTCCGAAATAGCAACTATAGGCTGGAACTCGGGCAGGACAGTCCCACGACGGGGAGGGACTGCAAAAACACAGTTTCGGGCTTTCGCACATATGGGCGTCCAATCAATCAGTACGGTGCGCCAACTTGGCGCACCGCACTGATCTAGTGATGTCCATCAATTTGCATTCTATTGTTTTTGTACAGAAAGGTCACCATGTACATTAGTAATATATTATACACGGAGAATACGCACCATTGCGATGATATTATGAATTGTGATATAGCTTTGTTCACATCATGGTCATTATTTCCACGCACAACTCGTCGAGACTCATGGAGTCCGTTCACCGTGATGAGCAAGTCACTCATGACACTGGTGAACGCATCACGACTGCCTATATAAGCAGAGAAACCTTTAAAACCAGGCACTCCTTTTCTACGTATTTGAATAGTCATGGGAACGAGAACACCGTGTCTCGACTCGGTCCTCGGAGATGCGGCAGACAAACCGTCCGACGAGCGATTCATTGATCGAAAGTTAGGAGTGGCCAAGCCCATCGTCTTCTCCTTCGTACTGGTGTTGTGCAGACATATTGTCAAATGAAAAGATCATCTCTTGCAATAGTATCTAAGGTGACGAGCGATGTATCACGCTCCATACGTACTCACTGATACGAAACGCTACTGATTTGGCTCCTGTAGCTGTATGACTGATGGGGTAGTTCAGCCACTCTCGAGAATACATTGAACACAGAGTTGAGTGGACAACGAGACGATGAGAGTGAAGCGACCATCATGCATCAGAAGTAATGATTCATGACTGAGATGAATGTGGCCAGTGTGGGTCAACAGAACTGTATCATGCGTAACGATTTCTGCACAGAGCACCACTTTTAGTGCGATATAATGTCTACGTGGCCGCACTGAATTGCAAAGGCACAGTCGTACGAGCTAGACAGGTGTCATAGCAGTTCCATCGCCCGCTATTATGTGTAAAGAAGACAAGACACACCTTCACTAGTATGCACAATCGCTCGGGAAAGGCCCTTTAAAGTCCGAATATACGTTCAACGTTATGTAAGTGCTCGTGTACTCCGTCGTGTAAATTGGTGTGGCAGTGTAAACCGGGCCCGAATATACGTAGGTTCCCACACTGGTGGATGTAGTAAGCGGATAGCTCAACTCCGTCACGGTGAATGTTGTTGTCTCCAAGGGACCTGTGGTCGTAGGTGCAATGATGCTCAACGTCTCAGTGACTGTCGTCGTCCATGGCTGCGGGCAGCGCGGGTCGATGCTGGTGGTCTGTATGTCACTGAGCGTGGATCTTGTGTGAACTCTAAAAATAGAGGTGCATACCTGTGTAGGAGCTGCGAGAGCAACTCTGAGGCCTATGAGCACGAGGACGGCGCCTCTGACAAACTTGCTGGTGAACATGAGCACGACGTTTTCAGAACGACCACTTGAGACAGCGCATATGAGAAACCCTTATATATATATATATGGCATAGCATTTAGCGGATCGCCGCCCAATTGATGCGCAACCCGCAGCCATCGCGGATGCTGTGCTTGCATCCCGCGGACAACGAATCAGGCCGAGAACTCTGATACGTTGTTGCGTGCACATCATCCACGCGCTCACACGGGTACTGCAAAACCGTCGCCGAAAGCTTCGGGGATTGAGTTTGCTCTGTGACCTCCACGATCGCAAGCCCAAAATGCAACGTCAAAACTTGTCACATGCATCGACTAGAAATTCGACGCTGAAGCTTGGGATTTCATGAAGGAACTAGATCGAGGGGGTAGCTGCGAACATGTGAAACTGCCTCGACGTCGCTATCAAGATTTAGACACATACACCACATCAGCACAAAAGGACAAATACTCAGGATATCTTGTTGTGATGCCGCCTTTCGAAGGCTACAAAATAGCAGATAAACGTTCGTGAGCAATGTCATGACATTTCAACGACTGAAACTGCTTAACTTGTCGAAGTCCCGGGATAGTTTGACTGATGATGTACAAACACGTTGGTTTACAGACCGGTGAGTGAGAACTTGCATCACAATATGTACATACGGACCTGGCCCCAGAGTGCAGGTCGGTCGAGTTCAGACTGGATAACAGAACCAATCGATAGGAATGAGATTCAAACAAGCCTTCACAGTCTCATAAGGTGCGCGATTGACATGACCTTTTAGATGGATGGCCGAGGCATTGAAGCTTCATCTACGGCCTCGAAGATGCCCTGGCGTGCAGCTGGTTCGGGCCTACCATACCATCGGCAGAGCGCAGTCGCCCGGTTCTGAGAGGCTAATCAGATGGCCTGCTCAACGTCAAGCACTGAGTATGTATGATCACGAATGCAGAGACTCGGATCATGCATATGACGGTGTTCGCATATGGATGTCACTGACGCGTTACGTCACGCGACAGTGGCCTCACGGCTGTGGCTGCTCGTCTTCATTGCCAGTTCACTCTATCACCTCGACTCTTGTCAACATGTCACTCTGAGCAGATCATATGGAGACCAACACGATGTCTGGCTGTACTTGGGGACCTTCCTGTGTTATATTATGGCTGTTCTTTCGGCCATTATGCCACTCTGTTTGCGAACCTGGACCACTCTTGTGTGCTTTATTCATTTCGAGGTATATACCCGTACCGTAAGGCTCCACGGTGTGCCAGACTGTTTCTCGGCTGACATACATCGCATACTGCCCCCGGCCTGATGATGAGCTCACTTACAGCATCGTTGAAGGACCTCTGTTGCTGATCGCTTCGTGTATTGTTCCGTCAATCTGTGTTTCATTTTCACCACGGCATGGCATGCGATGATGGAGATGAGATCTCGACTTGGTGACCGCGCACGCGAGCATCCCGCGTCATGCATGCCGCGCTCTTTGAAGAGATCTGATCGGACTCGCTTAGAGTAACGCTGATATCTGCTTAATGGCACAAAAACGACCGAAGTGAGCACAGGGCTCGCCAGAAAGGAGCGAGAAAGAACTGCCCGGGACCTGATAGGGATACACGTAACGACCGAGCTTCTGGTGAAGCAACGCGACAGACAGTACAGCATGATACATACATCGCTTTTGGACTCCTAAGTGGGTATAATCAAAAGCGTAGCGACTAGCGAGCGTGCGCATCATGACCGGGCCAATACGCGTGCGCGCCGCTAGAAGATAACGCAGGCGACCCGAGGCGCTAGGCCACGCCTCACACCGCCTCGCCGTAGCCGTCATCGCCGACCATGTACTTCTCGCTTGCTGCGGACGCCGGCGTGCTGTCGCGCACGCGATCGACCACCTGCGTGACGTTCACCGTGAGCACGCGGAGCGGGTACTGCGGCGCGAAGGGGTCGCCGCGCCCGCCGGGGGACGGGAGCTGCGAAAAGCGCGACTGGTACGAGAACGGGCGCGGGGAGTGCGGGGCGGTGAGGACCGCGCCGCCTCCGCTGTACGACGCGGAATGGCTGGAGAGGATCGCTTGCTGCGCCCAGCCGAGCGAGACGCGGAGGTTGATGAGCATGAAGGCGATGCCGGAGATGGAGCTCCAGAGGTCGATCGCGGTGAACTGGACGTTGTTATGCGTTTGGTATGTGATTAAGAAGACGAGGTTCCACGCGCTGCGAGGCTCGTGTGAAGGGACGTGGGCGCAAACGAGTAGTCAGAAGACTCACGTAGATATGAAGGCGCTCTCTACAATGATTGCCAATGCACCCTAAGTGACCGTTACCAAGGATTTCAGCGAAGACTGTTGAGCACGGCATACCAGTATGTTGCCGCCGCCATAGCTCTTCGTCCGTACAGTAGTGCGCCAGACCTTCCAAGAGATGAAGACTGACAGCGCACGAATCAGTGGGTGAATGCAGTCTCTTTGGCCAGAAGCGCCATACCAGTGCAGTACATGTTTGTCCTGATGACGAGCGCATCATCAGTCAAAGCGAGAAAAGTTGGATTGATGAGACATACGCAAACGTAAAAACACAGTCACTTGTAATCCATCTGCCAGCCAGGCTCGTCCAGACATCCTCACTGAAGGTGTAGAGAGAGAACTGCCAGGCCACGCCTGCGCCAGTGACTTGAAAACACATCATATTATCATAAAATTGCTCATAGGAAATGGTCTAGGTCACCGTACCTATCAGAGCAAGCCAAGTACATATAGGGAATATCACGATCCACTTGTTATATGCCCAGATAACATACAGACGGTAAATCTGTGTTTTGCATTTAGGACCTAGCCGCGAACGAAGAGAATTAGAGCTTACAATCATAGCATCGGATGTCGCCAACGTCCCCACGAGAAGGGCAGACTTGACTACCTCCGAGGGTAATGCTAAATTGGCATAGATGTACAGTGGGTTTGACCCTCCCTGGTAGTTCACAAACGCGTCGAATAAACGTAGGACGGTACATATCCAATGCTGGTCCGCAATATTGGGTTAGACACAGAGTACGCGGACGATACTGACAGACGTACCCCAGTAACTGTACAGAAGATGACGTGCGCGGCTATGAACATTGGTGCGCGAAGGATGGAGTATGAGGCGGCTCCCGCCGCCACAAGCTTGCGGTGACCTTGAGACAAAAGGAGAAAGGTCGAGCTGACGTAGAGGGTGAGGAATATGCCATAGAGAAGGCTCTCCAAGCACACGGTCGCCAGGTTGACAGAAATGAATGAGGGTTGGTACACCATGGCGGGGTCACCTGCAGCCCAAGATGGCGGAAGAGCAGGGTCAGGGCATAAGGGTGCGTGCCGTCAAGTCCGTCCTATCATATGTATGGGAAAGCGCCGTGCTGTCGAAGCAGAAAAAATGTTCCGCGGGAGATGGCAGTGATCCTTCCGGACGCTAGAGCCGTAACAAACGGTGTCTGGTGCAGAAAACTGTCATGAGAGACCAGGGTAGAGATAAGCACAGCAAGCTTCTATCCGCCGCTTGTGGGACATAGCGACTTGTTGTGCGGTCTGTTCTGGCTGTAACATGCGGTGTGGGATCAGACGGTCGACATGTGTCCTCAACCTGTGGCACAGCACAACGCCGAGCGTGGTGGATCGGCGTCTGTTACGATCTCACCATCACCCGATCATTCCCATCAATTCGATAGATCTCGTAGATATCGTCCCTTCCGTCAGTACAAGTCTCGTAGTATTGCGTCGCGTAAGGTGTCCACACCGGGCAGGTGTACAGAGTATGTCCCTCGCCCCGCACTGACACTCGCGAGTATTCACCAACACTGACCCGTTCGCTCCTTATCTTGGAGGCACACTATCATCGCTGCTGCATTCTTAGGGGCCACAGCCATCCTCCACTTCGAATCGTGTGCTATTTATAACTGCACAATCGTTCCATACAGCCAGGAATAGATTCGTCAAGTAGGCATCTCGGCGGCCAGTCTATCCACTTATAGCCGTTGGAGTGAGACAGGCTTGAATGCCTCCAAAAAGATTGACCGCGTCATAGTAAACAGCATCAGGCTCAGGACCTGGTTTGCAGCACGCCGCTCCCGGCTCGATCATTTACGTCATCCACAGCTACAGCATCATCAAGGTATATACCAAATTCTATATTCACGCCCCTCAGAGAATTTGTACTTGACATATTTTTACTGCAAAGCAATATACGAATGTTGCTGTAGGACGCTGTAGCCAGCTCCAACTGTCATCGGAACTGGCCGGCTGGCAGAGAAGTGCGCGTCCACAGTTAAGGATGCAATAGCTGGAGACATGATGCCTCATCGACGTCATAGCCACACTTCTTGAGGACGAGTATATGAAGGGACGCCGCTGACTGCATCCACCTACCTCTCAGAAACAAGCCTCACCACAATGGACAACGACACTAAAGCATCTCTTTACCACTCTAAGCCCTACATGGCGGCTGCGAGCGCCATGACAACCTTCAAGCCGATAAACGCAATCCACCAGCATCTCTGTGCATTCCACGAGTACTCGTGCGTATCTCTGTTGGGCCGCGGATGAGCTAGGCTTACGTACACTGTGCACAGGCAAGACCGTACAAGACACCTCGAAGCACATCATTACTGCACGCATCTCACCCATGAATTCCACCAATGCATCATCTACGACTCCGACCAGCCAAACGCTAAGCTCATCGGCATCGAATATATTGTCTCGGAGAAGGTCAGTACTATACAGTTAGCCGATGCACGCGCTGACCGAGCGAAACAGATCTTCGATTCCTTACCTGCCGAAGAGAAACGATACTGGCACTCCCACAAATACGAAGTGGAGAGCGGGTATCTGCAGATGCAGGCCAATAGCCTTGTTCCAGGCGCGTGGCTTCAAGTCATACGCAGAAACGCATTCGCTGAAGCAGATGGTTTTATTCAGGCGCCGTGACCGATATCGCAGAACAGCCCGCGATCCTCGAGATCCACAAGACATACGGCAAGACCATCCATACTTGGCCGGTTGACATCTCGCCAGATCTTCCACTCGGCCCACCCAACCTTATGGTCTCATACACGGGCGAGGGACAAGGTCCTCCTCCGGAGATGATCAAAGCGCGCGACGAGAAGTGTGGAATGGACACGCAGGCAAAGAGAAAGCTGCGCGCAAGCTACCTGCCAGAGTATGAGGTGCGAGCGGAGGCAGACCAATGGGAAAAGACCGGTAAGGGCATTGTGTTCGAGGCGAAGGAGGTCCCCTTCAAGCCTTACGATGGGCCGGGTAGTACGCAGGTTTGAGAGTTGGAATACAGACTTGTAGCCTTAGAACTGCCAGTACTATCGAACAATGATCACGCATCTGTCTTCAGGCCCAGATGAAACCGGATCTAAGAGTGATTTGGCCTATTTCAAATTGCAATAGACAAAAAGCAGCCTTGAATTTGACATAGAGCACACATTCTTTCTACTCGAGGCGCAGCCGAACGACGAGATTGGATGAATTCACGAGATAGACGCGCATACGGGTGCCGCAACATGTGTCTGCCCCATACTGTATGCCAGTGAAAATGAGCAAATCGGGCGCTGAACGTCACGGACGTCAAGTGCGTGGCAGAGCGTACCTAGATCTTTACAGCCCGCATGCAGATATGTTCACTTGTGTAGCTACCGCCTCCAAGCGACCCAGCGACTGTGCCTGTCCGTTCGTCAGCACGTCAAACGCTTCCTCGGCGATGTTGAACCCTTGGTCGGTGTAGTCGATGGCTAGAACGGTGATCCTGTTTCCCTGGTACGAGAGCTCCCAGCACGATCCGCATTCGCCAGAGCCGTAGGGTGTCACGACCGCCGCGCCGCCAATGAACGGGAAGTCTGGCAGCGAGCCGAAGGTGTCGTATCCGAGGCTCTCAAGCTGGCTGGAGCAGGCAACAGTGGAAAGCGAGGCAGAGCAGTTGTCGTAGACCGTGTCATAAGAGACAGGGACAGTTGCTTGAGCGCGGACCATGAATTGGAAGCGACCCGCTAGCAGGCCGGCAGCAGCGATCATTAGGGCGTGCATGGTAAAGCGAGTTGACTGGTTGGCTGCGTAGTGCGAGAAGGGTGTGAAGGGTAGACGTTGCGAGTTCGACCATTCTTATAAAGCGTCTGGTTTGCATTTGAGTCTGGACGAGACAAGACACATAGAGATTCTGACTGGAGCGTGGATTGACTGGCAGATTCACAGGGGAATTAAGCACCGCTCTGCATAGTAAGGTTGCGGATGTATGCGCCTAGTCCCTCTGGACCGGCACCGCGCGAGGCAGAAAACGTGAGGTGGCCTTGTGAGGGCATGGCGGGAGGAGGCCAGCCGAATTGACGCGCAGGTCGATCATCATGGCGGACCTCTCCCATCTCTCCCGCACACTCCGCCTCGTCCTCGAGTCCGCACCCGAGGCACCGTCCCTCACCACCCTCCTCGCCCTCGTCGACAGCTTTGTCCTCCAGGTCGCAAACTCACCCAGCCCAGGTCCCCTACTGAGCGCTCTCGAGGATGAGCTGCAGGAAATCTGCGACTCGGTCGTCGAGCTCGACCAGAGGGAGGTCTTTCTCGCCGTCCTGTACCACCTCCAGCCCATCCTGCCGCCCGCGTCGCTGATCGAGCGGTGGTTCGACCTCATCCTGCGCCGAGCGCTGCGTGAGCCGCGCCTGCCCCGGCCGGCGCTGGACCACGCGAAGGAGCTCATCATTGCCGCCCTCGACTCCTGTACGCACACGGACATTGGCGCGAAGGACGCGTCGGAGGAGGAGCGCGAGAAGGAGCGCGAGAGGCAGCGCGAGAAGGTGGGCGAGTTCAGGCGCCGGCTGATGGACCTGTATCTCCTGGACGCCTATAACGAGAGCTCAGGTGAGGATGTCATCGAGTGGGCGGCACTTGATGGGGACGAGCGGGGTACCAAGGCAAGCTGGAAGAACAACTTAGAGGATGTGCTCGTGAAGGGCGGTCTGGAGAGGCCGCAGGTATGTCCTCGTAACTCAAGCTCTAAGCGGCGTGCCTCACTCGGACGGTCTAGGATTTCCTGACAGAAGTGTACCACTGCTTCTCCTCCCCATCGTCGCGCCTTCAGCTACTCATTCTTCTCAATGTCTACACGTCCCAACCCGGGTTCACTGAAGTTGCTTCGATCCTGGCTGGGCACCGACTTATGACATGCCTGCTGCACTCCCTACTCTTCGATGGCTCCTCAACCGCTGCAAACATAGCACTCACAGTGATTACTAAACTCTTGCCCATTGTCGCCGTCAAAGCCTGCGAAGACCTGAAGGGCTTGCTCCCGCTCCTGCTCGCCGTCCTCGCGCGCATCATATGCTGGCGGGAACGCGAGCTGCCTGTCCCCGCAATGGAATCGCTGGACGGAGAGACTGTGAGCGATGTAGAAGACAATGCTGACACGCAGAGTCTCGCGTTCGTCCTGGATATTCGAGAGGACCTCGAGTGGACGCGTCTGGAGCAGACATTCGCATGCGGCGCATCGTCTGCGCCCTCTGCACACCGGTATTTCACGCATCTGTACTACCTGTTCCCGTGTAACACCCTCCGCTTCCTGCGCCATCCTATACAGTACATGAAGGACAGTGAGCTCGAGAGCCCGTACAATGTCGGATGGGAGGACGCGCTAGACGAGGATCAAATTCGAAGCAGGAGCGAGGTGAGGTTTGACGTGAATACTCTGCATTGCATGCGGAATGTTAATACAATCACGCTTGTAGCCGCTGATGCGTGGGCACGTCCTGCATCCCCTCTTGATCTGGCGCACACCTGCTGAGGAGCTGTCGAAGCCCGATTTCTGGACACAATATGACATCGCGCGCATCGTCGGCGACTGCACGATGCTTGACGTGCGCAATACTGCGCTCGGCATGCAGCAGCGCACGCCCACCGTGCTCTCCACGGACCCGGAGCCCGCTTCCGCCCCGCTCTCTAGCTCCGCCCTTGCGACCCCGCTCGGCCCGCAGTCGCTGGGCACGTCCACGGTCTCCTCGCCGACCGTCCGGCCCGTCGACCTGTCCTCGGGGAAGCCGCAGGTGTCGCTGCAGGACATGATCGAGACGTCCATCGCGCTTCGATCAGGTTTGGACGTCGAGATCGTGCAGCCCGCGCCCGCGTGGTCCTCCGGCGCGGTCGCCTCCTCGTCAAACGTGCGGCCGCCTTCCGTTTTCACCATGGACACTGCGGCGCCGGAGCACCGCAGCACGTCGCCACCGACCTCGATTGGGGACGCTGCTTCGGTGCGCCCGGGGTCCATAGGCGGTGTGTCGGTGGCGGGAGCGGGCGGGGACCATGTGCCGGTGCAGATGGTACAGGCACTCGCGGGCCTGCAGCGGGAGGTGCTGCTTCTGCGGAACGAGCTCAACTTCGAGCTGTGGAACGCGCGGGAGAACGTGAAGCACATCGGGCGGCTGTACCAGGACCGCGTGCTGTCGAAGACGGCTGAGATGGAGCGGCAAGGGCTCGTGGGTGTCCCTTTGTTCGTCTGTGGGCGTGGTGAGGCTCATCGTATTTGACTGCAGCACAACAAGCTTCGGGAGTACAAGCAGGAGATCGGGCGGCTGCAGCGCGAGCTGAAGGAGCACAAGAACCATGCGACGCATACGAAAAATCAATACGAGGACTGGAATCGCAAAATGCAGGATAAGCTGAAAGAGTCGAGGGAGGAGCGCAAGAAGCGTGAGGCGAATACGACGAAATTGAGCGCGGAGAAGAAGGATGTGCAGGCGAGTTGAAGTGCATGCAGATCATGAAGGGACCGCTAACGCCGGAACTGCTATACAGGCAGCGTTTGTAGAGCAGGGCAAACAGCTTGCCGAGTCGGTCCAGAAGGTGTTCTTGCTCGAGACTCAGATCAAGGAGAACGCGCATAAGGTCGATCGACTGCGTGACTATGAGAAGCAAATCGACCAGTTGATCAAGCTTCAGCAGCTCTGGTATGTTAAAACGTGTGCTGACTCGTGGCCACAGATCTAACTGTTGATTCCATCATCAGGGAGATGGACGTGCAGAAGCTCAACGATCAGGCAGAATATTTGCAGGTCGTCACGAGCAAATACAAGAAGATGGAGATCAGACTCGAGACCTACGAAAAGACGCACACCGAAATGGATACGGCCATGCGGTTAGTTGCTTTTTTTGTTGCAATGTAGAATTCGCATTAAGCATTTTTATACGCAGAAACTATCAGCACGAAATCGAGGCGTCACGAGCACACCTCGCGCTCGCGCAAAGGGAAGGCGCGCGCAAAGCGAGCATCATCGCGAAGCAGTCGACGGCAGGCGCAGAGATCGCGAAGCTCACACGAGATAACCAGCGACTGCGCGATGAGAACTCGGAACTGAGGGACGAGATAGAGAAGTTGAAGGAGATGGTGGAAATCCTGAAGGCACGGAGTGAGAGGGGACGGGCGGTGGCGCGGACAGGGTCGCTGCCGGTGGGGATGATAGGAAGCAGTGCGGCTGAGACTTGAAAAAAACCGGACCAAGAGCTACTGTAGTTTACACAGCCTGTATTTGCTAGTTTGTTTCTTTGTGTATGACCGCCACCATCGCCGAATTTGATGTTCGGATGTGTCCGATGATTGCAAGGAGCTGCGAGTTCGTACGGCAAATATTCTTATGGGGTCTCTGCGAGCACGCCGTCTTTGATGAAACGTTCTTGTACAAAGTACTTATTGCCTACGAGCGGCGGGGCAAGACACTGTCGAAATACATGAAGGGCCCAGTGGCTCGGCGGATAGACGCCAATGTGGTAGACGCCTGAAGGAAGGGGATGGAAGGGGATGGAATGACAGGGAACGCCGGGCTGCAGCTGCTCGAAAGCGGATCGAAGATTCGAGAACGAGACCCCTCAAAGGGTACATAAAGCGACCTTTTCTCTTTCGCCTCCCCAGCTGCTCCAGCTTCATCTACCACCTCGTTTACATACCCCTCTACTCACCGTCCCGCTAAAATGGCCCAAACCGAGAGCTTCGGCTTCCAGGCCGAGATCAGCCAGCTTCTGGACCTGATCATCAGTGAGTTATCCCGTCTCTTGTGCGTGTACGCGTCCTCATAACGCCCTATGCAGACACTTTCTACTCCAACAAGGAGATCTTCCTTCGTGAACTTATCTCCAACGCATCTGACGCCCTCGACAAGATTCGCTATGCGTCCCTTACCGACCCCTCCGTCCTTGACACTGGCAAGGACCTCCACATTCGTATCATCCCAGACAAGGAGAACAAGATCCTCTCCATCCGCGACACTGGTATTGGTATGACCAAGGCCGACATGGTTAACAACCTCGGTACGATCGCCAAGTCCGGCACGAAGGCAAGTCGACGATCATCCGGAATTTTCACGCATGCACATGCTAATCATGCCATTGTATACAGGGCTTCATGGAGGCGCTGAGCTCTGGTGCCGACATTTCCATGATTGGCCAGTTCGGTGTCGGTTTCTACTCTGCGTACCTCGTCGCCGAGCGTGTTCAGGTCATCTCAAAACACAACGATGACGAGCAGTACATCTGGGAGTCCGCTGCTGGCGGTACCTTCACCATCACCCTCGACACCGAGAATCCCCCTCTCGGTCGTGGCTCTGAGATCCGTCTCTACCTCAAGGAGGACCAGCTTGAGTATATCGAGGAGAAGAGGATCAAGGACATCGTCAAGAAGCACTCCGAGTTCATCTCCTACCCCATTCAGTTGGCGGTTGTGAAGGAGGTGGAGAAGGCAAGTGGCGTTTGTTTATTACGAGGCTCTGGATTTGTCGTTGACCTATCCGCTACAGGAGGTTGAGGACGACGAGGAGGAGGTCAAGGAGGAGGACGAGTCCGAGGACAAGCCTAAGATTGAGGAGGTCGATGACGAGGACAAGCCCAAGAAGACGAAAAAGATCAAGGAGAAGGAGATCCAGAACGAGGAGCTCAACAAGACGAAGCCTATCTGGACGCGCAACCCTCAGGACATCACCGCCGAGGAGTACGCCGCTTTCTACAAGAGCTTGACGAACGACTGGGAAGAGCATCTCGCCGTGAAGCACTTCTCCGTTGAGGGTCAGCTCGAGTTCAAGGCTATCCTTTTCATTCCGAAGCGGTAAGTCAAATTGGGCTGTTGTGCATGCCAATAGTTGCTGACATTGACATTGTAGTGCGCCCTTCGACCTCTTCGAGACCAAGAAGAAGCGCAACAACATCAAGCTTTACGTTCGCCGCGTCTTCATCATGGACGATTGCGAGGACCTTATTCCTGAGTACCTCAACTTCGTCAAGGGTATCGTCGACTCCGAGGATCTCCCGCTCAACATTTCGCGAGAGACACTCCAGCAGAACAAGATCCTTAAGGTTATCCGCAAGAACCTCGTCAAGAAGTGCCTTGACCTCTTCGCCGAGATCGCTGAGGACAAGGACAACTTCAACAAGTTCTACGAGTCATTCGGCAAGAACATCAAGCTCGGTATCCACGAGGATGCACAAAACCGCAGCAAGCTTGCTGAGTACCTCCGCTTCTACTCGACGAAGTCGACGGAGGAGCAGACGTCGTTGGGAGGTAAGTACACTGTCTTCTCGGCAGGTGTGAGGATTGATGCTGATCGCCTTCTCATCAGACTACATCACGCGTATGCCTGAGGTCCAGAAGAACATCTACTACCTTACTGGCGAATCGCTCTCGTCCGTCAAGGACTCACCGTTCCTTGAGGTTCTCAAGAAGAAGGGCTTCGAAGTCCTGCTGCTCGTTGACCCCATCGATGAATACGCCATCACGCAGCTCAAGGAGTTCGATGGCCACAAGCTCATTTGTGTTTCGAAGGAGGGCCTCGAGCTCGAGGAGACTGAGGAAGAGAAGAAGGAGCGCGAGGAGGAGGCGACTCAGTTTGAGGATCTCTGCAAGGCCGTCAAGGACGCACTTGGCGATAAGGTCGAGAAGGTCGTCGTTTCGAACCGTATCGCCGACTCGCCCTGCGTGCTCGTTACCGGGCAGTTCGGCTGGTCGTCGAACATGGAGCGCATCATGAAGGCGCAGGCACTGCGCGACTCGTCGATGTCGTCATACATGGCCTCGAAGAAGACGCTCGAGCTCAACCCGCACAACGCGATCGTCAAGGAGCTCAAGAAGAAGGTCGCAGAGGACAAGGCTGACAAGTCCGTGCGCGACCTGACGTACCTGCTCTTCGAGACCGCGCTGCTCACCTCTGGCTTCTCGCTTGACGACCCGACGTCGTTCGCGAAGCGCATTCACCGTATGATCTCGCTCGGCCTCGATGTTGACGAGGAGGAGTCAGCGCCTGCGCCCTCGTCCAGCGTGGAGGCTGCACCAGTAGAGGAGGTCGTGTCCGCGTCTGCGATGGAGGAGATCGACTAGATCGGCGGCGTAGATGTGCTTGGTGACTTGCTGTAGCTGTTTCTCCTTTCTGTGTATTATTGCTCTGGGTTTGCTGTCATCGCATCTTACGACTACATCAATGTTACTCATAGTGTACATAGTACCCGTAGCGTCAAAACCAATATCCTTGCATCTCGTTCTGCTATGCGTCTAGTGGTTGATTTGACGTGGTAAGTTCTGCGACTGAACCTTCGTCGGGTTGTGCGATTCAGTATTCATACACGCAACCCAGCCCGAGAAACACTGAGAGCTCCACCATCATTTCCTTAAGGATGGAGAACAGCCTATGAATACATTGATTATTCGCAATTAGATGTACACAGCCGACACATCTAATACTGTACCGGAACCAAGGAAATGAAATAAGGGTACATTTTGTTGTACACCAAGCAGGTCATCTTCGACTACTCATTGACGTGGGTTCTGCAATATATTTTCCCTCAGACCACCTCTTCACGCCGTCTACGACCTACCCAAAGTTTCCCTCCATAGGAGGCAGGCCGATGCATCATCCCTGGACCCGATATTTCAGCATACTGCTGAAATCGCCTCCATCAATGACCTCGAGGCAGCCGATGTGCGGACAAACGACTGCCCGGCAACCGGAGTGTATGGCGCGCAAATGACTTCCATCATGTTGAGAAGCTAGTCGCGATGGAGACTAACCAGCCACAGCCTGCACAGATTGACCATGCTGCCTAGGAGGCTGGCCCAAGTCTTCAGTGCTGAACGTCTCGACGGTCGAGAGGTTCAGGACCGCGGCGACATTGGCGATGGGGAGCTCCGAAATCGCCTGGCACAATTTCGAGCTTAAAGCTCGGCTCGGCAAAGGGTTCGTCTGCGCTGGGGTACGCGTGGATGTCGACTTCGTACTACACCAGAATTTCCGGCCTGAAGGGGCGGAGACCTCAATGACGCGGAAGTTGGAGAGGGCCGCGAACCATGCTGCAGTTCGGGGGGAGTATGGTGCACAACCCGCTGTGCTCTGCGCGCGTGAAGAGGTTGCTGAGCGTTTGATTCTTGGAAGCAAGAGGAGGGAAAGGATGTTCGTGACGCTTGGGGAGGACATGAAGCTGAGGGACATCTCCTTCAAATGCGGGAGGGCCACCGGACAGTCGGGTCGCGGTCCCTCGAACATGGAAAGGCGATGCTATGTTGAACGATGAGAGTCTGGAAATCAGGGTAGGCCCTCAGAACATCTAGGGATTTGTCTGGAGGGCGCCACATTCATGTCGTACTGTTTGACGAGCTTGAGGTGCGCGAGATTCCTGCACAAATTCGTTGTTCACGGCAAGAAGATACACTTCGGCGTGATCGATCTCAAAGATGATCAGTAAACGGCGGGGGTCTGGCGAAGAAAATAGCGAGTCTGTGAGGACTTTCCTCCCGCGAGGCCAGGAATCTCCTGTATTCCTAGCTCTGGCTCCTCGAGGCAAGAATCACCGTGCCCAAGCTCATCCGATGGGTGAGATATATCGGAGGGTTCCTGCAACATTGCAGAAAATGTCTTAGCATACGCGGTTTGGAGGCGTACGCCAAATAGATCGTGGGGCAAAGAGTCCCTCAAGGGCAATGTGAAACGGGTAGGGGCTCGACCGGCACAGGAACACCTGCACGCAAGCTTGTTAGAGATAAACGAAGCTTGACATCTTCGAACGCAAGAGATCGCCATCGTCGACAAATGTGGCTGATATTGATAAATTTCGACTGTGATAGGTCGAGGCGTACTGCATTCCAGAAATCTCCGCAAGTAGCTCATACGGCAAGCGGTGCACACGAGCCAATGAGCTACAGTGACTCTTCAATTTGAGTATAGCGACAAGAGCGGGCGTAGCATATTATTGGTGATTTTATATTTTTGTCGAGTTTGCTGGCATGGTGTAGACTCACTTATGTCAATGGGTCTCCATGTCTGGGAACGCACTAAAAGGAATGAGGGGATACACCATGATTATCATATTTTGAGTGCATAACACTCTAATCCTCACTTGAACACCGTGGATGAAAGCAGGCGCGGTGGTTGGCACAGATTGGGATCTCACGATGTTATGTAAGCACGATCGTGATCGTGTCAATGCTGCGGATTTAACGCGCCCACGTGATTTGTGCGGGCGGATCCGCAAGAGGGAGGGGATAGAGAGATATCGCAAGGATCTTGCTTGATCTCGTCGACGTGTTGGTCCTGTCCTTTCCCGGCCGGTCTCTCGTTCGACAGCACGGTCCGCCGCACATTCCTTTCGATTCGCATTCTCTTGACGAAAATTCGCCCAAAGCTGGCTGAATTCTATCTAAGCGCTGGTGATTTAACAGGTACGAGACTGCATGGTTACCTTATGGAACAGTCGTATCGAAAATGGCTGATGCAAAGCAATTCAGGAACCCTTGCGAAATGATCCCTCTCTCTCCTGCTCTGCTCCGACAAATATTCGAGTGCGGCACAAAAATCGAGGTCAAGGAAGATCGCGTCAAGTTCTCACACCGCGTGGCGTCCGTGTGTCGCACATGGAGAGATGTAGCGAACGGCACGCCCACCTTGTGGTCCACCGTACATATAGCCCTGGGACGTGAACATGCTCTCCTCTCCCTCGAAAAATCCTTGGAGCGCTCGCGTTCGCAGCCGTTGGAGATCTCGATTGCTCAGGGTCCCTGCGAGGATGAAGAGGAACCGAATGCGATTCGTCAGGCCATGGACCTTTTAATGCCACATATGAAAAGATGGAGGACCGTCCATATTGATGTTTTCAGCGTGGAGACAGTGGTTGCCGCAGTCGGAAAATGGAATGGGAGCGCGGACGCTCTCGAGGAGATATTTCTTGGCACGACAGGGGAGCAATTAGACGAAGACGACCTGGCCATCTTCGCGCTGAACCCGACGTTTTCTGCGCCTAATCTTCATCTCTGTGTCGTGTACGATCTGTATTGCACCTCGGAGGGGCCCCGTCTGCCCAAGATCTTCCCCGCAATGCAAGACCTGTCTATTGTGCGGACGGGTTTCAAGGATGTTACGACCAGCGCACAGTACCTGAAGGTCCTGGAACCTCTCCGCTCTTTGCGTTCGTTGAATCTCTTCGAGCCTGATCTCGACCAAGGTGGTGCCGACGACAACGCGGTGGAGGGCGGACAGGTTTCCTTACCAGCACTCGTAGAGCTGGAACTTCAGTCAATATCGTATAATACACTCGATCGCTTCCTCGCCGCATTGGACGCACCCTCTCTTGCCACTCTGAGTCTCTCGAGATGTAACGACCTTGACATGAACTCCCTTCCCCACATTCGAGACCAGCTTGCTCGCTTTCCCTCACTGGACACCCTTCGCCTCTTCCGGAATACACTCAAAATGGAGCACATCTCGGACATCTTTGGCAGCCTGAGGTGTTTCTGTCTCGTTTCGATCTCGCTCACTGAGCTGTTCTCGTCGCTCAAACCGAAGCTCAAACGAGGATGGTACCTCCCCAGGTTGACAGCCATGGAGATCCACTGTGAAAAGGGTGTGCCTTTGACATTGCTGGGCCAGGTTGTGGATGTGCGGCACGCTGGTGCCGCGTCGGAGCAGGCCGACGATGCACCGCGCGCGATTCAGGATATTACGGTTTACACCAAGGATCCGATTTCGGAAGAAGATCGCCTGTGGTTCGAGAGCAAAGTGCGAACTTTCGTGTGGCTGGATACGGACCTGTACAAAGGAACCGACGTTGGCGCCACAAAACTAATATGCGCTGTTCCCGATTGAGTCTGCGCACGTTTTCTCTTGACACCAGTACGTCACATTATCATCACATATTTGATGCAAAGTATTGACACAGAGGTTCTTCCGCCGCGCAGTGAACCACGAGCCTCGACAGTCCAGGTTCGTTCTGTTGTGCAACAGTGTCCGGCAACCCTATTCGCAGCCAGTCGTGCTCCAGTCGCGCTGGCGTTTAGAGCGTTGGATGCCGCAATCGTACAAGGGCCTTACACTGTGCCCTCATGTTTGCATGTGAATATGTACCATACGCATCCACGGACCAAAATGTCGCGTATCGTCTGCTTGCTAATTTAAAGGGAACCCCACACTGCGTCTCTCGCTATCCTCCTGCGCCATCATCTACGTTCTCGCCTACTCTCGCCGGACAAGCCTTCTGATCTATGCAGTATCTTTTCTTTGATTCGCGCTCTCGAACTTCCTCGGGTGGAGCTGGTATTTTATCTACTATACGTGAGACACGGCCGAGGATGTGGTCGTACATAATGTAATTTCATCCTCAGGATTAATCGACCGGAATGCGTGATGCATACGCCCACTGTCCCTCTGCTCGCCTATCGCGGCAATTCTTACGCTTGCGCTCTCCCCTGAAGGCATGGGATGTCTAATAGCTAATAGCACCTAACGGAGTGGAAGTAGAAAGGCCCTGCTCGACTTGCGCCTTGGCGATTACCGCTATCGGAGGGCTGATGACCACCGTGATGGCTGTAACGCGCAGGAGCCTTCGAATATACGGTAGTCTTCCAGTGAGCTGTGCGCCGCCCAACATTCAGTGCCCGTGTTTGTCGACAATCAAATTTACCAACGTGCTGGAGAGCAAAGGCACAGCATGGAAGCAGGGTACCTGCACTACCCGCATGGATTGACACATCGCTGGATAGACACGAATATCACATTGATATTCATAACGACTCTAGCGGGACAACAGCGTAGAGTCCACAAAAACCAGCGAAAACAATAGACAATAAATGATGTATATGACCAGGGACAAAATAGATACCAGGTCCAATACATTAATAAGGGTTCAGGAGTCCAGCGGCTCTGCACCCAGAGTACTGCTCAGGAGACTAACTGCTCGTCGAGTCCTGTGGTAGGTCAAACTGCGCTTGGTAGTACCCGCAGGGACTGAGGACTGTCGCCATCTCACGATGGCATTCCACCTGGAAGGGTTCGAAGGGATACGCTTCGCCATCCACCGAGAGACAACTCTTCGAGGTGAGGGGCTCCACGCGGTAAGCACGCGCCTTCCAGTAATGTTGCTGCAGGGGATATGATGTGCTTGTGTGAGAATGCGGCAGTGAATGTGGAAATAAAATCAACTGACGGTGCTTAGCCAATATGAATCACCATTTTCGGAGCCGTCCATCGCGTCCAACATCGCCTTGCGCGTCGTCTGGCGCATACGTGAGTGAGTGATCGTGGAAGGGCAGCAGTCTATGCGAGCGCTCACGATTTCTTGCGCCACGACGTCCACAAGCCCGTCGTCCGGCAGCGACACAGGGAATTGCATGAAGTCCTTCGAGACGTATGGCCCCTTCCCGGCATAGACATACGACATGGGCTTGTCGAACGTGATCCAGCCGTCATCGAGTGGTGACGCGGGCGCTGACGTGGCCTTCGAGTCGGGCAACGGCGACGCGACGACGGTCGAGGCGGCGGCGAGGGATGAGGTGTCTGCGTCAGGCACCGTCGCACCGCTTGTCTTCGCTCTAGCGCGCGCCTGGTAGGCGTGCAGGTTCTCCACCATACGCTTCTTGTCGCTTTCGACAACTTGCACCGAGAGCTTGACTGGACACGGCTTCAGTTTGAGGACTATACGCTCGGCAATGTGAGCACAAGTATGCTGTGCGTAATCAACCGACGTCGTCACCTTCAATGACATATCCGACTAAGAAGCGACTAGAGGCGTCGAAGGTCAGGACGGGCGAAGACTCGCTCACGAAATTCACTGACGTTGATCCCAGAAAGCGGAGGTACTCGGTGCCCAAGTCTACAATAGCAAAAAGTCCCACCACCTGTGACATGAAGGAATATATACGTGTGTCGTTTTGCGTAATAGAGCACAAGTCGATGCGCAGGGGTTGACCTGAGGCGATAATCTACAGCTGTATCTGAAGCCGTTTGAAAACGAGGGCTGACCTTTGACAGCGTTGAGAGCAGCTGCACATACATCGTAGCCATCCTTGTGGCATACACATCAGTGTCCGTCAATGTGCAGCCACATGAAATTGCGAACCTCGACTCCCAAGAGATTGATACATAAGCCATTCCCGGAACCAGTAGGTATAGGCGCTATTGGGATACTGAGGGCCCTCTCTGGAAGTGCGTGTTCAGCAAAGCCATTCACGACTTCATGAACCAGACCGTCGCCGGACATGGTGACAACCGCGTCATACTGGTCGACATCCAAGTCTCTGACAAGGTCCTGCGCATGCCGAGGGTGCTGCGTGACTGAAAACGGGTACGGTCAGTATCCTCTCATATATTTGCAGTAAAACTCACAAGTGGTCTCTATGACGCACCGAGCTGCCTGAAATATTGGCTCGACGCGCTTCAAGTAATGAGACACTGAGGCACCCTATTTTCTCTCCGTGAAATTGTGTTACACAGAAGCCTTGACCACTTACGGGACCGCTCTTAGGATTCACGAATACTCGGAGCCTTCGGTGGCGCTTCACCCCTGGGGAACTGAGATGCCGTCATATGATCGGACTTTGATGTGAAACATCGCTTACCGGCATACGCTGCATCCAACAAGCTGGTCGCGAATGCAGTAGCCAGCTGAACCTGGTCGTCTTTAATCCTCCCGGTAATGTGCACGAGGGACAGCGCATGTTTCTTTCGACGCCTCGCAATGAAGGATATCTCCAACACGCTATCGCTGACTTCGGCCCACACTACGTTACGGACTGGAGTGTCGATGCGCGGCCATTTCTCTGGAACAGAACGCCAGGTCCACGCGCAATGAGAAGCCATTCGCACAACGACTTACTTTCTCCGGCCCGCAGGATCACGAGCGTGTCATCTGCCAGAGTGAATGTGGTCGGGTTTCCGTTTGCACCGGGGACGGTGAGCGAATTCGCGGCAGGTGGGGAGGTCATGAAGCTTGAAGGAGTGAGACAAATGGTAAGACGAGGATGCTGTCTTATCCTGAGCGGATGGCCGAAAGGAACAGTAAGATGCATTCACATGTGCGGTGTTGCCTGCGACCGCGTCCGACATTGTCGCCGGCCGGGGATGTCATCATCCTCACTCGGCCCCGGATAAGCCTAATTATGCTCATCTTATCTGATAACCCTTATCCTTTTCCCTCGGACCCCTCTCCCCGCCACGAGACACGGCTTGCAGACGGCAGCCATGATCATAAGATGGCTGGATGACGCTATATTTGAATCCACTATCGCTCGACATCATATAGCACCGTCCCCAATGTTATGACTGCTCTCATTCTTGCACTCCGACGCTCACGTCCATATCTTCCTGCAATCCAGAAAAGACTCGCGAGCAGCATGACCACAGTGCACAAGCTTGCCCAAGTTGGGTTTGGAACGGGCACGAACGAGCTCTACGACCGGTACGCGACGTTTCTGGTCGTCTCGGACAGTGCAGTATAGAACAGGTGCTTCACAGGGCCCGTCCGTCGTACCCACCTGCTACTCTCGCCCACATTCGCCAGTCCGTCAGGGGTTCCCCGCCCCTCAACGTGGTGGAGTCAGTCCGATAGACTTCGTCCCGTGCCCTGATGCTGACCCCATGTATACGCCGGTATTCGCATGCAGGCTTGGCTCAGGCACCGGTATCTTCACTCGCGCCCTTCTAGCTCATCCAGACTGGGCATCCTCGGTGAAGCAGCTGAAGGCGCTTGAGCCCAGCGAAGGCATGCGAGATGTCTTCACCAAAACGGTCGGCAATGAGCACGTCTCGGTGTCCGACGGCACCTTCGACACTACCGGTGTTGAAGATGGATGGGCAGATCTCGTCGTGATCGCGCAGGTAGGCCACCGAACGAGGTGCGTACACAGCGGAACTAACCCTTTAGTGAACACAGGCCTTTCACTGGTGCCCCGACTATGAGAAAGCGAGCGCCGAGTTTGGACGCATCTTGAAGCCGGACGGCATAGTGGCCTTCATCTGGAACCTCGAGGACAGGGATGGCGCCGCGTGGGTCGCCCAGCTACGCGACCGCATCGAGCAGCATGAGAACGGCACGCCGCAATTCCGTCTGAACCTCTGGGAGGCGACGTTCTCCACGCCGAGTTACCAGAAGTTCTTCGAGCCACCTGTGCGGGAGCGCTGGTCGTATGCACTCCAGGGCACGCGCGACATCGTTGTTAATCGCGCCCTCAGCAAATCCTACATCGCGGTCCTTCCTCCGGACGAAAAGGAGAAAGTTGTGAAGGACATTGAACAAATATTGGAGAAGAAGGATGGCGTAAAATGGGAGGACCAAGAGAAAGGCATCTTTGAGTACCCGTATTCGACGTTGGTGGTGATCTCCAAAAGGAAGTAACTAAAGATGTCTATTAGGTAAAATGTAGTCTATACCGCTTTGTAACCTTTTTGTGACGACGTCGATGTGCGCGTGCGCTCAACGCCACAGAGCCAGCAGAGAATGCCAAATGGATGAATTGCGAATCTATCAAGGTAGTGTTGCATTAATATACCCCGGATATCCAACCTATAATACGGTGTATAGTGAGCGTGTGTCGTAACGACTGATCGCAAGTACAGAGTCCATCACAAACAAACAGTCCCTTTGCTGCTAGAGATACCATGAAGATACTATAAGAAGTCCGTGCGCAGATACCAGTGTCTAATAATCTCTTCGTACAATGGTCGTGATTATGGGCGTGCTGCAAATCATAGTTCAGACTCTATGCCAAACGCCGTCATAACAGAAGGTACTCACCAAGCTGTTCCTTGCGGTAGAACCAGAAATACCCAATAACGATGACGAGCTGACAAATGAGGGCGACCCAGAATGGCGCTGATGCCATTGGGCTCCCTTTGAGGCCGTCCGAGAAACTCCATGACGCAGCATCGGGGAATACACTTTCCGGGCCAATGGTGTCGGGAGCGGTCGCACGCGCGACCATCACACATATGGACCCAATGATTTGCGCGAAGGCAAGTGTGGCGCAGACATGCAGTCGAGACAGAGTCTAAGACACAAGGTGAGGCGAAAATAGATAATATCTTATTCATGAGACATACCTGCAGCAGAATCATGCCTAGACCGACGCCCTGGATAGCGTCCAGAACACCGAGCCACAGCCACAGAGAAATACCAAGGTAGGGACCTGCCGAGCCAGCCCAAGGAATGTATAGTGCCAATGAGGAGGTGCCCCACATCATCTATGAACATGGACATGAGCTCGAGTCTCAAAATGGCAAGCCTTGGGTACGGACCTGACACCATCTGGGTGCACCCAAACCAACTGCGAAGACGGGGAGAAGCCACGTGTGCGTCTTACTTAGTTGCGTCAAACCTAGCATCAGAATCGCCCAAACGCCGATGAAGAAGCCGATGACGAGCAGAAGAATCTGCCACTTCGGGATGTCGACGTTCCAGAGGAAGCTCCAGTTACGCCCATACGGCTGATTATGAGATGCATGGGTTAGCAAGCTATGCCGAAAATCAAATCGCGGACGACTTACTCCGCTCAGCCAGTAGTCGCGCAGGATTTCAGATCCGAGGAACCTAGACAACATTGAGTACCAATCCATTCAGCTGTTGTACGATCGGAAACTGACCAAAGCACAATTTTCCGTCGGAAGAGCGTTCTCAAGAAATGAGGGACCTTGGGCGGTGACTGACGATAGTAATCTAAGTGATATTGATAAGCAAGATGCCCCGAATGCAGACTGGAATAAAACACACCCGGCAGACCGTAGAGCATCAAGTAGGCGAAGACGAAGCTTATGACCGATAATGGCCAGACTATGAGTACGATCCACCACGGGCCCATGTTACCCGACGAAGCAGTGTTCAATTCGTAACCCCAGTACCACAGAGCTGCCACCCAGATCTGTTGTGAGCCCTGCACAAGACAAGCCCGCATGGTCCACGTCTCCGTCGCCGCTCCCTATCACGAAAGGTGAGCGAGGCTGTAGTGGCGAGCTGAAGAACCACATACCGCTTCCTCTCCGAAGTTAAGACCGAAGAAGATGAACGCCGCTGCCGAAGCAACTGCGTATGCCCAGGTCGCTGCACTTGATAGAGCATAATGTGCAGAATGGAGACTAGAAGTAACCGACGGAAGTCCAATCAGGAAGAACGCGAGTCCGAAGAATAGCCATGGTGCCGAGAGACCGTAAACAGAGGGCTTAAGGCGGAACAATGGATACCAAACCGCAGATGCTGCCAAGAAGACACCTCCTAGGACGTATAGTTGAAGGTTGGATTGTGTGTTCGAACCAGAGAGCAAAGTGATTTGGAAACTTGTCGCGCTGAGCATCTGCCCTAGTGCGATGACAATGGTGTAAAGAGGCCAGCCGAAGAGTTCCCTGGACATCGCAATCTGCAATCCCGACATGATGACGATGTCATTGCCGTTAGGGAGAGGTCCGCTGTAACCATCCATCGAAGGCATGCCATCTCCAAACGAGAGGGCGCTTGGTGCTGTAAATTGTACAATATCAGCCACGGCACTAATTCCACTTGGATTTGTAACACTTACATGAAGGTCGAGAGTGATCCAATGTAGATGGTGCAGGTGTCCCCCAAATCGAGTCTCTGCGCGAAGAGCGTATGCTTGCTGCGCTGGACAAACGATCCCTCTTGACCTTGTCGAAGAAGGCCTCTTCACTCTTTGTCAAGAATTTCTCAATAGACAACTCGCCCTTCGAGTTGTGCGAGTTGAGCATCTGCAATTTTTGAGCGAACTCTTGCGCTACTCCGCCATCGGCGTCGGTGAACTGACAGTCATGGTCAGACAAGACCACATACAAAGGCCTATTAGATACTCACCGAAGCGATGGCCTTGTTCAGCGGCGAGTTTTGCTTTTCATCGACAATCGAAGCTATCGACTCCACTGAGGAGATTCTCGAATGTGCGCCGAATGGTCTATTTGGAGCAGCAGCATCGAGGAACGGATCGGGGACATGCCTCTGGTCACGCGCTATAGTGCGGTTTGCTCTTTCCAGGAAGTTACCAAAGTCTTGTGATGTCTCGGCGTTGCCTGATGGCTGAGAGAAATAGTCCCCTTCATTCTCCGAGATGTCAGTACTGAAGGAGCCTCGGCGGCTGTCTTGGATAAGGCGCAGAGCTGGGGCGGCAAGGTGGCCATCGCCTCCGCCAGGAGTCAATGTCTCCTGACTCCACTGTCCTGGTGACCCAGGCATCGCAGGGCTCGCAGGGCCAGGGCTGTCATTGACGCTTCGCGCATCCCATTCTGGCTGGGTCGGGTACGCTTGATGTTCAGGATCCCAATCATCGGTCTCAGAAATTGCATGGCCCATGTTGAAGGTTTGAGCATCGGATGGTCGCCAAGCGTTTGATCCGGCGACGTTGCGACTCATTTGGATACTGCGTTTATGGAAGTCCTCCATACGCTGACGCCACTCCACGACAGGGAACCGTTGGACAGCAGATCGGGCACGGAGCATTGCTCGTTCTTCTTCAGTCGACTTCAAGGCCATCTTGACTGTCTTGGTCAACTGCGACATCATGTGTTCTGCCGACGTTGATTCAACAGGGAACCACTGAATGAACGAGTCAGTGAGGTCAGGCGAGTGAAGGACGGAGTAGCGTACCCAACCAGGCATGAGACCAAGACCTCCAAGCCGACTACCTACACCCAGAGCTCCTTTTCTGCCGAACTCAACAGCTACCAGACCGAAAGGTTCATCACGAGACGGAATCAGAGCGAAATCGGCACCGCTGAACAAGTAAGGAGGCAGTGCAGTGAACTCGGGCTTTGAGTAGACACGATCAGGGTACAGCTCCATCAGGCGAGCAAGCTTCTCAGCAGCGAAGCGACCATACAAATCGATGACGGGACCGACAGTGATGAGCTGAATGGAAGGTCGTTTCTCCAACCTAGAAATTGTCTCGATCAGGATCTAAATCAACGCAGAGGAAGGCATAAGACCTACAGAGATGGCATGACATCCGCGATGAGATCCACACCCTTCTGCTTGGACCATCGACCGACGAACACGAAGAGGTCTGCATTGGGATCTTGTTTGATGCCAGCCCACTCCTGCGCCTGTCGCTTGTGCTCGGGCCGTTCCGCTTCAGCGACCTGATCGATCTGGATGTCCCGGACAGACACAGGATTCTCGTCCAGCGCCGCGATATCTGTGGGATCAGGGTTGGGCAAAGAGTCGACGTGCTTGAGAGTCCAAAGAGCCGGGTACCGGGCCCAACTGCGCTTGCCATACTTGTCAGACACACCAGCGACACCAATACTCTTCTGGTGCACACTGATGAAAGACGCAGCCGCGTGGAGCAAGTTGAACGTGTTACCGAATTGCACGTATTTGGTACAGTGCTCCTTACTGATGTTGAAGGCGGAGCAGACTTCCTTCATCTCCTCCTTGGTGCGAAGCGGCCAGAGACCCTGGAACTCGGCATTATGTAACGAAAGACAGACCGGCACGACCTTGGGCAACAGGTATATGGGAGCAAGGGCGCCGTGGTAGTCGTTGACATGGTAGATGTCGATGTCTGGGTTACGACGTACCGTCGCAGCGATCGCCTGGTTCCACGTCGAGTAGAAGATGGCAGAACTGAGATCGTCCATGCGGGCAGGATACGGGTCAGCCTTCGTCTGCGCACGGAACACAGGGCTGTCGAGAATGACGTAGGTGATGTTGTCTAGGACGTGCGTTTCGACCTCGATCAAGTACGGCTCGCCGAAGATGATGACCTCAATCGGCTCCGCGGGTTCACCAGCGGGGTACTCCAGATCCTTGACCTTCGGAATGACCCACACGAGGTCGACATCAGTCATAGCCTTGCCCATCAGACTGGACATGACACCCAGACCACCGATCTTGACCTTGAGCTTCCAGTCGATGATCTCGTATTCGAGGGTCGCGATGAGGACCTTGCGGCGTTTGTTCTTGTCCTCTGGCCAGCCAATGATCTCCGCGTTGTGTTTGTGCCCGAACATCTTCTCCGTAAGAGGCGTATGCGGCTCATGCAGGTTAGACTTTGACCTGTTACCCAGGTGTCCAATGATAGGGAAGTAGTTGCTGTGATCCTTGTTCGGCTTGACACCCCATTTGTTGTACTTGATTCCGTAGAACGACCACATGAATACGGCGACAGCGAGAGCACCCGTGATGAAGGGGATAGCCAACAACAGCGCGAAGCAGATGGCACCAACAAGGGACTCGCCGACAGGCTCCAGCCACCATGTCAGGTTGGCGTCGTCGACGACGAGGTTCCAAGCAAGATGAGGATGCGGGGGCGCCGACATGTTCAAGTAGTTAGGAGACAGGGTGTTAGGCGGGAGACGGTCCAAGACACCATCGCCGTCGACATCACCGTAGAAGTAGTTGTCGAAGCCGAAGACGTTCAGCTGCACGTACGAAGGCCATGTGTCCATGATCTCAAGCTCCCAGAGGCCCTTGCTATTCTGAGTCATCTGGTACGGGAGACCCTTGTCGATACCCCACTGGTTGTATACGCCACGTACGAGGAACTGAGGTACGCGACGAGGGATGCTGTAGTCGTGATCGGCGTGTACTACGACGCTAGATGTCTGCGCCAAGTAGCTCCAGTCTGCGAAGTATGACATGAGCGTCTGGCAACATATGATGAATGAGGGACCTTACATTGCACCATGATGTGCTGGCCCTTCCACCAGTTGTCCGAGTTGTCAAAGACATCCGCAGCGATCGTCGACTCGTCCTCCCACGACTGCCAGCTCGACCAGTTCTGCGCAAAGTTCCACGAGTACCGGAACATGTCCGCGCCATACGCCCTGTGCACATACTTATACTGGCCGTTGCTGTACTGCAGCCCATCAGTGTCGTAGTCCGAATCGGGGAAGACCATCACGTTGTTCGCTTTGCCCTTGCGGATGAGCAGATGATCGGTGCTCTGCATATATCAAAGTCTATCAGTGCCTGCGCGCCACAAGTCACCCGCGAATCCCACTCACATTCGTCGATGCGGTCCCATCGTTCGTCTGCGGATTGGTCACCGTAATCTCGAGGATCCCGTCCGGCACGCCGGTGACGGTCGCGGACCATGACCAGCTCGACAGCGACACACCCTGCACCTCGCTCGGCTGCGGCTCTGTGACCGCGCCGCACTTGACCGTGGTTTTATCGATCGTGGGCACTGTAATGTTCCCAGCGGACGACATGTTCATCGTGATGGCGCCGGTGACGCCCTCGCAATTCATTTCCAGGTTGAACTCCAGCGTGATGTCCAACGTGGTGTCGTTGTCAGAGGAGGTAATTCGCGCATCGTGGCCGGGCAAGAATCGTGTGATGGCTGGTGGAGGCGGGACCCACTGGTCAGCGGGAACGAGCGCCTTGAAACCGAAGGGCGGCATCGTGACGTTGTTGAGACAACCGAACCAGGGTGCTACGCTGTTGTTGTAGTAGGACTGGCCAGACTGCTCCAGGGTGTACTCCTCATACGGATAGAACAGGTTGCGGACCGTAGTGCCAGATGTGTACGGCGAGGAAATCCACAGGTCCTTCATGCAATCGTATTGCCAAGTTTGGGTCACGTTGTTATTGGCGTAAAGCAGCCAAATTTCGTCAGTGTTGTTGCCGGCCAGCGTCTGGATTCCTTGGAGCACGGAACGGGAGGCAGACCACAAACCCATCTCGGTGGCAGTGCCATTGGAACCAGGACGCTCGATGTAATACGTCCAGTTGCCGCGCTGCACGAGATCCCAGCCGTCTTGAAGTGCATTGTAGACCGTGCGCAAGTGCAGATACTGAGCGAACAGGCGGCGAGTATCCGAAGTAGGGTCAAAGTGGTCGAGCGCATTCCAGTCATCTTGACATCCGATAAGGGAGCGACCCATGGGGATGTTGTAGTACTGCTGCGAGCCGAGCGTATAACAGCCATGGCGCTGCCATGCCTTGTTACTGAACATAGCTTGACGTCTACAAAAGCATGAGACACAAGACCCCGGAGTGCATATAGCGACCTTACCCATAAAGATAGTTGTTCGCTGTATTGTCATATAGGTACAGATTCTGTTCTTCGCCATAATACAACTGCGCGTAATACCGTCAGCTTGGGCCTAGTCCGCAAAAGTTAAAAGACCTACCAAGGCAATACCAGGCATGACTAGATTCGTGATGAAGGTACCCAGGACGCTGCGCGCCGTCCCGTTCTCCAAACTGGGCCAGCGGAAGATATCGAAGTTACTCGTCCCAAACATGTGCCTCGGGTCGATCTTGCCCGTAAATGCGTTCAAAAGGTCGTCGTTAACGAACATCTCGTTCCACGCGCTGACGAAGTTGCCAGACAAGTCGTACGCGTCCTCGAGGTTACCGTCCATGCCGAGGAAACGTGTAAGGGAACGATAGATGGAGTAGTGGAAAGCAGCACCGTCGAGGCCGTTTTGGTTTTGCTCGCGGATGAAGTATTGGTTCTCTGCGTTCGTCAGGTTGGCAGCCTGCAAGAAACCCGGGGGGCGCTCCGTAGGTGTGCGTCCACGACCACTGTCACCACGGTCAAAATGAATAACAGATGTGACCGCAAACCACCTACTAGTACAAGGCTCCGAAATAATCTCCACCGGTGACTTCGCCCATGATGAGGAAGTTCTCCTTGCCGAGGTTGTATGCACAATCACGCGTCGCTTGAGTCCAGTCCACCAGGCCCTGCACTGACATCTGTGTGGACTTGTCGATACGGATACCGTCAAAGTCAAATGCAGTGATTGCCATGCAAGCGAACTTCTGCAGCTTGGCCATGACATCGGGGTTCCACTCCCGCAGACGATCCTGCACCGAGGCAAACTTCGAAAGCTGACGCTGCCAGTCGGGGTGAACACCGAACGCTTCCATGTCACCGTACTGGTCAAATTCGGACGCATAACAACCGCCATTCCAATCAATGTCGACGATTGTACCGTCATCGCCCCAGAATGTCGGCATCTCGCAAGACGTGTTGTACGTGTTGTTAAACTGCGGGTACTAGTTGTGGTATGCGCAATGAATGGAGCGGCATAAGACTCACTGAGAAGTCAACATAGTGTTCGAAACCCCAAGGCTGATATTGTGGATCCAACCAGACGGCATCGTACTCATGGATGTTGAATGGCGCAGAGACGTTCTGGTAGCTGTGATCGGGCTTTGAGCACGAAGCTATGACGCGTGAGAAGCCGGTCAGCTTACCCTTGGAAACCGACCAGATTCGACATCGTTCCAACGGTGAAATCAAGTACAACGTACATCCCGCGGCTGTGAATTTCATCGAGCGCGTTTTGCCAGTCCTCGAGGTTACCGTAATGCGGATCGACGACCGAGAAATCCAGCGGAGAGTAGCCTGCACAACGCGTCTCACGAGCGGTCACCACATGTACTGACATGTGCACTCACTGTCCGCTTCCCAGATCATGTTCAGCCATGGTGTTCCGGAGATATAAATACCCCTCACGCCCATGCCCTGGAGGTAGTCCAACTTTGACAACATGCCCTTCAGGTCACCACCGGCCCGCAGCTGTGTTTCCCGCCAGTCCCACTCGTACATGCTTTCGAAGAAATCATTGTTGGAGGGATCTCCGTCGGCAAACTTGTCCAGGAGAATGGTATAGAAGGGGAGAGCCCGCCAGTTTTCTGGCGACGCCGTGTAGTTAGAGCGCTGCGGGTACGAGTAGTCGAGCACAGACGTCGCAGTCTTGTTGGTGTTGATGTTGAACTCCACGAGGTCCTCCCTGTATGGTGAGGCGCTGCCCCAGTGGGCGAGGGCGAGGAGCGAGAGGAGCGCTGTGCGCACCCTCATGGCGGGTCGGCGTGAAGCGCGTTGTGTCAATGGCAACCGAAGGAAAGGGGGGGCCGCGGCAGAGTGTCCTGGGGGAAAGAGAAGAAGAGGGAGGGGCGGGCAAAAGGAATGAAGGGGGACCACACCGAAGGTGTTATTACGGGAGGAGGAGGAGAGGAGAAGGAGGACGATGTTGGACACGAAGCGCGGCAGGCGCTGGAAATGGCTGCATTTTCGCCCGCCTCGTTTTATTTGCCCGTTTCTCGCGCCGGCGTCCCCACGCCGGCCTCGGCATGGACTCTCCCTCGCACCCTCCCTACCTCCATCTACGGTCTTCCTTGCCGGCAATCCTCGACCTGCACACGATGGCCTCACTCCCCGCTCGTCGCTTGCGCTTTCCTCATTGCACCGCGCAGCCGACGCGCGAGACCCGCCCCCTCTCGTCCGCGGGGGCCCCGGCGCGGATCTCAATTCGGCGCCGGTCCCACCTTGGAAATCAAGCGTCCCTGATCGAGTCGGCACCCTTGCACGATCGCGGTCTTCGAATCCACACTTCGCTTGGCTCTCCACCACCCCCGGTGCGCCTCCAGGCTCAGACACGTCCCAGTCGGCTCAGGGCGCGCGTCGGCGGACGCATTCGGTGACGGGCTACCGTATCTCGTCATAGCAGCGGCTACGTATCATCATGGTATTGACGCTGAGCACAGACTCTACACACAGGGTCATCACCGTGACACAAAATGTCTTGGTATGTACCTTGTTACATGCCCGACGGTCGGAAACGCATCTAGGCCAGCGACTCCCTGCCGCGACAGTCAACAACTCTGCTCGAGCGATAGATTCCCGTCAATTCGACGCCGATTTGCAACCACAATGTCATCACAGACGTCCCGCAATAATCGAGTTCTGTCAATAACGCATTTCCATGTCTCGGAGTTTTACCTTCACTGCCCAACGTAGCGATGCCAATGTCGTAACGGTGATGCGTCTCGAGATAAGCGCAAAGTTGTGCCGCTGCTAACAGGCGTCGGCCTCGGGTCCCCTTCGAGTAATCGCCGTAACCTTGGTTGATTGATGGGGGCGAGCAGCACCACGCTGTATGGGAGCCTACGACCATAGATACCAGGGCGCCAAGGCGGTAATCTGGAGTAGTCAGTCACCTTGCCCGTTCCTGGTCGATCCTCTGAATTAATTCGCATTCCGAGGCTTTTGTGCGGGGTATTGAACCATCGCGAATTGCCCTGATGAGACTGTCGAGGTATCGCATTCTTACAACATCATGTCCGCGGTGTTGTGGTAGACGTCTGGCGGGGTGAGAACTCTCCCGTCGCGTACGAGCGACTCTTGATTATCGGGAAGGCGCGCACACTAGCCAATGCGAACAGATTTAACAGAAGCACCATCTCGGTGCCGGCGGCAAGGATACACACTGCAGCACGAGAGTACATCCATTTCTCGGTGCCAGTGCTGATGCACAGCGTCTACGGGAAGACGCTGCATCTATAAACATAGCTGTTGGAAGAACATTGTTCACAGGCTGTCGGACCATGAGTTTTGGCAGCTGCGATGTAAGATATAACTGGCGCAACTGCCGTCCATGTCATGATCAGTTCGCACCGCCCAGTTCGCGCAGGTGAAGCGAGATGGATATCGTGTCGAGACGCTCAACGACCATTCATAGCGGCACTACCTGGTGACATGCGTCGTCTGCCTGGCCTCCGCACTATGTTCCCAGAGCAGACGGCCATGATATGAGCTGATACGGTCGCAAGCATAGACGACGTCGCATGAGTTGAGGAGGCGCGGGAACGCGTCGAGCGTCCGCGCTCGGTAGGCTGCTACAGCCACCTTCATTGTTCTCACCAACATCCGTTCTTGTTCCCTCTTATTCTCTCTTGGGCCACCGGGGCCACAGTCTGGCACTCTTGTACTCTTCGCTCGACGTCTAATGCACTCGTGTCTCTGACTGCGTTGCACTCCCGCCTGTTCAGTTACTACGCGACCATACCTAGGGCATCCTTGCTTCGACGTGATCCTGCTCGCGCTGTTTCTGGATAGATCGTAGCGCGTGTCCCTGACCTTGGCACGCCCCCGGGTGTCCCAGTATCACGCAAATACCCCGGAGGACAGACTCGATTAGGCCTTGCGTCTCCTGCTCTGCTCAGGCTTGGTGCTTGCTTCACGAAGGCAGGTTGTGCATCCTCTTCGCACGCTTGGAACCCCGTACAGCTAGTGCCGCACTGTATTCAGGATGACAGCCGTCATTGCCGGCAATGGCGCCCTGCAGACGTTTGATGACTCTTCCCAGCCCCCCTCGCAGGCCTCTTCCCCGACATCGCCCACCTTTTCGTCCCACAGCCACTCGCGGCTTGTCAATGGCTCGAACCACCGCGCCAGCGTGCTGCCGAGCGGGCTGCTCGAGCTGCCCCCTGGGATGACCTACCCAGAGTTCCTCCGAACATGGTCGGACTCGCACGTCGCGCGCTGGCTGACGGACATCAGGTGTGCACACCACACCGCGACGTTCAAGGACAATGACATCCGCGGCGACGTGCTGCTCGAGCTCGACCAGGTCGCGCTGAAGGAGATGGGCATCACGAGCGTGGGGGACAGACTCCGGATCCTCAACGCAGTCAAGGCGCTGCGGCAGCGCTGCTCGGCGCTGTCGTCCATCATGAACCGCCCGCGCGCCGAGCACGGGCGCACAGGGAGCATGGACGGCACGAACGCGCGCGCGCACTCCCGCCGCCTCGAGTCCGGTCGCCCGGCGCCTCTGCACCTGGCGCCCGCAGGCGGCTCGCCCGACCTGCCGCGCATCATCCGCGATGGCCAAGAGTCTGCGCGCCCGGGCATCAGGCCGCTCCCCCAGCCGAACAGCGCGTCGTCTGCGCATAGCACGCCGACGACCGCGCACAGCGTCCGCTCGGCCCTGCCTCCCATCCCGCCCCCGCCGCGCGGCCAGCCACCGCTCCCGCCCAATCCACGGACACCGCATAACCTGCTCTCTGGGAGGCGGACGCCGATACAGCCGGAGGGGTCGCCTTACTCGCCACAGCAGCCTCCACGCGGATCGAACTTGCTCACGCCGACGTCTCAGCAAGGAGGTACCTGGCAGGGCGGCAACAATGGACGCGCGCCCATCCGCGCGCAGTCTCCACTGCCGTTCCCTTCCATGCCACCTCCTTCGCGAGAGCCGCCGCGTGCACCCACCGACGCAGGCTCTCACAGCCGCAGTGTTTCAGCTACAGCCCCACCGAATCCACCGCCAAAGCCACCGATCCGTTCGAACACCGGAAACATCCCGCATCCATATGCGGTGCATAGTCCCGCGCAGAATGGGCTTTCCCCGATTGCGGAGTCATTCACGTCTGGGCGGACAGTTACGGGCACCCCATCGCCGCCGACCGGTTCTGCGTACAGGAATGCTCTGGTTGGTCTCATGCGACCGAATACTCCACAGCAAAACCAGTCGTCTTATGGCGCGCCATCCTTGGACGACCTAAAGCGGAGACTTGTCAAGTTTACACTGCCAGACGATAGCAAGTCCGTCACTATCAACGTCGCGGACTGTGCAGGCGGCGTTGAGGTGCTGGTGAAGGCGCTCAGGAAATTCAACAAACTCAGCGGGAGAGACAGTGAGGGCTCTGAGCGGGTTGAGACTGAGGACGGAGGCCTGAGCGTCGATGGCTGGGGTGCATACCTGACCACCGAGGATGGCCCAGGTGAGGATTTTTAGACTATCATGCACCTTTCTGGCTGATTTACGTGCGGCAACTAGGTACGCCTTTGAGTGAGGCGCAGTTACTCTCTATCTGTCAGGCGCCACCAGATGATCCCTCTCGCGAGCATGGGCTGACGTTGCGAGTCATCTCACGGACTAAACGGTCGAGAGACGCTACCCCAGATTCCTCAAGTGCGTTTGTACCACAACGAGACCCGGATGAGGATCTACTCTCGCCGGATAGGGCACCAAACACCGCGCAGACCCCCGCTACCAAGGCCATGAAACGCGCGAGCTCGATTAGCATCCTCAGCGGCCTCGGCGTGCAAATCCCTGACAAGACACTCGAGTCCTCGGAAGTGTCGCCCAGCCAGAGCCCAACAAAATCCACCGCAAATGGCAAGCGACCCTCAAAGCTGCGCAACTTCTTCGGTCAGCGGCCTCCGAGCGAACTCATCACGACGCATCTTGCGGAGTACTTCCCGTTCACCGAGAAGAAGGTGCTTGAGAGGACCCGGAGACAGAGCATGATGCGGGCTGGTGGTCCTGGCAAGCGGGATAGCGTCGCTTCGTGGAACGCGCCTGCGCCATCGCGGTTCAGCGTGAGCACGCTGAGCTCACAGCGCGGTCTGTCGCCAAGAGCGTCGGTCTCCTCGACATCTACAGCCTTCCCTGAGAGGATGCCCTCCCCTCCCCCGCCTCTCCCTTCGGCCCCTGCTCATCTGGATGCTGGTAGTCCGCCGCGGCTATCGCTTTCCACTGATGACGGCGACTCTGTTGAGCTGTCTGTGTCAAATGACCTCTCTGACGACTCGTACAAGCGACTGTCGAGTCCACACATCCTGCCGCCCGTGGCGTTCCCGTCTGAATCTCTGTCAGAGTCCCTGAACCTCGACTCCAGCCACCTCGACCCCCGCTCGTCGCGAACCATGTCGATGTCGTCGAAGCGCATGAGTTATATCACAGAGCTTCGCAGCAAACGCGATCGCTCCGACACTGCGAGCCTTGTCACCGTCGACGAGATCACTGCAGAGGTGGAGAGCCGGCGCGAGAGCGGTGGCAAGATCGACTCCGACGGCTCGGAAGAGTGGACTCAAGTGGATGTCAACGATGAACTGGACAAACAGAGCATCAAGGAGGTGGAGGAAGAGGAAGAGGAGGAAGAAGAAGAAGAGGAGGAGGAAGAGGATGACACCGAAGACGAGGTCGATACCGACGTAGACACTGCCATTGGTGAAGACGAGCCGAGCAAGGCGACCATCTCGGCGGGTCGTGCGTTACCTTGTACTATGAGCCCTCAAATGTTTGCTTACAGCTATGCTATCTATAGGCGAGAGGACCATCAAGTGGATCAAGGGTGCTTTAATTGGCGCTGGATCCTTTGGCAAGGTCTATCTCGGAATGGACGCCTCAACTGGTCTTCTAATGGCAGTCAAGCAAGTGGAGCTACCAACAGGTTCTGCCCCAAACGAGGAGCGGAAGAAGAGCATGCTCAGTGCCCTTGAGCATGAGATTGAGCTCTTGCAGGAGTTGCAGCATGAAAATATTGTCCAGTACCTATGTAGGCCTACCTCTATGGCTGTGATATTTCATATAGCTGATGAAAACGATCTTAGCGTCCTGCATTGATGACGACCATCTTAACATCTTCCTGGAGTACGTTCCAGGAGGATCTGTCACATCCCTCCTGCGGAATTATGGCGCTTTCGAGGAGCCTCTTGTGCGGAATTGGGTCCGACAGATATTACTCGGCTTGAACTACCTTCACGAACGGGATATCATTCATCGTGATATCAAGGGCGCAAACATGCTTGTGGACAACAAGGGCGGTATCAAGATCTCTGACTTTGGCATCTCCAAGAAGGTCGAGGACAGTACGTAATGGACAAGCCTGTTTAGCAGCTTGTATCTGACCATGTTCTCTTGCAGACCTACTCCCAGGTCATCGGGCCCACCGACCGTCGCTTCAAGGATCAGTGTTCTGGATGGCGCCTGAGGTTGTGAAGCAGACCGCTTACACACAAAAGGCCGACATTTGGAGTGTTGGTTGTCTTGTCGTTGAGATGCTGACGGGTGAGCACCCTTGGGCGCAGCTGACTCAGATGCAAGCCATATTCAAAGTATGTGATTCTAAATCAAATACTCCTCCCTCGGAATTGACATTCGGACAGATTGGCATGTCGTCAAAACCCGCAATCCCAGCGGACATCTCACCAGAAGCAGAAGACTTCTTACAGCTTACATTCGAACTAAATCATGAGAAACGGCCTTCAGCGACTGAGCTTCTCAAACACCCTTGGGTAGCAAGTCAAGCCCTGCCGCTCGGTCACTAGCCACCTACTTCCTCTCGTTTGTCTTTGCGCTTTCGTCGTTCATTCTGTTAATGTTTGCGGTTGCACTGATACATAATCTATATCCTCTCTTACTGCATCATGCCAGCGCCACTGTCAGGACTGACTTTCGGGTGGGGATCTTAGTGGATACATAGGCTGATTCTGTCCTCGCATGTCATATGATTATTGATTCTCCTCCTCGCGCTTCCTCTTACCCGAGCCAGCCTTTTTGCCGGGGCCCCAGTTGGGCGTCGGATTCGTCTGATAACGCACGAGCTTCACCTTGGAAGATGCTGTGACCGACTTCGAGTGGTGTTCAAAATTGGCCTCCGTTCTGCGAAGCCTGTTAGAGGTAATGCCGTTATGAGGACATCCACGCACCTTGCTTCTTTGCTGAGAAGTTGGAATGTCGGCGATGTCGGCGATACTTTATCCATTCTTACAGGATGCGTCTTGATCCAGGAGCGGAAGATATCGTGTATGTCTACACGAGAAGCTGTGGTTTTTAAGGAGCCTGCGCATGCGTGAGACCGAGAGATCTCATGGCCTGCATGCAACAATGCCGACCTGTGAAGACTTGAGCATGCAATGACAAGCGAGAACAGGATGCACCTACGCCACTTCGTCTAGATTAGGACAAATGCAGTGGAAGCTGCCGGCGATCTTTGCCGGGGTGAAGTAAAATGGAACATCGAGCTCCTGCAAATGTGACTGAGGGAACGGAGTACCAAATAACGACGAATGCAACTACCTCTTTTGCAACAGTCAGCATCCCTTTCATTCTTGTGGAAGTGCCATACTTGTCCTCGTTCCCTTCTACATGCTCCAACACCTTCGAAATGAAGACTGGATCGTGTATCGAGCCTGACCACATGGGTCCTGCGATCTAGAAAACTTCGGTCAACGAAGAAGGTATTAACTGGATAGAGATCTGTGATGTACATGAAGAGCAGAGTTGCACTCCGGGCACTTGTTAGGCACTGCCGGGCCTGTGTGCGCCTTGAAATGGTAATTGACATTGCCGGTCGCCTCGTGGACATTTTCAGTCATCCTACCAAGGGGCTGGCTATAAAAAGATTGGCAGCCACTGCAGATGTAGTACGTGGACGTCTTGCTGTGGCTAGGTGGTCAGAGCGCCTTCCATGCAAGAAGCGAGAATGCTGCAGACCTGATAGCTTTTTTTACTTCGTTCGCAGAAGAATACACGCGCACGAACACGCGCACGTAGAAGTCTATAGATAGAGACAGCAATGGCTGGATATATCGGCCGTACCGCGCTGCGGAAGTGGAAATGGTATGCAATACTAGCCGAAGTGCCTGCGAAGCAAGAAGTGAGGCATGAGCAGTTGCCGCAGACGTGCAGACATACACCTTCATGGCAGTACTCTGCTTTCACAGGCACCCCGCCATAATTGGAGAAGCTATGCGATGCTGTCAAAACCTGAATAGGTATATCTGGGTCCGACGAACCATTTCTCAGGGTAGTTAACGGTGGCGAGGACGGAGAGGTCGGTACATGTGACACATAGCAGGCCTGGAAGGCTAGCTCAGAATTCGCGCCGCATGGAAGAGATTACACTGCCTACCTCCATCACTCACGCATTGCACGGCAGCGTCGATGAACGGCGAGGCAGTGCCATATGGATCCAAGTCGACGACATCGACACGATCCCGTTCGCTCCGATGGTTGTACATAAGAGCACTGAGCATAGATTAAGTATAGAGCTGTACAGTGGGTAATATACTTACCATGCGTCGCCTTCATTGACCCTGACTTTGGCTGCCACACGCTTGCTACCCTCCGGCTTTTGCGTGTCGGATGAGGTCTCCCCAAGGCCGTTGATTTCAATGTTATGCCGCATGGCCTCTACTGCTGAAAAGGATAGGTCGTTTGCAATGACATATCTACACAAGAGGATGAGGACTCGGACTCGGGACTCGGCGATTGCAATTGTCCTCACTTTACCAGCGGTATCTCCTTAGCATAACGTATCGACCGCAGCCCTGTCGCCGAAAGGGCTTCCAGAATAACGCTTTTGTAAGGCTGATACTGCAGTAGTTGGTAAACCTTTCAGAACAAACTCCAGCAAATCTTGTGAACGGATGCAACATGCCTCCTTTTGCTTCTGATCACTCAGTGTCTCAACCTCCCCCGACGGCTGGGACTCTTCAGTAGGAGCTACCGATTCCGCAGGCGTTTTCTCTGCTGGTGGTGCGTCCGGTACGGCAGCTGACGGGTCACGCTGTATGCATCCATAAGAGCTACAGCCACAATGAGCCAGATCACTCACTTTTTGCCCGCTTGGTCTTCGGCCCTCCACCGCTCTGCGCCTTTTTCGCTCGCCGCTCCTGATTTTGTCTCCATTTCTTTTCCTTCTCCTCGTTGAGAACTTCGCTCCATGTACGGATGCAAGCGACACTTAGATCGCGGTTGAATTCCTGCACTGGATTCAGGAATGCTTGATTTCCCGGGGGCAGAAGGATATGGGAGGTGTTCTCCGAGTGCAAGGTATACCCTTCGGGCACAGTGATGGCGGGTTCTGCAGACTCAGTGGCCATAGTCGCTAATGGGCGATAATTCAGAAAGACGAACAGATGCGGGCGCAATGGCCTCGCCAGAAGCCTTGCAGACAGCAGCGTGAATATCTCAAGAATAAGCAGCCAAGTGAAATTTCAGCCAGGACGCGTCTTGACGCGTCCGAGTCACGTTCCAGACGAAGGAGCACGCCTCGCGCGTAAGTACATCAGTTCGCACAAACTGATCAATTCATGACAAGTGGTACAAACTACAACGTGAAGTTCGAAATGTACATTGCTGACGACTATGCAGGGTTATCGTACTGCGGATCTAGGTTGGACGTATAGAAAGCAAACCGACGGTAGAGATACAAAACACGGCAACAGTCCTGCGACGACAGCGTAGTAAGGAAAACTGTGCCACCACAAAAATCTAGCGAACAGACGATGTATCAATACTCGAAGTCCTCTGAAATGAGCGTGATGGATCCACTGAGGTCGCCCCGTCGTATTCGACCAGGATCGATTTGCGCTGCAATGGTCTTCCGCATCATCGCATTCAGCGACAGCGGCCCGCAACCTGTAGCACAGCAGTCAGTCAACTATCTGACGCAGCGCAAAAACGTCGAACTATCTCACATCCTACAAGGATCGGTCCCCGCGCCCGTCCCACCTCATCCTCCAAGATCCGGTCCAACTTAGGCTTTCCCGGCCGCGCATGCTCCGCGACGATGCCCACATCCTGCATCTCTAGCTCGTCGAGTTCGAGCCGCAGGTGGTCCCCGCCTTTGGTGTCTATCTCCGCTACCAACGCAGCCAGGCTGCCCGCGTCAGAATACTCACTGACGTGCGAAGCAGTTGAACGCGGCCTTGCCAACATCGGGATGCCAGAGGAGCTGCTTGGCGAGCTCAGTGCCTCACCCGGCGGGTAAGACTCATGCAAGCGGAGAGTGGGGGTGGAGGTAGGGAAGGGGGCATCAGGAGAAAGAACCGTCGTGGAGGATGAGCCCGAATGCGGAGAGGTGAGCGTCCCAATGTCCTGCTCGAATGGGCCATCGTTGGGTGACCCCTCATATGTGGGGGAAGACTCTTCAAGACTCGTAGAATAGTCGACCAAGCGCACTGTTGACGGACTTGGGGGCATCTGAGTTGGCATCGGCGGGTGCTCGACTGGCCGCTTACGCTTGCCTTTAGAAAGCAATGCCAACGCGCTTTGTGAGGCGGCCCTCCGAAGCTTGCCCTCGCGCTTGACGGTCTGGTTGAATTGCGACTCGCCTGGCAAGGCCGTATCGTCGTCACCCTCGAAGTTCGTCAGATCAAGGACGTGCTCCTCATGCCCGAGCTCTCCACCCTCGTTGAAATCGCCTGTATAGTAGCTCAGGTCAACGAAGCTGTCGGTATCGCTGTCATCGATTGATGCAATGGACGATGGCCGGTCCCGCTTCTTGCGCAACACATTTCGTTCTTCGCGAGCAAACCGGGGCACAGGCGGCGCAAGACCATCTGGGCTGTCTGGTAGGTAGTGCATATCGCTAAGCCTGTTAAGGGACGGCTTGACGTTCGTCACGAAGATATCGACTTGCAGCTCGGATGCAGGGATCATGGACATGCAACGGCGCAGTAAGGTGGCACACCACTGAATGTGACCTACAAGACATTCAGCACCTCCAAGGTAACATAGAAGATGGTGCTCACTAAACTCTCGCACCAGCCAGACAAAGCGCACCCGAGTCGTGCGGAATCCAGGCTGCCCCCAGCCGCCCTTCTTGCCGCCCAGACTCTGACCATCTCTTCCGGCGAGACAGAGGCACATGTACTGTAGTATAGAAAGCCCGAAGCTCACGCCGGAGCCGCCCGCGACAATGAGCACTGTCGAGTATGAGCCCCACCTCGCTCTCGCCGCAGAGCCAAATGGGCCGTCCACATATGTGCGCAGTAGCACGCCGCGGCCGGGCACGTCGTAACTCGCAGGAAGCGATTCGCCTGGAACGTGACCGTGACCTCTGGCCACCATCTGGGCAACGGTGTCCCATAAACGCTTCGTCCAGCCATTCTTCGCACGGATCAGGAATACAAGCTCGCGGCCTTCGTCCGTCGGTGCCTCCTGGTCACATACTGTTGCATTCGTGAACGGATGAGTTGTGAGACCCGATACGGCGGGAACGCGGAGAAGGAAGTGCTGGCCTGGAGCCCAAGGCAGGTAGCCCGGTGTGATCAGGCGTAGGCGCACCGTTCGTCCAGGCAGAAGCTCTGCATGAGCGAACCCAGGCGGTGCTACGTACCTCCCAGAGGCACCAAAAGAGACCTTCGTGGTCGTGCGGGCCTGATGCACGTCGATTGCAAACTTTGGAGCGGAAGGCGAGCTGTAGTGCCTCAACTTGCTTGGAGACGTAGGCGAGCGCAAGTTGCTCATCTCTAATGCCTCCGGTAGAGCGTCTCCGTTGCGTGTCGGGACTTTGTGTAGCCTATTTGAGGGTGGAGGCGCCACCATCCCACCGAAATACCCATTGGCTTGCATCCACCAGATCGATCTCCAGAGGCGTTCTCCTGCCCAGACCGCGAGCGCTGCCCAGCACCAATACCAAACCGGTGGGTGGTGGAGCGCAGAGAATATCAAAGTGAGTGGTACTAGAAGGATGTGCAAACAATAGAATAGTTCATAATGTAGTTGCCGGATGGGTCGGAATGAGGAGGCAACCAGCAGTGTCATGACACCGAATGCCTAGAACGAGGAAGATGAACTACAGGTATTGCTGAAGTGGGAACGACTGGACTTACAATCCATCCGTAGATAAAATTCCGGTATTGAAAGGCGTATGTATACACAAACTGCCCCGTACTGCTTCTCTTCTCGACCAGCAACTGCACACTCCAAAGTGCGACATGGAGCGCGGAAAGCAACCAAATGAGACGACCGATCCATTTATGGATCCAAGCGAGCTTGTCAAAGTGCAGCTGCGCGACAAAAGGCAATGCCAGAACAGCGAACGGAGGGGCTTTGAGAGCCAAGAGGACACAGAGGGGGAACAGAGCAAATGCAATGAGACCAGTGCGATTGCCAGATGTCCACCAAGCCTTTCGGATGGTATAGTCAGGTACATAGGGCGTTAGCATTGACGGATCAACCGCGCGGAGGTGTATCGAAGCGGTGGGCGTGTCGTGGACATTCCAGATCCTAGAACCAGGAGCAAAGTAGTCTGGTCCGACAAAAGCCAAGGCCATTGTCGCGATTACGAGGACGGTAAGAGTGAGGATCTGGGCATTAGAGGGGAGGGGAAGGGGTTGTCTATGGGGGTCTCCCCTCTGCTGGGCAATTCGGAGGGCGTGTTGTTTTCTCCAAGTTCTCCGGCGAACTGCCCACTTGTACCATCGTGCACCTAGGGAGCTTGTGGTTGGACCTAGTAGATGAGAGGCAGCGCACCCAAAAACTATGATGGCGAGTATAATCCAAAGGATATATGCGTACACCATGCTTGCAGTAGAGAGGACATGAATGTCTAGATAGGCTGTGATCCATTCGACGTCGTCGGCAAAGTAAGGAGTGGTGGGATATGCGGTCAGGGGTATCGTGGAAGTCGGACTCTGCGAGGCCATGGGGTATAGGGACAACGGAGCTGCCTATATCGTGGCGACGGACGCCTGAGATATTGCCTAGCTTTCCGACTGATACGCCAAGCTGCCCGCGGTCGGCGAGCGTGTTCAAGCGGACGCGAACAAGTCTAGACAGGGGGAGGTTCTGGCCCGAGGGCGAGATAGACTGGGTCGTGGTCGTCGCGTGCAAAGAAACGGAGACGGAGGGTGAGTTCGTGAGGGCGACGTGGCCGCCAGCGGGCATGAGGTTGGGCGGCGGATAGAGCAAGAGGAACGGAGAAGGGTTGCCCTCGGGGCAGACATAGCAAGGAAAGTTTGCCGTCTCTAGATGAACGGCAACGCGACGGGCGCCTCGGCGGCCAAATTCCTAGACGCCCGCGGCCGCCACCACGGTGCCTCTCACTGTGAGACTCTGTCCACTTTCTCACCGTCGGCCAGTCGACAATCGCCGCCCGCCCGCTGCTCACTCAGACGCACACGTGGACCCAGGGACACTAATACTCAGCTGAAACAACTCGATTATAAAACATCTGCAGCCAACTATTGCTTCGGGCCTTAGTCCCCGAGATTATGCTCTACTCTACGGTCTCGCCAGAGCGCACCTGTGCATCGGGAATCATCGTCATCATCGTCGGCAGCAACGCGGTACCGGAGAGCCTACCTCCTTGCCCGTCTTCTTGATCCGCTCGAGCAGTGTGTCGTATGGAATCGTGCCCTTCACGACCACCTCCTGCTTCTCCAGGCTCACATTGTACGTGTCGATGCCGAGACCTGGCCACAGGTGAGATCTGAAAGCGAATACGGCCATAACAGAAGACATACCATCCGTCTCGGCCTTCTTGAGAGCGCGTGTCACGGCACCAGAGCAACCACCGCAGGTCATCTATCATTCCCCAATAGTCAAATCGAATATCATAGTTCGTGTCCACAGGTGGGCTTACCTTGACATCGAACTTGTAGGTGTGGCTGGCCTACATCGTGGAGTCTGTGAGTCCCCTGAATGGAGATATGTGGTCAACGGCATACCATCTGGATCAGATCTAGTCCTAGTCAATATATCAATTTCGCGGACCACAGAAGCGCAAAGACGTACTACTATATTTGCTTGGAACAATCACGAAAGGTTTATGAGTATGAGGGAGTTCGAAGAAGCTGGTGCGGTGCGTGAATGGCGCAAGTGAGAAGCTTATAAGTAGTTTGTACGGCCCTCCAATAAATGGCGCAACGCGTCGCCGAGATGAGTAAGCTGGTACCGTAGTAATGCTCAGGTTGCCATAACAGGCCGATGTACGCCGATGTCTGCTTATGCGCAACGCTCAAGTTGGTGGAACTGTGTCAGACTGCACAGGAGAGCTATGTGTTGACTAACAAAGTCCTGTCAATCACAGCATCGTTCACGGGTCATACATGACCTTCGTGAGCGTGACTGGCAAGCGACTAAGGCAAGACATCTATAGCGGTTATTTCCCCGACATTAATGGCTGTACTATACAAATACAATCACACGTGAATTCAATACGCCCCGATGTTGCAGACGGCGTAGGAATGGGCACATAGACGTTTCAAGTCATTGCATGAGGATGCCCCCACCATTCTCAGCATGATACTCGAAGTTGTCATGAACGTGATGTCCGCAGAGGCTCTGTCATCTCTACCTGATCGTCGCCCTCGGTGGCCACAGCTTGCCAGCCGGCTCCTGGCGTGGGCCTGCCACGTATACATGCGAAGCATTTTTCAAAGATAGCTATATAGAAGATCAGCTACGTCCGTAAATGACACGACGGATGTACAGCACACACCGACGACACCGGATGATGTGGCGCTCCCTCTCTGGGTGATGTAGTAGACAGGGATGCCGGCGAGCACGAAACCTTAAGGGACGTGAGCTGGGGTTGAGAGGAACCCACTGATAGTCACCTACCTAGCACAGCCATGGCTTCGAGCGGCGCCGCTATGATAGGCATGCATAGCAGGAAAAGGCAAACCTAGAACCGTGATATCATTAACAAAAGGCCCGTGAGATATTCTTAGCGCAACCTACGGCGCAGAACACCAGTGGCGTTGTGATCCATGTTTTATACGGTCTGTGGCACTGTCAGAGATGCACTCAACGGCATGCGACCCAGATCACACTCACCGCTCAAGCATAGGTTCCTTTACCCTCAATATAACTAGCCCGAGGACCTAAGCAGTAGATATCGTGAGTCTTGCACGGCGTAGCGCTAGTGCACCGACCTACCGTCAGGAAGTAGAACGCCCAAGACGCGACGACAGCAAAATTGATGAGGGATCGAAACCCGCCACCGATCACAATAAACATGATTGTCAGTGCAGTCTGCAAGCACATTGCATTTAGAGGCGTCTTCAATCGCTGATTCATCCGCCCAAACATCTTGGGAAGATAGCCTTCCCGGCCAGCCACATATATCAGGCGAGCAGTAGTGAATGATGAACCTAAACAACAACACGAAGTCAGAAACTCTACACACGACTGATTGGGAATCTAATAAGATGCACCATTCAACGCGCCGAAACATGATATGGCGACCATCAGCGCGAAGACGATTCCTCCTGCGGGCCCAAAGAGCGCACGCCCAAAATCAAGCGCGACAGTGTTGCTACGCCCGACAGTTGACTGGACAGCTGACCTCGTAAACGCGACAAGACGAGGAGAGTTGAGTACGATCTACCTTGTCCAATACTACGAAGTATGCCAAGTTGGCAAGCAGGAAGAGTATCTGTGGGATACAGTAAAATAATGCAGCATTGAAGAGACATCAGCACTTACTGTAGCGAGGAGCATGCTAATGTGAATTGCGCGAGGAATGTTCTTCTGAGCATTTTTCATCTCCCCACCCACATAGTTTGCTTGGTCCCAACCATCAAATGCCCATAGACCGGAGTAGAGGGCAAGGGCATAAGAGGAAGGGCTTGTACTCGAGCCGGTGAAGAGGGACTCGGTGAGTGACGTCGATGCCCGGCCTCTCGCCAACTGGACGATTCCAAGGATGGTAATCGAGACCTGATCATATATTGTGTCAATGTACTGCCATGTACATTCGGAGACTGGCATACCAAGGCAACGACCTACGGGAATGCTATGAGGGCGACAGCTGGCAGGCAAATGTGAATGTCTTACTTTGACCGAGGTAAACACTACGGCAGTCCGCGTGCCCAACGTTGGAGTGGCTACACAGATGGTGGACACCACGATGACTGCCGCAATCGCAGTGAGTTTGATGGCCCACTGTGGAATGTCATCCGGGGATACCTCAGCCTTGGTAGCGTGCCAGAAAAGCCGATTGAGGTACTCCGCGAAAATTAGACTGATTACGGCATTTCCTCCTAAAGAAACTGTCAGTGGACTATGAGAGGCGTGATACATGAACGAAAGGACCTGGCTTCAGCGCAGATATCGCAGTCCAGGCGAACAGGTAGGAGACGAGCGGGCCGTAGGAGTAGTGGAGGTACGCTTGCGCACCCCCATTCACTGGTATTGAGGATCCCAATTCTGCAAAACTGCTCGCGCCCGTCCATGCCAGTAGTCCTGCTGCAAGCCAGACTGTGAGACTGGCGCCTACGCTCTGTGTGTTCGCAACTACAACGCCAGGGGACGAGCTGTGGCATGGCTCAGGACTCCGTGCAGGAAACGAGTGTCTTCATATTGCTTACAATATTCCGGAGCCAATCTGCAACCCGACAATAAGTGCAATGCCTGCCCGTACCATTCAGTCGGGTGATTGGACCAACTATGTTTGCAATACGCACCATTAACAAGGCTTATGTTCTTTGTATGGGAGTCCTCATGTAATGACTCTGGCTCGCTCAAGCTCGCGGTGAGTGGCAATAGGTCGTGTTGGAAGTCAAAGCCTGAGATTGAATATGCGCGCGTCCGGGTCGCGTGCGGTCCATCTGCGAGCAGCGGCCCTTCAGAAAGTTCAAGGTCTCGAAGGGAATCATCGTCAGAGTCATGCGATGCCCTGGGTGAGCGACTGAGGGTATATGTCTGGCTGGGAGATCGTGGGCTGAGTGGTGACTTCACTGCATCAAAGAGAGCTTCAGATGGAGATGTCATAGAATGCTTGCGTCAAAGTTGGCCCTGGGAGCAACAGAGATCAAGTTCCCAGCAGTCGTCTGCACAGTTTGTAGACCTGTGCGCGTAATATCTCTGGTCAACGTCGTAAACTTTGGAACTCTCACTGAAGCCCGTTGAGGCGGGCGAACGGACTTGCCACGTGTTTGAGACAAGATTGCAAGAAAAGGAAATCGCGGATCCCAATCAGGGAAAGAGATCAAGTACTTGTAGGCCAATATTATGCTATGTACATTGACAAAGGCCTGCACAAGTAGACGTGCCAAGTACGATAATGATTTTATACTAATGATATGCTACAGTGCAGAAGGTGTATGTTCCGTCGAGTCTTAAATGACAATTGTATTATCGCGAATAGACTTACGGGTTCGGTTAAGTTCCTGAAGGTGATCATCACGGCGGTCTACGATAAGTGAGGGTTGAACATATGGGGAAGTCATGTCACTTGAGCATTATCCAGAAGAGCCTGAGCGACTATGGAGTGAATATCTACGAAACGTTCTTGACAGACCTCCATGCACTGTGAATGAACCAATAAGATGTGCATTATTTGAGATTGAACAGCATAGTTCGCTTACTTGGATTGCTTGTGCGGGGGTCATTCTACCTGACTGCCATACACTTGTGATGGTATCTAGAGCTGGCATACCGGCGAGGATCAAACTCCCTGAAGCGGCCTGTGCTTCCTTCTCAGTGGGGTCCAACCATATCTCCTTTCCAAGGGTAGACTGAACGAGGAGCGTTACCGGAAATACTTAATGTGGGAAAGACGCAACTCACTGCTGCACATGACATCACCAGACCCAACATTTCTATCCCCGCATCCGCAAGCGCAGCACTAGCGGCAACTGATCCAGATGCTATGCAGCCCTCAATGCCATCGTTTTCGATAATGGTTACGAAAATGTCGATGGTTGATTTTGGCAGGAGATCAAGTCTCACAGCTGGAAGAAGGGCTTGCTGTATCTGTGCTGCCACCGACCTGTCCTCTGCATCCTGGAGGAATACACAAACATCAGTATGAGCAAATTTAATTGCGTGAACAGCTTACGCGTATAGGTGCCCTTCTCCGTGTACACGAAAAAGGTGTAAATTTTACTTCCACGTTCAGGCGTCCGTTCTCGCTGTAAACGGTTGTTTTGGATTGTCGAGGGCCATATCTGCATGTGAACGATGTTTGGTCATGGAGGAGATGAAGAGGGCAGTCATACTGACACTGCACACGCAATCTTTGTCCGCGCAGTCTCAATGTATGCGGAACCGTTTGCTTGGCTTATGAGTCCAGCCTTCAGAACTGCACAGGAAAAGCATATGATTGCGTTCAGTAATAAAGTAGTACAGACTGTTCGAGTGACTTCGCACAAATTGGTCGTATATCTCCAGGGTTCCGCCCCGCTCGAGGCTTTCCAGATAGCGTGTCGGGTATATCATCTTCACCCTCAAAGACTGGCGGAAAGCTTTCTTCTGGGCCATTGATACGGCGGCGGTCGAAGTTGTTCTGAGCCATTGGCGGTCGATAAATCAAAGTCCTTTTGTCGAGCGCTTGTTCGGTTACAAGTGATCGAGATGGCACATGCTAATCTAGGCAGTGTTGAGCGCGTTGCTCACTGGCGCTTTCCTTCGAACAACCATGAAAGTCTCTTTCTCTCTCGCCAACAATAAGAATAAGGCCAAGACCGCAGTACCTATTGGCGATACCCCTTCCCTGAAACGATCTGCTGCGTTTGCCTCTCTCGATGATGACGAACCCGTCGACGCCGCACCTACAGCCTCAGGCAGCGGCAAAGCTACCGTCAACAAGAAACTTGTGGCCCAAAATATGGAGATATCGAAGGCAGTCAAGAAACAGATAGAGGCGGAGATGAAAGTTGACTCGACCGTATTTGAATACGACGAAGTGTATGACAAGATGCAGCAAGCGAAACAGCGGGCGAAAGAAGCGAAGGAGGTCGACGCAAAGGAACGCAAGGTGAGCATCAGTCCCTTCGACCCTATGCACCATTCATTTCTCATGAGCACTGATTTACTAAAGTATTCGACAGCCCAAATATATCAATGGTCTGCTACAAACCGCTGCAACACGTAGGCTGGATCATCTACGAGCCGAGGAAAAGATGATTCAACGAGAGCGCGAGGCTGAGGGCGATGAGTACAAGGAGAAAGAGGCCTTTGTTACTCAGGCTTACAAGGACCAGATGGCCGAGCTTCGGAAAGCTGAAGAGGAAGAGAAGCAGCGTGACGGTATGACATAACCTCATGGGTAGCAGATGTTCACTGACATTGTACGAACAGAGCTCGAGAAGAAGCGGAAGAAGGACGGCGTCGGGTCCGGTATGGCACACTTCTACCGCAAGTTGTTGGAAGAGTCGGAACAGCAACACGAGCAGACGGTCGCTGCCACCACGTCGGCGCCCAAACCTGCCATAGGCCCTCAGGGCCCGCAGCCGAATCTCACCATCACGAAGCCTGCCAATTACGCCACCAAGTCAGATCTGGAGTTGGCACGCCAAGCCAAGCAGGAGGGGAAGAGTGTTGAACTGAATGACGACAACCAGATCGTTGACAAACGGGAGCTACTGTCGGCAGGCCTGAATTTATCTGCGCCAAATACCCGTCGGTTCGGACTGCAAACCTCCAAGGCGAGGTCGTCTTCTCAGGAGGAAGTGCAGACACACCGTGCGGTCGGGACTGCCGCCAGCTGGAAAGAGATTCAAGAGCGCCGAGCACGCGAAGTTGCACAGCAATTGGAGGAGGAGCGGGAGCGAACGTTGAAGGAGAGAGAGCGGCAGGAGCAGGAAAGTATCAATAGGGTGATAGCGAAGCGAAACGATGAGGATTCTCTTCAGAGCGCAAAGGAACGGTACATGGAGAGGAAGCGGCGACGGATAGAGGAGACGCAAGTAGATGGAGCCCCGGACGGTACAAGACCTGGCTAACTTGAGCGGCGATATTTCGAGACATTGTTGACTCCAGCTTGATTGTAATGTATAAATATATCAATGCTACAATACTTCCGGGCGGATCATACTGTGATTATATTATCAGGACTAGGGCTGAGGGGATAACGAGAAAAGGACGCTATGGCAATGGACATCTGTCTAGTCTCTCGTCCGGTATAATGTTGACCATCGCATTGAAAGCAAACAACGCATCCTTGGCCGTTGGCCTGCATTCGTAATCAGAGTGAAGCATCCTTGCGATCAAGGGCTGTAGCTCTGCGATGTCGTATCCTGTCAGCTGTGTATGATTATTTAGCGCTATTGACGATGCATGAAGGGATGAAGGTTTACTTTCGCGGCTCGCAGTATTAGGATGCCTGACGCCCAGACGTCCACTTTATAAGGATCGCTCCATTCGCCCCGCTCGATTTCCGGAGGTATCTCAGCAGCACGATGGCACCTGATTCGAGGGCATGAGACATTCTCAAAGCGACGACTACACTCAAAGTCGATGCATGCATAACGGGTGTGGTTATCTGTCAGGATGTTGCGCAAGGAGATGTCGAGATGAGCAATGTGGTGTGCATGCATGAAAGCGATGTGCTATGGGGAATCAGTGCCAGGGACATTCGAAATAATGGGCGCACGTACCTCAAGATGCTGTCGCATAGTGCCAAGAAAGCATCGTAACGTATATGGAGGATCGGTGGAAAGATGCGGAGACCATTCCTCCATAACAATAAAAGCAATGCCGTCGTCAAGGACTTCTATAGAATCTAGTACGGCTGTGGACATGTTTGATCGCCTTTTCACATTGGTGCTGGGATCTACTCACGTATACAATGGTTCATGGGGTGCTTTCGTAAAGGAGATGTGGACATGCAGCGCACGATGTCGTATTCACGACTACACGTTCTGACAGCTTTGACCACTACAGGTGAGCCATCTGCACAACAGGTGCCCCGGAAGAGATTTTCTGGCTTTGATACAAATGTCTTTATATTCTGATGGAAACCTATAGAATGACGACATACCAGACCGACATCTTTGCACAGATCATTATCGTCTTGGCCGTTGCATGCGCGAAGATAACCAGGAAGATCCCTCGATACATCACAGCCTTGCGCGAGCAGCCCCTCCCAATAGCGTTGGTAAAATTGTTTGACATCGCGGCATGTATCAAGTCGGAAGCCGCGGCGTTGTATGATGTGGCGATAGCTGCACCAGTTGGGGATTATTCGAGTGTTGAGCGAATCCTCATCATCCGAGGAGCTAGAACATGTAGAGGAGTCAGATTCGGAGTCAGATTCATCTGTGCAAGAAGGCCTCGGCATAGTAGGCTTATGCGTCCGGCGCAAAAGAGGAAGCGAGGGCATAGTGGATAGGCGCGGATTCAATGGCTGGCGATTTCTGGTTCTTATGTCGGGCCGCAGTGAGACGAGCAAGGTGAACAGCCTTCATGAACAGCAAGAACGAGGAAAAAAGCTCCACGCACGGGCGGCATACACAGACTGAAGGTACTTCTTGATCTGGGTACACGGCGTTTGGGGGTGATGGCGCGAGGGAAGAAAGCCCCATTCATAGCGAAGAGTGTTGTGAATAGCCTGATCTAGCTACAGCATGGACCTACTTGCGTAGAGACATGCCCTCAGATATCACAAAACAAGACCCGATGTCCCGGGCGTGTCGAGAGACATCCAGAAAAGATTTCCCGATATAGATGGTATAACAGCCTAACTAGCACCAAAACCGCAGCGTATTCTCATGGGCCGGGGTCCAGAGAGATGCAGAAGGTAGGGAAGGCGACGACGTAAGAGACACGATTCTATGAGCGCGTGAGATTGAGCAAGTCAGCAGGACGTTCGGAATATCGCGTCCAAACCGTTCTGCACTTGCTCCGAGAGCCACGGAGGACGACAAGAGGTGGACATCAGACACCAAAGAACGGAGGAAGGTTGTTGAGCGAGGGAGATTGCCTCCAAACTAGGCTGTAGCTTGGCTGTGCCTCGCGAAATCCAGCGCCGACCTGTCAACTAAGAACTTTGTACCATTGCCGTGAGGGCGAGCAAGCACGGCTATTGAGATCATTTCTCAGGTAGGGCGGCCGCCTGCCAGCACCAAGTAATCAAGGGTGGCTGGACTGGAGGTCGAGTGTGGCAGACAATGCGGGATCATGATATCAATGCCAATATTGCAATACCTGCCGCGTGGGAATCTCGGCTTGCCCTTGGCCTGCCATGCTCTGCGGTACCGCTACACTCCAGTCTCTGGTGGCTTACTCCGATTCTCGCCATGGAGGAAGGCACAAAGACCAAGAAGACCATCTTTGTGAGCGGCATTGGAGACGAAGTCGACGAGGGGGTTTTGGTGGAGAACTTTTCGGCATTTGGTACGCAATTATCACCGTCGCTCATGGAATTCAGTACGAGGACCGCCTTCTAGGGGACGTTATAGAGGTTCAAATACCTCCTGCGCCCACAAATCCATCACAACCCAATGGTGCGTTCCTGCTCGTCTCTAACGACTGAGGCTGACGGACATTTCGCAGAGGTGAAGCACCGTGGTTTTGCTTTTGTGACGTTTGCCTCTCCCGCAGACGCACAGGATGCTATTGATAACATGGACTTGAACGAACTCAACGGCCGTGTACTCAAAGTCAACATTGCCCGCCAGCTTAAGGCTCCTACAGAAGGTCTCGGAAACAGAGCTAGTGAGTGAAAGCGAATGTTCGTATTGTATGATGTTTGACCGCGTGCACTCAGTCTGGGAGTCGGAAGAATGGCTCAAGACATTCGCGAAACCGTTGGACAAAAGTGGAGGTTTGTCGATAGTTCTTTCTGGCCCTCGAAACTAGAACTCATATGTGCTGGTTTCAGGTGCTGCCCTGCGCGCGAAAACCAGGGAAGGGGCCGAGTCGACTGGTGATCAGAATGAGGATGAGGAAGACAACGCAATGGTAGAATGATCACGTATAGCATTCAGACTGCGCATGTATGAGTACCGACTATCCCTCGTTTTGAAAGATTCACAATTATCAGCTGTACCCTTCATTACAATTCTCCTTCCTCCTTCCGTAGACGAACAGACTTAACACTGTCTCCACCGATACTCGCTCTGAGGGTACTCGACTCCGACGCCACATCGGAATTCTCCTGTGGTACCTGCAGAGTCTGGGCCTCTTGCGCCGGCCCCATGTCTCCCACCTTGTCCCCGAACACTTCTCCCAGCTCCTCCAATGTACGGTGAGCCGTCTCGGGATACACGAAGAAGACGAACAGCCCCGAGATGACACAGCAGCCGAGCAGAATGAAGTAGTAGGCCGCGTTGATGGCTGCGAATAGCAATGGCGTGATAAAAGCAATGATGAAGTTTGACAACCAATTGGAAACCGTGGAGAGTGCCATTCCCTTAGCCCTCGCACGCATTGGAAAAATCTCTGCACCCAAGAGGTATGGCGCCGGGCCCCATCTGCAGGTAGTAGTCAGCGATGAGCGAGTCACGCAGAGTATTAAGCAGCTCACGTTGCGCCAAAGAAGAACAGGTACACGCATATTGCTGCTCGGGCCGCCTGGTTTCAGCTTCTGCGTCACGCAAATGCTGGGAGTTCACATACCTGCGAAGATGCCATCTGCATACGGGAGCTCCGCGCCACCTTCCGGAAGGCTGTCGCTCTTGTATTGCAGGCCGCCGACGGTTGCCAGACAGGCCCCGAGCCCGATACTCCCAGCGATGAAAAAGACCCGTCGGCCCCATCGATCGATGAGGAACATAGTGGGGATCGTCCCCAAGCAGTAGACGATGGCCGACACTCCCGAGTACAACAAGGCCCGTGCGATCGTGAAGCCGGCGCGTGTGAGATTCGAAGGAAGATAGTACAGGATCGCGTTGATGCCATTGAACTGCGCGAACAACTGGCACGTAATACCCATAATGGTCCGTCTGGTGTATTGCGTGAAGAGCTGCGTCCATGAGGCCTGTTCCAGGTGCTGTTCATACTTGATCGCTGCCACAATTTCTTTGAAAGACTTTTGTACTTCGGGGTCGTCTTGATTACCATTGGCGTGCAAATCAGCTAAGACGAGTAACGCCTCCTTTTCGAGCCCAACACTGGCAAGGAAACGTGGTGTCTCGGGCAAGATGAAGGACCACGCCGTCAGGACGCCCGCGAGGGCCGCCTGCACGACATATGGTCCTCTCCATGAGATCGAAGAAGGGAGAGCGAAGAAGAATCCATAGCCAACCCATGATGCGAGGAGGTAACCCATGTTGAGGCATAAGTACTCGATGGCGACGAAGAGACCGCGAGCATGGCCCGGTGCTATTTCGCATTGCAGGATGGGGACCGTCATGGACAGCATTCCTACACCGATGCCTTGGATGGAGCGACCCGCAATGAGCGCGCCGAGGTTCGGGGCGAAGATCTGGATGAATGCGGCTATGAAGTAGATAACAGCGCCGATCCGTATTGACATGCGGCGACCCAGCACGTCGCAGATGTAGGCCGATGCAAAAGCGGCGACCAGTGCTGTGAGGTTGAGACACGAGACCGTAATGGCTGCAGATAGACTTTATAAACACAGGCCACAAAATGTGGTGTGCATGCTGGTACCTTGTATCTCAGGTCTTACACCCGTTTGTCCCGTGCGGATTTGTTCCATAGTCACAGTCTTGCCGAAGAACCGCTTGATGAAGGTGGGCTCGAGCTGGATGGCAGCAATGGCTCCCTGACTATACCCGAACATAGCGTCTCCAAGTGAGGCCAGGGCGGACGACCCGATGAGGAGCGGCCGGCCCACCATCCATTTTGGATAACGAGGTTTGAACGACTTGGGCTTGAGTCGATCAAGTACGCTCATGATGGGCGGGGTTGCGCTGGAAAAAAGGGGATAGGAGCAGATCACTGTAGCGAACAAAGACGTGCACCGTGGTCAGCCCCGAATACGTTTCTCAAGGACGGATGTTAGATTGATCGGTCCAATACGAAATCCGCTCAACGAGACCAGGCACTCAGTCAATGATAGTCAGCAAGTCGGTATTCATACTGTCGACGTGTGTCAGCATCTCGATTCATGCACAATGATGAAGTACACACTATTCACGAATGCGTCATTCCGAGGGAAGGCATCGCACGAACATCCATCTGGCAAACATCAGGCAAGACGTGCAAGACTACAATCCATTGTCCGTGAAAAATTACATGCTAGCAACCGGTGGAAGTCGTCGGTCATCGTACCATAACAGAGTACATGCAGAAGTCAGGCTTCAGGATCAGAACGAGGATGCTTGGTGCATATCCGATTCTTCAAATTGCGCACGAGCGCGCTTGATCTCTTCCTGCATAAAGAGCAACTCTTCCACACGCGCAAGTTTGTTGGCATCTGCTGGCCGCGACAGCACCCGACGGAGGTCCTCGATGGATAACCGCGACTTGTTTTTACCAGGTGCGAGGGCTGCTTGGCACTGTTCACGACAGTCAAATAAGGTTTCCGGACCACGAAGCAAGCCACGCACCACGTCGACAATGTACTCGACCAAAATCTCCTCCATCACAGTGACGGTATCACTCGCTGGGTTTCTGTCGTCACCAAAGCCATACATCAGATTACGCACTAAGAAAACGGTGTGTAAGTAAACCCTTCACGAGATTTCTAAGGCAGATAACCTACATTCTTTGGCGAACAGCCCCTTGAACGTTGATTGCTTCCGTGCATTCCGTCCGGATGACGCCCCTCCTGTTGCAGAAGGATTATACGATGACGTGAATGTATACGTTGAAGGTGCTGGAGTGGGGCGCGGGGGCTGTGGGGCAGTAGGCGTAGCTGATGTTGCGGCAGTCGCTGCTGGCGCCACAGGTTTTGGTGTGCTGGATACTGCAGTCTGCTGATGCTGGTGATGCTGAGGATAGTAAGTGTATGGATAAGGCCATGTTCCTCCGTAGCCCGTCACTGCAGTCGGTGGGTATGGCGTCTGGTAAGGTGTGGTTGGATAGCCCGGGGTCTGGCTGTAATTGTGGTAGGCGTTATACGGGTAAGACACGCCCGGCTGCGATGGGTAGTATGACATGGCAGAAGTATGCGCAGACTAGACTCGAGTAAACAGGAACGCGTTGTAGAGTCGGCGAGGTGAGCGCTGAACGTGCAAGTCCTCGTCCAGATACTGGCAAGAGACGAGCTCGAGTCGTGGACCGTCTACACGTGGGACAGTGGCGTCTCGATCTCATTGGATCTCGATAGCGATCTTACAAGATTCACCACTGGCTTTGACTCGCTGCTCAGTGCTCAATCTTCAGGCTTGAATTGAGCCAGACATTGTCCATCTCACGCGCGCAAGAAGAAAAAATTCTTGTTACAGAGTATTGCGACATGTACCGAACTAGTTCTCGTCATCCTCTCCTTTCTTGGATCGCATCTCCAGATTCCTTGCGCTCGCCATCATCTCCTTGAGTCTTTGCCACTCCATGTTGATAATCCCTCGCTGATCCAGCCAATCCATTATGCCATCTGCATCTGAGAGGTCATTCGGAGGCTGAACGCCTCCTGCAAACGCTACCCGCACAAAGCCTCGCGTGCCCCCCGAAATCTTCAGCTCGTCGATCTCTCGTTGCAGGCTCTCAAAAAGTGCATACTTATCAAAGCAAAGAATTTTACCATCAGCAGCGAGAGAGTGGTAACAAGGACTGCACTTACCTCCCAGTGGGTGAACTTGTGAAAGCAGCGTGTTCTGGCCGCACAAAAGCGGCCAAGGTGGAATTCTTTCTTCGACTTCGTTTCCGAGTCTTCGCCTTCGCTGTCCTCCGTATCAGAGTCTTGCAGGGACTTCATATGGTACGTTCGCAGCAATGAGCTTGCTACTAAGCCTTATAGAGGAATATCACTCACTTCATAAGTGAAATTATCGTACGGGGAGCCGCTCAGCCGACCTAAAAGCGTAGACATTCGTCCACCCAGATGACATGCATCGCAGGTAGGGATAGCAAAGTCGAGTTCAACCGTCTCAAATTCTGGATATGTCTCTAGAGACTTCTTGAAAGCGCTTCTCCAGACGGAAGATGTGACAAGAGAATCTCTCATGCCTGTGATTTTTCGCCGAGTGATGGCAAGAGGAACAGAGAAATATTCTTCTGTCTCGACACTGCCATGAGAAATCACTTCCAGTGCGAGCTAGAAATGAATATGGCGCACTCTCAAGTAACTGCTCCATCACAGAAAAACGATTGTTCACAGGGTGAACAGCGAGATGCACGAACAGCTGGCAGATTATCTTGAAATGGTGAATGAGGTCTTGGTGAGTATTCATACTGAAGGCAACAGGCAATTCAGGTGCATCAGCGTTGTCATCCTCAACAATGAAGGTCTCGTCCTCTCCGCCCGCGTTGACGCCATCGTCTTCAGACGAGCTCGATCTATCTTTGTGATCTGGTTTTGCGTGAGAGAAGGGTACGGGCTCGTCTTCATCAGCTTCGTCCTCCGACTGGGAGGAGCTAGACTCGACGACTTCTCCGCGTTTCTTTTCTATATGAAAGTATTATGAACCCACGTCATAACGACGGAAAACCGAAAGCTGACTTTTCAGCTTTTCGAGATTCCTCTGGAACGCAGACTTCTTATTTCGGGTGCGCAAGCGAGGTTCAATAATTCCTACATAGCCATCTCCTATCACACGATGCTCATGGTGAACGCTCAGAGGCTTACTGTGTTCGTCGACCTCGTCAAGCAAGTCTGCCTCGTCCTCCTCCGGAGTGGGTGGACGTATCCCTCTCACAAGCTTGCGCCGACGTGGTTGCTCCACCTCTTCTTCCTCCGAATCATCGATGGTTATGATGCGTTTACCCTTGCCCTTCTCCTTCCGACTCTTCCAAGTCACAGGAATCCCTACAACCTCTTCATTGTCTGAGTCTAGAGCGGTTGTCTTCTGTTCTTCGCTGCTCCCAGAGCCAGCAAGTCGTGTCTTGCGCTTCTTCGTCCTGGGTCGTCGAGGGGAAGCCTCCTCCTTGTCGTCTGATTCAACGACATCAGGCTCAAAGCGGATGTCGCCCACGTCGCTATTGTCGCTGGAGACATTGGTAGCGCGAGGATTTGGACTAAGAGCGCGTTTTCGACGGATTCCACGACTGAAAGTCCTTGATTCGCGCACTGGGCTACTGGGTGACATACGACCGGGAGAACTAGACAAGAAGCCGTCTAACGTATCTTGCTTCAGCTGTCTCGATTTTGTAGGGCTAAGTTTTCGAGGCATCCTCCCATCAGCCAAGATTCCAGAAAACTGGCTAGCTTATGTGTGATTGGAGCGCGCTGCGGATGGTAACTCACAGGTTATGAGAGGGCGCGTGTGAGACTTACAAACGCGATCGGGGCGCGTTATTGATCACGTGCGCGACGCGACGCGTCTTGCGGTACTGCCTCATACCAGAACTCATCGACCTTCTGGTGCTTTTCTAACATGACTACCCCAACACTTCGCATCGACACCAGCTACCTCGACATAAGCGGAGCAGAGGCCCAATTCAGAGGTCCCGTTAACCCCCTTAGCCCAGGCCGTAGCCGCGCTCGCAGTCTATCACAAACAGTCCTCCCAAGCTTTAGACTGTCTGCCTCCCCTGGCAATCCAGAGAAGTCGTCAATCGATGACATATCACAGAATACTATCTTCCATGGAGCTAACAAGGCGCGCTCTGAATCTCGCAAGCTGTTAGCGCATATCCTCCAGGAACTACGGGACCGACCCAAGCCGCCCTCCTCTCTAGCTGCTAGTAAAACAGGAACACGAGCGGACAAGGGGCTTGGTGCTGTAATTCAGTCTGTGAAGGGCGCAGTGAAGCACCAACGCACTCGCTCGCAGGCCAAGGTCTACACTAATGTTGCTCAGGACGAGAACGACAGCGACCTGGAGGAGGATATTGAATTCAACACGGACGTCACATTCGGCCTTATGTGTCAGCTGAGGGATGTACTTTACATATCAGCACTGCAGAAATGGGATATCCTCAATGATGGGTACGTACGAGACCCTTGTTTCTACGCTCAATTGACTGAGTCTTATCCTAGTCCCACGTCTACACAATACGGACGGGAGAAGTCCAACTCTCTGCGACAAAGGCGCAGCAGTCAAAGCAACCGACGTCAGTCGCGCGGTCATTCCCGCTCCCTGTCGGCCATTGCGCCGTCTAGCGGAGCGCATGACTCTCAATTACTGTCACAGTGCATAAAGGTTCTGTCCTCTATAGTCACGGAAGACTGTCGCTTCCGAACATCATCCCCACGTCCCTCGCGGCCTCCCTATGCCCTACAGGCTGTCACACTCGACGTGACACAATTCCTGATAGACAGCCACCGCGAGTCCCCACTTATCGTGTCTCAAGTAGTGTTCGCGATCATACCGGCTTTCTATACCTTCGACGTCGCCACACATGCGCGTCTGCTCGCCTTCTTTGAAGACGGTGTGCTTGGAGGCGTTATGGATGATTTGAAGCGAATACAAGGCACTCAGCGCCCTGAGCAGACGTCAGTAGGTGAGCAGTAGAGTTGAGAGTAATCCCTATCGCCGTGGTTTACTGGCAGTATAGACACGTCCTATGACTTCCCACAACGAGACCAATCTCAAATGGTGTCCATTACCGTAGACGAAGCCGAGGATGCGACTCCGTCTACGTCAGTAGCGTCGGGTTGGCGTCGATGGTCAACCGGAGACCCATTGGACGGCCATGGGATACTTGCGACCCGTGCTCCCGCCCAAGACATTGCTTTGTATCAACTTTCCTCTTTCGTTTCGCCACTATTGGCTGCCATTCTAGAAAACGTCGATCTTGTCCCCGATCGGCCGGATATATTGCACCGCTTTCACCGGTTGCTGAGCAGATGTATCGAAGCGAAGCCCGACCTCTACCTTGATATACTTGCTGTTATTGCCTATCATACACCGAAGGCAAGGATCGCAGGAATCTCTGTCCTGACATCCTACTGGCCTCGCGCAATCGGGCATACGATCGTTAGCAAGGCATCTCCGGATATCACCTACTCAGCTCACTTGCTAAGAACCTCGCACCCATCTCAGGGCAGGAGACCACAGCAGCTCCACACTCACCAGTTCGTACCATGGCGATTCGGTCTTCATGCAGCGTCGGCGTCCATTTGGGAGGGTCTCTCACAGGACATCTGTAATTCGTGCTCGAAGATGATCACAGGCTTCGGGCTCCTGTGTACCTTCTGCGTGTGTGCTGTCCATTTCGACTGCTACGACTACCCTGAGGGGAGTTCGTCAGTGCAGTACTTCGTTGCCTCGGAGGAGGACAGGCAAAAGATCGCAGTTTACAGATTCTGCCACATCTTACCAGCACGACACCAATCACAACCCCAGACTGTTAACAGGGACCAGCACACTTTCCGATACGTGAATCTGTTTAGCCTTACGATTTGCCTCATATGTCGAAACCCGCTGTGGGGATGCTGGATGCAAGGACTGAGATGCTCCTCTTGCAGGCAGTTCGTCCATGGATCCTGCCTTACGTCGATGTCGTCAAGCCTCGCTCGATGCCGCTCAGTCTCCATCGATGACTCCTTCGTGGCTATTGAGTGGTCTCAACTTCGTGCCTCGTGTCTGGACCACTATCGCAGCGTCCTTCTCACAGAATCGGACATCGCGCGCAAGACATACGAGGAGGTCTCAGCCTATTCCTCTATGCTATGGCTACAGCTACAAATACTGCTGCATGGGGTTGCACTTGGCTCCATCGTTGTAATTGGGCAAATAGATGCGTCTCCGGATGAGAGCGACCTGCAAGAATTCGAACTCCACGCGTTCGCTCGCCGATTTGAGGAATGTCTGGCGTCCAATCGATTGCCTATATCGACTGCTCTTGCCGAATATCTGGGCGACAACAACTTGCGAGCCGACAATGTTCAGATATTCTTCAATCTGCAGGTTCTGGTGTTTATAACGAGCACCATCAAACTGCCTGTTACTTCAAATTCGGAAATGCCGACGTCTTCCGGGCTACTCGCTGCTAACACGCTGGAGGAATTCGCAGATACTGACTCAGATGAAGCGATATACCCCTTCGAAGTTCTTTCTTTAGCAAGACTCAGGGATCAGCTTGGAGATCACTTCCAGTTCTTCTCGGAAGAAACCGCCCTCCACGCTCTCCAATGTATTCATCAGCTAGGCTTCATACAGCGATTGGACTTTAAGTCAGACATTCTTGACGACATAACAATGCCTGACTCCGTTTTGTGCTCTTTCCCTCTCCCATTCGGCATCGACGTGTCTGCAGATGTGGAGACTCTCGTTTCCGCCATCGAAGCTTGCCTGGCGGACATTAGCCTATCGACACATGAAGCAGGGCTGCTCCTGCTCGTTAGGCGATTCTGGCCAGATGGAATGTTGACCCCTTACGCCTTGGGTAGGCTATGCACGGCTGTAGTCTCCTGGATTCTCTCAGAAGTATGTTTCTCCACCGTGTTAATACTCTCAGCGTTAAAGTGGCCTGAATACTGATATCAGGATCACAACTTGGTCGTCATGCTTCGAGATTTTGTCGCTAAGGGTCAGAGTCTACCAGGAGTACGGTCGGGCTCTGACCTCCAGCTGTGGCCGCCACAAATACTAGCGAGATCTGCGTTGGCAAGTGTGGCCAATAATGGGGGAGACTATATTGCTACCAGACGCACGCTGTTAAAGCGATATGCTGCGCGATGGCTCCTAGCATTTCACGACTCCGACCCGTATCAGTATGCAGCAGTCTTGTTCACGACTCTCCTTGCGTTGGCTGAAGAAGGTCCCGTTTCGGATGAGTATTTCTTGGGCAAAGAAACAGACCAGCGGCGAATGGTAGGTGTCCGGTCCAGTAGTGAACCTTCGCTCATGAGCAATATAGGACAGGCAAACGATGGCTACGGATAAACTCCTGAGATTAATCATCAAGCTCGACCAAGTCGCTGTCCTGTTCACCTCGTTCGAAGACCTATTCAAGCGATGGTTGGAATACGCTCAGGATTTGAGCGTCGAACGACAGGTGAGCTACTTCAATTTATGCGCACGCATCAGACCGACAGCTGTGACAGCCTCTATCTGCGATGTCTAGACTTTTCAATCGAGAAGGCGAGACTAATCAGCGCTCAACCGTCATCATGGATAATCGGATGACTATGACAGAGGCGTCTGGCATTGCAACTGCCAACGCCCTCAATATACTCATCGATACTGCGAAAGGCGGTGTGGAAGGGTTCCGTCAAATGTCGCATTGGCTTTGTCTCTTCGTCCGGTCCGGCGTCGATATCTCTGTTCAGACATTCGGGCAAGTGATGGGCTTAGCGAGGCGTTTCAACGCTACTCTCGAGGAGTGCTTGCTCCTGATAAAAGCCATCACTTGGTCTGCCTGGATGAGATCGGTAGGGCGTCAAGAGCTGCAGACCGTTGTAGCCTCCTTTCACCATAATCTAGTGGCAATTATAGTAGACAATCTTCAACAAAAGCGAGACTTGGAACTAATGTGAGTCAGCAGTCTTCAGTCCCACCGAATGCCTGCTAAATGTTCGGAGGTTAGTTCTACTTTTATCCGTCTCTCTTTGGCTGGCTGCTTGCTAGTGTATGGGTGCGAGCGGAAGCATGTGCTCGACCTTGCTTTGATACACAAGGAAGAAATTGACGGCTTGCCGTCTAGGTCCGTTGTGCTTTCACCCAGTGTGACATCGCTGAAGCTGTTGAATTAGGCGGAAATTGCATTCCCGCACCACCACGATGGCTGACCCTGTTATTGTCAACGCCGAGTTGATGCAAGCTCTCACAAAATATGTCGAGACGGGCAACGACGAGATATCTTGCTTCATTGCAAAATTCTTAAACGCATTCGTCAACGATGTTCCCTTTGTCGAGTCGTACGAGATCGACAATTTCATCTTGCGCAATGGCAATTCACTGGCCACATGGTTAGTCGTTCATTAGGTCCTCGATGATGTTGGTATTCAACTACTTTGCTAGTATGTGGCAATTCTACGGAATTCGAAGTCCTGAAATCAGTAGTATTCGGCCTGCCCTGTTATTGCGCATACTCGTCGTGGATGGATATCCGTTTCTGACGCTCCTAGACAGTTGGTGTGGCGATCATAGCTGGGAACTGCGGTAAGACTTGAGCATAAACCGTTGCCGATGACACTAATTGTGTACAACAGCCTACAAGCGGCGTTGCGTCTCTTCAGTATTGTACTGGACGTCACGAGCCCTGTTTTCCATGTCGAAGGTCGACAGTGGAAGACAAGTATCGTCGCCATCTTCGATCGATTTTTCTCCTGCCTGTGGATGGATGAAAGGGTAAGGCAACCGCGATGCTCTGGTATAGCGATCCGATCTCATTATCTGACAGGAAGAAGTTAGACTAGCGGTTGACACTTGGTCGCACACTCTACTCGAGGCTCATCAGACGGCTATTGCTTCGTGTTGGAACGAGGCTTTGGCAAAGGCCCCGATAGCTGATCGTGTCAAATTGGTGTCCTTTTTAAACCAGATTCAGCCGCATTTTCCTAAATGGCCAGGTTAGACCTGACATTGCTATCTATGGTGGAACACGGCTGACTCAGACATAACGGAAGTCCTCGCGTGGGATGTCATCACCGATACCTTACACGAGAATGACGAGGACCATGTTGACCCGGCAGCAGCCCATCTCGTGAGTACAGAATAATCCTTGAACGTTACACAGTGCCCACTATGATGCAGGCCATGTACGGGCTTTCATCGAGAGTGTCGGAAGACTACACCAAAACGACCGATCCTGAGCTGGCATCGCTCAAGGTATGATGTCCACCAGTAATTCATATCAGATCCATTCAGCACATCCTCCGCAGGTTTCCATGATATCTCTGTCATTGCGCATGATAGCAGAGGGCATTCCAATTGATCCAATTCAATCACTGAAAGTCAAGGAGCACCTTGTCAGGGCTCTAGGCTTTCAGGAGGTAGTCTTGGTTCCAACTGCAAGCGGCCGCCTCTATCATATACAATATCAAGGCTTGTACACAATCTCCCAGATATCGGAGGTCTGTCTGAACGACTTGATGCTGGTCCTCGACTGTGCCGAGCCATATGATATTGCACCGGCCGTAATGGGTGGCCCGTACGCTGAAGACGAGACCCCAGATCCACTGCTAATAGGATCCATCTTCGTCGACGTACCACTGGAACTCTTTGTCCACACTAGGGATATGATGTCGCTGACGTTTATTGCGCTGAAGAACCTCCTGAAGACGCTGATAATCATATTGTACAAACATGATTTTGACAGTAGATCGCTCCAATATCTCCAGGGAACCTTGCGCCGTGCCGTTCGGAGGTCCTTGGAAGTTCTTACCGCTGACGTCAGTTATGAGCTTCGCCAGTTGGCCTTATCAGCTTGCCATATATTTATCAAAAGATGGCCAATGCTCATCGGCAACTTTGTAATGTGAGTACATCCTCTACCAAGGTAACAAGCCGTTTACCTGCTATTTGTGAAGTGAGGCTATCGAAACTGCAGTACAATTATTGATTTCTCTCGACTACGAGCACAATGGCGGAGACGTCCTAGTAGATCAGCTCAAGACGTTCCTAACCACAACGCTCTCAACGTGAGTGCACTTCCCTTCGTAAATTTGGCGACCCATTTATTCTGTGGCAGGTTTGCGTCTGGAGGGATATTTAACGTAGTGTGTAAAGTAAGGCGGCGGGAGCAGCACGCTCTGTGCACAATCGAACAAATCGCTTTACTGAACATGACTGATCCTTCGAAATTATTAGAGACCCTTGTCATCCGACTTCTTTACCGTCATTCGGTTGGTGACGGCACCAATATCAAAGCCAGGATACGCTCCAGCTGCACGGGAATCCTTGAGGGATACGATTCTCCGGGACACGCTCTCTAGGTCATTGGACAACGACCCGGATACGTTCCAGTTGGTCATCGAGAATATGCAGACCTACATCAAAAACGTGCACAATTCTGGCTTCAGCACCGATCTGATGCAAGGTGCGTTTTAGACGAAACATCGCGCCGTCGCGGAGCTGACTTATTCCTTACAGCGGTTGGACTCTGGCTCACGAGCGTTGCTCGTCGGACCGCAGAGTGGCCGCCGGATCTCTTCAACCCAAGCCCTCTTTTCTTACTTGCATGCACTCTGGTCGAGAACAACAAGGCGCAAAGTCGCGTAAGCCTTTTCACCCATCTATGGAACTCGATGTTAACCCTATACACAAGGATCTACTGGGCTACACAGAGACCCTCCTGCGTGCAGCTTTGAATCGCTGCAATGTTTCTACGGAAAGCCTGGTCCGTCTGATACAGGTCACTTCGTTACTGTATCGAAGAGCGGCGGCGGCGAAGCCTGTCGGAAGCGACGCCCTACCTTCCAACCCTATTGTCCATGCCATGCTAGAGGTAATCGCGGAGAGTGTACGCCTCAAAGCACGTACCACACCAGCAACACTAACTTCCTTATTCGAGGTCCATGGTTTTCGATCATTCGGACGGCAATGATTTACTGATTATTCCTAGGCAATGACGGCAACGGCAGTCGGGGAGTTATTTCAGGGATATAATGCCAACCATGGGGTTGCATTCAATCTTGCATCGGACGCCCTTCTGTTCTTGTACAATGACAGCGCGCCTGGTTCCCTCATCCAAAGTTCATTCGACGTCTCGCAAGCAGCAGCTACTCTGGTCGTGGAGGTTGCCAACCACCTGCCTGCCGTCCTAGCAAGACTGAAGGTATGCTTACACGCCACAATCGGCCTTTCCTTGCATGACGTCTGCACCACAGCAACAACCAGCGACGCTCCGCCTCTGGAACATGCTCGTCCTCGCTGCTCTTCGCAATGGGCGCAATCGTTCTGCCGCTGTGGTCTTCGAATACTTCTCTATCTTCAGCTTGGCGTACTCCCACGCACTGGGCGCATACCAGCGACCGCAGCAACTGCTCGACCCGCAAGACTCCGCGCACATTGAGATCAGTAGCGTATATGTTGCCATCAAGCTTTGGCTGCTGCTGGTCAGGAAGGCAGCCTTGCAGTATAAGGAGCTCAGGCACAATGAACAGAATCAGCTTGACGTCTTACAAGACGGTGAGGTCATGGCGACGAAGATGGTATGGAACGAGCTGTGGCCACCGTACGGGCGCATCATGAGCATCCTGGAGGCCGATGCGCGTGTTGGCAATATTTCAGTGAGCAAACATGGCTCACTTCAGCACATATATCCTAGATGAGATGCTTGCCAGCCGATGGCCTCCTCCATGTGGTCCTCCGTCGCAGACCTACTTTTATTCCTGCGTCAGGCCCGCATCACCGCGCTGAATGTCTCGTCGGAGGCAAATACCATCAGCCGATTACGCGCCATCGTCCAGGGCGAAGCCAAGGTCAGTTCTGACTTCATTATCACTCGCTAAATTGCTGACACCAGTCAAAACGGACAGCTAACGCGAGTGATGCGGAGCTTGACAGAACCGCAAGCCGATGTACCGCTTGAGTACTTTGTAAGTCAAATCAATACAGAGATGCGAGCGGAGGAGAAGCTCCATGCAGCGAAACGGTATGATTCGCTCCCGGAAAAAGGACGAAGATTAGTCAGCTAGAGCTGGGTGTTGCCACCGTGGAATGGACTAGTTACCCTCGGTGTCGTACAGTACCCATACTAGATGGAAACAAAAGTCATATGCCACACGAGAGCACCAATTCTTACATCGGCGAATGCTTCAACTTGGCCACACGCGGAATATGCCTCATGTTTGTTTTTGAAACACGCACTGCATGTCAGCCACGATCCGGCGCGACATAGACGCCAGTAGATCTAACACAGTCTGGTCACGTCGCGAATTTGTCCATGATATCGGAATGCAAACAGTTGCAATGATTGCATTTGTATCCAAGGACTGCGTCCATCAGAAACGCGCCGAGATTCAACAAAAATAGCTGGCGTATGAATATGCTATTGACCCCTCCTCGGTTTCCGCTCACTTACAATGACCAAACCTATGAAGATTGCAATGGCTGATATACCAGTGACGAGCACGAATGCAGGTATACGAACAGCCCATTCACGGGACGGGAACATGTCGTGAACTGGGCTTGACTCGTCGAAGAACGGCTGAGCATGATGATGAGACGGCTTGCATTAGCGACTAGACCACGGCTTACCAGCAATAATGCCCAAATAGTGTAATACGTGAAAAGAAAAACCGAGGTGCAAAGCATTGCGGTCCCTTTCACCTGGTCACTGACCATCTCTACTAGTAGGAGCATTAGCGCATGCGAAACTACAGTCGCAAGCTACTTACCGCACAGTCCAAAATATTTCGACTTACTCAGCGGATTCGCTTAACGCACCGCTGTCGATGCGTCGACTGCGTTACATAGCCGTGGGAGCCTAGTCAAGAATGAGAATTGAGAGCAACTGCGACAACCGACCGCGACATGAAACGGCGCAGTGGCTTACGTAAGCGTATATACGTAATCACCGTTGACGCATTCCAATTCTGTCGTCCACCTATCCAGTCATCTAGGTCATCCACATCTCCATTCATTACCTTAGTTCTAGACCCTGAGCTCATGTCTAAGTCAGTCTCTTTACTGGGCTCACAACTAGTAGCCTTGGTTGCTGTCGCTGTGCAAGAAGGCGTCTAATAAACTTCTGCATCGGCATCAGCAAGAAGATGCGTCTGTTCTTTTCACACACGAGTCTCACATCCTGGTGGAACATTTCAAAGAAGACTGTGTCTGTCGTGGACGGTGCTGGATAGCATCGCCTCCATTGACTGTCTTGACTGTCGAGACGCCGGTGCGTGATTGTGGTGCTCACACACTGTCGCCGTTCTGGTTGTTTGCCATCAGTGGCCCTCCGGCTGGCTTGAGGCTTGTATTTGAGTTCCACAACACTGCTGCTTGTGTTGATCGCTTCAGTAAACTAAGCTTCGCTAGGAGAAATAATGCCGCCCGTTGGGAGTGCTCCGTACAAAATACGCGATCACTGTGCGCACAGCCATCTACATCTTGCCGTCCGATGACTGGATCATACAACTCTCGATGTTGGGCCGCCCATCACATGAAGTTGCGCAATAAAGAAGATCTCAATAGAAATTAGACCATTCTAAGGTATGTCTACAGTACTGTTGAATATGCAGACTCGAGAGGTGTCCGCACTCCCAGCTTTTAGAGACGTTGGCTTACCCACTGGAGTAGATTTGAGTATCAACGCCATCTGATAAAAAAACGTTGGCCCTGCTCACCTATCACCGGCGTTGTGCCCTGTGGCTATTATCGAAGCCGTGGGAAGACATACAAAGGACCTTCCTGAGGCATCCTGGTACGCGTCCGTTCCCCAGCTTTGGCGCTGGCGCAGGTACATAGCTCGACCTAACGCTGCCAACGTCGGAATCCACCTGGCATCGAAGGGGCTTCGGGGTATTTCTGAGCAGTTCCCGCAATATATTCTTCGCCGATTCCGCCGTATTGTAGTGTCGGCGAAGCTTGGCTTCACCATCAATGGCAGACCTGAAGCCGTGGTCCGCAGTGCGAAGCTCGCTTTCTCTCGCCTCCCCTACTCCCGCCTGGACTAGATCCCACATGGTAGTGACAATCGCTGCGTTTGGCATAGCGGCGTCTCCGCATAATTCTTTGAAGGCTCGGAAGCCGTCGACGCTCGCGGTCCCCATGCGGTTGTCCACGATTCTATGCATGTATATAATGCCAACCAGGTCTGTTTCCTGTTTGTGTCTACGGTACCCGATGATGGTCAGCTATCTTGATGCGTCTAGCACAATTAACGACTCACAGCATTCGCAGGAACGTAGCGATTGTTCTTTTAGATCTATCACGCACGCCCGGCGCATCGAATGCAGGAGCGTCGATCAAAACCACGGGTTGCTCATCCAACATAAGCTCCACAGTTTGTATGGTCCTCGTGCAAAGTTCGACGGAGTCATTTCCTTCAGGAAGTGACTGTTCTGAGGCGAGGTTGATGAACTGCAACGATACATTTCAGCATGATGATCTGATGTTCGCTCATCTATCATCATATACTCACTCGTGTTTTGCCCGTTCCAGATGGGCCAACCACTCTATAAGCATCATCAATGAACTAAGACTTGTGGTAGGATCGGCATCGACTACTCACACAATGAACTTGGTTCGGCGAACAGACATCTTGTTGCGGAAGAGATGGAGATGCTCTATGGAGGAGTGCAGGGGAGTTTGCTGTGATAGAGAGCAGGCCCGCCCTTTTATTCGCAGTCCGGAAGGGCTACTACCGCGACTCGTGCGCCATGGAGCGGGCGGTTCGCACAAAGTTTGACGGCGCTCGCACGTACCGGCTAGGGCCTTCTTCCCTGCACGATCGTGGCACTGACCACATCAGCGCTGTTTCGCAGGGACCGACGCTGTTCAGACTAATTTGCCGAGCTTCCTAAACCCCCCCATCCCGAGAACGGACTATCGAGACATATGAGAGCGCCCATTCACGGGAGCAGATGATGCTTTGCAACTGCGCCCGGTTGACGGGATAGTCCGGCACACCCCCAGTAGCGTGCGATTTGAGATGCTCGACACTATGGCTGTGATCTTTGGACTGCTTGCGGACCCTGGGCCTCGTGTTGTCAGCCACCATGATGTATGCGGTGCGTGCAACGAGGTGTCTTATCACATGCGTGCTGTGGGAGTTAACGTTCTGTTTCCTTCAGCTACCGCAAAAACTCCACGTAGCCGCAGCGTGCACTCATGGTCGATCACACCTGGCTGTGCTCATGTAGGCTTTGGAGGGAGATAGTCCTTCGATATCTTCGCGTATTCGTGCGACGAACCGCGGACGCGACGGCTTCGCCGACTCACCAAGTGCAGGCATGGCGTCCGCAAGTATGTTGGATCACAAGCTTGTCAAGTTCTGGACCACAAGGATGCCGTTTGCGCGGTCGAACATCACATCTTATATTCGTTTATTTGACTGGGTCTGTCAAAATCAGCGCTTCTGATCACTCTCCAATACATGCCACAGTCTCGATGCCCGATATCCGAGATCGAGATTCATAGGTACCTTCCCAATCCGATGTGCCCTTGTCCAGAGCGGCCTCATGAACGGTTATCGCGGCGTTCCCTGCATATGGCCGTGTCTTCATCAGGCCTCTTCCTTCCGGTTCATCGGATACTCAATTTTCTACATGAAGGCATCACTCCACCTTCGCAAGAGATCCACCAGCGGTCGGAACGGGGACAATAGCAAACACAGGTTTTTCCTCCTTCCTGTGCTGCCTGCAACTAATATTGCTTCGGTATTCAATGACTTGCCGACTTTCTGTGAACTTGAGCATAACAGAATTAAGCGCAGTGACTTGTAGCTGGCTAGTGAAGATGACTATCTCTAATTCTGACCCCAAGTCTGAATGCGATCTTCCGGGTGCATCTGTCGAACGGACCTGATGACTTACCTTGCGCCACTACTTACTGCCCTCAAGCGAAATTCCCCTCAACTTTCGAAGACGGCGGGAAGGAACCCGCGTAATCTCCTGAAATCATTCAATATTCTTCTCCTGCATTCAAACTATCTATGACACCGGTAGCAACCTCTAGCTCTTCCCGCCACAACGTAAGGATATTGCCCCTCATCCACGCACTCCAGCCGTCTGCACCAGGAAGGGCAGACACTGTGTCCCGTAAGCCAGTCTGAGCTCTTTGCTGAATTGTCTCGCACATGATGCGAAGAGACTCCCTCCACTGCACCTCATTTTGAACAGAAATGACGTCACGCTGGCCGTTGAGCACGTCTCTCCAGATTTGCACGACCGCTTCCGACGAGGATGAGGCTCCTTCAGAACCTACAGACTCGCCGACTAGCTGGCACAGGCGAAGAGTCGTGATGAGGCGATACGAGGGATGGGCCGGAGGAGGGGAGGAATCTAGAGTCCAATCACTGTATACCATATAGTGCGCGTCAGCGGCAGGACATTAGCATTCGAATATGGCATGTTACCCCCAATATCCCTCTTCTTCAAGGGTCTTCCGCAACCAATCGCCGTCTGGCCTATCTGACAGCATGTCTTCGATGATATCTTGCACGTCGACCTCGCCCCGGAAGTCGCCTGCAGCGATGGCGTCTGGGGAAATGCAGCTCACGAAGCCATATTCAACGAGGAGTGTCTTGTTCGCGTGCCCGCCGTATCTCAAGAAGAGCTGAGAGTCCGGCTCGAGGCCGTCTGCGCCTGATGTGAAAGCATAATTGCCCTCATTGATATGAGAACCCGGCCTGCGATTCTTGAGAGCCTGGATTTGTGGAATAATCTGGGCGCTGGATACCCCATGATTGGCGAAGTCGAGGATGGGACACAAAGTCAAATTATCCTTGTCAGAAGGCGGATCCCGTAATGGATAGTAAATGCACCGTGTGTTCACTGTAGTGAGATGTATGAGATCGTGACGGCATGCAGGAACCTACATATATCGACCATTTAGCCATCCCCAGAGGTAGTCCGTATAGAATCCAGGAATAGATTCGCTGTTAGTGCGCATTACTTCAGGGCGTGACGATGTCGTCAAGAGAGAAAGATCTGCTTGCTTGATGTGCCCTCAGCAGAGCGATAGTGAAGCCATCTCCGGCACTCACCAAATGACTGCGAACCATGTTCCAGTCCTCCTGGAAACGCGACCACAATAACTGCAAGGCCGATCGTGTACTTGGGGACATGCATTTGAGCAACGTTTCTTCCGTCCTCAGAGGATCCATCTGTGTCGCATTCTCCAATCTTCTAAGCCAAGTAAGGGGATGGCTGTCAAAGTCTCGAGGCATGGTGGATATATAGGGTCCGAAAGCAGGATCTGCCGAGTCTGCATCACCTGCAGGCCTATGAAGTAAAAGATGCATAGATATTTGTTGAACAGCCGTCAAATTCTTCAAAGATCCTCCAGGATAAATCGCAGCCAATGTTCTTGTATTAATCAATGCTTTGCCTGGCACCGTGAACAAGGTGGCGGAAGGCTGCAGTGATGCATGAGTACATCTGTGATGTCCTTACTAGAGGTATACGTACTGAACACGGCTGAGTGGCAAAGAGCCCTCTGCCAGCTCCTGGAATGGTATATTAGTTTCTGTGTCAAACTTGTGTTCTGGCAGCATTGCGACCTGGGACAGTCCTGCACTCGACTCGCAACCCATCTCGACTAACGTCCATGCCATGTTGAATTCTCAACCAGTCCAGAAGACGAGCCCATCGTTGTTGGTCGAGCTCAAGGTCGGCCGTTGCTACAGAATTGTCTCGAACCATTTTGACGTCAACCTCCGACAATCCGCTACTCCGATGCGAATCTCTCTCGGTCTCGGCTAGTAATTTGTGATCACAGTCGATATCCTCACACGATATTCTTGTCAAGGAGGCGAATGCCGAAACGTTACAAGCCAAGAGTTATCCGTCAAGCCCAGGTACCGTAGAGTCAAGCAGTAAGTTGCGACAGACTTGGCACATGTGAGCACGCCGGATGATCTGATACTGAGATAGCATTCCCTCAGTGTCTATACGGCTCTCCTTGCTTCCGCAAGCCTTAAAGATACATAAACGCGTCGTCGACGCTACTTTCACCTGTCGCAGAATGTCTGTCTTCAACGCCTCCCGCTTGGTCGGCAAGACCGTACTCATCACTGGCGCCAGTGCTGGCATCGGAGCGGTTAGTGCGGATGTTCAATAAATAAGCATTCATTGGACTGAGGGGAATCCAGGCGACAGCTCTCTTGTTCGCAAAGGTAAGAACGAGGATTGACATGTTGCGGTGCCAGAGAGCTCATACATCAACGTTATAGGGCGGCTCAAATGTTATCCTCTGCGCTCGCCGCACTGAGGCTCTCAAGAAGGTAGCGGAGGCATGTACAGCAGCACATAAGGAGTCTGGTCTGCAGCAAGGAGGCAAGTTCGCGACTGTGCAGTGCGATGTCTCGGATACGAAGCAGGTCGCGACCCTGTTCGACAAGATCCCCCCTGAGCTGCACAACATCGATATCCTCGGTACGTATGTCGAAAGGGCCATCTCTCGCCTTGACTTCCTGAACTCTGTCATACAGTGAACAACGCTGGTTTTGTGCTCGGCGTGGAACGTGTAGGCGACATCTCTTCGGCCGACATTGAGAGCATGTTCGCAACGAATGTCTTCGGACTCATTGCTATAACGCAACTAGTGGTCAAGGGTGATTGCAAGCCAATCCCTCGCTACAACCTGACGTAGCTCAATGGATATCATTAACAGGCTTCAAGGCCCGCAAGTCCGGCCATATCATCAACCTTGGCTCTGTTGCAGGTCAGCATGGCTGTAATAGAAAGGTGGTCCACCTGACGTTCTGACCCTCGCCATAGGCAGAGAAGCGTACGTTGGTGGCAGCATTTACTGTGCGACAAAGCACGCTGTAAGAGCATTCTCTGGTTCCCTCCTTCGTGAGGTTGTCGACACTCCGATTCGTGTCACCGAGATTCAGCCTGGTACGCGCGTGACCACGTTTCACTGTTTATGTGTCCCTAATAACATCATTCAGGCATGGTCGAGACTGAGTTCTCCATCGTGCGATTCCGTGGGGACAAGTCAGCAGCCGACAAGGTCTACGAAGGGCTCCAACCTTGTTCGTATTCTGCTCTACCGCAAATACACCTGGGCTAACGTTAGCGAAACAGTGGTCGCGGAGGACATCGCGGAGGAGATTGTCTGGGCAGCATCACGACCACCACACGTTAACCTTGCTGAGGTCTATGTCCTCCCAGTCAACCAGGCTTCACCCACACTTAACTACAGGGGTGGAAAGTAAGTAGCCTGAGCTGAGAAGAAGTTCACTCAATACAATTGCGCGTAAAGACTGTAACAGTGCGCCAAGCTGTAGCAATATATCGGAGAATTATATACCTCAAGCCAACTGAGTGTATTAGGGGCAATGACAATAGCAGGGTATGTGCTACGGATCTGTGAGATGGGTATACACATCGAATGCAACGAGATGAGAAGTGCATATATACCACGCGTAAGCAATCGGATGGGTGGTCGAGGAGCACGACATAAGTGTTTAAGAAGCCTTCGTCTTCTTGCTCTTCGTCTTGGGAGCTTTGATTACTGGAGGTGGTGTTGCGATCTCAGCTGCAGGATCGGAATCATCTTCATAAAGGAATTTCTGCACGATAATGTTCTCCCGGACCAGCTCTGGTAGCGGAGTCACGGCATCAAGGACATTGCCAAGGGTGTCGAGGCGCAAAGTCTAGCATAGGCATTGTCATGAGTGAGACCTGTGCGCAGAGGAACAAACGTACCTTTGCTGCCGCTGCCAAGCAGCCTCGCGTGGCAACGTCCTTGGGCCTCCTGGGTTTAGGTGGACTACTGTCGATGTACACAGTAGTGGCAAGACCTCGGTCCCACTTGACCCTCTTCCCTTCCCTTGTCTCGATGCCTTCATCGAAACGACCCCGCTTCGCAGGTCGCTCTGGCCGAGGCGGAGTCTCATAATCTTCTTCGTCACCCGGGGCTCGCCGATGTCGCAGAGGTACACCATTCATATCGAGGCTAATATCGCCAACGGACCCTTCTACATCGACAGACTCGTCAGGCTCGGTATCTGCTTCGGGAGGAGCCTCCGAAGACCGTCGCGCCCTTCTTGCCGCGCGCTCTTGTCTCTCCTGTGTTTTCAGCTGCTTCTGCCGCTCCAGTACCGTTCGCACCTTCGTGGTCGGACTATCAGGTCTTTTACCTTCCTTGCGGATTACCTCCGTTTGTATCTCCGCTACCTGCTGCTGATTCTTGGTTGTGTTCGACGTCGTGAGCGCCTTCAGCGCCGTCGCAGTCATGCCAAAGAAGGGACCTGTGTCAATGGGCTTGGTGCGCTTGCGGCGAACATTAAGCGGGCGCACTGCGGCGTTCGCTACGGCCCCAAACACGTCCGCCGCCGGCTCAGATGATGTGCGTGAGCGTGGAGAGCGGCGCGTGCTCGATGTTTGTGTATCAAGTTCGGCGAGGGGAGTCGGAGACGCCGGCCTTTCGGGCAGAGGCGTCGATGGTCTCAAAGGCACATCGGAAAGTGCAGACAGGGGAGTTGCTTCTTTCGCCACAGTATGTGTCCCCTTTACCGCGGCGGACCCCTCCTTCACCGTGTCCGAAGCGGCCTTCTCCCTTGCGGCAGAACTCACCGAAGCAGCTTCCGATGCCCCGACGGGAGGAGGTAGCGGAGACTGGGACGTCGTAGGTTCTCGTGGCGGCCTCTTCCAGTCCACCGCACGCCTCATCTTCATCGGGCCTGATTGTTTCTGCGGGCTGTTGCGTTCCGGACGAGATTGCAGCCGCGCGGGTGAGGGGGCGAGGGGGCTTGACCCACCGAAGCCAGGCTTCGAGGGTTGGGATTGGCCGAACATGCCAGGAACAACCTTCCTGACAACCACGACAGGCTGTGAACCCGGAGACGAGGCTCTGGGCTGCTCGAGCTCTCGCTTCCTCTTCAACGACTTAGCAGCTGAAGTCTCTGCCGCCGTAGAGCCTGTAGAGGAATGGCCAGTCGCGTCTGGCGCCGGGGTTGGTGTGACATACTTCGAGCTGCTATCGGAAGTGACTGTCCGCACGAGTCTCATCGGACGAGCCTGCCACCGATTTCTAAATGAAGCTACCGGCAACTAAGTGGAAGTATGCTCACCGATGATGTGCCTGCCGTTGTATTAGTATGCGTACGGACGCCTTCTGCGCGCCGCATCGTGACAGGCTGCTTGGACTCTTTCGGGACAGGAGTCGCCGCTGGCTTGGGCCTCGCATATGGCTTAGTCCCAATCCTCGGAATTCTGCTGCCCGCAGTTGGCTGCTTCAAGCTAGACACCTGCTTAGCAGGACTAGAGGCCGGCGAGCTCCCGACCGCCATGGGCTTCTCCACGGACACACTGGGAGCTTCCTCCTCCTCCTCCGGAATAGATGCTGGGGGGCGACGAGAGCTCGCAACAATTGGGAAGGGCAGCGGGTCCCGCGCTGTCTCTGCGCGCGTACTACTGCGCGACGACGTGCCTGGTTTGGAGTCCATGCGAGAAGGCTGCCACGTAGAAGAGCCATCCTTTCCAGCGGTCGGGGTTGGCACAACAGGTCTCGTAGGCTCGGCAGAGCGACTACGCTCACGCTTGTGGTCGACTGGCTTGGGTTCGACTGAGCTGCCACGCCCCGGCTCCGCTGAATTCTCTCGGGGGGCTGCGCGTGGCCGTATGGGTGTCTTGCCCTTGGCAGGCGAACTCGATGACGGTGCCGGTTGCGCCTGCGCGATCGGAACACGTTTAGCTGGACTCCTCTGCGGATCATTCAGCATCGGTCGTTTAAAGACCGGCGATCCTAGGAGACCAAAATTCGGAGCCGTATGTCTAGCGAGCAGCGGATTTGTTGCCGTATGCTTCTGGGGAGAGAATGTACCCTCGATCATGGCTTGTCTAAGAGGGACGCGGCGTGCTGGGGAACGTGGTGGGTCAGGAAGTTTAGATGGAGATGAGGCGAGACTGTCGAGGGGAAGCGGGCGAAGGACGTTAAATGTCGTCGCGTTCTGAGAACGACTATACGAGGGGAATGTAATGGTGGGATGCTCGTTAGGTGTGCTAGGAGACGGCTCATTCACGGGGGCGGAGACTGCAGCCTGCGCAGGTTGCTCCGGCGAGTCGTTCTCAGAGGCTGATGCATTCGGGATCAACTGAAAAAGCACTGCAGCTGACGTAGGGGACAATGAACCAAGTTCGCGGACTGGCGTATTAGGACGCGTCGTCTGCTGCTCTTCGTTGGTTTCCGGAGGAGCGCAATCAACAGACTGTGGCCCAGCAGTTGCTTTTTCGCTCGGACTTATATCCCTACTCCTAGCTCTCTTCTTGATGCGCAGCGCGCTCGGCGGCGCAAGCAGCTGGTCGGTGGCGTCCTCTTGCACTGCAGCCAATAAGTTATGCGGGCTTATCTTTGCGTTAGAACGTGCAGGAGTAGATAGCTCTGAGACTAGCTTGGGTCTATGGGGACTAGAGCTTCGCCGGGCACGAGTGGATCGTCGAATTGGCGTCTGCGGCGCTACTTGTGGCTGCAGGTCAGCAGCGGGCTCAGGCTCAGATTCTACCGAGGTGCGGCTGCTAAAAGCCAGGACTTCAAGGACCTGATGCTCCTCATCCGTCGTAGGGGTCGTCTCATCCGATATGGGCTGCTCGGGATTAGGCACATCTGTGGCTGAAGGGCGAGCGGGCGACGGGGATATGGAGAGCAGGTCATCGACAGTCGCCGTTTGCGATGCGCGCGGCGACGGAGTCTCAGGGCGTGTCACAACCACCAGACCACCCATTCTGGGCGAAGCAGTAGGCGTAGAGAACGAGTCGAAGTTAATGAGGTCGGGTTGAGAAATGTTCGCGTGAAGAGAGCTTTGGTGATCGCTGGGGCGTGCGGGAGGGCTGCTCATAATTGGAATGAATATGCCGTCTTGGAAGGGTTGCTGGATCATTTGCGCATCGAGGTCGAATGACACACGCGAAGCACGCTCGGGCGGCGGGGGACTTGGCGGGGGTGAGGGGTTGTCGTGAGCGCGGAGGATTCTGCTGGCAAGCACAAAGGAGGGCTCTGCTGAAAGTCGTATCCGCTGGCGAGAAGGAAGAGAGAGAAGGATACTCACCGTCTTGAAGAAGATCCTGAACTGGCGTTCCCTCGCGCGATGCGGCATCGGCGTCATCACTTGGCCGCTCCTCAGCATCGGTGTCCGATTCCAGTAGTATCGGCGCGTGCGATAGCCTAGCCGATCTGCGCAGGGGGGTCTTCACGCCGCGGGTCGCGAGTTTCTTCTCCGGCGATTGTAGGGGCCCAAAATAGACGCGAGCGGCCTCTGTGTTGACGGCGTCACTGTCGTCGCTGGCCGATGAGGCGTTAACATCGATGAGCACGTCGCTGGACATGAACGCGAGGCAGAGCGTTGGGTGATCGTAGAGGCCGGGAGGAGAGGAATTAGAGCATAGCAGGTCGGAGGAGGAGGAGTAGAACGTTGGCCTCGCGTTATGCACGTGACCGAGGGGGATTTCCGGGCGATGGGAACAGCACGTGTAGACGATCTTGGAGGGAGCGAACACGGCAGCCGATGGGGATGCGGACGTCGTCTTCTGTCCACTTCCAGGCCCAATGAGCAAGACTTGCTCTGCGTGCAGGCACGTCCCGCTTCCCCTCCTCGTCCCTGCGCTCTATCTCACCCTTTCTTCTCCTCCAGAAGCCGAAAAGTCGTATGTACACTTATCAAAATCACTGACAGCTCTGATGCCAATCCACCGTCTAGCGATGCGACGGCGTCACCCCGATCTGCACTCCTTGTGCAAAGGCGCGACGCCCCGTTGACTGCTCGTACGCCACCGGCAATTCGTCGCCCACTCCAAAAGGCCCTCTTCTGCAGAAAGGGAGCGCATGCTACGCGTGCAGGTGCGCTCAGCGTCTCCTATCATGGCCTGCGTACTAATCATGGGCGTCGAACTCAGGAGGAAGAAGAAGGCATGTCTCATATCTCGGTATCTCGAGTGTTTTCTTGACGCGTCCTGGGGCAGAAATGTGATGCCAGGCGGCCTTTCTGCTCTACCTGCGAGGTAGCGGGCAAGGAGCATGAATGCCAGTACGAGGAGAATGTCCAACGCAATCTGACTGAGGCGCTCATGGCGCGCAACCGCCAGCTCGAGCAGCTCGTCGCACACTACGAGCAGTCCAGCCCCACGGCTTCATCGCCAGATCAGTCGAGTATGTTCATCATGTTACGCGATGTGCCACCCTCACTCACGTACAGCAGATCCGGCTTCCCCATTTATTACTGCTGAGTTAAATGATTTCTTATCATCAGTGAACTCGTTGCAGCACTCGTCACTATTCCCATTCGTCTCCGCAAACAGCAATGGCATCCACGCGGGACTATCTGCTCCTGGTCCCGTTTACATGCTAAGTAGCCCCGAACCAGACACACCCTCGACAGATATCTCGTCACAGTCTGACCACTTCAGTCTGAACTCGCCGACGTTACAAGAGCTCTCCGAATTGTGAGTAATACTGTCTTGCACGACCACTCCAAAGCTTACGTCACATAGCCGTTCGACGTTCCTTTCGCATCATGGGCAGCTGGGCGTTAGCTTCCCAGAACCCAAAATGCGTGCTATCCTGGACGGCGACATATCCGGCACTTACGCGCACCCGGTACTCATTTACGTCGCGCAACTGATGGGCTGTCGCCTCTGGCAGGAGCAGCACCGTACGGTTCTGAACACCCCAGTCGAGTTCATTCAATTGCAATTCGTGGAACAGGCGCTACTGGATGGACCGGACCCTGTGACAAGATTGCAAGTCCACAGCGTGCTCGCTATCTACTTCTTGATCAAGCGCCAAATGCACGAAGGCCGGGATCAACTACTCAGAGGCGCTCAGACTGCCGTCCAGTACGGCCTCCGCTTCGACAGTCACACTTCAGAGGGCCTGCAGCCACTAGCGGACACCAGCGACATTGCGCAAGAGCACATTTGCGCCCTCAGCCAGTTGATGTATCTTGACAAGGCCGCGGCTATCGTACTCAATGACCCCTCGCTGCTGAGCGCCGAATATGATCAGCAATTCCGACGTTTACCCGTACGTCCAAATTCTCTCACCCTCGTCTGCTAAAGAAGACACTGACCGCCCGATGCCCGCCCGATCTTATCCGATTCTAAACAGTACATCTTCCCTACCATCTCCAAGAACAACCTCGTCGTGCTGCGCGCGCGCAGCGTTGCGCTGCTTCAAGCTAGTCGGCAGCTGTCTGCGCGCTGGACCGAGTTCATCATGAGCCTCGGCTGCATGCAGGACGTGACGTCGCCCACCACACAGATGCAGTGGTATGAGGAGTACTTCGAGTTGCTTGACGATGTGTCCGAGCAGATCTCGACGCTGACGCCGACAATGCTCAAGACGAGCTTCTTCCACCACCGTGAGGAGACGCTCGCGCTGAAAATGTGTCTTATCATCTCCCTGACGGCCGCCGCGGAGCTGCACCGTCTGCTCGCGTATCAGCACCCTGAGTCGCGCGTGCGCTGTGTCGACGTCGTGTTTGAGATTGTCGCGGTAAGTGTCTCTAGTGTGTCTAGGTACGACGGGTTAGGCTCACGGCGTGTCGAAGATCACGAAGGGATTGCAGGACGATGACTACATCTTCCTCGACCCGATCCTTGGGGTACGTACATTTGCCCAACCACAAACGTCCCATACATACTGACAGACCCGTTACAGACGTGCTGGTCGATGGTCGCCACCGTGCTCAATCAAGAGCGAATATCACCACTCGACGAGACGCTGGTCTTGCAGTGGAGGTCCTCCGTGACCGTCATTCTGCACTCCGCGTCCAAACTGGGCCACACCCTCCCCTTCATGGGTAAGACCTCCCTGCCGCCCATCCGCGCGCTGCCTCGCTGACCGTCATGTGCAGAAGACTCGATGGAGACCATCAACGGCGTCGCCTCCCTCGCGGAGGAGTCGCCGAAACCTATGCCCGTGTCCGTAATGTGACATTATGTTTCTCGTGCTCGTCGCTCGTCTCTGCTACTGTAGTTATGGTATTATGCTCTGCCTCTGTTTCGATTGGTTCCAGATCGGTTAATTATCCCCTGCGGCGTGGTGTTGTGGATGTATTTCTTGCGACGCAGCGGTGTGCGTGGATTTATTGTACATACCTCATTCACAATAATGTGTACATGTAGACTTGTCGTGGTTTGTGTCATCTATGATCTCGTCGGTTTGGGCTCGTTTTGTTCGATAGACTTTGTACATGTCAAATTGCAAAACAGTGTTGCTGCCTGATGGTCATGGACGTGTTGAGGCGTGCAGGAATGTTCGAACGTAATCTCAAAAATGACTGGTGAATGTCGTTACTAGTGCATGGGAAATGTACAACATATTAACTGCATATATTATATCCGTTAAAGTACAAGCTGAACTACGCAAAGCATTAAAGTGCAGAAGTATACTACTTTAGCAATCTCGTGTGTTGTGGGCGGTACAGGCATGATGTTGTCTACAGTGTATATACGGCATCTGCCCTGTCTGGAAACACTTAAAGCACCTTACACCTGGTTCGCAGCGGTGGCACCAGGGGCGGCAGCAGTGGTACTAGGAGCGGTAGCAACGCCGTTCGTCGCAGCAGGCGCCGCTCCCGTCGTCACGCCGTTGGCCGCGCCTGCCGTCGCCATCCCTGGGCCCGCGCCATAACCAGCGCCGTACCCGGTATCGGTGTACTTGCCCGACGTCAGCCCGAACGCGGCCATGTCGACCTCGCGGAGGCCGTAGAGGAAGAAGAAGAGGAAGATCGGGCCCGCGAACAGGTCGAGGATGCCGTACCAGATCATCTCGCCGGTGGGCGAGATGACGTTCCCGCCCTCGGAGCACGCCCAGGCGATGGGGTAGAGCATGAGGATGAAGGAGAAGTAGGACGCGCAGCGGAGGTAGCCCGAGCGCACCGCGCCACCGGCCGCGAAGGTCGAGCGCGGGCCGTGCCCGAGGAGCACCCACCTAGAAGCACACGACTGTGTTGGCGAGCGCGCTCAATAAGAAAGGAGGAATGGAAGCGTACCAGATGTAGAACAGGCCAAAGACGCCGATGACGTAGAAGCCCCATTTGTACGAGGTGATGACGAACGCGCCTACGAGGCCACAGATGACGAGCACCCAGCCCATGAAGATGGCCGTGAAGATGTCGGAGAGCGTCAGGCCGGTCGCGAGCAAGAGCTCGAGCAGCAGGAGGGGGAGCGTGATGAACCATTGGATGTAGCGGACATACTATGTGTGGAGCGGTCATAAGCCGCGCGAGTGACATCGTCCGCGGATACACTCACGAATATTTGACGGGTGACGCCTGGCGTACCGCGACCGAACTCGACCTCGGCAGGGGCGGCGCCGAGATCAGAGGCCATGGCGAAGTAGGCGATTGTGGCGGTCGTGAGAATGATGATACCGATCTGATGGAAGAGACGGGTTCCTCTTGCCCTCTGTGCACAGCGTTAGCAGTCAAGGTTTGAGAGCAGCATCGAGGGATGTCTCACGCTAAAGGCCCAGGTGAGCATAGCCAAATCCGAGAGTGCCATTAGGGCAGTCACCGCCCACAGCCAGTCCGAGCCACCTGAAGTGATGTGGCGGGATGCGTTGGGCGGGTTGTGATCGAGAGAGTTTCCTGAGCCCATGTCGTGAAAGTCGTTAGATGCGAGGGTAGGAGTGCGATTACAGGCGGAAGTACAAAAGTGCGGGGCGCACAATTGCAGCAAGGTAGAAGGGGGCCTCGCTTTTAATGCGCGCGCACTCCACCCTTCTGTGCTATGATGAGCGACACGACGTTGTACAATTATCTACAGCGCGTCAGACAGCTGTAGGTCAATGGAGAGGACGTCGGTATAGTCATCCATGGCGTCAAAGGAAGGCGAGATAAAGAAGCGGAATATACATCATGAAGTATCTAATGCTCATCATAAAGATTCTCCACTGCCAGTGAAGATGGAGTGGGGAGCGATCCAGTGAGCAGTGGAGATAACAGAAAGCCGCTATGTGGAATAGAGAATGCTCCCGGCTGGAGCGTGACTTCTTTCTGATGCAGCACGGTGATCGCGGCAGCACCGATCGCTATCTCGATCGCGGATCACTGCACGAGCGCGCGGGGATTAATACTGCCGTCTAATCCTCTCACTGTCAGCAGCTTCATCGACATCGTTACATTGTGGTACGTTGTGGTATGAAACAAGCATACAGTACACAAGTGGACGTCCTTCTCTACCTCATCCATATTCCTCAGCAGCAGCATCTCACCGCCAGTACGTCGGCGCGTTCGTTCCCACGATCATCCGCGCCTCCTCGAGGGCCTTGACCACCTCATCCGGCAACGGCCCTTTCTCCGAATCCTGGCAGTTCTGCTCCAGCTGCGCCACACTGCTCGCGCCCAAAATCACGCCATCATCGGGCGTCAGCGCGGAGTGGTGCTGGCACCAACGCAAGGCAATCTCTGTCAGCCGGAGCCCGTGCTTCTCCTATGATCCACGATAGCATCCATCAGCCACTACTATGCCCGATAACGATAATACATACGGCGACGGGCTTGAGGTAGTTCAGCGCATCGAAGTACCCGCCCTTGAGGTACCGCGCACGGTACATCTCGCCCATCTTGCTGCTCGGGTCGAAGCGCCCGCCAGTGGGCGCCTCAGCATCCGGTGCAGCCACCTTTCCGGCAAAAAACCCGCCACTGGTGCAGTAGTGACGTCAGTGGGGAGCGCGCGGATATATAGAGCGGTATGATGCGCACGCGAGCGGGTTGTAGATCACGATCCGCAGGCCGAACTTGCGGCAACACGGCACGAGCTCTGCGTCCATCTCGCGGGTGATGGCATTGTACATGCTGGTCGGAGGTGAGTGCCGCGGGATTCACGGATGCAGTGGCTGTCAACCGGGAGAAGGCTTACGCCTGGTAGATCTTGGGCTGGACCCAGCCCTTGAGCCTGCATATACCGACTATTTCTGCTACCTACCGCATGACATCGATTATCTTTGTCCAAGCTGATGTCAACAGGCCGCACGGGCGCTCACCTCCCAGGAGGCATAGTTGCTCAGTCCGAATATTTCGCTAGGATTCAAGAGTTCCCCGGTTAGCACCTTTGACTTTGCACATGCAGAGCATGTCCAAGCGACTCAGGAATACGCACAAGTGTCCCTCCTTGTAGAGCTCATTGACCTCGCGGAGAGTTTCCTCAAAGGGTGTGCTTCTGTCTGGAGCGTGCAGGTAGAGAACACGAGCCTTAAGGGGCGAGAGGAGCTTGAGGGATGTCTGGAAGGTCGCGCGAAGGGCCGCGGGCGCATGGTCGCCTGGTTTGACGGGAAAGACCCTAGGAGCATTATCACGCGTCAAATCCACGCATTCTGGATTATGGTGGATGGGGCGCTCACTTGGTATCAATCGTGGCGTCCTTCGGGAGGTTCAGCTTCGCGAGCAACTGCAGTGGAGGTGTTATTGAGTAACCAGAAATCTAGTAATCGGGGATGTGATGGTATACATACAGGCTCAGTGGTCCCCTCCGCGTACATCCGCGCGGTATCGAGCTCCCGATGGCCGTACTTGAAGAACGCGTTGACGATGTCCTGACACTCGCCGAGGTCGGATGTGCGCACGCCATTCTTTCCCGCCTCGCCGAGGGTCATCGTCCCCTACAGGGAGTGAGGCGCGGGTCAGCATGTGCACCGATAAGCGAATGCAGCGCGCGCCAGCGCGGCGATCATGGATGCAGAGTGACCCACGAAGATGAGCGGTACACGGGTAGGCATCTTGGATGTCTGATGTGATGTCGACGATACGAGATGACGGCGCTGCGTATGCGCAGAGAACAGTCGTGCAGCAAGCGAGGACTGGGATGGAAGAGGGAAGCAGGACGCGCGAGCGAGCATCGACCGCGGCAGCCCGTGTGCCGCGACGGCGCGACGGCGCGAGTGTAAGTTTCCGCGTTCGTCACGTGTGCTGGTGCGAACCACAGGACCTGCCGCATTCGGCGGTGGGTGCTGCTACCCGATCGAGGGGGCTCCAATATCTCGCGTACTCGAGCGCCATTACGAGCGAAGAAACGATAGGCGCGGCCACCCAAAGTCACTGTTCTCTCCGGCCGATACTCCGAGATGCCGCAGCCACAGACTAATAGGCTGACCAGTGACGCGTACTCACTGGTGTTCGGGAAACATATAGATACCTTCTATATAGTCAAATACCCGGACTCGGACATAATTTGCTATCTACTCACTATGCCCCAAAAACTAACTCTGGTGTAGATCTGTTGTAGAACTACAAAGCCAATAGTACTGTATCTCCTAGACCGACGTCCCTTCGGTATGATGCACTATATATGGTAATTCATAATGCTCAGCCACTGCGATTAGACACGTGATGAGCCCAAGGTTTCTTAAGCGCCCTGTCTGGAATGTATTAGTACAGCATTATGTGGGTAGATGCATTATTTGGTGCAGGCCTCAATTATATTATGCTCCAGTGGTATGATAATTGTATATGGTGCAAGATAAACAAGCACCTCGGACACGATGTCGAAGGCCAGTGGCTGTGGCTGCGGCCTCTCGGATCATCGGCCGGAGAGAACAGTTACTTTGGGTAGTCGCGCCTGCTAAACGTTATTTCGCTCGCTCGAATGGAGCGGTGACCACATCTTGGTGTCCGCCGTCGCTGCGCTGCTCAACATCTCTGCCGAGAAACCAAATACTAGCCTCGTCACTAGCACCATGGGTGCAAAGCGGAACAAACTCAAGAAGGTTCTCTCACCAACACCTGCAAACCCCCCGCCGGCACCGGCCATGGACGACGACAACGACCTCATGGATGACCTCATGGCCCAGCTCGACTCACGCGATCAGAATGTTCAGGCTGAGTCCGCCACTGTCCTAAATGACATGCAGGTCAACAAGGCGGCAGCCACACCGCCGCCGCCAACACCACAGAACGACGGAAGTAAGGCAAAGGCAAGATACAAGGCACGCCAGGTGCGTCCATCGTTTTTGAATACTGTGTCGCCGTGTACCTGAGCTCACGCAGGCGAGGAGAGCGGCCGCACTCGCGGAGCAGTATACGCCTAGCGATCCTGAGGCAGACGCCCGTCTCAAGAAGGAAGCTGAAGACGAAGAGAGAATGATCAAACGAGTCTGTGATGAGCGTGGGCTCGAGATTTTTGAGGTGCGTGGTGCCCTGACTTCTCCGCAGTCTCCGACTCATGCGTGCTCGGCAGATCAACCCCGACGGGCACTGTCTTTTCTCCGCCGTCGCCGATCAGCTCGCCGTCCTCCGCATCATTCCTCCCGGTCAGGCGAACTACGCAACCTGCCGGCACGCCGCGGCGGACTACATTCACAGCCAGCCCGACATCTTCCTCCCTTTCCTGCCTGCTATCGGTGGCGAAGACGCCGTCGGCGCGACCTCCCAGGAGGGGCTCATGACCCGCGCGGACTTTGACCGGTACTGCCTGACGATACGCGACACCGGTGCGTGGGGCGGCGAGCCAGAGATCCTAGCCCTGGCCAGCGCGTACAATGTGCCGATCCATGTGGTACAAGGCGGGACGCCCCCCGTCGTCATCCACCAGCCCTTTGGATCGTCACAGCAAGGCGACGCCACAGACAAACACGTTGTCCACATCAGCTATCACCGCCGAATGTATGGCCTTGGCGAGGTGAGCTGATGATCCTCCCAGCTTGTCTCGTACCCAGACCCCGTATCCGCATCCCCTTTGCGTGGTGGTGGGGTGTGGATACGGTGGATCTGGGTACGAGACGACTCCCAGCCCAATCTAGGGGTCACTGATGGTTTCGTGCAGCACTACAATTCGTTACGGCCAAAACGCACGCTGTCAGAAACAATGAAGTCAGTATTCTCGGGGACATCTTAAGCATGACCTTTCAAGCCGCACTGAGCACGACCCCTTCACATCCAACGCAGACACATCTGGGAATTCGAGAGGAAATGGCTGTATATCGTTAGCAAGCACATACCAGCACTGTATCGGTAGTAAAGCAGCACGATGCCGTAGTCCAAACGCATCCGCCGGCTAATCAAAAAATTGTACATCGTAACGAAACGTGCATTACTTCTGACCCTCCACTCCACCTCAAAACAACGGTCCGCTCTGCTGCGGCCGCGGCTCGTCCGCCATGTAATTCCCAAACGCGCCGTCCAAGTTCGCGTAAGGGTCCGCCCCTCCTGCTGATGCAGGTGCCTGCGAGTAGTCCTCATCACCGTCCCCGTCCCCGTCCGCATCGCCGTCGTCCCCGCCCTCTTGTGATGGGCTGGTGTCAAGCAAGAGATCCGACGCCTCGGCGACAGGTGCTGCAGACGGGACGGGTGCCCCATCCGATGGTGGCATCGGTGGCGGGGGCACTGTCTTGCGAGGGTCCCGTGGACCCGGACCCGGGATGCGGATGGCAGTTGGGGGCAGCATGTTATTTCGTGAGACGGGCACCAGGACCTGTCGTGACGCCGCGTTCAGGGCTGGGCTGTCCGTGAGCGCCTTGCCTGTCGCTCCCCGAATGAAGGTCTGCGTCACGTTCTCGTTAGTATGGCCGTGCATGCTGGCAGAACAGTCGAGTGCACTGACCTCTGGGTTCTTGTGATATATGCTGCCCAGCGTGCCGGTGTGCAACAGCAGCTGGTCCAGCGCCCCGCGGTCCATTCTGTCTGCGTCAGTAGTGATGGCAGGCTTTTCTGCAAGGACGATCTCCCCAGCGACAGCCGGGTTGATTGCGAGCAGTCGCCAGTACATGAAGCCCCGGTCGCGCAGGTCTGGGTTGTCGATTTCTTCGGTCGCCCACTTGAGAACCTTGTGCACGAGTGCTTTGCTGGTGTCTGACTGCGCCTTGTAAATGAAGAGCTTCACGGCGGCGGTCAGGAGAGCCAGTTGGACCTGCGCATGAGAGTAGGCATTCGAAGACATGGCAACCTAGACGGAAAGGGAGACGAACGGACCTCGGTAGGCTCATCCAAGAACGTGTACGTGAGGTCGTCCATCAGCTCGTCGGCATTGTCTATCCGGTTCGCATACTGGCCGACAATCCAGATCATGGCCGCCTTCGACTCAGGCTCGTCCAGTGCGTCAAGATTCTCGCAGAGCGCGGGGATAATGCCCTCGTACTTGCCCGGGTACCGTCGGAAAACGTCCTTGATCACTATGACGGCTTCTTGCACGACGTAGGTAACTTTGTTCTCGATCAGCTCCAGCAAGACCTTGATGCAGTCGTCTGCAGCCGTCGACACTTTGATTGCTAGACGGCCAATCGATCTGACGGCCTTCCGCACGAAATCGATGTCGACTTCCGAAGCATATCTACATCGTAAGGGTCGGCGCGGCTCTCCTGGAGCGTCGGCGACAGACTTACTCCTGGAGTTCAGCGAGGACCTCTCGCGCGTTCTCATCGCGAGCAAGACGGTACATGATTTCAAGCTTCGCCAGCTTGACGTAGATTGGGTCATTATACTTGCAGAAGAAGACCTTGACGTCATTCTTGAGCACTTGTGGTCTTCGTTGAATGATCAGGAGGATATTGCGCAACGCTACATATTGTACCTCGGGACCAGACGACAGTAGTGTGACTGTGGAAGGATTCGAGCGCATAAACACGTATGACATCGATCAGACATACCTAATGGCGGACCCATCTTCTTGCAGATGTAGTCCATTAGTCGTCGGTTCTCCATGTAATTCATGAGGTAGAGCAAGACTTTAATCGTGGTGAGCACTACTGCTGAATTAGCATGTTGCATTTGTACGATAATCCGCTCTGCCATGAGCTCAGCGTCCTCGTGTCGATCAGGAACGTAACGCAGTAATGAGTCCAAAATATAAATTTGACCCCACCTGCGAGCTTGGTCAATATCTGAAAGAAGCGGAATGGAGAAATAGCCGTACTCCGAACTCTCGCCCAGCGCAGCTAGCAGTTTGTTGGCAACAGTTAGGTTGAGTCTGAATATGACGCCATCCTGACGGTCGCCAATCTCAGACAAAGCTGCCACTGCGTTCGCTACGACAGTCGCATTGGTGTCTAGTAGAAGGTCGCGCAACATCTCCACGAAACCACTCCTCTCGGCTTTTCGAGGATCAGCTGTATAAAGCTTTGCTACACAGATGGCTGCCGTCTTCCGCACATACGGATCCTTGTCTTTGAGGGCATGCCGTAGTGGGTCTGCGATCTCCTCTACCACGAGGGACGTGGGGATGTACGACATGGTCCGGATTGCCAACGCTCGAACCAGTGGGTTCCGGTCTTCGCAATCCTTGGACAGGTCGACTTCGCTTCAACATTGCAACTGTGTGATAAATAAATTGCACTCACCTCAAGGAAACTTGGGATGACGCGGGAGATATGGTCCGCCTTGGATCGCCCATAGCAGACCAAGAAGAGATATACCACTAATGAGAGTGCCATGAATTCTCGCTGATCGTGTTAGGATATGCGTGAATTGATAGTACGTACTCTTCTTAATCTCAAGTGATGGGATGCTTAAACATTGTATGACATCACTGAACAACGGGGACACTGAAGCCGACAAATTGAGACGGGTAGAACAGATCTGGCGCAGTAGGACTCACTATCATTTCCCATAGTGATATTGGCAACAATCTTCTTGAGCACCGTCTTGCGCTTCGTGAACTTCTTGTCCTTGCTCTCCGCGGCCTGGAGTTCTGCGCGGAATTCCTGACAAGCACAATGAGCAGGTGGTGACAACACTCGAGATGGGGAACGCACTTGGATCTTTCCCCGCTGGAAGAACTTCGCATCTTGGGAGCCCTGCCCACTCATGTTGGCTCAACGTCAAGTACAACGCGCAATGCGGAATGTTCCAGATTCCAGTCGACACTCAATGCCGACCGTGTCGCACGGATGGTGGGCGCGGTTTCCGCCAAGTTATGTTGCTCTTCAACAATGAGCTGAGGATGCACAAGTGACAGCGTGGTGGTTCTGGTCCCAAGTCAAGATATCACCGACACTGTAGCATACGCAGGAGACCCAACGACACAAGCGAGAAGCTGTAAGCAGTATGCTGTAGGCGCGCCGGCGGCAAGCGAGCACAGGAATCCCCGATCACGACTTTGATATTCGCCGACATCATGGCCGCACGCCGCCACCAGGTCCCTTCTCCGCTGTCCTGCTCCCCGAGGTCGGCCTTGAACTCTGCGTCTCATCAGGATGTCGATTCTATCCTCAAACAGTTAAGGTCGTGCACTCGACGTCTACAGATTGCTCTCTCGTCGCACCGACTAGAACTGCAGGTCCTAGAACGTTTGTACTATAAAGGCAAAAATCAGCACCGCACAGCGCTCTTCTGGAGGCGAGTAGTTGAGATACGGCGATATGGTGATCGTCTGCAAGAAATGGACGCGTTCAATCTTGTGGAAAACATAAGGCTCTTATTCTGGGGCGATACTACTCTTCATAGGTAGGTGCTCACGGAAACACCTGTTGTTTGGCTGTTCGATTGAGGCGGTTCTTAGTGCTAAAGTTCTGAAGGGACCTTGGACACACACACCAGACGTGAATTATGTACGCTTCGTCTTACAGCGATGCGCAGACTGCCGTCAGTTGATGGACAAGGTACTCCCAAAAACACTCCTTCCGGCCATTATCTGACCACGTCTAGACTCAAGAACGCCTGCGTGCAGCATACCAGTGAGTCCGAAAATGGGCGTTGTCGCAAACATGTTGCCGACTCACGTAGTTCGTTTACACTGCTCGTCCAAACAGCCGCGTTCTTGCAGCTCTCTCTCACTCTGGTCGCCATTGCTTCCCGCATATGCTCTTTGCTCGGCGACGCTCAAGTGGCGATAGAAATGTGTCAGACCGCGTGCTTCCGCACGCTACAGATATTAGATGTCAGTACAGTTGATATATGCGGGCCACCGCAGGGTTGGCTGACTCTGCATGTTAGCCCCAAGAAGCCCAAAAGATGATACACCTTGCGGGCAACCTTGGAAGCAGCTCTCGGAAACTCTCGGCAGTCGAAATCACTGTGCCACAGCCACAGATTATCATGCCTGACAAAAATATCGCTGAAGACCTCGGTGACGTTGTGCAGCGCGCGCCTTCGCCTCCATCGGAAGATACACCAGCCAATGTCTTGTTGAACACGGAGGCTTTGTCTTTACACCTCGAGGCCCCTTACACAGCGGAGGCCACTACAAATGACTCGATTGTACAAGGTGCGCGTGCTCGTATACTTGTCACAGTTGACACAAACTGATATTGATATGACCATGCAAGTCGTACGAGAGCCGATCCAGCGTGCTTCAGGTAAACCATCTATCTTACCCGATTCCAAGCCTGCCGAAGTCACCCGCAAGCGTGGTGTAGACTCGCAAGAAAAGACGCCTTCAAAGAAGAAAAAGAAAAAGAAGACAGACGAGATTGATGATATTTTTGGTTTCTGACAGCCTTCAATTCTGAGTATCCAAGATCGCACGCCAATGCCGGAACGCTAAACATGGTGATTTGCAAACCAATACATTTGACTCTAGGCTACATCAAGCATTGTGCATGCTCATACATGAGTGGCGGAATCATGTTAGCGCATCCAAGATTCCTAATTCCAGTGGCGATGTGGTAGATGCCAGTTTATTGCTGGCTAGGTGGGAATTTAGGACGGAAGAAGCCATGCGAACCGTACCAGTTGCCCTTAAGCTGCAAAGAAATGAGGATTTACTCAAATGCAACAATCGACAGCTAAAACTCACCATGTGGTTCCAATACGCCCACGGGAAGAGGTCCTTCTTGAGGTGGTAGAATGCTCTGTGGCACAGACATATCAGACGATGAAAGATGCTCATAATTACACCCGGTGCATACCTCCTAGGCGTCGCCTGGTCACCGAAGTACTGGGCCAACGATTCCTTGGGCTCGAGTCCGTATTTGAACTCTGCCAGCATCAGCTGACCGTACCCAGTCAGCAGCTACGTTTATATGTGGTCAGCTCCGCACCCTCGGGCAGGTTGTATTGACTTACCGGGCAGCTGGTGTAGCCGTCGTACTGAGCGTTTGCAGTTTTTCCAGTGCTCACAACAGAGTAGAGGTTCTCAGTAAGGACCGGGGCCTGAGCGGTAATAGCAGCAGCGGTCTTGCTTGTCGGCAAGCTCGAGCAGTCCCCGATCGCCCAGACGTTCTTGTATTCCGGGTTTGTGTGCTGCAGTGTCGCATTGTCCACAGCCACCCAGCCGGCCTCGTCGGCAAGAGGGGACTTCTTGATGACATCGAGCGGGCCCATCTGCGGCGTGACGTGCAGGAGGGTATAGTCGACGTCCACGGTCGAACCGCCAGGCTTCTTGAACGTTGCTTTATGGTTGCCTGAGTCAACGCTGACGAGGTTGTGCTGGAAGTAGCCTCCAACGCCGCGGGAAACGCGCAGCTTCTCGAGTTCGTCGGAGTACTTCTTCACACCGAACATAGTCGGCGTGCCAGTGTAAAAGTCGACCGAAATCTGGTCGCCGCGTCCAGTCTTTTGGTATCTGTCCCATGCCATCCACATGATCTTCTGTGGGGCTGCATGCATGGTAAATGACTGCATAGGACGGCATAGTGTGAAGATGTACCTCCGGCGCACTTGACAACTCCTGCAGGTTGCGTAAAGACAGCCTTACCCGACCTTAGGGCCTCCACATCGCTCCAGACTTTGTCGCATGTCTCGTAAGAGTAAATGGAAGACACGCCTGATGTAGAGTCAGCGAGCGCCTTTGATAAGCCGGAGATATTGTCCCAGTTGATCTGCAGCCCAGTAGCGACGATGAGCGACTCGTATGAAACAGTACGACCGGACTGCGTAGTAATTGAAGACTTGGAGGGAGAAAATTCCTTGACGGTCTCTGAGATATGGGCAAGGTGAGAAGGAATAAGGGATTTTAGGGGTCTGCGGGTTTCCGTCTTCTGCTTGAGGCCGGAACCGACGAGCGTCCTGCGCATTACGTCAAAACAGCATCCAGAGTGCACTATACTTATGTGGCCTCTCACCATCCAGGCTACGGAGACCAATAGGTAAGCCCGTGAGTACGGTGAATAGTTTGGAACAACTTACTTGGTAATAATGGTAATCGGCAGCGTCCACGATCGCAATGTCACCCTCATTGAGGGGTGTACCGGCTGCACGGAAGCGATTGTATATCTGGTTGGCGACGGTTAACCCTCCTGAACCTGTGGAGAGCGAGACGTTAGTGGCGGTGGTTCATCACAACTTCACAACTCGTGTGCGGGTGGAAGTCTCACCAGCGCCTACTACGACAATTTTGTATTTGTCCTTGCTGTCGGTGCTAGCCCATCGAGCTCGGGACGCTAAGGAGCGTGAGCTGTTGGCAGCTCGTCTCTGGATGGAGAGTAAAGCAGACATTTTATGAGACGGACGAGGTCGTTCAGGGGAGAGAAGTAAACACTGGCGGGAATGCTGCAGCCGGGAGATCGGGACTCAGATCTGATCAAGCAGAAATAATGTCGCAATTTATATGTCACGAGCCGGCCCGGATAGACGATGACGAGCATCCCCAAGCGGTGTCCAATTCGGAAGGCGAACAATCCAGAACAACTCTAGCCGTCACCGTCTTAAATTCCGAATGCTCAGTAAGTCGGCATGCGTATTCTCCGGAGAGGGGACACGAGTGAAAGGTGAAAGCTATATGGAACGACGGCTCGCTAATTCCGGGCGCGGCTGGCAGCACTCCAAATGCCCCGCAAGCCTCCAGGTCCAGCCCAGTCGTCTGCGCCCGATTCGGGATATGTGCTGATCTTCGCAGGGCGGTGCGTCGAGAGGCTACGCTGTATCATTTGCATACCCAGCAAATGAACTGAGTGGACTAGTATACACGGTTTCCTCTCCCACTCCGAGTACTCCTCTTTGCAGTAGTAAAACACGGTATGTATCATGTGAGTGGCGCAAGGTAAGTAGTCAGATCCATTCGACAGATATACTCGTCTGCACCCGGAAGATCGCACTCGGACTCGAGGTCAGAAATAGAGGTAGTCATTTGCACCAGCCAGCTACAAGTCACTGCGCTCAGTATTGTCGTGTTCAAGTTCCCAAGGAGTCGGCAAGTTATTGAACACCGTAGCAATCTAAGTTGCAGGCAGCCGCGCACAGGCAGGAAGCAAAGCCTGTGTTTGCTACCGTCCCCGTTCCGACCGCTGGCGGATTTCTTGCGAAGGTGGAGTGATGCCTTCATGCAGAAAATCGAGTGACCCGATGAACCGGAAGGAAGAGACTTCATGAAGATATGACTCGATGCAGGGAACACTGCGATAGCCGTTCATGAGGCCGCTCTGGACAAGGATAGCCCGGATTGGGAAGGTGGCTATGACTATGAATCTCGATCTAGGACATCGGACTTAAAAAATGTGGCTTGTATTGCTGTCAAATTCAGGGCTTCTGATCAGTCAAATAGACGAATAAGTATAAGACTCGGATGTGATTTTTCGACCGCACAAACGGCATCCTCGTGGTCCAGACCTTAGCAATCCTGTGATACAACATACTCGCGGACGCCATGCCCGCGCTTGGTGAGTCGGCGAAGGCGTCGCGTCCGCGGCTCGTCGCACGAATACGCGAAGATATCGGAGAACTATCTCCCTCCAAAGCCTACATGAGCACAGCCAGGTGTGATCGACCATGAGTGCACGCTGCGACTAAGTGGAGTTTTTGCGGTAGCTGAAGGGCACAAAAGGTTAACTCCCACAGCACGCATGTGATAAGACACCTCGTTGCATGCACTGCATACATCATGGTGGCTGAAAACGTGTGTCCTAGGTTCTGCAAGCAGTCCGAAGACCACAGCCATCATGTTGAGCATCTCGAAGCGCACACTACTGGGGGTGTGCTGGGCCGTCCCGTCAACCGGGCGCAGTTGTAAGACATCATCTGCCCCCGTGAGTTTCATATTGTCTCGATAGTCCGTTCTCGGGATGGAGGGTTTAGGAAGCTCGGCAAATCAGTCTGAACAGCGTCGGCCTCTGCGAAACAGCGCTGGTGTGGTCAGTGCCACGATTGTGCAGGGAAGACGACCCTAGCCCTAGCCGATACTTGCGAGCGCCGTCAAACATTTGCGCGTACCGCCCGCTCCATGGCGCACGAGTCGCGATGATAACTCCTCCGGACTGTGGATAAAAGGGTGGGCCTGATTCTATCACAGCAAACTCCCCTGCACTCCTCCATAGCTAGCATCTCTATCTCTTCCGCAACAAGATGTCTGTTCGCCGAACCAAGTTCATTGTGTGAGTAGTCGATGCCGATCCCACCACAAGTCTTAGTTCATTTATGATGCTTATAGAGTGGTTGGCCCATCTGGAACGGGCAAAACACGAGTGAGTATATGATGATAGATGAGCGAACATCAGATCATCATGCTGAAATGTATCGTTGCAGTTCATCAACCTCGCCTCAGAACAGTCACTTCCTGAAGGAAATGACTCCATCGAACCTTGCACGAGGACCATACAAACCGCGGAATTTATATTGGATCAGCAACCCGTGATTCTGATCGACGCTCCTGCATTCGATGCGCCGGGCGTGCGTGATAGGTCTAAAAGAACAATCGCTACATTCCTGCGAATGCTGTGAGTCGTTAATCGTGCTGTACGCATCAAGATAGCTGACCATCATCGGGTACCGTAGACACAAACAGGAAACAGACCTGGTTGGCATTATATACATGCATAGAATCGTGGACAACCGCGTGGGGACCGCGAGCGTCGACGGCTTCCGGGCCTTCAAAGAACTATGCGGAGACGCCGCTATGCCAAACGCAGCGATTGTCACTACCATGTGGGATCGAGTCCAGGCGGGAGTAGGAGAGGCGAGAGAACGCGAGCTTCGCACTGCGGACCATGGCTTTAGGTCTGCCATTGATAGCCAAGCCAAGCTCCTCCGACACGACAATACGGCGGAGTCTGCGAGGAAAATATTGCGGGAACTGCTCAAAAACTCCCCGATGCCCCTTCGATGTCAAGTGGACTTCGACGCCGGCAGCGTTAAGTTGCCCCCTGCACATGCACCGAAGGACTTTGGGGACGGACACGCATCAGGATGCCTCAGGAAGGTCCTTTGTATGTCTTCCCACGGCTTCGATAATAGCCACAGGGCACAACGCCGGTGATAGGTGAGCAGGGCCAACGTTTTTTATCAGATGGCGTTGATACTCAAATCTACTCCAGTGGGTAAGCCAACGTCTCTGGAAGCTGGGAATGCGGACACCTCTCGGGTCTGCATATTGAATAGTACTGTAGACATACCTTAGAATGGTCTAATTTCCATTGATATCTTCTTGGTTGCACAACTTCATGTGATGGGCGGCCGAACATCGAGAGTTGTATGATCCAGTTAATGGACGGCAAGCCGATGCAGATGGCTGTGCGCACAGTGATCGCGTATCTTGTCCAACGCACTCACGACGGGTGGCATTGTTTCTCCATAGCGAAGCCTAGTTTACACCAGTGATTGATACAAGCAGCAGTGTTGTGGAACCCAATTACAAGCCTCAAGGAGGGCCACTGATGGCAAATAACTTGGACGGCGACAGCGTGTGAGCGCCACAATCACGCACCGCCTCGACAGTCAACGGAGGCGATGCCTGTCGAGCACCATCCACGACAGACACAATATTCCTTGAAGTGTTCCACCAGGATGTGAGCCTTGTGTGTGTGGAAAGAACAGGGGGCGCGGGTTCTGGCGGCTATAACTGATTCGATTGAGGAAGTTCGCGGCAAGCGGACTCTTGTGGGCGCGTTGTGTGTGCCCTCGTCCACGCTCCGCGTTGTGGTGAATGTCGCCGATGATGCCTGTCGTAAGCAAGTCCTCCGTCGTGCCGAAACTCGACGTCGTCGATTTGATGGCCCGCATCTTTTATTCGTATGCGCTGACGGAATAGCCGCGGGTGGTGAGAAAAGTCAAGGGCCGACGCGACGACGGTTGCCTGCGTCCCCTCGCCTTGTCTTTCCGCCTTCACCTCTCGCCCTAGTCGGCTGAGTCTTTCGCGGGTTTCGTCGCTTTCAGAACACCAGCTGGACGGTGTTCTTCTTTGCCAGCTGAGCTGTGCAGTCCCCACCGACATTGAGCCTCATCGTCGTGCACAACCCGGACACAGTACACCTATCCTGAAGTATATACCATGGCACTCCCAAGTCGTCCAAACGTCCGCATGGGGTTGCCCGCTAGCCCTGCGCCTCGCTCGCGATCGGTCGGTAGGCGGTCGAGTCCGCGGGACGATCTGCCGCGGCCGGAGAGCATCGCCAGTGAGTTCATCCCATGGCGCCCCGCGCCCACCCCTCCGCCGGCCCCGACCCGCCAACCTTCGATGACGGAGATGCGCAGAGCACCTTCCCGATCGCGTTCAATCGATACTTCCAAGCGGCAGGCCCGGCCATCCTCCCCGCCGCCTCCTCTGCCCATTGCGCCAGTCCCTCGAAGGCCCACGCAGAGGATGGCATGGAATCCGACTGCAGGCAGCACTTCTGAACCTGCGCAGTCGTACTTGCCACCGCGCAAGCGGTCGGATGGCTCGGTATCGTCATGGGGATCTGCCGCCTCGTCCGGGAGCTCCATGTCCCAAGATTCACTGCTATCTGGTAGATCTTACGCGTCCTCCCGCACGAGCGTGGATGAGAACACAATGGATAGCGCTAAGTCGATGGGCCCTGTTGAGGAAGGAGGCAATGCTGGAAGTCAGCCCAGTCCCGAAGGTTTCCGCTCAGCACTTTGGAGCCGCGTTACCAATGCTGCCGGCAATCTCAAAGTGAACGTTAGCAAGGCATTGGGAGCGACCCTGTCTCCCGACGCAGGTGAAGGCACGTTCTTTCAGAACAATTTGTTCATCTACGGCGAATCTCATACGCTTATTCCAGAGACGCCGCAGGGCGAGGAATCGCGCTTGATGCGTGCAATGAAGGCGTACCATGTTGACAAGGCGCGAGACGCGAACGACCTGCCCGACTGGCTATTTGAAGGGCGCGATCGCGAAGTCATTTCCAGACTGCGCGGTAACGCCCCCGGGAATGCAGAACCGGCGCAACCCCCCATTCCCCGCCAGGCGACAACGTCTCCCGCGCCTGCTCGGCGCGGCCGTCAGGAGAGGATTCCCTCGGGTGAGACCGCCCCGTCGGCGTGGCAGGCCGCGCATTCGCGGGCCTCCTCAACCTCTTCTGTACGGTCGGTGCATGCGAGCACCCCGTCGCGCGATGCCATGAACCGTCTGAAGGAGCTCCGCCTCGCTAAGCGCAATGCGCGGGTCCGCTTCGCCGGGGATGATGACGATGACGAGCTTCATGCGTCGTCTATTCGCCGCCCCCCGACACCCGGCGCGAGGGATCCGTCCCCCGAGCCTTCCGGCTCTTCCCGCGACGACGCGCAGCCCGCGACAGCCATCCCGAGTACTGCGCCGCGACGACGGCCCACGGTCACTCTCACTCGCGAGCGGTCCCTGGCTCGGGTGGGCCTGCCGTCCAGCGTGCGGCCCCAGAGGGCCTGATGAGCGTGCTCGTCGCATGTCGCATGTCGCTTCTTGCTGTTATCGTACTCTTGTCCTGGCACTTCCGTGTGAGTAATTTACTGTAGCCATCCGCTCCTTGTTTCTTGCAGACCGTTGTGTTGTCCTCATTTGTGTTGTCCGCATCTCACGACTAGCGTCACGATATGGATAGAATCTGCGCATTTTCTTGTACTGCTTCTGGTTACGGTATGCTTGGGCCATACCGGACGCTCCTCCGTCTGGCATCTATCGTTCTTCACCACGGTCTCCGATGCATGCGATGTCGTCTCTATTATTATTCCTACGATGTCTGGGTCTGTTCTTAGGGCATAACGCCTCCGCTGCAGGCATTGTACACGTCCGTATTGGTGCATGGGCTATATAGCCTGTATATCGTCTGTCGCCTCTTTTACACGCGTAGATGATTGGTCCGGTGCGTGTCCTTGTCCACACTCCCGGGAAGCTAAACCGTCGACATGGTAGCGGACTGACCGAAGTGCCCGAACGCAAGCGAGGCTTCGTGATTCTGAAAGCCAGATCGCCAAGAGCAACCTCCATCCGGTACCGCTGCGGAATCGTCACCATTCAAGTAAATGCATCCCGTACGATGCACTCTCGGTTCCCATCTGACGTCCGTGATATCTCGCGCTGCCCCCACCATCACATCTGTACGTGCGAACCGCCTTCTGTCGAGCTGCCCCGCACGGTGTTTGACCGCATCGCAAGGCGGCGCAAGTGCGACCAAAAAAGTCGATTGCCTCTACTCGCCAAGTGCTCCCATGGCTATTTTTAGAATCCAGACTCGACAGCAACGACAGGAGGCTGGAGGCCTGATGCCACCACCAGCAGCTGTCGCTCAGCGGGATCACGGCGTCGTGAGGATGTCTATGCGGTTGACGGGAACCGTCGTGAGCTAGGGCGCGCCCAATCAGCATCCGTCGAACAAACCACTGCATGGATGTGGATAACTGTGTGATGCGCCCGTGTGCGGAGCTGAAATGCCCGCAGTCGCCCTCTACGCTTCTCAGGCGTTCTGGTTGGAATCATTGTGTCGTGCCCGTCTCGAGGCGGCTTGCAGGTCTGGTGATTGCAGATATCCGGATGCGTGTGCGCCTGTAGGGCGGCTGGTATCTTCTGATCACAGCTGATAGCAGCCATCTTACAGGCGGTTGGCAGGGCCAGTCATATTGTACATGTCGTCCCTTGTCGCCCATGGAGACGACTAATTGACGAGAACAAGTTACGGTATGCGCGCGGGGATTGGCTGGGTGGGAGGGCGTCCACAGATTGGCTACAGGGCTAGATCACCGAGCCACGCTGCTGTCGCGGTGGGGCTCCCACTTGTCACGAAAGTTTACCCACAGGGTCCGTCAAGCGACCAGCTGCTCTCGATCGTCGCCATGGAGGTACGAAGTTCCTCGGTCGCATCGTCCCTACGCGTCTCCCGCCCCTCTAAATATAAGACCCGCCTATCCGTGCACCATCCCCCAACCCTTCGTCCCTCCCTTCGTTCTGTTTTCTCATCTTAGTCGGATTGATTTCGACTTTTCATTCGTTCGAGGTGAGTGGCTCCGTGCCGTGTCTCTGCATGTTCCTGACCCATGCATCGTCCGCAGATCACCCTCTTTGATAGAGAACTCAACTGTTCTTTCCTCTGGGAGGTTTCATAGTGTCCCCTCGCACTTCGACGACGCACACCTCGACGGTATCCGGTCCTTAGCTTCATTCTCTGTTCGTTGCATTCAGTCACGATGGTCGCATTCGCTTCTTTTGTCGGCACCGCCGCCTTCTTCGTTGGTTACGCATCTGCTCTGCCCCGTCCGGGATGGGCCGCCTCGAGCGACTACGCCTCCTGGGAGGCATCCAGCGCCGCAGTCATGCCGTAAGCCATAGCAAGCATTTGGCGGCCATCTTCCATATGTTGACGTAATTTTGTCATTAGATCCGCTGCCTCTGCTGCATCATGGGACACGATGGCTGCCTCCGCTACGATGGCTTCGAGCGATATGGGTTCGGGCAGCATGGGCTCAAGTAAGATGGGTTCAAGCAAAATGGGCTCAAGCAGCAACATGGGCTCGAGCGGCATGGGCTCCAGCAGCAACATGGGCTCGAGCGGCATGGGCTCCAGCAGCAACATGGGCTCCAAGGGCAAGGACTCGATGTCCTCTGCTGACTCTATGGCCACTGCTGCATCGTCCTGGGGCTCCTCCGGTTACAACTCTGGCTCTTCCTGGGGCTCTGCTAACTCCATTGCGTCCTCCGATGTCATGGCCACCGCAACTGCAGCAGCGATGGGTAACTCCTGGTGGTCGTCGTCGGCAGCACCACCGATGTACACTGAGACCGCGATGGCTACCGAGACAATGATGGCCTCGAGCACTTGGGAGGCGACGTCCACTGCTGCCGCTACTTCCGTGTCTTACGGCTCTGGTAGCTCCAACTGGGGCGGCTCTGGCTATGAGAGCTGTGTGCAGCGTAAGTGCTCATCAGCCGTATGAGAGACGCAAGCGTGCTGATAGTCTCCCTCAGAATGTATGATGGAATACGCGCCTCCCGCGACTATCACGGCGTCCCCCTCGAGCAGCTACTCAGGCTCCAGCTCCGGCTCCTCCGGCAGCGGGACCACACACACCGTCATTGTTGCACCTACGCAGGGAGTGCTCCGCTTCGTACCCTTCAGCGTGAACGCTAGCGCTGGCGACACCATCCTCTACGAGTGGCACGCGAACAACCACACCGTCACCAAGGGCTCTGAGCTCGAGATTTGTAACGAGACGTCCACGGCGCCCTTCGCGACTGGCGAGCACGATCTTGGCTTCACTTTCACCGAAACCGTCAACGACACGAACCCGGTGTTCTTCTTCTGCTCTACGCCAGGACACTGGTATGTCGTATCCTTTCCTTCGACCATGAGGCATGTGCTCACAAACTGTGTACAGTGAGAAGGGCATGTTCGGTATCATCAACCCGCCCAGCGTGGAGAACAACGCTCCCACCTCGGTTGCCAGCATGATGCCCGCGATGATGGCAAACAGCTCGACGCTGTCCGCCATGTACGCCGCCAGCAACGTGTCCAACAACTCCGCCGCGGCGAGCTGGGGCAACACCATGGACATGGGCTCCATGCCTGCGTGGTCGCAATCGCTGTTCGCCGAGAACGTCCTGTGAGTACCCCTGTCTCCCCGCGCCCTCGCTTGGCGCGCCTAGCTGACGCGCGCCCCTCTCCCCTCTCCCTCCCTTTTCAGGTACACGCGTGCCTTCTTGGCGGCGAACCCGGCCGTCCTCAAGCCCGATGGCAGCATCGACATGAGCGCGACCAACGGCACGTGGAACCTCCCCGCCGACATCAGCCAGACGCTCAGCAGCAGCGGCACGTCCGCGAGCGCGAACGCGAGCACGGCGGGTGTTGCGAACGCCGGCGCGGCCACTAGCGCCAGCTCGTCGTCGGCGCCTTCCGGCACGGCGGCGGGCAAGACGGGCGCGGCATCCGCGACCACCGTTTCTGGCGCGCTTCTGAGCGTTGCCGCGATCGCTGCGACGTTCCTCGCGCTCTAAGCGATGCCAGCACACTAGTACTGATCCCTGCTCCTCGACATGGGTGGCAGGCGGGCGCCGCGCGCACCCGCCGCGGCACGAACCTAGCCAATAATGATGCGCCGGACATTGTTCATTTGCTCTAGCTCTGATACCGTCTCTTGTTCACTTACCGCTGTGCACGGACACTACTCGTCGGACTCTGTTTCGCTGCGATCGGACACTGTGTTTTTCGTCTGTTTTTACATTGTTTTTACATTACTAGTCTCGCATGCGAGGAATAGGCTACTGCACCTTCCCACATTGCTTGTAGGCAGCGCTGGTCAACTAGTATTCGTTTGGCAGACGCCTCCCGGAACATTTCAGTTGTGGGCGTGAGTGTGCTTGTGTGGTTGATGTCGACAGGGTGAGTTGTGATCGGCCTATTGTTAGCTGGTGTAAGTTGACCTGAGCCAGTCACTGTGTCGTTCCTTTATGTGTGCTATAATACATCCTATCACTAATCATTCTTTCGTCTTACACCTAACGCAGAAACGCAGACACCGGTACTCCCATCTAGAGACGGATAATATAGGTGAAGCCGTCCCATCCCTTCTCGCCGACCGTGCTGATTGTGGTCGCGTCGACGTCCTTGTCTGTCTTGAGGTGTTCGAGCAGCTTGCGAGTGCCAATAGAGCTGGCATCGTTCTGCGTCGGGTCAGCAACGCGCCCGTGTCTGACGACGTTGTCCACAATCTGTGGGGATCGTCATCAGACTTGCCTCCCGGAGCAACGTGGGATACCTACGATGACCCCGTTCTTCCTCACGAGGCGCTTGGCCTCAAGGAAGTAAGTAAGGTTTCCAGGCTTGTCGGCGTCAATGAAGGCAAAGTCAAAGGGCGGCTCGGGTTGCAGCTTCGTGATCGACTCGGCAGCGGGACCGACGATGATCTTCACTCTGGACGCCAGGCCGGCGTGGGCGATGTCTCCCTGCGCAACCTGACGAAATAGGAGGCATCGATGAGCGGCGCAGGACGGGATGAGCATAATATGAAGCACTACCTCAGCGTGCTTGGGCTGAAGCTCCAGAGTAACCAGTTCCCCGTCTTCGGGCAGGGCGCGAGCCAACCAGATGGTGGAGAAGCTGTCCGAGAACGTGAGACGCTGCAAGAAGGGAGGCAAGCGCCATGCCAAACTTACCCTCCGAGAGTGCCGACTTCGAGGATACGCTTCGCGCCGATCGAACGGGCCAGTAGGTTCAGGAGTTTGCCCTGGGCGGTACTGACCGCGATCTCGGGGAGACCTTGCTCGTCGCTGGACTTGCGCGCGTACTCGAGGGCCTCGTCGGCGGGGATGAGGAACGAGTTGTGGTAGACGTCCGAGCGCGTCCAGTCGTCGATGTTAGAAGCCTCAGCCATGTTGAACCTGACGTTCAGCAACTAGAATGTGGGTGATCGGTGGAGTTCCGTGCTCCCATTGCATGCCCCTTTATAGGGGAGCAGCTGGCCGAAGGAGCCGATGTCGGGAGGGGTACGACGACGTTCGGCATGGTGCAAAGGGGAATCGTGCGGACGCGCTAGAGGCCTATCTGACTCGACAGCCACAAAGCCACCCACGGTGCTGTCAGCGGGCGTATGGCACACAACTGCAAATCCGTGCTGCGATCTGCTTCTCCGTATGCGATTGGGCGTCTGCTCTATCTGATAACAGTCATGCCCGTGCCTGGAGTCACGTGCCGAGTTGTTTGCGCGCGTCGCGTCTTGTTTACCGCGCGTCGTGGGAGTTTCGCGCGACGTGACCTCAAACACGAACTATCACCTCGCGCCTGTCGTCACGCACGGCGACCACGCGTTGTGCCCGCCATGTCCCGCCTCACGGCCGCCCAAGTTATCGCCATTGGCGACTACCTCGAACCCGACTTCGATCCGGCTTCCCTCACCGTCCCGCAGTTACTGGGTATCTTCGGATACCACAATATCAATTACCCGTCGCAGTACACCAAGCCGAAGCTTGTACAACTCTTCAGCGACGAAATCAAGCCCAAAGTGGTGAAATTGAAAAGAGAAAGATCCAAGAAAGAGAACAGTCAAGCCAGCGATGATGGCATCAAGGATGGTGTCACTGGCAGGCCATTGAATGAGGGGAAGAGGGTCAGTGCATGAGCCATTATGTAGTCACCACCCCGTAACCCCTAAGCAGATTGTCCGACGTTCGTCAAGGCGGTCTTCCCAGGCCCCATCTTCCGATCCTCCTGAACCGGAACAAGCTCCTGTTAGTTTCCCTGTTATCATACCATGTCTATGCGATAGCGTCTCTGAGTTAGTATCTACTGCGTAGCCCAAGCGGCGCAGGTCATCAGCCCAGCCAACGCTAGGCGGACCTTCGAGGCGCAAGACCACGAAACCTACGCAGCCCGTCGTCGTGGAGGAGAGCGAACCGGAAGACGAAATCGTGGTCCGCAAGGTCGGACGGAGCAAGAAGGGCGTGCGTAGCGTGCCTTGCATCGCATTCCTCACGTACCAACTGACTTCGTTTCCTCGTCGCCGCAGTCGACGGACGCAGGCAGCCAGGCCCGCAGAGTGTCTCAAGCGTTCCCCGACGATTCAGGATGGGAGGATAACAATATATTCCAATCTGGCGCCGAATCGTCTCCAGCCCGTCCTTCGCCTGTCCGTCCGCGTACTCGGCGCTCCAGCGCGATCCCCAGGCCTGCTGTGAAGTCGCGGAAGTCTATGTCCGCGCCTCCGCAGTATGCTTCTGAGAAGGGTAAGGAGCCGGCACAACCAGAGCCAGCGGCATCAGAAGAGCCAGAGCCTGCGGTAAAGCCACCGTCCAGTAACTTTGAACCTCGCTTGCCTCCTAGCGTTGCAAGGCAGTCTCGGGCTACCACATCGAGGACGAGAGCAAAGAAGGGCACGCCCGCACCGGAGGCTGCTGCGCCGAGCAGAGTAGTGGAGGTACCAGATGATCCCGAGGAGGCAAAGCAGTCAGATGCGGAAGAGATGCAGCAAATAGAAGCTCTTCGCAATGCTATAGCAGCTGACGCTGTGGACGTTCCTACGAAAACCGAGCCTCATGATCCCCCTATCACGGAAGAGGAAGAGGATGAGGACATCGACGACGAGGCTATAGACGAGCAAGTGGCTGCAGTATCACAGCGAATTTCTGAAGGCGGGCGACCCGTGCAGCGAGATGTGACGCCAGCCTCCGGTCCTTCTTTCCTCGTCCGTTGTATCTTGCTGCTGCTTGCTCTGAGCGGTTCTGGTGTCTTGCTTCAATACAAGCACGAATCTGCCCGAATTGGCTTCTGTGACACTGGGAAGGCGACGAACGCCGTCCTCGAGGATAACAGGGCGCGGTGGTCGGCGATTGATAGCTGTAACAGGGAGAATAGGACATCGCTTTATCTAGCGGACTCGACCGCGTCTGTCCCTTCACCCATTACGACACCCAGTACAGGAGCTCCAGATAACGGACAGTATGTTGAAATGCCGTCTGAAGATGGGGCCGAGCAGTGTCCTCCTCTTGCGCTAATTCCCCTTCCTCACCCGGAGACATGCACACCCTGCCCTCGACATGCCACTTGTACGCCATCCACTATGACGTGCGACAACGGCTACATTCTCCGCTCACATCCCCTCCTCTCCTTACTACCTGTACCTGGAACCTCATCATCATCTTCCCTCTCTTCAGCTGCGCTGAACACCTTCACGCGTCCCGGGAGCTTGCTCTCGCCGAGCGCTGACATCCCAGAACTCGTGTACTCGGCTATCTCGTTACTGCTTGACGGTATTCCTGGGATTGGACCAGTGGCGCTCGCGCCGCGCTGTGCGGAAGACCCGCGCCGAAGGCGACACATCGGCGCTTTGGGCAAAGCTATTGAAGCCATGCTAGCTGCGGAAAGGGGCCGGCGAATTTGCGCTGGCATGGGTGCAGACGGTCCCGAGGGCGATGATGCGACCGAGGCGCAACGGTGGGGCCTCGAGCTAGGAAAACTCAAAGACGATCTGAAGAAGAAGACTGCGGTGCGTGGTCCGAATCCAATTAGCGTTTTGCTCTGCTGACTCGAGTGCTTGATTCATGACAGCCAAACCTTCTTCCAACGCTGGATGACACGTTCAATGAGGCAATACAGCAGCTCGTTCAGTGGGGCGGCGTCTTCATCGGCGAAGATTCAGAGTACGTTACCGTTTCGCTGGACCATATGGTGCATTTCTGACAATTAGCGTGTCCTTAGCGGCAACCGCTACCTTGCACATCGGACGCCCTCTATGGGCTGGGAGTGTACTGTCAAAGTCAAGGCACGCGACGCGTGGATGGAATGGCGGCGCGCACTCATTGGTACGTCTCGCGCCCGCCCTGTTTCACGCTAGCATTGTCACCCGTGCCTAACGCGCCTCTGCTTTTTGTGTAGGCAGCGCGCTCCTGGTTCTCAGCATGCTCTTCTTTAGGCGCCGGCAGGCCCACAATGTGGTGGAGAACGAACGCGTAGCAGCGCTCGTCCAGATCGCGCTCGACCTGCTCCGGAACCAGGAACTCGCGCACCACACGGACCCGGTGACAGCGCCGCAACCGTACCTGTCATCCCTGCAGCTGCGCGATCTCATACTGCAGGACGAGCACTCTGTCGGCATCCGGCGCCGACTGTGGGAGCGTGTGGAGCGTGTAGTGGAAGGAAACGCTAACGTCAGGACAAACTTGGAAGAAGTTGAAGGTGGCGATGAGCTGAGGGTATGGCGCTGGGTCGGTAGCGCCGGCGCGATCAGTCCTGGATCAGGTGGCCGGAAGAATATGTCCGAGAAGGACCAGAACACGAGAATTGTTGCCTGATGGCGGCACAGGTATGACGATGTTTTGTATTATGAATTTATTGACGCCTCTGCTGTTTTCCTTCCTTCCCTCGTGATGTTCCGCGTGAAATGTACCGCTGTCGTGTAGTCGCCGTATGTATGAAACCCTTTCGATGCTGTCATGATTTTATGCCTTTCTGCTTCTCCGATCAGTCGCTGTACACGTACGTACGAGTAGACCAGAAGTTGATGACAATTCAGTTGTTCTGGCCACACATCGACTCAATTGTTTCTGCAAACATGACAGGCACCCTCGGAAAAGGGCACTGACAAAGTAGCACTCTGGACAGGCCGATCCTGTCAGACAGCATTGCGAAAGATCTACAAAAGTGGGGTGCCATGTCGAGGGTTCGAAGCCTACAACAAGGATGCACAACGGCCAGTGCTAACCCAAGAAGTCCAAGAGGAAACTGCGGATCGGGCTGGGACACCCGCGACGATGCTCCGAATTCTTCGAAGACAGGGCAGGCATATGATCATCGGCCCTGCCACGCACCCGAAGCGACCTACTTTCGTGCAGCGGTCCAGATCGGTGTGGGCCATCAGATCCATCGCTGTGTACCACGCAGACAATTGGCAGTGTCCCTTATGGCTTGGGCCCTTGCGCCCCGGGGAGGGGTCTCGAACGCACACCGGCCGTCACCCTCCAAACACCGCAAAACGCACCCCCAATAGAAGACCACAAACGCATACGACGCATCATTCAATTTGCGCGGGCGTTCGTTTTCGTTTCCGTGTGCGTGTTCTGGGCCCCCAGCTGCCCACTGCCCACTACCCAGAAGAAGAATAAGTGCACGAACGGACTCTACATCTCACTCCACTCGGACGCCATCGTCCACGCGAGCTCCGCGTCGTCCGGCGGGAGCCCGGTCTCGATTTTCTCGATGAGGGCGCGCTTCATGAACTGCTCTTCCGCGAGCACGCGCGTGGTCTGGACACAATTCGGGGGTGTATGAGCGTTGTGCACCTAGCCAGACGTATACAGCCCCCGAGGGAACGCACTCTAATGAACCGCTCCAGATCTATCCGCCCGGTGTTGAGCGCACGGTGCAGATGATAAATGGTGTCTTCGATGGCGTTGTCCTCCGCCACCAAATTGACGAGCCTGGCAGAAAGAAAAACCGACCAAGGTTAGAGTTCGGGTGTAATACAGCCTGTAGCCACATGCGGCGGAGTGCGCCGCTAGAGTACAAGGGCAACTGGGGCCGACGCGAAAACAGGCTCGGATGAGAGAAAGCTTGCACGCACTGATTATGCACGATCGTGGTCGAGCACACGAGCTCGTCCACCTCCGGGTCGCCCTTGCGCCGGAGCTCCGCGACGTTGCGCTCGCCCGCGTCAACGACCACGCGCATGCGCTCCGCGACCGCGCCGCACACGCTGCGCACGGCCTCGAGGCGCGCCATCTCGTCGCGGATCGCCGGCTCGCCCGCGAGCAGGTCCGCCTGGTGCGCGCGCAGGCGCTCCGCGTCGAGCGCCATCGCGTGCTGCAGCGACGCCAGCTCGGACTGCAGCTTCGCGTGCACCTGCGCGTGCAGCCGGAGCAGCTCCGGATTCGGCGGACGCGGAGGCGCAGCCGAGGGCGGCGTGCCCGGCCGCGCCTGCGCTGGCTCGTCGCCGTCGAGGAGGTCCGGTGGGATAACGGAGGGCACAGGCGCGCGTGGTGGCGGAGGGGAGACCGAAAATGCTGGCGTGAGTGCAGCGGGCGGGGGTGGCGCCGGGGGTGCTGGGCGGGGCTGATGTGGCGGGAAGCCTGTGGACAGCTGGGGCGAGACAAAGGGAGGTGGCAAAGGGGGCGGGGACGTGCCGAGGCGTGGATCGCCTGCCGGCGAAACAGGAAGTGAGTACGCCTGGTGTGACGGACCGACAACGTGAGGGTGGCGCGGAACAGGAGGTGGGGAAAACGCCGGTTGAGCCACCGCATATGGGGATTGTGGTGGTGCGGAGGCGGGGAACGGCTGACTCGACGGGCGGACCGTGGCCATCGGAGCGCTGAGTGACCGGGCAGAGGGAGTGCTGGTATCATGAATACCGCCAAGTGGGCTGTGTGGGTGTGGAGTGTACGTCGGGGGCACCGGTAAGTGAGCGGTGGGAGAAACGCCTGGTGCGACCGGCGGATGCGGAGGTAAAGGAGGCGGGGGTCTCATGCCAAGAGATGCCTGCGAATGCGATCGGACAGAAGCACATAGTTAATGAATCGGTGCATATAGGGGACAAAGCGATGCGCACATTCGCAAGCACATTGGGAGAATCGCTCCGGTCGTTGTTCGGAGGAGGAGAAGAGGGAGGAATGGTAGAACTGCTGGAAAATTGCACGGGAATGACAGCGGAATGAGCTGGTCTGGCGGGAAGGGGTGGACGTCCATCAGTTTGGGTGACAGCACTAGGGGGAGAGGCCGTGTGCGAACGGGCTTGTGCGCCCGGGAGGGGCGGCGGCGGTCGCGCAGAATATTCCGGACTTGTCGTCTGCGACCTCTGCATGGCTGAGGAGGACGGCACCCCAGCCGGTTTGGCATTGACGGGCGGGACACGTGAGAAACTGTCCTGCATTGCTTGTATTAACGCAGCTAGGTTGCATCCCTAGACGGTATTCGGCGGATCAGGCTGGCACGAGCAATGGACAAGCTGCGTTATGAGCACGCGGGCACGGACCTCGCTTTTCCTCTGCCAGTTGCGCAGATACTCTACTTGGCATCTTCCGCTGACATCCATGTCGGGACCGGGGCGGACAATCATGTCGGTGGTGGGGACGACATATGCAATAGGGGGCTGTCGGGGGTACTCCCTTGTGAGCCATATGGCGATGGGAATGTTGTACGACGCGCCGCGGTACGCGATAGGGAGAAGGCCATGGAGGCAGAGCAGGAGCTGGGTGCGCCCGTCGTCATATGCTGGAGATGAGATCGTGAGCATGCCGCGACGGGTGGACACGAAGGGACTGAACTGTAGACATCCGTCTTTGGGCGGACTGTGGGGTAGCGGGCGAGGACGGCGTCGGTGTGGGCGAAGACAATGTCGTGTGCGGGGTAGGACTGTATGTTGTGGCGGAGCCATCTGTGGGTGAGCGAGTCCTGTGAGCCCATGGGATGTCGTCGCGGCCTGTGGCAGCGCCGGGACGCTTGCTTGCGACGTCAGAGATTGAGGCGGAGTCTGAGAGGCGCCGACGCTGGCAGGCTGTACGGGCCGGTGGCGAGGTGGCGCGGGGCGGCGGCGGGACGAGCTCCGCCCGAAGCGCCGAGGACGGCTGCACCGGTCGCTATGTCTGTGTGTGTGCGGGGGTAGCGCCGGTATCCGCGGCGCGCGGCGGGCGTCAAGGACGACCGCGCGCCTGGCAGAGTCGCCGCGGACCTCGCTGGCAGATGGCGATGGTGATCCCGCACAGCTGTCCGCCCCATGCGCGCACTCTCATCAAACCTTGTCACGCCCGCGACCATGTGGACAGTCTCTTGGGCCCAAGATGCTGCTTTCGTGCTAGAGCCCGCATACGGAGCGGAGGTCTTCGCCGTGGGCATATTTGCTTCCGCTGTGCGCAAGCGGCGGTGTGCAGCTCGTCCCGTCTCACTGGCAATATTCTCGTTTCTCGTCTGCAAGGCGCGCACTGGGCGTCCCCGGGGTTCTATCGATAGCGCCGACTCCCGTTGCCGTCTTTTCCCTGGGGCCACCGCGGCCGCTGTCCCGTTCGGGAAGGCACAAAGGGCTGCGGTATCGGTGCGGACTCGCTTCATCGCCGGGCCACATGAGAAGTGGAACGCTTCAGCCTGACAATGGGCACACCTCCGCGCAGACACCTGATCCAACGCGCCCGAGCTGTGAGGGGACGCCGGGTGCGAAAGAGGGTGTCGCCACCACACAGTCACCGGGCCCAGGCCCCCTCGGGGCTCTTGCCCATTCCTGTGCCCTCGCAGTCGCCTCCGATCGTCGAGGGCTCTGACGGACAGGGGCCGTGTCGCGCGTCTGCTAGCTTTCTGTCCCATCTCCACATCAGCGGCTCTTTCTTCCCATTCCCGGATCACACCTCTTCTCGGCTCCCTCTCCTCAGCGCCGAATCGCATATGTGAGATTCGATGGCCATCCTATCAGCATCTGCTTGCTGCTTTTGGTCTCTTCAAGGGCCATTGCACATATATATACCCTTCGCCGTCTCTCCCCATGTCTTCCCTTCTCCCCTTGTACCTTCCTAATCCTGCCCCGCCAATTTCACATGGTGTTATTGTCCCGGGCACGTAATGTTACGGTACGGGTTCAACCAATACATATCCTCTTCGCTCTTGACTCTACCAAGCATGGCCTCCAACGCCAGCATCGAGTCTCTCACTGACTCTCTCAAGCGCAAGTCCCTCACGCCCCAGCGCAAGCACCACAAACTCCTCAAGGACGGCAGCGAGGTCTGGTCACAAGAGGTCGAAAAGATCTTCGTTGACGGTGAGTCTTTTTTTACGTATATCAGGAGCCGCCATGATGACCCAGAACCCGATCCATCACTCGCTTGTATTGCAGGCCTCCACAAGTACTGGGAGTCGCCCTGGGCAACGTATTCTCGCGGCCGCAGTCGCTGGCGCAACCAGTTCCTCGTCGAGCATCTCAAGAAACATGGCATCGACCGCTCCAAGAAGCAGGTCGCGAGTCACATCCAGGTCCTGCGGAATATGTGGAGAGGCGAGCCCGGTACGGTTGCACACGCACGTCCTCAATTCAACCTGAACACGGCTGACGGTTGATCCAGAATTCCACCTCGTAGCCGGAGGCGAAGAGCTCTTCCAGGAGAACGGTCTTTTGGCCTCGCCCCAGAGCACCGCCAGTACGAGCTCGCCAGAACAGCATCCGTCGACCAGCCTGGACGGCTCAGACTGGCGCAATTCGTGGTCTTCCTCCGCTTCATCCACGCCTGAGTATTCCACGACGGAGTTCCCGTATGATATCATGCCTTCTTCCGCGGGTCCCCAGCTTGCTGCTCAGCCCATGTCTTACATCGCCGTGGATCCCGCGATGGGGCCCACTGCGGGGCCATCGCGCTGTGTGCCTGATCCGTTCGCGACAGTCACGCCTGCTACCGCCAGACCACACTCCGTCCAGCCGGTCAAGCTCGAGCCACTATCTTTGGGGCCTACGCTGTTCAACCTGCCGCAAACGAGCGCGTTCTCAGACGCGCCCGAGGGCCAGCCCGCGGCATACGCACCGAATCGGCTGCGCCACCTGAACCTGTACATGGGCTCCACCACCCTCGCGATGATCGATGTCGACCGCCTCATCGCCGGCTCCGCGACGGGCTCCCCGCAGCCCCCGTCCCCGTGCCGGATCCTCCTGCGGATACAAGTGCGGGTCCCACCCGCGGACGTACACACCGCGTCGATGTTCCAGACCGTCGAAGGCATCGCGAGCTTTGCGGCGCCGTGGGCCGTCGCGGCCAAGTGCCACACGAAGCTCTGGACGGGCAAGACGTGCGTGAAACACGAGGTCGGCTACTGTGAACAGCAACAGGCCCCGGCCGGCGGCAGTACGCTCCCCCAGTCGTCGCTGACGAACTGCAGGTGGCTCGATCCCGGTGCGTGTGCGGCGCGGCTCGCTTTCCAGCCCCCGGCGTGCACGCCTGCGCCGCATGTTGACTGACAGCACACGTGTTTTTTTTTGCTCCTGCAGCGATACAGACCATCACGCAGCAGTTTGTCGTCGACCGCGAGGTGCTCGCCGTCGTCATCTACGTCCTCGACCGCACGGGCGGCGCAGGGACCGAGCCCCGCGCGGACCTCATCGGGTTCCACAAGTATCCGTGGCAGACGCCATCCTCACAGCCCCTCGCATCCCCGCCCACATCGCCCGTTTCATCGGCTCTGTTCCCTGCCGCCCACAGAGGTGCTGCCGCGCCGCAGATACCCTTATTCGCGCGCCCGCCGAGCCTCGGCGAGGACGTCCCCTTATCATATGCGCTCGATCCCAGCCGCGCGGCCGCGATGAGCGCCGGGGGCGCGTCGCCCCACACTAACGCACCCAGGTCGTTCCGGTAGACAAGCGTGCGCCCATTTTTGACCCGGGTATACCCTGGCGTCCACAGATTATTTATGACATTCCTTCGTTCTCCCCGTCGTTGCTGCCCTCGGACCTGCGGACAGTTTGTATCTACTCATCGCTGTACCGTCGCTTACTCGTTATAACCGCGCTCTGTATTAATGTTTCGCAGCACCGGAGTCGTTGTAGATTTAGTGGTCGACGATCCCCGTCGCAACAAAACAAATGTAGCCGCTAATTCATTTTATCCCATCTTACCCTTGCCAACGAGACGGAGGGCGGGTTCTGAGCACTATGACGACTGCTGCTGCAGTAGTTTCCGGGCCTGCGCCCGCACCTTCGAATCCCAGTGGTCGTTGGCCAGGAGATGCAGCTCCCAGAAGGTCGTCCCGAAGGGGTTGCTAAGCTGGGGGTCGTCGAGGTCTGGTCGGTAGACGCCGTTGCCTGCGCGGTCTTCGGTCGATAAAAGCGCCTCGAGCTTGGGGTCGCGCTCGACGAGTGCAGCGACGAACTCCACAGCGCGGGACGCCGTCGCTGGCGGCCAGTTCAGCGCCGCGCCGAGCAGGCGCTTTGCAAACGCGGCTGCACGCCACGGGGGCGCAGCGGACGCCGACGCGCGCGGGGAGAACACGAGGTCCAGCGCGCGGAAGAGCATGTCCGCGGTCGACTGTGGCCGCGCGACGCGGACCTCCGACTTGAACGACGCCGCGGGCGACGCCTCAACGTCAGGCGCAAGGCACAGTGCGGGCAGGATGGCGTAGAGCCCGTTGATGAAATCCGTCAGATCAATGTCAAGAGCCTCTCCTGGAAGACACGATCGTATGGTCAGCGATCAGGGTGTGGCGACCAGTGCGGGAGGGCGTACCTTGCCCTGAGAGGAGCTCGAAGGCGGTGACGATGCATAGCAACTGGTGTTGGGCCACAGCGGTGTCAGAGGCGTCGTGCACCATGTGGCTTGAACCTTCTTTGCTGACGGGATCCAGGAACATTATGTCTTTGAGGACCTGCATCAGATCCTTGAAGAAGTCAATGTTCACCAGGTGAGAGAATTTCGATATGCCCTGCAACGCAGCCGGTAATAGAAGAGTTGGCTTGGGGGTTTTCAGAATTCGGAAATAGAGGACGAAGAGGAGCTTCAACGTCTCCGTTTGCTACAGACAACAGGTCAGTGGCGGCGTTATTAAACTAGAGGACCGGCACCGGTGCCTACCGTCGCGGCCCGCTCTTCCTTGTCGACTTCAGCTTCAGCTTCGCGCATCTCCTTCGCGATTTCCTTCCGCTCCTTCAGCGCCTTCTTCGCGTTCTTGCTCAGATGGGGCTGATCGGGTTTCTTGCTTTTGCCGCGGGCCTTGCCATGTGGCCTGTCGCTCTTCTCCTTATCCGCCTTGTGGTCGGACGCACGGACACCAAGCTCCGTTTTCAATCGAAGATGTAGCAGACACGACAGCACCTCCGGGTGGACGTGAAACGTGCGCTCCTTAACCATCCGGTTGAGAAGGCGGACTACTTCGAGCGACGCTTCTCCCGTGTTGTCAGCGCGGAACACCTTAATGAGGGCATTGAGGCATAGATCGGACGTCTGTAACAATTCTACCCGTGAGGCGGCGATGGCAGAGAAGATCAAGAAGACGGCCCACTTTGTCCCAGGATCGCTTGCTCAAGTAGGCAACGATCGTGCCCATCAAATTGACACGGAAATTGAAATGCGTTGCTTCCACAAGCAGCGAGCACATGGACTGCAGAGCTGTATCGAGCAGTTCGCTCTTTGCTGGCGCGGGCACGTCAACACGGAACGCGTCGCAGAAGGTAAAAACGGATCACACCTTTGACTTCCGCTTCGAGCACGCGGAGGTAGCTCTGGTAGACGCTAACGAGGCCTTGCTCCCATTCGCGCGTCCGCTGGACCATCTGGCTTACCTTTTCAGTCTTCTCTTTTTCGGTCAATGCACGGATGCGGTAGCCGGGTATGATGTCCTTAAAGACAGCCAGCTGCGAGAGCATACACAATTGTCGGATGAGCACATCATTTGGGACAGGCTCCGGGTGCGTGGGCGTCGATATCGCGGGTAGGGAGAACGTGTGTAATCGTCTGAGCAGTCCGAGCTGATACGACGTCAGTACGTGGCGCATCACGTAGAAATGAAATACATACGCTGTTCTCCGGATCGGACACAATTTCCTGGCATATTCCGGCAATCTGCTCCTTCGCGCCTTGTATTCGCGCCTTGCGTGACTTGTTTCCAATAACATCGACTACCGCTGGTCGTCCAAAGCGCGCGCCAGTAGAGACATCCTCGACTTTGTGGGTTGGCTGATGTGCCGACACATCTTCGGCGTCGTCATCCTCGTCGCTGCTATCACTCTCTTCATTCTTGGACAAGAAGACCTTGCTTTCGCTTTGCTGTATCCGACCGTCTGCGAGCTTAATGGGCAGACGCGAAATCCCCTCATCCTTTTTTGACTCAGGCTCCCATGATGGCCGCCGCTTGCGTGGTAATGCTTCGTAAGGCATTTCATCGTCCGAGGTGCCGTGTGCCTTGTGTTTGCGGGGACTACTGGAAGAGGAAGCGGCTTCCGAGTCGGCGTCGGACAAGTGCTCGTTTCCACCAGCGTCGCTGATTCCAGAGCTCCAAGCACTGTCATCTTCGTCATGAGAGTCCACGGGTGGCAGATCATCCATCTTGGGGGCGCGAGCCGGCTTGTACAGCAGACGGAGCCGCTCTGTCTCTTTCTTACTCCTGCATAACATCACGCGTCGTTCAGAAGTGGGATATAGGCATAATGAGATGTGCGACGCACATAGCAATACCCTTCCGATCCAGTTTGCCCAGGAATCCTACGGCATCGCCGTACTCCTCGAGTAAATCCAAGTCCTCCTCGGACAGCTCGACGTCGTCATCATTTGCGGGTATTGGTATGATTTCTCTGTCGGCGGCCTTTTCTTTTCCTTTACCCTTTGTCCCAGCGGGCACCTTCTTTCCGCCATCGGCAGCCTTGGTGATCTTGCGTTTCTTGGTGGGACCCTACGAGAAAGCGATACGACGGGTAAGAGTGAAACAAAGAAAGCGGGAGCAGCGCAAACCTGCTTTTGGGGTGCCGTGCGTTTGCGTGATTGTTGAACGGCCATGAGGGGCGGACTGGAGTGCAATGCTCAAGTCCAGGAATCCAAGCAGCAGTAACAGTCTTCGAAGTGATCGGCCAATCAGAGCACGGAGCGCCGAAAACATGCAGAGTCACGCGCACCCTCGATCGCGTCCGCGCTTCAGTAGCCCGCGACGCGTAAACGCCCATCCCCATCCCCTCCCCACCGCACTTGCCGCTGCGAGCTGCTAAGATTGTCGAATCATTGCGCGCGCACACTGAGTATTTTCTCTGGCGAGCGTGCATACAACATGTCTGACCCGCCGCCACCTACAACGAGTCACATTCTCCGGCCTCATCATGTCAATCTCCTGAACCTGTTCTTGTTGACTTTCCTGGAGTTTGAAAGAACACAACCAGATGCTCTGCCGCCCCCTTTCTTCGCCCATATATACCGCGTTCTCCTGCGTGAGACTGCAGAGGTCCGTTTGGTGGTCACTCTTCCCAACGCCACCTGGCTTATGAATGCAGGTCACGGAGCCGAAGGGATATACCGCGCTAGCTGCAGAGATAAAGAAAGGCCCTCTTGGAGATCTGCCTGCTTCCAAGGATTTCAATAGTAAATTTGCGCTAACGGTGAGTCGGATCTGACCGCGGCCGAGTCATCAAGTGAATTTCTGCAAATAGCCATTCAGGCTCTCGACCACCAAAGAATTTACTGAAATGTTTGAACGTGAGCTATCGCGTTCGAGTGTCGTAAAACATGATCCTAGTATGGCTCGTCAGGCTTACCCCTCCTTTATGATGAGAAAGACGAAGAGGAGGTACGAAGCTCATCACCCTCGCTCTTATCCTGTAAGTGGCGTGCTTACTCTTACTTCGCTAGGGAAGCGGCAAATTTGTAAGTCCTTCGACCCAGTGATCAAGGAATGTGAGCTCAATGCTAGCTTGTGTCAGATTCGCCGATCGCTATTCGGATACTTCTGTCGCCGCTGCTTCTTGAGCTTTTGCAAGCTATCGTTCACAGGTGTGGCGAAGCTACATACGGACTACATCGATTGGGTATCCCAGAGCACCAAACCAGACCCTCACCCTAGAGTCATGGCGGGCTATCAGTACATCAGGAAAGATGAATTAACAAACAGTACGCAATCTAGCTCTTCCTCACGCCAAATACCTGGTCAATCAGAATCAAGATTACCAGATTCACAAGACTTCACTTGACAAGAAACCCCTCGCGACTGGCGAGGCCTATGCCGCGTATGCAATACAAGCATCAATTTCTAGAGTCAGACCGCTTACACTGTGGCCTTGCTAGATTTGAGAAGGGCCTGGCAGTTGGAGATGAAAACATCGCCACTGAGAATCTTAGACGCTTTTTTGAGCAGCATTTTCATCAAGGCAGTGATTCGTGAGTGTTCTGAGTTGGCAGAGCCGTGCAGGTGCGAACCCAAAGTTCAGAGGGCTCCGACAGCATGCATTGTTAGGTCTAGCACGAAAACACTATCTGAACCATGAATATGTCGCTTGTCGCAAGGTAATTTACACAGATGCATCGTACATGTGCCTTTCAACGTATCTTGCATGCCTCACTGTAGTTTCTCCAAGAGGCTGTCGCAGTTGCCCGTACCGTTGGGGACAAAATTGCTCTACAGCACTGCATGAGGTAATACGTATCCGAACAAGTACCGCGTCCTATTGTGGTATACTGATGTCTTGCAGTTTGCTCCACCGTCTGCCGCCCACTGAGCGTGGGGCGAAACCAATCCTGAACGACATTCAGCCCGACCTGCATCCCCTGGAGGTCCTCTTCGACGTACAAAAACTCGTTCAGATCAGCAACGTAAGTCCACTGCGCCGGTCACCGTAGTACAAGTATCACATCTCTTACAGCAACAACCACTGAGCGCGTCATTCGAGAAAATTGTGCAGGCAACAGGTCTGTATGACCATTGGCTGGACGTCCAGCGCGGCGCATTCGTTGAGGCCGAACAGTGGGGACAGCATGCCGTGCAGAGCGTCGTCTGGAACATGCATGGTCAGTGCCCTGAGCGTGGCGCCCCTCACGAAACCCATGTATCTCCTTGACAGGCAGTATCCAATTGGCTCAGGTTGAAGAGAATATCGTCACTGCGTTCACTGAGGTCGGCGGAGATGACAACAATCGCCTTATCGTCAACTTGAACCGGGCGTATCATGTAAGTGATGGTGGGCACTGATACCTATAGAAACTAAAGTTTGCTGGTGACAGCGTGCGCGCCAAGGTAAATACGAAGACGCCATTGCCATCCTGCTCGAACCGGATGTCTGGTGTGGGCTCACACTGACTCAATACCATAATTGGGCAAACAAGATATGGCACATCTTCGCCCTCCGTGCTAGCCGACGGTACGTGCTGCATGCTTCTGAAGTGCCTAGTACCTCATGTTCATGCAACTGCCATAGCGGCCAAGAGCGCCAATTCTCTGATTTTTTGAAACAACGTCGGCCTCATGGAGTGTACAGAGCACGCGAGTATTGGTTTTGGTCGCCGACACCTCTCGGGTCCATGGTACGCGACCCCATATACGAAGCAATGCAAATGCGGGTGAGTATGCTGCTCTCCGTCAGAACGCGTCGTGGCCTTACTATTGCAATTGCAGCATGCTGACCAGGCGCATGCATGGGTCGAGCCGCTGTTGAAGGCGCTCTGGCATGCCGAGTTCCAGGGACGGTATGGGCTCTACAGGACAGCGCTCGTGATACTTGCGGACGTCGGCCTTGAGTTTGGGATGACACAGTGGTGTCGCAGGATCATTGATGAGATAATGCCTCAGGTAGACATTCCCGTTCCTTCCGCATTGGAAGGGTGATCAGCGTCTCACACGGCCTGACTGACAGGTCATCAGTGGCGCGGAGCTCGAGCAGCGCGCGCTAGCGTGCTTCACACTCGCGCGGTGCATCATCGCCTCGGGCGACTCGTCGCGTACGTACTCCCAGTCGCCGTGCACGGCGTTTCCGCCTCTGACGTACTCTCTGATCCCGACAGCCGAGGCTCTCCGGGAGTGCCTGCCCTACCTGAGCATGGCCGAGGCGGATTACGCAACGCTCGAAATACTGCGTTCGCTACAGGACGTACAGTATCTCCTCTCCGTCGTCTACCATAACCTCGGCATGACAGCGGAGCGTGACGAGGCCGCTGTGCGGCACCTACGGACAGAGGAGGAGCGCAAGAAGGCGGCTACTACTATTCTGGAGCCGTGGGTCCTGGAGGTATGGGAGCTTGTCGGGGACGTCGGCGCTGCGTTGGCAGCGCGGTAGCATTGTTTGAGAGCTATTACAGATGTAACGTACATATTGTAGATATCGTGTATTGCAAGGAAGCCTCCCGTATACCATCCGAGACGAAAAATCACGATAGTCAATCCTTGAACGCGAGCCCGCTCATGCGCCACGCAGACATCATGCGCACCCAGCGCAAGCGCATCGCACAGCGCATCATCGTGTTCCTCAGCCAGAACAGGTTGATGGGGATGCAGCCCAGCACCCAGGTCGTCTGGTCGGGCACCATCGTCGCCGCGACGAGCCCCTTCACCATGCGGATCACGCTCAGCGCGCGCACCCGCCGCGCATCTGCCCACGCGCGCAGGGGCCGCTCCGCGTCGTCCGCGGACGACGACGCCGCGAGGAATGCGCCCAGTGCCGGCCCGAGCGCGAGCGCGTCGCGGATCCCGAGGTTCATGCCCTGCCCGCCGACGGGCGGGTGGATGTGCGCCGCGTCGCCCACCAGGAGGACCGGCGCGCCCGTGTGCGCGTCCAGCCGGGGCAGGTGCGCGAGGAACGTGTCGGCGACGGCGGAGTGCGTGCGGAAGCTCGACGACCAGAGCACGGAGCGGACCTCGATGGGCGTCGGGTCGCGGTCGAGGTGGCGCGGGCCCCACGCGGCGAGGAGAGACTGGACGTACTCGAGTGGCGGAGACGGAGGGGGCGTGCCGAGTGCGCGCGGGACGTTGATCCCGATGCGGTAGATCTGCGCCTTCTCCTGCGCGTTCGTTTCGTACGGGGTAGACGCGGGCAGCGGCGCGATCATCATCGCGTTATCGGGGGAGGAGATGATGAGGATGCCGTCGTTGGGGAGTGTGGGCGGGCGGGTGAAGGTGATGTCCGCGACGATCATGTGCGCGAACCGGCTCGTGGCTCGGGTTTCGTTGTCGGGCTCGCGGAACTGCACGTTGACTGTGCGGCGGATCTGGGGAATGACAGTCTCAGTACAGTATCAGATATGAATCTCGAGTAAGGTTACCAAAGAGTGCGCGCCGTCTGCGCCAACTACACAGCGTGCGCGGACAGTCTCTCCGCTCTCAAAGTGCACATCAACAGTACGCGGATCGTCTTCGTTAGCCTTCATGTCTATTACCTTGAACGGCCGGAGGACACTGACGCCGCGCTCACACAGGGCATCTTCGAGCACGCGCTCGGTCACGGTCTGGGAAACGAGGAGCGCCATCGGGAACTTGGTGTAGGGAGCGAGGGTGTCAAAGCTGGTGGTCTGGACGTAGTGTCCTCCACACCATACGCCGACCGCTGGGGCGCGATTACCTAGGTTTACGAGCGACTGCGCGCATCCTACGCCGTCAAGGGCCTTTGCGATATCAGCACACATTACTGTCGAGAAGCCTCAAGCATCTCACCGACCTCCAGGGTTCCTGCATGGATGACCGACGCGCGGGAGGTGTTTTGGCCGCTGGGGAGGAAGTCGACTATTGCAAAGTTTCTGAGGCCCTGTAGTGCGAGCGAGAGCGCACACGAGAGCCCTGCTGGGCCTGCGCCAATGATGAGGACGTCTGTGGATGGAGGGAGTGCCATGATGTGTTGAAAGCGGCTGGAAACGCAGGGTCGCGCTGTCAACGACCATATATATTGGCCTGGAGAAGATCACGGCTGAAGATGCGTCATGGTTCGGCAGATGGGTGTGAAGATGATAAATGAAGAATCTATATACCGCAACAAGCGAACGCTCTGGAGCAGACGCGTGTGAGAACGTCAAGACGGCAGCAGTTGTATTGACATTGATGCGACGCGTCGACGCGTCGCCTCGGCACGTGGACACTTTGACAGGATCGTGATCGCGTGTCTCCACCAGCCCACCGTCTCTGCCGCCCGCCGCGAGGTTTGCGTTGGCTTTGGACGCGCTCTGAGACTCTTCCGGACTATTGCTTGGCCTAGGTCTTTGTCGAGATGTCTTCGTTGCAAAATGCACCCACTGTCAAGCGGGACCTGCGCTATGAGGTCGCCATGTTTCTCTGGCGCACCGTCATGAACATCTTCTTCCGTGAAATCAGGCCTAGAGGTGCCTTCCACATCTCCCGTGATGGTCCCGTCATCTTTACCGTAGCGCCGCACCATAACCAAGCATGTACTTCCCCTCCTGGCAATTCCTTGCGCACATTGACTGTATTCAAGACAGTTCGTTGACATGCTGCTCGCGCTCGAGGTATTCAAGGAGACCAGACGGAAGGTACAATTTCTTGTTGCCGCTAAAAGTATGCAGCACAAGGTCATCGGCTTCTTTGCCCGCATGATATCCAGCAGTGAGTTTTGCGCATAACATAGCTGATTCTCCGTGTCATTAACCCCTTGCCAGTCCCCGTCGTGCGTGCAGCCGATACTGCTCAACCCGGTACTGGCCAATTGGCCATCTCAGACGACGATCCTTGTCTCATCGTCGGCCACGGAACCCGCTTTCTTTCTGAGCTCAAACCTAGGATGACAATCTCGCTCCCAAAGTCTGTCGGCGCGTCTGTCGCGGAGGTTGTCGAGGTCCTATCCGATACACAGCTCCGCATCAAGAAGGAGTTTGGCGGCACCACGCGTCTCAGGGAAAAGCAGCGCGAACTGACAGACGGGAAGCAAGGCTTCGATTTCAAGAAGATGCCTCACGTCGATCAGCAGGAGATGTACCACCATGTCTACCAATGCCTCACGGATGGAGGCGGCATCGGCATCTTTCCGGAAGGTCGGTATTATCACTGTGGGACCTCAGGTCTCTGCAACGTCTACAACTGTTCGCTCGCTGCACACTTAGCAGGCATGGTAGGAGGACCTTGACATTTGTCGGACAATTTGCCTGAGGGCTGTTGGCAAAAGTCAATGTCGTCCTAATCAGGTCGCACGCTTCGGCATGACGCTCGCTGCAGTTGCAAGAAGAGAAAGCCTTGAGCAGACGCGAGCATGGCAGCGAGAACCAGGTGTCCCTACATCTGACATGAAACGCAGCTGAGAATGTTCCACAGGCGGCAGCCACGATCGCACAGATCTACTTCCGCTCAAGGCTGGCGTATCGCTCATGGCACTCGGCGCCATGGCGAACGACCCCAACGTCAAAGTCAAAATCGTCCCCGTCGGGCTGTCCTACTTCCACCCACATCGTTTTCGTTCGCGCGTCGTAGTCGAGTTCGGTACTGCGCTTGACGTGCCCCAGGAGCTTGTTGAGATGTTCAGGCGCGGCGGCGCGGAGAAGCGGCAAGCGGTGCAGAAGCTGCTCGACCTCATCTACGACGGGCTGAAAATCGTGACGGTCCGCGCGCCAGACTACGACACGCTCATGGTAAATCCATACACTCTGTCGTTTACTTCGGATTCCTCGCTCAAACGTTGTGTGACTGCAGCTCTGCCAGGCAGCACGGCGACTGTACGAGACGCCCGGGCAACACCTTACACTCGGACAGGTCGTTGAGCTCAATCGGCGCTTCCTTGAGGGCTATCTGCACTTCAAGGACGAGCCGAAGGTGCGAAAACTCCGGGCAGATGTGCTGTGGTACAATCGACGGCTGCAAGACCTGGGCCTGCGCGACCATCAGGTGCCGCATGCGCACAAGGCGAGCTGGAAGCTGGCTGGCCTGTTCGTGTACCGTGTCGGGCTGCTGCTCGTGTGGGCAGGATTCGCGCTCCCGGGCGTTGTTCTCAACGCGCCCATTTTTATGACTGCCAAAATCATCTCGCGCAGAAAGGCCGCAGGTGCGCGAATCCAACAGCATGGCTGGACGGTAGGAGCTAACATATACAACCCATAGCGGCGCTCGCCGAATCAACCGTCAAAGTGGCTGCGCGCGACGTGGTCGCAACGTGGAAAATCCTCGTCGCCCTGGGCCTGACCCCCGTCTTGTACGGCTTCTATGCGTTTCTCGCGGCCGTCCTCGCCATCAGGGCGGGCACGTCGACGCTGTGGGTCGTATGGACGTCGATTGTGACCTTTTTCACACTGCCTTGTATTGCGTACGCGGCACTCAAATTCGGTGAAGCCGGAATGGATGTGTTCAAGTGGGTGCCGAATGACTGGCAGATTGCGTCCACATCGCCTGACATGCGCACTACAGGTCATTGCGGCCTCTATTTATCACGCTCATACCTGGACAGTCGCGGGTGCTCGACGAGGTGAAGGCGATGCGTATCGAAGTATCAAATGAGCTTGCCGATGTCGTGCGCGAGTTCGGACCCAAGCTGTGGGATGACTTTGACATGGCAAGTGATGTGCTCTCATGATACTGATACAAAGACTCACAGTCACGACAGGATCGAATTCCGGTTCCGTCTGCTAGCGCTCCGCCTTCCTCTGGCACACCAGGTTTGTGGCGGCGGAAAAGCAGCACAGGTGGCGTCGATGCGCAAGGCAGCCTGCTTGTCCACCCAATGGTCAGTGTCCTTTTCAGGATTATGCGTAGCGAGTAGCAACGCACTCACAGCGCTCGTTCTGTCAGACCTGGCTTGATGAACGGCTCTTCGGCTGGAGCCGCAGCGCATCGCGTGGGACAAGTGCGTGGGCGGGCACGCCGAGCACGGAGATCAGCCGCGCACCTTCTCCTGCGCCATCCGAGGACGAGGTGGGCGATTACGACAACGTTCTCGGCTACCTCGAAGCCCGTAAGCCTGCTGGGCACTCGCGCTCGCGCAGCCACCAGAACTCGTACGCGGACTTGCAGAAGTTGCGGGAGGATGATGGTCGCGCAAGGGCATTTGCTTCGTCTGATGGACAAGCGGTGGGCTCCGATGACGGGATGCAGATTCGAAGACGGGGTGGCTTCTTGCAACCCAGTGATACTACGTAAGGCTTCGGGGACGCTCCCTTGAGATCGCTGTTTTCTTGCCACCATCGCGTAGCGAGGGTTGTCTCAACAATACATGTATCTACTCGTACCAGATACACACAGTTTTCATGTACGATTCTCCGCCTTTGGGTGAGAGTAGTCTTGGCGACGGAGCCTGAGCAATCAAAATCATTTTCAAAGTCGGCACGGAAGATCGGACGTTAAGCGCCCGCTGTGACCCGGTGTAATTCGTGTTCCGAGTCAAGATGAGCGTCGCCTCATTTTCTATCCTTTCTCTACCGGTCTATATACAAGTATGAGTGCGCCTGGGATCCCTTGCCAGAGCAGTATCTGCCCGAACGGCCACCCGCCTTCTCGTCTCGAATGCCCTACTTGCCACAAGTCAGTGCTCGCGTTGCCTTTCGAAGCGTTGCGTCCCCTCTGACGCGCCGCAGGCTCGGAATCAGTGGCTCGTTCTTCTGCGGGCAAGATTGCTTCAAGGCAGGATGTAAGTCGCTGGTTATGATCACTTCTTGAGTATACATGACATGGATCGCCCATGACAACCATCTGTAGGGGTGAGACTCTACTTTCGCGCACCAGACGCACTACAAGTGCTGATCATACCATCAGAAAACGCATAAACTGATCCACGACCTTGCATCGCGTCAACCACTCCTCGAAGACCCAAATATCAACAAAAGTCAATACTATGGTTCTCTGCGCATGTTTCGTCCGCTGACTTCGCGTCTCCTGCAGACGGCACATTCAACCCTTTCGGCGGCTTCAACTTCACAGGCACACTGCGCCCAGCGTACCCGCTCTCCCCGAAACGTCACGTTCCTGAGCACATCCCACGGCCGGACTATGCAGAAGACGGTACGATCATCACCAGACTGTTCCGCGGGGTGAAAACCACGATGTAAGCGAGCCATGACCATTCCTCCCCGCAGGCAACCCAATATCGGAGAGCAGACGGGCGGGCCAGCCGATAAGAATCCTGAATGCCGAGGAAATTGAGAAAATGCGGACGGTGTGCAGGGTGAGTGCGCCTGTCGTCCGTGCCTCCAACCTGCGAGCAAAGCGGATTCTTCTCCCGCACTAGTGCAACTAACCGCATGTACCACCAGCTTGCACGCGAAGTTCTTGACATCGCTGCCTCGCATGTCCGGCCTGGAATCACCACCGATGAGATCGATGAGATCGTGCACAACGAGACCATCAAGCGGAATGCCTACCCGTCACCGTTGAACTACAGAGGGTACCCGAAATCCGTCTGCACGTACGTGCCATCCGTCCGGCACTGAATTCATGTGGGCTCACTTTATCATTCATAGGTCCATCAACGAAGTAATTTGCCATGGCATTCCGGACCAGCGTCGGCTGCAAGAAGGCGACATCATCAACATTGGTGAGGCTGCTCCACCACCGATGAAAGCCTTCACTGATCCTGAAACGCCTGTGTTCAGATGTGACATTGTACTATGATGGTGCGCACGGAGCAAGTTTCCCAACCTGAAGTTGACGATACGAAATGCCGAACAGGTTTCCACGGTGATTTGAACGAGACATACCCTGTCGGCCGTATCAACGAGGACACACAAAAGCTCTTGCGCACTGCACGCCAGTCCCTTGACGAGGCTATCAAACTGTGCAAACCAGGTGCCCTTTTCCGTGACCTTGGCAAGACCATGTGCGTCTTCCACTCCGCCCCGCATAATCGCTCTTCACGCTCACTCCATCCTGCCCCGCAGTGAGCCCATCGCACGCGCAAACAACTGTGCGGTAGTGCGAACATATTGTGGGCACGGCATCCATGAGCTGTTCCATTGCGCTCCAAACGTGCCGCACTATGCCAAAAACAAGGCTGTTGGCACGATGAAACCTGGCATGGTGCGCAAGTTTTCCTCATTCCGATAGCGTGCAATAACTCACTGCTAATTGTGCGTGTGAAGATCTTCACAATTGAGCCGGTAAGTCGACTGCGCGAATCATACATAGGGCAGTATCTCAGCACGTATTCTCGATTCTAGATGATAAATTTGGGTCATAATTGGGACCTGGTACATTGGCCGGACGATTGGACGGCGACTACCGTCGATGGAAAACCCAGTGCACAGTTTGAGGATACCCTTGTGTACGTTCCCCGTTGTGTGACCACGAATATCGGTTGATCCAGGTCTTATCTCATTTTCCCAGCATCACCGAGACCGGGGTGGAGGTGCTGACTGCAGGCAAAAGGCGGCCAGACTTGTACGACTAGCGACCTCTTCAGGTAATTCAGCTGTACCGAGCTGCATGATCTGCATTGTGCATACGAGTGCAGCTACTACTGCTATATGTCGTACAAAGCCCACAGGAAAAGTTGACATTACTGGTCCTTCATTGCTTGCCCGTCCTCCACTTCGTGATTGAGCTCCTCCGTAGCCTCACAAAACTTTTCTTGCCTGTCGAGCTCACCAATTCGCTCGACGGGGATCGTGGTCTCCAAGGACGCTTTCCTGGTTCGTGATCCCTTTCGTGGTCGGAATTGCAGGCCATCTGTCTCGACCGCTTCTGCACCGCTGGCAGCCGGAGGGAATGGTGCAGCACTTGAGCTTGTGTCGCTGTGCATCTTGTGCAAGTTGGCGTAGGATGTTCGCTGACTGCGGGGTCCTTCACGCGGCGCAGAGCTGCCCCGTCTCTCGAGGTATCCGAGCACGTTGTCATAGTCGCCCTCTTCGTCATCGGACGCGTCGGGCGACTGTACACGACTGTTGTCGTGGCTGCGCGAGCCCGACCATGCGCTGGTACCTCGTGAGGCGCTTCGGCTCCAGCCAAACAGTCGCTCGTCCAGCCAAGTCTGTATAATTGTGTTTATGAATGGTAAGCAGGAGGTGGGAGTCGCTTACCATAGGATGGACAAGCAGGTTGCCCTGTGCGTCTATGCCTCCGGTTCCACTCTTTCGTCGCCAAATGCCGGGTTGGCCTGAGGACGCCGGTACACTGGCAGAAGGCACGAGAATGCGATACTGTGAGTTGCATCAGCAAGCCTTACACGCAAATCGATGTTTCAGACCTACTTCATCGAAGTTCTCGTACAACTTCGGGCCAAACTCGCTGATGACCTCAGCGAGCTCATTTGAGACTGTGACCCGCATTGCCCTAAGCTTGTCCAGTGAATGTGATTGGCCGGGCACCAATGCGACTACCAATGGTCTTAGTGACCTGAAGAGCGAAGTGTCAGCCTCGTACTGTTCCAGGTGTTGCAATGGACCACTGACTTGAGAACATCCATCCCAGCTTCGCCAAACTTAAGCGCAGCGTATCCCACGAATGGTAATGTGACCATTACAAGAATTGGTGTCCAAATGATCCATACCAGAGGAACACCAGCCTCGATGGATACCATGGTCGCGAGGAATGCATAAAAGCCATACAGAATAGGAGCCAGTCCCAGGGAGATCAGAACTTTCCATGTTGCAATCACATCTCTGGCAGCTATCTTAACGGTAGAAGCGGCGAGCGCCTCTGATAGGTGCGTAAGGATAAAACTACAGACACAAGGGAAAGGGACATGCCTTTCGCTTTCTGCCGAGATATGATTGAGGCAGCGAGGAATATGGGGCCGTTGAGTATAACACCAGGAAGGGCCAGCAGGGTCCAGACAAATAGTAAAACCAGCCGATACGTGAATAGACCTAATGCCTTCCAACCGACTTTCTGTGCATGCGGTACCTACGCAACCTCGGACATCAACTTTGGCGGCGTGATGTGTCCGACACCTACCTGGTGATCACGCAGCCCAAGATCTCGAACCATCCGATTATACTTCAGGACGTCGCTCCGAAGCTTCTGCACCTTGGACTCGTCTTTGAAATGTAGATAACCCTCGAGGAAGCGACGGTTCAGCTCTACAACTTGCCCTAGTGTCAGGTGTTGGCCGGGCGTTCTGTACAGTCGCCTTGCAGCCTGGCACAACTTGAAGGAAGTAGGGCGTTATACAATTTATACTTGCGATTTTGCGATCTGGTTGGACTGACCATCAATGTCTCGTAATCTGGCGCTCGAATTGTGACTGTCTTCAAAGCGTCATAAATGTAGTCGAGCAGCTTTCCAACCGCTTGTCTTTTTTGCGTCCCGCCTTCCTTGAACATTTGAACGAGATCTTCTGGTACATCCAGCGCCGTACCGAACTCAACAACGGCCCGAGAACGGAATCGGTGTGGATGGAAGTACGACAGACCGACAGGCACAATTTTGACTTTTACATTTGGGTCATTTGCCATAGCTCCTAGAGCCATGAGGGAGACTCCAGCCTTCAGCGGTAGGAGGTCGGTCCGGTCGTGACTACCACCTGCACGTTCAATTTGGATGACGCTACTTCCGTTTGCTAGAAACACAACGACCTACCCTCAGGGTATATCCCAATGCACCCACCATCTGTCAGGCATTGGTAGACATGGTGGTACATTTCCTGCTGATCAACGTAAGGCATCTTCATGAAACTAAAGCCTTGTTTGCCTTCTGTCTGTAACTCCTTTAGCTTTTCACGAATCCTTGCTGTTCCCTTTCCGCTCTCTCCGCCGAACTCTTTCTTGATCTTGAGCTCAGTGTCAGAAATCACCTCGACCACTTCAGCCACAGCCGAATTGACGGCTTTCGGGAGCATTATCTGCATCTTCGGCTTGAATTCCTCGAGAAATCGCGTGCCATGCCCAACAACGACACACGGGTCGTCGTCGGACAAGAACACCTGACCCGTACCCGGCTTAGCGTCGTCTGCAGCTCGGACGACCGGGACTATACGACGGTAAATGTCACGTCACTGAGAAACACGCCATACGCACTACTCGACATCATGCTAGCGAAGAAACCAATTGCTTTCCTCTTCATACTTTTCGCAGCAATCAGGAATTGTACTTTGCGCCTCGTTTCCCGATGCACTTGTAAACTGAGGAGAAGCGGGTCAAGGAACTAACCCGGGGTCAGCATTCGCTAGCATCTTCTGGGTAACCCATACATGCTTGGTTATGGTGAGGGGCGGCCACAAATATCACAGGCCCTTCGCGAGGAATATGGAATGCACCTCTGGGCCTGATTTCACGGAAGAAGATGTTGACCACCGATCTCCAGAGCACGAGGGCCGTTTCGTAAACGAGATCCTTCGACACAGGGAGGGCATCTCTTCGGGTCGTCATAGTCGTACAGCTTATAGCACAAATTGTAACAGCGAGAATGTCGTCAGATTGTACGATAGAATATAGAGAAGACCATGGGATGAGCGGGAGGGGTGGCGCGAATGCGAGCACACCAGCGCTGAGCGCAAGCGGACGCGATCGGACGTCATTTCTGCACGTGATCGTCCACTCCCGTAGTAGTCCTCCACGTCGAATTATGCACCTCGTCCAATTCTATATCAGTGGGAGGTCACAGATCTCGGGTATACATACAGCGAAATGTTCCTACAGCAACCCATTAATACGAGGACAATGTACACGAACGCAGATATGTCAACAATCTCAAGCAATATAGAACCTCTTCGTCACTGCGGACGTTATCCTGAACCAGGAGCCCCCCGCGACAGCGGCGTTGAGCGCCCATGAGATGACCCGTTGCTAATAATACTGGATCGATATTGGAACAAGTCATGTAGTCTTGAGAGCTTCTCCTGCTGAGCCTCAGGGAGTTCAGATACACTGGACCGTGGTGGTGAGCGGGGAGAACGCTCTGAGCGTGTAGGGGATGTGGGCATTGTTATATGACTACTGTCCAGAGCTACATTGTGCGTGAGATATAAATCGAGATAGTCGGCGGATAGAAAGGGAGACTACTTACCTGGACTGTAGCTCGACGACGTGCTAGTTCGTTCGCGGCCATTTGACTCCAGCTCTAGACGCATGGTCAATGATTCTGTCGCGATCTATGCAAATCGTACTCACTTGACAAAGTGTTTGCAACTGCTACTGTACGCTCATCATCCTCTGCTGCCCGGCTGGCCAGTGCTCGAGTGATGTATTTCCGGAACGCAGGACCTGTCGACTCAAGCATCTTGTCAACCTTCGCTTTCTTGTGAGGATACTCCTTGAGATAGTGGTGCAGCTCAGTAATTCCCTCCTTGTGCATTGCACCCGTCGTTTCGCTCGAAATGTGCTGAATGATCACATTTAGCTGATCGTCTGGATCTGGCTCCTTCGTGGTCAAGGCATGTCCATTAGTTGACGATATACTATGGCTCCGCCCATGACTAGAAGACGACTGGGGTTGAAGGTCTGAAGTAACAGACGAAGATGTTCCGTGCGGGGAAATGGGTCGACTCGACGACGAAGGGAATGATTGACGACCAGTCTCCTCGAGACCAAGGCCGCCAGCTCGAACTGGGACCTCCGCTGCTGTCTTCGTGGATGAGTTCAAGATGCGGTACACGTATGGGTAGACAATGGTTGCAGAGGGGTCATCGAATGACGCAGACAGAATGTCGTAGACCTCGTCACCGTAGTGTGCTGGAAATCAAATCAAAGGTGTGCTCTCTGAACAGGCCCACAAGTGACTCACCAACTACATGCTGGATAATGACCTTGATTGTGCGAAGAGGCATGTCACCACATGGCACCTTATTCGTCGCTCTTGCACGCCATTCGTTTGGAGGCACCGACTGCAAGAAGTGCTCTACGGCGGGGAAAAGTTCCACAGGATCTAGCGCCTGGTTCTGAAGATCCTGCGGGAGATTACGTGCAAGCTTCCAGACACACTTCAAGACTAGCTCAGCAACCTTTGCATCCTGTGCGTCCGCCGAGGTGCCGTTGGTTGGGAACGGCTTTACAATCTGTAGTAGCAACGCGAATAGCGCGCTAGGGAAACGGCTCGTCTTTACCGGATCCAACAGCGGTAAAGGATGACATACCGGAATATGGACATTCTCCGTCCGGTTGCGAATAACCGTAGGATGATCATGTTGATGAACCGAGACAGATCTTTAACTCTGCTATCTGGACTATTGTCCGTTTGTAGTAAGCGCAACGTCAGTTCTTCGAGCAGCGACGTCAGTATGTCGACCGTCAATGATTCTGCCAGGAACACGTGGTCGCAGAACGCATTCAGGGTCTGGATGAGATGCTTCGCCAGGCGGAAGTTCTCCGGAACCGTAATGTCTTCTGGCCGCTCAAAGACGTGCGCCATTTGAAGCGTGATGGTCTCGATGAGGCCTTCGGTATGATCAGCGAGTTGTTGATATGGAGCAGATGATGGTCCTTCGTCTGGATTGATCTCGAGCACCTTCTGGATCTTCTTCAGTGCGTCAACGCTCCGTGACGAATCGTTACTGAGTATGCTAGAAATGGAGACCGTAATGTCGTTCGCAGCACGAGGGGGTTCAGGTTCCTCGGGTTCCTCCGGGGGAGGCGGAAGCACCTGCCCGTTCCCATTCCAGCGACGAGAGATGGGGGGCTCTATGCGTGTAGGTTCGTCCAATGACGCGATGGAGCTGGCGATTGATGGAGGGGCTCCGTTCATACGAGCTCTTGGAGGGCCCAATCGAGACGGAAGCAAGCTCTTGGGCCGGCCAATGGCAGAAGGAGACGATGGTCCGGGAAGATGCGACAGTCCACCGATTCTCGTCGACCTCGGTGGAGAGGTTGGCCTCTTGATGCTCGGAGCCGGAGATGTTGATCTCGCGACACTAGAAGCGGGTGATACTGGGCGAGCGAGACGAGATGATGGGACCATCGAGGGGCTTGTCGCTCGTGGGATTGCTCCAATTCGTGAGGCAGGTCCAGGTGCAGGCGAACCCGATCTAGGGATCGCCGATGAGAGCCTCGATGCATGCGTGGATATTTGTGCAGTTTCAGCCCTATCTGGACTGCTAACGCCAGGCACTCGACGTAGACGTTCCTCCAATTGGGTTTTGTCCTTGGGTGACAAATGCCCTACAAATGTCCAAATACTCTCACCGACAAGGGTGTAACCCTCACTGTTAGAGATAGCGTTAGTGCATGCACAGATACGGAAGAGCCGTATTCACCTCAGTACGAGCAACGACGATTTGCGGACTTGTGGATCCTTGTCGGAAATCATCGTTGCAACCAGAGGGAATGCCTTCGGCGGCTCGCAGGCACCAATGCCGAACTTCTTCAGCAGGTTCGCAAGTTCGTCCAGAGTGCCTTGACGAGCCTTGGCGACTTTCGATCTCAACCCATACTCTAGCAATAGCTGGAAAACACGACTGTATGCGTAGACTCTGGGCAAAGTCTGGACGATCTGCGCAACACGAGCACGTACAGGTTCTCGCGCATCACCAAGCTACGAACGAAGGATTAGAGTACGCCATAAAGTGTTGTTGATTGCGAACATACCTTGAAGACTATAGTCGGGATAAAACATACTGCTTCGGGGTCCGTGAACTGATAGTCGATGCTCTGAAGGAACGATATGACGGTTTCTATAACCTCCAGACACTTCTGTACCAAATTCGACTGGGGTTCATGAACCTTGATTGAAACGTATTTCAAGGCTAGATCGGAATTAGCCAAGCAGATTGCTTGAAGGTCCTCCTGGGCAAGACCGGATGCATCAGTGCCGTTCTGTACAGTAGTGTACAACTCTTGTAACATTGTCAAGCCAGAAACATGGTCGTTGACTGCGTTGTGATCATGGCTAAAGAGAAGCGCAAGCAGCTCTTTGGATGCATAGGGTTCCATCTGATGCTGCAGTAGCTCTGCGAGATCCTTCCTTGTTGGCCCGGCTTCGTTGATCCATCTTTGCGCATCCTTCGATAAACGCGCTCGCTTGGCATCGACGTTACTGCTGGTGAATGGCAACGATATTGCAGGAGCAGGCGGAGCTGCGGCCTTGCTTGTGGACGGGCCGCTTGCACCGGGCTTCTTGAGGCCCATCCCTGGCTTGCCAGGAAGACGAGAAGACGGACCGTCTATTGGAGTCTCTGCGCGCGACTCTGGTCTAGCTGTTGCGCCCAACGGTAGTCTACGACGGACCCCCATCTTGCTCGGAGGCGCAATCTTGGCGGAGGTTTCCGTAGGTGAAGGTGCTTCTTCGGGAGGAGGTGACGGTGACGGAGCTGACGGTGCCTTTGCAGATGCTGCCGCCGAAGCCGCTGGGACTCGTGCATGGGCCCCTGAGGCGGCTGCCTTAGAAGCTGGCGCGCTGGCATCGGGAGCAGAAGCTCGTGCTGCCTGTATCAGAGGAACTACGGCGGCTCTCGATGCTGATTTCAAAGAGCTCGTCTGGTGGATGATTTGATCATAACCAACACAAGCAACGAGCGCGGGTAGCAGAGCTTGAGCTCCCTTCCTCACGTCGCCGTTCCGATCGTCAAGAGACCCGAGTACAGGTGCGACCCAACCACTCAGGTCTAGGCCAGAATGGGGCGGATGCTCCTTGAACCAGTCTGCCATCCAGTTTAAAAGTGAAGCTTTTTGCAAAGGGTTCTGAGATTCTAGAGCAGTCGTCAGGCCACCGACCATAGAGTCCAGACCTTCACAGGCGTTGGCGACAGCCGTCAACGTCTGAATAGCGGAAGCGCGGACAGGTGCCTTCTGGTCAGCGAGCACCGTTGCGATAGGGACAGTATACAGCCGGGTGAATTTCTCGAAGGGTTTTCCCATGCCAGTCGCGATTCGAGACACGATATCCAAAGCTAGTGCTTGTACAGCTTTGTTAGTGTCGGTGACGCGAGCTTTGAGTATTTGCGAAATCTCGCCTAGAAGCTAATATTATTACCAGAGCAAGAACAACGGTGAGTTGGCGTACCCATGTTAGACTTCAGGCGTTTGTTTGCCCCTTGATCAAGGATAGCCTGTAAGGTCTCGAGAGCCTCCTTCTTCGTCTTCCACGCATCGCTCTTCGCGTCAGCGAGGATGCTGGTGCCTTTTAGTAGACCATCCATTTCTACGCGAGGGAACAGTTCGTCCAAGGGATCTCCACCAGCTCCGGGTCCGCTTTTGCCTGTCGCACTAGCAGAGACATCCCCGACTTCCGCGGATGAGCGCGTGGGCACTGGCGGGGGATTACCTTCAACCTTATCGAAGTCAGCGAAGATGGTGGTAAGTAACTGAGGGTTGAGGTCCTCGAGAAGATCCTTGACGGCTAAACACAGCTGTGAGCGGATACCAGAAGTGACAAAGGTAAACTCACATGAGCCCGCGAATAACTTGACAGTCACGAGAGCCTTAGTCGCGCTAGTACGTACAGCAGCGTTCGAATTCTTCAAGGCATTTTTGAGGAATTCGATTAAACCACGAAGCGATAAGCCGGCAATCCCGAAGTCGACCAAAGCTTGCTCGATCCATGTAATTGCATCTGCGAGCATTTTCGGCGCCTTCTGTTTCGACAGGGGATCATAAGCTAAACCGTATAGGTAGCGTGAGAATACTGAATTAATTGAGAGGGTCCGACTCACCGTGTCCCAATACGAATTGAAGCGACGTCTTCTCTGCGAATAACAACAAAGTGTCACCAGACGCTTTCTTCAACTTCGCATCGCCCAGCTTCTCTGTCAGATGAGGTATACAGAGCGCCACCGAAGATCTACCAAATGATGGACAGCGTTCTGCCAAAATGTTGAGAATTCCGTATAGTTTGGCAGAGACCTAGGGCATGGACGACGACATCAAGAAAGATTGTAACAGTGTGAATGGAGAGTGTGGGAACTGACCTGGAAGTTCTTCTCGCCCCAGCCTTTCTTGCCCAGGAATCGCACGACGACCTCCGAATCAAGGCTGGGTGCAGCCCCTTCGGTCCAGGTAGTCATCTCCTCCAGTGCTGCCAGTCTCGTCTTCCAATTTGAGTTTGCCAAGTCTGTGAAGAAGTTGGCTGGGATGACCTCTGCTGCGAGTGCCTCGGCATCTTCAGGCGTATGTTTGAACTTCACTGTGTCAAGTGAGCCAGGAGTCGCAGAAGGGGCAGCCTTCGCGTTTTTGGAAGTCCCTGCTGCGGGTGGCAGCTTCTTCGGTGCAGGAGCGGAGGATGAAGGACCACCCGCTGCCGTAGTGTCGGCAGCTGGAGGTTTTTTGCCCTGCAATAAACAATCACGCGATAAGACATCTACTCAATAACGAGCGGAGAACCAGCGACGCGTACGGCAAGTCTCGCTGGAGGCTTTTTCAAAGGCTTGTTTTCCGTAGGCGTCAGAATGTCTTCATCGGCTGGCGGACTGGGCGGGGGCTTCGAAGGTACCGCTTTCTTTGCAGGAAGGGGTCCCTTCTTCGGAGGTTCCTTCGCCGCCGGTGCTGGTGGCTTCGGCGGACCACCCGCCTTCGCTTTGACTGTAGCCTTCTCATAAGCTTCCTTGACCTTGGCCTTTCTCACGTCTGAAAGGCCTTCCATCACCGCATTCAACGGTCGTTCACCAATCATCTTCATGAGGGTTCCAAGACAAGTAGCCGCCTCGTTTCGCGCGCCTTCGACGGAATCCTCCAATATGGGAGACAGCGCATCCGTCAGGGGTTTGAGCTGCGGTGGCGGGACAACAATGGTCGAAGTTGACAAGCACCTTGCGAGGAACTTGAGTGTCCCTTCCTTTACCTGGGGGTTCTTTGTACCCAGGGCCGGAAGGATTTCAGATAGAATATCTGGAAGAGTGGTCTGGTAACCAAAGTGTTACATCCAAGATTTCGCCGCAGATACGAAAGACTTACCGTCACAAAGACAGCATCTAAGGCGGATCCAATGTGATCAGTGACACTAGCTTTCCGTTCTTTGAGCCTTTCCAACATCGGAGGAACAACATGCTCTCTGAACCTCCCGAAAGCGTTCATCATGCCTTTTGCTAGTCCCTCTATACAGCTTGCTGCAACCATTACGCAATTGATGTTCGCATCCTTATGCACGCACGTCGCCAAAGACTTTGCAATATCGCCCAGTTCCGGCGCGTCTTTGATACGGGGCGTTGCGTTCACTAGCGCTAAGAGAGCGTCCAGCACCTCCTTGCGCTCCTTCCATTTGGAAGAGCTCAGCTGGCCTTGGAAATTGGATGGCAGCTTCGGAACAATGTCGACCTCCTCCACAAACATACGTGGATCCGGCGTCAGATCTGTGGGCTAGGTATGAGCACGGCCAGCGGACCAGAACAATACTCCACTGGCCTTCCTCCGGAGGCCCATCCTCGTCACCCCCGCCCGCCTCGGCTTCTCGTGCCCCTGCCCTCGTCATCCGCTCTGGCTTCAGGCTGCCCTTTCCCTTGCCCTCCTTCTCTAACTCCTCGAATGCCTCTTTCAGCTCTTTCACTTGTACAGGCTTCAGGTCTGCCAAGAACATCTCGATACCGGCACCCATGTATTTGTACAGGGTGTGGGTGAGCTGAGTGCCTTCTGACCGAACTGTCTTGTCCGTGTGCGCGAAGATCTTGGGTAATGACTTCAAGATTGGTGGTGGCGGCGCTACGGACGTACCGAATGTCCTTAACGAACGAAATGCTAGTTAAATCTTGTTCGGACACGCATACACTGCAGTAGGGTGGCTCACCGAACTATTTCCTTCAGCGCGGTTACAGTGCTTGCTACTACTTTGGGCTGCTTTGCTGCCAGGCCCGGAAGTATGTCATCCTAGCAAAATATACTATAGGCGAGACATGGAGGCGATCATAGAGGGACGCACCACAACCCCGGCAGCACCGTTGTCAACTTCGACATACTGCAGGACCAGCTCGAGGGCACTGGCCTTCGTCCCAGCACGCGAAGATCCAAAACACTTGTCCACCAGTGCCGGAATGACCACTGGTCTTGTGCTCGCGGCATTCTCGCCGGCGTATTTCACGAACGCAATCACGCAGTCCACGCCTTTTTCCTGCGCGACGGCATTGGCGTCTGTAACGGCCTTCTTCAACAGCTCCGGGTTGCTGATGTACGGCCTGAATGCGGGATCGGAGTCGGATGCTGTAGTCTGGAAGGTCTTGACTAACGACTCATATGCACTGACTCGAGCTTTCCAGTTCTTGTGGGCGAGCCTGTCAGAGATCGGAATAGAGTTGAAGTCCTCCTCCTGGGCTGGAGGTTCAGCCATGATCTCAGAGAGAGGAACTTAAGGACGGACGGCGTAGTGTACGCGAAGCAAAGTCGGAATGCTTGCTCGGCCAACCCTCCACCACTCGGCGCTCGAACGCGGTCAGTCACAGCCGTCACACGTGACGAGCGCGTATACTCGCGTGCGACGCGCCTGCTCCGGTCTTATAGTTTGGCTACAAAGTGACCAGTAAGTACTGCTATGAACATCTTCGATGAATTTGTACATGATAGCGGGTGTTGCTCGTTCTGTTCCGAAGAGCAATCACTCACATCTCGAGGCGTTAATGGCTCGCGAATGTCGACCCTGGTCCATTGCCGATTGCGTGTGTGTCGCTCGTGAAGGTGACATGCATATGAGGGCTTCACCAAGGCCGCCTCCGTGTGCTGATGATCCAGGCAGATCGCTTGGACAACCCTTTGACCTGAGGTGCCAAGGACATGGTCCCGATAACTGATATTGTGGATGCCTGCCCTAAGAGTGGATATGCACTCCAACCTGGGGAGACCGCTGTGTGAACAACGCTGAGGCTCTCCCAGCTTTTGTGGTTATAATGGCGTACTGGCTTTTCTGGCTCTCTCCATTAGCCACGAGATCTTACAGAGATGGGAAGATACTGATCTTACTGAACGTCCCGAATGCTCGTGTCTGTCGCTGACCTCATATTGAATCGGCCAACCCACACCTGCAAGAAAACACATGTTGTGACGAAGGCGATTCTCCCGCGCTCTGGTATACAGTGGTGGGGAAGATTACGCAGTAGTTATTGTAAGATCCTAGTCGGCAATGACATGTACATGACGCAAACTGTGAATACAAATGCGGAGGAAAACGAAAGGTGACTATGCTATGCATACTTATGAACGAGCAAGGTCCTGGGGATGTAGCAATAATGTAGTACGGAAACAACTGCGACAGTACTCTAGGTAACTACTAGGCTATTTCGGAGAGAAAGCGCAACTGGCTCAGCAGTAACTCGACGAGCAAACATATGGACAGCAACGAATAGAAACGCGACTACGACGGGATTAAAGCACGAATAACATGTGTTGATCGAGGATCTCGAATAAGATAGAGAGAGCTGCCAAACGCGCAGTCCGGGCAAAGACTTCGCACCTTCTTCCCGGACGATCGCCGTGCAGACATTTTTGGAAACAGGCACGGACGCGCGACATATGGTTGTCGTCGCGGATGGCGTTCGTCGACATGCGTTTATCGCAGGGGTTCGCGCTCGAACTTGAAGGCAATGCGGTTGTCGCCAGCTGCCCTGAAGAGCTGACGGAAATGGGTGGGTCCGAGGATTTCAGTGAGCGCGACTTCATGTGAATGAACCCATTCGACCGGCGGCAGGGCTCGGATTGTCCTCTCTGTACCGACACCAGCGATGACCTCCTCTTTGACGAGAACAATCATGCCTGTCAGAAGACATTGGAGGAGATGTAACATGTCGCCGATAGCGGGGACGGTATGGCGCATGCCGGGAAAAAGTGCACTGTGGAACACCATCTCCCACTGGACGCGCCGGTCGGGTGAGAAAAAGGATGAAGCATGGATGGGGATCTGTAGGCGCAGATTGGGACTGCGAGGGAGACCTCTCGGCGAGCGGTACGGTGACGGGCATTCAATGTCGAAGAGCAGGCGGGGGTCCAGTGGCGTGACATCCTCCCAGCCGAGATTTTGAACGAGCTGGGTTCGGATGGCCATCATCCAACGACGCGCCCGCGCGTAGTTGGTGCCTAGGGCCTCTGCGGTGGTGAGCGGGATGCCCGTGCGTCGGGCCCATTCATCCATATGGACGATGTCATTGCTGAATACTAATTGGGGAGGAGCGCTCGACATGGCGCGACGTGGTTTGCGGAGGGGCGGGTAGCGCGAAGCCGTGTTGGAAAGTCGTTAACTGCAGGGAAATGGATTGTCACATTCGGTGTCGAGTACCGCGATGCTTATATGAGGCGCAGTACTTACCCCGACCACAAGAACAGACGCCTGGCGTCCTCCAGCACGTAGCAATGTGTATCACACACTAGCGTGCTGTTACAGACACGTTTTGGACGGACTCGCGGGGGCGGCGGATGGACAAGCCTTTGCCGTCGGACACCTCAAAGAAGGAGGGAGGGAGGGGAGGGCATGATTTCTCGCGCCTTTTTGAAGGCGGACGGGCGTTGCGCCAAACCGACCAAAATTGGGCCTGGCGATCGCAACGGGTGGCGGCCATTGGGAACGACGTTCCGACGCGGCAAAGACGCGAAACGTGTTTCGATGAGCAAAGACGTTGTTTTTTGCATATAACTGTATCGAGATTGGGTCGGAAAGAGACATGTTCTCGGCATGTGTCCCACACCAATCAGCCTCATCTTCTCAGCCCTGAGTCGGCGCGCCTGCCCTAAACCCATTCCCCACCTGTCCGCCCATTCGGCCTTGCCAAATATGTCCCACATTTGGGTCAAAAGATGCCCGGGTTCTTCCCGCCCGGTAGTTTAGTCCGCGTTCACACACCGGACGCAGGCGCTATGTGGGCGCGATGACCGACTGGGAACCGTACATGGAAGGCTAAATCCCCCCGGATCGATGACTTCATCTGTTCTAGTACTGCTCTCACGCTCACGACCATGGCTCTAGGCCTATTCGAATCGGGTGCGGTTGAATATAGTGGCAATTTATCCCTATATTCGCTGGCAACGGTTTGAGGGCGAGAGCGGCGCAATGGGCGGCATTACATAACAAGCCCTTGTTCGCTCCTAGCAACCCGATGGTCTGAATAATTTGTCACCTAATCCGTAACAACACGAACTCCTTCGGACCCGCGGTACGCCGCCCTTAGAGGACCGAGTTGAGACAGATTCGCCTCCGTGCACCAGGAATATGGGGATTGGGTCACCGCTCTGTCTCAGCATTTACATCGTGAATGGTAATCAAAGCGAGCGCCATAGCAGCTGTCGTAACGGAACCCAGGAAGGCTGCGGTCTTATGATGGTGCCGGCGCGCGGGGCACTTGGCGACTCACCGGACGGCGGTCATCTTGCAGCCTCGGCTACTGCACGGCGAGTCGAACAGGCCTTCGAACGCGCTGTTCCTGTCATCATGGCAATATTCTCGAAAGATGTCTCTCCGAGTGGTAACGCACTCGGGGCTATGTAAAATGACACTGCTTATGGTGCTGTCTGCTGGAGGTAGCTGACATGCCGTCAATGCTATTCTGGGGGCCAGTGACATTTGGCCTTGTAGGGTCACGGTGCGCGACTAGACACCGTCGTGTTGACAAATTGGTTAGGACACCCTGTTAGCGAACCATAGAAGATCCTGACGTTCATAGTCACGGGAGGCGCGCGATCGATCTAATTCATGCCGAAGCATTTATATGGACCCACAACTTCGTTCCTCTGCCGTCCACATTCACCACTAGGGAACGTCTTTCCAAAGAGGTGCCAGAGCAACGTGAATGGTGTACATACACGTAATCTCATGTCAATATTCGCGAATTGATGCCTCAGACCACAATGTCCACTGTCACTACCGCCGCTGAGCCGGGGCGCCCGTAACGCATGAGTGATCGAGAGGCCACGTGACGGCAATCGGAGTCACTCTTTGGAATTCACCCTCGGAGGTCGGTGAACTCGCATCTCAGCGTCGCTCATAACCGTTCCGCCACCACCGACGGTGATCGCGTCAAGGGAGGACACTATTCCAATATGTCTGTGTCTCAAATGGACGAGAAATTTGATATCTTCGCAACCTTTTACCGTATCCTCCAGGATGATCAAGTGCGCATTCTGTCTGGTTGAAACTTGCGTGATCGTTGTCTCAAATCATTCGTTATTCGAAGCTATCACCCCCTCTCGCTGCCATCTTGACGTTGACAGAGTCCATCGTCAAATCAAATGGTGCCACCTGTCTGCTACCTTCTCTTTCCTGTTGTTGATGGTAGCTCAGCCGGGACCATGTTTGAGCTTGTGCAAGCTCTTAATGACGACGCTGAGGTTCTCAAGCGGCGTACACCCAATCCCATCGGACTCAACGCCGGTTGTGAACTCTTCATAGCCTTTGTCACTTTGTTCCCACACGAGTCTGAGGTGAGAGCACTTCACACACCCCGATTGCGGGCTTCATTAATTGCACCCAAACCTACCCCAGAGCTTTGCGGGGCTCAAAACCGAGCTCGTACATCAGGGCAGAAAATATGCTGCAGAAGCTCTTACCTTCCGGGACAAGATTGCCGAGCTCACTCTCGGTTTTATTAAGGATGACTCGGTGGTACGCCGCATCTACCCTCATGGGCACGATAAGCCAATGACCTATAACGCCAGATCCTCACCCACTCATATTCACGTGTTGTGATGAAAGCGCTGCTCCATGCACATAAGACAAAACGGATATCGGTGTATGTCACGGAGGCGAGGCCTCGTGGACTAGGGTAGTCGATTTACGCGAGATCTCCTGCGAGCGACCAACTGATGCACATGCGGCATAGATTAAAAACTTACGAAACACTGACTGCGGCCGGTATTCCGTGCACGGTCGTGCTCGACTCTGCGGTGGCCTATGTCATGGACCGCGTCGATTTTGTGCTCGTTGGCTCCGAGGCGGTGGTGGAGAGCGGCGGTCTGATCAACGCCGTCGGCAGCAATCAGATGGCTATCATCGCGAAGGCCGCTAGCAAACCATTCTACGCGCTAGCAGAGAGGTATTTTGCCAGCTATCGGGGCGTTTCATGGCGCGCTGATGCCGACCCCTAGCTACAAGTTCCACCGACTTTTCCCCCTATCACAATACGATCTGCCCACCCACAACTCGACCATTCTGTCATTGCCAACACTACCACAGCGGCCTGCGGTGCCTCGCTTTTCCGGGAGTGAACCGGCAACATCTACATCCGCTGCCCATGAGGCGGCGGCATCCGCCAGCAGGACATCGACGCCGGAAATGAAGATGGACGCGGAACAAATATCCCGGAATCCAAGTGTTGACTACACCAGGCGGGTGCTCTCCTTCTGGAATACGCAGTTTCCATACTAAATCCGTGCGGGACATAGACCTGATTTAATTTCCCTGGTATTCTCTGACGTGGGAATATTGACGCCGGAGGGCGTGAGTCAGTATCTCGTCGGTATGTTCGCCGGGTAAACTGTACGTACCTTTCGTTGTTATTCCGGCAAGATCTCGAGCAGAGATAAAGTTTCATGGCGATAACCTTCAATCTAATCAGGTATACCGAGGCCGGCTGCATGAATATCTCCGAGCACGTGTACGATGTGATCGTCGACGTCGGACAGGCTCCTGCGCTCTGGATTACCACTTCAATGCCAACCGGGGTATGTGCTGACGACATTCTTCTCTTTGCGTCTGCCATGTTCCTCGCGCAGAGCCAGTCATCCATCACATGTTTTTTCATCCTGGCAATCGTCCCCCCCTCTTCGGATACGGTATCGATTACATCTCGATCGCGGTCTATTAGAAGCTGTAATACAGTCCATTATGGATTGGCTCATTTCGCTCGACGTCTTGTGAAAGCTGTGGACGCCAGGATCCGCGATTCGTAGTGGCCTGCGTGCAATGACGGAGGGGGTGATAGCTCGCTGAGTACAGATATTTGTATGGCCCGAAGCAACACTATCCAAGCTCCGACGAGTCTATCAGTGCAGGTCTGTGGACAGATACGATCGATACTTTTCGCGACGGGCTTTGGCGCGCTATCATGCAATTTCGTCCTACCGCATCATCGGTGCTGCCCGTTGCTGCGGCTCCTATCCACGTCGGTGCTGTTGCGTGCCGGATATCCGTCATTATTTAGCGTTTTAGCTTTAGCGTGCCGAACCGTACCGCGTTGCACGTCAGGACCTTTGTACCAGGAGTGCGCACGATGGACCATTCCGATCAGCCTGGTTATGCTTAGAGCCGAAGCCGTTTGCGTGCATTCGGGATCCTCGTGTTGTCATGCAGCTCGAATCCGCCTTGGGCAGCCATCTTGATATGCAGGAAAGACGCCATTTGCGCTCAACGGTCCGGTTCATTGATGTTATCGACCTCCGCGTTAGACAGCACTGCTCCTGATCGCATTCGCATTTTACAAAAGTGCCGGGCCTGACGCTTCATCCGGGCTATAAAATGTCGAGTGGTTCATGGTCGTCTCAACAAACACACCGTCCTGTCCTCCCTCCGAATCCCACCGCTATGTGTAACTGGCGTCGGTAAGCATATTCGACACGCACCAGATGTGTACGTCTTCATCCCTTCCGAAGCGTCCGCAACCACTACAAGCGCTGTGGGCACTACATTGACTTGGTGCGTCCCGCTGTCGTCACTGCGCCACATATTTATTGACCGTGAGACCGATAGCCCGAAGAAGAGGTAGGCACAACGGATTCGACGAGACCATGTTCGATGACGATTGGTTCACTGGCGCCTAGATCAAATGCGAAGATCGTTACTGCAAGTTCAGCCCGGCACATCCTCCTGATTGTGTTCCTCCGGAGTGCACTAAGCGGTGCTGGCAGTAGTGCGTTCCCCTTCTCTTCGAGAAGGTTCCTGCCCTGACCCTCTCTTCCGATGTTTTGCGCCTGCAGCCACCAGTTTCCGGAGCAATATAGTCAGTAGCTCATCGGACCTCTGTGTAATACTACACTCTGACCACTTACTTGTAGATCCGGTTATAGACAACATTTGCCCTTCCTGCATCCAGATTGCCAGAGCCCAGGCAGCGGCGCGTTGACACTTTCTTGCTATCCGTCCCTCTTCGTCTCTGTAGATTGTCGCGCATCAATCTCGCACCTGTGATACTATAGTACCTGCTTCGTTTGCGTAATCATCCCGGATCTCCACACCTTCAGAAGGAATATACACGCCCCGATCACAAGTACCTTTTCTGAGTGGGTCCGTGAGCGACAGCCGATGGTCGAAGACCCTGAGCACCAACGAAAGATGCCAAACGGAGAACTCGCATTATCTCCACACGGTGGACCACTCACCGCACACTGCAGAAATCAGATATGCTGTTCTCTATAATTGGACAACCGCTTCGCCGCAGACAGAAGATCCGTCCGTGGGCAGGTAGATCGCGAGGAACGTTGACGGGTATACATGGCCCTGGGGGCGTGCAGACGACGGAGCAGTGTGAGCCGGCCTCGCGGGGCATCAGTTCCGGACCAGCAGGTTAGTCAGCTATCCATAATGGATTCATGATAAGGGTCAAGTTTTTCGAGAAAACAGGGCATCCTTAGATGGCATGCATGGCCCAGATAAGGCGAGACTGCAGGACCAGCGCAGGACATGGGAAGTTTCTTCACCGATCGCCAGCAGTCTCTCATTAGAAGCTAGCAGCGGCCAGCTGACGAAGCCATCGCATGTGACAGGGCTGCAAGTCGATGCGGTTGAGGCGTCACGAGCAACGAGACAAATGCCGATTCGGAAATGCTCAAGACTTGATGCAGAGAAATGAAATGGCAACAGAGGTAAAACGCGTTCATGGATTTCGTTCAAAGAACAACACAGTGTCATCTAGTTATTCCAGTATCCGGGTCCGCCAGCATGAATGCGGCAAACATCTTGACAAACATTCTTCATCCGCGAAGCTTGACGTACCACACTCTAGTGGTGAAACGCGGATATCTTAGTCGCGAAATGCAATGAAAAACCCCGGCCTTCTGTCAGATGACATATGCGATAACGGATGATGACCGCTTCCTGCGGCACAAATGGGCGATATCAGGAGAAAGTATGCGCATGGAGCTTGCTGCACATCAGATGACATTCGTGCGGAAATGGGAAAAGAAACAGACCGAAAGCGCATCCTTCCGCTGTAAAGCGATGGGAGGCGCTATCGAGGTGGCGGGAACTGCTACGGAGGTTCGGTAGAAGAGACTAAGGCGAGGGGAAAATCGCGATGCTATGATTCGCCTTGAGGCAACGGATACGCAAGGCATGCGCGGAGTTGATGCTCAGAGAAGTCCCGGATGGCTGAGTGCGAACGGAACGCCGTCCGCGGCGCCAACACAGGCACCGCTACGCCGCACGGATACCTTCGTCGGACGCTCCTTCACGAGGCGGCATGGGGGTCTGTCAAAGGGCAGGATGCGAGAAGACACTGAAACTAGCTACACGCACCAAGTTCATGTAAGTAGAGGCAGGAAAAATACCGTGATCGGCCCGGCGGAGATGGACACATTTTGCGTGTTCGAGGGGGTGGAAAAGCAGCGAAGAGGGAGAAGGACGGAGGAGAGGGTCGGAGCGTGCACGGAATCGAAGGGGCAGTAAGTAGCCATTAACGCCACGATCGGAGGGCGGGCGTTTGTCGTATAAGGCAAAGATCATTTCGGGACCCGCTCGCATCCTGTTCAAACACTCTTACGTATCTTTAACCATCCCATCCCTTTCTTGTTTCCTCCGTTGATTAGCTCTCCGAGCTCACGTGCCAACGCGCTCTGCCTCGCATTCCCTTTCGCGCCCCTTTGCTCCGGCAGACATTGGCAGTGTCCTGTCATGGCCGCTCTTGACGCCGCGGCTCGCGCCCGTATGCCACACAACGTCGTTGCCTATCGCGACATCTACACCGAGGAGCATGACCACACCGCACGTCCACCTATTGTCTTGCTTGCGTCTTCCTGACATACTGATATAGAACCGTCGTGTCACGCTCAACTCCTCGACGCCGTTCACCCCGACTTACGTCAAGGAGCTGCTGGCGGGATCTGCAGATCCTTCTCAACTCTACACCAGCCGCGTTCAGGGACGTCAGATCCTCCTCGAGAACCCGGTGCGCCAGAGCAAAACCAGACAGGAACGTGCAGAGAAGAAAGCCATGCGGCTCGCAGGGAAGGCTAAGAAGCAGGCCAGAAGTATCGCACCGCGAACTGCTCGGAGAAACGGTCTCTGGAGACTACAGCCCGAGGAGATGAAGTACGGTGCTACCTGTCGGAAATTACACTCGAGGCTTACCCGATATGCTAGATTTGAGCTCTTTGTGCCCCTCCACCAGTTATGGATGGGTTATATGTCAGAGCTTCTTGCTCTTGCGCCCGCACCAGCGACCCCTATCACCCAATTTACCTCCCATGCGGTTCCGAGTGCCGCAGCGATGCATCCCAAACTGGTCAAAGCAGACTACCACGGCTCCCTCATGACCGGTATGTATTGTGATCTTCCGAGAACACGTTCACATGAGTGAACGCCCATAAATCGCAGTGCGACAGAGCAAAAACCCATGTCTTGTCGGCCTATCCGGAATTGTCGTACACGAGACCGAAAACACGTTTAAAATAATCACTCGAGAAGATCGGCACAAATGTGCGTGTCCTTATCTTGTGTCGTCTGCCCAGCACTCCCTGATTGCGTCTGGCTAGTGATCCCGAAGCATAACACCATCTTTTCGTTTGCCGTTCCGCTTTATTCCACCGGTAGGTTGGCTATCCTCTCGCCTTTCGCGACAACGGCTCATGTAGCTATGTCTTGTCGGACATAACAGATGCTCCGACAGCCTCAACGGGAGCTGATCGCACGGTCTTTGACTTACCACATATAGAGTTTGAACTTTATGGTAATCAGTTCTGCTTCCGAGCAGCTGAGCGCGCGGGCCGAAAATTCAAACACAAAGAGACGATTGGACTCTGAGAAGCCTATGGTGACACGTTTACCCATGTCCTATGCAGAGACACCAAGCATCTTAGCCATCTACCAATGACCATGGCTTGGTCCGGCCCGGGCACATGAAGAAATGGACGACCTTGCTGGAGTTGCACATGCGACTATACCTGGGGCGAGGGCGACGCACAGAGCTCGATATTTGGAGTGCCGTTCGCGTGTGTACAGGCTGGTATTTGGCCCTACATGTAGTATGGAACGCATGATCATAAGACAAATTAGTAGTGTACACTATAATTATATGATTAGGGAATCCTGTTCCTTGATGTAATCTACCTTATGTTGTACAAACGCAATATGCCCGAATCCGAGTGTCGGTGAGGAAGCTACGCGATATGAGTGTTCTATGATTGAGGTCATGCCCCCACAGGTTTCCACCCTTTCGAGGAAATTTTGGCTGGTGTTTGTCCTCCATGCGTGGAATTAGGGGTAGCGCTCGAGTCGTTCTGAGAGCTAGATCCCTGCGTTATTTGCGGGTGATTGCCCGGATCGAACGCATTGTACAGCGGTTGACGAGAGGATGAAGTTTTTGGTGGAGGGATCTGAAGTTTCACTAAGTACATGCCATAAATTGGTTAGACCATACCGGGACTTACTGCTGCTACTGAGGTAAGATGAGCGCCCGACTTATTGACAGCTTGCCCAGCGTAGAACTCCAGAATAATGTTCAGGGTTTCTGCGACTGTCGCATTAGATCGTCCCCAGCTCATACTGTACCCTGTAACTAACCTGCCACCCCAGCTAATTCGACCTCATTGAACCCAAAGTACTCCACGGCGAACCGGGATGTCTCGGGCGATAAGACCTTATGTGATGGAGGCGTGGGTAGCGACGCAGATGGCGCGGGAGATGCGATACGTATATCTAGAGAAGGCGATTGAGGGCCTTCTATAACGTGCTGCGCGAGTATATAGCAGGCAGCGGCGATGATCCGTGAGGGAAACAATACGCAGAGTGGCGTTCGAGCTCTGTATGGGTGTCACGGGCTGTCCAGTGGGAAATGCAAAGCAAATCGCTCACGTATCGTTCGCAATCGACCAAGCGCACTCGGTGAGCTGTTCCGTGTCCTGGCGCGCGGCGACAAGATCCACGAGTTCTGCATGTGGACTGTCAACTACGAAATCGAAGCACAGCGCTTCGAGTAATGCTTCCTCTGTCAATAAGATAGCGGTTTGATACGTCTCTAGCTCCTGCTTTCCGTCCGTTATCTGCCATGCCGATGCTACGTGCACGCCCACCTTATTGTCATCAGAAATATCATTGATATCTATTTTGGCAACCTTCGAGTAGAAGACCTTTGCAACATCGCGCAATTTTCGCCCACACTCTTCCGTCTTTGTCGCAAGGAAGATACAGGATGCTGCAACGTCCTGACAGGTTGCTGATGCATTAGCGGTGAGCGACGTCATGCAAAAAGGCAGTGCTCGAACCTGCCGGTGGTAATCTTCCATAGAGTATCGCATGTAAAATCGGTGAAACCACGTAGCGGCCGTATACATGGCGGAGATCGGTCTGAAAGGGACGCGGCCGCCAGGGCTCATCAGTCATTACCACCAGACTGCTAGCAATACGGCTTACAGTTGGAGGGAGACCCCCAAGCGGTAAAGGAACTCAATACCTCGAGCCCTATCATATAGCTCCTTGTCTAACGAAATTGAGGAGGTCGTGCTGCTGGGTGTCCATTGCAGGGCAGAGACCGGGAAAAACCACTGGGAGGATGAACTCGATGGCGCCCCCATATCTGCACGACTGAGGATGTACGCAAAACCCAAAAAATGCAGCGCTGCTCTCTCACGCAGGAGGGAGACCGAGTAAACCAGACTAAACCACTTGCAGCAGCTTGTAGCAGTGGGACTATTCGTTGTACAAGCCGATTCAGATACAAGCGCTACTGTCCAGCCCGCGGTGTCTCGCCACCACGCGCTCATGTGACATTCACGTGCACCTTGCAGACGCGACAACTCTAACACGACGACGGATGTGCGCTTTGTGAAATGCATTTTCATGGCTCGTTATACGGGCAACATATCGGTGGATGCGCTTCAAGTGCGTACAATTCTTGAGCTCCTATGAGTTGGTTATGATTATGATGTCATGATCGTTGAGAGAACCTGCGCTGTTTCTCTGAATATAGACTTTTCATTAATCCCAGAGTAAGCGTATCAAGTACAAGAGCTACACGCAGATATCTATGATACATGAAGTACAGTGCGTTACACAACAAATCGATAGTACTGATCATAGCGTCGATTAAACAAGGATGCGATTCCTGCTCTACCTCCAGTCAGGTCACCTTCCATCATCCGATCCAGGCCGTCACCGATAGTCACCTCGCGGCTGCTCGTACCGCTTTCCAGATAGATATCCGCCACCTTGTGCTACAGCCCGCTTACCGTAGTCGCGTACGGTCGAGCCGGACGCGACAGAGAACTCCGACCGGGTAGGGGATGGGGGACGCATTTCTCCGGCGGTTGCTCTCGACCATGTATGGATGGCAATCTGCCCATCAGGAATGCCTCGCCTTTGCAGATTGACTGGTTGTCTTAGGGAGACGTTTGGCTTTTCTTCAAATAACATGGCATAAACCGCCTGATCATCTTCGTCGTCTGAAGGCACGTCGAATTTTGACGAGGGAGCTGTGTACCATAGGTGTTTGAGACATCGGCACAATATGTACGTGGAACAACTCACCTTCACTTCGAGCATCCCAATCTGACACTGAAGGAGCCGGTTCACAATCCAGTCTATGTGTATGGGGAATTAGGGCCTTGTTCTGTGCATCCAGGTTCTGGACAGATTCTGGTACCTACATGAGAGAGATGAGGGTTGTAAGAGCTACGTTCATTATCACGAGAGGCGAGAGAGGACGCGAAGAGCCTCTTTGAACTCCGCAGGTTTTCGAGGGTGGACGATGTCGCGGAAGAGACACGGGAATTCCACGGGAATAAATTCAGGTTCGCCACTGACCTCTGGGATCTCCCAGCTACCGGGGACACCGATTGATGAACCTAGCCAGTAAACGAGACTCTCCAAGACTGTGGGGTACTTGCAGTTCCGATCCAGAATGCCTCGCGAAAATCCCACAGTCCAGCCTGGTCATCGATGTCAGTAAAGCCTTGCCAGGTGAGGTTTCACCCAGCCACACCTTGGGAGAATGCACCAAACACCCATCCCCAATACGTTGTCAAAACAAACCATCGACAATTTCGCCGATGGCATTCGTCCCAAATCTATTTTGGGTATCAGCGATGGGAGTCATGTGAAGAGCAATACGGGCAATTAGACACCTTAGACCACAACCGTTCCTTACTACTGTACGATGTTATGAAGCCAGCGTCGTCGGCAGCCGGTCGGAGCTGGGTCAACGTTCAAAGTCAAGAAGAACGGCGGATACAAGGTAATAGCGTGCTCACGGTTTGGCAGTCCACAAATAGTTCGAGGTCCTTCGGGGATAAAATCCACGGGGGTTGGACAAAGACTAAACAAGCCGGTGGATGGGCTTCGTCCCCGTCTATGTGTCCAAACACCAAAGTGGCGAGGATATCATGGTCTGGGTCGTTCCGACTATCGAAGTCAAAAATGTAGTCCATCGACTCTCGGAAGGAATGATGCATAACACATTGCGCGGTTCTTAATGGGTATTCATTGACCCACCACGATACCCTAGAATACGGATCAAGACAGGTCATGAATGCATCATACAACCAACTGCCTCGCGAGCTCACTCTCGTACGGTCTTGGGTCTTGAGAGCGGTGTAGGCGGCACATATACGTATGGCGGGCAGGGCATGGTGGCGCTCCCCCTGGAATGTTCATGACCGATCTTCAGTTTATGAGACGGAACGTGCGCATAAAGGACTAGAGGCGGTCAGTAAAATGAACTACGGGATGCATTGTGAAAAGATCGCACAACTGTCGACGTTGAAATCCCAGCTAGGGTGAGTTAGAGTGTGCATGGATTCTAGTCGCCTATACGGCGCGGGTATGACAGATAGTCGGTTGCGATGCGATTTGTGACCTTCGGGAGGCATTTCTGGTGTCCCATCCCCTAGCAGCATTTCCGGTAGTTCTGCTTGAGACGAGTACCACCGCAGGTGGTCGGTGGGAAGAGCACCGATAAAACTTGGCGCCATCTCTAAGATTAGTATGACAAGAGGACAGCAAGGATGTAGCAAGAAAGAGGGAGGAAGACAGAGACGAACGTACGTCTGGCAGATATATACGGAGTAGCCGCCACAAGCAAACGCTTGGCATAGCAACGCCACTCATCAACCGCCTTTGTTAGCTGTGGAACAACAGGCTCGCCGAGAGATACATATAGAGCACAACGATCGCCCATTCGGGAACAATTGCTATTTTCATTGGCTGCGAGCGCGCATGAACATATGTGTGAGATCTAGACGCCCACGCTCTGCAACAAAAGTATCCTGCTGAATTACTACAGGAAAGGTCGTAGGCATACATATGTAGTGACTATCATAATACGTGTATAGTTACAGGTTACATTGATCATAGCATATGCAATAGATTATACAGTAATGTCTGACCGTTCATTAAAACCAGCGCCGCGCGAAGCCGTAGGGCACTTCGTAGAGCGGACGTGCAGATATTGTGAAGGCCTGTCGTCGAAAGACTCCTGCGCATGCACTGATCATGTACAGCTCATCGCGCCTGTTCTTTCGCGCATGACACAATCCGCGCACTTCGTCTCGCTCATGCGGATGGGGTTGCGTTGTGGCGTGGTCATCATCCTCACACATGATGGTGACCGGCAACCTGCAGAGTAGATCAGCCTACGAGAACAGTCGGGTTGGGTCCACAACTCACCAACTGGATGTGCGTGTCTCCGACTGAAAAGACAGTTGGGTCGGAGACAGTCTTGCATACGAGTGTGCATGGGTATGAAGTGCTGGCACTCGAGGTGGAATCTCCCATCAATGATCTGGACGTAAGGCTCGTCAATATACCGTCTCACAAACATGATTGTCTTACGAACATTATGACACATTTTAGCAAATACAGCGTAGGTGGAATGGAGCCGACGAGGCAAGGGGTACAGGTACAGATCCTCGACAGCGCGGGTCGCATATATAGACCTATCTGAAGGGCAACGCGCATCACTAGTCGAGAAGCGTGGGCCTTCCGTACCAACATCCCGGGATGCATGTTGACCGCGTTCTCCATTGAGTTCGGCAGGACCCAGACGGCGAGGCCTGGGGCCCCTCACAGATTGTTATGCGAGGGAAGGTACGACATACCAAAGACGCAACACGATGTGTTTCGGAAAAGTCAATCAAAATGCTGAATAATTCGCCGGGTCTTCTGAGCGTACCGCAGGGGCAACGCGTGAATACGGTGTTTCGAGGTCATGACCGGGGCGATAATTGGCAAACATTGGCGCACGAAGCCCGCGACACTGTGCACCCGGTTTCGAGGGCGGCTGTTAGCCAAGGCAAGTCTCAAAGGGCCGTCAACGTCACTTGCACCTTCATATTGGTTAACTATGAATGGCGCAACTCTATCAAGGGTATCGCATCTTGGGCGGGTCCAGCATGCACGGCACGAGGCAATAGGCGTGGAAGACGCGTGTCGCCAAATACCAATGTCGATAATTCTGGACCTACGTGCATGCTCCATAGACGGCCTTAGCCTGTCCCGTACTGGCCGGAGTCAGCAGGTATGATGTATCACATCAATCACAGCAAGATATGGACGTACACTTTTTCGCGCAAATGCTTCTCTATGATCCTGCCGGTGTCAACAGGAGATCAGGGAAGTACGCAATGGACAGGATGTCGACCGTTAAACATGGGTTGCAATGACCATCCTTGGCATCACAAAGAAAGGGTCTTTTACAGCTCGGATTCGAAGTGGCCTAACGTCACGGCTACACCGCATATGTGGAGTGGCCTTCTGCCCTGCTCACATCATTATGATATCGCACGTTGGGTAGCACGTCGAGTGAGAGCGATAATATATGAATTGCAGGCAACAATTCATGAACCACGGGCACGAATCTCGTTCACTAGCTGTACCTTCTTCCGCACCTGCAAGGAACAGTTGGAACATGACTTCACGGGGAATATCCATGAACTAACGCACCTCATGCGCGAAGCGCCGCCGCCAGCGCACACTCCGCAGGCGTCGTCGTTTGTCGCCCTTTTTCTCATGCCGCTCTGCCATCCGAAGTTCTTTCACCACATGGTTCGTCGACAATATTCTCCGCAGCTTGGTAAAGGCAAACGCAACTCCGGTGTAGGTTGAGACACTACGGCCTGTGCCGTCTGGTGTGAAGAGCGGACTAGAGATCGTATCAACATTGAAGCTCACCAGAATACGGAGTATTCGGTAGAGAGAGATATCTCGAAACGGCCTCTCCTCTCTCCTTCCAGACATCCTCCGGTGATTTGTCTTGATCAACGACTTGTTTTATTGTAGGGAGAAGGTAATTCCACATGCGATCTTGGGTGCGAGGCCTCTCCAGAGTGGTCGACCGTAGCGGATCCATCTTTAGCGGAGAGCTTTGCCTAACATCTGGAGATTCGGGTTGTGAGGACGAGGACAGCAGACGTGCACGGCATGCGAAGGACGACGAGACTGTTGGCAAACGGGCAGCGGTCCTCAGTGCCGTTGAGGCGCGCTGTTTCACGAGAGATGCCAACATGACCTCGAAAGCGTGACAACTCGACAGAGTGGTGCAGACAGAGAGGGACTTGAGTCTGTTGCCGACGGGTCCGTGAGCGCTTGCCATGGGTTGGACCCCGGTCATCGTGTTCATCGATGCCGGGACGGTCATTTCGCACAACTACCTCTGCTCGCATCCTCTCTCATGTCTTCTGAAGTGTTGGCGGAGGAGTTTGAGGTAGAGCACCACATCATGACGTGCTCGCTTTGTCACTTAACCCCGTTTGCAAGGTCCTCGAGTCCATCTATCCGACCGAACTCACAAGTGTGTTCCCGCCCTCAGCTTTGACATTCTAGTCTGGCTGAGACTCATGCAAAGAATTGTCGGAAAGGGCGGTACGAATAGACATCGAGCCGGAAGAGTCAGTGGAGGGCGAGGATGAGTGTGAGTTGTTCATACGCCCTCAGCGAGTTATGTCTTAGTGCGCCGCAGTAAAGCTCGTATTAGAGGTTCAGTACACAGATGGCTATCCCGACACCCTGCCAGATCTATCGGTGGAGGCCGTTGCAGGATCTCTAGAGGAGGTCGAGATTGAGAGTCTGCTCCAAGAGCTACGAGAAGTGGTGTGTCGTTCTCTTGACAGCCATGTATATAAGAGAAGCTAAGTCTGTACGGATACGCAGGGCGAGGAGAACCTCGGCATGGCCATGACTTTCACATTGTCTACGCATTTGCGAGAACAGCTTTCAGCCCTCATACACTCGCGAATAGAACGCCGCAAGCAGGAAGAAGCGGAAAAGGAGCGGAAAGCATTAGAGGTGCGATTGTACTGGCCAACGGACACAGCGGACATTTATACGATTCACTGCAGGAGGAGGAAGCACGAACACGAGGAACTCCGGTAACGGTTGAGACATTCAAGGCATGGAAGACCACATTCGACAAAACAATGGCCGTTAAGAAGGCACGCGATGAAGAGGAGAAGCTCAAAGCTATGACTCCAAAAGAGAGGGAAGAATACAAGAAGCTGGGCACCCGCCTCTCAGGTGCGCATCCCGTCATACTCACATCGTTGCCTTCTCGTGACACGGTATTACAAAGGCCGACAATTGTTCGAACGCGACCGGAGTCTCGCAATCTCAGACGACAGCCTTGTCGAAGAAGGTGCTGTCTCTGTGGACATTACTCAATTTGACAGAACCGTTGTAGAGGAAGAAGAGGAAGAAGAGCGAATGTCATTTAGCGACAGCGATTAACTACCGTTGTGTACGCACCACAGTTTTTTGTAGCCTACTCACCCCATATATCGTGTAAGTGCAATCGTGTAAGCACCGTGAAGTGAAAATAATACTTCAAGCCTGTTAGGCATTGATGAAAATATTTCTTTTTATACGTCATCTTTAGTCCTTCTACAGGCCAGCCAACAGCCCTCCTTCTCCTTCAACACCTACAACATGCCCTCCTTTTCCAACTTCTTTGCATCCGATGTCGTCCCGCCCCACCTCCTTGAGGAATCCGTCGACTACATGCGTCGACATGTCCTGCCGCCCCTCGACGATCAGGTCTTCGCGTACAGCCTTCAGCCACTCCACTACCGGCTTCTTGAGCCACCGCCTCACGTAACCCGTCTTCTCGTCTGTTTCGAACCATCCTAAATGACCGCCCTTCTTTGTGACCGCGAATGCGACGAAAGGGTTTCCTCCGGCCTCTACCGGCAGCACTTGCACAATCGGATCATCCTCCGCATTTATAGCAAGGAAGGGCACGCGAATGTCTGCGAGAACTTTGTGACTCGACGCCCACACATAGTAATCCCATGCCGTCGGGAATGGGAACGGCGGAGACGAGCCGCCGCCAACGCGAGTAACGGCCTTGTCAAACTGCGACAATGCAAGCGATTTTACGCTCAGCACCTCGGGGAGAACTTGCGTCAGCGGGTGTTCAGGGAATTTGTACAAGCTGGCGGCGTGCCGCCGGACGAGCGTCTGCAAGTTCCGGGCCATCGCTTTCGAGTACACATTTCTGTGAAACCACCTGTTCTCCAACCTAAAAGGGAATATGAATGTATTGCATGATCGGCTGGCGGAGCACGCACTGTTCCGCGTTCATGACTAGATCCCAGGGCTTACGGTGCGTTCATCAGTCGTTTGCACGACAAACATGACAGGGAAGGACCGCGTACATACACAAGCGACGGCGCAGCCGGCGATAAGACGACTGCGTGTTCCCTCCTCTGCGAGATAGCGAGTCAAGACGTTCGCGCCCAGCGAAAAACCTATCCCGATCAAGCGAGCATTCGGATAGCGCTTGGCAATATGCAGCACGGCGACACGGATATCATCAGTGTGGCCAGCGGAATAGAGCTGTGGGCTGGAGAGGGGAACGCCTGCGCCTACAAAAACAATTTCACATGAGAATTCATTTGACTATTCATAGGCGGGACGCGCCTACATCCTCGGAAATTGACCACGATGCCCCGGTATCCCAAGCCGCCTTCCTCTACAGGCGTGCATACTGGCGCCAATATCGCTCGGACGTACGACTCATGGGATCCTGAGAGTCAAAATGTCAAAACACCTCCGTGCAAGTCGGCTGTGGCAACATACCACCCGTGAGCCCGTGCAGGACCACCACGATCGGAGCATCATCTTCTAAATTGCGTACAGCTGCCGGTGGTGTGCTGTCCAAACCTCTAGAATGACCGGTCAGGGGACGTGGTCCCTTACAGGGCGCTATGCTCACATCGTGCCGCCGTCAAGGGTGCGCAGGAATGTCCTACATGTGCATGTCATTCCTCAGTTTACTCATAGAGGTTCTAATGTCACCAAATGCTTACCTGTCATATTCTACCTTATCTATCTTTGAGAAATCGCCGACTACGGCGTACGCTGTCTGCAAATGGCCGCTTCCACCAGGACAAGTTAGTGTCAAGAGCACTGAGATAGCTTTGAGACGGACTTGAAAAGCCACCAAGTCGGGCAGAACTGCTTGAATAAGCTAGGACAACGAGCTTCAATGAACTCTTGTAGATTTTCTTGACTAGTTTCGGTCGAACCAGGGAAGCTCTTGACCGACAAGCTCGCAGGAGACTCGGCAAAATGCAGGTTTGGCTTCCAATAATCTGCTGAGAAGAAACTCCGTATCAGGTCCATACCGACTGTCTTTCCGCCACTGGTGGACTAGGGATCAGCAGGATTTGGCCTCATATGACGGAGGGATTTAAGTGTCTGATGCCCACTGGCGGTACACGAGAGCCGGCGGCAGTTGTGTGCCGGAAATCACAAGGAAATGCGAATGCGACTTTGTCGGAATGACTGTCTGCTCGATCGATCGCGGATTTTGACCGCGGCTCGAAGCTTGCGATTTTCAATTCAATGTTACTTATAAGGCCGATGCATAATGAATAAGATGGGGTGTCGCATCGCTATTGTTTTCTGTATCTTCGTGATTACAGAAATTTGCTATCTTTCGGCTCGGGAGTTATACACTACTTACAATCCCCTTCCTCTCCAAGATACACATCTATACAAGAACTCGTGCAGCCAGCCGGTATGCCAACAACCTATGCCCACGCATCAAGAGCGCGCTTCGCGGATACGCTGAGGACATTTTCATCCGGGCTGCTTGCAGCCTTCTCTAGCAGATTTTGTGTGCGTTCCTTCATCCTCGCGACATCGGCTGCCCTGTCTTCGGACACCGCACCTGACTTACCCAGCTGCCCGAGCAACTGGCAGATGTTAGCGCGGATCTCGGCAGCGACGGTCCTTTCCGTGCTGGAGAGTACAGACACCAGCATGTCGAGCGCACTCCGCGGGCCCACGACAGGCGAGTCCACGGCAACTGCAGATGCAGGTTGTGACTGCGACGGTCGAATGACTTCACTCGGCAATGGATTCAGGATGGAGTCGAGCACAAGTGTGCCTGAACAGCAAGCTTCAGCTGCAGACCAGACGATCACGGGGAACAGACGTACCGCCATTCGCATGTGTACTGAGCAAGAACAGTGAGACAACACCTTCATTGATCAGCGACGGATACTTCTTGCTCCGTCCTATGAGCTGCGCCAGGGCCGAGGTGCACGCTGCGTTCACGACAGTCTTCACGGCTTCGTGTCTCTTCTTCACCTTCTCTTCGTCCGTCGGAGCGCCACTTGACCAAAGAGACTTTACGACGTTGACCAACACCCGCGTTCCCTCGCTCTTTACGGCGGTAGAGTCTGATCGTCGCACAAGGGCCAGAATCTGGTCTAGGGGCGATTCGGAGGATGCATCGGGCGAGACCAAAGTCAACGCGTTGTCGGCTACGTCCTCTCCGGTCAGATCTAGTATTCGACCCAGCCTAGATACCCCACCCACCGTTCTGTGCGCACATGTGCTTGGCGATACCAATTGCAGAGACCTGCACAAGCTCTGCGATGTCTGTCTTCTCGCCCCAGACACCCGATGTGGCTAGTCTCTCTATGATGCGCGCCTCACCCAAAGCTGCCCTGTTGCCTTGTGACTGCGCGAGGTGCTTCAGTAGCCCTACGACGCCATGCGTCACCTTAATGTCAATGCCGGGCTCAATGAGGGTTGCTAAATCAGGTGCGATCGCAATCGGCGGCCGGGCGAGTGCTAGGGCGTGGGCGTCTACACAGGGATGTCATTGCAGGAAGCTGTCAGAAGGACGCCTGTGTGGTCAACTCGCGTGCCTTACCTCGTCGCACAAGATTGCCCACACTGAGTGTCGCACAGATGATCAGGTCGTCCCGATTCGTGTCCTTCAGGCTCCGGTGTGTCCGGATCCACTGCACCATGATGTTCACAAATGCACCTCCCGGCTTCGCTGGATCCGATTCGTCCCATAATGTGTGAATGTTCTTCTCGTCACCGGCGACCTCGACAACCGCCTTGACAACCGCAGCCTTGCAGAAGTCAAAGCTCTTCTCCATGGTCGAGCGCTCTCCTGAAGACTCCGAGGACCAGAAAGGCGGGTAATCACCGCGATCCAGGAATGCTAGCATATGTGTCAGACAAGGGATGCCGCCATGTTCATCAGGAAATGACATCCCGCGAGCCAGCGATAGTCGGATATCCTCAACATCAAGACAAAGGGATTCTAGAAGTCCGCACACTTCCTCGAGCACTTCATAGTCCGCCTGGACCAGGGACCGGCGGGCGGGAGACGCAGCAAACAACGGCGGTGGAGATGGGTAGGGTGGAATAAATGCTAACAAGGGGCGGATGAGGTACGGGAGGGAGTCAACACCAAATAGCGGGCGTGCTTGTGCTGCTGATATGTATGAGCTTACTACTTGATCCGACAGCAATGTGCGATCTCACGAGTGTCGTCGTCGTCACGGAGTTCTGATATTGCCCTCCAGGCCCAGGAGGCCAATCCTGAGCGTAGAATCCACTGCTGGAGGAATCTCTCATCGGAATCAGACGATTCCTCGAATACCAGCTGTGTAGTAAGCCAAGAACCAGGAGGGTATATCGCCATAGACAATTTTAAAATGGTCACGGCAGCTTCCAGTGAGATCAAACGAGATCTTGTAGGCTCTATATAATTATGCCTTAGTGATAAGCGATAAACCAATGTGTGTGACGGACCATAGCCGATACTGGCATTCAGGAGCAGTCCAATCGACGTCTTGACGACCTTGAGATCGTCAATAAGGAGGGGAAGTGGATCTGCACAATTGGGATGAGCGGCTTCCGCGTAGCTCTCGAGCAGCGAAACCACGGTCTGGGGGAAATTCGCTTCAAGCAAATAACCTCGATTCTCATCTGCGCGGCCGTTCACATTTTGGTCACTTTACGCATTCGCATACATAGCAAGACATACTTGCCGTGGTCCATGCAGAGGTTGGCTCCAACGCGGAGAATTTCGTGGATCGCGGCTTTGCATCCTGAGACCGCGGACGTTGCTCCGCTGATAGCGCTCTTAAGGAGGGAGGTGAGCGTTTGTGGTAGGAGGGTCTTTCCTAGCACAGTTTGCTGCTCAGCTGTCTACGTCTCAGCGATGTAGAGCGATCGCAAAGCAGGCATTTATGTCTGACCATCTTTCACACGAAGGTCATCAGCCAGCTGTTGTGCCGTCGACTCGATTTCTTTCCACTGGTCCGGCTGGTTCAGTGGCAGACGCGCCAAGAGATCGCCTAGCTTCGATGCGCAGGCGAGTTTGGACATGCTAGACGTCCTAGCAAAATCCGACGGGGTAGTGCAGCCAGAAGAAAAGGGAGGAGAACAAGAAAGGACAACCCGACTGCACAAGGTTCAAGCCGCCTTCTGTAAGGACCGCTCAAATCGGTGAGACTACACAGGCGGCGCTGAGATTGAGTTCAACCCGGGTTCATCAAACAACACGCTCAACCCAGGATGGACCGGGTTTTTCCCCGAATTGGCACCGCCGGGTCTTTTCTGATTCAGCCTGGCATTGGGTAAAACCTGGCACCCGGTGACCTGCGCCACGCCAGGTTCAGTGGACGGGCCGGACAATGCCGCTATTCCGCGAGCACCCCATAATTCCCATAAAATAATTCAAATAAATAATATATATATTATCCTGTATTCTACGGACATTCGACAGCAGCGCAAACCAATAGCTACTAGCTACATATATACAAGTGTGTTCAGTATGTCAGTAGGTCAGTATGTCAGTAGGTCAGTAGGTCAGTAAGTCAGTAGGTCAGTAGTCAGTAGGTCAGTATGTCAGTAAGTCAGTAAGTTCGGACGTCAGTAGGTTGGGACGTCAGTATTGTCAGTATATGATTAGTCCGTCGCTATTGTCAGTGGTATGTCAGTCTTGTCAGTCTTGTCAATATCATGTACTCCAGTCGGCCACAGGTGCAGGGAGTTGAGGAAGAAAAACGACGACTCACGCTGGAAAATGCGCAGTCACAATGTGTTACCCAGGTCACATGACTGTGACCTCAAGGCCGTCAGTGTCCGCAACTGTGGACAGGACTGGCGGCATAGGACGAGCGACACGCAGGACGACGAGAATAAGAGCGACGAACAAACGAGGGCAGAGGAGCGAATATATACGAGGGCGGATGCAAGCCAAGGGTGGGGTGGCCCCTATCCATGGCCTGAGGGAGTTTCGGCGCCGGCCCCATGCTTGCGGGCTTTGGGTTTTCCCCGACTCCCTATGCCGAGCTGACGTCGGGATCGGGGCGGATGGGCGAGGGGCCAAGCGGACGTGGGTTAAACCCAATCCGGGGACTCCGGGTGACCCCGGGGCGTGGGAACTCAGGTTAGACTCGGGACCAAGCTCTGGCAGTGTAGATCTCCATCTACAACAAACTAGCATAAGCGCCCATGAATGGCGACAAGCGCGGTCACGTGGTCGTAGCTCGTCAAATTCGCTTTCGTCTTGGATTTGCTCCGAATTCACTCAGGCTCAGCCGCGGATTGTGTTTATCTTGCCGAGGAACGACCAGTTGAACGTCTTGAGATCTTTGATTTTAAACCGTTGTCTTCTTCGCACAAATGGCCTCGACATTGCTTCCGGGCTTACGTCGGCCAGATAGCGCATGAGCGTCTCGTACAGGCGCATCACAGGCCGCTATCGCAATCCTTCGACTTGGCTTCGCCATGGTCTCAGGAACGGTCCTGGGCAAATGTTCTTGATCAGGATATATAACAATGCAGAGACCTTGAACCTTGGTCCCGCTTGTGCGCATCCTGCTCTGTGACTCCCAGTTCTCGTCGCGCTGCCAATGTCACCACCTCAGAACGACGACGATGAGAAAGGCCAAAATGGACGTTCCGTCTCCAGATCGGAGACTATAACAAAGTCTGAGACCGACGCGGATGAAACCTCGTTTCAAGAGGATGAGCACGGTTTACGTCGTGACCTGACCGCTCGTCAAATCTCCATGATCGCTGTGAGTGGGTAGATAAACTGTCTCCGAGTCGGACCAACAAACAGCAAAATTCGATTGTAATTTTAGCTCGGAGGAGCAATCGGGACAGGTCTGATCATAGGCTCTGGAACGGCCCTTGTCAGAGGAGGCCCGCTTGGTATATTCCTGGGGTATTCATTTGTCGGCACGGTCTGCTATCTAGTTATGGTCGCGCTCGGCGAGATGAGCGCGTACCTCCCCCACAAGAAGGGTTTCGCCGGGTATGCAACTCGATTTGTGGACCCTGCGTTTGGCTTTGCCTTGGGGTGGAACTATGTCTTCAAGTGAGCGCGTGATGACAATTGGTGGGTATTTTAACTAAATTCTGCTGCAGATATCTGGTCGTAACGCCGAACAACATTAATGCTGCTGGGGTAGTGATTCAGTATTGGACCACCAAGGTCAATCTTGCAGTATGGATGGGTACGTCTTTGGACGTTTCTTTCCCAGAGCATCGCTTATCTTCTTACGTCTCTTAGTGATATTCATTGTCTTCAGTACGCCTCGAAGAGTTGTGAAATGCGCGGTGTTCAACTAACAGCATTCTACTAGTCTTCGCAATCAATCTTCTAGGCGTGCGCGTTTTTGGCGAATTAGAATTCTGGTTCAGCAGTATCAAAGTCGTCACGCTGATTGGTCTGATTCTCATGGGAATAATCATCGACCTAGGAGGCAACCCTGAGCACGACCGCCTCGGCTTCCGTTACTGGGATCACCCGTACGGCCCCATGGGCACGTACCTCTCCACGCGGGTGCACAACCAGCACCTCGCAATTTTCTTAGGGTTCTGGAGCACACTCATCAACGCGCTCTTCGCGTTCATCGGCACAGAAGTCGTTGGGGTCACAGTTGGTGAGGCACAATCCCCAAGAAAGAGCATCCCGACCGCGATCAAAAGAACGTTCGTGCGCATCGTTGTGTTTTATATTGGTGGAGTGTTTGTGATCGGTTTGACCGTACCGAGCACGAATAAGGTGCTTGTGTGGCTATACTTCGAGACCTGTGGATACAGCCTCACCATGTGTTGGTTGCAGACGCTGTTCGTTGCAAATTCCTCCAAAGCTGGCGCTGCCGCTTCCCCCTTCGTGGTTGGTATGTTCGGATCGTCGGCAGCCCCTCTTTGCATGCCATATTAAGCACGGTTTGGCCGCAGCTACCACTCTCGTAGGCATCAAGGTACTAAATCAAATCATCAACGCCTGCATCCTGGTCTTCGTCCTGAGTGCTGCGAACTCGGATCTATATATCGGCTCCCGAACGCTGTATGGACTTGCCCTACAAGGACAGGCGCCGGCGGTCTTCGCACGAGTAAACCGTATGGGTGTTCCGTATGTTGCGCTCGGGCTGTGCACCTGCTTCAGCGGGCTGGCGTTCCTGAACGTGTCAGCAGGGAGCTCAAAAGGTGGGGTACCCCTTCTTTCTCGCCTGGTGGTGCCAGATGCTCACGATGTTGTCCGCAGTATTCGGGTGGTTCGTGAACCTCGTGTCGACATTCGGAGCGATCACTTGGATGTGCATCTGCTATACACACATGTAGGGTTCGCAACAGGTATGCGTTATGGTGTTCGCTGAGTGTGTTTACTGCGTTGTCTAGTCGATTCATGCAAGCAATGCGAGCCCAGGGGATGTCGAGGGATCAGCTGCCGTATAAGGCCCCCCTCCAGCCTTTCGGATCCTGGTTCGCGCTCGTCTCGACCGCAATCATAACTCTATTCAAAGGTATGATTTCTAAATCTGCTTCAACCTTCTCGTATCTCCGTGGCTGACACTCGCCTTCTTTCCAGGGTTTGACGACTTTCTCCCGTTCACGACGAGCAGTTTTGTGACGGCGTACATCGGGCTGCCTGTGTTTGTGGTCTTCTGGGCAGGCTACAAGGCATGGTACCGAACTAGGGTCATACCGCCGGAGAAGGTAGACCTCATTTCGGGGGTGAGGGAAATCAATGAAGCGGAGGCACGTTTCTATGACGCACAGGAGGCTGCGACTCCGAGAACGATATGGCGGAGGCTGTGGGATGCGATGTAAGATGCGTGTTGTCGTAATGAACATCTGTCTCTGCTTGAGACGCGAACTTACTGGGTGACAGTTGAGAGCACTGTACCGGTGCTACTTTCTCCAAGTATTAGACGGTGTACTCATCGCGCTCGTAATCAGGACTTTGTCAGCAGCGCGCCTAGGTACCGAATGAGGGAAGATAGTCGCAGCACGTGACGAGGCGCGCGAAAGGGGTGCGTCCAAAGTGCCCGGGATGGAAGCCCATGACTGAGATTCCGGCTTTGCCGCCCTCCCCCGACGCTACATAAATCATGCATCCACCCCCATCGATGCATGTTCAAACTCTTCACTCTCGGCTTCCTACTTCTTGCACTAGTTTATCACTCGCGTTCCCCAATTGACCTGAAGCATTTGCGCAATTCAATCCCATCCGCAATCACCACATACTTCGACGACCCCCTTTCATCAGAAATGGCGCTCTCTAGAATCTCCAGACAGGTTGCCAAGAAGGTTCTGGCGGTCGAGACACCAGAGGTCTGTTATCCGCACCCCTGTATATGCTGTGCATTGCGATTGACCAGACGCGCAGGGCGATGGTGCCCTCGTCCGCCGATCAATTGGCTCCATGAAACTACGCAATCTGAGCCCGTTCTTGATGCTTGACCACTTCCATGTCAGCAAGGGTGCAGTACGTTGCTTTCTGCGTCAAAATGTCTATTGCAGCGTTGCTAACAGGAGTGCAGGGCTTCCCCGATCACCCTCACCGGGGGCAGGCTACCGTGACATACATGCTGGAAGGGTGAGCAGCCTAGAACCGTGAAGGGTGGCAGTGCTTACTGAACTGCTTGACTAAACAGGTCTAGTCGACATGAGGACTCAGCAGGCCACAAAGGTATCATAGTCCCAGGAGGCGTGCAGTGGATGTGTGCAGTAAGTTTCATTTTGTTCACACCACTTGCAGCCCCACTTACTTCGCTTTTTGAGGGACGTGGTAGTAAGTAGTGCTGATAGAGGTGTTTATGCGACCTGCTGAACACGCATACTTCCAGTAATTCATGCAGAGATGCCCGTTCACGAAGCCGGCAGCCCTGATCCTCGCGGTCTCCAGCTCTGGATTGACCTGCCCAAGCAATTCAAGATGGTCGAGCCTTCGTATCAGGAACTCGGGCCTACGGAGTATGTACTCCATTTCCATGCGACATCAGTGCCCATTCTAAAGTCCATCCAGGATCCCGACCGCGTACCCAGAAGGTCCGGACGGCCCAGTGAAGGTTAAGGTGATCAGTGGAAAGAGCCATGGCGTCGAGTCTCCTGTCCGGCCTCTCGGCGGCTGCTGGTATTTCCACGCCATCTTCTCGAAGAAGGACGCGACTGTCTTCCAGGATATCCGTATGTACTCTCGGTCAGCCGGATAGCGCGTATCGCTGACAGCCGATTCTCTCCTGCAGCGGCTGGGTGGACCGCGTTCATCTACAGTGAGCGCATTCATTCCTAGTGGAGACACGCACATACTCATTTTATGACCCACAGCATTGAAGGGCTCCATCAAGGTCGGTTCCGAGCCAATTGTGCACGAACAGTTCTACACGCTTGTGCTCTCCGGAGACGAGACGGAGACTGGTGTACAGATCACTGCAGTGGACAAAGATGCCGAAGCCTTGATTGTATGTGTATTCACACTATAGTGCCTCCCAAGTTGTTGATTACTTCGCCAGATCGCGGGGGCGCCACTCGACCAGTCGGTAGTTCAATATGGGCCTTTCGTCATGACCAGTCGAGAAGAGATTCAGGCAACACTGATTGACTGTGAGTACACAAAGGCATACATATCTCGGATAGCTTAGCCTCGACGGCAGATCAACTCGGCAAAAATGGCTTCGAGAAAGCACACAAGTGGAAGAGCGTCATCGGTGGCCTGTAATTCTCGTTGAAGAAGCATACGAGCTGTAGGAGGAGAAGCGCATACATGGATGCCTGTGGCATGTGTCTGTTCTGAGGAAGTGGCATATTGTACGATAGTTGATAATTTATCATCAATAAATAGTGGTCTTCTTGCATGGTCATAGCTCTCGAGACTTCGTCCGATCGGAGAGGGGCCGGGAGCGCAACTGGATGTCTCGAAGCTCATGCCACAATCTGCTTCGTCCCATATCCCCGGCAGAAGCAGTCGACCTGGGGCGAGGGAACTCACTGCCCGTCGTGTCTGCCCCCAGAGAAGCCTGCGAATATGTCGGACTCGCCGCCCGGGTAGTACTCGCTCGCGTTGACAGTTTGGGACGTGAGATGCTCGTTGGGGCTCGCAATTCCGCAAGTCGCCTATTCGTACGCTCTGGGGAGGCCGATCGCGCCTTGGCGAGCAAGCTAGCGATGCCGGCACGCCCAGAGAATGGCCTGGAGAATGCAGGCGGTACACTCGAAGGTCCGAGTGCTTCCGAGTCTGGGGGGCTGATTGGACGGGGCGGTCGCGAGAAGGTTGTCCGCGGCACCTGGGGCGGAGCATTCGATCGCGGATAGTCTGAGTTTTGACGGGGAACAGCAGTAGGTAGTCGGAGATATCGTGCACGACTATGCAATACCGTCAGCTTAGCTCTCGGCATAAATTAAACCACTTACGCTACAGCCTTGAGCTCAATCTTGGTCTTGTAGGCCTTAAGCCATCTCTCAAACGTTATCGCTGTAGTTATAATTAATGATAGGATATTGGTAACAACGTTCGAACGACATACATAGGACTGATTTGCGGTCCATCTCCCGCGCTTGTCGGGCTTGTAGTGCTCTAGGCATGGCGTCGCGCCAGATTTTCCAAGCTTTCAGCTTGGCATGGAATGCGTGGAATCGCACAGCGGGCAGCGACTGCATAGTCAGTCAGCACAGAGATTCGCCGGCAACTAGGGTGGTACGTACCCTGGTCTTCGCATGCCAGATACCGAACGCGCGGAACATGAGATTTTGCTGGTTCTGCAACAGGAAATTATCCGCCTACGATTGGTGATCAGCACCACACTCAGTTTATTGATTCTCATGCAGGAGCTGACCATAGGCTGCAAGCGAATATCAAGGAAGCGTTCGCGCCATTTATCCCATGCAGCAGCGATGACCGTCATCTTCATTTCGTCCTCCTTTTGCTGTAGGTATAGCCGCCTGTGTCGGGCATTCCTGGCTCCTGCCAACCACTTGTAGAACATTCTGCGCATGTTTTCTGCGACAGATTTGAGATGCAGGTACGAAGAGTCGAAGAGAAACAACCTACCCTCTCTCTTGACATCCTGATAACTCTCCATCAGGCTGAGCTCTTCGACATGCCGAATGCATAGTGCCTTCCATTTCTTAAAAGACCCACTAGCAGCAAGGCCTGATTAACACACGAGGATCAAGCAATACATATCAACTCACGCGAGAAGTTTTCGTCGATATTGCTGGTCCACCTCGAGCTCTCGATCTTTAATATCGACGACACGATTCACCCAATGAGTCAGTGACTGTGTCATGATCCGCTGCACGGGGCATCAATTTCAGCATGCTCGCAGCAATATTTACACTGACCATGTCGATACGCTGCTGGACGATCTCCTCGGCGATTTTCCGTTGTCGCTGACGTCGTGCAAGGTTGAGCCACTCTGAGGAGAATCTTCAGCCTTGTGCAGGGTGAAACGGCAAATATAGTATTACCAAGGAAATGCCGTCGGGCAAGACGAGCCTCAAAGTCCACCAACTTCTTGTCCAGCTTTTTCTGTGCGAATTGGGTCTTCCACTGTTTCCAAAACCGCCTCTGCAGGAAATATTTCTGCGCGAGCCGAGCCTCCTTTACCATTCTCAACCTGGCTCTCAGCTGTAATCGCCAGACAAGAAGCATCTTGAAACGAAGCTGAGCTGAATGATAGTGAACTGCGAAAGATTGAGCATTTTGGTGTGTATGATATACTTGACGCCATCTATGCAAGGAAGATGATACGACAGTAGAAGATGCACGCGTCGAAAACGCCAGCGCTAGGTCTAGGGCGACCAGTTTCAGCGATGTCACGACAAGACTGAAGGAGGGCATGCGAACCTTCTAAACCCTGTAGACGTAGCCTGCGCTGCTTCCAAACACTCCAAGCTTGTTTCAAAAGCTTTGCGCCACGAACACCTTCTAGTAACCGTCCACGTTCATGGGCTTTCCATACTCGCAGTACTGCCCTGACCAAGACATCATCTTGTCGTGCCATGTGCTTGTCGGCACGACGTTCCATCATCTGGAAACATATGATCAACCTGAAATACCCGTTAAAACTGAACGACCTGCCCGTATCCGGTCTCGTGCTGCCTTCCATGCTCCGAGGACTCGTTTTAAAATGACACGATTATAGAAGTCATCCGCGACTTGATGTTTATGTCTTCGGAGCATGTCGTTAGCAAGACATACCACTATGAGGAATGAGGACCTACACGCGGTGCTTCCATACCTCCATTGTTTTCCCCATAATCCTTAGGTCAACCCGCTCAACCATCATTCTTTCCGCTTTACGCATCTCCATCGCCCTCCGCCACATGTCCCAGCATCGCTCCACGGATCTTTCCTCCTTCTCGTAGAGGAAATGATCTACGGCAGCATCCAGCTGTTCCAAGTCTTCGAGGCGAGTTCTCCAACGCTTGAAGAATCGCACAACAAGTCGATCTGCATAATGCTGTTCCGACAAGTGCGAACGGTGCGACTGCCGCCATTTTGCCCAAGCGTCCTTCAGTAGCTTCGCTTCCCTCTTCTGGCGCACAGTCTGCATGCGCGCCCGCATCGACTCGCGCCACACTGCTTGCCTCTTTTCCTTCCATTTTGTTTTCCAAATTTGCACGGCAAGCTTCATGCGACGCCTGTCCGAGAGTGCAGAGATGCGCATATGTAGCTCACGATACGTCTCAGTGCGTCGCTGCCACCGCTGAAGAGCCAGTCGTAAAATGAGATGATCCCTTGCGTTGGCAATTTGTTCATGAGTAGTCTAGAGTAATGTCCGTGACGCGCGTGAGCATGTTACAGAGAACCAGCTACTAAAACATACAATGATCCACTGATAACCTTGCTTCCAGACCTCCCAACACCGCTCGAGGAGTCTGTCTTCTCGAAAGTGATCCGCTTCCTCGTAATCTTGTGCTTCCTTGATCTTAGTCCATGCGTCGCCCTCGTTAATGATACTGTTCCTGCGCTCCTTGGTTTGCGGAAGTCCACGCAGCTGCATAGAGATTGGGGCGGGAGGGGGCGATGATGAGCCCGCTCGACTGAGGGCTGTTTTGGACTGTGGGCGTGGCGTGGCCACATGTCCAGTCCTATATGGTGCATTATCACGGACAGCTGCCCTGTATGACGGAGGAATCGTTGATGGTGAGACTGTCACATCGTCTGTAACTTCAGAAGCGTCGTCTGCCCAAGGGACAAGCCTACGATTTGGCAGCACGCGCCGCAAAGGCGCAGAAAGAGGCGTCTCTGCAGAAAAGGCCGATGCAGGGGGCCCAGTATGTAGACCTAGGGAATTGTTGGTCGTGTTGATGGAGGGCGAGAATGGCCGCCGTAGCGGCCGTGGGGTGTCGCCGTATTGAGGGATGTCTGTCCGGGTATTTGTGATATCGCCCGTCCTCACAGACTCCGTGTCCTCCGGATACGACTGAAGGGTGAAGGTGTCCTCTAAACGGGACTTCGGCATTCCAGTGGTCAGACGCGTCTTGATTTTGCCAGAGGGTGTATTCCGAGTGACCCGCGTCGTTCGCGCGCCGCCACTCGTCCCAGCCACGTAGCCCTGCTGCTCCTTGATCGCACTCCACTTCTCCCCCCAATTCTTTCCCTTCAGGGTTCCAAGCTTCAAGAGCTTACCATAGTATACGACCTCATTCTGGGGATCTAACCCTCGTTCCTGCAGGATGTCGTTGTATGCCTTGAAGACTGTCAGGAAGGTTGTGGCGGTAGCGGGGGCGCGCTCAATAACGGCATCAATAAATCCAACCTCTTCGGGAGAGAGCCCCACAAGCTCAGGGATAGCCACAGAAGAGCGTGACTCGGTGAGAAGACCATTCGCAAGGGCGGCAGCCGGAGCAGTCGTCGGCTTCATGGGGGACGACGCGCGTGCAGGTCGGAACCGCGACATGTTATGCTATAGACAGAGGTTTGGTGCTCGAGAACGATGTCAACAAGCACGGACCAGCATGATGTAGTCCGGAGGAGAGATTCAACGTGGACGCGACTTCGACACGTCCTCACGTGCGACGCGTCAGTGAAGCGCCCGTCACTCAATTTGATGTTCTCCATCTCGGTCGTGCGCGTGAAGCCTGATGAGTCATTTACAATATCTGTCGTACACGATGCTGTGGCTAATGGTGGTACACGGGAATGTTTGGGATATCAGTACAATGCAAAAAATACACTTCCAACTTGACGTCGATCAGAAGTACACCCTCAGGGCAGCCGCCAGCTGCGATTCTACAGGACAATACGGGCACTTGACACGTCTGCGCAAGCATAGATGAGCACGGCAACATTGTGGAAGGATTTTCCCGAATAAATACTTACTGAGAGTTCTTGCTGAGCTTGTGCAAGCTGTCTTTGGTGATAACGTGGCCGCAAGTCATCATCATGGGCGGATTCTGATCGGTGGACTGCTCCTTCGAAACTGGGCACGCGAAGATTGAATGGTAGCGGTTCTGCGGTGGTAGCGGTATCTCAATCTGGGTCAATTTGGATTAGTATAGAGCCTCAGAAACGCCACCGACGATGCTCAACTGGCAACTCGTCCGTGCGACTCCACTCGCTCTTGCGTTCCCGCATGACCCTGCGTCCCTTCTCGATCCGCGCCAGGGCGCCCCCGCCACCGATGTCGCCGACCACCCGTAACGGGACTTGCCTGCTCATCCCAAGGCTCGCGCAATACTCCTTCGCAAACATGGGCTCCAGGTCGAGGTGCAGCGAGGGCGACGCGAGGTCGGCGTATGGCGATGCCTGCAGACGCGCGAGGGGAAGGTAGAGCACACACGTCATCAGGCGGCGTATCTCCTGCTCATGCGTTGACGAGAACGGAGGGAATGCGGCCTTGGCGTAGGACAGGGCTGACGCGACGTCGGGAGGGTGCGTGGCCAGGAGCAGGTTGATGTACTGCGAGCGGTGGAGGAAGAACTCTAGTGATGACGAGCGTGCGCGGAGGAAGTCGCGGTTCTGTTCTGTCCACCTGTGTAGATTCCCTTGGTGAGCGTTACCACCAGAGGCGAGATACCACGAACACCAATGCCGCTCGGATGTCCCGCTGCCTCAATGCGGTTAACGTATGATGGAGGTCTACAAATCTGCCTCGCGTCTCTGCGTCAACGTCCATTCCGACTTCCTGCACGAATACGTGAGTGAGGGAGACAACCTGCGCTGCGACTCAGGTACGCACCTCAATGAACGCCTCGGCAGTGTTGAACTGACCAGTCCGGAGAAAGTGCAGCGCAACTGTCCGCTCTAGCGCGGATACAGCCTCTGGCGACGCAAAGAGGGGCGGATATGACGGTAATGGTGAGGAGAATTTCTGTCACCCCGAATTGTTAGAACTGTTCACCACAGGAGCGGGGACGCTCATTGCACGCACCTTGTCGAGCGTCTTGCCCAGCCTGTTGAGCGTATTGTACACTTCCTTCTGCCGCTCGTCCACCTCCTTCTTCTTCCCCTCGACGGTCCTCGCAAGGATGCTCAGCGTGTCCTCCGTCGCCGAGCCGACCTGCAGGCGGTCTTTCACCTCACGTAGCGAGTGCAGCAGCGCATCAAGCGAGTCGTTGATATTCGGCGCCTTCCCCTTCGCCGAGGCATTGGAAGCCAGCTTCTCCAGCTTCGCTAGCTCCTTCAGCGGGCCGTCCATGGTGTGCAGGTCCGTGAGTGTGAGATCGGCGGCGACTCGCGCAGTGAGCAGGCCTGAGCGCGCCGGGGAAGAGTGACGTGACCATCAATCATCAATCGGGATCGGGGACCCACGTGGGCCCACAGATGTGACTGAAGGGAGATCGGTGCGTCACGCCCACTTTCCTTCTCGCTTCTGCAGACTCGCTCGCGCAGAGATGCCTCGATTTTTCACTGGCGACGAGCTCGGAACCGTCAAGTCCATCCGGTACTCCCAGGGCGAGAACCTCAAAGAATGGAAGGCGGATAGCTTCGTCCTCGCGGAGGGCGGCGCGGACGGCAAGACGAGGGCCGTGCAAAAGCTGTCTGTATGCAGCACGGAGTCAGGCTCCTTGGTAAGTTCGTCTTCGACCTGAACGAACAAAGTGCGGCGGACCCTCTTACGAGCTTACGTTCAAGGAAAGCTGGCGACGGCACGCAAGGACGGGACAGCGTCTGTGATCAGAATAAGCGACGATGCTGGCCCGAGTGTCGTGCATGAGTGGAAGGAGACACGCTTGAAGGAGGGCCAGCGATATGTCGGACTCGCAGTGCGGGAAAGGTGTGCACAGTCGCCCATATTACTCTTACGGGCAAAGTCTTGACCCTTTTGCAGACATGCGATATCATGCACGTCGAACGGCGCATTACGGCTCGTGCACCTCGGCGCAGAAGAAAATGCTCCTAGTACTCAGACTGGCGTCCTCCCGATGCGCCTCTGCGACTGGCGGCTATCCCACAGCGGAGAGACGTTTGCATATGGTGGGGACGAGGTTGAGCTGTCCGTCTGGAATACAGAGGCTGCGTTCACTCGCCTGCCAGCCGGAGACTCTGGATCCGAGTCGAAAAAGAGAAAACGGGACCAGTTGCTCCCCGGGGAAGTCTGGCGATCAAAGAACGTGCGTCACCAAATAATCCTAGCCACTACTTCCTGACTCTTCATTTCCCAGTTGCCTAATGATGGACTCGGCCTTCGACGCCCTGTGCACATTACAGCCCTTATATATCTGCAGCCCTCGTCTTCTATCTCCCACCACCACCTCCTCGCCGGCACACAAGAAGGACACATTCGCAGATATGACACACGCGCCGCCCGGCGACCAGTCGCGAATTGGGAGAGAATTGGAAAGATGGGCGGTATCAGCACCGCCGAAAAGGGACTTCATGAACAGTATGTAGATAAGTCTTCTCCGCTCATGCGTTGTCTCATGATTCGTATAGTGAGGTTTTCGTAGGAGATCACGGATACAATCTGATGGCATTAGACCTCCGGAATGGCAGAGTCATTTACGGGTACAAGGGTACGCGCTGAATGGTATTTTATTCCTGTCTGCGTGCTCAGATCGCATTTAGGGCTATCTGGTGCTGTCTCCTCCATTGCGCCGTCGCCTGAACTGCTCGCGTCGGCGTGCCAAGATCGTTTCTTGCGGCTGCACAGTACGTTCCCTCCGCCGGCGGTAGAAGGTCAGCAGCAAGAGCACAAAGGCGAGGTGGTCGACAAGTTATACATGAAAGTCATCCCTGCGGCGGTCGTCTGGGACGGAATCTCGGACTCGATGCGCGTAGCGGATGCGGCTGCAGACAGCGACGATGAGGAAGGCGCGGAAGATGGCGTGTGGGACGCGATGGATGACGCGGAGGATGACGACGACGAGTCCGTGCACAGAAAGAAGGTTCAGAAAAGTCGTGTACACGGGCAGGCCACGCTATCAAACCGGGGTTGAATTGTGGAAAACAGTGCCGTACTTGAACTGAGTTTAACCTTAAGCCAAAAAAGGAGTGTCGGGCCCTGGCACATTCCCCTCCAGGTTTGAACTTAACACAACCTTCGTGAGCCTCAGCGCAATTACACATGTGACCGTTTCCATGCCACATGGTTTCGTGCCGGTTTGGCTGGTGGGAAATATTCCGCACAATTATGCTCACGTCGCTACTATTGAATGGCATGAATATAATTCCATCTACCCTAGCAATGCTATTTTCAATTTGATCCCTTTGGTTTACCCATACGGCGTAAGTGTATTCGAACCTCCAGTGGCTCCTAACAATGGGCTCCACGCCCTCGTACGGACCTGCACAGTTAAATGCAGGTCGCACAGTATCCTTGCCCTACAGGTTTCAGGCGGACCTAGTGCCCAGCGTGGTGCTCGCGCGGCTGTCTGACAACGAGGCAGGCGAAGACAGCGAGGAGCCGGCGAGCGACGCTCCCTATGACCTTGCACACTAGGCCGTACATTCTGTTGCATAGAAAGACGCATTGTCGACATACACAACACCTCACAAAAGGCGCCTGCACAGCTTGATTGTGGAAACGAACGCTCAGACGGAGGATCCCTCAAGGGGCCAAGTCGCCAGATATTCTATCCATGAGATATACGAGCCCGCTGTGCGCAGAGTCTGCTGTTTCGTACCGAAGACTTGTATGAAGTAGTAATATGTGGCACTGAGAGAGCCGCCACAGGTCTCGCTGGTGTATTAGCATTGTCGGTGCGCTCTCGTTCGGCTACGCCCCTTCGACCGCAGCGCAGCTTCGACCTCCTAACGGGTCAGACATGGGTATCCGGAGCCGGCGTAGGTTGATGGAATTGTCTACTCTGCTCTCAGGAGACTACTTGATCCGCTTACATACGAATGTGGGTAACGCTATCGCTGCGAGATGATTAACAGCTAAATGTCCCAGGGCCCAACGGTGCTTCCATGCGTCCAAATTCCCCAACACAGCAGAGCCTTGTCCGCCACGTATTCAGGGGATCAGCAATGTATATCTACGCTGTCCCCCCAGGTTCGTCAGGCATGATTAAACAAGAACAGAAAGTGATACTACAGCGAGACAGGAACCGAGCTTCCGGAAGATTTCATTCTAGTCCATGAGTTTGGGGATCATTATTTAATGCAGGCAAGGAAGAACATGTCGATAGATGGTAAGACTGCTACTCTAGGACTGATATATGAAGATTTATGGTGTTCCTAGAACTGAACACCAAGATTACTGATACTGACTTCTTCGGCAAAAATGCGCAGTCTTTCAGGAAGGAAGAGTGGCTGCAGCGATATCCCGCAGCGACCGAGTTCGCATGAAGAATCGGATGCTATGGAAACAGGTTATCGCGAAAGGAATGATATAAGATGAATCGTGTTAAGTGATGCTATGCAGCGTGTCCGTTTGCTCACGTAGTCTCTTATATATTGTGTCTCCTTTGAAATGCAGCTTCACTTGTGGCCTGTTCTGTTTTGCTTGTGATGAATCAACGATAGAATAGGCTTCTTCCCGAGGAATCCCGGACTGACCAGTCACCTACTACTTGTTCTCCCAGTCCCCTAAATAATCTAAAGATGCTTTGAAAAAGGAGTTCTCCTCAAGCCATTTGTCTATATCAAGCGTTTTACCCTTTTTCTTGTAGAACTCGGTAAGTGTCTTGTTTAGAGCTATAGAGCCAAGTTGACTGATCAAGAGGTTTGGCAATAACGGCTTGAGCGTACCAATCAATGGCATCGGACGCGACGGCTGAAGTGAAAAGTGAGAGTACTTCTCCCGGTAAAGCACAAGGCTATCTGGTAGCTTAGTTCCTGCATGTAGTTGTTATACCGATCTCATCTCAATAGTAGCTCAACGAACCTTTACGAATACATAAAAGATGAGGATTCGCTGCCGGTTTGCCACCATCGACCGCTTCAATATAGTACTCGTACGACTCTCGGGTCACTTGTTGCATGGAATGTGTATTTGGCCTGAAACGAGCCCCGTTAGAGACTAGTATAACCTCTTAGTGGTAGTTCAACGTAGAATGTATTCGTAGCATACCATCCGAAGTTAATTCGGGATGGACTAATCCATCTGCGTGAACTTCGACACCGTCCTCAGGATCCCAATCATCCTTGCCAAGGCTTTTGTCAAACAATCTCGATTCGCGATGTATCTGGAAGCGATACAGAGTTGCCGGAAAGACGGAGTGCACGGATTCACTTGAGAATCTTCGATGATTCAAAGAGCGCCGGATTGTACCAGGTATAATCACGCGCTGGAGACTCGAAAGCATTGTCTGCGCTGAACTCGGGAACTAGGTATCGGTAGGCAGATAGATGCAATGTCGCCGCTTAAACAGACCTCAAGGCAGGGCGACTGTGGAACAGGAGGCCAACTGGAATGAGATAGGAAAGCAACCTTTAGATAGCCCTGGGACACGCAAACGTTATTCGGGAACGGTCATGTGCCTGACGCGCGACACAGTGCCTGAGTGCTCTAGCAGCCATTCCGGATGTGTTATAACTCGTACAACCGCACCTTCGCATATGTACCCAGCGGAATACAAAGGCCTACATGGTCAAATATCTTCACATATTTCCGAAGATTCTCAAAGCAACTTGAGGGCTTGATTCAAGCTCAGTGCATGTCCTTGACGCTAAGTGCGCTATGTAGCGGCTTGTTCCGCGTGTCCCATGGGGGATCTTGCAACTAATTTCTCCCCATATAAAAAAGCTCATGGTACTTATGGTCTGCCTACGGGAGACTAGATTTCTTGCAGGGACACGCAGAAGCTGGCAATGTCGCCTATTTTCCTCGCTGGGGGGCGTGTCTCAACAAGGATTTAGCCTTGTAGCTGCATAGGACACGCAGAATTGCTTGAGGGATGGTTTTTTTTGCGATTTCACGTAGCGGCGGCGGCGCTCATCAGACGGCGCTCGCCGCGTCCTCACAACTCGTCTGGGTTCAGTGGACTGCAGCGGCTGCAGACAGCGACGATGAGGAGGGCGCAGAAGATGACGTGTGGGACGCGATGGATGACGCGGAGGATGACGACGACGAGTCCGTGCGCAGAAGGAAGCTTCAGAAAAGTTGTGCAGTGTCATGACACTGAATGGCGGCATCAGTTCAATTGAGCGTCCACAGGCCGAGGCTCGCTACGAGTTGCGATAGTATTGCCATCCTACCCAGTTTGCTATGGCAAAGTATGACGTCGTGGGCACGAGTAAGACGATGAAGTATTTGTAATGGGTATCCCCTGCGAGGGTGTCCAAAATCTATGGGCCAAGCATCGAACGTGTCGAGGGGAGAGCGTTGAGTCGAGGCCAGGGGGCGATAAGCAAACGCAAACTTACCCAGATGCCGGTGGCGGGATGGAACGTGCTGAAGAAAGTTGCGTAGCCCCCGATTACGAGAAATGCGAACGCAGACGCCAAGATAATGTAGGCTGTCCTGAGGCTTGGAATGTTCTCAGATGGGACAGGCGCCGCATCTGCGCCCGCACGTTGCATGAGGAAGATGAGCTGGGTGCGCGGAGTGGGTAGGATGCTCGGCGCTCACCATGCTTGCTCATCGGGCGGACGCGGGCGACCGGTAGCCTCAGCGCGTGACGAAAGGAACGTGTGTTGAGCGCTCCAGCGCGTCCGGCAATCGAGATGGCATATAGACGCCCGCGGCAATGCATCAGAAGACCTCAACTAGACGCCGGACGATGTTAACGTTCGTGGGCGCCTCCTGTCGATATCACTTGGGAGAGGACATACGGCACGCGAGCAGCAAAATACAGTTCTCCGTGCGCCATGTCGTCTACTTATGTCCACTATTCGACTCCCTCCTCGCTTCCCTCAGACTATGCCCTCCTTTCTCGTTACGCCGCTGCCCATCGCGCCCAAGACGTTCAAAACACTGACGACCGCAACGACTCTGAGCACGTATTCTCCGACCACGACTCCGTACCAGACGCCCACCCCCACGGGTTAGCCATTCCGAACGCCAGCTCGCCCGTATCTCGTCGTCGCAGCTTCCCCACCTCCTACATCACCCCTTTCAAGCCAACAATGGGGCCCCTCCCAGACTCCTCTGGCTACCGCTCAGGCCCGCCCGACCCCAATGCGTCCGAAACGACACCACTCTTGACACCCTACGTCCCCCGTATTGAGGAAGAAGTCGACCGTATCGACGGGAATGATGTTGCACGTCCCGTTAGCATGCTTAGGGAGGAACTTGCCATCCTCCTCAAGTACACGCTCCCAGTGTTCGGGTACGCCGCTACGACTCCTCTTCGTGTCTGCTCTCTGACCAGAATGCATGCAGAACTCATGTCTTGGAGTACTCCCTTGTGATCGCATCCGTCGTGTCACTAGGACACCTGTCCACAATGGCCCTCGCAGCCTCCACTCTAGGCTCCATGACGGCGAGTGTCACAGGCTTCAGCATCATTCAGGGCTTCACAAGCACCCTGGACACCATGCTGCCTGGCGCGTGGACGTCGTCCCAACCGCAGCTGGTAGGCCTCTGGTCCCAGAGAATGGGTGAGTCATCATCTCCAACGCACCCTGCACGCGCTCACCTTATTCCCAGCTGTGGTCATGGCCGCAGTTTTGCTCGTAAGTTAAAGTTTAATCTTCAGAACGCATACGTCATTGATCGCCCGTAGCCCATAATTCTTATCTGGTTCAGCTCGGAATCGATTCTACTCTTCCTAAAGCAGGAACCTGAGGTGGCACATTTGGCTGCCCTTTACCTGAGATGGCTTGTAATCGGCCTACCCGCGTATACCTTCAACGCTATATCTCGGTAGGTTATTCAGCACCATCACTGTGCCCCCTTAACTGATCATTCTCAGTCGCTATTTCCAGTCTCAGGGTACGTTCTAGCGCGTTCGTGTATGGCAAGCGGCTGATAGCGTCCCCAAGGCCTTTTTACCGTGCCCACTCGTATCATCCTTATCATCGCGCCTATCAATGCTGCCCTCAATTATCTTCTCGGTGAACCTTTCGAAGTCGCATTACGGGCTAACAGTTGCTGACCGACTCAATGCAGTGTGGGGTCCCGAGCCCTTTCGTCTGGGCTTCATAGGAGCCCCAATCGCAACTGCTATCTCATTCAACCTCATCTCGATTGCGTCGATTGCATATGGTATCTTCTATGTACCCAGGACCGCGTGGCATCCGCTTTCGCGTCGTTGCTTCACGAGCCTTGGTGTATTGGTTCACCTTGGTCTCGCCGGAGTTGGTATGTCACCTTCCGCACTTCCACATTGATGATTAACGAGCGGGCATGTAGGCCAGACTGCATCGGAATGGTGGTCCTGGGAGCTAGTGGGCCGTGAGTACCGCTGAATTACCATCTTGGGCCCCTCGGCTTACTGACCATCAATGCTATGTGCAGTCGCTGCTAGCATGTAAGACACTCGTCAAGCACAATTATCTCAAGCTTGCTTATGGTTCCACCACAGGCTCGGCCCCATCGCGCTCGCGACACAATCTGTCTTGCTCGTCTCAGCTTCGACCACCTACCAGGCGCCCTTCGCGCTGAGCGTGGCTACATCCGTGAGGTACCTATCCCTCGGTTTGCATCTCTCGTATGTCCCTACTGATACGCCATAGAATCGGCAACCTGCTCGGCGAAGAAAAGGCGAAACGCGCCGGCGTCGCCGCAAAGGCCTCGATTTTCATGTCCCTCGGCATCAGCTTGGTGTGGAGGTGCGCACCTTGCTTTTCCCGTGTTCTGCGGACGCGGCGCTCACGGCGGGTGCAGCGCGATGTTCCTGATCTTCCGGCGGTCTTGGGCGTATCTGTTCAACGACGATCCCGGTACGTCATCGGGCCTCTTCCCGCGAGCCGGGTCCAACTCACAACCCATCTGTCAAATTCAGAGGTCGTCACGCTCGTGGCATCTATCCTGCCCGTCGTCGCGCTCTTCCAGGTCTTCGACGGCCTCGGCGCGGTCACGGGGGGCATCCTCCGCGCCGCCGGCAAGCAGGTGTGTACTAGAGCACTCCCCCTTCCCCCAATTCGCCTCATCAGACCGCTCACGCGCCCGCCTGCAGTTTACCGGCGCGCTTCTGAACCTGAGGTGAGCGCCGTCGTTAGCGCATATGTCATGATGTCACTGACCACCACCGTCCTGTCAATCAAGCGCATATTACGTGATCGGTCAGTCGTCCTCGTCGCCCTAACGCTTCTATAGCTGCTGACTTGCCTCCCATACAGGCATCCCCTTCGGTCTCTGGCTCACGTTCTGGCAAGGCATGCAGCTGCACGGGCTGTGGCTCGGCCTGACCGTCTCGTTGGTCTACTGCGCCGCCGCGGGCGTATGGATCTGCCTGCGGACGGACTGGTACAGGGAGGTGGAGAAGGTCAAAAAGCGCGTGGCGGACGACCAGAAGAACGGCCTTGCCGACGTCGAAGCGCATCATTGAATGGAATTACCAGATTCGGATGTAGCCTGAGCACGAGGGAATTTCACGCGCCGTGTAAGAATGCGCCCGTTACAGCAGCCCGTGAGAATTGCATACAGCGGCATTGAGTCAAGGCGAACAACGGAGGTATGCCATTACCCAATCTACGGCTATACCACAGGCAGACAAGGTCGAACGTAATCAGGGTGCAAACAAGGATGGTCTACAGTGAACATTTGCAAATAGACCGTGGGAGACACAGCATGTGCATCGCAGGGACAAAGTCAGGGGGCAAAAAGTGGTCACAAACAAAACAAGGTATATGCTGACGCAAACCGCGTACTAAATATCGGACATATACAGTATGAGTGACAAACAGGAAATACACAATACAATGGGCGTTATTCAGTATGTTTGAGCATAGCGTGTAGACTCGAGGTCTTTGCTGAGTTATAGGGTAGTTATTGATGCACTGGATAGAGAGGGGGGTTAGACGGTGTGTCCCCGAATGAACCGCGTGACTTGGAGCGTCTACGAGGAGGCCTCAAGTTCAATCTCGTCCGGAGTCGGCAGAGGCAAGGGAACTGCCGCCGGAGAGAGCGCCATCGCAACCGGAGAGCCTGGAACAGGAGAGGCCGAGAGCGGACGGAGAAGACCCGTGAAGGCGTTCTCATAAGGGGAGTGGCGCTGGAAGGGGTTACGCGTATGTGTACGGGAGACGGGTGAAGCTGCACATACGTACAATTGAGTCAGTGGAAGGGATGTCCAAACATCAGCGAACGGCGAACACGGATCAGATATCGCATAACAAATTACGAACCGAGAGGACCCCCAATGAGCTTGAACGGGTACGCGGGGGTGGTTGTCTCCATGCGTATCTCGTCTGCGGGGTCAGCGAATGAAAGGCCGAGCCCCTCGGACGAGTGGGAAGGACTCAGATTTCCAGGTGTAGGACGGCGGTAGAAGAACGCATGCGGCATGTTCGCGTTGCTGGCCCGTAGAATGGGAGAAGTGGGCGGGAAGCGCATGGCGGACGACTGGAGAATGGAGAGAAACTCCTCTATAGCCTCGGAGGGGAGGTTGGACCTGAGTAATGACATAACAATTAACGTCACATTTCCGATGACGCTTCCGAGCCAGATCGCGGCGATCGCGTCCTCTAGCACGGAGCGGGCTGTACAGAGACCGACTGACCTTGGAGAGGCACGGGGAGACGCAAGATCTTTCTCGCTCTGGTCAAGCTTGGCATCCTCCTGCGGGGGAACGTCGTCACCCAGCTTAAGGCGATCGACGCCGTCTCCAACTAGGCGCATGGTCGCCACGCGGGTCTGAGGGCGATGTATGGCATTCTGGAAGTGGGTGAAAGGAACGGTGTTGTTCGCGGCTGTGAGGCGCACTGGGCGAGGCGCCACGAGAACGAAGTTGTCATTACAGTTCATAGCTGGGGATTGTAGTACAGGTGGTATGAGTATGAGATGGGCGCGTCGAAGACTAGCTCGCGAGCAGATGCGGTGGGACCGGGGCGAAGCAAGGCGAAGCCGCGAATACGGTGGCTGACCCGTTTGCCTGTGTTTGGCCGGTGGCGGATCCCCGACGCGGGTCACGGGACCGAGTCAGACGCATTCCAGACCAGCTTGCCGACGCGCCGGTAGCGCCCATAGGCCCCCTTCCCCACACCCGGCGCATAATTGACGCAGATCGTCCTCCTTCACCGCCTTTCTGGCTCTACTAAGGGCGACGGAACAGACGTTTTGGGCGCGGGATCGTCGCCCTCATCGAGTATGTCTGTAGTCATGCAGCATACGGGGACGAAGGGATGAAAACAACAGCGAGCGAGAGCCTCCATACACGTAAACGATGATGCCATTTTTAGGCATCAGATTCTCCATCTGCCTATCTCGAACGTCACTCGCCAGTACTAGTCATCTTATAAGCCCGAGGGTCTCCATATCATGCCAGCTCCCCTTGTTGTACCATCCGCCTGTCCCTCCGGCCATGGTCGCAACTTCCTCCCCCGGGCACTCCCAAAACGGCGCCGCCAGACGTCTCTTCGATGATACCGAGCTTAACGATCTCGGTAACTCTCATGCTGGCGCACTCGAGGACCAAAAGTTTGACATCGAAGGGCCCGCCTCCCGGGTCACCCCTCTCCCAAAAGTGCAATTGATAACCTTATGTGCCGTAAGGCTTGTGGACCCAATAGCATTCACGCAAATATTCCCCTACGTCAATGAAATGATGGAACGCCTGCATTTGACCAACGATCCATCGAAGATAGGGTTCTACAGTGGTTTGGTGGTGAGCGCGGCGCTCCACGTCCCCAAGTTGATTTGGCGAACCCGGTGCTCAGCTACCGGATCGCTTCTCTGTTCATAGGAGAGCAGCTTTGCAATATCTCAGTTGTTCTGCATCTACCACTGGGCACGAATTTCCGGTGCGTTGTAGTCAAAACTCACCAATCCAGCTTCTGGCGACTCATCCGTGCTGCAGACAAAATTGGCCGTCGCCCAGTAGTTCTGGCTGGAATATTGGGAATCGGCGTATCCACCATTGTACTTGGCCTCGCCCACAGTTTAGCAGGCGTAGTACTTGCTCGGTGTATAGGTGTGTACTGACATAATTGACCGGCTTATGTGCGTCGAATAGCTGACGTGCATCAGCCGGCATATTCTCTGGCAACATTGCCGTCATCCACTCCGTGCTTGGAGAGATCACCGATACAACTAACCAAGCGGTTGCCTTCCCCATCTATGGTCTTTTCTGGCCTTTGGGCGCCATCATTGGGTAAGTAGTCGACGCTGGGAGATAGAGCGGCTGAACATAACGCTTGCGTAGTCCTTTACTTGGTGGAACGTTCTCTAACCCCGCAGAACGATTCCCCAATGTCTTCAACTACGATTTCCTGAAGATCTATCCGTATTTTCTGCCTTGCTTCGTCGCAGGATGCCTGTCAATATGCGTCGCGACACTTATATATCTGTTCTTGGAAGAGGTTAGTTCCCTTCGGTCGCCGATGACTCATACACCCATTAAATATCACTTAGTCTCTGCCGAGCAAACGACACAAGTGCGATTATGTCCCTATGCGACAAGTAGGCTCAGAACATAGGCCTGATCCCGAGAAACCGGCACAGCCTGCGGGTGTGCGGTATCTATTGTCAATTCCGCTCATCAAGGCTCTCTGCTTGAGTGGACTTGCATTAGCGTTTCTGTGAGTCGCCACACGCTTCTCGCCTGCTATATGGGATTTATTCCAGGTTGCATGCAGCAACACAGGCTTTGACGTGACATTTGGTACGCATGAGCCAAGAATGGCGTCATGGGCTGCTTTTGCTAACCTTAGCATCCAGTGCTCTTCTCGTACTCCGCGATCGAGCGTGGAGGTTTGAACTTCCAGGTATATCAATACTGCATTCGCCGCGAGATCGTGGCTCACCCAGCCCGTGTGAACTAGACGCAACAAATCGGCTATGCACTCGCTATGTCGGGCGTTGCCTCGGTGCTTCTCCAGCTCTTCTGTATGCCGTACCTTCTGCGGCGCTACGATCATGCGAAGATGTACAACACATGCATGGCGATTTGGCCGTTCTGCTACGCGTTCATGCCTCTCCTGAACATCATCGCCACGGCAGGTATCGATGAAGCGACAGGCCAGCCCAGCGCCGCTGCACGCGCGTTCATCTGGATGGGCATAGGTGGCCTGCTCTTGTTGGCACGGACAGCGTGTCTGGCGTATTCGTGAGTACTACTTTCCTGTCGATCATCGCACAGCTTATCAAGGAGGAAAACAGAGTCAGCATGATCTTGGTCAAAGAGGCTGCTCCGGACGCTTCATCGCTCGGAGCGACCAACGGCCTCTGCCAATTCTTCATGGTATGCAGCAATCACACATACTTCCGTCGTACCATCAGTACTTACCCGATTCCTTGATGCAGTGCTTCGCTCGCTCATTCAGCCCCGCTTTCGCAAGCTCCCTATTCGCAATCTCGAACGGGTTCGACTTTGTCTTATTGCGGTACATGTGGGTGCTGGTAATGGTCATCATCTCCTTTCTCGGGACGACCTTGTCGCGGCGGATCGCTGAGGGAAGGAAGACGACGACCCGTTGAACGTGCATGCGCGCCATTGCGTCAGCGACGTCTATTCTCTCTTTGGCGAGGACATGCGGATGACCATCCCGTCTTTATCGCTGACGAGAGACGAGCATGTCGCGACAGTTTGAGTAGGCTAGATGGCGCGGCGATAGAGCATGACATGACCCAAATGACGCTGCAATCTTGTAGAATAACACATACATCCATGTTGCCTTGCTCGTACTGTGTACAAACTAGAATGTTGTGACTAGTATACAGGTGACGTAGTTGTCGGACTTCGCTGCAATGGCCAGGTATCCAGACCGGCATGACAGAAAATGTCCGGGCTCACCGGTGTGTAGGTTCTTGGCGGTATCCGAGGACATCCGTGGATACCGAGGATTAAACACTGGAGCTTGCGATCGGACAGATGCCAAGCCGGCAATCATTCATATTTCACCTCGATCGGCTCATTGTGAGGTTTGTCAAACCCAACATGCAAATCTTGGCAGTGATTGGGGCAACCCCGAGCATGTGTGTGGCGCTCCCCCGTTTCACGCACGCGGACGAACAGAAGTGCCCTCGCCGCTTGATGATCACTTTCGATGATAAGTAGCTGGTCGTGGCAATAATATTATCGCATATAGATGCAGCAGTGAGTGGGTCACAAGAGTCTAAACTCAAGACAGAGAACAACACGTTGGGCGGACTACCAATGTGCCACACGCAACAATCAAAGCTTCGAAGTCGACGGCACTGACTGGTCATACAACGCATCCAATTCGCGTTTGAACTTGCCATATGTCTCCTTCCTGCAAGCGAACAGTGAGTGCAGAAGACAGGAAACTCAACGGTGCGACGTACCGGCGAATTTTGAGGGTCGGTGTGAGACAGCCGTTCTCGACAGAAAATGGTTCCATTGTAAGGTGTATACGCTTGATCATCTCGAAACTGATAAAAAATCAGTGCACATGGTCGAGGCATTTCATGGAAGGCGTACCCCTTTAATTTTTGCGATTGCGCTTCCTTTGACAACTCGGCGAGCGTGGCTGCATTCACCTTCGGGTCCTTCGTCGCCTGCTCGAGGGTCTTTATGTCCTCGGGCGACACGGTCTTGTGGTACAATTTGGAAAGGAAGGCCGCAAACTGGATTGGTTCCGGAACAACCACGGCGAGCAGATAAGACTGCAGAGAGTCACCGTGGACGAAAAGCTGAGCGACGAGGGGGCATGCACTGTATACGTTCTCGATGTTCTCGAGTGCGACATACTCTCCTTGTGCCAATTTCATGATGTTCTGGATGCAAAATATTTAGCGCAATAGGCATACGATCCCAATATCCACTACGAACCTTGACGCGATCAACGATCTTCAGCCGACCACACTGATCTATTTCACCGACATCACCGGTATGTACCCAACCTTCGTCATCGATGGTAGCCTTCGTGTTCTTCTCATCTACGATAGCATGTAAGACGCGTCCCGAAATTGCCAGCTGGAACGTGCAATATCACCTTTATAATAGCCCTTGAAGGTGTGGTCACCTCGAAAACAAATTTCTCCCCTCGGATTTGGCTTGTCCTCAGCAGTGTAGCCCATGGCGGGGACGTCAATCAGCTTGAGCTCAGTGTTCGGGATCGGAGGTCCGACGGTGCCACTGGACGATGGATCGTTCGGCCAGACATGTGTGCAGCTACCACCATTCTCTGTCATGCCGTAGCTGTGCGCCAAACATCACGTTGAACATCTGTCCGCGGGACTGAATTACGAATTATACTCACCCTATAGGCGGATGGTCAGTAAGCCATCCAGACATTTGAAAATGTGAAGGAGCAAACCTTCTAGAATATCACACAACAACGCTATGCGTAGGAAATCCATAACAGTCGGACTTATGGGCGCCGAGCCGCATGCCATAAGCATTACCTTCCCGCCGAGGGCGGCTGCGACCTAACAGGACGTCAGGATTACGTCAAAGCAGCAAAAAAGGAAAAGCAACCTTGCTGAAGACAAGCCTGTCCCACAGCGCATGTGTGCGCACGCCGGTCGCGTGCAACCGATGCAACTTGGCTTCCGTTGCAAGGTTGAACAATTTACCCTTCAGACCCGGTGCCGATGCCGCCACCATAGCAGCCTGGTATATCCGATTCAGCACGCGCGGGACTGCGGCTACAAACGTGGGCTTGAGGATCTGGATATCCTCAAGCAGACGCAAAGGGTCGCCTGTCGAGAACCCGATGCGTCCCCCGACAGCAACGTTACACAAAGACATAACTCGCTATACATAACATGGGATCGGATCGTGCCGTCAGCGCCGTATCTTGCTTCATTTGGCAATCAGACGCACCTCGTAGATGTGGGCTAAAGGAAGATATGAAATAGCACATCTGTCTGTCGTTGTGTCGTATGCCGACAGTTGTGCATGAACGGCATTTGTCAAATTTCCATGGGTCAACAGTACGCCTTGATCGGAAGTGAACATTTGAAAGCGCCACTGGCATTGATCGACTTACCCTTCGGATTGCCTGTAGTGCCCTGACCGGCAAGTAAGCATTGAAACGCACCTCCCGGCAAGCTAAAATGACAGACAGTCGACTTACAGACGTGTAGCAAATCGTCGCAAGCTGATGCGGCGTTGGCGTGATAGGTTCGATAGGATTCGCAGTGCCCATTTCCTCCACTGTGTACAAACAAGACTAAGGTTTGAGCAAGACGTATCGGACTGTCAAGCAGCATATGCATACGTTCAAGGAGATTTATGACTTGAATATTTTTCTCCTTTCCCCATGCGTCAAGAATGGTCTTGCTTTCCGCAGATAGATTGTGCAGGGAGACAATCAGCTTCAGATTGGGGACGCGCGGAGCAAGGTTGAGAAGGAATGGTATATGGTCCGGCGTCACAAATACAACTGTAATCTCTGCATGGTTGATGCTGCCAGCGCTCTGTATAAGACACTGCATATATGCGTGATGGTGGACACTTACATGTATTCTGAGAGAAGATTGTTAGGACTTAGTCTGTATGAATTACCCTTTGCACCGTTACTTACCTACAGCGTCCTTTCCTAATGTATCGTATAAGCTGACGCCGACCTTGCTGTATGCGTGCAAAGCCAGGTCGACGATTTGCCATTCTGGCGAATTCGTCACTACATCTATTCGCTTGGGGACAAGATCGTTGTGATATACCTGGTATGTTTCGGCTCCAGATGCCGACCGTCTCCATTTCACCGCCTCCAAGCGTTCCTGACCTGAACAAGTTGTGAAGGGCGCTGCCAATTGCGCGCCTGCGCGTGTTGACTTGGGGCCAGGACACCCATTCATAGCGGGGCGCATACAGCAGGGGCTTCGGGGAGAGCAAGGGCCGATGGCCAAAGAGGGGTCCCCCCGCGGAGCGGCTGAGACCCTCATCGAAGATCTCGGTGAGAGTGGTAAAAGTGCCCGGCGACTGCAGCGTCAGTAACGGATACGCCGCTATAGGGATAAGATCGGTGAAACCCCCCGGAGAGCAGCTCAAGCAACAGTGTGCTCACTGGTGCGATAATGCCCTTGAGAAAACAGTCAATCACTGGGCAGTACACAACGCGCACCACACGCTACCACACGTACCTGTTTGGCCCGGCTTTCTCGTTCCTGGAACTTCCGCCGACTGCCTGGAGTAGTCGGCGTCTGGTGGAAAGGGGATCTCGACGTTGAATTTCTTAGACATTGTGGCTATGGGTAACACAGACGGTGATTGAAGACGTGTCCGCGGTGCGCGATATAGGGACAGAGGATGGCGGCCCCTGGAGGGGGCGCATCGCGGGGCGTGTCATTATACGGTATGCCATCCATCACCGGACTGGTCAACCCCGGATCACATGTTTTCTCACATCCCCAACTGGCGATTTTGGCCTCTTTCGGGTTCTCGTCCCCCTGACGAGCATAAAACACCCATGATGCCCGTGGCAGTCGGCCCCAGAATTCCAATAGACACTGTGCCTGCATGTAGCGTGTCGTCACTCGTGGAGTACCCCCATACCCAACGAATGGAATATCACGGACCTTACAGCGGCTATTGGGGCCGATACTGGCGATTGCTAAAACGACACTCTGATCATCAGCGGCCGGAGGTCCCGTGGGCGCTCTGGATCGGCAGCAACTTGCCCATATCTGACGCGTCGAAGTCGGAGGTGCCGCACGCAGCGGATACGCCCGAGGGAGTATGAGGGAAAATCTAAGATCGGGATTTTTATGGGCAAGAACTCAGAGGAATAGCACGCGCATATAAGCATTATGGATATCGTACAGCAGTCCATACAAATACAAGAACAATCGCGCATTGCGACACTAGACACATTTACACTTCAATTATACAGCAATCAGACAGTTTACGGCGCGCTGAGCACGATCTAAAGTTTCATACTAGTTAGTTATGGAACACATTGCAGGGAGTGTTCTGGCCTACTCTCATGAAATCTTCGTAGTTTACTTGCACCCAGCCATCTTGATCCGTGTCGACACTGCATGGGAATGAATGAATGGCGGGGCACTAGAAGCTCGAATACGTACCGTCTGAAGGCTTCCGTCAGTGCCTTCACTACAACACATGCACGAACGAAGCGGTCAAAGGTGATGCCCGGCGGAGGTCCGTACCCTGCCGCAGGTGCGGAAGCTGTGCCATATGACAACATTCAGGCGATGCTACGCTGAGACGATCCTATGCAGCGCTTACCGTATTTCTGCTCAATTAGGGTTAGAAGAGACGGAGAGAGATTGTATCCGAAGCTACGCATAGCTTCTGCGAGTTCGTATCCTTCAATGGATCCGGACCTGTCCCTATCAAAGTGCTTGAAGACACCCTGCCAGTCCTGGATGTATTTCCATAGGCCGCAGAATTCTGTATCGTGCGTTTAGGAAGCCGCACTGTGCGGAGATCATAGCAAGCGCACCGTTGAATCCGATCGTCCCACTCCGATCGATGTCCTTGGATGTATAATGTGAGTGACCACATCTACGAAACACGATAGGCTGACACATACAAACATGTTCATCAGCATCTTCACAGTATCCAGATCGAAGTCTGAACGTGACAAGCACGGTCAGCTACTGGCCATTCAAGGGCGAGACCTCGCAAAGCCCAATCGAAGTAAACTTACGCGACCAATCACCTGTATGCACAGCACGCGTGCTCAACCGCCACTCAGCACGCAGAGTCCAAGCAGTTTACGTACCGTTCACAAGCGCATTCTGCAGCTCCCTCACGGTGATCGCCCCTGAGTGATCTGTGTTGACCGCACTGAAGTACTGCCACAGCTGAGGATCTGCACCCGGCGGGGGGCCGACGTAAGACGTGTACGCGCGATCGCCGTACACGCCTCCGCCAGAGGAGTAGGTGCGGCTACTAGCAAGGGAGCCTGATCTCTCCGAACGGTTGGGGTCGTGATGATGGTGATGATGCGAATGGTGGTGGTGGCCGTGGCTGGAATGTACAGACATGACTGTTCGAGACGAAGTGCAGGTAGGGCGCTCAACAGTCCGGGCGGGGAAGTCATGTCGGCGCCTTGAAGGATGCCCAAGAAGGCGGCCCTGAGGGAGTCACCAGTTGCACAGGAGCGTCAGTGACTGGGAGAAATTGCTGACGGGGAGGCGCTACAGGGCTGTGAAGCCAAAGTCCACCGATTAAGTCAGGTGCAGTCATCCAGCACCGCCTGTAGGAATGTGGTCCAGACTACGAGAATCATCGCAAGAGATAACAAAGCAGCCTGGGGAAGAATCTAAGGCCCTGAACCAGAAATCTGGTCCGCATAGAGTTGGATATGACCAATGCTTTCAAGCAAAGTTCAAACCTACTTGTACTCGAGGGCAGGGAACGTTAACGGCGACATCGACAAATAGCTTCGCGCAACTGCGCGATCTTGCTTCTCGATGCCAGGCGGCTATCTCCCGATTCACGTGCACGCCCGGTAATCTATGCCGGCAACGCTCACCGTATTCCAATCATCTGCCTCCGCCGGGCCGTCCCATTGGCAATGCCAACTTGCTACCCACCAACACATACTGGGTACCAGGGTGCGGGCGCATCAAAGTGCAGTCAACAGTAGTACTACTTGCTTGTCCGACAGTCGGACAAGTTCCATGCACTTGAATGACTTCGCCGCACCTCAAGGCAGTTGTTTTTGACGTACGCCTTCTCCGTTACCCTGTGGGTCGGCGGTGTTGTCTGCCGCAGCCCCCTCATAGCAATTGCGGACTACGAACGAGAACACGGTCTGCCAAATAATTACATCAACTGTGCAATGTAAGCATCTTCGCGCTGCATACGTACCTTGGGACAGCCTCGAGATGTGTTGAGCATCTCCAGAACGGGACAAGGTGCACATGGCGCCTGGCAGAAATTTGAAAGGGGAGAACTTTCTTTGTTTCCATTTTACGAGGCGTTCGGGCATGAGCTGTCCGATACCAAGGTGAATAACGTGTGGTACGCCCAGTATTGCAAACGCAGGGGCATAGGTACATCACCAGTGCTATGTCTTTCACCGCGGATTTACTTACGATACGCGGCTCGGAATAGAGTGTCCAAACCTTCCTGACAAGCTGGCCATCGACGGCCGAGAGGTAGACATTGTCAATCCTAGTCAGTATCGCCGCTCACAAGCCCCAGCTATTCGGCCGCATGATGCGCGACAGCGGATCCTTCGATGAAGTCGTTGTCGAGGCCATCCGCCGCATTCGAGGCGCGTACCTCGGCGACCCTTCCACGCGAAGCATGCCAATAGACTGAAACGTGATCCAGCCGCTGGAAAATGGCGTATCATCGCACTCACCAACAACTTCTCCAAGACGGGCGCGGACATTATCGCAGAGGCGCCGCCGTCGGCGGAGCAGTACCCTGGCCTCACCATCAAGTCTGAGCTGGCCTTTTTGGGCTGGGAAGAAGGCCCGACCCCCCCTCGATTACGTGTGCTCTTCGACGACTTCTGCGATTCGAGTGCCCTCGGGATGAGGTTTGTCGGGCTCTCGTCCAGTACGGCGCCGAGCGTGGAGTGGCTCACATAGACGCAGGAAACCCGAGCCCGGGATCTATCACTTGGCCTGCAAGCGGAATGGGATACACCCGTCTGAGGCCGTGTTCCTCGACGATCTCGGGATGTAGGCGAATCGCATCGTGACACACTATCAATTCCTAATCGGATTCGGCACAGGAACCTCAAAGTAGCTCAAGAACTGGGAATGGAGACGATCCGTAAGTCAATTTACGTTTCTGAGCCTCCTTGGTTTTCTGAGGTCGCTGTTTATTCACAATTGGATATTCACCTCGTTTGGACATGCTTATCTTTCCAGACGTACCGTTAGGCAATTCGCCGAGTGCTATCAAAAAGCTGGAAGACAAGTTGGGCATCAAATTGACCCGCGAGCCTGAGCCAACAATGCATCCGAATGCCAAATTATGACGTGATGCCGGCACTTGTCATATTTGCTTGAAGGAGGCAGCGAAGATGGCGCCACATCTGAACAGCACGAAGGACATCCATTGCACGACCGTATAGCACAGATCTATTCGCATCATGTACTCTAGGTTTAGTTCGACTAGAATGGCTTGTCGGACGCAGGGATCTTGTCCTGCCAGTATGCGCCCACCTACACCCGACATGAGTTGGCAAAGACGCCTTACAGGGTGTGTGACGCACCACTGGGACCTTGGCAAGGACTTCCCGCTTCACGAGCGGTGTCGCCGACAGCACCTAAAGCCGCGGTGTGCGCGCGTTAGCGGGGAGACTATGAAGTAATTCGAAATGCGCACGTAGAGCGCCATAATGCCAGCACCAGCTCCCCAGAGACCCAGGCTAGTACCCCATCTACGGGCGAACTGTTGCGCGACACAAGTTAGACAAATTGCGGTAGAGGTCAGTCTTGACGCGACGCACGGTTATAGGGAGCTTGTGCTCGGGAATGGGGTGGTGAGCTATCCGTGCCATAGTTTAAGGACGTCAGGAGAGTGCCCAGTAGTGGTAGACGAAGAGTGTTGTGTAGGAGTCGTGTTCAATGTCACAGTGCACACGGAGCTCGGGCAACGGCCGGGCGAAAGCGGAATTGCGGCGCTGCCAGTTCGGGGAAGCGCCCGTTGCTCAGTCTCGTTCTAACACACACAAGCTCTGCGCTTGAATCTGCGTCTCTGTTACCCTGTTTAAACGCCTTACGTTTAATCATCGTCCTCAGTCCACGATCGTCCAGCATCTCGACCACACGTCTCGTCCGCTCCACACCGCTTGTCTCACACTCTTCGATAGCTCTTGTATAAATGGCAAATCCTCGACAGAGAAAAAAACTGCGTTCTGGGTCGCACAAGCCCGTACACCACTCTCGGCGGGCCAAGACGTTACTGAAGAAGCAGCCACGTCCGTGGGTTTCTCGCGGTTGTATGCCTCCGAATGTAGCTTGTACTGAGATGCCCGTGAGTTAGCCATTCGTGGGCCGAAGGTTCTTCAGGATGCGTGGGACAAGCAAAAGACTGTCAGACAGAAGTATATATTACGCACATGTTGCGACGGATTAGGCCACTGGATTTCTGACATCATGCGTTCTCTAGCTATGAAGCATTGGGCCTCGTTGCCACCCTCAATCCTACACCTTCCGGAGGGGTAGAACGTACCTGGGCTGCTTCGGACGGCCGGGAGACCCCTGCCGACGCATCGACTTCGTCGAAAGGTTCATCATCACAGAAGGCGCCGAAGCCCAGCACTGACATTCTAGCGAAGGGGTATGGTCGCATTATCCGGGACGAAAAAGGAAATATAGTCGACGTGCAGCTGGCGGACGACGGGGAGGCCGAAGTTACGCCGATGGAGGACGTCTTGGGTGACATTCTGGACCCATCTCGAGACGAGGAGTTAGCTCCGTGGGTTGGCTTAGGCTCAAATGCAGCTGCCGGCCAAAATCATGCTCCAAGCACACATGTGGTGCAGGGTGAGTGATGACATGTTCAATTAAGACTAAAGGGTGTGATTCTCAAGGTGTCCCCGGTGTCGGCATGCTTTGTTTAGCTCTGGAAGATCTGTCGAAGGGACACGGAGACGCTTTAGTCCGTTTCGCGTCTACGGGGGAGCTTGCTGTCCTCCGTCGGTTAGTGGACAAGTATGGACAAGACGTAGAAGCAATGGCGCGGGATTGCAAGCTCAACTCCGACCAACGTACGACTGGCGAGCTAAGTCGCGCTATCAAAAAGGCGGGTGGGTTCGCGGAGTTGACGAAGGGCTGCTAAGGATCAGGTGAGCGTCTGACACGTGTATGAGGAATGAGGGCCACGACGGCTGACTGCCTAACCTCGTCTGACGCCGCCATGGAAGACGCCCCCGGTCGAAGGAGCCTACGCGTGGGTTAGGTCATCGGGACTGATTGTCGTCGGCAAGGGCGCAAAGGGCAGACTCGGATTTCCTCGACAGACGAGCGGTCGAGAATAGTGTACGTAGGCAATCTCAGATGGGATCAGAGCACCAAACGCGTGGTGTACGCGAGTGGGATGATTTGGGAACTTGTCGAGGAGCCCGGACAACACGCCAAGTGGGCATTCGAGCATGACGTGTGTCGCACTAGGGGACATGCCGACCTTAGCGACGCGCTTTGCTGGATATGGGCGAGCCAGCGCAGTGGGCTTCCATTTGGTGCCGCCTCCGTGATCGAGACATATAATAAGCATCGCGGAGACTACGAGAACGTGAATGGCACTTGTACCGGCGTCAGTGTGTCCAAATGTTCTCGAGTGGATGTGCGCCCACTTACCGAGGCGCGAGAATCGGGAAGTAGGGCAACCCGTTTGATGTGGGTGCGATAGGGTCGCGATCTCGGGGACGCTGCGGCCACGGGCGGGTGTGATGTGTGGGCCAAAGTGGGAAATGTGGACGTGCATCCGGGATCTGGGTGATCTGGGCCAAACAACGGAATAAACAAGATGACTGCTGTCCCGAGGACCCACGACCCACGAAACAGGCGGACGGACGTCTTTGCCCGGCCAATCGCCGCCTGGATCCTGGGGGTACATACTGGGCGTTACCAGACGTGGGGCATCTCCATCAACGGGCAGCGCATTCCCAAAATCACGGCGGCAGGGACCCAGTCCATCCCGCCGGCTTCCAATGGGTTTTCCCAGGCATTATGTTTCAAACGAATTCATGGAAGCATCACTTGTGCTCGAGCTTCCTGACCGATAGGTGGCGCCTTGGCCTTCGCGCCCCTCATTTGTATAAAGTCATCGACGCCTCATGCCGTCCGGCCTTCTACCGTCTCTAGCCTGGCTAGCCGTGTGCCATGTCGCCGAGAAGCACAACCAGCAGATCCTCCTCCTCCTCTCCCCGCCCGTCCCGCAGAGTCACCGGCCAACCCAAGTCAACCCGGCAACAATACAGCGGTATGTTGTCCATGATGCCCGCCACCTGCCTTGTGTCCTCACCGTGAGACCATCATGCCCCCCGTAGCATGTGGCGCGTGCCGCATGAGAAGGTTTGTATGTTGGTCTATCTCAACCGTGCACCTCATCAGCTGTTCTTGGTACAAATAGGGTACGCTGCGACCTGAAGGACCTGGCGATGTCTGCCTCCGGCCAGCATCCCCCCTGTTCCAACTGCAGCGAACGGGGCCTCAAATGCGTGTACGTGAATTTCCCTCCTTTGATATCTGCGGATATCGCCGACCGCCGTGGCAGGGATGAATTTGCAGAAGTCAAAGCTGTCAAGCTATTGCGGCGCGGTCGGCGTCTGCAGCAGGTAGAGTGCGTCCTTATCGCTCGGCCCACAACCCCCACCACAACCTCCCCACAGAGCCGTCTACGGCCAGAACTCAGCAGACGAGAACGCCCTCCATAATGTCACCCCCCCACGCAGCGGCATTCCGAGGCTACGCCCCGAATTTTTCAGCTCGCCTTTCTTCCGGAGATTCCACATACAACGTGAGTGCTCGGCAGGTGCGCCTCAATAGTCTTGGCTGAGAACACCTACCACCCCCAGGGCCTGTCCTCGAGCCCACGGAGTTCTGTACCAGGTATTACGAATTCTGTAAGGGGAACAAGGAGTACCTCCAGGCGCCGGGCCAAGTCATTGCCCTGATACTCGTGGTGTGGGCGGCAAGCTTCGGAGTCAACGAGTACGGCGTAGAAGAGCTGTATGACGACTCAGTCGACCCACGGCGACGGAGAGACCGCGTCAACGAAATGGTCCGAGAAATTCTCTACTTGATCGATATACATGGTATCCTACGGAAGCCGTCTTGGGACGGAATTAGGGCCCTGCTGCTCATCTCACCGCTTACACAGGGTGAGTCGCCCGTTCCAACTCTAGCTTTCGCCGCTGATCCCCCCATGTGCAGAGGTGCAATCCCCAATCGAACGATTAGTAAGTAATTTTGCACAACACAATGTCATGGTAGCGCATTTGCTCAATTTGGCTGCAGGCCATGTATGAGGCGACCATGAGTCAAGTCTACACGCTGTGTAGCCTGGCGCCATCTTCATCAGTTGGCAGCGGCCAGGGAGACTACGTAGATGCCCTTGTACGCGCAAGAATATTCTGGTACGCTCACGTCATCGATGGAATCACCACTGGTTTGAGGGGAGGACGTCTCGTGTTGTAAGTGTCGTCCGAGCCGATGCTGTGGCTCAATGCTGATCACCCGCATGCACATCAGGACCGAGGACGATCTTACTTCTTTTGAGAGGACACTGCCTTCACTTGACGACAACTCGGGGGCATCGGCATTATATGCAATTTCATATCGTTATGCGACTATTCCCCTCCGCATTGCCTCGGTGTGTCGGGAGATACATGCTATATTAACCAGCCCCAGAGCTCGTCAGAGCTCAACGGTCGATGAGGCGAGGATTCATCACGCGTGGGAGACTCTGGACCGATGCTGGAAAGAATTCGACGGCCTTCGACAAGTCGGGACAGATGGATTCGTGCAGACCGAGGATGTCGAGCGTTTCATTGATGGGTGGCAGGTGAGACATACATTCATACTGGGGATGCGTAATGGAGAAGCTGAGGTTTTACCTCAGATATTCATTTTCGAATGCCGTGAGTATTGGGTCTGTACAATAGCCGAGCTCGTTTGACTAATTCCGATCTTATGGAAGATAATGTCATGAGGGAGGCGCTTAAGCAACGCCTCGTTGCGCGGCCCCCGCCGGATAACTCCTTCATTCCGGATACACATCCGTCTGCGCGTAACCGCCCCAGCGAGACCGTGATCCGCCTGCATGCAAAGGCGAGCGCGAAATGTCAAGACGTAGTGCGCCAGGTGGTGTCGACCATCCGCCGCAATCTTGGGACACAGTTCTTCCAGTTCGACGCTGCCCTCGTCCGCGACGGATGTTTTTATGCGGGCTTCATGCTGGCCGGGGAGTCCGGCAACGGTGAGGACGTCGAGACGTGCCTCCACGCCCTCCGCGAGATGCGGTGGACGTTCGCTAAGAACGACGACCGGGAGCAGACCGTGCGCATGATTTACGAGTCGCGGATGACGCAGTCGCGGAGCCGGAGTGTCAGCGGCACCCCCATAGACGACTTGCTACATCTCTCATCGGGGCACCCCTACGCCAGGCGGCCTTTGGCGCGGCCTATCAGTGTTCCCCCGCTCTCGCTGTCATTATGCACTGTTCCCTCGTCTATGGGGTCCGCCTCGGCTCCGAGTACTGCCTGTGCTTCCACCGCTGATTGGCCGACGTGCACACCGCCAGGCAGCGCTGGCACAGGGATGTACGACGGCTCAGTTGCATCCCATCGCGGATCCCCCACGTCCCCGCACGACGGCCTGAGCGTTGACACCCTTCGATCGGGGCTCATGGGCCCTACGCTCTTGCCTGGCGACTCAGGGCCGTCGGCGCGCCCCGGCGAGTCAAGTGGCCTAGATCAGGTCTTCTTTTTCAACTACGGCGCCGTGGCCGATACTGCGGGCGCGTCCACTCTCGCGCAGCCGTCCACTTCCCTGCCGCCCCCCGCCACGGACTACAGCCCCACAGCCTATTTTGACGCCAACTCGGTGGTGTTCTCGCACTCGCCGATCGGCCAACAGGGCGTGTGTGCGGGCAACATCCCGTCGTCAGGGTCGCCCGTTCGTCATTTTGCGGAGACGTCGTTCTATCGATAAGGGACTTCTGCGCGGACAATGTTTGTATCACCACGGATCTCCTTGCTTTATCATTTTCCGATCTCATGGACACTGGGCATCTCTCGCCAACTTCTTGGACAACGTACTAATATGACATAATGCTCAATCTTGCGCATCTCGAGAGTGCCCCCCATCCGTTCCGTCACCGCAGTTATTTCACGGACTTCAATTCATCCCGTGCCCTTCGCACATTCTGGCCGGAACACATGCATTTTTATGGCTATCATATGGGTTATTTTGTCCGTCACGTCGTCAGATAGAGCATATTGTACAGCCTCTTCACATCACAACTGTAGGAATCATCATCTAGGATTGACGTACAGTGCGCGGGATCCGGCTACCTGCGTGCGATACAAACTACGCATGGACGTTGTCATATCTCGGCGACTGAATGGCATCGATGAGGGCGACGCAGCACAAGGTTAACAGGGAAGCAGCGCGACCGACGCAGATTGTCAATATCCGTGATGCATTTGGTAATTCATATTGCGGAGTGTCCTGTGTGTTTATCACCTCTCAAGCTCAGCCCAGCAAATCGGCCTTTGCGCTGGTTCCCATCACAATATGGCAAACAAGCTGTGAGATCGGTTGTACCTAGCGCCTCCACCTTCTTGACGCGCTCCTCAGCTCTGGGGTGCATCCAAACATGGGCGCAGAGAGCGCCGGCCGGCAGTTTAGGGCTCACTAGGACAGCGTCAATCTGCTGGCCTTCTCCGTGCAGTGCAGGGACGTCGGTGGAATGGGAAGGCCGTGAGTAAACGTTACCGCTCTGGTTGGATGCGCAGTGCTGAGATGTTCCTGGGCGATGATCTGCACACCTTTTTAAGGAGAGCGCCGTATATGTATATCCACCGAACAAAGGAAGCGTCGTAACACGGTGGGGTGACACGGTCGGGCATAAGTGGCTGGAAATGGTATACGCTCACCTGCAGAAGTAGAGAAAAATGTGCGAGAGAAGGGCTCACATCTGGCTGATAAGGCAAGGCAAGCTGAGGCGTCATGTCACACGTAGCCCATTTTTGCGAATGGAAATGAGTTTGTATTGTCCGAGCGCGCGCGACGCTTGGCAGAACCATGACCGTGACTGCTGTACATTTGATCCGAGCCAGCCCCGCTCAAGGACGTATATTTTTTTTTCGGTGCTTGTGAAGGTGAAGGATGTATTTACGAGGAACTTGCTTACCGCTGAAGGAGGCAGCGAAATACATTTGGCGCAGTGCTAAATGAAGAAGGAAAGTTACTCCAGTGAGCGCCGAGGATGATCTCGGAGTTTGCCGAGAAGATTAGATATGACGTGACGGGTTTGGCTGTGCGCGCCTCAGCTGACGCTGACCGGAGCATGCAGCTCCTGGAGGCTGGCTCTCCCACCGACTGCGACTTTGCTCTTTCTCGACACTATCATCACGCCCGCTAGCCCCTGTTTTCTACCAACATGGACTTCATATGTGAGTCTACTCGCACAGCTTCCTGGGAGCATAGTCGTTGACGCCTTTGGCAGTTTGTCTACCCATCATATGTACGCATGCCCATGTCTTGTGCAGGTTCTTGAACGTGTAATTCATGTCAAAATAGTCGGCTGCCCGACAAGGATTAAGCCAGACGGTGATCAAACGCCACGGGTTTGCCCCAGGTGTAACAACGGTGTGTCAAGTCCGCATGTTGGGGTGCATGGATCGAGACGTTCATACTGCCTCCGCTTTACAGCATCCGTCACTTCTGCAAAATCCCGCCTTTGGTTCGAGCTGTGCTGGGTACCCTTGATCCCCATGCGCTCAGAGCGTGTCTGGATGTGTTCTATATGTCAGTGGAGGGTGCCAATCCAGCCAGGGCAAGTTATCTTTCTCGAAATCCTGGAAGCGTTAGCTAATGCTCCGGTGTGACAGGTGGGAGCCTGCTGTCCCTAATTATAACTTCCAACCTGGCCGGCCGAACCAGTGGCAGCCACCGCCGTCTGGGTATATGGCACCACCTCCGAATGCATATCAGCCAGGGTACCAGCCAGGCTACACAAGCGAGACTACGGCTCAGAGTCCGAAGCCGCAAGCCTGAAAGCCTACCATGCACTTGACTCCTAGAGTGTTTTATGCGTCATGTATCCATATATGTTTGCCCTGAATCTGGACATCTGTATCTCTATTGCTACCCATAAAATACACATTGCTCCGATACTAGTACATCCTCCGCTTCTTGGCGCGCCATTCTATGCAGCTGTACCAGACAAGCGTTAACAGCACGCCAAATACAAACCCGCAGGACACTGCGATGCCGCAAGCGTCGGCACCCGTAAGGTTGTGATTGGGTGCATGTGCGCGCACCCTCGCGGGAGGCATGCTATCGTCTCCGCGTGTTTGACGAAACTGAGTTAGCGCAGAAGTGGCATTTGTAGTTCCCAGCAAGCCAATGGAAGCGGATTGGTTGCTAGCGAAGACGCGTTGAGCGACGTAGACGTTCTGTATGTGATGTTTGAGACTAGTCTGCAGCGCAGGTAAGCTGCAAAACGTACCCGGAGAAAGGTGTCGCCCAGAAGCCAGTCGCCAGAGAAGACCTGTTTATGTTTCAATATGCCGGACGAAATACAGACATAACAACACGCGTTACCCCGTCATTGCCTTGTATGCCGCCCATACACCAGTCACCTTGTGCCGTATTTTCGTCCCATGAAACGTCGGCGGGGTCAAGCACATACTCTTTTCGGGAGCTGTCGTCGCCGATAACGAAGCCCACAATGACAGCTCGGTTACAGCGGACCTGCCATCCTGCGTCGGTCTTCCTGGCGCCGCCGACCGACTGCCAGAATCTGTCCACGTCAGAAGTGGGGCCCAGGACAAGTGTCGTGCCAGTATCCAGGACAGCTATCGGTGAGGAGGCGCCCTTGACGCGGGACTTAGAGAGATCAAAAGTGGTGGAGTTGATGGTCAGGGACTGCAGGGGAAGCTTCCAATAGTTGTAGCCTGAGCCATCAGAAGAGACGGGTGTGTAGGTCAGAGCGGATGTGGTGTTCGCGTAAGCAGGGTCTAGCTGTCCGATGGTAAAGGAGGAGCCAGTCGCGTTGCTTCCCAGCTTGAAGGCAAAGAAGCGGTCTGTATCATTCAAAGATGCAAAGATGTTCTCGACGAGGGTGCGGCCTGTAGTACTCGGAATGGAAGCCTCTGCAGGAAACGCCAGGCCTAGGATCCCGCTATACCCGGTACCAGATAGGTCAAGGCCGGTTGTGTTACTCGCTAAGGCTGGGTGAAAATCTCAGCCACAAGAACTCCCGAGGATGATCACACTGACCGAATACTTGAGACGAGATCTCATAGGGCCCGAAGGTGACTGTATCAGTGCCAACCGTACCAGTTACGGAGCCAATGAGATAGTCCAAGTGAAAATCGGTGCTTGTCAAATTCAACGAGTTGGACTCTGAGATATCGAACGTCGCGATTCCTTGACAATCCGAGGTCGTGCAATCCGAAGATACGACCCACTACTCATGTTCAGTGCAAGGACCTTACGCCACCACCCTGGAACCTACCAAGTCGGCGGATCCAGTGTCCAAAAGGACCTGAAATTCCTGCCCTCCAATGCTGATACAGCGTGAATTCTGTCCCAAACGGTGGGTTGGAGGAACTAACCTTACTTGCACCAGGTAGGCACTTCCGTACATGATTAATTACCTCAGGGAAGCAGAACGATTCTTAACAAACTCACAATTCATTTGCGTTTGAGAGCGCAACATCGCTGGTTGAACCTTGTGGATTGCGACCCGAGTGGCGAGGGACGCGAGAGATAGGAAACGAGAAGCCACTTTGTGCCATACTTGCCCTGTGATGAGGAGACTATGGACGATGTAGAGCGACGTCAGGGAACCAGAAATCGCGTTGTTGGTTATCATACATGCCGCGGCTGGCAAGTCAGTCATCTTTGCAATATTGCACGCGGGCCGGTCCAAGACCGGTTAAAGGCCTGTTGAGGGACTTCCCTTCAATTCTTAGAGATTCTTAGGAAACGCACCAGATCATCAAACCCAAAGTCTCAATACACTCAATCTCAGGGCGAACGTGCCGCTGGTCCAAACGGTCTTCACCTACATCTACTGCACTTACCTCGACGAATCAGAACGGTTTAGGCAGCTGCACACGGGATGTCAGGCCAAAGAATTACTCATCCGTACACTAGCAATCGAGGAGAACGGGCCCGAATCAATGTGTAACGAACAGGTGGCGAGACTGGTGTGAGAGCTGTGCAAGGGGCGTTGCCGGTCACGCCAAACATACACGCGTCACAACCAGCAGGCGCGGCCACCGTCCTTGCCTCTGTCCTCCTCAACAGCCCACACAAGCCCACACAGCGTTCCTCGTAGACCTCCCCGACGCCATGCATACCAGCGAATACGACTATCTCTTCAAGCTCCTCCTCATCGGTGACTCTGGTGTCGGCAAAGTGAGTCCTTTGTGTCAGGAGACACGCGGAAGGCGTCTGACTCTTGGTTGGTTGGTGGTAGTCCTGTCTTCTCCTCCGTTTTGCGGACGACACCTACACGGAGAGCTACATCAGCACCATTGGCGTTGACTTCAAGATCCGAACAATTGAGCTAGAGGGCAAGACTGTTAAGCTACAGATTGTGAGTGTCCTCTTGTCCTATCTCACGACTGCGGTCGCTTTTGTCCAAGTGCCGCGCATGCCCTGGACTTCGTCAGATGGCGCCCGGCTATTTGCTAGGGTGGACTGAGCCGGTACGAGGCAGCTCGTAGAGGCGACACTTATTCCTGATACTGAGGCATTTCCGAGCGTATTAGACTGACTATGCGTTTGTCTTCTAGTGGGATACTGCAGGTACATCTGCCGTACTATTGATGAGAATCATTGTCAACTCTCTTAACAGGCCAGGAACGGTTCCGCACTATCACGTCTTCGTACTACCGTGGTGCACACGGTATCATTGTTGTGTATGACGTGACTGATAATGGTAACGCTCCAACAAACCTCCATCGGGCCTTTGTTTATGTTGTCTGCAGACACCTTCTCGAATGTCAAGCAATGGCTGCAAGAGATTGACCGATATGCGTCGGAGGGCGTGAACAAGCTACTTGTCGGCAACAAGTCGGATTTAACGAGCAAGAAGGTCGTTGAATACAGCGCGGCCAAGGTCAGTAGTTGCGCGATGATGCGTTGTCTTGTTTGGCTCATTCTCTACAGGAATTCGCTGACCAATTGAACATCCCCTTCCTCGAGACCTCTGCGAAGAATGCTACTAACGTCGAGCAAGCGTTCTTGACTATGGCTAAGCAGATTAAGGACAGGTACGTTTGTTCGTACAGGAATAACATGAGCTACTGAGCTGACCTTTAATGTCCAGAATGGGCACGAGTTCATCAACTGTTGGAGGGACTGGCAAGTCGTCAACCATCACACCGGGCCAGACTGTTACGCAGCAGTCGTCTGGGGGTTGCTGCTGAACAGGTGTCTTTCTCCCATGGGTTGTCTTGCTTCCTTCGCTCACTCTACGTCTGCCTGCTGCATAGAGTGCCACGGGAGGGCGCTACTGGTCCTGTGTGTTCTGCTACATTCTCATGATTACTACACCACTGTGCGGTGTTGTCGGACTGTTCTTTTATCATCATTCCTTTTAAACTCCGTAATGCTGCTGGTCTGCGGCCACAACTTCATGATCATGCGGTATGTCCGCAGCATTAATGCACTGTTTGAATTACACGGCGCGTGGTATAGCTATATCGTGGGGATGCTGTGACATATCTCCATAGTAAGGTTCGCTCTATTTCCAGCATCGTTCGCCCGGGCGACAAAGATATCTTGAGAAGTCTCTGAAGTGGTCATGGTTGAGATCATGATGTGATGAGGGCTTTGCGCCAAGAGGCGGTGTCATCTGTAGTTCCATCGTACATCCTGAGTGCCTTGGAAGGAGGCCTGACCACTCCACACAATTGTGCCTCGTCGGTTGGTGGCCAACATCGGCATTGTCTGGAAATTGAGTTTCAACGTTGTCAAAACTTGAGCATCCACGCTGTGATTTCAACTCACCTGAACTCTAGAATCATTTACATCAAGGCACCCGATTTTCATCTAGCCATTGGCGAACACCCTTCTTGGAGACCATCCCCATTACTCGTGTCTGATCCTCAGCGCTACGCTCTCGATACAAGCGCATGACGTATCCACAGACACTCCAGACATCTTCCCATTCTGCGTCGAACAGTTCCCACCAGCGATTGCTTGATGATGACGGGAGAGAGATGCCGAGATGTCGCGTAGAGAGCAAGATTGCAGCGCTGACTATTGTCGGAACAGCGTACAGGGTATACACCGGTGTCTGAAGTCTATGACAGGGTAAGTCGCAGGACACATTTCTAGATGGGGCAAAACTTACGCGTCGTTGAGGTACCCCCATGCTCGAGTACATACGTCCTCACGGCTCGTCAACCCCAACACTCGCAAATAATTGACCAGCGTTCCATAGGGCAGGACAACGTTGACGTTGAACCCCAGCCGTTTCAGTATCTGCATCTCTGCCACCACGAGTGCTTCTTTCAGGTCATAGAACGTGTTGCCGAAGTATGACATTGGGGTATATTTGAACTCCGGGCGGGGATACGAAGTGAAGGATGATGCATAGGATAGTGCCGATGCTCGATTATGTGCTGCACGCTGTAATAGTAGGTCGTATACGTTGATGAGATCTCGCATGCGAACGGGGCATTCTTCCAGTTTGGAAGCCAAGTATAATGCACCCATGCCTATATCCTATAGGACCGTGTCTCAGTAGATCATATGTATTTGGTGTTCAAGACGTACACCAATACCAAATTGCTTCATTGAAGTCACGAACCAGAATCTCTGAAAGAGAATCTGAGCAGTCGCTACAGCAACCTGTTTCCTGTCCTCAGACCGTCTCTATGCGTCCATAAGGAGGAAGAAAGGTGCTCACTGTTTCAATAGTATTCCTGCCTCGTGAATCATCTTACAACCATACGCACGCAGGTCTTGCTCTAATTCATCGGGGATACCATCCTCGCGAGAGGGTGTCTTTTCGATTTGCGCGAGCGATGCCAGCGGATACAAGGACGTAGACATGCCGGCTACAGATTTTGTTAAGTTTACGACTTTGAGACCCAGACCTCAGACCTCAAGCAGAACGGCCTCAAGTCGATGCCGTAGTAGTAGTAGTCAATATTCGCAAAGATGCCCGGAGGTAAGAGCGCTTATTGACAACCGACGCGATCACGTGCATGACGCGGTGTCGATGTTGGTTCCGTGACGCCAAGCCAGCCGACTCGTGCACCCTAACAGTCTCAATTATCGCTTGATAGCGTTCACCATGCTAAGTGCTTATCCTGTTGCACTCCATCGGGATGGCCCCCTACAGATGAAGACTCCGGGGCGAGCACTGAAACGGGATGCGCGGCAAGAAAATATGTACCGTGTGCCCATGACCGTGGCCGCCAAAAGCAAGAGTGCGCTGACACCTCATCGTCCGCTCACAGCAAGTGCGTCTTATCATCCGGCAACATTCCTGTTTCTCACTCAGATGCACGTGCCACAGAGAGCCAGAAGACCTTGAAAGTGAAGCCATTTATCACAATCTCGCGACCCCTCGGAGACAAAACACCCTTCCCGAACCGTGTGGCAAACGATGCCCAGTCTCAGACGCCATCTCCGCTCAACGAGAAACTTGCTAAGCTTTCCTTGGAAGAGCCCGGCCCGGCCATTGTTCCCGGAGCCCTCCTCCGCCCTTCATCTGCCAGGACAAGTCTGCGCATACCGCGAACAAGCGGAGGCAAGTATGAGTTCAAGACACCGATTACTCAGGGAAATCATTGGGACGTCAGCGATGGAGACATCGACGTTGAACCTGAAATCCAGCCTGACGAACAGGAGGCCGTACAGGAGGAGGATTACGATGAGATTGAATATATGCCACCAACGGCCATCAGTGAGTGCTCAATCAAGTTGTTGCTGAAGGCACCGTATTTCATATGTCGGACTCAGTTCCACCGTACGAGCCTCCGTTCGAAATGCCAGATTACACGGTCCTAGGCAAGACGATGTGGGAGATGATGCACTCTGTCAAATTCGATGATTCTGCGGACCTCTACTACGCCGCAGACATCGAAATTGAGATTGATGTGCAGGAGGCGTGGCGGGAGAGTGGCTTTGACTCGTCTCCTTCAAAATGGGAGCGACCGAAGCTGCCGGAGCTAGGTGAGTTTCTTTACTCCCATATAGTCTGAAACTCCTTTCATAGACGTGCGTAGAGGAAGATAGCCTCTTCCCCCGATCGTGCACTGTGCCACAAGATGCGTCTGATCCCGCTCAAGCGTCCACATCCAGACCCATCACTCGCTCTACAACAGCAGCACAATCGCAGCAAACGATACGGTCAGAAGTGAAATCCATTGCATCATCGCGCACTACGCGCACCACAAGTGCGGGGAGACTTGCAGCCGCGTCGTCAAGTAATAATGTTGCCAAGACCGCCGTTCGTTCCATGACCACCCGATCTACGACGACAACTGCATCGTCCTCGACTGACCGGGCAATGACAAGTGTGCACACGCGAACAAGGAGTGTCGGACGAGATATATTATCTAGGCCAGATGTTAGTGCGCCTCCCAAGACCTCTGTCTATGCAACAACAGCCGGACCAAGCAGAAGAGGTGTCGCTCCTTCGACATCGAGAAGTGCTGTTGGCGCTGCACGAAAAAATCCATCCGCGACCACGGCCACTGCGGGTATACCGAGGGGAAGGACTGGGAGCACATCGGCCAAGGTCGCATCGAATGCAACTGGTTCCAAGATAAAGGTTCCAGCGGTAGTGACGTCCCGACAAGCCGATGATGACCTGTTGATCAAGTTCGAAAATAACCCGGCGACGGATCTAGAAGAAGATTTCTTCTTCGATATATGAACAGCATTTCCTACCGATTCTTCCTACGCTGGCCGTTTTTCTTTGGTTTTGCCCATTCTTGTTTTTGCTTTGTAGTATTTGAACTTTGTTTGAACGGGTGCCTTGTCCAGCGTTCGGCTATCGACTTCACGAACATACATCACGGACTTCTCCGATGATTTTGGGCTCTGACTAGATGCAGTATGTCTCCTAATAAATCGACGTACATTGTCTTCTACTTGCCCTACTTCGCGTGAGTTCAATCAATCCTACGAGCCTTGGGAACCAAAGCCCAGAGAACAATCATCGTCGACATCATAGATACAACACTGCCGGATGTTCATATGGCACAGGTGAGTCATAGCGCAGCGGCTCGGGGAAGGAGACGCACAGAGGTTGCAACGAGCCGATCCCGAACTTGGATGCCAACAGCCCCGTCACGAGTGGTAGTACTGCAGAACCTGCCTGCCCAATACCTGCAATGTATCCCACAGCACCGGTGAGCAACCACTTCGGCAGTATAGACGTGGAATGGTTCATCATGATCGGATACATGGGTCCAAAGAGAAGGCCCACGAATGAGACGGCGATGGCGTTTTCGAGCAAGGAAGGCACCACCCAGACGGTGACCTCCAATCTATCAAGCCGCATGAGCATTGTCCCGTGAGGAATGGCGCCGAGTGGGACATACCCAATGGCTATTACGCCATATAGCATGATCGCCCTTCGCTCTCCAATCTGTAAAAGCAGTTGGTGTAGGTTCAGAGGTAGAGGGTGATCTGACATACCTTCTGATTCAGCCACATCAGGATAAGCCGACCAAGCATTAATCCTTGAAATGGAAATGTGGAAAATGAGTCTCACGTGGACCTCAAGTGTCGATATTCGAACTCACCGCCGAAGAAGCCTGATGATATGTACCCAGCAGTAGCACCGCCGCCACGCTTATCTACTATGAAGGTCACAATCCAGCCTACACAACACAACGTTCGTGAGTAAATAGGTCCCCTATCGAAGCAACTGACATACCACCCAGGGTAACTTCGATACCAACGTAGATGAGGCAAAATATTGAGAGCAGGTGAACCTCCTTCAACCGCAGGATTTGATGGTATACATTTTCAGTACTAGTGTTAGCTTCTCCAGCTGTCTGTCCAGCCTCCGCCAGCACGTCTGAGCAATATGTATGAGTTCTGTAAAGACGACGTGCCAATGAAGATGACTGACCGTCTTGCCTTCGAAGCCGGAATACGGCCGTAAGTAGAACCACATTGCTCACCGCAATACCACCCGCAATTACATAGTGGAAGGACCAATGCGACGCGGTGGAGAAATGTGTTGCGACCAATGGTGACACAAAAGCACCTAAACCTGGCATAACGGAATACTCGCTAAGTGCTCCAGGATGTCACTCATAATGCGAGCATACCGTAGGACGCATGCAAGATGCCAAACTTGACTCTGGTGTTCTCCTTTAGACTACCAACGAAGCCATTTGCCTGCGCCATCTGCATAGCGATCCCGAACCCTGCCAGGCCAACACCCGCACATATTGTGGGGAACGGTCCACCAGGACTGATGAACGCGTAGCCCCCAAGTTGGAAGAGAGCACCTATACGAACAAGGGTAAAATAAGTTATCTACAGATATAACGATCAAAATGTGGGCTTCAATGACCTATTACCATGACCTGTACAACATCAGCTGCAGTCAAAGACGAGTTTTCTGGTCCATCTTACCTTACCAAATCCGAGACGTTGATTCAAATAGACATTCGACATTGCACCCCCGATGAATCCCTGAGCCAGGTTATAATGTTACCAGTCCATAGTCCGTGACATTTTGAATACAATCTGACCAGCGTACTGAACACAAAGAGCAAAGAGACAATATCGAATCCAATCTTCCAAAGTGATTGGGCGCGTTAGACCTCGGGCCTCAAGTCGCATACAAATGTTATACCTTATATTGGCGCTGAATTCTAGGTAAAAGAGGTCCCAGTGAGCCGTCGTTCCAGCCCTCGAGCAGGTACGAATAACAAAGTGCAGCAAAATGTAGCCTAGAATTCCAGCGATATCGAGACAATTGAGCCTCTGTAGAGTCCGCTTGGGCATTGCGTGTGCCTTCGAACAAGTGAGCAGACGCCTCATGTACTGTCGGCACCGTATCTTGATGTTTTGCCTTTCCAGTGTTGTCTCGGAAGTCGACGCCGTCTGGGGTAAGTGCGTGCACATTGTCCTTGTGACGCGTGTCAAGCTCGAAGGATTCTGCGCCAGCGAAATGAGCTACCACAGGGTGATTGCCCCGCAGATTCAATTCTACGAGTCTGTTCATTCCACCTACCGAATTCAGGCCTAAGCCGTTCAGAATGTGATATCTCAGGGTCAGTGACAGGATTATCCATGGTGATTCACTTTACAAAGTAGAATGCTCAGGGGAGCCAGATGAGAGACAAGAAGCGACGGCACAAGCGAGGCTTGTCTCGTACTCATCCGGTTATATCCTGCAGCACCACCGCTGATTAACCGTCTGGGGTAGTTTGATGGAGCCCTTCCGTTTAGCGCCCTCTTGGCGTCGATGTAACGGTCACAAATTTGATAAGCAATCTACCTAGAGCCTATATCGGTAACTACTCCTAGCGACCTATGCGGGCCTTCTGTACTTCATTGTAGTCAATGCTTAATATAAGCCACGTAATATATACCATTGGAGCCGCGAGACTACACAGCGGATTTCAGAAGCAGTACAAGAATACTGTGGTCATGACTCAGCAAGAGGGTTTCGCGCCTCAATGTTATTTCAAGAAGTGAGGAATATCATTCCCCTGAGCTTGTGGCAAGACTTCCATTTTAGAACATAGCAGAGTCGAGTGCCGCCATTCAGATGAATACCCCTTTAACCTCAACGGGAAGAAGCCTGAAGCGCAAGGGTTGGCTTGAGTCCATTTCGCTCAACTTTCGAAGCCGAGTTTATCCTGGTTTTGAGGCTGCGCCAAACAGCCACCAACAGGCAATTGATCCAAACATGGAAAATGCCGCCGCTCAAGCGCTCAATGCTCTTCAACAAGTACTTTAAATTTGAGTTCTAGCTTTCGGGCACTGGTTGGACATGTCTCATTTACCTCCCAAGCCTGACTTCGGTAGTCCATCGAGACACCCTCCAGACCATCGGCATTATGGCCGACCGCCACCACCACCGCCAGACCGCTATCGTGAAGGAGACGTATACATTGCGGGGCGGTCGCCACCTCGTTCACGCTTTGCTACCGACCCATATCCTCTGCCAAGACCTGCAGAGCCATACAGAGGCTCAAGAACGTCTACTGACTCGTACGTTGCCACGTACGACCGCAGGCTGCAGGACTACCGTGATTATTGGCAGGCGAGAGATCGGGACCGGGACTGGCGGGCCCATCCACAGTCTGACCCCAGATACAGGCCGGTGGAGCCGGCTAGGGAACGACCGGATTGGGAGAGAGAACGCGACAGAGACCGAGGCGAGAGGCGTTGGGAGCCCCGGCCCGGCCCACCTGAGCGTGCAGAGTGGGATCGACGGGAGTATGCACCTCGGCCGTACCGTGATGTGAGGGATGACGAACGCATCAGGGGGAGAGAGACTACGGGGAGACCGCCTCCTGATCGCGAACGAACATGGCGTCCTCGGGATTCCAGGTCGCCACCGCGTCATGCTGGTACGTTGCTAGTTGTTCATGCGTGATCAAGGGTTGACCACAGTCAAGGCTCTCACTACCCTGAGGCACCCCGCTCACCTCCGCGCCCTCGTGCGCGCTCGCGCTCACCACCTCATATACGTACGCCTGTTCGGGGCCGCTCGCGCTCACCGCCGCCACATGTGCGCACACCTACTCGTGGACGATACAGTAGACCATCTTCTCCAGTCGGCTCTGCGAGAGGACTCCCTGCGCGGACTCCATCACGAGATGCTCGACGCGGTGACCATCCCAGTCCCCAACATACTGACCGTAGACTAGGGCCTCGTGAACGAGACCGACGCAGTCTCAGTCCGCGGTCTCCAGCTCCTAGACGGAGAGACTTGTCTCGGAGTCGCTACTCGCCGGATAGCAGACACAGCTCAGTTGACGATGATGCTGCACCTCGAAAGTGGATCTCTCGTTTGCCACGGCGGCGATCACCCTCAAAACGGCGCTCGACGTCTCCGTCTCGGCGGATTGCTTCTTCATCCCGTCCAAGGACATCACCGCCTACGCACCCTCTGGAAGATGCTCCATCAGGCAGGCAGATGGACAATGACCCAGTGGCTGACCAAATCCCTGTGGTTGCGGAGGGTACTTGGATGCTTCAGAAGTCACCTGTGCAAGCGGAGCCGGATGAAATTTTGCCTGACTCTGGCATAACAACTATCAAAGAAGGAGGCCTGACTTCAGGATACGCAACCCGGCGACCTGATATTGCCAGTCCAACCATTGTGCAAGACAGCAAATTTGGAAGACTTACACCAGATGCGCGTGGGTCTCACGCGACGGACAAAGGGAAGATGCGGGAAGACGTGACCGCTGCTATCCGTGACGACGACGTCCAGATGCACGATGCGTCCCCGAGGCTAGCGAAGGTTTCCCGTGAAGCGTCTCCGCTGTCCAAAGTCCCGAGTGACGCCTCTCATTCTCCCGTCGAACAAAGTAGAGACCCCACACCCCTACGTTTTCAACGCCGCCGCTCGCCTTCGCCTCGTGGGCATGCACGCACTCCCATAACGCCTTCATCACCACGCACGCCACACCCATTATCCACCTCTAACCTCCCTCTAAGACCGGTGCCCAGTCGTCCCCGCAGACATCCGGGTCCTACTCGTCCGGGCGCACCTCCGCATACCCAGTCCAGGCAAGCCGAGAGCAAGCAAAACCAGCAGCGAGAAGAAGAAGTTAAGCTGCCACCTGGTCCTTGCGACGCCGTTATTAAAGAAGCGAGTCACACTTTGTCCTGCTTTCACGATGTTGACGCTGACAGTGATTTTGTGGCAGATCAAACAACATCGAGCTCATAGCTCACTGCTCATGGGTGAGTACGTCAACGCCGAGAAGGCCAAACTAAGAGCCATGCACGAACTCCAAATGGCACAATTCGACCTGGAAGCGGCCATGTTTCGTCGGCAAATTGCCGATGCGCAGTTGGATATGGCTCGGCAAGGCAAGCTCGGGATAGACTACGAGCGCGACAAGACGATAACACTCGAGAGGACACTCAATATTATCACTGTCTGGGAGGAATCGAAGTTTGAGGTGCCGGAAGAGAAAACGCCGGTGGTGAAGCCGCAAGGCGAGCAAGCGGAAGGCGAGAAGACCAAAGCAAAAGCCGTATCCGCGAAAACACCCGATGGTACACCTGGAGAACAAGGTGATGCTGAACCTACAGACATGGCCGTAGGGGCGCCTTTAGTGACGGCGGACCCCAAGAGCGACAACGAAAACGAGCTTGCCATCAAATTGGAAAATGAACATGAGGAACAACGTGAAGAACTACCCGACCTCAGGTTGGTAGGCAAGCCTGTCTCAAAATTAGAACAAACGGAGAAAATGACTATGGACCAGTCAAGGGCAGGGTATGCAGTGTCTCTGGAAACTAAAGAAACCAAGGAGGAGATCCAGACGGAATTCCAGCCATAGAATGTCCCTTCATCTTCTGGAAGCCCTGTCGTCCAGACGTGATGCCGTGTCTGCCTGCCGCTTGTATTCGTTTAGTGCTGTCCCATGCATTCGCTGTCTAATTATACATGATCACGTCTTGGGCATACGTCTGCATTCCATATGTGTCCGGGAAGGGTCCATGGGAAGCGCACAGAAGAATCCTTGGGCCTGAGATACACCGTATTAGCAGACACCTTTGGCGCGGGGGACGCAATCGGACGGGCGCACCTGCATGGCAGCAAACATCTTCGTGGAATGCATGGCCAGCTAGAGTACGGGCTAAATTCAGCTTCTGGCAGGAGCGAAGCGCATGTTAGCACGCACCGTGATGCATTTCCTTCCCTTCTCCTTCCCTTCCCTACATACTTCTGACCGCGCCGCGCCGCGCTCGCTGTCAAACGTGTAGTGCGAGTCTGGGTCTTCCTGCGGTGAAAATACGACACGTTCCCCGCCGGCCCCGTCGACGTGTCAGTCAAGTCCTGCAGCCTGCGAGCTCATGCACACGAACAGAGATGAACGTCTTCAGCTGCTCTTCGGGGTTTTCAGAAGGCATGTTAGATTGTGAACCAGACCCTGAGTTGACTCTGCAAAGCAGTTTGTGGGCGACTGACATTCGGCAGTCCCGCGCGTGGTTGAGGTTGTCGAAGTTCGTTTCAGGGACGACATCGGAGTACTCGCTGCGGGCGCTCGGTATGCGCCCGATCAATGTATGACGTCGATCCTCGGCAAGTCGGTCAACTTCACTCTCAAATTTAGTTGTCACTCTATTCATAACTTGCTGGGAACGAGATCCCTGTGTGTAGTAGGACACATCACATCTCCCAGTAGTGATACAAAAATTTTCTACAATGTTTCGGACTGCACAATTGATCATTGGGCCGCAGTCCAAGCGATTTGCGCCCTTTTTCACCAGCCTCGGGATGCCATCCTGCCACCCTTCATCTCATCCGTGCTAGAAAACAAGTTCAATATGATCGAAGTCGCGTGACAGGGGAAAGTCTTACATCGTGATCCCGACCATGGCCTCGCCGATATCTTCTGAAATCTGCAAATTAATCAATCGCGTCAGAAGTGCACACTGATGCGGCAAATCAGCTCCAGACCTCTGCAAGTATCTTGGGATTGTTGTGGTGGGTTACCTGCATACCACGTGAGCCGCTGAAAAGAGAGAGCAAATATTTGGAGACTCACCGCCTGCACAATAGCCCGTGCACGTTTGGCAGGGTCGCCAGACTAGGTTTTGCTTGCTTAGTTCGAGACCCAGGCACACGCCATACCAGCGAGAACTTACATGGAAGATACCTGATCCGACAAAGACTGCGTGCAGTGTTAGTCATGTAGCATAGAAGAAGCCAAGCCGTCCGCACCTCCGTCGCAACCGAGCTGCATCATCAAGGCAGCATCGGCTAATATCCCAATCTATCAATCACCGACGAAGGCACACCTCACCCCGGGGACTTACCAGGGGTCGCAATACCGCCCGCGGCGAAATTAACCACCGGCAGCCGCTTCGTTCGTGCGGTCTCCTTGAGCAGATGGAACGGCGCCTGGATATCCTTGGCGTAGGCATACAGCTCCTCCTCGCTCATCACGCTCGCCTTGCGGATTTCGCTCATGACTGCACGCTGGTGGCGCACGGCCTCAACGACGTTACCCGTGCCAGCCTCGCCCTTGGTGCGGATGAACGCCGCGCCCTCGGAAATGCGGCGGAGCGCCTCGCCGAGGTTGCGCGCGCCACATACGAAGGGCACCTTATAGGCGTGCTTGTTGATGTGATGCTCCTCGTCCGCGGGCGAGAGCACCTCAGACTCGTCGATGTAGTCAATGCCGATGGCTTGGAGGATCTACCGAACGATTAGATACAGTTAGATGGAGGGTCGCAAGGCATACCTGAGCCTCGACGAAATGTCCTATGCGGACCTTCGCCATGACGGGGATGGTCACGGCATCGACAATCTCCTTGATCATTTTGGGATCACTCTGGGCGCATGCATTTAGCCACCTGATATTTCAGCATCAATTCAGCACACGTACCATACGTGCAACACCGCCATTCGCACGGATGTCTGCGGGAACTCGTTCCAAAGCCATGACCGCGCAGGCCCCGGCTTCCTCAGCTATACGCGCCTACGGAAGCATGAGAGAAGCAGATATAACGTAGGTCGCTCCTAGTACCTGCTCTGCATTGATGACATCCATAATGACCCCACCCTAGTCATACATGAGCTGACGGGCCATCCGGCGATGAGCTCATCCTCACCTTCAGCATTTGGGCAAGCCCGGACTTGACCTGCATGATCGGATCGCACGGAAGTCGGTCATTCAGTCAAATCCAATGGTATAATGGCATGATGACGCACTCCGAAGGTGCCCAGGCTACCACTGCTGCTTCCGCCGTCCTTGGCCTGGGTCGAGCGGGTGGGAGCAAGGACAGGCGTGCCGGTGGGGTTTCCCGCGCCCTGAGGAACGGGCGGGGTGGCGACGCCAGACGAGGTTGTGCTGGGGGTGGTCATGGGTGCACACGGAAAAGAGGCAGACGGGACAGTGCAGACTCTGAGTGGCAAACGAGTTTGTGCGGTGGAGCGTTTTTGACTCGCTCGAGTGCCCGATCTAGAAGCGCCCACATCAATTTCCTCAGATCGGTCCTGCGATCACTGGGATCTTCCTCCACCGTGATGCCGGTTGCCTTCCCCGGGCTCGCACAATTCAACGTCCACCCATCCAGTCCTTGCAAGTTTCCGATGTTGAAACATTGGACATAAAACACTCACTGCCTACTCTCTCCCTCACCCATCAATGTCAGGAACACACTGAGCCACGTTGCATGGAGGACAATATGTCAAGGACAACGATTACGTAGCTAGCGGGACTTCGTTTAGCTTCGGGTGTCCGGTAGGTCCCCTTGTCGTTGTGATCTAGTCCATGCTAGTCTCCAGTATTATCTATAATCAGTCATGTAAAGCTCTCGGTCTTTCCCTGGCTGCGAAGGGCAAGTAGGACGCCGTTTGTATGTTTCAGGTTCGAGTCATTCACGAAGATATGCAGCCACCAGTGAGATTTTTACCGCCCACGTATCCTTTCTCGAAGCAGGCATCAGATCGCACCCGAGTCCTCTGATAGTCTGCGGTGTTCTCTCGCTTGTCTGTGAGTGTGGGGCCATTTGGACTCGAGTCAGTATGCAGTTCGCGCCGCGCGAGGAGCGATGCAGACATCCGTCGGAGTTCCTTCCCTTGGCCCTAGCATTTCATTGAATATCCGCACGCCCTGATTGCACAGTGGACACCGGCCATACACACCACCTCGCGATGGAGGTAGATCGGCCTTGTGTTCACTGTGTAGCCGCAGCACCTGGTGTTTCTGTCGACTCATGCTATTTTAGCCAATTAAAGCCGCATACGTCATTGTCTAGTACGCTATCCTGCTGCGTTCATGCTGTGCAGCCATGTGCCACTCACTCTAAGTTCGGGCTCAACCAAGGACCGGAACCCACTGCCGGTCCACAGGGTTGTGGACGACTAACACACAGCGAAGGGACAATGACCCTCTTTTATGCATGCATACTTTATCCACACAGCTGGTCGTCTACGAAAAGGGCTCGACACCGATCAGCGGTCTTTATCTTTGCTATATTTCTTTGTTCGACTCCTGGACAATGGATTACTATTTCACACGTTCATTCAATGCTTTACGTTTTCGCATTCGCAACACTCTGTGTTCTCTCCCGCAGAGCGAGCCGAGTGTGCGGACCATACACGATCCACGCCCGGGAGAAGCTCCGAGATTTGGCCTAAATCCCTATACCTCGCATCAGCTGAGCCCTGTATATCTTGTCCATTCTCTAAAACGGGCCTCGATTGCTCATCGACCGCACGTTGGCTGACCTCTGTGCCCGCTTCGTTTTTTGCCAGAGATATGCGCGCCGTACACTCGCTTCAACCATCCTACAGGTGGACGCGAGGCACGCACGAAGATCTCTCCGTGCCCGGAGCTTCTACGTGCGCTCAATTGCACCCCGGACCATACAGTTCAGGTAGTTGCGCACACATAAGAGTTGGCGCCGTAAAGATTTCCTGCTATCGCCTCGGCCTCAATGGCCCTCTTCGGGTGCGCCTGGGTCTTGTCTTCCCTCCGTCTTATTCTCGTCTCCATTGACCGCAGGCCGCTGGGGCGCACACACAAACCCCCTCTGCGTTCCAGGGGCACAGCATCGGCTCCTCACTACGGCGGCTATCCTTCCCCGTCCTCCAATCTCACCATCGAACAAGGTTATTTGACAATCTTCCCGTGCGGCCCACTGACCCAGCCACGGGCGTCCTTCCTCTTCTCATTGCCTCACACGGCCTCTCAAGTGCTCTCTTCCTATAAGCGCCGAGGTACGCAGTCGCCCGTAGATATCCTCCGATCGCAGCGCAGTGACAGCAGTAAGTAAGTTCACTGACCACCCGAACGCCTGTCTATTCGTGCGCGCGCGCTCCAAGGCCACCCCCTCTTTAGCTCCATGCATTTACAATGTACCCGCCTCCCCAGCCCGAGCGCATGCCCGAGCGCGGACGGCTGTACTACCCACAATCAAACCTGATCGAATCAGCTTGCGGATGTGCTTAGCTTACTGCTGGTCTACCATCAGGCTGACGGATTTGATGCTGCCGCGCTGCATACGGTGTCATATTGTCATAGACCCACGCAGCATGACGCATCGCGATGGATATCCCGTTCTCCATCCATCCGCGAACTGGGGTAAGCAGTACGCCATAGGATCACGCCCGGCATCGCGGAGTGGATGCGCAAGCCCGTGCCCACGCCGGGAACACGGCTTGAGACCTGGGACGTGCGCGTCGTAGCATCTTCGATTGTTTGTTCTGCGATGTGTACCTACCATATGATAAACAAACGGCCTTGGCCCTGGGCCTGAGACATCTGGCGTGAACACGTCCTTGCGCACGCGCTGTCAAACAGGATCACACCCACTCGCTCGAAAGGTGCATGATGGGCAGCACTCAACTTCCCACTGATGTCTCACCTGGGGTCTGAACGTTGAACACCAGATGCTGCACACGCTGCGCTGCTGCAACAGTTGAGACACAATGGACGGATGGGTTTGATTGTCTGATGGCGTGCCACGGCACGATCACCCACCAGCCGTTCTTCATTTATGCATGATCGGTCGGTAGCCTACACGTATTGCTAATTCGACCCACGCAACATACTTCCCAAACGCGTGCCTGCACAGCCCGCCGCGTGTGCTGGATATCCAGAGCTTCGGGGACAAAGCAGGCTGCCTCGCGCGCAGCGTCACGGCGCCGGACAATAGACAGATACCACGGTCCATGGAGCCCAGACGGCGACGCATAATGACCGCGGTCCGCGCGCAGAGACGTGCCATCGAACGTCAAGTCGCCGCGGCGCGCGGGTCGCCCACTGGCCGCATCAATCTCGCTCCAGCTCCACGCACCCACTCGAAACCCAAACTATACTCGCTACTCGGATAAGTGTGTCGATACGTCGGCGTCCTGTGACAAATGAAATGAAACCCGCCGCTGTGTATCGCCTGAGCCGTAAGCCGCGCTGCGGACGCGCGTAGCTGGGGCTAGTAATAGGTGGTATCGCGGAGCGGCGCGCATCACCAAGGTCACCAATGACGCCGGTCGCTTCAAAGGAAGTGTCTCAAGAAGCTGCTAGAACGCACGCGCCATAACACCTGTCGCTGCAGATACTCAGCTGAGACGGCCGATAAGTGTTGGTCTCCGCTCTGGTCTCAGTTTGAAGGGCCGCGCGTTGAGACCCCTGTCGTGAGAGGCACGGTGGACAGGGAGACCTTGCTGGATGTGGGTGTGCGCGGTGCCCGGATGGGAGAGATTGCCACTGCAATGGGCAGGCTGGCGATCGTCGTGCCTGACGGGCCTGCACGCCTGACACGGCGGCACAAGGCACGCCATCGCCGCGACGATCTCAGCACTCCTTACGCGCGAAGGGCTCGGCGACAAACATACCATCGTGGACGGCTCTGCGTGTGCAGGCTGGGCAGATATGTGTACATGCTCCGCGACCGGGCGCCCCGCGGGCCGAGCGCGTGCGCGGCGGGCTGCGATGTGACCGTGCGCATGCAGCTCGGTATGGACGCGGGCGCGACATGTGCCTGCATGACGATAGGAGGCTATGAATATGCCTGTGACATGGAGTGCGCGCACATAAGGTGGGGCGACGGTGTGTCACTGCCGGCATACATACGGGCGTGGGACGACAAGGGTATCGGACATGATGATATTGCCAGAGGACGACAGGAGGCAAGACAGACTACGGGCAAGTAGCAACTGTAGGGGGGCACGCGCGGACAGGGGGAGAGACGCGCAGGTGTCATAATTAACGTAGAAGAGATCAAACGAAGTGGGATGGATCAGATTCAGAAGCCCTTTGATACGAGCCAGCGGGTGAGCTGGTGTTTCCAGCGACCACCGGAGAGGACGACGTGTTTTGAGCGGATTGTTTGGATCTTCATGCGCTGCGCGTCTGGTGATCCCGGGGAGTGGAGGGAATCTGCGAGGTCCTTGGCGAGGGCCTGATGGGGCAGGGCGGGATTGACGGGTGTGTCAGAGGGAAAGATGAGTGGGTGAAACAGGCTCACGTCGATGTTGCCCTGGACGTTGCGTATGAGGGTGAGATGGCGGGTGCCTGCGTTGCGGACGTCGGTGTAGACGGGGACGGAGCCGCGGTTGTTGCGGGGGACGTGGTAGGGGAGCTGAGTGGCGGCGGTGGCGAGACGGCGGGCGTGGGGGGCGGCGGGGAGAAGGCGGTGGCAGAAGGGGAGCATCTGGGGGAGCGAGTGGTCAGAGGCGCGGGGTATGGAGGGGCGGACAGGCGATCACCTTGAGAGGGAGAGTGCTTGGTACACGATAAGCCTTGAGCAGAAAATGGAGAGAGGGAGCGGCCGCGGAGTGTGAAAAGGCGGTGGCGGGAGAAGGCGGCGTGAGTGCAGCCGAGGATGCCTCCTGATTTGTGGCGCCCTTGCCCCCCGTCGCCGTTTGCAAATGTCAATCCTCACCGCCGCCAACGCTTCCCCTTCCCTTTCCCGGCCCCGGCCATCCCATCCCATCACCCCCCATATTGACTCCTTATCCGATCCCCCGTCCGCTATATTAACCCCCCTCCCTCCCTCCTTTCCCCGCTCTCTCCCCACTCCTCCCTCCCATGCTCTCGGCCACCCCTCGCAGGTCAGACGACCACACACGCCCCCAGCAGGCGCCCCCGCCGCTGACTCCCGTCACCCACCTCTCCCACCTCGGCTACGCTGTCCAGCAGCAATTTGCGCCCCAGCAGCCGTACTGGCACCCCGCGCAGGACTCCTACCTCTTCAACAGTCCAGTCGCATCCTCTGACATGTTCTCCGCCTTCTCGCGCTGGTCGCTTGCGCCGCAAGAACACCTCCTTCCATACCACTATGCTGGTGCGATCATCCCGCAGGAGTATGGATCCTCAGAAGTCGGCTGTAAGTCGCCCTTCTCTCTTCCCTGCGCACGTCACGTAACAGGCCGTCCAGTCTCCCCAGCGCCGTCAGATGCGTCCCTGCAATCCTGGGACAGCGACGCCTCGCCCGCGAGCGCCCCTGCCCCGCCGCCGCACCCCACGCACGTCGTGTGCAATGCACCGCTCGTCGCGCCCGTGCCCCTGCCCTACCACTCGCCCACATTCCTCCAGTACGACGACCTCCCGGACGACGACGAGGACCTCTCGCACCCGCCTTACACCCGCCGCCCACACAAGCGAAAGCGCCGTCTGGACGAGGATGAAGCCGACTCAGCCGCATCTGGAATCCAGACCATGCCGGCGAAGCGGCGGTCAGTCTCTGGACCCGACAACCACCCGTTCGCATATCGCGTACCGCCGGACGCCAACGCACAAGCGCTCCCACTGCCGATGCGCGCTCTTCCGGTGTCCATTCAGACACGCCATGTGAGGAATGCACGGGTACGGTAGCTGGGCATCGAGTGGCGCGCGGGAAGGTATGCCACCCATCATGTCATTATTGTCAACGTGTGTTCACCTTACTCCTTAGCCCTCGCGCCCATTGAACTCTCCGGATCCTAGATACATGTCGTACCGCCGCGCCAATCTTCCTTCGCTGTGTAATATGGCGTGCATCCCCGCGCATCCCCTTTTGAGACTCCACGCCTCGTCTCGGGGCGCCATGACCCATCCCGCGCGGGACGGCAGGAGTAGTGCCGATAGACGATAGACGGCGAGATTAGAAGGATCCTCCCGAACGTCGAAGCCCCGAAGCGACGAAGCATGCGCGGTGTGACTGATCCCGCACCGCGCGCCGTCCTCCCATTCACCCATGCGCCAAGCAGAATCACTCGCGAAGGGGCCAAGCACACAGGCGTTGGGTCATCTGCAGCCGTCTTTGTTTACGCTACGTGGCATGCAGTCCGCTGTGGACCACGGTGTTAGCGTGATGGGTAATGCCAGCAGGTTCCGCGGTGCTTGGGCTGTGCTCGTGGACCGCCTGACCGTGCGCACTCCCTCGTGGGGCTGTGGGCACCCGCTTCGTTCACATGCGCGTACGTTATAGCTCGCTGCGCGCCGCGTTACATATGCATCTGTAAGTAGTGTACGTACAGGCGAAGCTCCGGCGGGCATGAGGGAGACCCTGTATATAGCCTGCACATACATCTGTACTGCACACGCTGCTCGAGTAAAAACGCCATCTGCCCACAACCCGCGCGCCAGATGTGCAAAGACCCTGTTTCGCCCCGGGTCACTGGCCGGCCTGCGCATCGCGAGAGCGCGGTTCGAGTGGCACCACCACTGGCTCTGGCAGGGCAGGTACGTGCTTACAGGCCCCGCTCCGGAGCTAATCCGACCAGCAGAGATCTTGTTCGCTCGACGTAATCCGAATCTGGACGCCGGACGCTAGCCCAGGTGCCGCGGGCTGGCCTGAGGAAGACCGGGATTACCCAGGCACGTTCACGCTGAAGGTTTGGGGATGTGTCCGCATCCGCATATAAACGCATCTCGCTACTGAATGTGCGCCGCATCGATCACCGCGCTGTCATCTTCGTGTTCTTTTTGCCTTTGTTTCTTCTTTTTTTCGCGCAAGCTCCATACACCGGCACCATACAGAACAGATGGTGCGGTCATGTCATTCCACTGGGGATATATTGATACAGCCGGTGTGCTCATCCGACCGCGCAGGCCGGGCTATCTGGATATCATAGGGGGTCAGGCATGCCGTCGTGTCCGAGGGCGTCCGACCATCTCAGTCAGCATTCTGCTGCTGGCCGGTGCCACGGATATGTATGCATCTGTCCATCATCACACCCCACCCTCAACATTCAATTGCGGGTCTGCCGAAACCATGCGTGTGTTGGCCATCTGTTCGTTCGTTCCTTCGCGACAAATTGGCTCTGGCTCTGCCCGGTGTCGTCGCGGTTTCGCAGAGATCGGACGCCCGGAATCGGAATTGTCGATAATGGCAGAGCTGAGTGCTATTACACTATTACATAGTAGTGCTGCGCGGCGATGATAAATGTGCCCCCACCCCTACCTTGCACGTCCGATTCTGATCCTAATGCAGGCACGGAACGCCCGGCCGGTCGTGCCAATATGCATTTCGCGATTGCGTGTGTGGGTGGCAGCTTCGAAGCGCAGCACTTGACGTGGGTGGCGGTGTGTCTTTCTGAGTAGAATCGCAGACGTTTCAAGAGGATTGGTCAGTCGAGCGCGATCATTCGTCTGCACACCGAAGTGTATTGCCGATTCGTCAAGGGGCTAGCCGACCGTATCACTGCAAAAGCAATATCGTACACACGCGCGTTGGAGCTACACCAATGGCACCATCTAAGAGCTACGCTACACAAATCTTACTTGCCGTTCCAAATCCTGCCGTTCCGAAATCGTCATCTGGCCGAGAAGCTCACCATTTGCCAATCGTACATCATCTTACCGCGCCGCCGCGCCATGATCGCATATAGTCCAGGCTTAGAGGAAATACATCGCTTTGCCCAGCAAGGACTGCCTGAAGCCCTGCTGCCACTGTTCGAGGGGGAACGGGGCGTCCTTGTCGCTGACGGTCGTCGCCGCGTCCGAGTCGCCGTATCGCATCTCCTCCGTGAAGTGGAACTCCGCCCGCGCACAGACACGCTAGCAGTATTTGGGGGATCAGTTCAGGTAAACAACGACGTGAGCCTGCACATACGTCCGCATCTGCACAAAGGGTGAGCGACCCTTCACTGCAGCAGAGAGGTGTCAACTTACAGTAGACGGGAGCCGGGATGGACACCGAGCGGGTGGCGCTCTGATAGACATGGCACAGTCGGAACGATAGCTCTTGTATCCTGCAGCACGTTTAGTGTGTGGTCCGCCATGTCCAACCTCGATAGGCTTACTGGTCAATTGTCGCCCCAGGCTCGTTCTCGATGACAATGTAGTGGCTGGGTCGACTCGCTGCACAGACACCGGTCCAGTGTTATCGTTGAACGCAACGCAGGAAGCCGACGACTTACTGCCTTGTATCCCGCTATGAGACTGCAAGTAGAAATCAGGGTACACTGCATTGGTGATTTGGTCGTCGACTACGAAGCCTGGCGGGCAGTTGCCAGAGCTGTCAGCGTGATCGCTATCACCGCTGAAATTAGCCGTCGCCGGAATAAACAGCAGCGAGGCGAGGCGCACCGACTCTCGGGGAAGAATCGTATGTGGTGCCTGGCAAAACATCAATCTGCAGCTCAGAAAGGCAACCACAGTCTTGGGGTCCATACCTCTTGCCCACAACAATGAAGACGAGCTTGGGCTTTGACTCCTTAGTCCAGCGGTTCCTTTCCTGGCCGTCCGGCGCCAGAGCTCGGTAGTTGAGCAAGGCATCTGAGATTTTGCAGAGGAATGAGCGTTGTGCAACAGTGAGTGGCATCTCCACTCACTGTTGATTGCCTGGACCTCCTGCTGTGCCACCTGTGCGTATTCGCCCTCCGAGACGCCGTCGCGATAGAAGACGATCATTTCTGGCCAGGCCTTGTTATCCCAAAACTTCCTAAAATCGCTAATAGCCCTCTATATGATAGTGAGCTAGAATATGTCAAGGACACGGGGCGATGCCATCCGTACCGTGACCATCTGTTCCAGGTCCTGGATGATCTCAACGCGGGGCGCCTGTACACTCGCATATGTCGTATACTTAGTAGCGTCCGGGTCGACGGAGGCGACCAAGCTGGTGACGGACGGGCGGTTCATGATGCCGGGCCCAGGATGGCCAACGTCCGCGCCTATGTCCAGGATGTGTAAACGCTACTACGGGCCGTCCGCGGAAGACATACCGATGACCATTGTGCACTGCGGCAGGAGCTTAGCGTTGATAGCTGAATTCACGCCGCCGAGCTTGGCATTGATTCTGGTAATCTGGGGTCTGGAGCTGCTCGGAAGGTAAGTAAAGGGACGGGCGACTCACTTCAACGCAACATTGTTTATGTACTGGTCTCTGGCTCGCTCCCACTTCCCCGCGCGCTGAGCGGCATGGTGTGAATGCGTCGCAACAACAGGGGGCTAGTCACGATACGTACCAGGCACTGGGTTGGGACGCCCTTGTCGACGTCGCCCCAGTGCTTGATCCTCCGACGGATGTCGGGTGCGTTGACAGGAAGGAACGCCAGAATTAGGCTTGGAGGTCGATTGTACTCGGCGACTTGCACCGCAGTCTGCGCAATGGTTAACAATTCCTGTGGAACGAAGTCAGTCGTAGGCATGCAGAATGGCCGTCTTCGTGCAACACAAGGTGCACGTACGTTCTCGACTTGATAGGGATTTGCACGGGCTATGTACGCCGACGTCATCACTCCTAGTATGCGGGGCTGTGTCTCAGACACAGTGCGGTGATACATAGATATAGGTGCACGCACGAACTCCTGTATAATGCGACACGATATACATCAGCGCTCAATTCGCTCCGGGTGAGCACGGGAACGGCGGGCGTACCTAGCTTCCGCAGGTTGTCCTGGAGCTGTGTCACGAAATTCCCCAGGACGTCCTCCCTTGTGTTCGGATCGAACATCGCGACGGCCCACACGTTAATCGTGCCTGGCTCCTGCAGCGTCCGCCCAAGGACGTTCCACGCACCGCTCTTCGGCCTGATGTCCTGTGAGCGGCATGGTCAACGACGGTCAGCTTTTGCGTGAGGAGACGACCGACGAGCGGGCCAGACTTGTAGCGGATCTGCGGCGTGTTGAGCACGCGACCGCGAATCTGGATCGGATGCGAGTCCACGACCATCCCGGACGTCTTCATGACGTCCGAGTTGTTGTAGTCGAAGACCTGGTTCTAGAAAGGGTCTGCGCGTGAGGAAGGCATCTCAGCGCAGCGCGCGAGAGCGCCGCCGCCTACCTGGCCGTTCACCCCGTTGGTGATCGTCATGAGGCGTTCGTGGGGCTTCTGCACGGAGAAGCGCAGGAACTGCGTCGTGTTCTCCGGAGACAGCTTCTTCCTGTACAGCTGCCCGGGGATCACCTCGCACACCTCGGCGGGGAACACCGCATCCTTCCCAATGCGCACGCCGAACATGCCCGGGTACCGCAGCGCGTAGCCGTATTTCTCCCTGAAGTAGGCCTGTAGCCGCCACGGTCAGTATGACACCGACGCGAATGGCAGCCGGCGGGCATACCGTGACCGTTGCCGGCGTGCCGTCCTTTTCGAACTGGTGGTCGCCTGCTCGTTCGACGATGTCCCTGATGGGCCGGCCCTTCGTCGTCGGCCTGTCCGTGCCGACGCGGGGCCGGATCTGCACACCCTTGAGGAAGGTGCGCAGCTTCATCCATTCCTGCGTGCCGGGGCGCAGGCGCCCGGAGTCGAGGTCGCGTATATCGCGTCTGCCGAGGAACTTGAGGGCGAGGCCTTCCAGCGGCCCGGGGGAGTACCTGGTGTGCTGTCAGTGCTCTCGGTTCACCTTACTGCGAAGTGTGTGCATGCACGCACATAACAGCGTTTGCGACGTCGACGTTAATCAGTAGACGGTTGAGCACCGGCCGCACGCTCCTGTCGCGATATTGGCGTCGATTGGCGGTTCACGAGCGACCGGGATCACTCACTGGAAGTATCCGTGCCATGCCTGCAAGCCGCCGGCGAGCTCTTGGTTGCCCTGATTTACGAAGAACGAGCGCGCTTCGGGAGGGAAGCCGTGCCGCCTGAGGCGCACGCCGTGAACTTCATGTCACAGACCGTCGAGGGGTACACCTACTTGTTAGGGGCCTGCCTGATGATGATCTGCAGCAGATTTACTGCCATCGTGCTCGCCGCGGCGCCTGCGCCTCCGGGAGCTATCAACCGGTCGATATCGCTGTAGGCGCGTCGTTAGTTGTTCATGACGATTGATGAAAGCCTATTTCTATTCTTCACGTCTTCCTATCGCACGGCGCACTCGTGCTCAACAACAGAAATTATAACAGAAATATTCAACGATAGAGATGTGGAATCTGGGACTGCAAGCCGTGCTGCACAATAATTAGTCGCCCCATGCCATCATGGGGACCACAATGGACGGCACGCCGCTCTTCTGCGCTCAATCGGGGGTCGTACAGACGAAGGGAGCACTAAAATACACCAATACGCCAGAATGATGTCGCTGAAGGGGCAGCACCGAGACATGCCGGATCTGACAGCACTCACGCGGGACTGATCGCTGCGACACGCATAAGTTTCACGGAAAAGACACCCTTTTCTGGGTTATTCGACATATGCACATTGTACTAGAGGGGATGTGAGTTACCCCGGGACGTCTTGCGGATGGAATCTCACCTCTGCATTCTGGATTGGCTTGGGCGCGAAGAGGTTCTTCTTCCCGTCGTAGGCCGCTCGGGGATTGAAGACATTCGGGTATTCCAGCTGCATCTTGTCGACAATCTCGTGTGCGCGCCGCGATACCTTGACGTCGGGAGAAATGGCTTGGCCATTTTCAGAATGCGCAGGCCAGTTGCGAAGAAGCATATGCTTACCGACTGGAGTAATGTCAGTTAGTATGCAATATACAGGCGAACGGACGATCACGTACCGTCATAGTGGTAGTATATGAGTTGCGGACGTTTCTTGATCTCGTAAGAGTTGGTCACGACTCGAAGGGGGGTGCCCAGGGTGCCGGTGCGAGTGCTCTGTGTAGCCATGGTAGAGTAGACTGTGCGTATCCAAGGAGCGCGGGGAAAAGGACGGGGATGTCGCAGAGATTTATAAGTGAGCCTGGATGCTTCTAAAGTTGAACTGGTACCAAAGCAAGGGGACCAGGGCCGGGGACCGCTGGGGCAGGGAGGAGGACGCGTTCCGATAAGCCATGTGAGCGTGTACCGTGTCTTTATGGGCGCCTACACGACGCGTTACGCTCTCGATCAATTGGCGCCCATGGGCACGCGTCTCTGAATACTGCAGCCATGCTCGACCACTGCTCCATCTCCCACAAGGGTGCGTTCCTCTCCTTCCCTTTCCTCTGACTCGACTGCGAGCCACCACCAGGCGGAGTCATCCTCTGGTCCCGCTCTTTCACCCCCGCAGCATCACATGCAGCCGCCTCCGCCGCGTCCCCCGTCAACTCCCTCATCCGCGACGCCCTCATCGACGGCCGGAACTCGGACGAAACATACGAGAAGGACGGATACGCCGTTAAATGGTCCTTCGTCAACGACCTTGAATTGATCTTTGTCGTGAGTCTAGAACCCCCACGGCACACATGACCCTCCAATGTCCGGTCCAGGTGGCATACCAACGCATTCTGCAACTGACATACGTCGATGAGCTCCTCGCTGCATTGAAGACCCTCTTTGTCAAGCTGTTCGAACCTTTCCTGGCCTCCTTCGTTGCCTCGCTCCATGCTGTCAGCACCGCCAAGCTCTCCTCTTCCAGCCCCATACAGCCCGCAGCGACCTGGAATTTTGCACAAGCATTCGCGGACTGGGACGCCATCTTCGACAAGCTGCTTAGAGGTCTAGAAGACAAGGCTGCCCAGGTTCGTGTTCGCTTTTGGGAGTCATAGTGTGATTCGCGACAGCGATCGTCGTCCGCAACGCTAGCCGTCCTCGCGGCTGTTTGCGTGGATCTTCCCATTCAGGCAATAATCGGCTATTCGTCCCTCAAGTCTATACATGACTGCGTAAACTTGGCCTTCTTTGAATCCCCGCAAAGGTCGGGGATCCTATGTTCGCCCGCCGGGAGCTTCTCGCGCGATGGCAAGCAGAGTGTCCTGAATGCTTCCGTACTCACTTCTGGACGCGGGTGTTTTTTCTTTCACACCGCTTGGCCGTGGGGCCCGTGGTCTGCCTTGTGTTCAGTAAAGAATATACACCGGCGCAGCTCGCGTCCGCTCTATGAATTATTCTGGCTCTCCCTGACTACATAATAAAGCCGAATTGGCGATGCGTCAGAAGGCCCATGCTACGAGTCACGCAGAACGACCCCGCTGGACGCGTCCGCCTCTCATCTTCCTCTCCGCTTGCAACGGTTCTGATGGGCAGCAGGATCGGAGAGGCCGTGCCACCCACGCGCCTCGGGCGGTCATCGAGTCCAGTCCGCCGTCGGACGACTTCAGCACTGGTGCGTGACTCACCGCCCGGCACCGCGCATCGTCTGAATGGCAGAATACAGTACCCTCGCAGTCGAGCTCGGTCGCCGTCGACGCAGAGCAGATAGCGCGGAACGTGCAGGCGCTCAAGAACCGCCTCCGTGGGCGGGGCGGCCGCGGAGGCAAGCGTGGGGCGGGCCGGTCGGACGCAGACAGCGGGCGAGACAGTCTCCCCGGCTCTGAGTAGGTCGCTCTGTCTCCCCGCGTTCACCCTCTGACAAACCCTCAGCTCCGAGACGCCTACGAAGCGCAAGCCAAAGGGAAAGGTGCAGCGTAAGTGGGGTGATGAAGCGCCTTCTGAGTCGGACATGGCCTCGCTTGACTTTAGCTACGAAAAGGTCGGCGCGGGCGGGCAGCCTGCCGCGGCGGACCTCTCCGCGCTCGTCGACGCGGGCTCCCTCGGCACGCGCACGCAGGACGGGCTGTATGAGGTGAAGGACTGGGAGTTCGCCAGTGCCAGCGCGAAAGCGGACGACGCGCTCGCGCAGGTGCTGCGCGGCAGCCCGGCGGCGACCAGCAGCAGCGGAAGCTCGCTCGGCGCGCTGGGCAGCCTGTTCGCGCGCCTGACGGGCAGCAAGGTGCTGACGGAAGACGACCTGCGGCCCGTGCTGGAGGGCATGAAGCAGCACCTGATGAAGAAGAACGTCGCGAAGGAGATCTCGGAGAAGGTCTGCGAGAGCGTCGGCGAGGGCCTCGTCGGCAAGAAAGTGGGCGGGTTCCAGAGTGGGTTTACCTGCTCTCGGCAGCGCGTGGACGGCGCTGACGGCAATATTGACATTCTTCGCTAGCCACGAATGCCGCGGTGCGCCTCGCGCTGTCGAATGCGCTGACGCGTATCCTGACGCCGAAGACGTCGACGGACCTCCTGCTGTCTATCCGCACGAAGCTGTCGTCGCCGCTGCCGTCGTCGCAGCAGCGCCTGCCGTATAGCATCACGTTCGTGGGCGTGAACGGTGTCGGGAAGAGCACGAACCTCTCAAAGGTGTGCTTCTGGCTCATCCAGAATGGGCTGCGCGTCCTCATCGCGGCGTGCGACACCTTCCGGTACATACTACTACGCCCTAGGTCTGTGTAGTTTGTGCGGTGCTGACGACCCGGTAGGAGTGGCGCGGTGGAACAGCTGCGTGTGCATGTCCGCAACTTGAGCATGCTCGGGATCAACGGCGCCACGGACAGTAAAGGCAGAGTGGAGCTATACGAACGCGGATATGGCAAGGATGCTGCTGGCATTGCTAAGGAGGCGATTGCATATGGTCTGCTTGCACGTTTGCTGTCCGCGAGTATAGCATTGACAGCACCCTCACAGGCCGGGACAACGACTTCGACGTTGTGCTCATCGACACAGCGGGCCGCATGCAGGATAATGAGGTAAGATGCGCTATGTCACGAGCATTTCATTTTGAAGGCAGTTCTGATGCCCGATTTTACCAGCCCCTCATGCGCGCACTGGCCAAGGTAAGCAATCTCTCAGCCACGTCCGAACAACGGCCGCTGATACGTTCCATTCCATCCCACCCCAACAGCTCGTCGCCGTCAACACCCCAGACAAGATCATCTTTGTCGGCGAGGCGCTAGTCGGCAACGAGGCCGTCGACCAGCTCACCAAATTCGACCGTGCGCTGCGCGACTTCTCCGCGTCCTCGGGCGGGAAGGAGCGCGGCATCGACGGGATGCTCGTCACGAAGTGGGACACGGTCGACGACAAGGTGCGTCTCTCGGGCATCTGGCCGGCAAGCGTGGGGGCGCTGACCGAACTCTTGTGCATGAATGATTAATGCGCGTGCCGGACGTACAGGTGGGCGCAGCGCTGTCGATGACATACGTGACAGGACAACCTATCATATTCGTTGGTTGCGGACAGGTGCGTTTCCGTGGACGTTGGGCGGGCCTTTGGAAGTGCGAGTACTCACCAATCACTCCTCTGCAGACGTACACCGACCTGAGGCAACTCAGGGTGGCGAATGTCGTGCAGGCCATCCTCGGTGATTGATTATCTGCTGGTCAGGACGTTGCGTGCCGTAATCATACATTATTAGCGGATACAATCGGTTTGTTCCGTGTTGTTGTGACTTTAAATGATACATTTGGCGGCTCGCCCTATTTGTGGAATCAGTATCTTGAAGATACAAGGCTACATCTTGCCCAACTGCGTCCAGATGATTATGAATGTTAACACAGCCATACAGTCCTTGCAACCGCCGCTGCACTTCATCTACAGGAACTTTCTGGGGTCGAACTAGGTCTGGGCATTGTATACACCAAGTGAAGAGCAACAGCTAGATAAACAAGAGCAAGCGCTTCCGCGCGTGTCAACTGCGGAAACCTGATCCATCATACAACTTCCGATTTCTCTCGGACGTTAGAGCTGCCACAGCAGACTGGGGAATGTCAACTGACCACACAAAGTCCAACGTCCAATACTCGTCACACGTGCAATTACCAAGGGCTATTCGATCAAGAAGCTTCTCCCATACTTGTCACGGCTGCCCCCCTCGGCCACCCCCGTCGTCTCCTCACGCTCGAAGCGATATGGGTTGTAGTCCTGATACTGCTGCCGCTGCATCTCGGCGGAGCGCAGCTTCTCAAAGATCGGGTCGCTGAAGGAGCCCGGGGTGAACGCGGGCGGGAGTTCGTCCTCGAGCGAGTTCTGGCGCGCGAGCGGGAGGGACGCTTCCTTGGCGTCGGCGCTGTGCGAGGCGGCGGCGGCGGCGGACATGAACTCGGCGGAGGGGGCTACGCGCGTTCTGCGTCTGCGACGCAGCCAGAAGACTAGGAGGACCGCGAGGAGGGCGAACAAGCACAGGCCGCCGATGACGCCACCTGCGATTGCGCCGACGTTGGTCTTGCGTGCAAGCGATCCAGCGGTGGGACTCTGCGTTTTGGAAGAGTTGCTGCTGAGACCAGTGGATGCAGGCGCGAGAGTAATTGAGCCAAGTGTTGATGTTGCGGTAGGGACTGTGATAGCTGGGCCGGCGACAGTGGGTGATGGTGTTGGACTGGGACGATGCTTTACGATAGTGGATGTAGAACTCGTTACGTTAGGATATGCCGTTGACGGGTTAGAGGGCGCATCAGTGTCCGACCCCGAGCTGGAGGGCAGCCCACCGGTACTTGAAAGACTGGATGTCTCCGGGAAACCAGCAGCCGAGGTAGGGGATGGGGATGGGTCTTCCGCACCGGTATTTGAAAGACTGGATGTTTCCGACAAACCAGCAGCCGAGATAGAGGTCGAGTCTCCTGACGGGCTCGTGGAGACTGGAATGGGACTTGTGGGTTGGTCAGAATCCGCGACTGTGCTGGAGGGTGCAATTGCACTTGTCGGAATGAGCACATTTGTCACCGAGGTCGTCGATGTACAAAGGTGAAGAGAACATGCTAGCGATTGCGTTGGGTATTCAGATATGCTGGATTAAGAAGACTACTCACAGAATGAGAACTGGTTAAACGATGACGACGATGAGTCAGCGGAGATGAGCAGAGCGGCCATACATGCGTTGTCACATACGTGGGGAGAATGGGGAGCATAGCTCAACATGAGATATTATATCCCTGTTACCAGCAGTGCACCTGCACGCTTCTGTGAAGAAAGAGCAGAACAGGTTGGGACAAGAAGAGGAAAGTAAGCAAGTAAGTAGTAGATGAGAGGCATGCGAACCTCCCAGGGCGGAGGCGGTGTAACTGCGAACATCTTGGTCGCTCATCAAAATTCTGTCTGACGGACAGGGCCAGTGCGGTCACCATCCCGTTACTTTGTTCGCAGCCACCAAGTTAGGCCTGCATCTTGCCGCGGGGATGCGCTATTATTAGACGCGATATATGACTGAGGGTGCACGCATGCTGAATACGCAGGCGGCAGATGCGGGTGAGTGCTAAAGTACAGCCTGAGGAGGAACAAGGCACCAAGCGCCTGCTCCTGGAAAGGCCCATGATCCTCCCCCGCCTCGTCCGCCCCGCATTCCGTTCCCGCGCCCGTCTCTTCTCCGCCTCTGCCACCGCCAGGATGAAGGTCATCCCTGTCCCCGTGCGCGACGACAACTACGCCTACCTCCTCGTCGACGACGCCTCCAACAAGGCCGCCGCGGTCGACCCGTATGACGTACCCAAGGTCCAGGCAGCCGCCGACAAGGCCGGCGTCGAGATTGTCGCGGGCATCACCACCCACCACCACCATGACCACAGCGGTGGGAACGAGGTGTGTGGGCGCGCGCATGCTGATCGTCGACGGCACTCATTCACAAGTCCCGATCGCGATCTCTATAGGCATTTGTAGGTGCCCTTTCATCCCGGCGTAATTAATACGCGACTGCCCTGGTACTCATCGCTTCGTTATAGGCTACCGCATACCCTGGCGTGCCCATTTACGGTGGGAGCGACAAGGTCCCTGCCTTGACCAAGCTCGTCAAGGACAAGGATGAGTTCACCGTTGGGAGCTCCGTGAACGTCAAGTGTGTATCACCCATGTTCCATCTTGTCCGATGCTGACCACCGAGCATAGGTGCCTGGCAACCCCCTGCCACACCCAGGACTCCATATGTTACTATGTAACCTCGTCCTCATCCTCACACCCAGGCGGTGTGTTCACCGGCGATACTCTATTCATTGCTGGCTGCGGCCGCTTCTTCGAGGGCACTGCCGACGAGATGCACGCCGCGCTCTCCTACCTCGGCACGCTACCCGCGCAGACCGTCGTGTACAACGGGCACGAGTACACCGCCGGCAATGTCGCGTTCGCCAAGTCCGTCGATGCGGAGAACCCCGCCCTGAAGCGGCTGGACGGTATCGTGAGCGCGAACAAGATCGTTACAGGCTTGACAACCATCGCCGATGAGAAGGAGTGGAACCCGTTCATGCGTCTCAACACCGCCCCGATCCAGTGCGTTGTTGCCCGTCTCACTGATGTTGTATACTTATCGGTTCGCAGGAGCGCAACTGGAGCATCATCAGACTCCGCCGTCATGGACCAGCTGAGAACGATGAAGAACAACTTCCGAGGATAAGCCGCTCACTTACTCGAGCTGAAGAAGAGAAGAGACAGAAATGTGCAACCTCATCTTGAGCACACTATGTAACCTCTGACCTTTGAAACAACATTTGTAATATCACATCCAACATGCCCATTTTGCAGTCGCCAACTCGATTCAAGAGTGCATGAGCACTCGTCGAAGGACAGTGCAAACATTGGGATGCTCTTGTTGACAGTAGCGGACGAACGAAAAGAAATAAATAGCCAACGAACAACAACACTGTCCCACATGAGAGCGATACTTTTCCATCGTACACAACACATTCCGAGCATCAATCCACACGGTGGCCGTGGCCACAGGAACCATTATATGAGTATACGTGAGCAGCGCCATAGCCTACCTTACATTCCGAAGAACTTGAGTACCGCCGTGCGGGCGTACGGAATGTACGACAGGGTGTACCATGTGTACGCGATGTACTCGATGATGACGAATACTGAAGAGTATGCCAGCGGGTCAGCTGTGGATAACAGTCGCAATATAGAAATGCGTACCCAAGGTCAGGACCTGTCCGTGGGGGATGTGATTGAGTACCAATATCACTGGATTTGAATAACATAACACGTACATCGCTATCGACAACAAACGCCATGATGAAGACAAGCACTATTGAGACGAGGAAGATGATTGTCGCCACGACTCGGACAGGCTTGAACATCTATACAAAAGTCGGTGTCTGAACGCCCCGCGATAGTGAGAAGCACAAACCATCTTGAATTGTTTCATGAACTGCACGATGCAACCAGGGTGTCAGTAAGTCTCAGGATAGCCACGAATACGCAAATTGCTCACCCCGAGCAGGAACCCAGTCCCTACTAGCGAGATTACGGTACCGAACGCATAGAGCACTACATTGCGACGCGCACCTCGCCTATTAGCACACAACAAGCGGAACGAGCACCACGAGAGATACACACCAGCGAACGTTCCTAGTTGCCCAATGAACAGCATGACGCTTCCCAGGATACTCAGGATGAACCCGATCGCAAGACTAATAATACGCCCCAAGAACAGTTATTCGCCACCCACAGTGCCACCCACAGACCATTCGCGCACTCACCACGCGCCAAAGCCGTACAGCCGCTGCGTCCGCGACAATCCCAGGAACTTGAAGGCCGAGTCGCCTTCGAAGAACTGCGTCTCAGGCAGCGCGCCCGTGGCGGCCTCGAGGTTAAACCATCCTTTGGAAGCCATTGCGGTTGAGTGTTGACGGATTACAAGATACTAGGAGGAGCGTATGAGCTTAGGTGTAGACGGGCTCTTGGGATGTGCGTGGACGTTCGTAAATGGCGCCAGGCCGATGGAGGAATGAGCAGTCCGCAGTGTGTCCGCGTTCCCCTCTTCCCGGCGTCGTGTCTGGGCGCCCCCACGTGGCTCGATCGAGCATAGCGTTGCGGTCGGCGACACGTGCTCACAATTGGCTGCACGAGCGCAAGTCCAACAACGGTGCACATAAGCTGCAGGGCAATACACAACATGAAGGTCATTGGAAAATTGGGATGTCATTGCGCTCGTCAAGAGTCGTCACGGTCATGTAAGATGCTACAGGATTTTCGAGTATAACCACAACAGAAAGCCAGATCACACAACATGTATAGCGTAGATTTATGATGTATCGTGCAAAACGGATTTTCAAAACGGCGTCATGATCAATAGCGTGCGCAGCAAGAAGACAGCAAGCAAGGTCTCATAGCGAACACACATATTTCCTAACGTACTTTCATGCACAGCATTCGGAGCGTAGGCGTTGAGGACAGAAGCAGCAGGCAAAGAGCGACGAGGTTGAGCAATTTCTCACATCGGCTTGCGATTGAGGATGTCTTGGATGTCCGAGATGGCGCGAGTCGCCTCGATCGGAGGGCTGGGAAGGATGTTGAGGCGCTGCTTCGTTGTGTTCAGCATCTGCTGGACATTGGGAAGAACTCGCGCAGTGTATTGGGCGATGAGAGGGTCCTGCAATAAACCGCCATCAGTATCGGTAAATTGTGGTAGACCTTGAAGATACCCACCGAAGCGTTCAGGACAGATGCAGCTCGCTGCAACCACCACATGGACACCTTGAAGGACTCGTCGAGAGGAGATGTCTCGCCAACGACGGACGTCAGCTGCGACAACGGTATTTAACGACTTATAAAATGTATACGACTAAAGATAACTCACTCGGTGCACCAATGTGAGGATCACCGCTTGCGAGAGCGGGCTGGGCCCGTTCAAAGGCATGGTCACATCTGGGTTCGATCGTGCGAGCAGCTCGCGAAGCTGCCGGATGTCCTGGTTGCCAAGGACAGCGAGATAGGTGTCATCCCACTCCTCAGGCTGTGCTGGAGACGACCGCATGGTTTGCTTCGTTGGTAGGGGCGGGGGAGCAGTAGGATGCGACGCTTGTGGTGCAGCGATGTTAGCGTTGAACCAGTTTCCGTGCATGGGTGGCTGCTGTTGCTGCGGCTGCTGGAACGGTCCTTGCATCGGAGGATTGTATGAGTGCGATTGCGTGGTAGGGACCAAACCCTGCTGTCGCAACAGCTGAGGCACGCCCTGCTGGTGTTGGCTGCTTGATGCGCTGGGTGAATAGCGGGAGGGCGCTTGCTGAATGATAGTCGGAGGGTTGAGAGCGAGGAATTTGACCTGCTCCGACAGCATCCGAACCGATTGTTCGAGTTCGCGAATGATAGTCTGGACAAAGTGACAATCAGGCCGACTGCTGCGAGTCTGATGCGACATAAACACAAACCTCCTGTCCACGAAGTGCTTCCGTCTGCCAAGTGATAATATCCTTCTTCAGGTTGAGGATCTCGGTATGAATTTCACGTGACAGTTCCTGGTGCATCGCGGAAGATTGCTGCGTGTACGCCGGGATGAGAGTCTTCGTGATAGCATCCTTGACTTGCTTCTCGATGACAGGGGTCACAGCACCCGAAACAGTGCGAGCGATATGCAGGGAAATGTCGGGGCGCAGAAGCATTCTCTCGATTTCATTCGGCAGATTCTGCAGAGCAGTGTGAGACAATACACGAGGACAATAATAGCAAGCGTCTCACCTGTTTCATAGAATCCGACAGTCCCTTCGAAATCTGGTTATTGAGAGCGGATTTGACCTCAGTCTTCGTGATGTTCTCGAGCGAAGGCAGAACCGAATTCTGCACTTCAGACTTGACTGCCATCTCAACCACCCGTGTAGTGTTTTTCGTCAATTCCGTCGAGATCAGCTTCAAGATTTTCTCCTGGCGCACGAAGTCAGCCGCCTGTTCGTTGGCGCGCGCGTCTTCCAAACGTTGGTCTATAGATCGCTCGGGATCAGATTTCGAGGTAAGCAAAACGAACTGCTCACGTTGCTTATCCAACTCCTTTCCAATGAGGCGCCCGATGCGAGTGTGCAAACTCTCCTCGACTTTCCTGATCTCCTTCGACAAAGCAGTGCCGAGAGGAGAATCACTGATGACAGCGGCATCTCCACTGCGTCCCTTCGTCTCCTTCTCCTTACCAGTGTCCTCGCGATCCTTGTCCTTCCAGCCGACGTTCTTCCCCTTTACATTCTTGCCTCTCGGTTCCTGTGCGCGTCCGCTCTCGTCGCGACTGTGCTCGCCCTCGACGTCTTCGGATGGCGGCGTCTTGAGTCTGGGAGGAGGAACGTTGACCGCGGGCGGCGGTGGTTGTGGAAGCTGAGTCATGGTGCCACTGGTCAAGACTGGAGGAAGCTGCTGCCTCGAGAGCTTGGGTTCCGTTGACTGCATTGACACCGGAATCGACGCGTAAGATGGATATCTAGCAGGGGCCGCCTCCAGAGCCGAGTCGTACCATTCCTTGCGGATCAAGACTTGATCGACACCGGTCGAATGCACAGAGAATGCGACCAGAGCCAAGTCGCCCGGAGGCACCTTGGCAGCGACACAAGCAGCGTGAGCCTCTTCCCCGGTGGGGTCTGCGTCAGCGGTGAGAATGACGAAATGAATGGTCGGTCGGGGGCCACCAAACTCAAGCACTTGGTCCACCTGGATGCTGCGAGTGCTGTCCTCTCCGCCGAAAGACGGCGACTGATCGAAATTAATCCTGAGAGCAATCATGCTGTCCCTGCGGTTGTTGGCGACCCAGAGTGTCTGTATCCGGGAATCGTAGCTGACGTGGCCGAACATATCCGGATCCTCCTGCACGCCATTGAGGAACTTGACGGTTGACATGACGTACCTGCCCATGATTGGAAGGAACTGAAGGATGGTACCGTTCTTGCGGCCGACAACCACCCCACCATCGACGAAAGTCAACGAGGACGGCAAGTCATCCCCCTTGATCTTGTGGGACCAAAAAGGAAGCTTGTCGTTGATATTCCACATCGTCAATGTGGAGTCCTCTGAGATCGTGGCAAGTGCCGAACGAGGAATGTCGAAATCAATGGCAACAATAGGCTGGATTGCATTGAGTTAATATATCTAGTAATCAAATCTCACAACAGCGCAAACACTTACGGATGACACGGAGAAGATCTGAGCGATGCGATGCAGCTCTGTCTGTGGGATGGGCTCCCCACCGAAGACGTGCGCAGCGTCTTGGATGTTGATCAGGTAAACATTATTATCCGATGCCACGGCGACGATGTCCGGTTGCTGAGGGTGCCATTTGACGGCGTGAAGAGGATCTATGTCGGAAGAAGGCTCAACACACAGCATAATTTTGCCGCTACAAAAAGGATGCGACGCATGTCAATCGCAGCGAATGAGCGGAATTTGGATGAATACGTACGGCACATCATCGGTGATGATCTCGGGAAGCTCCCAGACGACGATTCCGCCGTCCGACGTGACACCAGCCAGACGGTTGCCGTGTACGGACATATCGCTCACAGCGACGTTCGCCGGGAAGATCGCCGGGAGTTGGAGCAGTGTGCGATCCCCGCTCGAGCGCGAGATGACACGAACACGACCTGTGAACAGAATTGATCAACGACCCATCCCCAGTATATGAAGAATATACGCACCCTTCGTCATGGCGTACGCGACCCAATGCGTTGCTCCAATGGTCGTTCCCGGCAAGAACGTTGAATCAACCTTGACCAACGCGATGGCCGTCGTCTTGACAGCATCGCGTGTTGCTTGGATCTCTTCAAGAGGCTGAGATACATCGAACACAAGACTCTGTGGCTGCAGGCTGCATAACAAATCACGCGTGAGCGGCTGAGCTCATTAATGCATAATTTATGTACCTCGGGCTGTTGTTCTTGTTCTTGCCACCGCCCCTACCTCTATTCTCCGAGCCACTGCCTCTAAAATTCTGTCCTGGCATCGGAGAGACTTCCTTGTCTCTGGCCGCAACGTAGGCAGGATGGGCAACAGGAGAATCACCGTTACGGCGTGTCTGCCGCGCCTGAACCTGGGGCTTGGGTGGAGAGGCACGAGGAGGCGATGGTGCATGAACAGGCTGGGGAGGCAGCGGCCGAGATGCGCGCGTCTGCAGGAGTTCTGGCTGCGAGGAAAGCTCCTCAGTCGGCGTATACGGGTCGTAAGGCCCAGAAACGGGATGGAGGGGCGCAGACAGGGGGGCGTGTCCTCTGGTAAGCTGCTCCATGAGATTCTCGACAGATTTACGTTTGGCATCGATTGGCGGGGTCTGCCAGGAAGACTGTTCCGTGTTCCCCTGTGCATCAGACGGTTGAGGAGGGGGCGGCTTGCGCTTCGGGCCGCCTGAAGACGAGGCCGCGAGGGCGTCGAAGGGGGAAACAAATTCAAACATCGACCTCTGCGCAGGGGATGGCGCACGAGGCACGTCTGCCATTGTCACTTCTCGGGCGGTGTCTGGAGGTGCATATCCCGGCTCGCCGGCGATGTACTCATCATGACGCGGTGCTGCCTCGGGGGCGGACTGTACATAAGACTGCTGAGGTCCCGAAGGGGGTTGGACGGGCGGATACATAGGCTCAGGATAGGTGTACTTCGGATTACTAATTGAAACGAGGCAGACGAGTGGTCAGCCTTATTCATAGTCAACTGCGGTCATGGCATAAAGGACCTCGTCCTGACGCAACCTAGGCGGACTTTGATCGGTCGCCCGTACGGGGAACGCGTGGCCTGCAGCACAGACAGAGCAGAACTTACCCTGCCATTAGCTGCTCCAGCAACTGCTTGCCCTGGGACTCACTGCTGGACGATGCGTTTCGAGGCACGGAACCGGGCGGTGTGGGAACCTGCTGGGGCGGAGCCGGTCCGCCCACTGGTAGTTGTGAGTTGGATGAAGGGGCGGATACGGCTCCCAGGAGCGACAAAAGCGCGTTTTGCCTCTCTACGGTGGGGTTGCTCGGACCCGACATGTGAGAAGAGATAGAACCAGCGTTCACGGAAGCTGGGGTAACATGCCCTGAGTTGCTTGCCTCTTGAGGGCCGGAATAAAAGTTAGAGCCCGCATTGCTGAGCTGGGGGCTGGCATGCTGTGCCGACGGTGCATTCAAAGTATGAAAAAGATTATCAAGATGAGTATTCGACGAAGACGGAGGAGGCTCGTGGTAAGAGGGGGCGGGCGAAGCGTGCTGATCGCTGAGCTGAGACGGCGGTAGTTGGAACGGTTGATGAGGTGGGGGTGACGGGCCTCGGGAAAAGACATTATCTCTGCCGGTGATAGGATCCATTGCAATCGACGCGTAGCAGAGATGGAGGAGCCAGCGACGAGCGAGGAGGGAGGAGAGATTGCGTGCCCCTTTGGATGTTCACAGTCTTACACCATGCACGGCCTGCCTCGCTGAGAACACGAGGACGCGCGGCAAACCCCGGCGCTGCTGCAAACGGCCACAATCCATCTCATGAACGCATGTCGAGACTCTCGACCATCACCATGAGTCTTCGCCCATCTTCATCCCATATCACAATCGCAACACGAGTCGGAGCCGTCACCTCAGGCGTGGGCAAAGAAATCCGCTCGTTCGAGTCTGACGCTCCTCAATGTCTACTCATGTCTTATGGCAATCGTGTAGGCCCTCATTCGGTACGTCTGCCCAAGACTCCCAAACACCGTGTATAAAACACAAACAAGATCCGCATAACATGAGGATGATAGCTTGCTATCGGTCAGTGACACTGACCCCGTCGTGAGTGAATAGTGAGCGACCGTGGCGGAAGATCAACGACCCTGCCGCATCTGTCAGTGTACATGAGGAATGTGCTCATTCGTCCAGCCGAAGGAGAAGGGGCGCGCCTGCTTCCGTTTCAATAGTCGCTGTTTCAGACAGTGGAAACATGCACAACCTAGCAGGCCGGCGACAGACGTGTGAATTCGTAGGTGAACGTAGCCCATGTTGGGACGAAAGAGAGGGTCATGTCTTCATGTCCACGACTGCCATTCCTGCCCTGCAGAGATAAGATCCGAGAAAGTCGCGCGATTGTCTTCGGTGGCTAGATGCAATGTTCCATTTAGAGCAGCATCTATGCAAAACAAGTGCTTCGCAAGGATAACGCCGCGTCCAACGATGCCAGCAGTCGGAACTAAGACTGTATCTCGAGAATGGTTCCTTAGTCAGTTGAAGGTTCAACAGATCCGAACGGCACCTTCACATGCACCCAGCGGCGAGGGCAAGGCTCACTGAGCAGGCCAGTGCGTGGTGTACAAAGGTTCTGTCCACACGAGGAATCTTATCACGACATATTTCATTTTGTGAAATAGCCCGTGACCTGGTCACCGTTCTGGCATCAAGAGGGCATCCGATAGTGAATGTGTATCATCACGAATGAAGATTCGGGACTTACCTCTGACTCTCTGCACAGCTATATGTGATCTGCACGCACAGCCTCACGGCCCTTCTTCTCATAAGTCAACAGCAGAGAAAACGAAATCCACAACAAGACCCGTGTGTTCAATTTCATGCAAGTCATGAATATTGGATTTTGGGTGCCATTCAACTGACTAGTACGCCCGCGGATGGTTGCGGCGATGGGTGGCGAAATCGGAGACCGCAGGATGCTGAGAGGGAGTGCTGAGGGCCTGTCTGACGTGTTCGTCATTACTCGACTTGCGTCCACGCGTAAAGTATAAAATGGTCAGACTTTGAATCAAAAAGACTGACTGATACTCACGACGCGCTCGTCGCATCGTGATGTGTGTGCACATCGACACCGTGGTTCACAGGCCATGAATAATGGCCGCTGGGTCTCACTGCGAGCACAAATGCATGTCTCTGCGGACACGAAGGATTCGTGACATTATAGCCTTCAGCTACAGCAGCAAAAACGATCGAGCACCGAATCTTTTACGGGGTGGCGGAAGCTTACCACCACGCTCGAGAGGCATTGTTTAGTCGACGCCTCGAGCCGAGTATGGCGGACTTGCACAACTCTGTCTCCCTGATTTTCATAGCTCCTGGAAGCAGAGTCGTCACCTCGCAGGTAGCAAGACAGCATGAGAGCTCACGTAGACTAAGCGCGTTGTTAGACCACGATGCTGGGAGTTCAATAAGGTCAACACATCCTGGCGTTTATCGCGAGACTTGCAGCATCAGCGAGCTGCCATTGGAATGCCGCCAAACCAGACAGACCAGGAGCTATAGCGCGTATATTATCCCATATTCTGCATGCCACGCATCAGGGGTGAAGTTGAATACCATGCATGTTACCAGAGATACAAAGGACGGATAGAAGGTAAGCGGGGGTTTGCTCGTTCCCTCGTTCGAGAGGCCAGGGATACCCAGCGCGACCTCACCAAGGCGCCTATTTCGCCTTTCTCGACGGAACCCTGTGGACGCAACAAGAGAAGCCGGGTGGATACACGATGCCGTAACATCAGTGTCTAGCACTGCACGAGATTCAATGGTTCACCTCTCATTACCTGGCGTTACCGTACACATATGACTAGAATGCGCTAGAAGTGTAAGATCAACGCGAGGGAGCATTTGTTCCCGGCTTCCGTGAGATGTTTCTGCGGTTCGACGTACTGCGGCCCGACGTACTTGAGCGCTGTGAGGCACTTTTGCGGCATCAAACCGATTCTTCCGGGCTGGAATGGCGCCGTTGAGCCCTGAGGCGTTTGTGCGGACAGCGAACAAGTACGACGCGTAGAATGGCAGATTGTTGGGGTTGCCGCCATTCTGTGATGCATCGGAATGAATAGCGATAAGATAAGATAGACGGGATGCCGTTCGAAATACAGTCTGGGCGGCCATCATGTAATGATGAGAGGTTGGAGACTGTCTATGGGGCTTAGGAGACATGACGGTGATAGGTGTGCTTGTGAGAGGAGGTTGAAGATGATCTGGAGGACGACTTGACAAACCGGGGACGACAGGAGGTACATGAGCAGACCGGTCACTTTGTCCCGCAGGAGAGGCTACTCACCGACTGGTCACCATGTGCGGTTGGGGGGTGCGTCCCAACAGATAGGCACGTCTAGAAGGTCCCATCAGTTGTCTAATTGGCTGCGTAGACCGTCTAGTGAGATCTCAGAGCGCGGCTGTGCACACTCAAAACCCGCATGCGACCACTGAAGCCAGCGGAACCTCGTGTCAGCAGACCGAATAAAATGCCGTGGTTCTGAAGTTCTCGCGCGGTGTCACGCTTCTTCGCTGATCGGGATGCAATTGAGGACGCGGCATTTGTGCCTACAGTGGTACCTTGGGGATACGTGCCAAACAGGAATTTGCAAAGCTTTTAAGCATGTGAACAAGTACCTTTAGATATAGCAAGATGCACACCAGGAGTCAGGATTGTTACGAGATGCTCAGGAATCAAATGACGGCGCACCTGATGGGCCTTGCAATACACTTCCAGGCTCTGCAAGAACGGCTATGGCAGCACTGTGAATAATCATACACGTGACCCACAAGAGAGCGAGGATATGCATTTGCCCCTGCGCGGCCTGACAGAATACGTAATGAACGTAACAAGATCGGCTGCAGGCATTTTCAGCGCAATGGACTGACGGAGGCACAAAGTGGGACCCACTTAGTGGAACGACTGTAAGCGCCCTCTTCTCCACGAGCTAACCAAATTAGTTCCGATCGGTACGATTAAGGGTGCAGCTCTACGCACGTGCCGGTGGATACAAAACGATATAAGAAACCCCCTGCTTGCTCTCCTTTCCAGTCAGTCCAGTCCAAACACCCACAACCGCCTTATCAGTCTACTCATCTACTCACCTTTCTTCACCATGTTCATCGTCAGTCTACATCATCTGGGTTCCTCCAGTCGTTGTCCTGACTCGCTTCCCTTGCAGACTCTCGACGTCCCCAAGAACGCTGCTGGTGCCTGCGGCGAGAGCAAGTGCAACTGCGGTGACGCGTCAGTACCTAGCGATGGATTCTCTCTGCAATATTGGCTGACTCCCCTGTAGCTGCCAGTGCAAGCCCGGCGAGTGCAAGTGCTAAGCGCATTGCCATCGCTACCATGCCCATTACCCTGTACAATCTAGTATATCAGTAATGGAAGTCAATGGGTTGTATTAGGATCCCGGAGGAACGTTGCTCATATTGATGATTGACTTATAAACTACTCGGCGCGTTGTCTGCCTCAGTTCGTGCTGGTATGGCTGGAACCACCGTGAAAACAAGGGTCATATATAAAGATACATCAGCAGCGGACATATGTCAACGACAATTCTGAGATGAGTCGTAAGATTGGAACAATTCAACGACGTGACTACTAGGCCAGCTTCTGCACCTCAGTGGCTATTCCGCCAGGATCAGCAGATGTTATAATAGGTCAGACGAGCGTTGCTCACAGAGATCTATGTAGCGCTGCCGCCGAGGTGAGTCTACAGCCTGCAGGTCATTTAATAACTGCAGACATCTTTGTACGATGCCTTGCTTGTCAGTATCGGTCAGGCGAGAAGAATGATTCCTCAATTGCAGCCGATGGTAAAACACAAGTGATTCCATGCACCCTAGACCCGTGATTAGCATACACATGCAGACTTATAAGGAGAGCGACATACACTTGCTATCAGGTTGCTCGTCCAACAACTCTTGGATGGAGGTGATTTCACGACGTAGAATCTCATAATCATTACCTGAGAAAGTCAATCACGATCCCAGTATTCGAACTGCTAGTACTGCACATACCAGGTTCGACGAGCCATCGGTGGTAAATCCAAACACTTTGATCGCCCGGGTCTGTATACATTGCGTTCTTGACTAATTCATATTCTAATGCCTACGCTCTCAGTCTCGACAAACAAGCATTGATGCAAACACCATACCGTCCTCCTTTGATTTCTTGATATCTAGTTTGCCCGAATCCCACAGTGAGGTGAGAACCTTGGACCGCTGGTGCCATGCACTGAAATTGGAGAAGTTGGCTTCTATCTTTCGGGTGGTATATGTCAATTCTGCTTGCTCAGCCCGCTGCACTGGCGTGCTGGCAAGCACATAACGGCGGTAATTCCAAGCATGAACTATCATGCGGTGTGTCAGACGTGCAGTGCTCCAAGGGGAAACGTAAAAGCCTGACAATTGCGCGCATCTGCATCAAGCATCCTCTCTACTACGAAGAGCTCCTTGTTCCAGTTTGCCCTTCGCCACCCATCAGGATCGTCTTCAGTGGGTCCAACCGGTACATTCTCGAGGCACCATCGACGGTGGTTCCATATCCAATATACCTTAGGATGCTGCTTAAGGTGAGCCGTCGTAAGTGAGAGGTCGGTGGTGAGTATCTCATTGATTTCGGGAGGTGTGCTAGAGGACCACAACATGCCACAGCGGTCAGTTAAGTGTATACACGTACCACAGCACAGACCTGGTGGGGAAGATCCCATGAACGAGGATGTGGCGTCTATAGTTCCAGACTGTGTAGAACTCGGGATTGACATGAAGTACTCGGGTAGTGAGATCAAAAGCATCACGACTCCAATCCCTGCCGTTCTTCTGAGCAGGCTCAGTGATCTGAAGTCCTATCTATTTTTTAACCTTACCTTCACGATAACCTCATCAGTCAAAGCGAGATACTCCTTGAGCTTTGCGTGCTCCTTGAGCTTCTTGGCCTCAAGCGCTTCTTTGGTATAACGTAGGCGTTTGACACCGTGCTGGCCGGCGAGTTAGCCAAATGCACGTCGGAATTCTGAACATAGGTGTACCAACCATAGTCGGTTTGTAACTCGCGGTGGCTGTCGCAGCGGTGGGTGCGAGTAGACCTACCGCGTAGATGGGCGTCTACCAAAGCGTGACTTCTCTCTCCCCCAGCGCAGCGGTTATAGGCCCGGCACGTTCTGCAAACTACTACACGCCAAAATGCCCTCAGCCGTCGCCAACACTCCTTTACTGGAGTCTTTGACCTCTGTGTTCCCCCTTACGTTCCCTGCTCCGAATCCACTCACGAAACCGGATCTTGTGTCGACGAAGGACATTGTGCGCGAAGAAGACCTCCTCCGGAATCCCTTGTCTTTCCGCCACTGGTGGTCTGCTATTCAAAATGCGAAGGAGATTGCCGCTGCTCAGCAAAAAGCTGAGGGGCCGTCTGACCTGAGCCCAGAAGCAGCTGCATTCCTTGGACCTCTTGCTTCGCCTGCTGCTCGCAAGTCATTGCAGCGACTGACGCACCTCTATGAAGCCGCTCTTGCCAACTTCCCAACCTCTTATAAGCTATGGAAATCGTATTTGCAGACACGTATGTCCTTTGTTCTTGGGAGGCTAATCGTGAAGAAGAGGGCTGGTGGCAAGAAGAAACTACCGGAGATGCGGGAGGCACTGCAAGACGAGAAAGAGGACATGGAACAGTGGGAGGGAGGTCTCAATGAGATAATAGGCTGGGACGAATGGAAAGCACTCATTGCGACCTTCGAACGTGCCCTCATGTGGCTTCCCAAAGTATGTCAAGTCGACAAATTGCGATCATGTTTTGAACCTAACGCCAGAATAGATGCCCCGGCTATGGTTGCTGTATACGTCCATATTCAACCATCCCTTCTGCCCTCCAATAGTCTCCCACACTCATGCGCGACGTACATTCGACCGTGCCCTGCGCACTCTTCCGCCATCCTTGCACCATCGCATATGGGCCCGCTACCTACTCTGGGCAGAGAACAAGGGTGGCGCGACGACTGTGTCTGTATACCGGCGATACCTCGCCGTTGACCCCAGCATAACCGAACGCTACACTGCTATCCTTCTCTCAGAGAACAACCCTGACCCGCGTCCATTGGAGGCGGCCAAGCTACTCCTTTCGCTCGCCCGAAAAGCTGCAAGAGGAGAGTACACTAGTCCTGAGGGCAAGAGTCCATACCAATTGCTTGGGGACTTCCTGGACGTGGTAGAGCAGCATGCTGAAGAGGTCGGTATGGACGTGGACGACACAGTCAAATCTCATGAAGCGCATGCAAGAGCTGAGGAGGAGCAGGCTGTATCGATAGTCCCAACTGAGCCTGCCTCTGTTAACGGCCAGCTAATACGGTTCGCCGGGCCCGCTGTTGCAGTTGCATCCGATGGCACAACGCCCCTTCCACCATACGACGAGGATGAAGACCCGATTAACTTGCGCAAACTGAACATCGAGCGGATTGTACGCAATGACGGTCTGGATGTGTACAAAGATCAGGCAGGTCGCTTGTGGACAGGGCTTGCAACCTATTGGATCAAGCGTGGCGAGTTTGACCGCGCGAAGCAGACATTCGAGAATGGGATCGCGGCAGTGCTCACGATCCGTGACTTCACGCAAATATTCGATGCATATGCGGAATTCTCGGAGAGTCTAGTTAGCGCTCTCATGGAGAGTCTTGCGAATCCGGACGAGGATGAAGACGAGGAAGACACGAAGGAGACCGAAGCAGAGTTAGACTCCAAGATGAAGGAGTTCGAGGAGCTCATGGATCGGAGGCCATTCCTCGTCAATGACGTGCTGCTGAGACGGAATCCAAATGATGTGCAAGAATGGGAAAAGAGGGTAGCACTATGGGGCAACGACGACGAGAAAGTACGTGTGTGTTGCTTCGGCATATGTCCAGATAATAATTCATGGCATGGCAGGTGGCAGAGACATACGGCCAAGCACTGTCCACGGTCAACCCCCGGAGAGCCACAGCCAACTTTCACCGCCTATTCATTAACTTTGCAAAGTTTTACGAAGAGGGCGGGACGACCGGTGAGGCGGAACAGGATCTGGACAGCGCTCGCAAAGTACTTGAGAAAGCCACGAAAGTTAACTTCAAGTCCGTTGACGAGCTTGCGGAGGTGTGGTGCGAATGGGCTGAAATGGAGATTCGACATGAGTAAGTTCATTCCGGACCATTTCTTCGACTTATGCTCACTTTGCGGCTCAGGAATTACGACGAAGCGATTCGCGTCATGCAACGCGCCGCTGCTACTCCGAAGAATACCAAAGTCAACTACCACGATCACGTATGCGACTCGGTTTCTTCTTTATCGTCAGTTCTGACATCTTCTCCACAGTCGCTATCTGTTCAAGCCCGTCTGTTCAAGTCGCTCAAGCTCTGGTCCTTCTATGTCGACCTGGAAGAATCGCTCGGGACAGTGGAGTCCGCGAAGGCGGTGTACGACAAGATACTTGAGCTACGAATAGCGAATGCACAAATAATTGTCAACTACGCTGCTTTCCTGGAAGAAAACCAGTACTACGAAGAAAGCTTCAAGGTAACTAAAAGTATCTCGCGTTTTGTGATAAGTATGAGTACTTATACCTGACATGCAGGTGTACGAACGCGGCACCGAGCTTTTCACTTTCCCCGTCTCATTCGAGATCTGGAACATATACCTGGCCAAATTCATGAAGCGATACGTTAGTGTCTCTTCTATCATAGTAGCTGTCGGTTCTGACAGTCTTGCAGGGTGATACGAAGATCGAGCGGGCTCGAGATCTCTTTGAGCAAGCGCTTGAGAAGTGCCCACCGAAACATTGCAAACCAATCTTCATTATGTATTCCGCATATGAGGAGGAATTCGGCTTGGCCAAACGCGCCATGTCCATATATGACCGTGCAACTCGAGTCGTTCAAGACGAAGACAAGTTCGAGGTGTGCATTTATCACAAGAAAATCGCTGGCGGGACACTGACTCCCCGAACAGCTGTTCACAATCTACATTGCCAAAGCAACAGCCAGCTACGGTCTCCCCGCTACCCGACCGATCTACGAGCGAGCTTTGGAAATCCTTCCAGATAGGCAAACTGCTGAGATGTGTCTTCGCTTCGCCTCAATGGAGCGGAAACTCGGTGAAATTGATCGTGCTCGCGCAATATATGCACACGCGTCCCAATTCTGCGATCCTCGGGTCAATCCAAAATTCTGGGCGGAATGGAATACATTCGAGATCGAGACCGGGTCGGAGGACACGTTCCGCGAAATGCTTCGAATCAAGCGCAGCGTCCAGGCGCAATTCAACACCGAGGCGTCGTACCTGGCGGCGCAGATGGCTGTCAAGGAGGGGAAGGGAGAGGCTCGGGAGGAGGAACCTGCAATGCCTGCAGACCCCATGGCTGCCGCCGAGCATCAGGCAGGCGGAGGCGCCAGGGGACCCGCGTTCGTTTCTGCGAAGCAAAATCCGGCATTGCAGAGCCAGGAGTCACAATCTGCCGCTGGGCAGGGCAATGCTGACGAGATCCATATATCGGACGACGAGATGTAGCCTTTCTTGCTGTAATGATGTAGTTTGCTGAGTATCTTTATTTGGGGCCGTCCCAGCGGTCTATCTCCACGGTACACAGGTCCTCCCAGTGTGCTTCCCAGCTACCGTCCTCGAGGTATGGCTGGGCTGCCCACATCGCTATTGCCTCACGAGAGGCTTCAAAAGTCACGCTATGGCTACGTAGTGTGTTGACGATGTCGCTATGCATGTCAAGAGAGCGGTGGTATGGGATGAGTATGTCCGGAAGGGAACAAGCTATCACGCTCGCTAGTCAGTTACTTGCGCGGGATATTGATGAAGGCGAGCGCACCAAACTTTTCTAGGGACCAAGTTGCCCATAATGGCTCTTGTGCCCATTTCCAGCCTTTTGTCTTGTGTGCCTCAGCAAGCAGGGCTTCTAGACTGTCTACAATGTTATTCATCTTCTGGAATTGCTTCTTCTAGTGGGCAATATAAGTAGAGGCATCAGAGTGTCCACGACATCCGCCTCACGAGTTTCAGCAGTACATTGTCCAGATCCAAGATGCGGTTTTCCATGACAGATAATTTCGGACCAACAACATGGTACGTAGGCAACGTTTTTGATGATAACGTTGCAAGTTCATTACTACCGCAACCACGTTGATAGCTTCGTGCGAGACACAAGGCGCCATGACGCACTCTAGATCTGTCCGGGTATCCACAAGGCCCCTCGCAGCCTTTAAGCCATCTATCAGTACAATGTCGTCCCAGGTATCCGCTGTTGATGCCATGTCTTGCAACAACGTGCGGACTTTGCGATGGTATGTCGACTCCGAGGATCTGGAGGGCGAGGCAGGTACGCTCTGATGCCCAGCTCGTACAGGAGACGATGTAGGAGTGGAGGGTCCCTTGAAAGAAGCAAGACGGCTCATGTCGAGTTATGTACTGGTAATGGAGTGGTATGGTCGCAAATGGCGTTCAGTAGAAATTCCGCTTATGGAAATTACCTCATGTGTGATCGACAGATCCGATCGAGTCTGCTCATCCAATTCCGCCGCTTTCGGCGGTTCTTCAAATTCAATATGCAAGCTGCTGCCGACGCGTCCAATCTCCTTCGGTCAGAGGCAGAGCTAGTCCTTGAGGAAGTATGTAAAAGATCGATAAGCGACGAAGATGAGCTCATTACATTGCGTTCGTAGTCAAGAAAGCAGAAAGCGGAGAAAACAAAGCATCTCGGATCTCCCATCGAGCTTCCAGGGAAGGCTCTCGGAATAGAGGTTCGAGGTAATTATGCATGGATTGCGGAGAATACAGCAGTGGCGCGGAAAGTCAGTCTAGAGGTACGCACTTAGCGCTGCTGATTGATGAGTCCAGAGACGATTGACCAGTCATAGTCAGGCAAAACACTACAGCTGTTTCGCGGGCATTCCGCTCCAGTTACATGCCTTGCGTTTTTTGACAAAGAGCCTGGGTCTGTTTTAGGAGATGTCTTGATCACCGGCTCATGGGACCAAGTGAAACATCATTCATAGAATGTTCCGCAAACACTGACCAAGCCAATACAGACGATCAAGGTTTGGAACACGGAGGTACATCGCCTCTTGCCAATATCGTACATGATATTCTGAAAAAGCTTTTTTTGCTGTATTGCAGACGAAAGAGCTGATTTCATCGACTCCTGCCCACTCTGACTTCGTCAAGTCACTTTGTGTCGTTCCCTCCCTAGCCTTGTTGATCTCCAGCAGTTCCGACAAGACACTCAGATTCTGGTCAGAGCTAACTGGCCACGTCATATATGGTATAACGTTGACACGCCTCATAGGGACCTCTCGACGTATCAAAATGGACAGCCATTGCACTCTGTCGGTTCGCTTTCTGCACATACACGTCCAGTAGAGTCCTTGAACGCGTACCCGTTGTCTGACTCGTCTGCTATTCTGTACACCGCCGACACCATGGGCGTCATCAAAGTATGGGAGCTTACGAAAGAAAATAGCGATCCACCTCGATGGCGCAGCACGATGCGCGAAGAGCTCAACCATCACCGTACGAGAATCAACGAGGTAGTTTACGGAAATGGGCAATTGTGGACAGGTCAGCATATCGAGGTTTGATGCCTGGCATGAGCCCTGATTTCGTGGATTTTGTTGTTATATAGCATCATCAGACGATACAGTGCAGATGTGTCAGCAATCCCCAGCCACTGCGACGTCAGATTCTGCATCAAAGCCGCCACCTCCCATCACTCATCCTGTGGCTGTCAAGGCAGTCCTCCCCCTCGCCCTCTCCCCGCTTGCAGAGCCGTATCTTCTCACTGGCGCAGGGGACGTCATTCGCGTTTACGACATCTCGACGCTTGAGGAGCCCGAACTCCTGTGTGAGGTGGACGCTCACTGGCATGACGTCACTGCGCTGCGACTCTGGATGCGGAAAACACCTGTTAAAGGCACAGGTGGCCAGTTCAAGGTAGAACCATGGATTGTCAGTGCCAGTCTGGACGGGACCATCAGGAAGTGGAGGCTAAGCGGTAAGTGCGTCCATGTACGGTTAAGTGATAACAGTATCTTATACGGTTCACTAAAGAACTGCTGAGCCCTCCGCCTCCGGTTCCAGTCACAAAGCTCCCCGTACCGACGCCTCCTCCCGAACCGTCTAACGTTTTCCAAATGTCAGAAGAGGAGGAACGTGAACTTGCAGAGCTCATGGACTCGGATTGATTTTTTTAAGAGGTTGACAATTGACACAATTTACCGCCCAGGTATCGATGACTCTGGCATAATGCTATCACTACAGTTACAATGGTGTATCTGAAGAATCAAGCATGGTTGGCTTTATAGCTTTGGCTTGGTTATGATCAGAGAATCTGCTCGCTGCAGACTCGTTGCAGCAGTCGTGACGAGCTCATTGACACTATCACATGTTATGCATGAGTGTGGGTCTTATGCAGGTCCGTTGGGGTACTCACATCTCCTTAGCGGGCTTAACGTCCTGAGCCGAACTTTTCATGAACCCTACAACGCATTACTAACATGGGTGCTCACCTTGATTGACCCAGCAACCTTGCCCATCAACCCTAAGGTATTGTCAGCACGTATCATGAGCAGACGGAGGATAAGTGATTCACAAGCTCGTCCTTCCATCGATTTCTCAGGATGTTTCTCCACCTCCACATCATGCGGTATTTTGCCCTCCGAAGTCAGCTGCTCAATCTCCTGCCGCCGCGGATCCCTGAATAATGGGTGCTCAGCATCCGGTGCGCGGATTATTCCGGTCGACGGCGGCGTACCAACTAGCGACATAGGGCGTCTTCCGCACGCTCATGGGCCGGCCAGAGTAGATGAGCGTGCGGACAACGTCATCGTGCCCAGCGGACACGACGAGTTGCTTGTGGAGAGGCGGTGCGCCCGCTTCTTCGCTTGCGACGAAGCGTGTGCCGACCCATACGCCAGAAGCACCATAGCTGTTTGGCGCACATATCAATATCATCGCTGGACCACAATTGTGTGCGGGCACTCACGAAAGTGCGGCCGCAAGCCCTCGCCCGTCTGCGATCCCGCCTGCGGCGATTACGATCACGGGCTTGCCTGTGAGGGGACTGATGGCGTTCTTGCAGATGTCTACGCATGCCGGGATTAGGATCGAGAACGGCGTATCCCCGGTGTGCCCTCCGCCTTCCCCGCCTTGTGCACATATCATGTCCGCGCCTGCCAAGATGTCAGCCTCTCATAAGCGCAAAAGAATGCATGTTTGATACCTTGAGCTAAAGCTTTGGCAACATGCTGTGCGTCTCCTTGACTACACTGTTCTTGTAACATATATTGCACTAGCATACCTTGGGATGTCCCACCATGCTAGCAACAATATACCATTCTGAGCGATCCTGTCACTGAGGCGCTGGTTCGATCTAGTACTCACTTCATGATAACAATGCCTGCGGCATGCAGCTTGTCCACCATGTCCTTCGGGGGCACACCTATAGCACTTACAAACAACGAGGCTTTACTCTTGATGATGACATCAGTCAGTTCTGGAAGTTTCCCGTGCGTGTAGTCATACTAGAGATGATGTATAAGCCTCCTTCTCTGATTCGCTACGACTGACACCCTGGACGCACATTAGTCTTCCGTGCGTTACCGCCAATCTGTGGCAGCGCGAGGTCAATACCGAAAGGGGCATTCGTGTCCTCCAGCTGGCTCTTGAGCTCATCAATAGCATTCTGAAGCATCTTTGGCGCATAATGTATCCCGCCTATCACACCGATGCCACCTACGCGCCACGGGAGCCATTCAGAGAGCCTACACTGCATTCATTATGGAGATGCATACCAGCGTTGGTGACTGCGGCCGCAAGCTTCGGTCCAGCGGCTACGTTCATGCCTGTTCATAGGCGTCGCGCGTAGATTGCTTAATACAAACTTGTTGCCGAGCTACTTAGAGCTCGATGCTCACCGGCAAGCATGACGGGATGGTTAATCCCGAACAACTGCGTCAAGGGCGTAGTGAATACTGGCGGGGACGACGGCATGGCTGGTGGCGGCTCCAGTCACAACAACTGTACGCAAAGATGATATATAGAGACGGCCCGGCGACGACCTCATCAGCCGAAGTCATAACACCTCAAAAAGTCATGATATCCGTGATGCGCTTCGCATGCGCCTGTGATAGAATGCGAGGAGTAAAGACATTTTGCACCCGGACTGCCGGTCAGCTGCAGTAAGTATAACATCTGCAAAGCTGCATTCCCCCTGGTAGAACGGCGGTTCTACGGTAGCCTTGGGTAGGACGCGCCATCTATAGCTGTCTCGCATAGGAGATCCATCCTATGCGAGACATCTGTAGGACGGGTGTACCTCTGCGAGCCTCTGTAGCCATCAATGTGATGGGTTAGATAGGCAGAACAATCCCCCGTGTGATTTGGCTGCTTATCCATCTTTGCGCAGTGCAATGTGTGTTCTCGAATGGAAAGAGATCATATTATGATGTGGAGTAGAGAACAAAACCTGTCGAGCTGCGAAGTCCGGTATGTGGACTGTGCTACCTGAAGCACCCCTCACTCGCTGCACTAATGGGCCAGCTACTCGGCGCAACGTTCACCAGCTCAAATAGACATGCAACGGGAGTTAGTGCCCGGGGCCAGTTGATCCCTCGTGTAGCCAGGAGAGGCCGGCCCCAGCGTCTGGCTGAGCGAGCAATTTTCCTCGCTTCAGGCGTCTCGCTCTTTCGTCTCCTCCCACATCATCCTTGCGTCGCGCAGCATCCACGACACCTCCTTCCTTGCTCACGTATCCTAGGTTTTCGATCGTGCCCTGCCCACCCTCGTTTGTATCTTGTCTCTCCTCCTTTCCCTTTCCTTCCCTTTCCCGGCTCTGCGCTTGCTTGGGTACGCCAATTTTGTCTCTCGTCGCCTGGCGCCACACTAGCTCGGTGGTCTCATTTGTATTGACATAGCATACCCGCGTAGATTTACCCCCCATGCTTGCGTCTAACTGCGTGCCATGCCCGCTCGTGAGCGAACCGCGCAGCAGGTGTCCCGCCCTCCTGGCGGCTTCTCCTTGCTCCGTGTCCCACTCTGGCTAATGCCAAGGGCTCCCCACACCTTTAGCTCTCGAGTGTGTTATGCACACTTTCCTCTGCACCTCCCCCTGCATCGATGAGGCCGGACTACTGCAGACAGTTAGGTGAGTGTCCGAGTCTCCTTTCGACACCATCATCTTACCTCCTATGCTACAGACCACAGGCCTCGCTCAAGAACGAGCTGCCACCAATCCCAAAGTATGACGACTTTTCCGACAACGACTTTGCGAGCACCACGAATGTGCGCTGCTAGACTCCATAGTCGTAATCCTAATGTACCGTAGTCCTGATGTACCGTAGTCCTGATGTACCGTAGTCCCGATGTACCTTATCGCAACGAAAATACACACAATTTGATTCATATTTCTGGTTCAACTCAGTATGTCTGGCAATAATATGATATTACCAAGCATGAAACTAGATCCAGGCTGCGTGATGTAATGACGGCAATCGGGATCCATCTGTGTCTACGCGTGCCTACAGAGCCCAATATGTCTATGTGACTACCGGGCTACAGGGTCCTCCTGTAGGACTGCCGCGCTACACAGGACTCCTGTAGATGGGGGGCTGGCAATATGCCTATGGGACCTACGCGGGCTATGCGAGACCCGCGTAGGCATCGTCGAGTTTGCAGATGAAGTATCAGCAGGTCCCCTCAGAGGCTCAGCCCCACAGCTAGCGATCGGGAGATAGATCTCAGGGTTGTACCGCCTGATCGATCATGAATCGCGATCCAAGCCAACATGAATAAACCATCATTATGACACGCTCCCAACGCCGTGAGTAAGTCCTAGCATCTGGTGTAGGAGCCTGCCACCTCCAACAAGGCCAACCTTGCTAAGCCCTACAACTTCGACTTCGAAATCAGTGAAGAATTGGCATCGCGGAGGCTTGCTGCCGCGGTGAACACCAGTTCATCCACGCTGGATTTGTAGGATCAGTGCTTCACTCAGCACGGGCCGAGTTTATCACTCACATCGCTTTTGCGGGTTTGATGTCCTGCGCATGAAACATGAGTGAGTAACAGATATCTCCCAAAGCTAAATATCTGTTAGCACCCACATGAATTGACCCAGCGACCTTCCCCATGAGCCCTGAGACGACGTTATGATCCAACCCAGATGGAACGAACACGGCACTTACATGCTTGACCTTGTATAAATTTCTTTGGGTCTTTCTCGAGCTCGACGTCATGAGGGATCTTCCCTTGCGAACATAATTCTGTGATTTCAGCCTGTCTCCGGTTCTCCCTGAGTACAGATAATGTTCACATCAAGCATGGGCGACGAGGTTACAGGCACATACCAATCGGCGACGTATGGCGTCTTCCGTACGCTGAGCGGTCGACCTGAGTAAATCAGGGTACGGGCCACATCGTCGTATGAGGCAGACAGCACCAGCTCCTTGTGCTTCTTTGGAGCGCTGGCCTCTTCACTGGCAACAAAACGGGTTCCCACCCACACGCCAGAAGCACCGTACCTAGCCTCCGATGTCAGCATAAGTCAATGAGTGAGTCTACTGCTGAAGTTACGCACGAGAGAGCCGCTGCGAGCCCCCGCCCGTCGGCAATACCACCCGCTGCAACGACAGTAACGGGTTCTCCGGTGAGTGGACTCTTTGCGTTCCGACAGAGGTCGACGCATGCAGGGATGAGGATAGAAAACGGAACATCTCCGGTGTGTCCGCCCCCCTCGCCTCCCTGCGCGCAGATGATATCCACTCCTAGAGATAGGCTAGTGAGCAGAGGCTTCCGGGCATATCGTCGAATAAATTACCTTGCGCCAATGCCCTCGGCACATGCTATTTTCTCTCGTGAGCAAAAGGGTATTTATCAACGGCGTCAAAATTCGAAATACTCGCCTTAGGATGGCCAACCATGCTGAAGACACATGCAACGATGTAAGCAGTACGTCCTTTGGAATGCAGGATTGCTTACTTCATGACAAGAATGCCGGCGGCATGGAGCTTGTCGACAACTTCCTTTGGAGGCACACCAATAGCGCACACGAAGAGCTTGGCTTTGCTCTTGATTATGATGTCCACGAGCTCGGGAAGTTGACCCTTCGTGTAGTCATACTAGACGACGTACGGTTTGGTAATCAGTTACGAAATAGTAGAATTGACATACATTAGTCTTGCGCGCATTACCTCCTACTTGCGGAATGAGCAGGTCGACGCCAAACGGTGCGTCCTTATTCTCCAAGTGGCTTTTCAATTCACTGATTGTCTCCTCCAGTATCTTGGGGCTGTACCCCACGCCCCCAATGACACCCATTCCACCTTGAAAATGAACAAATGCACGCATGAACTCTGGGACACGGGCATGTGTGGACAGATATACCAGCATTGGTCACCGCTGCCGCTAAGTTGGCACCTGCCGCCACATTCATGCCTGGTGGTCGAGCGTGTGAGGATGACATAGCGTAGCTAGGTGTTACCGAGCACGAAACTGACCTGCGAGAAGCACCGGGTGATTGATGCCCAGCAACTTTGTCAGAGGCGTGCTGATTACTGGCGGTGAGGAAGGCATGCTGGGTGAACGCTAACACAAGTCTTAGGAAGAGAACACGATGAGTTGTTCACCGGATGACTGCTGGCCCCTTGTCTGAGAGCGTCAGCTATTAGTATAATAGCACTCGGTCTGCCGGCTCGCAATGGGAAGACCCTTAACCGGAGAAATCATGCGCTTCAGTTAGACGTCTCAACCCATGACCTGAGGGAGTCCTTTTGACTGGCCCAGGAGCCAAAACTCATTGATCGGATTGGAAACATCCCGACTGCTCGCAGGTCACACTTTGCCGACATGAGCGGTCTGCCAATTGCCCAGTAAGGCACAGTAAGCACCGCGAGACCCGGGCTTCTCTTCGCGTCCGATATCGTATATCTCACCTAGCAAGGGTTGTGGGAAGCAAATAACGTGTGCAGCAAGCACGGAAGCTACCCTGGCTGAGCTTGAGAGACAAGGCTTGTTTCCCGAAGCGTCGCTCATGCATGGGACAGGTTCAGAAAAATATGTTCTCATACCGGTGCGGAGTGGCACGAGGCCGGGGTTATTTACCGTTCTAATCACATTGAGTCTATTTGCCAAGTCATGCTGTAGGATACAAAGTCGTAGAGGTGCATTTGGTTGACCAGCCGAGCGGACGCGCACGACAATGAAGGCACCAGCCAATGGCGGGGGAGAGATTTCCAAGCGCACACACCCGCCCGCCCCGGCGTCAGAGCCGCCGCACTGTGACGATCATGTCCTCCAGCTCAGAGAAATGCCCCGTCGACCACTCCTCTCTCTCTGCCTCGCCCGACAAATGCCCTGTCGACCACAAGGCCCGCTCATCGTGGTTTAGCTTCTTCTCTTCCTCCTCTGATGCAGCGAGCACCCATTCCTCATCGCATCCACCTTCACATCCAAACGGGGCGCCCTCCGTCCTCCCTTTGGACCGCGAGGTGTCGTCCATACCCCGCGTCGATGGCGGGAACTGGGTGTACCCCTCCCAAGCACAGTTCTACGCAGCGATGGCGCGCAAAAAGCACAACCCACAGGCGTCAGACATGCAAGTCGTCGTCCCGATCCATAACGCCGTCAACGAGCGCGCGTGGGCGGAGGTCATGAAGTGGGAGACGCAGCAGGGAGGAGACAAGTGTGGCGGCGTGAAGCTGGTCAGCTTCAAGGGCAGGCCAAAAGACTTGACGCCGCGCGCTCGGTGGCGGACTTTGCTCGGGTGGGTGATTCCAAGGATCGAGCCCCTCGCGTGCACTTAGATCGTACACTGTCCGTCCAGCTATTCACCACCGTTCGACCGGCATGATTGGGTCGTTGACCGTTGCGGGACGCGCATTCGCTACGTTATCGATTTTTACACCGGGCACAACGCCGGTTCGCCCAACAACCTTTCGTTCTACCTCGATGCGAGACCTGCGCTCGACAACTGGGATGGCGTCCGGATGCGTGTGGAACGGTTCTGGGAGCGGTGGACAGGAAAGCTACGGGGCAGCCCCGCACCACCCAGCGGACATGCTCAATCGAGCACTTAGTGATTTGTTCTTCTATCCCGATCGTACCCTCATATGTCTATAATCGCCCCTCCGCTCACACTAATTTAGCAGAATAGACCGAATCCACTAGCATGTACTAGACGCGAAACATGGGTGCTACCGTGCGGCTTTACCTTTCCGCTTTTTGGGTGGCGGCTTCTGGATCTCTTCATCGCTGCTCTCCTCGTCGCTTCCTTCGCTGTGAATGTCGTCCTCCCCGCCGCTAACTTCCTCCTCATCGTCCCAGACGCCCTCGTCCTCATACACTCGCTCGTCACCTGACGCCTGGACATCATCTTTTGCCTCTGCGTCCTCTCCCTCCCCGCCGCTCTCTTCGTCTGCGTCTCCCTCTCCAGCCAATTCCTTCTTCCGCTGAATGTTACGCTCCTGTTCCTCCCTTCGCTGTCGCCTCAATTTCTCCTTCGCTTCATGCTCTGCCTTCTGCGCATTAGCTTCCGCCCTTGTCTTTTTGACTGTATAATATTCCCGTTAGTGGGCACAGAGACCGGTGTATAGGATGCACACGTACCGAATTCGTGGTAGATGACACCGCCCTCCTTACCAGGCAGGCCTTCAGTAATTTTGATGAGCTTCAGCTCCATCCTCGGGCCAATCTCGTCCAGTCTGACCGCCCGCTTCTGGCCCTTTTTGTTATTCCTCCCCACATAGTCGTCCGCCAACGACACCGCGTCCGCGTCGTCGCCCGCAACGCTCGAGGCGTCCGAGGCGGCAGATTCATACCCGTCACTGCCCGCCGGACCGGGCTCGCCCTTCTTCCGCAGGAAGAAGTCTGCGACGTCCTTCTCGTCTCCAAGATCGAGATATGCCTTGGAGGAGGACGAGGCTTTTGTGGAGGCGCCCTCCAGCACGCGCCGCACGCGTTTGGACACGCCATACGGCTTTACGGTGATGAGGTAATGCCGGAAGTCGACGGTGCTTTTGTCGGGGTTGTAGGAGATGAGGACAATGCGGCGGGCGGAGGAGAGGGAAAGCGTCTGGGGTGAGAGGGGCGGGAAGAGCGTCTGGAAGGTTTTCATAAGGAGCGTGAGGTGGGGAGGCGTTGTGGGGGAAGGCTGAGGGAAAGAGGCCAGCACGAGCTACAAAAATGTGAGGTCTAGGTGAGACTCAAAAGAGACGAGACAGTAGACAAACCAGAGGAGGGCTCAGGTACTCCACGCTCCCTATACTTCTGGCTCGCCGAGAGGTATTGAGGACATCCTTGATAAGGCTGTACCTCTCTATTCGGAAGCTGAGAGTCGGGCCAGCTGAGAGTCGCACGATCCGCAGAGACGGCGCAACGTCCGTAAGCGTGAAGGCGAGAAGGTGCGTAACGCCGAGGGCAGGAGCCATGGTGAAGAAATCCTTGAGCTTGTTCCGCGTACGTTCCTTCACTTGCAACATGAGTTCAGTGTCGGTCCTCACATGCAGAAGATGTGCGTGACATATGAATGAAGGCTACTGACCCTCAGTCGGCTAGCCGTGTTAGGCTCCATGACCTTGCGCACATCGCGTACCAGCTGGGTGAGTGAGGAGCCAACCTGGCCATGCTTGATCACAAAAGACTTAGGGACGCCCTCCGCTGTGCCAGGACTAGAAGCAGTGCCCCCTTTAAGGTGTGTGCGGTTTTTTCGTCGGCGAGCCATGGTATGCGTGAAGATTGATCCAGCAATGGACACCGTCGATCAATCAAGTGCAAGAATGATGTTTGCGCTTGTTTGGTATTGGTGGCAATTCACTACACTGCCAGAATCTTATACGCTCACAGCAGGCCGATAGCTGCATCAAGCATACTATAAAGCGGGGATGACATACATATTATCACCGGAGACTGGATGGCACGAGACGACACGAGCGTAAAGAGATATACACAAACAGACCATTAGCTATGCAAGCATACTAGAGCAGACGAGAGTGCAAAGGGGCAAGAACTACAGGAGTCAACGAAAAGGCCAAATGATACAGATGGGGTATGTTAATGGGGTCGATACAGTAGATGGGTCCGAGTATGCTGAACCTTCAATAACTCAGGTGTTCCGTATATGGAGGACAATTCGCAATCAAGAACATAAAGGATGCTTTGGAACAAGAAACGAACGAAACGGGGGCATTGCACTTGCCTGACAACCAGACGGTGATCCAAGCACAGAAAGGATGGTGTCGGCACGCTGCTCATGAGAATGGCTTCGAGCACATCCCGGTTGTCGGCGCGATACGAAGAGAGTGACAGGGACTCGTCCGATTAGAACTCCATAAACTGATACGCAATAGGGTCAAATCGTTGCTGAAGGGCCGGCGGCTGTTCTTCCTTTATGAGACCGGGAATCTCTTCGGGTGGGGGCAAGGGAAGGTGCGAGAAGTGGCGTGTGTCGTCAAGGGAGTTGACATGCGGGATAATAGGGGCCTGAACGTGCGTGAGCTCATCGGCGCGACGGTAGCGAGATCGCGAAGACGTACCCTAATCTCTCGCCGCTCCAATGCGTCCCAATCGACGCCGCGGAACCACGGTTGGTCTAGCACATCTTGAGGGCCACGGGTGAGATTACCAAGACGCTTGCTACGGTCCGGATGTAGGAAGGCTTTGATGATGTCCTTGGTCAGCCTATCCATTTCTCGCGGCCAGTGAATCTTGCCCTTCAAAATCTTTTCATAGATCCCGTACGCGGTCTCGTCGAAGAATGGCGGGTACCCGACCACCATTTCATAACAGAGAATACCGCAGGCCCACCAGTCGGCGGCCTTGCCGTGGCCGTCTGACTGTATAATTTCAGGTGCGAGGTATTCGGGAGTTCCGCAGAGAGTCCAGGTACGGTCATCAACAATTTTAGCGAAACCGAAGTCTGTGAGCCGCAGATAGCCACGCGAGTCGAGTAAGAGATTTTCAGGCTTCAGGTCTCGGTAGATAATGTTGTAAGAATGCAAAAATTTGAGGGCAAGGACGATGGTCGCCAAGTAGAATCGCGTGACATCTGGCGTGAAACGACGCGCTCTCCGCAGGTGTGTGAACAATTCTCCACCGGGGACGTAGGACAACAACATGTAGATGTTGAGACTGTCCTGGAATGTGGCATAGAGGTCGACAATAAATGGATGTCGGACGCGGGATAAAATATACCGCTCCGCGTTTACGTGTTCGACCTGTCGCAGGCGCACGATCTCGGTTTTACGCAAGACCTTGAGTGCGAAGCAGTTTTGGGCGTTGGGACTCGATGAGCCGCGAAGGCGCACGAGAAGCACACGACTAAATGTCCCTGTCCCTGATAAGAACATCATCGTAAGATTATGTAGGTCTCCCCAAACACACGAGGGAAACTACCTAGAGTGCCCTTAACTTCAAAATCGGTAAGGTTAAGGGTCCCCCGTTCAAGGTGACATTCCTCGTCCTCAAGATGCCTCAGGGGCGGCTTGGGGGAGCTTTCAGCTGGTCTTGCGTCTACGTCCATGGGCTCCTCTGTTGTGCTCTCGTCGCGGTCGATGCCTAAATAAGGGCCTGAGTGACGGTCTCCGCTCGCGAAACGGGAATCGCTGTCGCGACTGTAGCGAGGCTCTGAATCAATGATGACGACTGGGTCACCCTCTTCGCTATTGCCCGGGGAGATTGGCGGTGTAATCGGCCCTCTACCCGCTACGAACGGTGAATCACGGTCTGGCAGGACTAGATTCAGCGGAGCCGACTTAGCCCGCGGTGTAGTACTAGGCAGGGACGTCGAGCGGAAGACAGGGACTGCGGGACGCTCCATGTCTTTGTGTCTATTAATTGGGTAGGTCTAACAAACGCCTGCTCGCCTGGAGTTCGGGCGGCTTTTCTGAGGACCTGTCAGTTGCGGACGATCCCCGACCAGTACGGTAACTATGCTCACCTTGGCAATGATTATGGGAATGACGAAGGTAAAGGTTCACTTAATACATCGGACAGTCTGACAGGTATTTGAGGGATTTTGGGCGGGGATATCAGCGGACTCTACCAACTCAACACTCAGCGGGATCCGAGGGCTGTGACTCTTGCAGATCGCGGGTGATGGAAGTGCGCGGCAAACCCGAAACTTGGTGCAGGCGACGCCTGGGTACACCTGGATGAGATGTAGATCTGCCTGAATGTGCGCCCTGCGCAAGGCAAGGTGACGGTCAGTAAACTACAGGTAAAGCGAGCGCGAGAAGCGAACGATGCTGGTCGCTGCCTTTGCTCAGCTCCTTCCACAAGCGGAAGCGGTCAACGAAAGATTGTCTCCGCGTGGCAACCACGGAGCACGTGAGACGCGTCCGACGTGAGTGTGCGCGTCGCGAACAGTCTCCATGTCGTCACAGATGGCTGAGTCTCAACTTATGTTTGCCGTCTGTTCTTCTGCCGTACGCGCGCTGCTCCACACAAGACAGCCCTACACAGCATCGCCAGGCTCTCAGCCTCCGCAAGGATAGTTCCGTCTCTGAGCGGCATCTCTCACACTACTCTGCATTGCCTTCCTATCATAATCGATGTACAAGCGGCCATGCCAACACCGCACACTAAAGCCCAAATGCGAATGTCGGGACGCCGTAGACGGCCGAAAGGACCTTCACATTCCCCTCACCGCCTGCACCAGCGGCCACGTAAAGCGGCACGAAATGGTCCGCGCGGGGATGTGCCGCTCGGAAGCCTGGGTGCTGAATTAACTTGACCATAGCTTCTTTCCTAGCTGCTGCCTAGTATAGTCATGGCTAGTCAGCGGAGCTGACAGGGCGGTAGAGCATATCACATACATCCGGTACGAGTATCGCGTCATGAATCGCCTTGTCAAAGTCTTTCACCTGAGCAGGGGCGGTTTCTTCCGCGAATGACGAAAAGTCACGTAAGTTGTGTACCACCAAACCTCCAGACAAGACGAGGATGCCATCGCGTCTTCAAGATGACCAAATAACAATCAAACAGTTGGTCACCCTGATGGACGAACAACGCCACTGACCTGAGTTGTTCAACCACCGTGCCCACAGCCCAGTTTTTCTCAGGACTTAAGCTTCCGTCAATAGATACTTGCACAATGGGGACATCGCGGAATTCTTCCCCGAACATCAACCTGAATGGGACAAAGACGCCATGGTCTAAGCCGGGTCCGGAGAAACCTCTGCCATCTTCTCCCCTGGGTTCTGAAGTCGGCGTCGTGCGAGCAAGTTGACCGGCCTAGTATCAGCCGGTGTCAATAACACCCTGTATTGTACCAAGAATGGACATGTTATTGCCTGACCTCTTTGTACAGTTGCACCACTCGCTGAGCGAGCGACGAGTCTCCACGGGAATCGAACTTCAGCTGATACAGCGCAGGCTGGAAACCATAGTAATCCATCAAGAGGGGATTCTTGTCACCATAGTCGGTGACTGAGAGACTATCAGAACAAGGATAAGAGACGTGAGTTACCAACGCACCGACGCGCTCTGGTGCGGTCTCCCAGTGAGCACTGAACACAACAATGCCCCTTGGTTTGTACTTCCTGAGAAGCACAGGACCGAAGTCCTTGAGAAACATCGCGAGGGGACCTTTCGGACCCATATGTTGCATTACAGGACCCTTTTGTACATCCGCCTCTGGGAACGCGAGCATAGGAGAGCCATGTGCAAAGAAGAACGCAGGGATGTTGTCTGGAGTTGACGGTAATTCCTCAAGAGCCTTCCGCCATTCTGCCTGAGCTTTAGGAAGACTAGAGTTTGATCCGTTCACGCTCGCCATGGACCTGATTGAGAGTGCCGAGAAGACACGAGGGACTGGGAATTTATAGAGAATAATGGCTGAGACAGCGGTTATCAAGACGAGAAGGAGCCGGGAGCTTATAAGTGCTGCCAGGGTGGGCAGCGTTATGCCTGTCAAAGCAGACCAGTATAGTTTGATCCACAGACATCGCTTTATAGAGCAGGAGCGTAATACTGATTCCTGCGCAGGACGTGTCTTACCAAGAACCTTCGTCGCGTTACAGAGGTAGGGCTTGCTTACGCGAGCAATTTATGTCACCAGGATTCCCCGGCGCTTCACTGACAGCTTCCTTCAGCCACCATCTGCCGAATACTCGAAACTAACTGCTGAGCTCCGTGCTGGTCTCACCTATTCCTCCTGCCTTGCAAAATGTCACGCACAGCTTCTGGGGGCTTGCTGCGCGGCACAGTCATTCGCAAAGGAGGTGCCTCGAGTAGCAGCAGTACTCGCATTAGCACACCGCAAGTGCAGAGCACCTCGACGACCATATTCGGAGGTGGCGTGAAAGATCCGTCTGGACGGACATCTGAATACTTTGTGAGCTTGATACATGCAATCCACTGGTCCACACATGTAACCCCGCGAAGTCTATGGACGACATTTGCCCAGTATGCAAATCCGACCGATACTTGAATCCGAAGTTGCGTCTCTTGGTAAGCGCATGCTACCACAAGATGTACGTGATCAGATGTACCAAACAGTTAATCCCTGACGTCTCATGATAAACTGGATAGGTGCGAGTCATGCATTGACCGGCTATTCACGCTGGGACCTGCACCTTGTCCAATATGCAATAAGATATTGCGGAAACTAGCCTTCACTCCTCAGACTTTCGAAGATCTTGGAGTCGAGAAGGAGGTTGCAGTGAGAAGACGAATAGCGAAGGAGTATGTATAGCTATTAACTAGATCCGCGTTATCCTGATGATTCTGTAGATTCAACAAGCGCAAGGAGGACTTCCCTGACCTTCGCTCGTACAACGATTATCTCGAGGAAGTCGAGGATATTAGTGAGTAAACCTTGTTTATAGAATTGAGCATAGCTCAGATTGGCTGTGTTGATTTAATTCAGCCTTCAACTTGATCAACGACATTGATATACCGGAAACCGAAGCTCGAATCGCCGCATACCGACGCGAGAATGCCGCTTTGATTGAGTTGAACATCCAACGCGAAGAACAATATAGTCGTTACCTGAAAGAGCATGAAGATGCCGAGCGACAGGAGCGCGAACAGCGCGCTCTCGAGCTTCGTCGCGCTGAGGAAGAGGAACGCGAGGAACGCGAGAAGGAACGCCGCGAGATCATTGATCAATTGCAGACAAGCGACAAAGATGCAGTGAAGCTCATTGCGAAGTCGCGAGCGGGCGCGCTCCGCCGCGCGACCGCGCGGTCAAGCAATGGCGCACAGAGCAGCTCGAAGGCGCTCCGTCCACGATTCGCACAAAGTGCCGTCATTCCGGATGAACCGCACGTGCCGCTACAGGACGACTGGTACGCATACGAAGACATGTTTGTCCTGCGAGACAGCTATGATGATCCAGCGAGCGAGGCGGTACGCCGCGACAGGGAAGGCATCATGCGGGCTGGTGGGTATCGTGTCGAAGAGGCCTGGGAGCGTGCGCTTCGCTATGCCGTTGCTGGTCTCGAGATCATGCCGTTGCAAGGTTTTCATTTAGGAGCAAACACATCACCCCATGGTTCAGGAGAATCGCAGGCAGTCTCAGCATCCACTTCATAGGTATCTCGAGCGGTCACATTGTAGCATCGGACAGGATTCATTAACGCAGTATATACATATATCATAGCCATCGGTAATGTAAGTGTTACCAAGGCTATATCCCGATAAACGGTCAAGATTGCGCAAGCTGTAACGAGGATAGGATACTCATTGAACTCTGAGATCATTCCAAGTTGACATGACGCTTGTGCTATATCAATAAGTAAAGCAATGGGGTGTGTCAACGAACAAGTACAGCAGTGGGTTGCCGTCTAGACCAGCGTTCAACCTCTGAGAGAGGAGCAGTAAGGGGAAAGTAGAGAATCTGATATTCTCGCTTCCACCTGGTCATCGTTAGTGTCGCGTCAGATATTGGTGAATGTGTACATACTTCAGTTTGTTTGCACCCAATCGCACGATATTCAGTACTTTGAATGGATCAGGTTCAAATGGCTTTGATCTCTCCTGTCCTCCGGAGTTGCAGTCACTGTGGCCCTTCGGCTTTCCGTTTCCCTCATCGATGCTCGCACGAGGTCTCTTACTGGTGTCGGTGCGGGATGTTTCATCCGCCTTACGCTTGTGCGCCTTGATGGCCTGGACAGGATGCTGAACCTCGTGTAAAACTTTGGGTGAAGACACGTGATACTCTTGGTGCTGTTGCGTATTGTCTCTAGCGCGAGAAGACGCATGGTGTACCAATCCAGCATTTCGTATTTCGATTGGAATGCTTCTGTGAGACATGAGGCAACACGTCACCTTCCAATCAGTACACGCCGACAGACAGTGGGAGTGAAACACGGACTTGGCAGGATCGAACACGAGCAAGTTGATAGTGCCGTCGACACATCGCTCGCAACCCACTATCGTGCGAGAATGGCCGTTATGTTGCAGTATCAACGGCATTTTGCCAGTAATGGCCACCGAGTTGGTGCTCTGCAGAGCCTCGTTCAAAGTCCGGGGAGACGAATACCCTGCAGAGAAGTGCTGTAGGACCCAGTCCAGTAGCGGCTGCACACCTGACGACCATTCACACAGCAACTCCACATCTTCGAGATCTAGTACATGGGAGGGGGGGGACATACCATTCTTCACGTCAAAATCCACTAGTTGCGCTCTGTGTAAGTCAGCGAGCCTTCCTGGATGTACAACGGAACGCCCTCACGGAATCCCACGATATGTAAACGCAGCATACAGGTCTGGACACGGTGCGTCAGCAGGACGCAAGGCAGCGATCTGCGACGCGGACAAACCTCCAGTACCAATATATTTTCCTGTCCCTACAAGCCTGTGTTTCAATTGTTCTGCCCCCTCGGGGTCATACCCTGGTGAGCGACGATTGTCAACGTAAGCCTTGCAGAAGACGATGTGTGGTGTACCATGTTTCCAGGCCTCTTCGATCGATGACTGCAGGTTCCGCACACCAGGCGGCGTTGGACGATCCAGCAAGGGGAAGTATGTAGGCTGCATTGCTTGCGACATCAAGGATGCGCATGTCATCATGAAGTTTCGATATCTGTACTGCTGTTTTCAGCATTCGAACATCACTAGTCCCTGACAAACATACCCACAGCCCCACGATCTATCAAATGCCTCACTTCTTATGTGCACAGCGTCCTCGTGACATAGCCACGCACGTTGCGTCTTGCCTCGCTCGTGTGAGCTGATCAGGGCACGCTTGACGGTAGGGATGAGGCCTGGGGCATGTCCACCCTTAGCCAGAATCAAGACCGTAGTCTCCGGAGATCAACATACCAGGACTGAAATTACGAGGAGGGGGGTCTGATCTCGCTGGGTACCAAAAGACATTCTGTGTGGAGGGATCACCCTTGTTGGGTACATACGGAGTGAACCAGGTCGTGAGGCTATTATGCTCCACAGAATTACGAGACCTCGCTGCATTGGATAGGAAAGCACCGGACGAATTACCATTTGAACTGCAGAGAAGAAACTCGAATTGGCGCACCTCTTTGTGGCTCATCTGAGAAGTGTTCGTCGTAGTGAGCTTGCCTCTGCGGCTGTGACATCCAGCTGAGGTCGTCAAAGCACACTTGGCAGATTATTTGCTCTATAGATCTGCTTGCGCTTTCGTATCGTACGTAGAGAGTCTTAGATGTACGCAACGTACGAAGTATGTTGGTCCATAACGGTCAAGGATATCAGGGTCGCCCGCCACCACAGGGTACAGTCTTGAGTTCGAAGCGCCAAGCACTTGCCCGAGATGTCGATCGTGGGCGCTTGCACACCACTGCTCCTGTGCTAGTCACCAACCGTCGGCCACAGGATGGTGCACATTCTGGGTGTTCTGCTGCCCGATACGCAGCTGGCGAAGGTGGGTCTGCCTTCTTGTCCCTGATTGCCATTCGCTTCAAGGCATTCTCAGTTCGCCCTAACACATTTCTACGGCATCGGACACAAAACCGCGCACCGTCTCTGTGCCCGGGTGCAAATACACGAGACATGCAAAGTCCGGGACCTCACGTCTAACCAGATCACGGCCCTCACCGCCTTCTTGTCCTCCCCATCCACCCAGCCGTCTCTGCCGCGCTACACACTTGCCACATCGAACTACGTGCCTCCGCGCGTCGGCGAGCCCGTCCCAGAAAACGCGGCCACTATCACAAGTGCGGATGGCGCACCGGTGAAGGAGTCGCTCGGCGACCGCCTGAGGAACATCAAGATCGAGTCGGAGCTGAGGAGAGAAATCAGGGAGAACATCGCGCACCAGCGCATGATTGGCAGCTACGTCGGGCGGCGGCACGCCATGGGTCTACCGGTCAGGGGTCAAAACACCCAGACCAACGCGAAGACGGCGAAGAAGCTCAACAGAGTGGAGCGGTATTAATAAACGTTGGCATTGGTATGGACGAGTGGTCGCTTTCACTAATACATGCATTGCATTGGAGACGACACATGTGCGTAAGGAGAGGCACGTCTGCCAGGCGTCGGGAGAAAGCGCAAGAGAGAATAAGTTATTATATCGTACATTGGCGGCCCACTTAGACTAGTCGTCTCCAACAGGTACTTCCTCCTCGAGATATTTGGTTAACGTCACCCGAATCTCCGTCGTCTCGTCTCCGCGCAATACGTCCGAAATGAAGGTCGCCTGTACCTGCATTTGAACCTGGTGAATCCGCGTCGCATGAGGTATTTTAGACTACATGAAGAGCAAGGTGTCCGAACCATCTCCAGTGCGCCCCTGAGCACGCCGCATAGTACATTGCTGAACCACAGGCCGCCCTCGAGGGCTTCCTCAGGCAGCTCTACGAACTCCGCGAGAGGATTCTCATCTAGTGTGAGAGTAAACGATGCTCCGGCCGTGTTCGAATGTGGTGGGTTGCTCGAACGTGAAGGCGACGGCGGCGGTGGTGCTGCATGTACCACGGTAGGTGTGATGTTCAGGAACGACTTGAATCCCACCTGGATCCAAGTCACCATGCATGTGGTCAAGCCATCCATTGAAGAATATTCATATAGAAATTACCATCGCACCTTAGCAACTACCTCACCGACCTCCCTGAAGTCGGCACAGCGTCCAATCGCACTGCGGGCGAGGAAGTCCTCGATTAGCCGTGTGCCAATGTTGTAGCCCATCTTCTCAAGCTGCTTGTTAACCTCTGCGTAGTCCTCATAGTCTTGTATGAGTTGCACGACGAGTGCGCCATACGTGAGGGCGAAGAGCTCTGCGTTCTATCTCTTGGGTAAGTGAGGATGGCGACAGGCGTGCAGACAGGTTCGCGGGGTTGGGAGCACGGCGGGTGTAGTGACATACGATTTTCTCGGTCCTGCCCTTCCATATGTCCTCGCCAATTGCTTTGTATTGCTTACTGGTGGTGGCCATGGCAGAAAGGCCGCAAGCAGCGGATGCGGTTAGAGAGAGAACGCGAGAGCTGCGTGTCTCGATCGACCGGCAAAAGGACTGATCAGATGTAAATGAATGAAATTGATTTCGGCAGGCGAACCAAGAAGCACGACGACGCCCACAAGTAGCACTCAATAAGTAATTTATAGCATAGCATGGGATTAGGTATCAACTGCACGTTGCCTCTTCTCTAGTTTATTCGATCGTGATTCTGCAGGACCTGTTACGTGTGGCTACACAAATCGATCGTTACGGATATTCTACAGCCAAAACCGAGGCCTCGTGGAGATGTGCAAGACAACCAGACTGCCCTGTGCCTCCCGGTTGTTCGGTCGACAGAGCGATTGGCGCAGTCCAGGGACCGGTATGCATGCCTCGACGCCGACATGAGGACATTAGCTTCGCGCTCGATTGCATACCCTTGTGGTTCGGACATCCCATCAAATACTAAGCTCCCGAGGCTGGCGTGATAAGCATACGGATGCGCGTCTTCTGCCTGACATTCCGTGAGTCGGGCGTCGCATCGCGACAAATGTGTTACGGCACTTTGCACGGGAATGTGCGCGGGAAGACAGACAGGGGAGAGCATCTGATTTGGCGTGGCGTGACTCACTTATCGTGCCGCCTATCGTGGCCAAGACAGAAGGGGGATGGGAACCGCAGGCGGCAGATTATGCTTCCCTCCGTGATGCATCTCTGTATTGCTCCGTCAGGAAGATGTACGAAGGACATATTAGGACCTATCCGGTCACGTCGAGGAGCGGTCTGTCATCTTGGCGGTGCAGAAGGGCTTCTGGACAATGACATTATCAAGCACAGGGCGTAGGAGGGAACTGCGCGACCTGAGAAGGATTGTACATGGGAGAGGGAAGAATAGGTGAGGAGGCAGAGAAGGCAAAAGGCAAATTGCGGTTGGGCCGACCCGCGGCAGAAAGCACGTGGATGAATGGGATTTGAGAGAGCTGGTGGGCAGTGTCGGTTGTGAGAGAAGATGGCGAGGCGAGAGGGCGAGAACGAGCGGAATTCCAGTGTCGCAGGTGACTGCGGTGGCTGCTGCTATCAGAGTGTTTGTGCGTGTTTGGCGCCAGGATAAGATGCAATTCTCTGAATTGGCCTTGCGGACTCCGGATGCTCTTGCCTGTGTATTAGCTGAGGGCCTCGACCATTCATCTCTTCCTCCTCTCCTCCGCCTCGCACTCGCCAGCAGCAAGATCTGCCAGCTAAAATCGCAGCGCGAACACCCGCAGATCCCCCTCCACTCACGGACGGTTCTCCCTGCTGCGCTATTCCGGTCCAGCCTCTGCACCCGAAGGAGATCTCGAAGTACTGCCCACGATCACCCACTATATCCTCCGTACCGCGCTGCCAATAGCTTCGATCCAGTGAGTGCCCAGACGCGCTCGCCATAGCTCTTTGTCAAGGCTAACCGCCTGCACATCCCGCTCCTCCCTCTCCGACCAGGTCGTTCGCGCGCTCGGTGACCGCATTAGTCAGGATCATTCGTCTCCAGCTGCTCGCTGTCAGACCGTGATATCAACAGCCGCTGTCGTCCGTACTACCTGTCCTTATGGCCTCTCCGCAGGACGTCCAGACCCCGCCCTCTTCTACCATTGATCCTCACCACTTCACCCAGTTCCATCCTAATGATCCCCATCCCACTTTCAACCCTATGGCTCCTTCACATTCCGACCCCTCTCTCCCTTCGACCTCGGCCGCGCACGTTCACTCCGCGATGACTGCTATGTTCCAGACCGAGCTTGAGCACACACACGCCGTAGTCCCCATGCAGATGTCTCTTCCCCCCATGCAACATCATGGCACTAATATGTCAAGCATGGATGTGGTTCCTGCCACCTCGGTCGACAGCGCGGCAACACAAGGCTTGCTGTCCGACTACGCTGCTCAGAACGGTTCGTTCGGCGTAGATTTTACTGTAAATGGCCTTGAGGGCCTTGACGGTTCTCATCAGCTCGTTTCGTCACCCAGTGCGACGACAGCTTCCACGAACGCGTCACACGCGTCGTCGCCAGCCGTGAACGGCATGGCCTCCTCGTATTCCGTTGGCTCCTCATCTCTCGCATCGGCGCTCGACGGTATGGGAGCAGCTCGCAGCCGGTCCGACTCGTCTGCGTCTCCCCCGACTCTGCTCAGTTCAAGCTCGGACCTCGGGTTCTCATCAAGTAGCAGTGGCCCTCCGACGTCAGCGCATGAAAACAGCTTCCCATACGGCATCTCGCCAGATAGCCAACAGCAGACAAAGGAGCTGTCGCCGGAGCAGTCAGGGTCTGCACATCTTCTGGTTTTGGGTAGCATGCTGCAGAAGTGGGTCGTGTTTTGCTTAGCTCCGCAAGTCCGTTTCATGCTCATCTGAACTCTATTAGTATTGCGCGTCAAGCCAACTCTGGCAGTCAAGCCTGTAATATGGGCTCGACCACGGATGCGCAACAGATCGTTGATGTGCTGAAGAAAAACGTCCTGCTAGTAGCGGACCTCGTTGCCGCCTTGCAGATAGCAGACGGCCTTGGACCCTCATCTTCTTCGCAGTCTTCCCCGCTCTCGCACTCAGGCATCGGTCCTGACACTAATGCTATGACGAATGTATCAACAGCATCAGCAATGGACGTAGGGCCACAGCATATAAGCAGTCTCTCGTCATACTCGTCATCCTCAGCCTCCCTGGATCCGAATGCGATGCTCGATTCGTCTGACATGTCTCGAAAGCGCTGTGCGTCATCTGTCGCCGGTGACAGAGCACTCAAGACGCTAAAACTTGAACCCCAAGACGACCCGCCACCAACGATGATGCAGACATCGAGCGGACTGTCCCTCTCTAGCTCGCTTCCATCGTCAAGCGGATTCCCCTTCACGCTGCAAATGCCCACCATGCAGCCCTCTGTTCAGTCCATGGGCGATATCTCATCGATACCTCCGCTGATGGCTTCTGGATCCAACTCACGGCCACCCAGCTCGGCTGGCATGCCGCCTCCGCATCAGTTGGGTCTTGTGTCAGAGGCTCAACAGGCCTCGCTTTCGCTACAGTCATCTATGCATTATCCAGCGATGGACCATACCCAGCAGCCGGTTCATCCTGCGCCAGATTTTGCATCTTCTGCGCCGACGGCTGTGCCACCGACGAGCCTCCCGTCGACTAGTTTTAATCCTACGTTGCCGTGGGCCGATGTTCCGGTTACTCGTCATCACCACCAGCACTCGCTGTCGACTGGCTCGGTCCTGACAGGAATACCTGAATCCGGTGGCCCATCTTCGATCCACTATACTGCTCATCCTACTTTCAATTCACCCACGCGTGCTACGCATCTCCAGCAGGGTTCTGTACCCGGAGCTGTCGCATCTACGTCCGTTCATCCTTCGTCGTTGCATTCCGTCCGATCATCTCGATCGTCGTCTTTCGCGCATCCCTCGGGTGAAATACATCCTTTGGCTAATGCATATGACCTCATGCGCCCGTCCACGTCAGGACTGCCGAGTCGTGTTTCGTCTCCGGATTACGATGAGATGGACATTGGACGCGAATCAGACGACGAGAGCGGCGAGCCATCGCCCGGGCATTATCGCCTGTCGCCTGCGGGAAACGCAGGCGACTCATCTGAGACCAGGGCCAATGGTGCCTCAAATCAGTCCGGGCAGCGGAGGATGAGTCGCGGATCACCTTCTGCCGAGGGCGGATCGGCGTCGGGTCACGGAAATGAAGTGCCCCAGGAGTACAGAGCCGAGGTGGAGCGCATATTTTTCGAGTTTCTGAACAATACCTGCTCCAACTGTGAGCTCCTTCCGGTCGCGTTGCGATCGAGTGTTGCTCATCGATCTCGTTCACAGTGGACGCTACGGACACGAAGGGGGAGCCCATCCACCAGACGCTGATGGCTAAGAAGATGCAGCGCCTTGATGAGTCACCAGACTACCGGCCGTTTAAGTTCCGTATCCAAGCCTTCACTAACGCCTTCCTTGAGGAGGTAAGTACAATTCTGGGGTCGGCGGTTCTTGTTGTAATCTCATGGTGTTGCAGCTTGCGCGGCAAGGTTACCCCGAAGAGAAGATACCCATGAAAAAGGTGCGCAGACCCTGACGTTGTCTAAACTGCTGACCATTGACGTTTGACAATCTTGCGCAGATCAGGAACTTCTTGTGGAATCAGCCTTACATTTCCCGTTTCAACGAAGACGGCAAGAAGTCAAAATCAAAAGGCAATCACATCTGGCATGTAGATGCCAAGAAGTCAGAGGGCGGGTGGATGTTCCGTCCTTTCCGGCGGAAGCTGGCCGGTACACCGCCTGGGGTGGCGTATGTCGGCCTTCGTTGGTCGTGGACTCCACGTATCTGGGACCCACAGGCATCCCGCTCGAATATGCCCGTTCATTACAGTTCACCTTTGCTTCCATCCTGGTTGTCATGGAAGGACGACGTTCTCTCCGGAATACCCACGCCCGAGGCTCAGAGCTGCGATGTTACAGTTGAAGCCAGGGTTGGTATTTCTCTCTTCGCACTACTGCTCAATTCTGATCTCCGTATCAGTTTCTGCAAGATGGTCAGGAGGAGGTCCTATCTCACACAGTACACGTTACGATAGCACCTATGGCTTCTGTCGATTCCACTTTCACCCCGTCGAGGCGGCCGTCACTTGTGGGCGATGTCCACAATCCTCGGCGGATCCTAAGCGACTCCATGGTGGGGCAAACAGCACCACCTCGGTGCGTTTACCCCTCAATTGTGCCTTGTCATCATCTGACTGGTGTCCTTCGGGTAGATTGATGCGCGCGCAATCCACGATAGCTCCAGTAGCTCCAGTGGTTGCGCCAGATTCTCAGGTGGTGCAGGTTTTGACCACTGCCGCACAGCGCGTAGCTCAAGAAGCCCAGTCCCAGGTGGTGGCATCGCCCAATGATGCAGGGCCGGAGTTGCAAGCTCTGGCTAAACAGCAACATGTTCTGACTGTGACTGCCCAAGCCTTCAATTCCAAAATGGCGGGGGAGGGCCATGATGGCTCCGGATCACAGTCGAACGCGCTCACAGCCGCAGCACAACAAGTCGTGCTGCAGGCGGCTCGTCAAGTCGCGGCAGACCGCACAGTAGCTGCTGTGTCGTCAGGAATGCCCTCTTCCCCGTCTACCGTCGCATCACAAGTGACGGTGAAGGATGTCTCTGTCGCAACGCAGTCTGCTGTCGCGCAGGCGGTCGACATGGTTGGACCATTATCCAGCGAGGTCGACGTCCTCATGACGGCGAGTTCGCTACTACAGCAACAGACGCGTTTGCCGTCGCAGAATATGCTGGATTCTCAGCTCGCAGCTTCCGATCCTAATCGAACACTCGCATCGGTGACGGCACCCCCACAGTATGGCATGCCCCTGTCAAACTCCGTGCCTGTCTTCTTTCACTCATGACGTTCACTACATACTGCGTAGGGATTTACTTGTTGCGTACGTTGTCTCGTGTGACATATCCTGGATTCGACCTAGAACTTTAGCCTCCTAGCTTCATTAACATTTCGTTAACCTATTAGCCATTCTTTGCACCCATATTACTTGTTGCATATGTAGGAAGTACCGATTGCTTTCGTTGCTTTGACCCTGTACGTATTCAGAACTATGTAAAGCATCTCATTCATGCGCCCAGTGCAGTGCAAATCAACATCATGTATCATTAACAAAAGCATTTTCGCACATAGTACAGACGATTGCGTCAGGTTCATTATCGAATGTACACACTGAGCAGGATTTCAACGTTGGAGTAGTCGGAGCTTCAGGTTGTGAGGACAACTCCGAGCTAGACATACTGCTCAGCAAGGTACCACCGAAACCTGGGCCTTCCTTGCGTCTCTTTCGCTTGTCACGCTCATTGTCAGTGTCAGAGAGCAAATCAATGTCCTCGGTCTGTTCCCGGAGATCGAGGAAGTCATTCGCCAGGATTCCTAATGAAAGGACTGTTGCTGAGCTATCTTCAAGTTCTGCTCCACGATAGAAGAGTCGTTGAGAAATCACAGGGACGTTTAACTCTTCTTGCAACTTGAGAAGCAACGCGTTGAGCGTCAAGGAAGACAAATTCGACAAGCTTCGCTTACCGATACCTTAAGATCCTTGACTGTCATTGCCTTCGTGATTGTGACTCTGCGCTGCTTCACTTGTCGACCTTGCCTGATACGATTAGACTGTCGCAAGCCGCCAGCCTTACGGGAGCCATATGTTGTAATTGGTCGCGGACCCAAGTGTTGCTGTGATACTTGTACGGATTCTTCTGAACAAGACCCTGAGGTAGGTATCGGATCTTTCGCCCCCAGAATGCGGACAGTAATCTCAGTCATATCGAAGTCAGACTTTCTGTGGTCAGAGTTCAGCGTTATTATGAGCGAGAAGGATCAATCCGCGTACCGTTTCAGGCGACAGTCTTGACATATGGCAATGTCATGATCCATCCGCCCACCTGTGTTTTCAACCGCAATCAGAGGGCCTGCGGAATAGCTGGGTGCACATTGATTGATGAGATTATGAAATGGCAGATAGAATCACAGGGAAGCGCACATATTTTCGATAATGTCCCAATCACTGCGCCTAATGAGCGCGATAGATGAGTCTATATCGCTTGTGGAATTGGGATCCAAGGATAACAGTCCATGTTTGCAGATGAACTGAGAGTTGTCAACCTTACTTGGGCGCGGTATTTCACCTGGGCGAAGCAGCCATTGTCGCCAAGACCGCACAAACTGCGCAGGCACTATTGCGCAGGGAATATTTTCGAGCAATGCAGTGTTGCCATTGAGAGCATTATCATGCATGTGCTTCAATCTGGCCTGTCAACGAAGTCAGTCTCATGATACGCCCGCAGTGGCGTAACGCTGACATACCTTCTCCTCTTCCGCCTGTCTTCGATATTCACGCCTGTCTTCTTTTGAAATGTGGACGATAGCTTCGCAGACAGCACACGGTTCGGTATCTGTAGGTATAGGCTTCCACGAAGGAAAAAGCTCTTGTAGCAGACGACAAGCCTTCAGTGATGCGCATGAGCGTTGCCTCTGTGTCGGTAGGCTTGAACGTACCTCAAGAGATATCTTCCGGCGGGCGGTAACATTCGCAGATAGGCCTCCGTGCTCGCATCTTACATGCTGTACAAACTCAGCGGCATCAGGCGGAAGGTCACCCTGTGAAGCAGAGTGCATCTTTGGCTTCGTCAATCGCCAATCTACACCCGGACAGTGAGCCAATTAGCCCTCGCAGCCTTTTCTGACAAGCGGACTTACCTTTCAGCCATTGCTTCGACACCCAGAATCCAGGATCATCTTCTCCTACTGTACAGATACCATCGAAGCGCGATATCAAACGTGGATGTTCAACCTGGTATAGTCGCTCTAGACCCCAAGCATGAACTTAATGATGTGAGCGCACAATATACTGTACCCACCGGTGAACATGTTCTTCACGCACAGTTCGCACACGTCGGCAGGCGAAAGTACAGGATTCCATCCGTAATGGTCTTCAGTTGCGATGCGCTCATAGGCGATCTGGAAGGACGGTCAAAATTATGCAGCCCTTAGCGACACAGCTTCATACCTTGGTGATTAGTTTCATATCGCTCCCTTTGTCTGGATCCAATTTGCCATGGCTGCATACAATCTCCGAAATAGATGACGCCTGTTCTCTTGGCGTGATGTCGCTGACAAGATCTGAGACATTGGTTTGTTGTTCTGCAGGCACAGATGCTTCACTGGTCTTGGTATCATCTGCTTTATCTGCGTGCTGGACACCATTGGGTGATTCTGACCGCGCCTGCTTGGCTGATGGGAGTTTCATCAAATGACGTGAAAGCCACCGTTCTAGACATTGTCGGCTGGCTACAACAGATTCCTACTCGTGCATCAGGATTCGGTTTGGAGACGTGGGCACCGATAGAAAACCAAACCTGGTCCCGTAAGGTTATATTCCAGGATTTGTAGACTTCCCTCATTCTATTTCTGATCTCATCGAAACGTGCTATAGTCTCTCTCTCCCTGGCATGCCAGTTAGCATCAAGAAGTCTGCGCGCAAAAGAGTACGCACCGCTGGACGAAAGCTTTGCATGCTTCTTGATGTGCATCGTTCAAGGTGCTGACTGCCTGCTGTGCGCGATGGGGTGGTGTGAGAGCGTCAGGCGTAGCCGCTCGCATTTTCAAGCCACCACCACAGCTCTGACCGGCAACACAATCCTTCATTTCTGCTTTTCTGTTATCATCGATCCGAGAGTATACAAGCATGTACGCCTCTTTAGAGGAGATGTAGCTAATAATCATTTCAGATTATAGCAGCGCTGAATGAAAACAGACACTCACGCTGTGGTTTCGGGAGCGCTCGTGCCCTTCGGCGCTGGTCTGCGAGCAAAGTGAACGTCAATGCCTTTCCCGGACGTACGGGCTTGAGACGAACTCTATGATCTCGATGTCGCTATCACTGTCGACTCGGCGACGCTTCTTGGGCTGCTGTTGTGAGTGGCCGTTTGCCTTTTTCCTGGAACGAAAGACACCTTAGCCCTCGCCTAAGAGTGTGAGGGCTTCCAAACGTTACCCTTTGCTGTCCGCCTCTGCCTTTGGTTTATCTTTGGACGTATTGGGTTTGGCCTCCAAAGAGTCGATTTTCGTGACGGTCTCGTCATTGAACTGATACCACGCTTTATTCCTGATGAAATGTTAAATTCAATTCCATGTCGTTGTAAAATGTACACCTACTGAAGGTCGAAAACCTGCGCCTCATAGTGACCATGGTATGCGCTCGCACCCTTGTGAAGGAGGACACCCCGCAACTCGTACAGGTTCTTACTTTTCCCGCTGTTCTGCTTCCCGCGCTGCTTACGCTCCTCAGGCGGGCCCAGGAATCGATCCATGTCAATAAAAGTAGGGAAAGAGATGGTGTGCTTGCTCTTCTTGCGTTCCATAGACGCGAGATCGTAGACGAAGCGTAAGAGTGAGAAATGAACCACGGGAGGCAATTCCTTCAGTTCGGTATATCTCTTGGCTTCCTGCAAGCTATCGCAACGCGAGCACAGATACCTGAGGGAAACGTCAGCGCGCATCGAATCATAGGAGTGATGCAGCTGCACTTGTTGTCTCCTGATAGAGTCTCTGGTTTAAGCAACACGTTGAGCTGTTCTTCTAGTGTGGCGTTATTCTACCGTGGATGTCAACTCGAGAAAGGTGACAGGTTGATTCATTTCGCTACCTTGATATTGACTTCAATCTCCAGGAAATCGGAGTCGCGCTCTGAGCGATGTTGGCATTTCTCACAAATTGTGCAATACGACTGCTTTCCCTGAAACTAATGGACATCTATGAAACGCAATACACGGAACCCTAGCTGGGACATACTTGATCAGAAATAAGCGTCTTCAGTCCCGGGTCCGATTGCTTGGCAAACTCAGTGTCGAGGTGAGCCATGAAGAGCTTCGAGAACCTGGACAGCTTGAGGTCAAACAACACAAAGCATGTGAGGTCAAGTCAGAACCCACTCTTGAGCGTCTTGCTGTTCTGACGTTCGCAGCTTCAAACTCTCGACGAGCTTCACGGGGTTGAATGCGCTTTGCGTACTCTCCTGCATGGCAGCGAATGTGACCTGCAGCTGGAAGATGGGAGACTCCTAGAGTGATCAACAGTCAGTAATGAATGACTTGGAAGCAATGGAATCTGACTTCAAGTTTGAACTTGGCATCCTGGGGCAACTGACAGCGATATACACCGCTACGAAACGGTAGGTCTTGGAACCACACCTGTACTTGATTGTCACGGATACGAGTGCAATGAGATGAATTTGGCAAACCTGTAGGAAGGCATTCGCATAACAAGTGGCGCCTAAGTTCTGGGCGCGATGACGCTCTCAGCTGAATATTGTGAGCTGGCCGCCACGAACCACGTACCTTCAGACCGACAGGATGTCCAGGTTCCCTTGAGTCGGTCAGCGGATTCTCCCCTATGTCCGCTGCTTTCAAAAAGAGTCTGCACGCCTTCTCTACATGTAACTGTAAGCATCGGGCAGCGCAACAATTCAGGCAGTCTTGCCTTTGTCCTCCCACTTGTCTTGTCCAAGGTAATTGAGGCAGTACGGATTGCTCTTGCATGACTTGCTACTGCACGAAGGCCCCTCGTCGTCCGAGATGACAATGACGTCGTCTGCCAATTCACCTGGAGCCGGATTCTCCTGGGACTTCCGTGTGGTCGGAGCAGATCCATCCTCAGTAGGGATGTACTTGTTAAGACACAGAGTATGTGTACTCCTATTCAAGAGCCCACAAGTTGCCAAACGATGTTCCAGCGTGATATCCGACGCGTCAGACACATCGGTGCCCACCCAGCCCCACGCTGAATACGAGCTGTTTCTCGTCAGTTTGGCGCGCTTGAGCCTTTCTCCCGCGCCCAGGCCAGCCGGTGCAGGAGATTGTCGACGGGTCCTCTTGGGTGGCATGCTATAAGCACGAGGACAATTATCCAGGATGCGACAATGTCGGAAGCAGGTTAAGTAGTAATTGAAAGGAGTGGCTGAACGCGCGTGGGTGGCAGAGCTCGCGTCAGACAGGCGCTTACATTCTCGATCACGTTGGGCGTGATCGACCCATGCAGATTTCTGCAGGCAGCAACCATCCTCTCCATTGCAGACATGTCCCGCCCAGAATTTCAAGCACCTCCAGAGATCGTGCGTTCAACTGCTCGCGTGGCCAGAAAGTGACGCTCATTCTTACCCTCTAATAGTATTATGGCGACACAGAGGCCAAAAAGTACACTAACAAGTGAGTGATCTCGACTTACCCTTACCTCCAGCATCTCATCTCACAATAGCTCTCGTATACAGCAAATCCAAGCGGATATGACGTACCGTGCATTGGAGCTGTTGAGTCTCCCCTCGGACCAGCCAGCCTTGCTGCTTGATATTGGTTGTGGTTCGGGACTCTCAGGTGAGATCTTGGATGAGGAGGGCTACAATTGGGTCGGAGTAGATATCGCTCCGAGCATGCTAGGTGAGTATAGTAACCTCGCACTTGGTCTTGTCGACTCAACGTCATCGATAGAGGTTGCGCTTGAGAGAGAGGTCGAGGGTGATCTATTTCTACAAGATATCGGCCAGGGATTCGGCTTCCGTCCAGGTAGCTTTGACGGGGCAATAAGGTGCATCCGAAGTTTGCTCTAATTGTAAGGAGAAGCACTGACATTGTTCTAGTATCTCTGTCATTCAATGGTTGTTGAATGCGGAGACCTCACATCCAACATCCTCCCCACCACACCGCCTTACACGCTTTTTCACTACTTTGCATGCAGCACTACGGAATCCTTCGCGTGCTATCTTCCAGTTCTATCCAACGTCCGATGACCAAGTTCAGCTCATCACATCAATAGCACAAAAGGCTGGCTTCGGCGGAGGTGTTGTGGTAGACTACCCCAATTCCAACAAGGCACGGAAAGTATTCCTGTGTCTATTTGTAGGAGGTGGGGGTGGACAACAAGTTCCGAAGGGCCTTGAGGTCGATGCTGAGGAGGATGACGCCCGGGTGAAGTTCGAGAAGGCAAGAGAACGGCAGCGTAAGCGAGACAAGAGTGGCAAGCGAAAAAGCATCAAGGACAAAGATTGGATCCTCAAAAAGAAAGAGGTGCGTCGTCAGCCCATTGTACACAGGATATCTGTCTAACGTATCCTTTGTAGCTGTACCGACGGCGGGGCAAGGAAGGAGTGCCCAATGACTCGAAGTTTACAGGGCGGAAACGGAAGGCGACATTCTAGCTCTCATTCTCTTTTCTGTTGTATCCTCCTATCGCGTGAGCCGCATGTTCCATGCATTGCCTGTCTTTTCGCGCCTTCAGCGGCTTCGAATACCGCCCAAGAGCCCCCACGACCGGGGTGAAAATGTGTATCAATGCTGTCGCAACTGCAGCGCATCACAGGTTTTTCTTAGTTGTTGAGAACCATCATAGTATTGTATTATTGTTTACAGTGCATGTATACACGCTGATCAGCATCGACCCGTCCCCTCTTGTAATTGCGGTACGCGAAATAGTGATCCATACAAGAAGGTCTGAGCAGAGAGGCCTTTCATCATGAATGCGATTGCCGAGAAGCCCCAATCCCTGGCAATGAACTCGGCAAGCGCTAAACCGTCCGAGCACCTTGATCCTGCGCGTCATTGTAGTAGACGCCATCGTCCTTTATACCCGACCCACTGTGCTTTGAGAAGACCGTGAACAGAACACCATGTCTGGCACAGGACCTCGAGAGAACATATTTCCGACGCGTATGGCGCTTACGAACACCAAGCTTCGCCTGAGAGGAGCGCAGACAGGACACTCGCTCCTCGCCAAGAAGCGAGATGCGTTAACGACCAGATTCCGGGCCATTTTAAGGAAAGTGGATGAGGTACGTTCGCAGTCTACGTACATTATTCCAGCAACGCATTGTGACGTTTCCGTAGTTGAAGCTACATGGCTGATTTACTTGACAGGCGAAGCGAAAGATGGGTCGAGTGATGCAACTGGCGTCCTTCTCTCTCGCAGAAGTCACATACGCAACAGGGGACATCTCTTACCTTGTCCAGGAGCAAGCGAAGTCGGCATCCTTCAAAGTGAAGGCGAAGCAAGAGAATGTCTCCGGTGTCGTACTGCCTGCGTTCGAGGTGGTGAGGATACCACGGAACGGTTCGTTCATCCCCTTATTGGCTACCGCAATCTGATGCACGGGGACTTTACAGACTTCAATCTCACTGGTCTTGGCCGTGGTGGTCAACAAGTACTGCGAGCGAAGGAAGTATACGCTAAGGCAGTGGAAACCTTGGTGGAACTGGCATCGCTACAGACCGCCTTCATGATTTTGGACGAGGTCATTCGTGCGACCAACCGCCGTGTTAACGCAATCGAGCACGTAGTTATTCCTCGATTGGATAACACAATCAAGTACATCCTCAGCGAGCTTGACGAAATGGACCGAGAAGAGTTCTTCAGGTCAGTGGAGTCTTGTTGAATGTTAACATCATATTGAGCCCCAATCTGTCCAGACTGAAGAAAGTACAAGGCAAAAAGAAGCGCGACGCAGAAGCTGCGGAAGTACAGAAAAATGCAATCCAGCAGGAGGTCATCAATCCAGAGTTCGAGCCTGAGTTTGCGGGAGGCGGGGATCTCCTGAGCAGCAAAGACGAAGACGTTATCTTCTGATTGAGCACACACGTTGAGAGAATGTATGCATGTGGCCATTGTAATGCAGGCGAATATCTCATATGGCATGTCATGTGCGTACAGAGTGCATACATACATGATGTGATTTTGAGTGTATGATGCAGGACCGGACGGAAAGCAAAGAGCAAAGAAAGAGCAAAATCACTGCATTCAAAGAAAGAGTCAGATAACACGTCGATATGAAACAACAGAATCGTAAACATACGTCAACCATCTCAACATCCTCACCCGAACTGCTGCTCTTCTTACGGTCTTTCCTGTCGAGGATTGCCCGCCTGCAAAGGATAGCGTGAGTCATTTCACGGGAATGCGCTGACGCCATAGACATACCTGTCCTTGTCTAGCTTGATCGTCGTGATAACGACATTGCTGGGGTGGATACCGATAGGGACCGCAGCACCGTTCGACTTGTCCCGTTGGACTCGGTCAACGTGGATCACCCACTTCTTGCGGTACACCTGCGTGACCTTGCCCTCCCGACCTTTGTACTTCCCGCGTACAATCCGGACCTCGTCGTCCTTACGAATGGGCAGTGAACGAGTCTATTTCACGCTTGAGACGTTATGTTCTCTGTTGTGACTGGGAGCGTACGTACGTTGTGCTTGCCGCGCAGCTCCTTCGAGAGAGCAGAGGACATGATTTTGCGGCGGATGGACGAGGGCGCCGAGAAGTGCGCCTTGCGCGCCTTGCGGCGGGAAGAGGACACGTCTGCATGAATATACACCAGAGAAGAGCACTATCAGTACAGAGTCATCCAAACAAGCAGCACAGGTCATCCAGAGAGCATAGCGTCCATCCAGCCGAAACCTCCGCAAAATCGAGCCGGTTTTTCGCGCCCTGGACGACTGGCAGCATTCCAGATAGCGACAAAACAGCAACTAACCAGCGTTGAACTTCATCTTGAGGATCTTGACGATTTACGGCGGGTGGGCGGGACGTGTAGACTTTCCAGCGTGCGGCCAAAATAGTCAAGGTTCCCACGCGCTTCGATCCAGAGGGACCCCGAACACCTCAATCGTCATTTGTATCATTTCCTACGCGAAATACCCGCAGTACTGTCTTAAACACAATCCACATCAATTCATCTGCCCTCTGACTGCTCTGTGCGCTGCATTTTGTGACTAGACAACTACAGAGCTTATCATGTCCTCTGACGACAAAGTCCGCCCGACGAAGCTCAAATTCAAGGGGGAGAAAACCAAGAAGAAGCGCAAGAGGGAGGATGGAGAGGAAGGTTCAAGCACTAGCCGACGTCGCCGCAAAGAGGAGGAAGAGAGTCCAGAGACATGGGTGCTACCTGAGAGTGCCCACGAGATTCGTGGCCCAACTTTTATCATGCATCCTTCTGATCCTTCACCCATCTGCATCACGTATGACTCTACCCGGGGACGCATTGTGCTGCATTCGCTGGACAAGGACAGGACTGAAGGGCAGGAACCAGTAAGCTTCCTCGACCGTACACCAGCTGAAGTGTCGCAAGTGTGGGTAATTACGCGCGTAGCGGGTTCGCCCACAATCAACCTACGTACCGGTGTTGGAGAAGGGAAGTTTCTATCATGCGACAAGCACGGGCTAGTGTCTGCGGACCGAGAAGCTCGCGGGCCACAGGAAGAGTGGACCCCTATCGTCCTACCCGATGGCATGGTTGCTTTCCAGAACGTCTATGAGAAGTACCTGGCTGTCGATGAGGTCGCCGGCGGGACTATCGCCCTACGCGGAGATAGTGATGAAGTTGGATTTGCGGAGCGCTTCTGGGTTAAGATCCAAAGCAAGTACAAGAGAGAAGCGCATGAAGAGGAGAAGAAGAGGACGGAGGGTGTGACCGATGGCATGAAGGTGGACGAAGCCGGTGCAAAGTGAGCATGGCATTTAACTCGGTTTTTGTCGCGCGCACTCATTGACGACGCTTCTTAGTAAAATCTACCAAGCTTGGGGTGCCGGGCGGTCGGTTGTATCTGTGGATGACAAGAAGGAGGTATGTAAATCTACAGCCTTCGCTTCGTCTATGCGTCCCTGATGGATATCGCCTGTTATCATAGCTGAAGCGCGCTCGTAAAGAGGGTCGATTAGCGGAGGCACTGCTAGACAGGAGGGCGAAGTTGAAGAGGTACGTGGTCTCGAGTATTGAGCGAAGATTATGAGACTGACATTGTTATGTAGCGATCGATTTTGTTGAGTTTACGCTTAGTAGTTGTAGTTTTATCTCCAGGGGAGTGCTATCTACGTTCAGTAGGGCAATTTTGACTGCTGAGTAGGTACTATGCGTGATCCTGACCAACCAGTGTTGAGCGTAATCCATTATGGGCAATTCCTAGTCATCGTGCGAGATAGAGTGGGGTCTTGGTGGCATGCAAACACAAGTCAATCTGATTCTGGGTCATATCCTAGTAAAGCCACTGGCCCAGGCGGACAACGTCCACCAGTTGTGGCACAAGTCAGTGGCGTATGTATCTGTCGCACGTGGCACGCGACTGGCACGCGTACATACCGCGTCGCGTTCGGGCGCCTGCGGTGCGCGTGTTTTTCTTGTACAAGTTGCCGTGTTCTCAGTTTTGTCTGGTCATTGTACTCCAAACGCGAGGCATAATGGTACACAGGCACTCCACTATCATTGAAGCGTACAGTACCCTTGGCCTTGAACAGGTCAGTTGCTATAAATGCGACTGAGAGATTCAAGAATGACAAACTAACCGTGAATGGCCAGGGTTCACCACTCGAACTCGTAAAAAGCACATACAGACAGGTATGCAGCATATACTGTAGGAACGTGAGTGGAATGTAGATGTTTACATACCACAGCTTGCCTTGAGAACACACCCCGATAAGAACCCCGGTAACGAAGACGCCACTGCTCAGTTCCAGCGGCTGAGTGAAGCATACAATGTCCTTCTTAAGCACTTGGATGGATCAAACAACAGCTACGACAACTATGATGATGAAGACGACTACGAATACGGTGACTATGGCTACGACGATACGTACTACGAGGAACACCTTGAGTTCTACATGTCAGTTCCCACACTAGCCCTCGTTCACTGTTGGAGCTTATAGTCGTGGTAGGTTCTTATTTGAGGAACTGTTGCGCGGCAGAGCCAGCCGTCACTCCAACATGCGTGAGTCGAAACACGATCATGCTGAGATTCACTTAATATATTGCATATAGGCTATCGTGACCAACACCCCAAGCCGCCACCCGAAACCCCAAAGCAGTATCAGGCACGTTTCCGCAGGATGCGTGAAGAGCAGGAGCAGGCAGAGGCTCGACGTGCACGGGAAGAGGCATCACGCAAAGCTGCAACAGAGAAAGCACGTGAGAGGGGTGAGTAATCTTCACTTGTACCGACACAACCTAATTCGCGTTGTGGATAACGCTAGAGAGAAAGGAAGCTGAGGAACGACAGAGAATGAAGGCGTTCAACAAAAAGGCACAGGATGCAGCGTCTCAGAAAAGCGCAGAGCAAAAGGCTCGTGCACAAAGAGAACATTTACAGGCTCTTCGCTCGGAGATATTCACTGCGGCCCGATGCGGAGACCCAGAGAAAGTTAAAAAGGGTGTTTGGGAAGACAATGTCGATGCAGCCGGTGGCGAAGTAAGGAAAGGCTCGGAGGATTTCTTGCAGTCTCTTCCTGAAGACAAATCGGAGACACTAATGCATATCGCTGCGAAGAATGGGGATGCTGACTTGATAGAGTGGCTTGACACCCATGGTACGCTGTCTAGGCTTTCTAGAAGAATGAAATGCTAACTTAGATCTACTGTCCAGGTGCTGAGGCCGGAGAACGTGACTCTAACGGCTTCACCGCCTTCCACGTAGCCTTGCAGCGTGGCCATATCGATGTTATCAAGTATTTCTTTACGACATATCATCCCCATGACGCGGATCACGACGAGGTCTATGCTCGTCCTCAATCAAAGTCACTGCTGCGTCTCGCGGTCGACTCTTCAGCACCCGAGGCTGTCTGGATGATTCTGGACAAGGAACTAGCGACTGAAGAGGAAAGGAGTGATGCGTGGCGATACACGATGTCTGACGCAGGAAAGACTGCTACCTTTGGTCCTCCCTCTAGGCAAGATCCGGGAAAACACGACGAGATCCGCAATCTCTTGAAGACCTTCGGTGGCTTCGAGGTGGTTGAGGAGAAGCAAGCGTATACTGATCGCTCCGAAAACATAATTGACTCCACTGTAACCCCTGCCGACTCGCCAAGCTGCACGCCTTCCCTCCCGCACGAACCACGATCGCGAGACTCGTCTAGTGGCCACAATGTCCGGGAAATTGATTCGGAGCGTCCTCCAAGATTTCACCGCGGTCAGCGTTACTTCCGCCGACCCTACAAGCAACATCACCAGCCTCGTTCACATGAGCCATCTTCCAACGTTGAGCAAAGCACATCAAAACCCGTTGATTCGCGCGTCCCAGCAGATGGCATGCGTCCTGATCATCCCTTTGACGGTCGAGGACGAGGACGAGGGCGGGGTCGCGGAAGAGGTAGAGGTGGAGTGCGGGGTCGTGGGCGGGGCCAGCCGCCTGCGTAGTTGTTCAGTTATTCTTGTTCAAGCTGTTGCCACAGATTCATCGCTTTCGACAGTTCTCTTATTGCATCATGATCTGCAAGCTTTCCCGTTGTCAATCGCTGTTATAGCCTCATCTAGCACCCTTTATATATGTATATGCATTCTGTCCTAGAGCATCCTTCTCGGAATACGTTACAATCTTGTACTGTACAATTTATGCAACTGAAATCAGGATTTGGTTGTTGTTACGAATTACACCTTTTTCCCGTGCGTGCTGTGTGTCCCCAGGTAGCATACAGGGCTCTCCTGTCTTCGCCTTAGAAGCTTTGCTTTACGCTCATCGCTGGACCCACAACCTGCAGCCTGAGCGTGTGCTTACGTAAGCGCTGACAAACGACCATCTTCTCACTATCTCAGCACGCCGCTCTCAGCGCTCAAACTCGCCTCTTCATAAACACCAAGTACCCCAGCATAGCAAAGACTTGCACATCATGGGTCGACTCGCGGAAATGCAGCGTAAGCTCTTGGAGGTATGTGGCATTCTGCTTTTGCTTTCATTTCAGAACTGACCTCTAGTAGCAAATGATGGGCCCTGAAGCAATGGGTGTCGCGAATGCCAATCTGACGTGGTCAGACGAGAAAGTCTGCAGGAACTTTCTCTGCGGAACATGCCCTCACACGCTTTTTACCAACACAGTAAGTAGTAGGGCACATGCATCCGGGAAACGTAGCTGACTGGCATGTCAGAAAATGGATCTGGGTGCTTGCCCGAAGTCTCACACCGAACGCTTGAAGACGGAATACCTGCAGGCGAAGGAGACAGATCCGAACAATCCCATATTTTCTCGCTTTCAAACAGAATACGAGTCCAACATCTTCGCATTTGTCGATGAGTGCGACCGTAGAATCAGGGCAGCGCATAGGAGGCTGGAGAAGACTCCTGAAGAGAACGCGAAGACGACCAACTTGGTATGCTCCGTGGTCAGCTCTCACACATTTGATGCTTACATTCGCCTTGTTTACAGATGAGGGAAATTGCTGAGATTGAGTTAGCCATCCAGGGAGGCACAGAGAAGATTGAGACACTGGGCACGTATGGTTTGTTCTCCTATTGTTACTTCTGACTGACTGGTATCCTTTCCAGGTGAACAAGGACAGGTGGATGAATCTATGCGGGAGATGGCCGCTATTGAGGCATTGAAAAGCGAGAAAGCAGAGAAGGAGGCACGTCAGTTAGCTTCATGATGGCGGGTTCGGTACTGACGTTTTGTATAGCGAGAGCTCCAACAGCTGACTGATACGTCCGGCGCATCTGGTCATCAGAAGCTGCGTGTGTGTGACGTTTGCGGTGCATACCTCTCCGTCCTCGATTCGGATCGTCGTTTGGCTGATCACTTCGGAGGAAAGGTTGGTATATTAGCATTTTATATATTGATACACTGTCGGCATTCATCTAACCCTGCCACTTAGATGCATCTAGGCTACCATGAACTGCGTAACATGTTGGTCAAGTTCAAGGAAGAGCGTGAAAAGCGCAAAATGGGTCCGCCATCCTCAGTTCCTTCGGGCGCTCCTGCAGGCGCTGCAAGCGGTGGCATTCCGCCTGCTGGTGGAGTTCCCCCCCGGGGCGGCGATCGAGATTATCGGTCATCGCGGGATGACTTCCGTGACCGTGATAGGACGTTCGACAGACATGCATCTCGCTTTGAGTGAGTACATAACACTATTTTTTCCGTATTTCAACTGACTCTTTGTACCGCAGTGAACGGCGGAGAGACCGTTCTCGCTCGCCAGGGCGGAGGAGATATTAATTCATCCGGGGCGACTCTATTTCCGACTTTCTTGTACTGTGTTGACGCAGAATAGCGATGTATATGATTATTAGCGTCATGACAACGTGTGCGGGCATGAACCGTGTGGTCATGCCACTTGTTTCGTAAGGTTTTCAAGATAGCTCGTAGTAGTCTTTCTTCACTGCATTCACCGTCACGTGGGCGTGTATGGCCATGTCGGTCGCGCGTCTCGACTCTCTGAGCACCCTAGACCGCCCCGTACTTATCCTCTGGTTGGTGTGTCCGGCTGACATGGCACCTTCAGTCATTACCAAGATACGAGAGAAACTCAGACCGAAGGGTGATCGCAACGCCCTCAAAATTCGCAGGCGACGGAAGCTGACGGGAATGCTATGGAGAAGTCTACCCATAATAATGTAGGATTAGGTCGTATGTTTCTTGACTCTCAGCTCATACACGCTCTGCTGCAGTCTTGTATTACTCTTTGTTGGGCATCTATGGCTACTGCTCATCCCTCTGCCGCTGTTAGGCCAAAAGACATACATTGACGAGAATGCTCTGCAGCCGGGGCAGGTAGACATTTGTCCAACACCTTTGGCCATAGTAGCCTGCTTACTGTGTCTAGGTCAATACATACTTCAATTGGGAAGACGTTCACCATGCAGATCAATACCTGGCTGAACTAGAGCGCTTGCGCGATCAAAATGCTACAAGCGAGGAGTAAGGCTGCCCTGTGCACTTGTCGTGCTATGAGCTAAACGGCCTCTTGGCACTAGAATATCTGGATATTTAGTCGGAGAGTTTGAGAAAATGGGATTGCCTGCGGCCAGTCAGAGGTATCTATTCTCGACAGCATCCTCTGTGAGAAGCCTCCCTGACCTGCTGGTGAGGTCGAAATATTGACACTCAACATAGCACGCCAGTGGCTCCAACTCATACGCTCTACTATCGTCTCCGCGCGCTTCTGGTACTGAAGCAGTGGTGATCAGCGCCTCATGGCTCAGTAGGACCGGAGAGGGCAATGGAACACTGAACCTGCGAGGGGTCGCTTCTGTCTTGTCCTTAGCATCTTTCCTCAAAGGTGCGTCGTAAGGCCTGTGCATATTGCATATCGCTCACCGTCCATAGGACACTCTTTGTGGGCCAAGGATCTGATCTTTGTCATCAGTGACGGTTATTTGGAAGGGATGCAGGCGTGGATCAGTGCCTACCATGGCGCTGAGCAATCTAGTGTGTGCGCAGCAAATTCTTCATGGATAGCGTGCTGAATTCTGCTCTCTTGAGACCTATTTGCGGAACCATTGAGGTTGTCATCAGGCGTCATCTGGACCGCTCTGAACATAGACTACCCCGGTCATTCGTTCTCGCATCTTGGCGTCTTCTTTGGTATGCCCTCCTACAGATCTGAGTGTGCTTTTCTTCTGATCTTCTGAAAATGCAACCTCTCAGAGGGCCTTAATGGTCGTCTTCCCAACCAGGATTTGATCAATTCCTTCCAGTTGATATCCCGCTTTACCGGTGGCGTTCCAGTTTTTGTATACGACCACTCAGACTCCCGCGAGCTTCCGGTTTGGCTTCCTGGCGTCCTCGAGCATGTGAACGGCATCAATGAATACGCATACAGAGCGAAAAATATCTTGCGACATGTGGGTTACCAAGCACGCGGCAAAGCGAGCGGTGTTCATGGGCTGTTACATCAGTATGACTGCATTTCACGAGTCCTGGTTGTCTTATAATATTCTCATTTACGACCGTTTTCAGATTCCGCATCGACGCCATCACACTTTTTGCAGTGCCCGCCGCTGGTCCTCATGGCTTTCATGCTTTTGGTCGGTGAGTATATCGAGACTGTCTATGCTCGTATTTCCTTCTCTCAATATACTGTGCAGGGTCATGGAGTCTACACTACGGACGACAAACAATCTACTCGAACGTTTGCACGCATCGTTCTTCTTCTACCTATTGGTCGGCACGGAAACATTCCTGAAGATCGGGAGCTATCTACCCAGCGCTATCATCATCGGTATAGCAATGCTTTTCACGGGCTTAAATGAATGGGTTACCGCAGGATCAATTTGGACGCCGGAGCAACTCGGAGAAAAAGCCACGGATGCTGCTGCGCCAAGTGGACAAGGTCAATGGACGCGAAGACGGAGACCTGTGTTACCGGCTCTAGCTGTCATTATTGCCACGCATCTCGCTGGTATATTGACATTCTTTACCATCACAAGGCCATTCTTCCTGAGCTACCAAACGGTGAGCGACACAGCAACTGCTAACCATTCAATCGTTAATATTCTGATAACGCAAGGCATCATCGCTGGCAATGTTTGCGTTTGCGTATACTGTTCCGGTGATCAGTTCGCGCACGATCGACACTGGGCGCGACGAGGTTGCGCCACTTGCTACAGTGCTGAAAGCATTCAATTTGTGTATCGCATCTGTTGTCACATCCGGTATATCCATCCTAAACTTCTCCCTGGCAGCGGTACTTGCGGTCGCATTGGGTTTTCCGTTATGCTATTCCTCAAAATCCTCTCGTTCTGCCGCTAGGATTATCCGTTATACCTTTTACAGCCTCCTCGCTTTCGGATGGTTGTTCGTACCGGAACAAGTACGACAAGCTGTCGCCGACTGGGAACTGCTAGGCGTTTGGTTTGCACCGTTTGTATGTATAGTGTACGTGCCACTCATGCTTCAGGGAGCAGTGGTCACCCTGTTGGCGCAGTAGATTTATATCTTATTTGGCGTCCTGATTGCATCGGAGTGGCGCATAAAACCAGATAATGCGCAATTCGTCTTAATCCATGTCCATGCCAGCCCCAGCATCATCGCCAAAGAGATCGTCCTGCTCGGCCTCTTCGCCATCGGCTTCGTTGCCGCCTTCGGTATCTTCTTCTGCGATGATTCCTTCCTTCTTCATCCGCTGCTGCTCCTTTATCTCTTCTCTCTGCACCAACTTTGTGTCCAGGTCTGCTTGCAGCTTCTTGAGCGCATCCTCGAATCGTCGCTGCACGGCATCATCAGCTGTTCATAAACAATGCGTGACTGAAGGACGAACCTTGATCAGTGGGTTCGCCGAGCTTGCAATCTCGTTGCCTTTCTTCGCCACTGCTGCCTCCAAGTCTCGGATCTCCTCGTTTAGTAGCTTTCTGGCTTGTACCATCTCATCGTCATCGTCGTCATCTTCCTCGTCTTCCTCTTCTTCGCTGTCGTCTTCGTCGTCATCCTCATTTTCGCCCTCTTCCTCCTCATCGCCGAGAGCCAAGTCGAGTTCAGCGGCCAGCTCCTCGTCGATGTCTCCCTCGCCCTCGTCATGACCATCCTCGCCCTCGTCTTCCGCCTCGCCGTCTCCATGATCTGGACCTGGCGTGGGGGCATCTCCGATGTCTGAACCAATGAACGGCGTGGGCGCGTCGAGGGGCCCTTCCTTGTCCACGTATTCCGAATCTGAGAGATCCGGATTGACGTTCTCGAGAACATCTGCAGCATTTCAAATTAGCATGAATGAAACTGCGCCTGAAATGAGACTAGCCGTATTTTACTTCGGATGCTAGCGCATCCTCTTCGAGGAGTCTCTCGACTTCTTGCTCGACCGTTTCTATTGTCTGAAGAATGATTCAGTTGCCATTGACAGAACTCTCGTCAAACTACTCACCCGACGGTTCACTCGTTTGCGGAATCTACGCTTGCGGGCGTGATGCAGTGGTGGCGTGATCCCGTGTGGCCAGATGAACTCGTCAACGTTGAAGTTTCGCTGATTCGTGATAGCATCTTCATTCTCCATAGGGGCCTCCACGACTAGCATCTGGATAGGGAGTAATCAATGAGTTGCAATGAATCTCGAGTGAGAGTGCCCAACCTGACAGATGTCTGCCACCTTAAACATCTGCTTGTTATCAAGCGTCTTCTGTGATTCTATAAGGCATGGTAGATCGACCAACTTGGCCGAATAATTGCTGTTTCCGATGTGGAAGACGGCTCGCCGTGAGTCTGAAGACCTGTGAGTCTTACCGTATTGTCTCGCATAATCCAGGTGTTCCGCTACAAACACTCACCCTTGAACTTGAACCACACATCATTCCCCACTTCACGCGAGGAAACAATCTTCCTCAGCCTCTCACAATCATCCCCGGGTGGCATCCGAAGTATGAACTGCTCCTCAAAGACCAGGTCCTCGTCATCTGAGTCTAATTCCCTATCATATGGGCCAAGGAAAGACATTCCAGGTGCTTGAGCGGCAGCTTTCTCGCTCAGCTTCAGCTTCAGCTTTGGCTGTGGCTTGTTCCGTGCCGCAGCAGAGCGAGTAGTGCGCGTTTCTGAGAAGTCCATCCCGCCGTATACCGGAGGCGTGCTTCGTCTGGAAGATGCGCGAGTCATTGTCCGAGTGGCTGCGGCTGCTGCACGAGTCGGCCGGTATTCCTGGTCTGCCTCTTTCAAACCATTTGGATTTGAGGGGCCAGCCTCGGGCTCCTCCTGGTCGTCGACATCGTCCACGACAATTAAGTCGTCTTCCATAGCAGACACTATTATTCCGTGTGAAACTGTAGAGACAAGGTGGTCTAGAGCAAAGCAAGTGTGGCTGAGTGCAAGATGGCCGGCGAGATGATCGAGTGCGTGACCTGGACGGTACGCGCTGCGTCACGCCCATTCTGCAGTCACTCTCGAGCCGGCGCTTTCTCTGGACGATCATCCGGACCGTGACGGTGACGACCATGTCCGACTCTCCTTCGCCGTCGGCACCTTTGGTCCTGCACATATGGCCTGCTCACGGACAAGCCCTGTCTTTGGATCCCGCAAGCGCAGCAGCGCTGCTCTATCTGCAGCTCGCCATTCCTGGTCGGTTTTCTGTTGCGCACTGTGCAAACCCGGACGTGTCCCCCAGCGGTAGGTCTGTTGCGCTCGTGCTACACTGGACTCGCTGTGCTCAGCTGACTCCTGGCATCTAACAGGACAACTGCCGTACTTGACGCACGGCTTGCGTAATGCGTCTACGTTCCCGTCTATTGTCAAGTATGTCGCCCACCTTGAGGGTGCTCACGACACCAACGGGTCACTTACTCCTGTCGAAAAGGCGCGACTGTGCGCGCGGATAGCTCATGTGCAATCAGACTATGGGGACCTTGTGGTATTTACTCGCACTCCCGATTGGAGAGCATAACTGATCACAAGGTTTGAATGCAGGCGCATATGCTCTATTCGCTCCATTCGAACTGGTGGAAAACGACTCGACCTGTCCTGGTCGCTGCCCTCCCTATTCCTCACAGATATTACGTAGCGGACCGTGTACGGGAGTCCTACAAACCACGCTTGGAGGCCTCTGAATTGTGGGGCATTCCGGGACTGGAAGACGAGGAACAGGATGGGATCTCCTCCGTGTTCCGGAAGGAAAAGAAGAGGAAATCGCAGTTGAAATCTATAAAGTTTAAGAATGCCTTCAGACGTGATCAGGTCAGATTCAATTTCGTGCCTATTTACTTTCACCGACAGGTTGTCAGGTGCTCGCCAAGGCCCGTGCATTGCTCTCCATTTACTCAAAATTGCTGGGCGATAATCGCTACTTTCACCTTCACAGTGACAGGTGAGATTCGAAAATGGGTTTGATTCATGACGACTACTCAAGACAGGCTGTACAGGCCGACCACACTTGACATCGTCTTTGCTGCTCACACTCACGTCCTGATGTCAATTCCTTTCGCTGACCCACTGCTGCAAACCCTACTCTCCGACTCGTATCCCACCCTCGTCGCGCATGCAAATGCAGTGCAGTCATTCGTATTTCCGGACCCAGTCTCGTTACCGCCGACAGCGGACTCGCATTTGTCGTGCTCTCTACACACTTTGCTTCCGCGACAGCTGCCATTCAGCTGGAGATCGCGCCGTGATGCATCGTCGAACGGTGAGGAAGACAAGCGCTACGCTCTGGCTCGATGGGGATGGGCCGCTATAGCCGTGGGTGCTCTCGCAGTGTACTTCCAGCTATTTGGTCTGGGTCCGGGCCTTCAAATTGCCATAATCAGCAAGGATGTCAACGAGGATGACGCCGATGAGGACGCGGAGGAAGATGAGGAGGAAGACGAGCTGGATGAGGAGGAGCTGGAGGATGATGGGGTGGTGGAAGAGGATTAGGATGAAATATCTAACGGCCGTACGTACATCTTGAACAACATGCACTCCTAAACCAAAGAGACCGGAAGGCCCGTGCAGTGTTGGACGCGTCGACACGCGTGATCGATCGACATTCGCACGTGCTCGAACTCTATGATATCATCAAATCTTGGACCCGATCATTCACGCTGCCGTCTTGAGCTTTTTTGAGCACTGCTCGCTTCCTTACACACCACACTTCGTTCTCTTTCTCTTATATCGATACTTATACCACACTCATGGCCGCTATACGTCTTCGGCACCCCAAGGGTGTCACCACCCTCCAGATTGACATTGAGAACTCAACCGTTCTCGACCTGCAACAGCAGATCTTCTCCGCTACGGAGATACCACCTTCGCGACAGGACTGTTAGTCCGTCTGGCCCTGGTGCTGAATCGCATTGACCAAGATGTACCACAGTGAAGGCGGGCTACCCGCCGCAGCCTCTAACCCTTATACCGGAGCTGCCTATCTCAAGCCTCGGACTGAAGCAGGGAGATCAACTGACACTACTGCAGAAGGCGGCACCCACCGCTGCTCCTTCTGCACCAAGATCCGATAGTGCTCCCGCATCGTCTGTCACTAGTCCGATGTCTGCAATGACTGGATTGACGGCATCCCAGTTCAGCCAGTGGGACAGCCCAGCACCCACTACATCAAGCGCCGGTAGGACCAGCGGACCAGACTCTGCGCCTATGGAAGGAGGATACCTTGTGCACCGTGTAAGCATTTTGAAAAAGATATCAGCGTCCTGAGGAATGTGGGGACTGACTATATGCACGTAGATTGTGCCGGACGATAATTCTTGTTTATTTTCTTCCATCGCCCTCATTTTCGAGCAAGACATCGAGCAGGCGCCGAAGATGCGACAGAGTGTGTCGCTCGTCGTAGAAATTATTGACGTGCTCTGAAAGAATGCTTCCGCAGTCGTGGCAGATGAGATTCGCAGGAACCCCGAGATGTGGAGCGACGCCATCCTCGGGTAAGCCTTGTCAGTTAGCCTGCCTGGAATTCCTTGCAACCCCCATCCTGCAAACAGCCGCTCACGAGAAGAATACATCGCTACTATCTTGAAGCCGGCTTCCTGGGGCGGCGCCATCGAGCTTGCCATCTTTGCATCGTACTATTCGACGGAAATAGCGTCCATTGACGTCGAGACGGGACGCATCGATCACTTCAACCCTCCTCCTGGGCGCGATTCTGGGAACCGTTGTGTGCTCATATACTCGGGCATCCATTATGATGCAGCCACCATTGCGCCCATGCCAGATGTGCCGGATGATTTCCACCAGACAATCGTGCCAGTATCAGGTCCAGGCGATAACGACCCCTTGTTGGTGGCGGCGAAGAAGCTGGCGGATACGCTACGGGCCAAGAGGGCGTATACGAACACTGCGACCTTCGACTTGAGATGCCAGGTAAGTCTACAGAGACGGGTTCCTTTCAGACAAGCGCTCACGTGGATACTCAGATCTGTAAGAAGGGACTGAAGGGCGAGAAAGAGGCGCGAGCGCACGCATCGGAGACAGGCCATGTCGAGTTTGGAGAGTACTGATGCTGAAGGGCGGTGTTTTATGCTGAGATTTATGGAAGGATCATCGCGCATCAGGCAAATATGGCATGTATACCTACCCCATTCTCCGTGATATTTTTCTCTATCCAATGTGACTTGTACGCCATATCGATACTAAAGCAAAGAATTCTTGCAAGCATTTATGAGACTCGGTAGTCATCCAGATTGAAGGTCATGGGAATAACACTGGCAGTCTGATTGCTGAGGTCTGTATGAATTTATGGAGGCCGGAGGCTTACGAATGTTCCAAGTTATACGCACCTGCGCATTTGCCGTATGTCTGCTTAACGCAGAGTGTATGAATGACGCGCTCCCACCGCGCGCGTGTCAATGATCACCGTGATTGCATTACATGGGCGCTAGACGCGTAGGATATTGGTATTTGACGCGTCTGTGGCGTGGCAACGACATGCCGCAGTTGCTCCTGGCCACCGCTCTCCGTCGTCTGTCGCTGGCACCATCTCGCGTCTGCCACCCAGCCCTTCTGGAACAGCGCCGTCGGTTTCATTTCGCACCTCTAGCACCACCTCTACTGCGCAACGCCACCATGCCGCCCAAGCGCGCTGCGTCAGGCTCCTCACGCGTCAAACGCAAGGCCCCGCTGTCGGAATCGGAATCGCCTGAGGGCGCGACGGACTCGGAGCCGCAGTCGCGCGCCTCGTCGCCCGAGCCAGAAGAGAAGCCGCGCACGAAGAAGGCGAAGGTCGACAAGCCCGCGAAGGCGAAGGCGGAGGAGTCTGGCGCTGGTGCTGCGCCCGCGGGCGACGGCGCGCTGGCGCCGAACGGGCAGCCGACGAACAAGGTCATCCCGGTGCACGTCTCGATCCCGCCGCGCGTGCCGGGCACGACGCGCATCGCGACGTGGAACATCTGCGGGCTCGCCGCGGCGCAGAAGAAGGTGCGCGTCGCGCGTGCTGTCCATGTGCACGCTGGTTTGCTGACCGCGGGGGTGTGCGCGCAGGGCTTCAAGTACTACGTGGAGGCGGAAGACGCGGACGTTCTGGTGCTGACGGAGACGAAGGTGCGTGCGGGCGGGCGATCGGTATGCCTGACGCGCAGGCTCATCGGATAGGTCGTTTGCGCTCGTTGAGGTCAACAATGAACCTGTGGACCCCGCGCTAACCAGCCGGTTCCCGTATCGGTATTGGTCGATCTCGGAGAAGAAGACTTACTGTGAGTGATATGGAGCATGTTGTGCTAGACCGTGTGCCTCACGTATGGCGCCGCACGGTGGACGTCGCAATCCACGCGCACTTCGTGCTCTACAGCGGGCACTGCCATACTCTCCAAAATAAAACCCGTCTCTGTAATTAGAGAACTCCCTGGGCATCCGGATCCTGGCTCAGTCAAAGGGCGGATCCTCACGCTCGAATTCAGCAACTATTACCTCATTGGGACATATGTCGTGAATGCGGGCCAGGGCTTGAAGGTGAGCGTCACACAGCACGATCAAACATGTTTGTCCTTCTCCATGATTCTGATCGTTCATCCGCTCTTTATCATACTGCTGCGTGTTCATTCATTGTGGCCCAACGTAGACACTAGAAGCGAAGAAGGAGTGGAACGTGCACTTCACGAAGTACATGCGCGAGCTCGACATGCGGAAGCCGGTGATTTGGACCGGAGACCTGAACGTTGCACCTACGGAGCTCGGTGAGTCCCGCGCCGCTTACTGTGTCTGCATCTTTCTGGCTTCGCGTTCCCGCGCGGTGGCATCTCTGTGCTCGACTGTTCTCACATCTGCGCGCGGACGCATTTACTCACAATGACGTAATCTATTACTGCACAGACTTGGCGAACCCAAAAACGAACTGGAACAAAACGCCGGGATACACCGAAGTGGAGACGAGCGCGTTTGCGCGGATATTGAACCCTTCGTCGGCCGCCGCGTCCGATGCAGCATCGCAGGACGACGCCGCGCCTGGCAAGTTCGTCGATGTGTGGAGAAAGCTGCATCCCGATGATCGGCACTACACGTACTTTTCATATCGATTCAACTGCAGGATGAAGGGCATTGGCTGGCGGCTGGATATGTGTGCGTGATTCTACATCGTGACTTGCGTATCATTTTGATCTGACACTCGATCTAGTCGTCGTGAGCGAGAGGATAGAGGAGCGCGTGAAGATGTGCGAGATCAGGAGCGAGATATACGGCGCGTCGGACCACTGTCCTGTCGCGCTGGAGATCGAGGGTGAGCTGTAAGGCTGTCGACGGTATCTACCATTGCATTTGTCAGGAGTTGCTGTTGTGCTCGGGTCGGGCATTCCTCGGATTGATTGGCTGCGGAGTTGCTGTATGCAGGACTGAAAGTTGAGGAGGTTGTATGACGGAAGTGCGGAGAACCGGGATGCATTGAGACTGAGGCGTGCAGGGTGAGAAGACCGCGACGCGGTTGTGCAAAAGGGAGGAGATGACGAAACGGAGGCGTGGGGCGGGCGGCTGCGCAGCAGATGTTGCGGTGTGTCAGACAACAAGGGTGTGTTCGACGAAGATGATATGGCGGACTGATAGAGATCATTGGCATGCTAGCGGTGGAGAGCCTTCTCAATCGCCTTGCCATGCCCGGTTGCAAGCCCATGCTTCCCAGCCCCACCCACTCCACTCCACTGCCAAGGCCTACAAAGCGCCCGTTCAGGCGCCCGTCCCGCCGGGTGCGACGTCGGCTGCGATGTGCTCTGCCACCTTGGGAATAATTCTACCAGACCAGATTGTTCGCCAACATTCAGGGCTGGTGGGCTGCACACAGACCTCACTGGAGTCGGGAACGGGTCGGGGTGGCGGTCGCTCATGCACATGGATGACGCTGAGCCCGCGCAACGAACCAATCTGGGGTGCTGGCGGGAGATCCGGGGGCGCAGAAATAGAACCGGACTAGGGGCACGGCGCCCAGACGCCCGAGGTCGTCTATACGGGGATTCCCACGCCCGCGACCAGGCAGATCTGAAAAGCCCGCGCTCGCTCTTGGGCAGTGCTTCCTGTCTGCGCTCTTCCAGCTGCGGAGCAAGCCTTCGCCCTTCTGGCTCTCTCGTCTGTCCTTCTCCGCAAACCCCTTTCATTTTGCGCTCGTCAGATACCCTCTTGCCCGCCTTACATTCCCCATAATCCATACGTACCATGTCTCAACACTCCAACTACGACGAACAGCAGCGCCATGCGTTGCACTTGAACCTCAGCATGAAGGAGGCGGACGCCCGAGAGAATGAGGAGCTTGGCCTCCTGCCGGAGAGCCAGAATACATCCCCCTCGGTCTGCGGCATGCCACTCAAATACGTCTCGTGAGTCCTCGTTGCTTTCCATACCAGGCGCACGCGACCGTTCCTGGCGATCCCCATTGCCTTGTCGGGCTATATCGTGCCAACGCGTTCGCTGCCTCTTCCGTCGAGACTTACCAATGTTCATTATGCAGACTAGTGACTCTGGCAGTCCAAAATGCCCTACTAACACTCATAATGCATTACTCGCGCGTATCCGCCGCGCCATCAGAAACGTATTCCGCCGCCGCCGCCGTGCTCATGACGGAGCTGCTCAAAGGCTCCATATCCCTCGTCGTCGCCTTCACGCGTCTCGATTGCTCTGGCCAGCCCAGCCCATCAATATGGAATCCCCACGCGCTATTGTACCGCTTCCGCCGACTAGGCAAAGAGGTATTCCGACCCGACTGCTGGAAATTATCTATCCCCGCTATCCTATACGTTATTCAAAATAATCTCCAGTTCGTCGCCGTGTCCAATCTCGATGCCGCGACATTCCAGGTCAGCTACCAGATGAAGATTCTGACCACAGCAGCGTTCTCTGTTGTGCTTCTTCGCAGAAGACTCAGCCCGACAAAGTGGCTTGCGCTGCTGTTTCTCGCCATTGGTGTCGGTATCGTTCAGATACAGAGCGGGCATTCACCCTCCTCGTCCACTGACGCCTCACACGACTTGAATGCGTTCAAGGGTTTTATGGCCGTCGTCGCTGCATGCTTCACGTCTGGTCTCGCAGGTGTCTATTTCGAGATGGTGCTGAAGAACTCGCCAGCGGACCTCTGGGTACGCAACGTCCAGCTGTCACTCTTCTCCCTACTCCCTGCACTCCTCCCGATCGTCTTCTCCAAGTCAGCACCTAGTCCTACGTCCGGCGTCGTGAGCCTGCAGTTGTTCGCGCATTTCGGTGTCTGGGCATGGGCGACGGTATGTGTGCAAGTTCTTGGTGGGCTGTTAACCGCGTTGGTCATCAAGTACGCGGATAACATCCTGAAGGGCTTCGCCACCTCTCTCAGCATCGTCATTTCATTCCTTGCCTCAGTCGCCCTATTCAACTTCCAGATGACGCTCACGTTCATCCTCGGGTCTTCAGTTGTCCTCGTCGCGACATGGATGTACAACCAGCCTGACACATGTGGGTCTGATGGCAGGTCTTGGAACTGGCGTTGGCAGAGACCGTCACAGCCACCTCGCGGGTCCTCGGCGCTGGAGTTTGCAGGTGTCACGCTGTCGAGACGGGCATCCACGTCGTCGCTGTCATCGCTTACCTCGTTGTCATCGATCACCGGGCCAGGGACCAAGTCATACCCTGGCTCTCCTGTGGAGCGTGATGCCCCGTCTTTGAGCCAGCTACTGGAGAAGAATCTAGTAATGAAGAAGCAGGACGACCCATCACGCCTCGCCGCTGCTCTATCAGCATTCTCGCCTCTTCGAGCCGCCGCCCGCATGCTCTCACGCACGCCCTCTGGGTACCAACCGGTCTTGCCCACTTCATCGTCCGTCCCTGCGATGACGTTCTCCACATCAGAGAACACGTACGCATTCCCACCACACTCGCCGGCCTTCCAACCCCAACCAGTGCTCGCAACATCGCTGACGTCATCGACCTCATACCCGCCACTGTCTTCACGGCCGCCCAGCGCACTCTCATCGCACGTCTCGCGGCCAACAAGCGCGATGGGACATGCCGCGTCCCTCTCCGCTCCGGCAGACTTTGTCTCGTCTCATCATACCCAATGAACTTTGACTTTGTCCGCGTTTCTAGTCTTAAACACTTACACCTAGTCGTGCTGCCGAGCGATGTCTTTCTTTCACGTCGACGTCGGTATTTTGCATTTTACCCGCAACTTAGAGGCTCCGGTTGCGCGGTGAACGCTAGGGACTGTATTTTTATTACTTCCGTTCGTTGCTGTGGACCTGCATCATCCCCTCGCACGCACACTCTACCTACCTGCTCCCTTGTCAATTAGCGTATTCTTTCTATTGGACCATTTGTAGACATGTTGACCGCGCACTTGTGCGTGTCGCGGTTTGGGCTTCGCATTTCCTGCCCAGGCTTGTAATCTTTTGTCTCGATTTTCATTTCTATTGTACATATGCTGTCGCGGAACGAAAGAGAATCAATGCAGGACATGCACAACGTAGACGCGTACGATTGAAAGCGGGAGTGTTTAGTAGGTTTGCGGAAGTATGTGCCAAACTCAAGTCGCGAAGATCTGGATCTGCCCGAAACTTACTCTTGCCTGAAACGGCGCGCTCTTCCTGACTATCGTCGCCAATGCCTTGCAGTCTCCTCGTTGCCTGACCATAACGCGACATTCCGACCCTTCATTCCTTGCTGCTGAAAATTCCCGCACATATTCAAATCGCAAATAAAACCTATTCGATCGAGTTGTAGCTGCAGCAGAGCATATTAGCCATCATGGTGAAGGGTCTCCGGCGATGTATGGTGCGTGCTATCTGTCTTCGACTCAATGGCGGCCCATCTTAGCCATATCGGCCAGTGGTTCAACGACGATGGGTACCCGCTTGTGCGCTTCGACGAACGCTTGGGCTGTCTCAGGCCCGAAACATGCCTTTTCGTCCATCCAGAAGACCCGGACTGGCCGATGGCCATGAAGAGCTACCATCCCGACGGGACGCGGAACATGACCGACGCCGAGAAGGCGACCCTCCTCGCGCCCGCGCCGTTCAGCAACAGGCCCCAACCTACGCTTACAAGCAGGATCCGCAGCCCGCCAAGGCCGCGAAGCCCGCTGCAGAGGCCGCGAAGTCCGCCCCCGAGGCCGCGAAGCCCCCCGACGAGGCCGCGAAGCCCCCCGACGAGGCCGCGAAGCCCCCCGACGAGGCCTCGCAGTCCTCCCCCGCGCGGACGCAGCCCGCCCCCCTTGTCTCGCGCACGGACGCCGCCGCCTCGGGGTCGCACCCCGCCTCCTCGCGTAAAATCGCCGCCGCGGTCGATCACCCCGCTGGGCATGGCTCCCCTGGCGCCGCGTGCTCTCACGCCTCCGCGCTCCCGCGTCTCTTCTGGTCCACCGCCGCGGTCCCCGTATACGCCCCAGCGGGAGCACCGTCCATCAGAGGCTGCTGACTTTCGGCGCAACGATCCGTCTGGGTCTCGGCGGGAGATGGCGGGCCCAGGCCACAGCCGTGAGCCCTCAGCTGGGAGGCACGCGGCGGCGCAAGACGGACGTGATTTCCGCCTGCAGGCGTCGTCTTCACATCCGCATTTGGGAGAAGATGTCAAGCCGTCCTTGCCCTTAGCCGCGCGCATGCCGCCTCCTCCGCCACTCAGATCGTCCTCGAACGTTGCCCCGAATGGGCATCAGGCATCGCGACCTGGTCCTTCGAATCAGACAGAGGTATCGTACGAGGAAAGGCGAGCGATGTGGGCGGAACGCGTGAAGTGCGTCGTCGTTCTGGTCTCTTTGCAGACGGCTCGCCTCATGCTGACGCCGTAAACCCAGACTTTTATCGGAGGCCGTCGCCGCCCGATCTGAATATGTCAAGCTGCAAGAGGAACTGGAATCAATGCAACGTCTATCACGTTCCGTCCGCTTCGACGAGGTACTGGAAGAGGACAAGGCTCGTATGGACGCGCGTATATCCAGTCTGACATCCCAATGCGACGCAAAGAAGACGGAGCTCAATCGAATGCTTGTGCGGTTAACCGACGCAGACTTCTGGCCGGTAGGGCAGAAGATGCCACCGACTCTGGAGGATGGCCACGCAGCTATGCAAACTACCATTAACGAATTGAAAAAGAGCCTTGCAAGCCTATACAAGCTTATCGAGGACACACGGGCAGACTTCGCAAAGTCTCGGGAGACACAAGCAACAGCATTCACGGACTCTGAAGGAAACCAAACCACGGAGCCTCGCGCTGCGAAGCGTCGACGGCTGTCCAGTGGAGATGATACGCTTGTCGAAGATGAGGATAGGAAACGCGCAATGGTTACAGCTGCCGAGGTTGACGAACTGCGTGGCAAGTTGCTAGAGGTCGAGCGGCAATTAGCCGATGTGCAGAACGAAATGGTACAACACGACAACGAACTACTGCAAGAGATCGAAGATTTAGTGCACAGTCGGCTTGAAGACATTCCAGGGAGCGCGTCGACATCCCGAGGTGGTCGTGCGCCTGACAATGATCCGAAGAAGCAACGTGATAATGTGCTGGATCATATTCGACGGGATCTGGACAGCACCGGAAACGATATTCTTTCCCTGGCTCAAGAGGTGGCTGGTCTTATCAAGCAAATGAATGCCAAGGATCAAGAACAAACCAATTTACGGCTCGAGAATGAACAACTGAAGCAGCGTGTCGAAGCGGTATGTAACTGCTCAAATCCATCTAGCATGGTTATTGACTGTCTCTGCAGCTCGAACAACAGCATATATTGGACATGGAGGACTTCCATGCAAATAGGCTTGAGATGCAGGCCCTCAACACTGCTGTCTCAACTTTCTTATCACAGCCTCATCCATCTCCTCCTACTCTGCCACCTCAACCTCTATTTGAGGAGATTGCCAAGGATATACATCCGGTCCTTAAACATCTACTTTCAGAAGATCTCAAGCCCCTCCTGCAAGAAAGTCATCAGAAGGTCTCAAACATGTTACAGGAATCCACTGTCAATGCATGGAGAGACATTCTGTCCAGATTAAAGCCTACTATAAAGTCTGCTGAAGTTGTAGCAGCATTGATCAACCAGGTTCATGGCAATGGTGAGGAAGATATGGCAGAACAGAGTGTATTTTCCAAAATGTCTCACTAAACTTATGTGTATCTTGGACTGTTATGACATTAACACCTTTGTGGCAATCCTCATATGCTCCCTTGAAATGATTATTGAATCACGATGTCATCCCAGTTTATGTAATAAAAAAACAATACAGACCAGACTTCACGTGACAACAGAAGTTCGAGAACAAACCTGATTATGCTTATCGACTTGTCAGCTAAAAGTGGACCCTCCGAGGATCGAACTCGGGACCTTTGCATAACCAGGTTAACCATATAAGTACAAAGCTCTAACCAATTGAGCTAAGGGTCCTTGTTGGGATGCGGATATGAGGCTATAGTATTTATATTCGCTCAAGCTCAGGCGTTGCCGAGATGAATATCAACCCCGCTACTAGTATTTATTACACTCCAGGGTCTACCGACTCCTCTTGAATCCCTCCAGCACTGAGCTGCATGAACCTGGTACCAACCCGCCTGCCTTGCTCCTCTGAATGAGTTACCCATATCAGAGCCTTCAAGTTCGTGTTAGGCTTCTTAATCTCCGATTTCAAGAACCTCTCGACACGAGCCGATGAATCAGGGTCAAGAGCCGACGTCGGCTCTACATACTGTCTCTCAGTAGTATGAAATGCTATGGGATATCAAACGCACCATCGAGCAGAAGTACTTCTGCAGTCCCCATTCCTATAGCCATCGCCAAAGCGATCCTCTGCATCTCTCCCCCACTCAGGGTGCTCCAGTTCCTGTCCCATAATTCCTCGTCGATGCCCCAGGATTCCGCGAGGTCTATTGTATCGTTTGACAGGCCTCGGGGCCTTCCGATCCTATCATCCCCCAACACCGGTTGCTTGCTGTACGACCCAAAATTCAAGATAGAAGTCATGAAGTCTCGCGGTGTGCCTGGCAGTAGAGACGCGCGCTGGGGAACGTATTGGACGCGAGTCCGGTAGCTTGGTATGCCTGCAGTCACAACAGATCAGCCGTGCATTGCATTCGCGGTTTGTCCAGCTAACCATATGACTTCGGCGTCCTAAAGGCAGGCGAGATCGTCGTGTGGGATACATCAAGAGAGGGAACAAGCGCACTGTTCTCGATACAATATATCGCCTTGGTATAGGATGAGATGCGAGAGACATTTCAACAGGGTAGACTTCCTGGTACGCAAGATCAGCGCGAAGGCCGTGCGCAGCCATACAACGCTTACCCAGAGCCGCTTTTGCCCTGTACGACTACAATGTCGCCCTTGCTGACCGCGAAGCTCACGTTGGAAAAGATGGGGTCGCCCTTAGGCCTAGCACATTGCAGCTCTTTCACTTCGAGAACTGTATCGCCCATTGTTACAGTAATGGTAGAAAGCTAGTTACGATTCTCAACGCAGCAGTTCTATTTGTCTCACGTACCAATGCCAGGTTTGGAATTCGATGGGAACGGCGCCACTAAGTGGGTACTTGTCTGCTTTACTAACCTTATACGGACATGGATGACAGTCGATCCATATCTAGTACTTCTCACGTGTTCGCAATGGTATTTATATGTTCACCCAAACATTGTCGTAGGAACAATTAATGGATCATCGAACCTCCAACGGAGGTAGCGTTTGGCAGATGATTGTTTCGGGAGAACTGGGATGTTTTGGGCGCAGCAAGGGCGGATCTATATAATGTAGTATAGTAAAACATCAAGGCGCAGGGGGTACCGGCATCTGCATCATGCCCATCTCCTCCGGGGTCATGCTGGGACTCTCGATCATCACGCCCACACCGACCTTAGCTGCGTTCTGTAAGCCGGCATGGTGGTCAGTAGACGTACACATGGCAGCGATATGTCCTTACCTTGAAGTGGTCGATCTCACCCGACACCATGAACGAGAATGCAGGCGCAAAGCGTTGTTCAAGCAACGCCGAGACCTTTCCAGTCGAGTCCAGCTGGGCCCTGAACGTCGACATGCGCAGATCATATTTGGCGCCCAACGTGGCGATAGCATCTCTCCGCGCTGGGGCAGCGATGAGCTGCAGCTCCGCAGCCACCTCCACTTTCTCGCTGAGCTTCTGCCAATACGTAGCTTGCACAATGCCCGCAGGTTGCAACTGGGCGGTCGCAATCCAATTTTTATCCGAGCCGGTGTACTTCGCAAGATACGAAGTCTGTGACTCCGCCATGTCTGGTGTTGGTCGCTGGTAGAGCGTTTCAAAACCAAGGGCCAGGTTTTTGGTGACAGACTGCAGGTAACTGCCAATGTAGATACCTGTCAGGTCCGTGGGAGAAGGATTGATCGCCTTGACATTGACCGAGTAATCTTGGCCCAGGTAGTCGTGCTCGGCTTGAAGCATGCTGTGACCCACTTGCGATGACAGCTGAAGATAGTACTATTGTTACTGCGGAGAAATGTCCGTATATAGAATGGTCCCGCACCTGCCCTTGCACTTTGGACACGTTGCTTTGGGACCACCCCTGGTTCAATCGACCGTTCACGTTGCCGTCATGGTCAACATTGCCTTGCAAGAAGACCTACGCGCAACGTGAGACATGATCACAGCAACGAATAAATGAAAAATGATGCACCTTGTCATTAGCAAACACTGCAGCGAAATTATAGGATGGTGGCGAAGTTTGTGAGCCCAACGCAAATGAATGCGTCACTTGGAAAATAGGGTTGACCGACAAGCTCTTGGATAGGTCTGCCCTCGCGCCGTCGAAGAAGAAGTTGGTCAGATGTGTACCTGCAAAAAGCTCAATATATATAACAGATATACCACAACATTACGCTCGTACTCTTCACTTCCTTCGTGAGGTTCTCCACCGTGCCGGGGTTAGAGAGGCCGAGCGAGCTTCGCCATGACGCGAAACGGTTGTACAGACTGGCCAGCGGTGAGCTCGATGTTGGCTGTAGCGGATACGGCGACAGCTGTGGCGGCTCGACCGGGGTCAGCAGCGGAGGGGATGAGGCCATGACAAGGAGGTGACGATGACCGGTCTGGCTTGGAGGTGGGCGGCAAAAAATCGGCCACGAATAAGTTCAGAAAAGGAAATCTGACAAGCGTGGCTCCCGTGCCGCCCGCGGCCGTAGCGCCTCAAGCCCTCGACATTTCAAGTTCAAACAGGTAAAGCACAAGCTAACTCCGAGTGGAGAACGCGAAATAATATATTGTCACTTCCATATCTTGTTTACGAAAAACACTAAGCAGTGCAGCGATGCTAAGGTAAGTTACTAGGCAGGCAGTAGTAGGCCGGTCGGTTATGCAAGAATAAAATGCTAATGTTGGTCGACTGTCGGGAAGTATTTGGACGCAGGAACGAACGACGACCGATTCGACACTCGGTAGGCACTCAGTCAATCAGAGGGCGAGACATAGTGAAGGTCCCATTTGGTACGAATGTAATTCTGATCTATGCCAAGCAGTAACTTGTATGCATAAAAGATATCGGGTGGTTTGTGTGAATCTATCAATGGTACGGCTAACGCAGATGTCTTTCCGAGGATCAGAGTGGCAGCTGACGACAAAGTTGCCATATAGATGAACGAACTGTTGGTACTTTGCGATGCGCGTGCCATGAGGCTGTAGGTTTCGACAGAGACCAGCCACAATAGAAGTGATACAGCCAGTACCCTGAGCTTTGAATATGATACATGCCCCCATGACAGGAACGTGCCGCAAGTTCAGTTACTCTGCATGCGTATTATCAAGATGGATCGCAGCAACGCAAGATATATCGGCCATAATAACCCCAGCAGCCGGAGGAAGCGGTACTTGTGCGTGCAAGAAGGGTTTAGGACCAATTCAAGACGAGTCGATCTCACTGTAGTGGCATGGCAGTCTTCTAGAGGGGCCCTGCGCGACGAACGAGTCAGAATACAGTCAAGGGGTGGTGGCATTATTGTAAAGCCCCGGCGCGGGCACACAATCTCTGAGCGAATCCAGGACGATTGGGGGGCGTAAAGCCAATTGAAGATGTTAACGAAAGTGGCAGAAAGCGCGAGATGGCGCGCGGGTGACGCTGATAGGAGCAACAGCATCACGTGCCGTGACGCGCGGCGTGCGTGACGCGAGAATGTCCTGGAATGGTGTCCGAACAGGGAAGAACCTCCTGGAACAGCACAGAATGCAGGCAGTATATAAGATTGTGCGCGGCCAGGGGCCCCTACTCAGCGTCCCATTTGTCTCGTTTCTCCTCTATCGACGACCCATTCCCCTACACCTCTCTAATTTCCTCAACGATTCCACCGATGGCTGCCAAGGCAATTGGTATTGATTTGGGCACGACCTACTCGTAAGTCTAATCGCTCACATTCGCAATCGATATGATCTTACTAAACTATTTTCTACAGATGTGTCGGTGTCTGGCAGAACGACCGTGTTGAGATCATTGCCAACGACCAGGGTAACCGAACAACCCCCTCGTATGTCTCCTTCTCGGACAGCGAGCGGTTGATCGGCGATGCTGCGAAGAATCAGGTCGCGATGAACCCCCACAACACCGTCTTCGACGCGAAGCGTCTCATTGGCCGCAAGTTCGCCGATGCTGAGGTCCAGGCCGACATCAAGCACTACCCATTCACTGTCTTCGACAAGGGCAGCAAGCCCTACATCCGTGTGAACTACCGCGGTGAAGACAAGGAATTTGTAAGTCTTCAAGGTCCCTTAGAGGTGGCGTCAATCATATGCTGATTATATTGTTTACTAGTCCCCCGAGGAGGTCTCATCGATGATCCTTCTTAAGATGAAGGAGACCGCAGAGGCGTACCTTGGCACGGTTGTCACGAGCGCCGTGGTCACGGTCCCCGCCTACTTCAACGACTCACAACGTCAGGCGACGAAGGATGCTGGTACCATCTCTGGTCTTAACGTCCTTCGTATCATTAACGAGCCGACTGCGGCTGCTATCGCATACGGTCTCGATAAGAAGACACAAGGCGAGCGCAACGTCCTGATCTTCGATCTGGGTGGAGGAACCTTCGATGTCTCCCTCCTGACTATCGAGGAGGGTATTTTTGAAGTGAAGGCGACCGCTGGAGACACTCACTTGGGTGGTGAGGATTTCGACAACCGGCTCGTTAATCACTTCGTCCAGGAATTCAAGCGCAAGCACAAGAAGGGTAAGTGCAGTTCCCCTTTTGTAGAAACAAACTTATGACTAACGCTGATCAAATCCAGATCTCTCCTCCAACCCGCGCGCGCTCCGTCGCCTCCGCACTGCGTGCGAGCGGGCTAAGCGCACGCTTTCGTCCGCGACGCAGACCTCAATAGAGATCGACTCGCTTTTCGAGGGTATCGACTTCTATACCTCACTCACTCGTGCCCGTTTCGAGGAATTGTGTCAGGACCTCTTCCGGAGCACCCTCGAGCCCGTAGAGAAGGTCTTGCGCGACTCGAAGATCGACAAGAGTAACGTTCACGAAATTGTCCTCGTTGGTGGCTCGACCCGTATTCCGCGCATCCAGAAGCTCGTGTCTGACTTCTTCAACGGCAAGGAGCCTAACAAGAGCATCAATCCCGATGAGGCCGTTGCCTACGGTGCTGCCGTCCAGGCTGCCATTCTCTCCGGCGACACATCGGAGAAGACTCAGGACCTGCTCCTGCTCGATGTTGCTCCTCTATCTCTCGGTATCGAGACTGCGGGTGGTGTCATGACCGCGCTTATCAAGCGTAACACGACCGTCCCCACGAAGAAGTCTGAGATCTTCTCGACCTACTCCGACAACCAGCCTGGTGTGCTCATTCAGGTCTATGAGGGTGAGCGTGCCCGTACAAAGGACAACAACCTCCTCGGCAAGTTCGAGCTTTCTGGCATCCCACCAGCCCCCCGTGGTGTTCCTCAGGTCGAGGTCACCTTCGACATCGATGCGAACGGTATCCTCAACGTGTCTGCGGCAGACAAGACCACCGGAAAGTCGAACCGCATCACGATCACCAACGACAAGGGCCGCTTGTCGAAGGAGGAGATCGAGCGTATGGTCTCGGAAGCGGAGAAGTACAAGGGTGAGTTCACAATTACCACTTGCGATACCCCGACGTGTGCACTGACGATTTGACTCTGTAGCCGAGGACGAGGAGGCTGCCGCTCGTATCACCTCCAAGAATGCCCTGGAATCGTATGCGTACAACCTGCGCAACTCGCTGACCGACGAGAAGCTTGCGAGCAAGTTCGACCCTGCCGACAAGAGCAAGCTCGAGTCGGCCGTCAACGACGCCATCTCATGGCTCGATGCCTCGCAGGAGGCTTCGAAAGAGGAGTACGAGGAGCGCCAAAAGGAGCTCGAGGCGGTCGCCAACCCGATCATGCAGAAGCTGTACTCGTCCGCAGGTGGTGCGCCAGGTGACTTCCCTGGCGGTGCACCAGGTGGCTTCCCCGGTGGCGCGCCAGGTGGTTTCCCTGGTGGCGCGCCGGGCGGCGAGGAGGGCCCGAGCGTCGAGGAGGTCGACTAAGTGTTGTATGCGATCGATATATGATATTCGTCACGTTGTGGACTGCAAAAAATCGCATGTACATTACAGCTGCATTGTAGATCTCGATAGCTTTGCTTTCCGTTTTGCTCTATTATTCCGTGCGACGAAAGTGTGAGCGTTTGGAATGTGATCGGAGTTGGAAGACCAAGTAATCGTGATCTTAGGGCGATTGGTACCGCGCGCATTCTCGGACTGCAGTGCGGCTACACCAGAGCCCTGTCGTTCTAAGATTCTCTAGTTCATTTATCTTGTTCTTCACATCTATTATACTCCAATGCCTAAAATTCTGTCCGGGCTACCGCTATCCGGTTTGTTTGGCGTTGCAAAACCATCCGGCCCCACGTCGATGTCCGTTCTTGAGACACTCAAGCCTCTAGTTGCGAGCACCAAGCTATTCGTCGAGGCAAGCAAGCTGAAGCAAGGGCCAGGGAAGACGAAGAAGGCCAAGCATACAAAATATGCAGTCAAAATTGGCCAGGGAGGCACCTTGGATCCTCTCGCAGATGGCGTCCTCGGTACAGTAGACCAGTTCTTTCGATATTCATTTGTATAACGAATGTGCAATCAAGTCGTTGGAGTAGGCAAGGGCACAAAAAAACTAGGCGACTTCCTAGATTGCGTAAAGGTACGTTGCGTTGTATTTTTTATTATACTCCCGATACAACTCTTGTCATCCAGGAATACCGCACGACATGTTTGCTAGGCTGTGAAACCGATTCGTATGACAGCGAGGGGGCTCAAGTTCGCGTCGCCCCATGGCGGCACGTCACTCGAGAGCAGGTCCAGAAAGCGCTGGATGAATTCAGAGGGGAGATCATGCAGGCACCACCTATGTACGTCCCGACTGTCTGTGTACTCTTCGAAGATCTACCAATTCCTTCAGATTTTCCGCTCTTAAAATGGACGGAAAACCGTTGTACGAGTATGCTCGCAGCGGCACCCCTCTGCCCCGCCCGATCGAGAAGCGCAAGGTCACTGTGCATTCCCTCGAGCTCGTCGACTGGAAGGGGAGCGATCACAGTTTCCGCTGGCCTGAGAAGAAATTTACGGATGAGCAGAAGAAGGCTGTCGAGAAGGCGTTGCAAGGCGTCGAAGAGAATGTTGCAGTCCAAGACGAGCCAGAAGCTAGCGCATCGCCAGGTGAAGTCCCGACTGCATTCATCCTGAGCATGAAGGTAACCGGTGGGACGTACGTGCGTTCCATCGTTCATGATCTGGGACACGCTCTTGGATCTGCAGCCCACGTCGTCACCCTTACGCGGACACGACAAGGGCGCTTCGTCCTTGAAGCTGAAGACGAAACCGACCGCCCGTGCATTCCATGGGAGGTTTTCCGGGAAGCAGCGGATGACCCGGGCGAAATTGACAGCGACGGGTGGACGAAATGGGAAAGGGCAGTCATGGATCACCTGGAGATAGTAGAAGGGAAGTGATGATATATCAGCTACCTGGGATGTGCGAGTGGCTACGTGTTTTCAACGGCCCTTATAAATGACTGTCTTTTTGGGTCTGCAAGCTCACCCACTGGTAAGTGAAAACACTTCCTTACAAATGCGCTGTGCAGGCTCACTGCGTATGCGCTGTACAACTCTCGCTTATCACGGAGGATGGCTGTGTTGTAATGTATCTGCCGTGGCAGCACGACAGGCCCGCGACAACCTGCACGAGTCTGCTTCAAACAGATTCCGCGATGACAAACCTGAGCTGATCGTATGTGAGATTATGACTGTGTCTGTGAATCTCGAATGCAGTGGGAGAGGGGAGATCATTTCTGCCTTGTTACATTCCGGATCCGCGACGCGACGCTCCCACCACCTGAAGCCGAAAATGTATCGACAAGATTGTAAGTAGTGTTGTGAGCTGACGACTCTCAAGGTGACCGCTGAGCGGTGACATTGAGCTCGCTCTTTGTGTCGCAACGGATCGCGCGATTCAGATCTTGAGATCTCGCTTGCGGAAACGCGGGGAAATGGGCGCGTGTGGGGAAATGAGAGCACTTATTCCTGGCCGACCACCTCCTGCAGTCCCTCCGCCTCGCAAGCCTGCTATTGGGAAGATGCTATCGTCACTCAAATCGGATCCCTGGACGTCAAAACCACATGCACTTACCGGAAGTGGGACTTCGACTTAGCGAGAATGATCATAAGACGTACCTGCTTGATCATGCATTTACTACAATTAGCTTCGATATTCGCCGAAGACAGGTGACCCCCCTGGACACATCCAGGCAACTACCCACGGTACTTGTGCTTGACTATCAACAAGTCGTGTCTCCAGAGGCGCAACGATGAGCTCGAGGTTTGCGCTCCGTTGCTCTGGCAGCGGTACTGGCGCGACCAGGCGACAATCTGCGAGAGCTTCTACACAGCTCGGACGCGGTGAGCGCATCATATCCAATCGCTATAATACTACAGGATGGTTGATATAATTGCGGGCAGTCGCGTGTCTTCTGCGGCTGAGTCGATATCATGTGTCAGCGTCAGCTCGAGATGCAGCGAAATCTAGTGGCGTTGCGGGAGAAGCGGCTAAGCCCACCACTCAGGGTGCACCAGGTCTGTCACACTTTAGAGTCATGTTTCGTTGAAATCTAACCAAAAGAGGGTAGACGAAGGAGTACCGTACTCCCAGCTTTCCGTTGGTGTGCCTTTAGAGATATTTCCCAATGAGCGCCGAGTCGCGATCACTCCTCAAAACGTCACTCTACTCATGAAGAAAGGGTTCTCCCGTGTCTTGATAGAGAAGAATGCCGGTGCCGAAGCCCAATTCTTAGACGAGCACTACAGGGCCGCTGGAGCTACGCTGGTGGATAGAGAGCAGCTATTCAGTGAGACTGATATTCTGCTCAAAGTAAGGCCGCCAGCACTCGGAGGAGAGACGGACAAGATCAAGGAGGGTGGCACGGTCATATCATTCCTATACCCCAACCAGAATAAGCCCGTTGTCGAGGCTTTGGCTACCCGGAAGGCCAATGCTTTCGCAATGGAGATGATACCCAGGATTTCTCGTGCTCAGGTTTTCGATGCGCTAAGGTTTGTCAATTTGTCTGCGACGATCTTTACATTATCGATTGCTCACGAAGTATAGCTCGATGGCCAACATTGCAGGTTACAAGGCGGTTTTAGAGGCCGCTAATCATTTCGGCCGGTTTTTGACAGGTCAAGTCACAGCAGCTGGGTATGCATTATACTTACTTGTCTCACTTGGTGCTGACAGTCTGCTACTCCTAGGAAGGTAACTGTTCATGTTACTATCTGATGTGCAGTTAGACTCAATATTTTGAAGATCCCTCCATGCAAAGTGCTTGTCATAGGTGCTGGAGTAGCTGGACTGAGTGCCATCGCCACAGTACGTGAACAGGGCCTGTGAGCTTCCCCACTTTGCTCACTTCTATTCAGGCTCGACGTATGGGTGCCATTGTCCGAGGATTTGATACGCGCGCTGCAGCCAAAGAGCAAGTCCAATCTCTCGGCGCCGAGTTCTTGGAGGTGCCATTCGAGGAATCTGGTGAAGGCGGCGGTGGGTATGCCAAAGAAATGTCGAAGGAGTTCATTGAAGCGGAAATGGCATTATTCATGGAACAATGCAAGGACGTCGACATCGTCATCACAACGGTTGGTGTCGTGCAATGATGGTTGGGTGTATCTGCTAATCGAACTCTCAGGCTCTCATTCCAGGCAGACCTGCGCCAAAGTTGATCACTAAAGAGGTGGGTACAGTACAACAATGCATTGACGCGACAGATTGATATCCCATTATGTCTATAGATGGTCTTGGCAATGAAACAGGGCTCTGTCATCGTCGACTTGGCTGCCGAGACCGGGGGTAACTGTGCATTGACAAAACCGGGCGAGCTCTATGTCCATGACGGCGTCACGATCATTGGTACTACATTGAGATTCACACGATTTGCGTCCCATTTGCTCATGTTTTTGTTAATAGGTTACGCTGATCTGCCTTCACGTTTACCGACGCAATCGTCCACGCTATACTCGAACAATATCACGAAGTTCTTGTTGTCTATTGGCGGGGACGAAAGGTTTTCCATCAACCTTGATGACGAAGTTGTTCGTGGTTCCATCGTTGTACACAAGGGCGCCCTGCTGCCTCCTGCGCCTCGGCCTGTCCCGCCTGTCGTCTCCGCGCCTTCTCCGGAACAGGCAGCTGAAGTCGCTGAGACTAAGGCCATCACGCCATGGCAGAAGGCAACGAGAGAGATTGCTACTGTCAGCACGGGTATGGGTACCGTAATCGCGTTGGGAAAGTTAGCTGGACCTGTCTTCATGAACAACTTCTTCACGTTCGGTCTGGCATCGTTGATCGGGTACCGGGTGGTCTGGGGCGTTGCACCTGCTCTGCACTCTCCCCTGATGTCCGTTACGAATGCTATCTCTGGTATGTCTACGGGTGCCCTCGTACCGTCGGATTCGCTAAACCTGAGCATTTAGGAATGGTTGGAGTCGGCGGTCTCTTCGTCATGGGTGGCGGGTATTTCCCGGGTACCGTCCCGCAGATATTAGGAGCATTATCGGTCCTGCTAGCTAGTGTCAATGTTGCTGGTGGTTTCGTTATCACGAAACGCATGCTAGATATGTTTAGGCGTTAGTAAATACCTAGTTGGGGTTATTGGCTAGCTGACATTGTTATGTAGGTGACACTGATCCGCCGGAGTATGCATGGCTCTACGGTATTCCAGCGGTCGTCTTCACCGGTGGTTTCCTGGCTGCTGCGAGCACGGGCATGGCGGGTCTTGTCCAGGCTGGGTACCTGACCAGTAGTGTCCTCTGTATCAGTACGTATCTTCGAACGTACGCCTGTAGGCCAAGCTTTTGATGCTTTTTGTAGGTTCTCTGTCTGGACTAGCTTCACAAACCACCGCACGTCAAGGAAACATTCTTGGAATGCTAGGTGTCAGTTCCGGTATCCTTGCTTCACTGGCTGCTGTCGGGTTCAGTCCCGAAGTTCTCGTGCAATTCGCTGGTGTTTCAGCGATCGGCGGACTATTTGGTACAATCATCGGTCGGCGCATCACCGCCATTGAGTTGCCACAAATGGTCGCCGCGCTACACTCAGTGGTGGGTCTAGCTGCGGTGCTTACTAGCATTGCGAGCGTTCTCGCGGATCTAGGCCACGCTTCTACCTTGCATCTCGTTACTGCTTACCTTGGGGTGCTTATTGGTATGCTTCACGTCCTATAGCTGCGTGATCGAACGATTGATAACATTTCGGGTCTATAGGCGGTATCACATTCACCGGATCTATTGTGGCTTTCTTGAAGCTCGCCGGCCGTATGTCATCTCGGCCGTTGTCTTTGCCAGGAAAGCATGTCATCAACGCTTCCTTACTGGGAGCAAACATCGCATCTTTCGGTGCTTTCGTGACAATGGCTCCGTCAGTGCCTCTCGTGGCAGCCGGGTTCCTGGGCGCGAATGCCTTGTTGAGTTTCATAAAGGGTTTCACGACGACTGCTGCAATTGGCGGAGCCGACATGCGTACGTTTGTCACACACGCAGTTTGACTCGGCTCACGACACTCTTTGCAGCCGTCGTTATCACCGTTCTCAATGCGTACTCCGGGTTTGCTCTAGTCGCAGAAGGTTTGTACACTATACTCGCTTGTGTTCAATGGTGTTGAACCAGACCAATAGGTTTCATGCTGGACAACTCGCTCTTGACGACTGTGGGAGCACTGATTGGAGTTAGCGGGTCTATCCTGTCGTATATCATGGTAAGGCAGATAATTTCACCTCTAATATATAATCTCACTGCGCTCCGTCGGGTCAGTGCGTTGCCATGAACAGGACATTGACAAACGTTCTATTTGGAGGCATCGGCTCGTCCGCCGTGCAGAGTGATTACAAGATTGAAGGTGCTATTACAAAGACGTCTGTAGAGGAAACGGCGGATACCTTGGCCAATGCAGAAAGCGTGATCTTGGTACGCATCAGAATGTTGTTGGTGTCAAACTGAAGTCCTGATGGCATTTGCAGGTGGTCGGTTACGGCATGGCTGTTGCTAAAGCGCAGTTCGCCATCTCAGACATTGTATCCATGCTGCGCTCGAAGGGGATCAACGTACGCTTCGCTATTCATCCCGTCGCTGGAAGGTATATTCTCTCTGTGATCGATGGCCTCGCAATGCTTATTGCCTCACGCTAGAATGCCCGGGCAGTGCAATGTCTTGTTAGCGGAAGCGGCCGTGCCCTATGACAGTAGGTCATCTGTGGCTCTCGAGTCCTTTCCAGGCCTGACTAAATCCTCCTCAGTTGTCCTTGAGATGGATGAGATCAACGACGATTTCCCCGACACCGATGTTACCCTCGTTATTGGTGCAAATGATACTGTAAATCCTATCGCTCTAGAACCAGGATCCCCTATTGCTGGCATGCCTGTATTACATGCATGGAAGAGCAAACAGGTCATCGTGATGAAGCGAGGAATGGCTAGTGGCTATGGTGCGTTTCTCAAAGTCGGTACATTGGGGTTAGGCTCAATCGAGATTCTAGCGGATGTCCCCAATCCAATGTTCTACATGCCGGGAACTAAAATGTTGTTCGGCGACGCGAAGGACACTTGTGAAGGTAAGAATCACGCCTAGAAGGGCGTACAGTGACATACCTGACTTTTCGGCATATTAACAGCCATCAAGAAGAGCCTCGACTCAAAGTAGTCGAGTTCTGTCATACTGGGGAACATCTACGCCGAGTTTCGCTGCATGCCGTGCTGTAGTTTAGTGTATGTATCCAACAGTATTCATTGTGATCGATCCTGTATGTCCTCCGAACGCGTGAGGGAGTCACCTTGTAGTGATTGTAAAATAATAGCGAATGCTTGTTCTACTGCAGGTTATTCTTTCATCGCCTTTTGTTTCGATATGGGCGCTTAAACGGCCCGGAATGGCAAGTCATTCTGCGTTTAGTTGTTGTTGTCCTGGCTCAACTTGCGCTCGTCCTCCGTCGACACTCGCACGCAAGTCCTGGTTTCTGTGTCAGATCTGGAGGACTCAACTGTGCGCGGGGCTCTTACTCTCTAGGACTGCTCTAGGACTGTATTCGTTGCTCAGCTCCTACGCGGATGTACAGTTCGGATGCCGACGGTCGGAATACTCTCAGAGATGTCATTCCTTCTTCGCCATCCACCGTCCTCACTAGTGACGACATAGTCCAAGCCCTAGCAGGTTCTGAAGACAATGGCGCTACGTTGGACCTGGCGCGCAAAGGCCTCACAGACGTGGGAGAGGCGGGGGCGGAAGAACTGGCAAACATCATCCAGGAAACCGACAGCGCCGTAGTAAGGTATTGTCCAGTCTCATAAACCTTCAGTTACAAACTGATGAGTATGTCAGAATTGCGCTAGCTTATAATCGATTGACTACGTTGCCGATGGCTTTTGCACTGCTCTCACGCCTACGGTACTTGGTTCTGAGGAACAATAACTTCTCCACCTTCCCTAATGTTGTGGGTACACTCTTTAATTGCCTCCTTCGTCTCCATGACCTACCCCTGTACGCAGCTTACTGTCATGCCGTCGCTGGAGATCCTGGACATCAGCCGTAACAAGATCAAGCGCCTGCCCTCTCAGCCTGGTTCACTAACGAACTTACGAGTATGTCGCGTAATAAATGGTTTTGTGGCCAGCATATTGAACTTTTCAAGGTTTTCTCCCTTCTCCGCAACAAAATCCGCAGGCTTCCAGCATACATATCTCAATTTCAACAACTGAGCATCCTCAAAGTGGACCAGAATCCGATCGAATGGCCGCCGAAGTCAATTCTTCAATCTCATGATGATCTGCATGATCCTCAGGTCATGGGAGAATGGATTAAGGGTCTTCAAGCTTGGATGGATGAGAACCATTCTTCACCTACCGCTCGCAAGATGAGCGAAGATTCCATAGAGAGCGAGTTTTCGCGAGATATGTCTAACGTGTCAACGTAAGCAATAGCTATCCCCTTGCACATGGCAGCATTGCCTCATTCATTGTATCTCTTGCAGAGAACAGACTGACGCGTCCGCGCCACCGTCGCCTCCTCCTCTACCCCCCAAAGATGGCTTCCATGCTACTGCTCTTTATCATGCACGGTCTTTCTCCCTTGAGTCGGATACTTCGAGCTACTTTCAGCTGGAAAGATCACGAAGCGACTTGACTCCAAGTCATGATGTCCGACCAGGTTGGCCTTCATCAATGAGGTTTACTCCTTCAGCTGCAGGCTTTCTGCCTGCGGCATCCGAATCCCTCCCACCATCCCCCGACTCTTATTATCCCTCTAATGGGTCGGGCACGCCGTCAGAACATGCAGGCTCCCGAAACAGTAGCAAATACCGCCCCGTCCAAGCGCAAGACGAAGTGGAGGCCCTGGAGGATGACAAGTCACGGAACAGCGTCAGCAATCTCACTGTCAAGAAGAGTTTGCCGGAGTTGCGCTTGACTAATCTGCATCTTACTACAAGGAGGGACGACTTACCTTCTCAGCGCTCCGGCGTGCAGAATGGCACTCCCAGGTCAGCACGATAGTCTTGCTACTTCACATTGTTTATCAATGGTACTAAAACTTCACTCAGTCCGCCGAAGCAATCATCCATCTCGGAAAATTCATCCCCTATTGCATTGGACAGGTCGGTCCCAGCGATGGACAAGGAACGACATGCCTATTTCCGGCGGTTTTCTGCTCTTACGCCTCTGAACCTCGCGAAGACGATTCCAGAGGACCTTCTTGCGCTTGTCGATGCTATCCGAGGCATCCTATTTGGAGTCTCGCAGATCTATCAGACACTTCACCATTACACTGTGTATGCTATCGACGCACGACTATCGGCGGTTTTGCTCAAGGTTTTGGACCCTGCGGCTTACTATATGAGTCAGTTGATTGGTGCTTTGGACCGATTTGATTCCATGAGCAAGAGGGCTGTACCGTCTCCTGCAGTGTCTAGAACAGTCGTGGAGTATTGCCGAGATACTATCACAGTCTTTGGCAAGGCTGTCGGAGTTCTGACCCTTCAATTAAAGGTGCTCGCTACTCACGACGACGTTCGCTATACACGACAGATGCTACTCACCCTCTACGGCGCCATGGCAGAGATTGCCAGCTCTTGGCAGGCGATTGCGAGTCGTATAGACTCCGTCAAGCCTCTGCTTTGGGAATCGCGACCGCCACCAGCGTCCAAGTCATTCACTGCTCAGGTTTCGAGGACGCACGGCTCAGAATCATCCAGATCTCCAGTATCCGCACCAGCAGGAGGCCCTTCGACTTTCCACCCGTCGTCAGACCACCCACGCTTGAGACCCAATGTATCGCCCAGCTCCCTCGACCATGGAAAGACTCGCATGGCGCGTAGACATGCAGGATCCTTCAGCTCGAAAGATGTTGAAATAGGCAAGATGCTTCCATCCTATGTCGACCCGCCCTCCTTCGCTGTCGGTTTCTTTGACGGAGCGGCCCCCCCGACGCCTGTGCCTCGTAGTGCTCGAAGAACAGGCCCATCCCTCGGCTCGGCCCCCCTAAATGTCACATCGATGGCCAACGTGTCTGGCCCGTATAGTGCAGACGGCTCCCATTCAACACATCGCTGGGATGCCCACTCACGTCAAGGCTCCCAGAGTTCTCTTCTTCCCTCCTCGTCCTCTTCCCTCGCGTTGCGGGCCGCTCAATTCGATACGCCAATAAACTCGAGTACTCTTATGGATAAAGAGGCAATAGATGCAATGAAGCAAGCGCTGGATGCTGCGCCTGCTATCTGGGAGATGGTATGTGGAATACTAAGCGAAGAGGACGAGAACAACGAGCCCTTGAAAGAGATACTGAGCAGGGCGCAAGAGGTGGCTGAGAGGCTGCGCAAGAGTGTTACGGCTATTCAGGACGGATCGCCTCTGACGGATCGCAGACCCCTGCACGATGACGCACGTATGTTTGCTAAGGTAAGGCAACTATACGCCAGCGTTAATCAGGGATTAGTGGCTAATGTCGCCTCGTGTGCTAGACCGTCATCCAACTATCGGGCGCGATTAAGACTCATATCGCTGCGCATCCGCTGTCGTCTACTGTTCGGACAAACATGGTCAAGCTCACCAACGCGACGGAAGAATTTGTCATACTGCTGCACGTCTCCTCCTTCTCTCCTGCTCCGACCCCCCGGCCATATACTCCCTTAGTAGGACCTCAGCCGAGTCCACTTAGCCATCCAGACGATGGCAAGCTTGGTGCCAATCTATCACGCGCTCGCAGTGCTGCACACTCTGCTAGTTCGAAATTGGCGCCTGCAATGCGGGATCCACCGCATAGCGCACTTCCTCATTCAACATTCACCGTCCCGACACCTCCGCGCTCTGTGATGTTGCGGAAAGAGACTATGAACGATATGACTGCTGTACCAGGATGAATTTGGGCACCAGTGGTTTTCTGCCTTCATTGCACTAACTTATTCCCTCCTATTGTCAAACGAATCGTTGTCGCATTTCCTTGCCTGGTGCATAACATGCATACAACCCACTAGCTCACACATTCCACTTCCCTCAAGCATACTTTATTAGATCCCACTGTATTCTCCAGTTCATGGACAAGGTCCTGGGCAACGGGATAGGTGCTAATGTATCTACTTCGTAATAACCTTGATAGTCCGTCCTTTTGCATGAGACTCACTACCCATGCCGGCGTGTGCGTTGGCGACAATCCTGTTAATCTCAGTTCTAACCTCCTTAAGGTTCGCTTTCAAGGTCTGCACATCTTCAAATTTCCTGTGAGCCTTGGCCTCCTCCACAAAGGTCTCGAGCAATGCCTCTTGTTCCAGTAAAGGTTGAAGAACTCGAGCAGCTTCCGAATCAGGATCGACGCCCATAGGTTGGTCCTCTTGCTTAGCATCTTGGGACGAATTGATACTGCCCTTGGGCTTGGGCAAGGACTAACGACTAGCATGTCAGATCGGTTCAGCTAGTATGAGTATTCTGGCTTCACCTGTAACGGGAACATATGTTTCTGCAAGAACATGTTGGCACGCGTCAAGATGGCAGCCTGCATACGATCCTGAGAAGAACCGGGTCCCCCTGGGCAGGGAAGTCTTCGTATTCGTTTGGCAAGAATGTCATACTGGCCGAAAGCCTCCAGCAACCGTTTTCGGGCGGCGGAAGCCTCTGGCGTCGGTCGTTCTTGCTTACTGGTAAAGAAAAGGACATTGAGGGATCAGTGACAATCGACAAGTACAGAGAACAAACTTGAGGCTGATCATGAGCTCTTGGAACTGGGGCAGCGCATCCTCGATCTCTCGCTCAAGGTTGATGAATGCCTGCACAATTGGGTCAGTGAAAGATGTGTACTGCGATGAGAGCACGAACGTCATAGAGCTTGATGAAAATCGGCGCGCTGTGTACTTCGCGCTTGTGCTGGTGCCGTCTAGTGGTCATGTGAGCTGACTGCACGCTGCATAAGTGAGACGAGCGCACAGGAGAACTGGCCGGCAGTCTCGGCATATTCGGACGCCTTTCAAGAACTTCTCTTCCTCGCTGAAACCGTCACCACTACCTCTGCCCATTGCCTGTGACGAGGAGGTAGTTCTCCGTCGGACGCCATAGTCGACGCCTTCGTCTACCTCTTCTATCCGGCCAGTTTTCGGATCCGCAACGAAGAGGAGGGAACACGTCTGGGGACGCTGTGGATATTTAACGGGCAGCGAACAAATGATCCTGCCACATAAGCGACAATGGTGTTTGCGGTTAGTCAGAGGGTGAAATGAGACCCTGCGATTGTTTATCAAATGCGTTGTTTCCCCACAGTGATACAACACTATCGGGACTCACGAACATATAAGACATTTTGTAACAGATGCGTCGTCTTGCCAAGGAGTTATAGTCTGCTCTGCAGCTATGTGTGGCTTCGGTATGCCATTGCGATTGACAGCGTAGAGAGCGGTACTCACACCGTATGTCATTCTTTCCTGCGGGCTGCGCCTGGGATTGGACGACGTTGCGCCAGAGATCGCTAGCGTTCTTACTCCTTAACTCGGAAAAGTCCATCTCGAATATAGACGATAGCCGCTTGTTGGGTCGCGAAGGATGCTCAGATTCTTGGGTCTTCTCCTTCGATTTCTGCTCAGAGGGGAAGTGCAGGTTGATCAACTTCTCCAGCCGACGCTCAAGCCGCGTGCGCTCGATCCGGTCAACATCCAAGTGGGTCTTGCGTGCCTCTACAAGCTCGTCGGTACGTGGTCGATATACGCCCTTTGGCTGGAAGCCAGGCCTGTAGGGGGCGGATGATCGCAGTACATTGACTGGCGATGATGAAGGTGATGATAGCGAAACAGGAGATGAGGATGCCGCAGAGGAAGAGGTGAGCGCAGGAGGCAGAGCTGGGGTATGGGGCCTTGGCGACGTTGCGTTGGACCTTGCTGGCTGCGTCTGCGGCGTTTCGGCGTTTGGTGAAGGCGACGGGCGTAGAATAGTGTTTGTATCATTCCGGGAAGGATGGGGCGACGGTTCCGATAATGTTGGAGAGGGTACAGGAGCCCTGTCATATGGACCAATCGTTGGTGACGATCTTCCTGAAGAGACCCGACTCGGTAGGTTTGTGTGTGAGGGTATTTCCAGTGGCCGCGAGAGCGACGATGCGGTCGAAGGCGTGCGGGCGTGTGCATCCGCTGGACGAAGGGGCGATGACGGTAGCGATGAACGCGTTTGGGCAGGTCGTAAAGGAACATGCCGGAACGTTGATGCCTTGCGAGCTGCTTGCAGTGATGTATGCGCAGGTGTTGCTGGAGGGGTATTGGAAGAGCTGGCCTCGGGTTGCTTGGAGGATCCTGCAATCGGGGTTGAGGGTCGCACAACGGGGAATCCAGATACAGGAGATGCAGTAATGGGAGATACAGAGATAGCACCATTGCTATTCAATGCTGGAGCTGTGGTAGATATCATGGATGTGTTTGGCATTGAGGAAGACGGAGAAGATGCTATGGGCGTGTTGGACGGAAACGACGGAGACGCCGGAGACACGGGCATACTTCCTGACGAGGTTTTTGTCGGCACATATGGAGCATACTCGTAATGTGCAGGGGCTGGCTGTTCATAACTTGGCAGCAAAGCGACCATAGAAACTGGTCTGGAGACTGACGCGTTGGGCAATGGCGCGCGTCGAGTGGGAGAAGGCTCAGAGCCAAGACTTTCGGTGCGATGATGGAAGACAGGGGCGTCATTTGCATGACCGTTCGCATGACCGTTCGCATGACCGTTCGCATGCCCATTCCCGACATGGCCTACGACGCTGGATGGTCGAGGTTGGGGGGAGGAGCCATTGGAGCCAGACTGGTTGGAGGAGTTCCGCCCATGTCTCTTTGACTGCGCATACAGCGACTTTTCAATAAACGTACAGAGAGAACATGTACCGGCACACCTTGTAAGCCTGGTAGGGGACGTAAGGAGTGTTCATGGTGGTATCTGGAGACATTCACGCTGTCATGACAAGGTCGTTACGATGATGAGCACCGCCGTGACAAGACGTCCGGGCTGTGAACCTGCCCGTACGAATATCAGTACGAATTTGTCACTTCAGATGCGTGATGTACGCACGAAGACGCTCACCGCTGCGCGAGGGCTGGATAGAGCTGCGCGGCAGGAGCGAAAGCTCGGTGGCTCTCAAGCTGCCACGGGCGCCCGGCAGTCTCACGCACCCGGCCCACCTTTCCTCCAGCCATGTCTGCACCCACTGGCATTGCTGCCTCCCAGGAGCTCTCGGCCGCATTCTCAGATGTCATCGAGTCCAAGGATACCAGGTTTCTCAAAGTATCCATCCGCAATGGTCCTGCATAGTCCAGTCTTTGCGCCCATGCCCGCAGCTCATGTTCTCGCCATGCATCAGAATCCCTTGTTCCCGACGGGACCTTCCCTTCATCTGGAACTTTGGAGGAGGATCTGAGCAAGATGCAAAGTATACTAGAAGACAATGTTCCCGCCTATGTCCTTGCCAGGCTCGATGATCCTCCGTCTGAGTGGCTGGTAGTCTACTATGTCCCGGACACCGCGAAAGTCAGAGATAAGGTACGCGCCGCGATCGGGTAACACTGCAATGACGAGTTCATGCAAATGTCCAGATGCTGTACGCCGCTACGCGGAATACTCTGACTAAATCGCTCGGTTCAGCACACTTCACGGATAGCATCTTTGCAACTAGCAAGGATGACGTGACTGCCGAATCGTATGCCAGGCACAAGCAGCATTTGGCCGCCCCAAAGCCCATGAGCGCCAGGGAGAAGGAGATGGCAGCAGTCAAAGCGGCTGAACGTCAAGCCGGAGGTAGCCAATATGAAGGAAGCAGAGCAAGGCAGAATCATGTAGGACAAGGCGTTGGCCTCAAGTGGACTGAGGATGTAGAGAATGCTGTCCAAGAATTAGGAAACGGCGAAGGCAGCGCTATCGTCGTTCTGGTCAGTAAACTGCGAAAATTCATTGCACCGGGATATTCACCTGCGCGTACAGAGTATCGATTCGTCTTCGGAGACGTTGCTGTTGTCCTCGGTGGTTGAATGCAGCGTGGAGGCACTAGGTGCTTCCCTTCCTGTCTCCGAACCTTGTACGTTAACTTCCTGGGCTACACTCGGGATCTATGTTGACCATCACACAGCCTATGCATTCTTTGCATGGTCTCAAAGTGTTACCGGTCGTCCCAAGCGAGAAATCAGTGCGTCTATCTATATATCGTGCCGCTACTCGTGATTCTTACATTATAAAAGTCTTCATCTATTCATGTCCCTCATCCTCTCCCATCAAGCATCGCATGCTGTACTCCTCTGGGGCTTCCTCTGTCTTGCAATCTGCTAAAGGGATACTGTCATTGTCTCCGGGCTCGTCGGCGCTAGCAGCCCGTAGGATCGAGACGTCCGATCCTGCAGAGTTGACAGAGGAATACTTGATAGCAGAACTTGGGCTGGATCCCGCTGCCGCTGCTGCAAGCTCGATTTCAACTACTCTCGATGGCGAGAAAAAAGCGTTTGCCCGACCGAAGGGTCCCGGCAGGAAGCGGTGACACAGATGAGGCCGTCGGATACCCTGACGCCCGTTTGCCGTAGGATCTTGTTACATAGTTATCAACTGACGGTCGGTCTTGTAAGTGGGTTACAACGTCGTGTAGTCCAGCTACCTATATCGAGTACTTTCATGTCACCGGAATTTGACTACACCAATGCCGACGCCACCGTCCAGAAGTAGTCGCCTTTTTTAGCATGTTTTTTTTGTCACATGCACCTCCAGACACGAGAGGCGGTCATCACTGTCGGCCACCGCAATGGCGGTAGCTTCAAGTGCTTATCCATCGGAGACGCGCTGTCCACTATATAGGAAGGTTCGGGACTGGCCAAACTGGCTATAACCCTTGCAAAAGATGCTGGCAGCAAGGACATCGTGCTCGTCACGGCTGACTGCGCCCTTGCGGACGCGTTTGGCGCCGTATGCTGTGGTTGTACGGCTGCACGTCAGACAGTACAGCACACCGACTGACCTGCCCGTACCCAACAAGACGAAGGTATGGGATTCAGTCGATGAGGCGGTCAAAGACGTGAAGAGCGGAGATGTCCTCTTGAGTGGTGGTGAGCCCCTAAGTAATCCTACCCCCCGCAAAGGCATTGATGTGCTGCTGGTATAGGCTTTGGACTATGCGGTACACCAGGTGGGACATTCGAAGTGTTGTGAAGCCCAGTCCGGTCGACTGAATACGACTGTCAACAGACACGCTGATCGAGGCGTTGGCGAAGAGAAAGGATGTCACGAAGTTGACCGCCGTCTCAAACAACGCGGGGTCGGGAGAGCTTGGGCTCGGTCAGCGATAGCTTGCTAGGCCAGATGAACCGAAACTGAAGAAATTACGCTGCAGGGAAGCTGCTCCATAATGGCCAGATTGACAAAATAATGGCCTCTTACATCGGAGGGTATGTATGCGCAAAAATACAAAGGTGACTGAGGCGAATGAAACATTTCCCTTCCGCAGAAACAAGTACTTTGAATCCCTTTACCTTAATGGCAAAATCTCCCTGGAGCTCATTCCGCAGGGCTCGCTTGTTGGCCGCTTAAATGCGCATGCTGCAGGCATTCCTATGTTCTTTACGCCCACGGGTGCGTCAACGGCAGTAGAGGACGGGTCGATACCTATCCGATACAAGGAGGGTGGCATGTCGCAAGGCGTCGCGATTCCGGGAAACAAGAAGGAAGGGCGACTTATCAACGGACGACGTTATATCCTCGAGCCAGCAATAGCCGGAGATGTTGCACTCATCAGGGCGTGGAAGGTGGACGAGGTCGGAAATTGTGTCTTCAGGTGTGTACATGCAGTAGGGAGTTCTGTTCGGAAAGATGCCTTACTTCCAATACTAGATATACGGCAAACAACTTTTCGGCCACGATGGCAAGGAACGCCAAGCTCACCATTGTTGAGGTAATCATCCTGTCTGTTGCGCAGCAGTCGTATCCTCTCTGACAGACGTAGGCGGAGAACATCGTACCTATTGGCTCCATCTCGCCAAACGCAGTTCACGTTCCTAGCATCTATATTGATCGCATCGTGAAGGCCTCTGCAGCCAAGCACATCGAAATCGAGACGCTGGCTTCGACTTCGGAATCAGAAGACTCCAAACCGCTGACTGCAGAGAAGAAGGCTGCTCAAGAACAAAGACATCGCATCGCTCGACGGGCGGCGAAAGAGATCAAGGATGGTTTCCACGTCAATTTGGGCATCGGGATGCCGACTCTTGTACCGGAGGTGCGTGAACGGACAGCCGCCATCGGCCAGGTGACTTATGTGCTCGCTTCCTATTATGCAGTTTCTGGAACCCGGCGTGCGGGTGTGGCTTCAGAGCGAGAATGGTATTCTTGGCATGGGACCTTATCCGACGAGGGAACAGCTGGATGCGTGTGTTTCCACGTCCCTGTTGGTTCCCTACATGTGTGCTCAAATTAGGTTCTGCAGAGACATTATCAACGCCGGCAAAGAGACTGTCACATTACTCCCTGGGGCAGCTGTGTTCGGTACGTTATTGAGTCGTTAACCTGCGGTGTTTGAGCGGTAAAAGCTAACGGCGTGCAACATCAGATTCGAACGAGTCGTTCTCCATGATCAGAGGGGGGCACATTGATGTGGCTATTCTCGGGGTGAGTTGTCTTTTATAGTGCAGACAGTGTGGGAGAAGAAGCCGACGCGGTATTCCAGGCTATGCAGGTATCGCAGGCAGGTGACATTGCCAACTTCATGATCCCGGGAAAGATGGTCAAGGGTATCGGAGGTGCAATGGACCTTGTCTCTAACCCCGACAAAACCAAGGTTATCGCCGTCATGGAACACTGCGCCAGGGACGGCAGCCCGAAAATCCTGAAACAATGCGCGCTGCCGCTGACAGGGGCGAGGGCCGTGAGCGTGATCATCACCGAGCTGGCGGTGTTCGCCGTGGACCGCCACGTGGGTGAGCTTGAACTGACCGAGCTGGCGGAGGGCGTGACGCTGGATGAGGTGAAGGCGAAGACGGGCTGTGACTTCAAGGTCTCCAGCCGGCTTGGAGCCATGTGACCACCAATGGCTGCTGTTCGATACGGTGAATTAATATACGGTGTTCTTGTTCAAGTAGACTTGCCCAGACGTACCCCATGGGGCCCCGAGTGTCGAAGTGGGCGTCGAGAACCCAGAAGGGAGAGCGTCGGACTACATCGGTGCTAGCGCCGTGCCTATCGGCCCAATGTGGGCTTTGCGACTGGCTAAACGCCCAGAAGAGGGCGTCGCTTGAACAATTACGATCATCGAATCGACGGTATGGCAGGAAATCCACCGGCCCAGAATGCTATCCTTGCCGGTGCCTGCTTGCCCGGTCCACCGCTCGTGTCCTATATAAAACTCAACCCCGCATTACACATCTTCTCCTCACCGTCCTCCGTCCCGCTCCATCCGCTCTTGGACCGCTGTCGCGATGTGGGCACTCAGGCCTCGCGCCCCTGCACTCCGTAGCCTCCGCAATACCGTGGTTGTCTCAGCCCGTATTCGGTACTACAGCGTCGTCACAGATGCACCAATACCCAAGAAGACCAAAATCTGGCCGTCCGCGGAGGAGGCTATAAAGGATGTCAAGAGCGGTGACACCGTCCTCTGTGGAGGTGCGCTTTCTCTCTCTTCCCCCACCAAACACTGCACCTGGCTTACACGCTGGCACAGGCTTCGGTCTCTGCGGTATCCCAGAAACGCTTATCGAGGCTTTGTCACGGCGCAAGGATGTCCAGGGCATCACCGCCGTCTCAAACAACGCCGGCGCAAAGGATCTCGGTCTCGGTACGTTCAGTGCGGCGATAGAGCGGGTAGCGTGGCTTACAGCGACGCAGTGAGGCTCGTTCAGTCGGGGCAGCTTGACAAGCTGATGATCTCATATCTGGGAGGGTACGTAAATGTCGTCTTCTATTGATGCGGTCAATTAACCTTGCCGCAGCAACAAATTCCTCGAGTCGAAGTACCTGGAGGGCGAGGTCGGAATTGAGCTTGTCCCCCAGGGTACGCTCGTCGCTCGTCTGAAGGCGTACGCATCGGGCTACCCCGCCATCCTCACACCTACCGGTGCATCGACTGCGGTTGAGCGTGGTGACATCCCTATTCGCTACAATGCCGGTGGCATGAAGAACGGTGTTGCCGTGCCGGGCAACAAGAAGCAGACAATGGAATTTGACGGACGAAAATACGTGGTGGAACCTGCCATTGCTGGGGATGTTGCATTCGTGCACGCATGGAAAGCGGACGAAGTCGGTAATTTGGTCTTCCGGTATACTGCGAACAACTACAACGCGGTCATGGCTCGCAACGCTAAGTTGACAATCGTTGAGGTATGTCTTGTGAGCCAGCTGGGATTAGTCAATGCTGATTTGTCACATTTGTCCTGCCAAGGCGGAGGAGATTGTGTACGTACGCGATTTTATATCTCAGTGTTCCTGTTTTAACACTTTTTGTTGCAGTCCTGTTGGCAGCCTCTCCCCCAATGCTATTCACATCCCTGGCATCTACGTCGACCGCATCGTTAAGGCTACTATACCCAAGGCGATCGAGGTTTTGGCTCTTGCTAAGAACAAGGAGGAACAGACCGCCACTACCTCGCCTGGTGCTAGCCAAGACAAGGCCGCACACGACTGGCGACACAAGATTGCAAAAAGGGCAGCGAAGGAAATTCACGATGGCTTCTACGTAAACCTCGGTGTCGGTGTCCCGACGCTTGTCCCCGAGCACTTGGACGCCGATATTTCGGTCTGGGTTGAGAGTGAGAACGGTATCCTTGGTATGGGCCCCTACCCAACGGAAGACCAAGTCGACGCGTAAGCTTTTACCGTGCATTGTATCCTCCATCCACCTTGCTGAGTCGACTCCCTAGTGACATCATTAACGCTGGCAAGGAGACGGCGACGCTGCTCCCCGGCGCATCGTGTTTCGGTGCGTAACGCTCCGGAGTTGTGAGTTCGTAATGGCTGATATATTCCCGGTGTGCAGACTCCATCGAATCGTTTGACATGATCCGCGGCGGACACATGGATGTGACATGTCTCGGTGTTAGTGGGATTTGCTTGACTGATATGGAATGGTTGCTGAGGTAGAAACGCACCCAGGCAATGCAAGTTTCCCAGGCCGGTGATATTGCGAACTTTATGATCCCTGGCAAGCTGGTCAAGGGTAGGTGCTGCGTCCTGATCCCAGATGCATGACTGAATGCTGTGCTTCCAGGTATCGGTGGTGCAATGGACCTCGTCTCGAACCCCGACAAGACCAAGGTCATTGCGCTTCTGCAGCACTGCTCGAAGGACGGCACGCCCAAGATTGTCAAGGAGTGCTCGCTGCCCATCACAGGAGCGGGGGCTGTCAGCATGATTATCACGGATTTGGCCGTGTTCAACGTGGATCGCAAGGCGGGCGAGCTTGAGCTGATCGACTTGGCAGAGGGTGTCACGCTCGAGGAACTCAAGGCTAAGACGGCCTGTGACTTCAAGGTGTCGCCGAATCTCGGCCGCATGTAAAGTATTTCTAGTGTAGCATTAGTAGTATTCCATATTCTCGGACACATGCACGCTGCGAGAAGGACTGTACTAAGAAGAATGAGATAGGAAGGCGAAACCGATGCTGCTGCGTTGCATGTGACTCGAGAGCGCTTTCACATGGCGGCGTTTGGTCGTCGGTGTGCGTGCCACTGCCAAGGGTTCGCGCCTGCAGTTACTCAAACCGGTTGAGCTCGCCCGCCATTGACAACCTGCCTTCTCCCCGCCGTTGCCTCCCTCCCGGACTTGCAACTCCCGCCGCAACCCGCACATCGAAGTTCCCGGATAAGCTGGTCAACCACCCTTTCGGCGCTCCGCGAGGTTCTCATTCGCACTGCCGGCTACGGCTCTTCTGGCTCCACCAGCATCAACTCGAACAGACGGCCCGCGCTCTCCTACTCTCCCTCGTTACGCACGACCGCCTCAGCCTCCGACGAGCTGGCAGACCTACCCCCACATCATGAGCTGGTTAACAAGTCTTTTCTCGTCGTCGAAGACTACCGTGAGCTCCCGCAAAGCCATGTCCTCCACCCATGAGGCCTTCAGCCTCCCCACCTCGTCACCCGGCGTTCATCCGCATCCTGACGCATTCAACCCGGATACCTTGACCTCACCGACAAGCAGCGGCTCGTACTCGTACCCACCCCCAGCAGGCGGAGCCTATGACTATGTGCCGTACGTCTGTCCGAATTCTTGTCAGGCCCTGCAGTGCAGACGACCCGTTAACCACCCTCTGTGATGCAGTGCCAGCACGCGTTCAAGACAGTCCACAATACTTCCGCTCCATTCAAGCTCGGCACTCCCTCCGCTCCCCTCATACCCACCTCTGTCGCACACATGGGAACGCCTACAGAGATGGCTTGCTAAAGAGTACCCCGAGCTCGGCGACACTCTCAATTACGGCATCCTACCCCAGGATCTCGCGCAGGTCGAAATGTCAATGGGCCTCGTGCTTCCCCAAGCTGTTCGCGATTCTTATCTGTGCGTCGATGGCCAAGAAGCAGAATCCGCAGCTGGTTGCTCGGAGGGCTTGTTCTTTGGTCTCACGCTGCTGCCTCTCGAGGACGTGCTGGAGGAGTGGAGGTTCTGGCGGGAGGTGGACGGCGACCCGACGACTGGCGCTAATCCGCGTTTGCGCGAGGTGATGCAGTCGATCCCTACCGGATGGGTGCGGCGGGAGTACTCGTGTCGCGGATGGATACCATTAGTCGCCGACAAGGCGGGCAACTATCTGGGGGTCGACATGAATCCTGCGGATGGCGGCTCGGTAGGTCAGGTCATCGTGTTCGGCCGGGATTTTGACACAAAGGTCGTCATGTGGCGGGGCGACGGGCCCGCCGGCTGGGGCAAGTGGTTTTCGAGTTTCGTGGACGACCTCGAGAATGGTGAGGGATATGAACTTGGGGCAACGAACGATGGGAGTGACGACAGTGAGGACTCCGTGGGTTACCAAGATTATTTCTTCGACGGCGTCGGGAGCGGTCAAGGTGACAGCGGCGGTGATTCCGGAACGGGCGGTCTCCGAATGTCTGGCGAGTACAAGGGGTGGAACGTGTTGGAGGCGTGGGCGGATCGCAGCGTTCGGAGATGGCAGGAAGCCGGCCTGCACACAGACGAATCGTATCCTCCCTGGGAGAAGGGCAAGGTGCGGCAACAGACAACTAAATATCAGGATATCCAATAACAATTTCTTCGCAGGTACCGGAGAAGGTCTCACTAGATCGCCTACAAACTGGTTCTGGAGCGGAAGTACCGATCCCAGTGTTCTCCGAGGCCGGGGAGGAGACATCCGCTCTGGCTGCGGCTCCCTTAGGCAACGTGACCAACAAGACACATAAGAGCAACTCAAGCTCGCGCCCAACATTGCCAACTATTTCCGTGAGCAAGCCACCAGCACCATTACCTCTATCCCTTCCGACACCGGAACCTCTCGAATCACCTACATCTGAGATGCGACCATCTGCCGATGATGACATAGAAGCGAACGGCGACATGGTGATGCGCGAGATCGATCTCGGACATCGGCGGATATCTGCAGGTCAATTTTCGCAGTCGCCTTCGAGTTCAGCAGGGACAGCTCGTGCTCTGTCTCCTCCTCATAGGACCCTGACTGAATCGCCAGAGGAAATACACGCATTTTCGTCAACTCCAGGATCGTCGCAGACCCCTGATCTTCTTGCTTCTCCCGAAGAATTGGTATCACCCCCACTCCCAGAACTAACACACACGCTAGGAAATGATGATGAACCGCCGGCGAAGGATGAGGATGACTCCCCAGTGCTTATACACGCAGACGATGCCCCCCTGCCTGACACCCCCATACGCCTTGTCGGTGGCGGTGGTACGTCTGGAACCGTTGACGAGTCGTTGCAGAATGAGGGGGTACTCGTAGAGGAGCCAGAGTCTGTCGAGCTGTCCCCTGTTCGCTCAAATGACACCGCGGTAACAGCGGTCGCCCACGGGAAAAAGAAGAGCATATCTTCAAGTCTGAAGAACTTTGGGCAACTTGGTGGTGGCAAGCGGAGCTCTGTCTCGTCGGTGAAGGGAGTTGTTTGACGACGCATACCTGATGTACCGAGTGTGGACCTTCAGATTTGTTGCTCTGGGCTTTGCATCCCTTCATCCTATTGACATTCTCCTGTATAGTCGCACAGTTTTTTATACCCTTAGGCACCGTTTAGTGACAGATGATTGTCTTATGCCTTTGCAGTGGACTGATATACAGTATTATCGTAGTCAACCGGAAGCGAACGGCGTGCCTGAGTACTTTGCCCCTTGCTCATTGATCTTACTGAGTTGCCTATTTTGGAGCGGACATTTATTCGGCAAATTCCGATCATGGCTCGACTTGGCGCTTAGCACTTGCTTTAGGACGCCGACCATCTCCTTGCATTGTCCTTCCGCTTATTGGAGTGCGCCTGGGGGCCGTCGCTGCTGGACCGTCGACATATTTTGATATTCACTGCTGTTGCTTTGACCCTAAGGGCGCGTTCCTGACTTCCTCGTCGCATTCGCGCTATAGACCTCTCGCCACTCAATACAGCCACAAACTCAAACTCAGTAGCTGCATCCTCGACTTTCTCTCATTCAGCTGGGAAGGTGGATTATGTCACAATCAGTGGAAACTCTCCTCGAGGAACGCTTGCTGCAGTTGCAGTGAGTCTTGGCTATCACACAGTCTCGGTTACCTCATGACGCCCTGTAATTAGACAAATATCGGAACGGAGGACCTCACTCCTCCAGGAAATGTACCATCTGATCCACAAACGCGAGAATTTTGGATCTTCTTTGAGCTTTGAGCTGAAGGACGGCGAGCAAATGCAATCGTTCCTCGACAGGTTTGACCTAGAGAAACAGTGAGTGTGCCACTTGCCGGCCTACGTCGTTCGCGCATACCTACACGCCCTTCAGTCCGGAAACTGGGCATATTTCCAATATGCCTGTATCAGAACTCCTAGGCGATGAACTTGACACAGAAATGTCAGAGTCGGTAGACACCAGTCCGCCGAGTGTCAAGATTGAGTCCCCCATCACAGAACCTCCTACCCCTCCTGAGAGGTTATCGCAAGATATTCTCCCGCTTCCCGAAGAAATGGATACAGGAGAGATGGAGGTCGTCGAGACCCAACAGACTGGAGAGTCTGGCGCAGAAGAGCCTGCTTCCGATGATGTGCTACTCTTGAAGTCGACTCCGCAAGTTGGCATGAAACGCAAGCGATCCCCGTCTGATGATGACGAATCTCCCGACGAGCTTGACCTCCTTGCCACCTCCCGAGCGACATCTCGTCATGTCTCTTCGCTGTCGAGGTCACGGTCTCGCACAACAGCGTCTCGTCTTCCTTCTGAGATACCGTACGGATCCCCTTTGCCGCAAATCGAGCCACAGCTCTCTTCACCTCAGATTGAGAGCGAACTTATAGCCGATGATCTCGTGGAGTACGAAGTAACAAAAGAAGAACCGACTGACGAGGAGCTGGATGTCAGTGAAGACGACGTCTCTCATATCTTACAGCCTTCTGCTTCTTCAGCGACAGATACTATCTTTCCCTCTGTTACCCTTCCGAGCCGAGCTCGTCCAGTATATGTCATGTCCGCACCCGAACCTTCTGCCCCTCTGGAATTCATATTCGACGGGCTCGAGGAACCCGATGAGTCTATGGCAGTAGACAAGCCTGCAAGCCCTGCCATCCCATCCCATCTCACTCCGGAGTACACGCTACCGCCCCTCAAGCTCCTCCCACTTGAGTTTAACCGCAAGTCCAAATCATCACGACAAAGGAAACGCGACAAAGAGAAGGAGAAGAACGGAGACAGGGGCGACTATAGGAGAGACGATTGGGCACCCCTCGGGTACAATAGGTGGGGTGCTGCCGTGCGCGCAAATCCAATATGGGTCAAGCTCGCCAAAGCTACGAAATGCATCACCACAAATGACTGGAATGTGCGTCGCATACGCGAACTGTACTGTGTATTGCTAAAAGACGTATTCAGGTCGGTATAACGGAATTGAGATTCTTACGCACTGTAGAACGCGTCGAGAAGCTCAAGGAGGATAACGCCTGGAGCTTTCGGCAGCCTAAAAAGCAGAGAGGCGTCGGATATCTATCAAAGTCGCATTGGGATTATCTCATGGATGAGATGGTGAAGATTCATTTATGCCTTGAATGTGACGACATCGCGGCTGATTTACCTGCAGAAGTGGATGCGCATCGATTTCCGCGAAGAACGAAGATGGAAAGTAGCCTTGGCATTTGGTCTTGCACAATCCGTAATGGCGTGGCACGAAGCCGGTACACTTGAGGAAAGGGTGCGCCGCGGAATTTGTGTGCTATGGAAGCGACCCCAACCAGAGCAGGACGACACGGCAGCAGATCGTGCAGATCAGGATGCAGTGGAAATTCCGGACATGGATGATGAGACTGGTCCTGACTCAAGGGACACCAACACGCCTGCGAACGATTATGGGTCGGATGATGACAGCGACGACGAGCAAGAGAAGGAGCAAGAACAAGACCGCAGAGACGTCTTCGACGCACTAGCGCCTGGTACATTGCTCGCAGAAGCGCTGGCGGACAAGGAGGCGAAAGTCGACGGATCTGGCTCCGATCACGTCCAGTTCAAGACAGAGGACGTGGAGGATACGTCGGGCTTACGCAACACGCTTGACGAGCGCGCTGATGCCATGGATGTTGATTCAAAGCCCGCCATTGAGGACAACGTCGAACGCGATTCAGGAACAAAAGCTCTGGAGAATGAAGATCCCACGGCTACTGCCCTTAAAGACAGCTCCTCTGACCCTGTTCTTACGCACCATAGCACTGACACGCAAGCGTCGCATTCTAGTGGCAAAGCTCGATCGAAAGCTAAATCTACTGCGTATGCTCCTCTGCGTGAGGAGATCATCTATTCTGCCGTCGACAAGCTGTTCATCGACTGCGACGAGCTCGATCTTGCGAAGGGGATGTCTGAGCTCTCCACTGACGACTATCTGCAGTCTCTTCCACCGCCCCCTGATCTTACTTCCATTTTCCCCGATTTGACACCCTTCGGTCTTCCCGAACCGGTAACAAGTGGGCCTTCGCCCTCAGGAGGTAACGAAGGTCGCAGGAAGTCAGACAAGAGAACAGACAAGGACGACCCTAACAGACGAGTAGAGGAGACGGCGTACAACAAGCTCTACCCCATGAGTGACTTCATGCACACGAAGCCCACTCTCTTGGGAGCTCTACACCCGTCAAAGCATTGGCATGACGGCGAGTGGGATAACGTTGAGGATGCCGTTATCGCAACAGAGTTCGATTCGCCTTCCCCTAGAGTCATCGAGGAAAGCTCTTGTAGTGAGTACATCCCTAAAGATCAGGACTACTCAATTTCTCAACTTTATCCAGGCCTTTTCGACGGCAACAAATCGAATTCTCCTGGACTCCCTATTCTGTTACTCCCTGGCATCAGGAAGGACCCGCGGAGCAGCAAACGCGCGCCTGAACCTGTATGGAACCCGACTGATGATGCAATCTTGAAGTGCCTCGTAGAAAAGTATCCAGGCAATTGGATTCTGATCGCGGATGCCTTCAACTCCTCCAGAGTGACAATTTCGACGGACCGACGTAGCCCTGCAGAATGCTACGAGCGCTGGCTCGAGCTCTCTGGTCGATCTTCCGAAGCCCACTCGCAAGATGATGCTCGTTCGCATCCGGCTGCGCCCGCTACCCCGATGACAACACGGGGGACTAAGCGGACAGCAGCCATGGCTTCATCTGCAACTCCTGTTAGCACCACAGCCACAAACGTGACTGTGGAGTCGAAGAGGAAGCGACGACACGCGTTGCTGTACGAGGCAATGCGCAAGGCTATGAAGAAGAGGGAGGCAAACCTGAAGGCAAATGGTAATGTGCTTTACCGACCGTTTATTCGGAGCGTGATGTTAACTGAGGATATCACTGGCAGCAGCCCAACGCAAGCCAGCGACGATTGTCCACGATACACACGGCCAATACAGCAAACTGCCCAAGATGACTCCTCTGGAATTGAGTCGTGTGAAACACGAGAGGGAACAGGATGCGAAGCGTCGGATCGACATGGAGCACCGCCAGCAACGATCACAGTTAATTGTGAGTCTGCGAGCATTAACCACGCAACAGGGCTGATTCGCCTCCATTTAGCAACAACAGAGCCAACTGGTCCAGGCACAACAACCACAGCAACCACAGCAATTGCCGCAAGCACAAGCTGCCCAAGTGCAGAATGGCCCGAGGCCTCCCAACCCCAATCACGTAGCGCAGATTCGCAGCCAGGTTGGCATCTCTCAGCAGCAGAGGGCATCGGCAACGCAACTTTCCATGGCCAACGTGCGTATATCGCCGTCGAATACCACGCAAAATGCTCAGGCAAACATACAGGCTCGGGCCATGCTCACGGCACAGGGCGTGCAACCGTCACCTCAGACTGCCCAAGCGCAGGCTCAGGCCCAACAAGCGCAGGCCCATGCACAAGCTGGTCCTTCGAGTGCCATGGCCGCAATTCCTGCCGTGTCCACTCACCTGTCGCCCCCGTATGCCGCTCGTGCCACCACCTCGTCCCCAGCCATACCCCAGCAATCGCCTCCCCTGCAACCCAGCGCGGCGTCCAACGTGCCAGGCTCAAGACCGCCGTCGACGCAGCCGCACGCGGGCATGGCACAGGGCCAGGCAGGACATATCAACATACCGCACACGGCGGCCGCGAATCTGGCATACTACCAAGTCCCTCAACACCTCCGCACGGCGGCGCAGCTGACGCCTGAACAGATACATAACTTGTTGCGGGTGCGTCAGGGCTCCTTCCTCCTGTCCCACACGTCCGATCGCTGATCTTTCTCGTCCAGAACGCCACAGCTAACAATCTCAACCCCCAGAATGGATCGTATTCGCAGTCTTAGCTCGTCCATGTAGTCGTTTTGTGTACCGATCGTGTATTTCTCTGTGTGCTATAGCAATTCCAAGTCCAGGTTCTCCATATGCATGTGATTTGTCTCCGACGCCAATGACGTCGTGACGTCGGTTTTGGCGCCTGTCGGCTCGGTCAAACCGTAAGCTAAAGCACGCCTCCATCCGACCACGTACTTCCATACCACTTGTCACCCTCCGGCCAACGAACTTGACACGATACCATGTCGTCGGGAAAGACCGCAGAAGTGAGCATCTTCAGCATTCTGTGCCCTTTGAAACCGTGCAAACGCCAACGGCTTTGGGCAGGACAGCACCTGGAAGGCAAAGGAGCAAGGCGAAGAGAACCAGTACATCCGTCAGAAGGTGTGCCCCAGCACGGCCTCCATGGCTTTCCATGGTTGGTTCGGTTCTGCTCGAGACATGTGTGTCTGATTGCGCGGCCTTGTTATCGTAGGAGCAGGCGCAGCTGGCCGCGCTCCGCGATCAAGCTCGAGCCTCAAAGACCGCTGCGGTGCCGCGCGAGGACAGGGACTACGAGGCCGGATTCGGCGGCCAGGAGGACCTGGAGGACCGCTACGCGACGACGAGCGGGGAGCACTAGCGGATGCCTATCGCGCGCGAGGCCTTCGACAGTCCTTGACCGGAGCTGTTCTACGTTTCTATGTACCAATATTGAGCCGTCTGCATGACATCCCTACTCTAATTGTCTGTCCCGTTGGCGGGAAGCGCATGAAAGCTAGTAGACATGTATTACGCAGCAGGGTACACTCCAGCGAAGGCTGCACTATGACGGAAACATATCTGAGGTTCCTTATGCTTCTTCCTAGGCGATATCAAGCAGCGATGAGCCGAACCTTTATCGGGGCTGCTGGTGTGGTGCGCGCGGCGGAGGCAATCGCAATCCCGAGAATGGTATGGTATAGCCTTAGTGTCCCGCAGTGGCTGGCACTGCGGCAGAGCCAGCCACGTCGGTTATAGACAACCTGTCATGAGCCTCTCACTTCGTATCGTGCGGGACAAGTAGAACCGTTGTACATTAGTGCGTTCCACGAGCGAACCGCAAGTTATCAGTAGGTACCCGATCCCGGCCGAGATACAGTGTAAATATGCATGCATTCTTATATGAAGGACACCCACCTACCGCGCAACAGCAACGAAGATGCTTTGCGTAGCCCTCGAAGCACACGGGCATCATCGCAATATAGAGGTGTATGTTTAGCTATAGCACGCCGCCGCCCGTCCGTGGTACGGCAGACGCGCGACAGGAATAGCACAATGACGACGGCCTGCAGGCTCGGCAGGGGGGGACCCTCGCCATGCCGCGGGGCGTTGCCATAAGTATTGCCCTTCGCGGACGATATCGCTATCGATAGCGCATCAGAATTCAGGATTCAGGATTCAGGACCCTCACCCGGGGCCCCCTGCAGCGCCCGCACACGTAGTGTGCGACCTGCACCGGCCGCAAACGTCCATCGCCGAATTTGCGATCGCATGCGGCGCGCTGGGCGATATGCGCCAGAGAAGCCGCGGATGCAGTTCGTACAGACGCACGGCTATTCCTAGCCTGGACGAGGACCCAGCGCGATGGTCAACGCGAAACACACGCTGGGGTGCTGGCACTCACTGCATTGGCGGACGGTGCCCCACAGCAAAGACAAAGATCGGGGGTCAATGGAACGCGGCATGTGCGGCCCATCAGGGTTTGAAGACATCGCACGGGGACCGCGGTAAGTGGTTGCACATGCCCGTGTGCCGATACCATATGGTTCGGCCTCACGCTTCCGGTGCCGTTGCAGGGAGAACCCGTCGTGACAGAAGAGTTCGGTGCGTGAACAACGACGGACAGGCAAGTAGTGATAGAATTTTAGCACGTCGGCCGCGCAAGGAGCTCTTCGGCTATCTGGACAGGCAGTCGGTGATAATGTTAGGACAGAGAACAGTGAAATGTAGCAGTGAGGATGCCTGCAAGACGGGAAGGCGAAGTGCATGGTTCTTGACCCGGAGCATGAACGGCCTTGGATGATGATGCAGTGGTGAGGACCTATTCTGGAGCTATTCGCGTGGGTGCAGTCGGCCAGCCGACATCGATGATGTTGATGTAGGTGCAGAGGACGGTTCTGAAGCAACTAGACACACGTCAATGTATGTTATATCAGGGGCGCTATTCTGGGCGGCAGCGGAGCCTTGCGCCTCAGCCGAAGGGCTGATGGTAAGTTGAAGTTCTGTCTGTTTTACCTCCGCTGGTGCCATGGGGACGCGGTGGCGCAGGCCACATGAGAACGCGTTGAAGGTTGAGCATTAAACTGGGCGAGGGACGATCAGCAAGGATACGGTAGAGCGTGGACGGGTCCCGGTTATGGGAAATGCGCGGCAACCCATGGCGAGGTGCCGCGAAAGTTAACTGTGGATGCCGCTGCCAGAGGCTTGTTTTGTGCTAGCCAGCGCGTCGTCAAAGGTGAAACTGTAACGCGCCCGATGCAGCGGACAGCAGACGCGTGCGCTCTCCGAAAGCGCGGGGAAAGATCGCCGCGGACGGCTGGGTTTGCTTGGCTAGGGGCGGCAGGTGCAGGTGCAGATGGGCGACGTTGACAGACGCGTATTGCGGCGTGCAAGGGGGTCACGAGGACGCGGCGAGTGAGACAGGCGGGCGAGGGACGGCGAAGTGGTAGCGGTGGCGGTGGCGAGGGGGAAGCGAGAAGGACGTAGGGAGCAGGCGAGACAGAGAAAGAGAGAGATGGTGGCCGGGGAGGAACAGCCGCGCAGCGAGGGCACGCGACATTGACGCGTTCTGTGTGGCCAATCGGAGGCGCCGGCTGCAAGATCGGGATATGCGATTCGATGAAGCTAAAAACAGCATCAACCCTACAAAATGACAGCCGCTTCGGGCGTCGCGCTCTCCGGCTGCCCGCTCCCTTTCGAGTCTCTCAGCGCCTCTGCTCTCTACTTGACTTCGCTCTCACACACATCTCTCTATTCCGACTTTCGTTTTTGCCCGACACGTCTGCCACCACTCTCGCATTTGGCACCTGCCTTCGCGCACAGCGATCCTGATCGCGCGCCTTCCGTTTTGAACAAGGTGCGTCTCAGGCACTCTGCAGCCCCACCCGCACTTATTCACCCGCACCACCTCTTGCGTATGTCCATCCTGCAACCAGCCCTTCTTTTCGCCTGCCCACCATGTCCTACGATCCATTGCCTGCGCGGTCCTTCGCCCCATCTCGGCCCCGTCCCTCTACCTCTTCTTCCCCAGCTGAAATGGAACCTCTCGACTCCCACTTCGACGCCAGCCCGCCCGGCACCCCTCGCAATCCCTTCATGGGCCGCGCCCTCGTAGACGACCCCGCCGCCTCCCGGCCCTCCTTCTCCGGCTCAAACAACTCTGGTCCGTCCTCCCATGCTGCCACCGCCGACGAGTACCAGTCGTCCCTCCGTGCACTCAACTTCAACGGCGGCGGAGGCGGCGGTGTTGCTCTCAATGAGCCCGGCTTCTACGGCCTCAATTATTATCGCGACTACCCCGCGTCCGGCGACCTCAACGCCTCCGAGCAGACCCTCGGCTCCGCCGTGCCCAAGCTGCACAACTCTCCCGGCAGCAACGCCAGCCCGTACCTCAGCGAAAAGCGCGCCGCCGGGTACGCGTCTCCTCGCACGCGTTCCCGCCGGCGCGCAATCCTCATCGTCGGCGGTATTGCGCTCGCCATCGTCATAATCGTAGTCACCTGTGCCGTCTACTTCTCCGTCAAGTCGCACCGCGACGCCGACGCGTCCTCCGACCTTGCCAGCGGCAGCTCTGGCTCATCGTCCGCGTCACCGACGGGGGCCTCCGCTAGCGGCAGCACCAGCAACGCGATTGTCACCGGTGGCGACGGAAGCACGGTCACCATGGCGGACGGTACCACGTTCACCTACACGAACACATTCGGCGGGTACTGGTACTATGACCCAAGCGACCCGTTGAAGAACTGGGCACGCGCCCAGAGCTACACTCCTGCCCTGAACGAGACGTTCCAGTACGGCACGGAGTCTATTCGAGGGTGAGGACTTTCGCATGCGGGTGCGGACTGTATGCTGACGCGTGTGCAGTGTGAACCTCGGTGGCTGGCTCGTGACGGAGCCATTCATGTAAGCCGGAACCTACCTCGTGTCGGGCGATAACTGACTGTGCGCAGCTCACCGTCGCTGTTCGAGCCATACGCGAACACGTCTTTCCCGGCCGTAGACGAGTGGACGCTGAGCGAGAACCTTGGCAACGACACGTCGGCTGGGGGGCTGGCGGGCGTGCTCACGCAGCACTACGAGACGTTCGTGGTGAGCACTCCTCGCTCGCGGTGTCTGCCTGCCATATTTGCTGACCTTCCGCGCAGACAGAGCAGGACTTTGCCGAGATCGCAGGCGCGGGACTGAACTTTGTGCGCATACCGCTGCCTTACTGGGCGATCGAGACATGGGAAGGCGAGCCGTTCCTGCCCAAAGTGGCCTGGACGTACGTCGACCCTGTCACCTGATGTGCACGTCGCTGACACCTTGACAGGTACTTCCTCAAGGCGATCGAGTGGGCGCGTAAGTACGGACTGCGGATCAATCTCGACTTCCACTGCCTGCCGGGCAGTCAGAACGGGTGGAACCACTCGGGCAAGCTCGGCTCGATCAACGTGCTCAATGGCCCCATGGGTCTCGCGAACGCGCAGCGCAGCTTGAGCTACATTCGCATCATCGCAGAGTTCATCAGCCAGCCCGAGTATGCGCCTGTCGTGCCGCTGTTTTCGATCACGAACGAGCCTGTGGGGTCAACGATCGGCCAGCCGAACCTTGAGACATAGTGAGTGGACTTCATTCTCGAATATGGTTCTTTCCTGCTTCGGTGAACGGTGAGCTGACATTCGTACAGCTATGTACAGGCATACGATCTCGTGCGGCTCGCAAGCGGGATCGGCGAGGGCAAGGGGCCGTACGTCGTGTACCACAATGGTTTCTTTGACCTCAACCTCTGGGCGGGCTTCCTCACGGGTGCAGACCGCATGGGGTTGGACATTCACCCGTACGTGTGCTTCGACGGGCAGTCGGCCGCCCCGTACTCGGAGCGGCTGACCGTGCCATGCGACACATGGGCCGCGGCGCAGAACGCGAGCATGAGTGCGTTCGGGCTTACTGTCGCCGGCGAGTTCAGCAACGCGATCAACGACTGCGGGCTCTGGGTGAACGGCGTCGGCGACGGCACGCGCTATGAGGGCACAGGCTCGTACACGAGCTACCCGCACATCGGGAGCTGCGACCCGTGGACGGACTGGCAGAGCTGGAACGCGACTTTCAAGGAAAGCATCGAGGACTGGGCGCTCGCGAGCATGAGCGCGTTGCAGGTGCGTGCAGCGATCGTGCTCTATATACCCCAACCTGGGCGCTGAAGTGTCTCGCGCCCTGGTTCCTGACGCTCTTTATGCAGAACTGGTTCTTCTGGACATGGAAGATCGGTAATTCCTCCGTGACAGGGACCGTCGAATCGCCGCAATGGTCGTACCAACTTGGCCTACAAAACGGCTGGATGCCCGCAGACCCGCGCCAGGCCGACGGCGTGTGCCAGCCTACGGCGACGTGGGCCGGCCCGCTGTCTGCGTGGCAGACGGGTGGTGCGGGCGCGGGCGCGCTCCCGAGCACGCTATCGGAGCAGTACCCCTGGCCGCCTGCGTCTATCAGCAATCCCGGCTTCTCGGCGAGCGCGGCGTCACTGCTGCCGACGTACACGCCGACGGGGGGCGTCGCGACGCTGGCTGCGCCGACGTTCACCGCGAGTGGGGGCAAGACCGTGAGCGCGAGCGTGGGGAACGGGTGGGAGAACCCGTCGGACACGGCGGGCCAATATACCGCGGTGGCGACGTGCAACTACCTGTTCCCGTGGATCGGGCCGACAAACCCGCCTGCGCCGCTGTGCTCGGGCGGGAATGCGCGGCGCGAGGCGGCGCCTGTGCCCGTCCCCATGCCCATGCCAACACCCCCGCCGTCATAGCGCGCCGTGCGCGGGTGTAAATGATGATGATGATGATGATGCCTTGGACTTTTTCGACGGACCTAGACTGTAACGATATATGCATGCCGTACCACGAGTGACGCAGATACACATACAGCACATACCGTACCGATGCGTACGACGCAGGATCGCGTGCGCATCTTGCGCCGGTCTACTCTACTAGCTACACACCTACTGGTGTTCTGCCGTCCCTGTATTCTTCTTTCTTTTTCTTTCTTCTTCGTACGCTCATCGTAGCCTCCTTATATTTCGCTTCGAGGTCCTCCCCCACGGATACTTTTGCAGACCTTTGGTGTCGTGCACACCTCGGACTATCCACGGCCCTGAATCCGTCGTCGTATCCTACCCCTGTGTATGTCATAGAAATACAGTACCGTCCGCGCTCGGTTCGATGTCGTGTGTCGCATCGATGTGAAGGTTAATGCTGCTCGAGGAGGTGCGCCTTTTGTTTTCTTTCCGTCGCCTCGTACTGTTTGGGGTATGTATCTGAGACTAATGGCATCAATTGATCTCAGATGTTTGATTGTTAGATTGGCTGCATGCCGCTGCGAGATCCGGCGGTGACAGTGTGGGCCTTCGAGACTGGGGACAAGCCGCAGAGGACTGGCGTTCACACATGCGCACGCCGTCAAGGCCTCTGACAGGGCGAAGCGCGGTGGGTACCCTCTGGCCGGCGGCTCGCTATTCCCGTCGGGCGGCTGCTCACGTCGCTCTATGTATACGCCGTTCCATTCAGTTCAGTTGGGTCATGGCGTAGACGCGCGTGTGGCTGCAACACGCCATTGGACGAGTGGCGGGTGTATTTGCAGAGGAGGTGGCTTATTTTGGGTGTTCTATTTTTGGATCTGAATCTCATCATTGCCTGTCTAGGGCGTGGACTGCATACTTATGCGGCCTCAGTGAGGACAGGGGGATGGTTTCTCCCGGCACACCGTCTCGGTACCGCATTGGCCATAGCTTGCTGAGCATGCAGCAATATCACCCGAGCATACCTCACCACACCCGATATCCACGCCATCTGGAGCTAATGCCCTCATCCTCATCCGGCTTGTAGCACGCCGCTATCTGTGCCCGTACCATGAAGCGGCGGGTGAGTGTCCTTGGCGTCGACGGCAGACTCTTGAGAGTCTCGAGACTTCTTTGCTCAGCTACGACCCAACTGTCGTGAAGGCACGATTCTGGAGGCATCATCGGTCCCTGCATAAGCCTTCCCGACGTCGCCCCACGATCGATAGATTGTACCGCTCACACTGGGAAGGTACTCGTTGAGCGGGTGTTCTCCAGGTGCTGGTGGAGAGTGTAGGGCCAATGGCGAGAGCCTCCGCGAGCTTACGCGAGCGAGGCTCGTGCTCCCTGCGGTGTGTGCGTCTCCCGCGAGAGTACCCGCGCAGTGAGCCTTTAAACATACGCAGGCACCAGATCCCTCCCGCGGTCTTCTGCGCCCCTGCAGCGCCCTCTTGGCACGTATATTAGCTTGCGCGCCCCAATCGCCTTCGCCGGCTCTCAGGATCGTCCTTCCGCTTCCCCAGCCACCCCCGCACGCCAAGCGCATCTCGCAGCCTTTTAGCCAAATCCAAATTCAGTCATTACGATGGCGGCCTCACCCGTGCTTCGACGCGCAAACTGCGGCAATGGCGGCGGCGCGGAGGATTATACTGGCCTGCGCATCGCGTCGGTCTTCATCGTCATGGCCACATCCATGTTCGGCGCGCTGTTCCCCGTCGTGTCGCGCCGCACGAAGTGGCTGAACGTGCGCATCCCGTTTGCCGTGTTCCAGGTGGCGAAGTACTTTGGGAGCGGCGTCATTGTGAGTGCTGCGTGACGAGCCCTAGCTTCAACGCGGCGGAAAGACCCATGACCGCACCATAGATTGCGACGGCTTTCATCCATCTGCTCGATCCCGCCATAAGTGCGCTGGGCTCATCGTGTCTCCCTTCGTCTTGGGCGGAATACGTGAGTAGTGTCTTGACCTGTTGGATGCTGCAGGCGCATGTTGACCCTGCGTCACACTAGCCATATGCACTGGCGCTCTGCCTCGTTAGTATATACATGATTTTCCTCATCGAGGTTTTTGCCTTCCGATTTGGGACTCGCATGCTGAAGAAGATCGGTATGACTGCCGGTGCGCACCCCGAACTTTCGCAGAAATACCCGGTACTGTTCATTGAGCTGACTCCCGTTTGTAGATGGACATGGGTACGGTGTCTCCCATGCACCTCACCGCGACGGCTCAGAAGTGAGCAATCCTGACACGCATGTGGGCGCTATCGCCGAAGTCAAGGACGGGCAGTCGATCAAGGCGACGCCTGGCGAAGGCGAAGAGCTGGAGTCGCTTCCCCAGCTCGAGAAGGGCGTGCCCGTCTCGCCCATCGCGCAGGTTCTGGGAATTGCTGTCCTCGAATTCGGTGTGTTGCTGCACAGGTATGTGCCTCACGACGTCGATTCCTCCTCCCCGACATTCTCTGAATGGGACAATCGCCGTATAGTGTGTTCGTCGGACTCACGCTCGCCGTGACGGCCAACTTCAAGATCCTCTTCGTCGTCATCATCTTTCACCGTGCGTCTTTATCATCTTAATGCCCTCATGCGCACGTCTGACTACACGAATTCACCTGTCTCTAGAAATGTTCGAGGGGCTCGGAGTCGGCTCGCGGCTCGCATACATGGACCTTCCGCCCAGGTACAGCTATGTCCCGATCCTCGGTGCATGCCTGTACGGTATCACCACGCCCGTCGGTGCGTCTCTCGTCCAATCGGCACTATATATTCATAATCAAATGCCCTGCTAACATGTCGTGTTGCACGCATTCCAGGCATCGCAGCAGGCCTCGGCGTGCGAGCCTCATACAACCCACACAGCACCACCGCGGACATTGTCGGTGGGATTCTGGATGCGTTCAGCAGCGGCATCCTCATTTACACCGGCTTGGTGGAGGTATGTTTGCCCCTTGTTGTGTTCGCCGCGGCCGTGTGCTGACCGGCATGGCCACAACAGCTGATGGCACACGAGTTTGTGTTCAACAAGGACATGATCGAGGGGCCGACGCGCAACCTCGTGTTCACGCTCGGCTGCATGCTCCTCGGCGCGGGGCTCATGTCGCTCTTGGGAAAATGGGCGTAATCTCGGTCGGCGCCGCGTGCAGGGTGTGCTGAGAGTCTAGTCCCCACCGGGACGCGAACATCCACGTACTTAGATTGCACGCAGGCTAGATCTGGATGTAGAAATTGTAGCCAATACGATCAAGTAGCACATGGTTACGAATGAAACGATTCCTTTCGGATGTTTGAGAGCGACTGACAGCGCCCAGTCGGACGAGATGGAATGGAGATATACAATACAAATAATGAAGCGGAAGTGTTGGTTGCTGAGAGCCACATATACATATGTACGAACCCGGGAGCGTTGAGGCTGGAATGGGAGTGAAACGATGGCGCTCCCAGAATAGCGTGGGCTAGAGGCGAGAAATCAAAGGATCGATCTTGCATTTACACGGAGGGGCTGATGATCGCGATATTGTTTGCCTCATAGCTACCGATATCTGACTGTAGCGAGCGAGAATTTTGAAATTTGGGTACCACAATGGCCATGGGCGGTGTCGATACAGCATCGGAGCGAAATGTCGATGTCGAGTCGATCATAAGGGAGCACGATTCCGCAGACCGGCATCGGAAGATCCCAGACAAATGAGTGGAAGACGGAGATGGTCTGGGACTCACAGTGTGCATGCGGCAGAGGCACACCATCAATAACGGTGTGCGCGTTGTGCTTTCTATAAACTTGCACATTGAGCGACCACACGTTTAGCCCTGCGTTGCCAATGAGCCACATCTTGATAGCTCACTGCACGTGTGCAAGGCCGGCTCGGCAAGGCTCACTACGATGAGTAACTTCCCTGTGACAGCGCGCACCAACACTATCTCCACTATCGTGTCCCACAGAAGATAAGCCCGCGAGTTTGAACAGCTGTGGATTCATTCATTGGGCGCGATAACATGAGAGAGCGCATGCATGCTACGCTTCGTCTTCGCCATCGCAGCTCAATAATATATGCAAACTCACCAAAACCGCAACACGTTGCGCGGGCTGTGCGAAAGACCACGAGCTACCAAGCTGCATCGGAAAGCACCCGAGACTGCGCATCGAAGGCACGTTCGCGCGGCCGCGCGAGACATACCGAGGTTGCACGAGCCGAGTGCAGGATCTGTCTGTTCTGCAGCAACCATCCCCTATATCATTACTTCGTCCGTGACGCCGCCCAGACTCGTGAATGGCGCGGCCTACGAGAAGATATTGTTATGCCTGACAGATATCGTGCGCATCAGATGCCGCATTTATCTCCGTCGTGACCGATGTGCGCGTCCCATTCGGTCCCGCCTCCTGTCAGCGGGCCTGCGAGACGGGATCAATCAAACTATCCACAGTCAGGGGCACACCTGCCATATCGCAATATGGGCAACAGATCGAAAACGGCATATGGCGTTGCATGTGGTGGGCAAAAGCTAGCGGAGGACCGCAGCAGGTCGCGCAAGACGGCCGAACGGCGCACGACGCAGCGTGCTGGATGCGGCAAAGAGAGACGCGGCGACGGACGGATCCTGGAGTCGCGAACCGCTCATGAAAGGCTCATGACTGCCCTCAAAACGCCACTCTGGCATGGACGAAGCGGCGTGTATACAAGGGAAGCAAAAAGGAAGATGGGCGTGCTCGTGAGGAGGGCCGTCGGCATGTGATATGCCGCACGTCATGAGCACCAGGAGACTTTAGAAGCGGCGTCATGCTGCGGAATTACCATCGAGCTATCTGACACCCCGAGAAACGATGGTTCTCAGGCGTTGCTCCACCAGAAGATACACAGATACTGTCTGTTGGGTGGATGTCCTGAGAAGACGTGAACATTCAAACCCCCTTCTTGTGAGGGCAGTGAAGTCTGCCCGATATTGCGGTGATGTATCAGCGCTCCGTGCAAGAACCTGACAATCACCTGAACAGAAGTTTTCTGGTGTCGGACGACCACTTACGGGGAAAGACGCGCCATGGCAGCTCAAGACTGCGCTTGTGATCAGTGAGCGGCGGGTCCCGGTTGCGGAGGATGTCCGTAGCCCGACATCCGATAGACAAACGGGGGACGCTTAAAGACACAACCATCATTCCATTGAGATCTGAGCGTGACAGACCGGGTCGGAGAGCAAGAGAGGAACCGAGGCAAGCGTCGTCGTGCATCATGTGAGCTCGTGGGGTGCCATGCAGCGAGATGATCTGTTGACCCAAGACGTCGACGCGAGGGGGAGGTCACAGGCACACATGGAGCAGAGCGAGACGCTGCAGATGGAGGGTGTATTCAGCGACGACGGCGAGATGGAGGACCGGAGGAGAGCAGCTGGAAAGGGCACACCCTCGCTCGATCGATGATGCCCGATCGAGCCGATCGCAGGGCGCGCGCAATGCCAGCCGGCGCCTCCGACCTCTGCGCGTGTCCGCGACCTGTCTCAATGCTCCCGCGCCCGGCTCATCTTCACTGCAACCCCCACACAGCGCGTTCTTTGCGGCGCTGGCACAGCGGTGCGCCGGCTGCACACGTCTGACAGTCGGGACCATGCTCCCGCACCATTTGTATTCTGTCGTCACGCACTGCATGCTGCCAGGGCATCACCTGCTTGCACCTCGCGGTGTGCTCTCCGCCTCGATACTGGTCAAGCCCTTCCCATCAGTTCCGTAGAATTATCACGAGGGCGCAACGGCCCCACCCCGCGCGCGGTCCTGCCTTCTCGAACATCTTCTAATGACCTCTCGCCTGATTGCAACCCAGGAAACATGCCGAATTTGTCTATGTGAGAACCTACCATCCTCCCTCGACGATCGCCTGTTCTCTGCCGCCGAACGCGCTCTCTCTTGCGCGTGCGGTCCGAGTCTGCGTCCGCGTGTGCTATAAAGCGAGCTCTACACCATGCCAAGCCCTCACTGCTCACTCCCGGACTCGCCCCTCCGCCATGCTCGCCACCCTCCTCCTTGTCGGGTACGGCTTCTTGGCCTCTACCCCTCTTGCCCAGGCCCTGGGGTCGGCATGCTCCACCCCAATATCCGGCGGCACGGCGGCAGCCGGCGATCCCTTCTGGATGCAGAACATCGACCATCAGGGCACCTCTGCATTCAACCCCGACCCAAGTTCTTACCAAGTATTCCGTAACGTCAAAGACTTCGGTGCCGCTGGTGACGGCACCACCGACGACACGGATGCTATCAAGTATGGCTTCCTATGTATTGAGTACCCGACATATTCTAATCGTGACAATGCTAGTTCTGCTATTTCCTCCGGCAACCGATGTGGCGGAGGAACGTGCCCATCTTCTACAGTTACACCAGCAGTTGTATTCTTCCCTCAGGGGTGAGCACTTGATGTTCAACGCTTGATCTTCCCGAGGTTCACATCAGCAATCGATCAGAACGTACAAAGTATCTGCGCCTCTCATGTAAGTCTATCCAAGCTCGTGGACGTCCACAGCGGGTCGAGATGTTTAACCATTGCTCGCTACGCACGCAGTGCCTACTATTATACTCAACTCATCGGAGATGCACGAGTTCCCCCGACAATACTTGCTTCGTCTGATTTCGCTGGTATAGCCGTCATCGGTGCGTGCGCATGCACATACACCAGATCCGCATCCTCATCGTGATGTCCCGCCCAGACGTGGACCCGTACATCCCAGGCGGCTACGGCGCGCAATGGTACAACGACACGAACAACTTCTTCCGCAGCGTGCGCAACTTTGTCATCGACCTCACGGAGATGCCCGCGACCTCGTCCGCGACCGGCCTCCACTGGCAGGTCTCGCAGGGCACCTCGCTGTACAACATCGTCGTCGAGATGAGCACTGCATCCGACACGGCCCACCAGGGTGCGCTTCTCTTCTGATCGCATGCGTCTTCTGTGTCCCGGTCTAACGGGGACGCGCTACCGCACAGGCATCTTCATGGAGAACGGTAGCGGTGGCTTCTTCGGAGGTGCGTGCCTAGACGCGGTGCGATCGGGGACGCGCTCCGCTGACTGACACGATCCTGTCCAGATCTCGTGTTCAACGGAGGTAAGGGTCCTGGCTTCTGTTTGCTATCGGGCGTCCCGTTTATTCGATCACAACAAAAGGCAAATACGGCATGTGGGTCGGGAATCAACAGTGCGTACCGCTCTATCGGGCTCTGCTGAATAGAGCAGTTCCTGACCTTGCGTCCCCATTCAGGTTCACAGTCCGCAACGTCACCTTCAATAACGCCCAGACTGGTGAGCTGCAAACGTCCGTCAGATTAGCCTTGGATTAGAACTCACGGACATCCCGCAGCCATCTTCGGCGATTGGAACTGGGGTGCGTCGGCGTGTTCTGAAGCTTGTGCAGCACGTCATTTAAAGTTACTGTGGCCTATCAGGATGGACCTTCCAGGGCGTGAATAGTGAGTGAACCTGCTAATCTGCGCGCGTCCGAAGTTTTCCGACCAGGATTTAAATCAAATTTCAGTCAACAACTGTCAAGTAGGCTTCGATCTCAAGACCGGCGGCAAGTCCGAAAGCGACCAGGTCGGTATCGCATAGTTGTGCGCCAGCGGAGCGAATCACCGTACTGATCTAGCTCCTATTCCTTTTCTCAGACAGTGGGCGGGGAGGCTATCATTGATGCCGTGGCAAGCGACACACCGATCTTCCTGCGCACGTCGAATGCGAGCACGTCGCTGGCCGGTTCCTTGGTACTCAACAACATCCAGCTTAACAACGTCCCGACCGCCGTAGGCGTCGTTGGCGGCGCTGTCGTTCTCTCCGGCGGCACTACGACGATCGCCAGCTGGGGGCAAGGCAACGTCTATTCCGGCACGAGCAGCTCGTACTCGTTCGTGCAGGGCAATATTGCGGCGCCGACCAAGGCAAGCAGCCTGCTGAGCGGTGGCAAGATCTTCGGGAGGACACGCCCTCAGTGAGTGATGTTCGAGGTGCCTGCGCGCATCGCGGATCTAACGGGGAGCAGATACGAGGACTACGCCGTCAGCCAGTTCATCAGCGTGAAGAGCGAGGGCGCCAAGGGCGACGGCTCTACCGACGACACGGCTGCCCTCCAGGCCGTCTTCAGCAAGGTACGCCATCAGCGCTCAGCGCCTGTACGGATCGCGATCAGCTTGCTGACGTCCGTTTAGTACTCCGGCTGCAACATCATATTCTTCGACGCCGGCACCTACGTCATCACGAGCACCCTCACGGTCCCTGCCGGCACGCAGATGATTGGCGAGGCGTGGTCTGTCATCCAGGGCCAGGGCTCGGCCTTCGCGGACCAGAGCAACCCGACGCCCATGGTCCAAGTCGGCGCGTCGGGATCCTCTGGCATCCTCGAGATCACGGACATTATCTTCAGTGTGCAGGGCCCTAGTACGTCCCCGCCTGCCAGTCCCCCACAGGAGCGGTGTTGCTGATTGCGACGTGCGTCGTCGTTTTAGCTCCTGGTGCGATCGTGGTCGAGTGGAACGTCAACTCGCCCACTCAAGGAGGTGCTGGCATGTGGGATTCGCACATTCGGTGAGTGTACAGTATGAGGGTACGCCGATTCACGAGCTGACGGCATAATGCTTATAGATTGGGTGGAGGTTAGTACTATGCCACATATGCCACGCGCATAATTTGACGAAGGCGGCTTCCTGCAGCTGCCGGCACTGACCTCGAGTCGTCTGAATGCCCTTCCGGCTCTGATTCGACCTCATGTTTCGCGGCGTTCCTCGCTCTGCACCTGACCTCCGGATCCAACGCGTACCTCGAGGTAAATGCTGTCGATGGATGGCCTTTTGCAACGCAGTGCTGAATGCCATTTCCGCCCAGGGCACTTGGGTGTGGCTGGCAGATCACGACCTGGACAGCGACGCGCAGGGGCAGCTTACCCTTTTCAGCGGACGCGGCATCCTCTCCGAGTCGGCGGGTCCGGTGTGGTTGATCGGAACTTGTGAGTGCTTACCGACGCTCAGAATTCGACTGGTACTGATGTAGCCACACTGTTCTCCTTAGCATGTGGGTCGCGTTCCAGGCTAACGAGGAGATTAATGCTGACACCTCACGCATAGCTGAGCATCACACCCTGTACCAGTACAGCCTGGTCAGCGCTCAGGATCACTACATGGGCTTGATTCAGACAGAGACGGTATGTGGTATTTGTTCGCTAGCGCCCACTTGCGCTCATCACTCCCCGATACAGCCATACTACCAGCCATCGCCCACGCCACCCACGCCATTCTCCCTTGAAAGTTCCTACAACGATCCTTCGTTCCCTTCAGGGCAGGTCGCCGCATGGGCCCTTAATGTCCAGACGTCGACGGATATTATCGTCTTCGGTACGCAAGTCCTGCATTATCTGACCTCACTCGTGCTCAATCGGGATGCAGGTGCCGGACACTACAGCTTCTATCAGAACTATGCGCAAACCTGTTTACCGAACTCGGACTGTCAAAGCCAGATCGTCAACGTCGACTCTGGCTCGTCGATCTTTATATATAACCTTGCGACCATCGGGGTTACCAACCAGCTTTCTGTTGCTGGCGCGGCCGTAATCCCAGCGAGCGACAACGTCGATGGCCTTCAATCCACATTCACTGTGTGGACGCAGTGAAAAAGAGATATAACTTGCATAAATTATTCATTCGCAATGGGTTTGAGGATACGTTACGACCTCTCACGACGATGCCATGAATGTGTAGCCTGAATAACGCTATGCGGTGCTGTAGCTATGTTGCTGTGTAAGTTTGGGAGAATACATCTTCTTGATCGGTGCTAAGTATGATGTAAACAACTAAATTCCGTGAAGCAGCGCTCCGTGTCGTGTGCCGCAGGTGTAGTCTTCATCAAACCTGACGCAGACCACGGCACGTCCGACTCTACGACGTGAGGGGTACACATGTTGCGAGCAAGTGGATAATGGCGATGGCATGCAGGCGGACGTGCACGCGCCATTCTTCGTGGTGTTTTGCTACGACACTAGCAAGACGTAAAGTGAGTGGATGACCTCACATCCTCCTCGCGCGTTCGCGGGAGCTTCGCGCTTAGTCGTCACTATCGGGCTGCTCCTGTGCCGAGTGCCCTAGGGAGTGATACAGCGCTGGGCATCGCCGCAATGACCACAAAACTCCCCGGAGCTTCGGGGAGTTTCTCACTGCGCCAGTGTATCACACTACCAAGAACATAAGACATTACAGAAGGGGTTTGGGAGTAGGGGGTGCTCCTCGAGCGGGCAACACATTTCACATTGTCATCAGAACCTCTGGTGCCAACCAGGAAGAGGATGTGCGCGGCGCACTCGTGAAAGTCCTGAGGGTCTCGAGTTTCTCGTCGAGTCTCAATTTCGGTGAGCCACCCCACGATGACACAAACGCTGTTCGGAAAGGGGTTGTAATGGTGCATGGCAAGGAAGGATGCCGATGTATATGGATTTGCGGAGGACGGCAGGGGCTTGTACTAGATATGTCATCCGCATCCGTATATGGTCAGGGACGCAGACTCCAACCACAGTAACCAAAATGACAATTTCGGATTAGCCTTCACGGCTGACGACGCGTAACTCACGTGATTTACGCGTTGAATGCGTAAGAACCAAATAACACCAAACGCGTCGGTGGCACGCGTCTCGGATGTATCATGTGGCGCGCGACCTTGTTCTCCTTCCTTTCAGCGTCACCCTCATGGCGCCTACAAACACGAGGAAGTACGGTGTACAACCCACAAATGACTCCTTGCCCTCGTCACCTCCATCAGAATCATTGTCTTCTCCCTCTCACAAGCGCAAGCGCTCCTTACTTGAAGACACATCGGTTCAGAATTCCCCTCCGGCAAAGAAACCGCACCGCACTAGCAAGCTACTCGCGAACATATCCACCAAATCTCAGAAGAGAAAGCCGAAGGCCAAAAAGCAAACCCAGCAAAAGCTCACGCAGCTGCACTTCGCGCTCGACACCTCCGTGCTCCGGACATGCCCCCTCTGCGAGCTCTCGTACACGAGAGGCGCTCCGGATGATGAGAGTCTACATCGGAAGCACTGTGCTAGAGTGCAGAGGGGACTGGAGTGGGGCAAGGAGGAGGAGCGAGAGTTGTTGAAGTCCGGGATAGAGGAAATAGCAACAGGGGTGAAACTGAAGAACAGTGCGAAAGGCCGTGTCATCTGCTTCAGACCAGACGTGGGAGGCAAGATCGGAGCAAAGGTGAGTCGCCACCATCGCCTTAGAGATACGTGTAGCCGACTGAGCTCGTGCTCTTTTGCAGCTCGCCACTTTGCTCGAGACCATCAGTCTTGCTCTTTCCTCTCCCCCTCTTTCGCCAGCGGTCCTGCAACGCTGCAAGATCTATCTCTTCCTGTTGTCTTCATCACCTGGTGCATCCACATCTTCGCGAGAGAAGATCGTTGGGTGTGTGATCGCACAACGCATCACTACCGCCATGGCCATCGCAACCGATTCCGATGTCTCCGCGTGCACAGCCCAGACCTCACCGTCGCCATCCTCCCCAGCGAATTCGCGCTCTCCCCGTCCGCAGCGGAGTCTAATACCCGTCGATACCTCCACAAATCTGTATGTCCATCCCGCACCGCTCTCGACACCGATGGGCATACCTCGGCTATTTGTCTCCTCTACCCATCGCCGTCTTGGCATTGCGTCCCATCTACTCAGTGCCGCTGCAGAAACATTCATCCTTGGATGTCCTCTAAATCCGGCAAAGGGCGAGATCGCATTCACGCAGCCAACAGGTGCGGGCAAAGCCATTTTAGAAGCTTGGGGCAAGGGCGGTATACGCATTTACGATGAGGAACAACGTCGATGACCGAACATCTCATTCCGCTGCATATACCGCAGGATGTCATTATTGCTATATATCACACAATGTTTCTGGGTTTGTCACTCATATTCAATGCATCATCACAGCGTCGTTGATCATCGTTTGCGAATAGTCAGACGTACAGTATGGGATACATATGTAAATGGTTGAACACTATTAGTACAATAAATGAGCCCTAGATCATCAAGAAACACGCTCCGATACATTCCCAAATAGTACAGTTTATGCGTCCACCTGGACAACTTGCGCGTTGCTAGAGAGGGAGCTGGAAGGAGGGATGAAGACCTATCATTGCATTTGATCAATTTACCAGCTCTCTGGTCGAACGAGGACTGGACTCACCCTTCGCTTGATGCCGCCATCGTGGGGTAATCTGGTCCTGCCCGCGCTGAGCCAAGCGTCGACTTCCGCAGCAGCACCACGGCCCTCGCTGAGATGGCGATGTCAGTGTCATGACGGCCCGGGGGGAGTCGTGTGCTTACCTGATGCCCCAGACGATCAGGGACTGACCACGATGGCAATCACCTGCCGTGAACACGCCCTCGACATTAGTCGAGTATTTCTAAAGTTCGAGTCAGTATTAGCACAGAGATGAGTCCACAGAAAGACCGACCTTGGGCGCCGTCTGAATGTTGGACCGTGCGTCCTGCTTCACACCAAGACCCTTGATCATTTCTGATTCAGGACCGAGGAAGCCGAGAGCAAGGAATACAAGCTGCGCAGGGAAGAACTTTTCAGAGCCAGGAACTTCTTCCATCTTCCAGCGTCCGCCGCTGTCCTTTGTCCACTCCACGCGAACGGTGTTAAGACCCTTGAGCTTGCCTTCTTCGTCCACGATAAACTCTTTGGTGGAGATACAGTATTCGCGGGGATCTGGGACTGGTCGTGAGACCTCCATGCTACCTTCAGCGAGCGTGAGAAACCTTACCGTTTCCGAAGTGTGCAGCTACTTCGTTGTGCCCATAGTCTGTACGGAAGATCCTGTAGAAGACAGCGCTCGTATTCAACATATCTCGTCTCATCAGGGATGGGCAGGCTCACCTAGGCCATTGGGGCCACGGGTTGTCACGCCCACGCGCCGCAGGAGGCTTGGGGAGTAGCTCAAAGTTCGTCACAGATTTAGCACCATGCCTCATGGAGGTCCCAATACAGTCGTTTCCGGTATCACCGCCGCCAATGACAATAACATCCTTGCCCTTGGCGTTAATGTAGTTGCCGTTCTGGAGCTCTGAGTCGAGGAGCGACTTCGTGTTGAGCTAATGACCCGTGGCACAATATCAATACCGAAATAATGTAGAAGAGTGGCGTTCAATCGTACCTGAAGGAACTCCATAGCAAAGTGAATACCATCGACGTCGCGGTTGGGGATCTTCAGGTCGCGCGGCCATGTGGCTCCGGTACAAATGACAACCGCGTCGTTCTCGGCCCTCAGGTCATTCACGTCCACGTCTTTACCGACGTGTGTGCTGGGGACGAATGACTGTGGGTTGTCGCACGTGAGAATGGATCTACCTGCAGGAAAATATAGCATCACATACCACGCCCTCGGCAGCCATAAGGTCGATGCGTCGCTGGACAACACTCTTATCTAATTTCATGCTGGCATGATATAAGCAATTGTCTTCCTAGTGACCGTAGAGGTACTCACTTCGGAATGCCGTACATGAGAAGACCACCCATTCGGTCATTACGGTCGTACACCGTGACGCTGTGACCAGCCTTGTTCAACTGGTCAGCACACGCCAAACCTGCAGGTCCCGATCCAATGATGGCAATTTTCCTGCCGGTGCGGAACTGTGGGATCTTGGGGTTCATCCAGCCCATCTCGAAGCCCTGCAGATATACAATATTAGGTCGGAAAGTGAAAGTAACCGGGCTTCATAAAACGCACCTTGTCAATAATGGCGCATTCAATGCTCTTGATACCCACGGGCTGTTCGTTAATGCCGAGCACGCATGCACCCTCGCATGGGGCTGGGCACACGCGTCCAGTGAACTCGGGGAAATTGTTCGTCATCAGGAGGCGGTTGAGGGCGTCTTGCCACTGGCCCTTGAACACCAAATCGTTCCATTTCGGAATAATGTTAGAAATGGGACACCCAGTATCAGATTGACAGAAGGGGACGCCACAATCCATGCAGCGGGCAGATTGATACTTCAGCTCTTCTTCGGTCAAGCGTGTCGAAATTTCCTTCCAATCCTTGACACGTTTGCGCGGAGGACGGTAGGTCTCTGTGAGACGCTTATACTTCATGAAGCCGCGAGTTTTGTCGAGCTTGTTCATACGCTGCTTGGTAGTCACATCATCAACGAGGGAATCCTCCATATCGAGAACAGCTGGTTCTACACGTGTCCGCGACACGGAGCGACTGCTTTGGAATGAAGGGGGCTCCTTAGGTGATAGAAGATCCTCTAGGCCCTCCGACGCGAGGTCGACTTGGCTGGCGGTCCGGGACGGGATCAGGTCGATCACGCTCTGTCGCACCTTCTCCTCCTTCACCTTCGCTGCCTGCTCTTCAATAACACGCTTGTAGTCATGGGGCATGACGCGCACAAACAGAGGCAACAGGTGATGGAAGTCGTGGAGAACGCGATCAGCAACCTCGGAGCCAGTGTAGTGGCGATGGTCTTCGATCAACCCACGCAGCTGGGCAATTTCTCGAGGATCGGTGACCTTGCCGAGTTCGACCATCTCCATGTTGACTTTGGAGGCGAACGTGTGAGCAGTGTCCAAGACGTAAGCAATACCTCCGCTCATGCCGGCGGCGAAGTTACGGCCTGTGCTGCCAAGGACGACGACCCGACCACCTGTCATGTATTCACAGCCGTGATCACCAGTACCCTCCACAACGGCGTTAGCACCCGAGTTCCGCACAGCGAAGCGTTCGGCAGCAACACCACGGATGAAAGCTTCTCCAGAGGTCGCACCGTACAAGCAGACATTTCCAACGATGATGTTCTCCTCCGCCTTGAAGGTCGACTGCTTCGGTGGGTATACGATGAGTCGCCCTCCTGATAGACCCTTGCCCACGTAGTCGTTGGCGTCACCCTCCAACTCAATGGTGATACCTGGTGCGAGGAAGGCGCCAAGTGACTGACCTGCGGAACCCCGCATGCTGATGTGGATAGTGTCTTTCGGGAGGCCCTCCTCTCCGTAGAGCTTCGACACGCGGTAAGACAAAGATGTACCAAGCGCACGGTCTGTGTTAGTGACGTCACAGTCGATATGGACCGGAAGCCCCTTCGTGAGCGCCGGCTCAGACTCGTCGATGAACTTGTTGTCGAGGCGGATATAGAGTTTATGATCCTGTGGACGCACACGGTAGGTGGCGGCACCACGGCGCATCTGCCATGCGGGCTTCAAGATAGCCGACAAGTCCAGATGAGCAGTCTTCGGCGTGCGCAGCTTCTCGTCGACTTTAAGCATGTCGGCGCGGCCCACCATCTCGTTGATGGTACGGAAGCCGAGCTTCGCCATGACTGCGCGAAGGTCTTCCGCAATGTAGTAGAAGAAGTTGATGACCTGCTCAGGTTGGCCTGCGAACTTGGCGCGAAGCTGCGGGTCCTGGGTAGCAATACCAACAGGGCAGGTGTTCACTAGAATAAACGTTAGCACGTCTGAGACGTTACTTGAAAAAAAATGACTTACAGTGACACTTCCGCATCATGATGCAACCCATCGCAATTAGCGGCGTAGTCGCGAAGCCCCATTCCTCGGCACCCAAGAGACAAGCGATGGCAATATCGCGGCCAGTGCGGAGTTGACCATCCGTCTGGACAGTGACACGACCACGTAAATCATTGAGAACCAAGGTCTGATGCGTCTCCGCTAAACCAAGCTCCCATGGCAGACCGGCGTACTTGATGCCGGTCCACCGAGAAGCACCGGTACCACCGTCGTGACCCGAAATCAGGATATGGTCCGCTTTTGCCTTCGCGACACCGCTGGCGACGATGCCAACACCAACCTCGGACACTAGCTTCACGGAAACACGCGCCCTGGGGTTCGAGCACTTCAGGTCGTAGATAAGCTGCTTAAGATCCTCGATCGAGTAGATATCGTGATGAGGAGGCGGCGAGATAAGACCGACGCCGGCAGTTGAATGACGAGTGCGAGCAATAGACGTTGACACCTTGTGTCCGGGTAGCTCTCCTCCCTCACCGGGTTTGGCACCCTGCGCCATTTTGATCTGCAACTCGTCGGCATCTGCGAGGTAGTTGGACGTGACGCCGAAGCGACCAGACGCAACCTGCTTGATGGCCGATCTCATCGTGTCTCCGTTCGGCAGAGCCAGCGATCGCTCGGCGTCTTCACCGCCCTCACCGGTGTTCGATTTGCCGCCAAGACGATTCATGGCGATCGCCAGGGCTGAGTGTGCCTCCATGGAGATCGAGCCATACGACATAGCACCGGTAACGAATCGGCGGACGATCTCATTCCAGGGCTCAACTTGCTCGATCGGGATCGGCGTCGCGTTCTCGAAGCGGAAATCGAGCAAGCCACGCAAGTGCACGGCTTTCGTCTGGTCGTTCACGTTTTGGGCGTACGCGTCGTAAGCGCGCTGGTTCTTTTCTCTGACTGCGTCCTGCAGATTAGCGATGCCGGCAGGGTCGTTGATGTGTGCCTCTCCACCGGAACGCCAGTGGTAGTCGCCGGACTCAGGCATGCCAGGAGCGATGATAGTTTCGCGGGATGGCCAACCACGCTCGTGCATTTCGAATGCATCCATGGCCAACAGGTCGAACGTAGCGCCCTGTACACGGCTGGCGGTACCAGTGAAGCAGCTGTCGATGACCTCGGTATGCAGACCGAGAGCCTCAAAGATCTGGGCACCCTTGTAAGACTGCAAGGTGGAGATTCCCATCTTTGACATGACCTTCAGGATGCCGTTGTCGACGGAATGGCGGAAGTTGTCTAGCAACTCATCGAACGTATTGTCGTTCTTGACCCTACAGCGAGCCTTCAGTGACGCATTCTTGATGAACAACATAACGAAGACTCACAATCCCTCGCGGACAACCTTGTGAATGCACTCCATCGCCAGCCACGGGCATATACCGTCGGCGCCATAACCAAGCAGGACACAAAGGTGGTGGACCTCACGCGCCTCACCGGTCTCAACTAGCAACGCGACCTTGGCACGCTTCTTCTGGGACACGAGGTGCTGATGAACACCACCACATGCGACGAGGGCAGACAGCGGAATACGGTCCGGGCCTGTCTCGCGGTCGGATAGGATGATGACCTTGATACCCTCCTCAACCGCCTCCATTGCCTCGCTACACACGCGCTCGAGCGCGAGCTTGTAACCAGGCAGACCGTGTTCCTTCGGGAATGTCACGTCGATGGTACACGACGGCCATGTCGAGTACGCGTACTTGAGGTTCTTCATTGCGTTCATCTCCTGCATCGTTAGGATAGGAGATTTGAGCAGGATACGGTGGCACTGCTCCGGCTTCATCTCAAGAAGGTTGCCCTCGGGGCCGATGTACGCCTCGAGGGACATGACGATGTTCTCACGAATGGGATCGATTGGCGGGTTCGTGACTTGCGCGAAGAGCTGGCGGAAGTACTCGTAGACAAGACGCGGCTGCACCGACATGCATGCAAGCGGCGCGTCGTTGCCCATAGACCCGAGCGCTTCTTTGCCCTCGGAGACCATAGGAAGCAGTAGCATGTTGAGCTGTTCAACGGTGTAGCCGAACGCGAGCAACTTCGGGTCCGTGCTGAGGCTGTAGTGGTCGATCACGGGGTCGACACCTTGTGAGCGTTGGACGCGCTTGACGATGTTCGGCACATGTAGGACGTGCGTCTCAATCCATGAGGCGAAGTTCTGCTTACGAGACGTATTGCGCTTCAGCTCCTTGTCGTCAACGATGCGGCCCTCCTCGGTGTCGACGAGCAGCATGCGACCGGGCTTAAGGCGTCCCTTGGAAACGACCTTCTCGGGAGGGATGAAGACGGCGCCCACTTCGGACGCGCATACAATGATGTCCTCGTTCGTAACGACATAGCGGCAGGGCCGGAGACCATTACGGTCCAAGTTGGCACCACAGTAGCGGCCGTCGCTGAATGCGAAGAGAGCGGGACCATCCCAAGGCTCCTGCAGGCAGGCGGCCCAGTTGTAGAAGGCTTTCTTCTCCGGCTCCATCATTTCGTTCCCTTGCCATGCTTCAGGTGTCAGCATCATGACCGCTTCGGGAAGCGTCAGCACGCCGTTAACGACGAGGAGCTCGAGCACGTTGTCGAACGCAGCAGAGTCAGATCCGCCAGACTCGATGATCGGATACAATAGATCGAGCTGCTCGCCGAAGTGGGACGAAGATAGAACACCTTCTCGGGCACGCATCCAATTCTTGTTGCCTCGAATGGTATTGATCTCACCTGATCGCGGTTGATATCAAAATGAATTAATTACACATGCAAGTGCAAAGATGCCTTACCGTTATGAGCCGCCCATCTCATGGGTTGCGCACGGTCCCAACTCGGGAATGTATTCGTAGAGAATCGCGAGTGTACGAGCGCGAAATGCGAACGGTACAGGACGTGGTTGAGGTCATGGTAGTAGTTGTACACTTGCGGGGGCGACAGCTGACCCTTGTAAACAATGTTCTTCGACGAGAGCGAGGAGACGTAGAAGCCCTTCGAGAGTGTACTTTACAATTATTGCGGGCGGTCAACCTACGATTTAACGCAGAAGAAAAAAAGACAAACATGCTATGAGTTGCGTGCTTGCGAAGGACGTAAAGCTGGCGTTCGAAATGTGTTGCGTCAAATGCGCCGCCGCGGGAAGTGGTGCCCTCGCCGTACTGCGATCGCAGCACAACGAACGGTTGCAGAATGGCGGGTTCCTTGCTAGCGGCAGCGGGACCCAAAATTGTCCCATCAGTCGGGACCTCTCTCCAGCCCAGAACGCGAAGGCCTAAGTCTCCCGCGAGTTTGCTGAAGACGGCCTGCTGCTTTTGCAGTCCGACAGGGTCGTTTGCTCTAAAGAAAACATTTCCGACGGCGTACTGTCCTGCTTCAGGAAGCTCGCAGCCAATGTCTCTCTCAGCCTCGCGCTTGAAGAAAAGATGAGGAATGCCTGTCATGACCCCTGCACCGTCTCCGTCACGGCTGTCAGCACCGGTAGCACCGCGGTGGGTCATTGCGCACAGAAGCTGGCGCGCATCAGACACAATTTTGTGACTCTGCTCGCCCTTGATCTGGCAGATGAAGCCTACACCACAGGCATCCTTCTCGTACTGATTCTCGTACAAGCCCTGGCTAGCAGGCAAGGCACCATCGAAGGATTCAGGGTCGCGCTCGACATCGAAGAAGCCGTTTTGGGTGCCATCTTCGAACTCTGGGAGCGGGGTATCAGGCTTGTCTTGGTGAGAGTCGTAGTCGGCGATGGCCATAGAATGCAGGAATGTAGGTGGTCGCAGCGGGGAAGACAAGAACCACACTGAGGGAAGTACTGGTAGGCTGCCTGACTGTTGAGAGGAGAGCAGGCCGAAATTTGAGCAGGCCCCAGGCGACGATGGAGTCACTTGGAGAATGTTCAAGCCACCGGACACCCGAAGTAATCCGACGCCTCCCAAGTCAGGCCCAGCAAATTTGCCGCCCAGCCTTGTCCGGTTAATTTACCAATACCAAATCCCGATCATCCCATAACAGAAATCAGAGAAATTCGGCTGAGGCTCGGCTCGATGGCTTACAGGCTTCCCCGGCCAATCACAGCCCGGTGGTTTCTCCAGCCATGCGGAGCTCCGCCGTGCGATCGATCGAACCCTCCCTTGTGTTCCCAACCACCGCTCTCTCTGCCCGCACCGCGTGCTGCGTCTTTGTATGACTCGGTTGGACGCCTTTCAGCCGGCGTACCGTCGGACGAGGATACGGCTACAACGCCCCCATTCCGAGCCGCCAAGTACTGACTTTCTCCACTGCTAGTGCGGAAATTGACAGCAAGCTTTGCCGCCGACCCTCGAGCTGCCTCGTTCAGTAGTCATCTCGCCTTGCACAGTTGCGCATGTCTGTCGTTGGCGGTGGCGTGAGTGTATTCTTGACGCGTCGGCCGATCAAAACACGGCTTGCCATGCACGATGCTGGATCGAAGGACATGCGTGTTACTGAACAAGAGAAAAGTAGCCACACCGTGGATGCGCCGATATAAAATCGACGCACCATGCGAGACGTAGCCAAATCACCAGCGTCAATGCTGTGTGAGCCCTGCGCCGCTGCTAGTGCTCCCCCTAACCACCTTCTATGTGGCCACGAGCGAGTGTGGATCGGTTTTAGAACATTCGCTCCTCATAGAATTTACATGCTACGCATCTGTGCCGGTAGTTCTGACACTGCCCCGATAGCAAAATACAGCAGGACTTAAGCTGTACGATCGCCTCGCCGCGCGCCTTAGTAAATCATACAGTTCTATCAGATCGAACAGAATTACATGCTACGTCTTGACCACCACGTGAACGCGTTGCAAACCATGTCGGCGGCGGGAGCAGCCCGAGGCCGATCCCACCTGAATCAGAAGGTCTAGACCAGATTGGCATATAAAATGACGTTGAATCAGGTCCCGAGAAACTGCCATGGGAATAGAGATTCTATGGGAAGTGACAAGTAGCAGATTCGTAGATGGGCTGCAGTCCGGATACAGGACGTGGACAGGACTTCGAACACGTACACGAGGCAAGAAAAATTCAAGGGGGACAGCCTAGCCGGCCCCATCGTGCAATGCACAGCAGACAGCCGCTGGGATACGAGTCATCGAGGAGGCATCGAAGGCGAGAATGCGCACGTACCCTTGTGGTGTCCGCTGTACTGCCTTACGGTCTCTCCTGATGCCATTTCCCATAACCGCGCTGTATGGTCAGAAGACGCTTCGCGATAGTCGCATTTTTCAGTATGTGGGTCAAAGCGCATGCTGAGAATTGCATCTACCTGTGACAAGGTAGGCAGAATCGGCGCTAAAAGCACAATCCCAGACCCACCGCTGGTGCCCTTGCAACACCTTTTCGAGCTTGAACTCATAATTTGATGTCAATGACCATATCTTCACCGTCGTGTCTGCGGAACATGTCGCCAAGTACCTGGGCAACGTACATTCAACCGAACTGTGCTTCAGCGTAGGTTTGGGAACACCCTGACTTTACATCCGGGCTCAGCAGACACCTGGTGAGGTATTTGCTATGCGCTTGGAATTTAGTGACGGCCTGGAATCTAGGCAGGTCCGACCGTTCGTCGTTGATCTTCCAAACATAGCACTTGCCCTATCCCAAGGGTCAATATCCGTGCGTTCGTGAGCGAGACGCGCCGAGGCAGGAGCGGACCAGACCTTGTAGTTGCCAGCTACCAGGCAGGACCCATCAGATGCCAGGCTGATAGAGCGCATGGGAATATCGCCTGCGGGGGTCTGTGAACATCAAGCCGCAGATGTCAAGTGGAGTCCGTCGAGCGTAAGAGAACATACCAATTCATGTGTGCATATGTTCTCTGATAGGTCCCACTGCTTGATTCTTCCGGCTTGGTCGCACGAGATAAGTTCGCCTTGGTTTGGATGCACCACCACATCATTCACTTATGTGAACGCCTCAGCATGCATGTCTGGGCGGCCGATGATCAGAACGCACCGGGTGCCTCATTGTCATAATTGCGGTGCAAATGGGTGCTTCTGTATACGATCCGATAGGCGTGGTGAGTAAGAGTATAGTAAAGGGCTGTCCAACCCTCACCGGAGGTCCCAGATCTTGATCGTGCCATCTTCGCTTCCTGTCACCAACCACTTGCCCTCGCTGTGGAAAGAAACGGAGGTGATGTTGCCGTTATGCCCCTCGAACGAAATGAGCTGGGAACAAGTAGCTGCTGAGATATTCTTTCCACGGAGATTACAGGAACTCACAGGCCCGGAAGAGGTGCTGGCGACTTCGTAGACATTAACCTTCTTATGAACCGCGGCGGCCAACAAGCGTTTACTGAGACCTATATCGCAGTCAGATTCTTACTACTCAACAATGGACTTACTCCGGGGATATCGCCAGGCGATTCACTTGCTGTGCAAAAATGATTCCGACATTGGTTTAGCTCTCATTCAGGACTGAGGTAGCTCACTCCTTGCTCGTCTTTCCGCGTAATAGTCCTGGAACATATACCACTCCATGCTTCCCAGAATCGGATGTCGTGGTCATATGACCCTGTAACGAGGACAACAGACATATCATGCCGTGGTGGTGCAGATCCTGGCGGAATCGTTTGGGACGGCATCACAGAATCTCGAGTACAGGGCACTGGTCAAGATCCGTCCTCTATACGCGGGGCGTCGAGTTCGATCATACGCGTCTTATGTAATCCCGAATCCTATATCAGGCGCCGAGGTCGAGCGACCACTTCAAATTGATCCTGCTTGATCAACCTTGAAAGCGTGCAGCCATATCGAGAGATTGGTCTATTCGTGTGCTTAACTCGTATTACTGTTCTCCGTCCGAAAGATGCTACCCTAATTTTCATGAAAACGTCTCACTTCTCAAGATGAACCGCGGAATACCCTTGCCCACCGGATACTAGCCACCGGCTCCTAGGGTGGGCCCAATCGTCGCCTCGGATATCATAAGTTGATGCGTATGTGGATCTAGGCCTCTCAGGGTCTTCATATCTCGGTCGCTGATTCAGTGTTCACGCTTCACGTTAGCTGATCGTAATCCACGGTGGAGACCTTTGTTTCAAATTTACGTATAATTCCTGCATCGTGCATGCACGTCGGAACGTGCGGCGCAGCTCTTCATCTCGGAAATATCCACAATTCTCCCGCGAACCTGCGTGTTTCAATCGCCGAAGCAAAGGGTTCACATTTCGTGTCGTCAATATCCCTAGGTTGGGATGTTATATCGCGTTCTTGTTGTGCACCGCGCCGTTTCGGTTGCGTACCTTTGGCGAAGACGATCATCCAGCAAGATGACCGGGATACCGGCCGCCTATCCTTCCCCTACCACGTTCCTTGGACAGCGTTTGAGATGAGCATGTTCGCGAAGCAGTTATGCACGCCTCCCGATCAAGAATACGCGTTGATTTGACAAACCATCACCAAAGTCTACCTCACGGACTTTGCCCATGAATGCTTGGATCTAGCCCTCGTTCACTGTGGGCACGCCACCAGTATAAGAGGGCGGCCCTCTCTTCATGTCGTTGGGGTCTCCTACTGGTCGGATACCTGCGACTTTAGCATTGATATGGACATGTTCCCTGTACGACACCGTCACCGATACTCCAGTAGGCACTCATGTCTGTTACCAGCCCGGTACTCGCGTAATATTCTACGAGGGGAACACCGCCAAGCGTGGTATCGTGCAAGGAATTGAATCGGTTGAAGTGAGTCTAGGGGCGCCGTGTGGATTCGGTGGTCTTACCTCTATCTTCAGAATATGCAGGTCGCTGTAGTGAGCGTAGAGGGCACGAACGCGATTATCAGAATACCGTCCGTGCCACTCCATTTCCACTGGTTCACTTAGCCTCCCTCACCACTTCATTGTTTTTTTTCCTAGCATCAACGTCTTGACTCGAGATGGTTAGACGCACTGATCTCGCCTCGCTTACACGGACTCGGACTCGGACTGTTGGTAATCGGACAGTACGACGATCACTGTAGCTTCTATCTCGGTTTCCGCTTCGTAGATACACTTCTCCCTTTTTTAAATGGACCGATCGGACACGTTGTTACTCCTCTAGCCTCCATGTCATCTATAGAACGCTGCGCGGAATTGATATGGCTTGATTTTCATCTGGTCATCAAACCACGACCAGTCATGCGACTGCTAATACCCTCGATCACATCTTGTGCCCTCTGCATGCGTTTCTTCGAGGCCACGCATTGCATCTGCAGAATGAAGGTCTGGAGCCCAGCCACACTAAAGCAAATTCGGGTTTGGTGAGCGAGGAAGTCGATGTCGTCATCTATAGTGGCAATGCCGCTGAATGAGGGGGCTAGCGTTCGGGGTAGCGTTGTTTATTCTATCCGAAACTCGCGGGGGGCGTGGCCCTCGAGCAAGCTTCTACCGATTCTTTTTCAAGTCTGATCAATCCCAAATGGTGTGTGTACGTACCCAAAGTGAATTGTAGCATGTCCCTGATCACTGATCTGTGAATCTGATTGATACACGGGCGACCTCCGATCTGAATCTCAATCGGCGGTATTTGAGCTCCTCCTGGCGGCAATTACCCTCATGCCTCACTGGCGGTGTAAGGACACGGTTCGGTATTGCTGTGAAGCTGTGTATATGCAGATATCCGTTCCCACCGGGTTGGCCTTGCCGTACTGGACGACCCTTGGAAGTCCTGTACAGAGGCGCCGTTGCATGTTCAATATATACATAATAGGCCATAATCACGCTGAGATCACCGACACAGTTGCTACACAAGCTTCCTCCTGTGACATCGATGTCGGCAACAGACCTTTCCATGTGTTCCCGCGGGCGCGAGTCATGTCGGAAATATCTAACTGACAAAACTGCGGTGATAGATGTTGGACATGCAGGTACGGCTCTCTACACCCGCTTCATCTCCTTCGCGGACACTGAACGAGAATGCTGAGAGACATCTTGGCGAGTCACGCCAAAGCTTCTAACGTTGACTTACAGTATAGTGCCTTCATCTTTGTCGGATACAAGACGACTCGCACGGCCAAGGTGCGGAGAACACGTCTGATCCTTCTCAGCGAAGTCCAGCCAATTAATGTTCGAAGCTTATGCCAAGCTCCCAGACCCTTCGGCACTATAGCATATAGAGCACCGGCGTCCTGGAGGCCGGGGAGCTTGAATTGGAGCATGGTCGCACCAGCTGCCTTTTAATACACAATCACCGTGAGGATAGGCGGCTCGGCTGGTCGAGATCCACCTTACATCCTGTACTGTCCGTCAGAAGCCCCTGTTGATTTTATATGCACCCTCACCTCGCTCATCCCCATCAGCTATACTGATCGCACATATTGAAATGACAGATGCGTGCCCAATGATCCATGAGGTATTGAATGGACGCCCATACCTCAGGAACATTATATTACGTCTGCACTGATAGGGTCATATTGAAGACAGAATATCGGGACGATGGTGGAGACAGGGTGCTGTGGTCACCGTCTGCAACTCCCACTCGGGCTGGTATCAAAAGGTATCCCTGGAATTCCTACCCGAATAGAATGACAGGGAATGACAAACGTTTTGCGGTCTAGATCCGTTCATATGAGCGTGTCTATGGTTCCAACAATGTACAAATCACCGCGTTCTTGCCGCTTCAATCGCAATCTTAAAGGGTTCAGATTGTCTACATTTCTTGCGGCGCCTATCGACATGATTGCAGGCGGAGAGGGCCAAATTTGGGAATCAGCTAGGCTCATATAGTCGACCTATGGGCACGTTGCCCATTTGTTGTATCCTACGGCTTGATCCCTGTAACTTAAATCTGTGACGTGTTGAGAAGGCGTCAACGGGAGCAGTGTCTAAAATTGATCGTTCCACATCAAGTATAGAAGAGCACTCAACTCCTACATAATAAGATGCTATCCAGGAGGACGCGCTCACCCTAAACTTTAAGGTACACGTTCGACAAGATCTATTCGATATATGTTGCTGGCCTGAGCTGAGAGGGGGATAAGTCCTTCAATCTTACAATCGGCCCGAAGAGTCTTCGAGCCCTTGTCATAGTGCCAACCGACGCTCATGCTCATGCATTAATTCAGGCGTTCAACTCTGCGTGTGAGCCGTGGGCAGGAGGTCCTACAAGAGACGAAGAGGATGTAAATGCTACTGCTAACGAGAGATTAGCGTTCGCTTACTCGGATCATGACACTCAGACGCTGCCCTCCACTGTAATGCTTTCCATCTAAGACACTGTCCTTCAAGATCGAGTGCTGATATCCGTAGCGAGTGGAGTCCCTGTCCATGAAGTGAGTACGCCGATCACCGCGCTCGACCGACACCGCGCACTTCTGTATGTACACACTGCCTGATGTCAAGGGTATCTCGAAGGCTCCTATGTCTCTGGCCTCGGTGCTTTCGAGTCGCATGATACGGGCGGATCCGAGGCTCACGCCCATAATCCAAGACCCGCTAGCGCCAATATTGTCCACATGAGGCTACCACACACGGTTGCTCCGTCAGTGTACGACACACAGAGTCCGATAGCTTCCTACCAAGATCTCGCCGTCGGTTGCAAGGTGAAGAATATGTGTCTGCGTGTCTTTTGTGAGACATAGCTGCTGCAGACGCTCGAGCGCGGGTAAAAGCCCGTTGATGTCTGACGGCCAGGATGTTACATGCATTTCACGGAAGCGCCGGATAACGCCGTCATAATGCCCCTTCGTTGCAAGGACGTAAGTCGAGGGCACCTCATGGATGAGAAGACTGCCACACCTCCTCAAAGTTGTAGCATTCGTCCGGGAGGAACATGGCCTGCACAGTGTGATCCGGACTGTGCCTGTCGCCTGCCACGGGCGAGTTGGTTTGCGCTGCCAAAAACACTTTACGAAGGCGTCGAAACTGCCTGCTTTCTGCGGTGTCCAGTTTCTGCAACGCCGCAGCTAAAAGGACGCGCTGTTCCGGTATACTGAAGAAGTCAGGAAAATAATGGAAATCTGGGGGAAGCCTGCTTCGGGGTGCCACGCTAGAATGCGTGTGTCTGATAGCAACAGTCTTAAGACAAGCAGGGGCGCACTTTCCACCTAGTATGAGTGTCCTGACATGCATATTGGTTTAGAAGAGTGTTTTGAACACGCGGACCTCGTCTGCGTCGGCTCCGCGAGTTAGCAAGTAAGTCCAATGCCCATAGAGAGATATTAATGCTCCCGACTTTGAATTCGGCTGCGGGAGAACGTCTGGCCACCGATCCGATCCCAGCTCCGATCGTCTGTTTCCCACTGAGCCGGACCGGAACGCTCCTGCAGAGTCCTGCAGATGCATGTCGACCATATCGCAGGACAGCGTCCAAGAGCAAGGCAACTCTTTCTATGCTGCTCTTGCTCGCACTGCAACACGTAGTCTTGCTTTGTACTTCTCTCGACCAGTTCGCTTGTTCCGACCTTCCAAAGGTGCATCAAATCCCATACAGTCGTCTCACTCAGCTCATTGTACTATATCTTCTTCAGTAAATGGTTGGCAGACACTGAAGAAACTAGCAACCCATCATGGACAGTCCCTAAGTCCACAATACCTATCATGGCTAGTCAGGCAGCAAGGTGTCAGTACGTTTCAGTTCCCCCGAAGTTCTCGCACTGAAGACATCTTAGTATATGGTCATCCCGAAACACTTCATTCCCCCAATGGTCGTAAACGGTCTATTGGGCGTCGTGCTATGGTCAACGTACACTGAAGTTTCCGACGCTCTTGAGTCCCGCCTATCCACTCAGCCGATTGCACTTGCAGCAATCGCCGGCGCGTCTGCTGGCGGTATACAAGCACTAATCGCGGCCCCCGCCGAGAACGTTCGTCTCGCGATAGAGGGTGGTTCGTCTTCCGTGAGAGGTTGGTCCTACGCGTGGAAGGAAGTCTTCCGCGGCACTCAATCTCGCTCTGCCCTGGATCGGCATCATGAGGTCCATGAAGCGCGGCAGGTTAGAGACTGGATGAGGGAAGTTGGGGATATGGCCGGCCGTGGCTGGGACGGATGGGGCTGGGGCTGCGCAAAGGACATTTGTGGTACAAAACTTTGCGCTACGCCTCTGTATCTGGCTATCATGCTAATAGTGGATACCTCGATAGGTTTCGCTGTCTTCTTCTCGATCTTTGAAGTGACCCGCCGCTTTGCAATGAAGACTAAAGCAGCCTCAAATAATTTCACACCGAGTGGAACGTCCGATAGAATGCGGAGGCACATACCACGAGTTGTACATGCCACAACTCTGGTCACAGGGGGTGCAGTCGCAGGCTTAGCCTACGAACTTACATGCCGACCCTGGGATATAGCGAGGAAAGCCGTACACGTAGACCGCTTAAGACCCGCATCGGAAAGGCACTCCATCTTAGTGATTATCCTTCGCAAGATAAGGGAGGACGGTATCATTTCGTACTTCCAAGATCCTAACTATCTCCCACACCATGACGACCAGGCTACTTCGCCGTTGCGACGTCGCGTGTATTCTGCATCCCGCACATTGGCTCGTGTGGGTCCATGGGGGGTAGGGTTCCTGGTATGGGAAGCTTTCGGACCGGGTCTTGCATAGTAGTAGATACCAGCCTGTCATGCACACAGAGACCAACGGTCGGGCGATCAGCCCAATAATATTACCCACTGATCCGCCGGGATATGCGTCGGAGCGAAAGATTTCTTGGTTTGAAGTCCGACGCAAAAGTCTGACCACGACTAAATATCGATGGAAAGCGCGTGCGTTCAAGCGACGAAAGGTGCGCGGACTTGCTATATATATAGTGTAAGACACATCTACTAGCGAGGCTCAGAGACCCGGTGCAAGTTACCAAGGCTTTCTCCCGTGTAGATGGCAGCATTCGGACATCTTTGTCACCGAGGCTTGGGCACGTCAGAAGACTGCCACTCCGCGACTGTGCGATCGATCTGTCGACGGCCGGGCTGCTGGGCTCAAGCCTAGTCAGGTCCGTAGCATAACTGGAACGAAGATCATACCTCTGATTCTCCCGCTATGAGAAGCATGCACAGAGTCTTCGCTGAGTGGGTCCCAATCAACTTCGATAGGTGAAATACAAAGGACTGGCACTGACCAGCTTCATACTGCCTGGTACAGGCAAGAATAATCTCCAAGCTTGTCCCGCTCATTCTGCGCGACCCTGAACATGTTGACAAAATTCGCAATTGAACACCGTACGCGTGGGTGATGTCGAGTGCAGCCTTGAAGTCTGCATCTGGAAGAAAGGTTGTGATCCCGAGGTGGCCTTGCAAAACAAGTAAGCCAGTTGCTTGTCACGCGATGATGACAGTCGAATGACGCACCCTTCCGGTTTCTGGTCGGCTGCGCAAGGCTATTGCTGGAAATCACGTTGCCCATAAGCTATGCATCTTCAGGAGAGGGTTCTATGTATGTGCAATGTGCTTGCTCGCCTCTCGCCCTTGTTCGTCCATTGTCATAGGGTCCATATTGGATGATGTTTAGACGACGATCACGATTAGCTCAGGTTGAGCTACCGAAACGTCTGTCAATTGACTTCAGACATCACTCACCGGTCACCGCGGGATGCATCAAGAACCTCTGCACTAAGTTCTTGTGGGCTCAGCATGGTGCTCATCGTTGGATGAATAAAGGTATGCCGTCGCCCTCTCCACGCGACACCGTAGCCAGAGACTTTGCAACCGTAAAATACTATATAATGCTTTCATGATTGAGGTGTCTTGTAGACTTGTACTGCCTAGCCGCGAGACTCAATAATAACGGGTGCCGACTCACTAGTAATGGCCAGCCTCAGCGATATATGCCATCGCATCGTATGCATAGCATCGGCCATGCAATACAGACTGTGAGCGGTGTTTGTTACTGAATCCATGCCAGCTGACACCGTTCGCGATTGAATTCAGAAGCATAGTTTAAAGCAGTGTCGCGGATCTGACGCACACCTCGGGTAAACGTATGTGCGAGCATGCACGCTGAAAGGACGAGGCAGGTCGAGTCTGAGACACTCAGATTGTCGCGGAGCTACGGCGAGGTGCTTGCCAGTTGCCGAAACTCAGGCTAGCGCATGGTGGATCGTTCGAATCCATTCCTGGGACGAAGGGCGACTCGCTCTGCCTCATGTTATCCGATAAGCCCCATCTTCTATACAGGGAATAGGTCTCTTGGTACTCATTGCTTGTTCACTTCCGCGTACGTAGGCAGGCCCCGCGTGGTTCTGATGTCCGCCAGTAGGTTTCTGGCTGTAGTAAAATAGGCTTCTCTTCAACGAGCGGCATCGATCTGCAGGGTCGCATATGCGTCAAAGCGGTCTAGTCCCTAGGCGAAGCACCGGTCGGACATCGGTGGAGATACCTTCACCGGGAGGAGCATGTAGCTAGCTTAAAGTGAGTGCACATGTCTTCGCATTTCCAACCGGAAACTATACACAACCTGTCTCCTCGATCGCCTTGCCCCGCGTACGTCAGGAACGCAGCAGGTGACGTGTAAGGCGGCGTGCACACTCGCAACCTTTTGTGCGCTCCGTTCTCGTGCTTATGAAATGTGCTCGCCTCTGCCCCGGTCTCAGCCTGCGCGGACACTACCATTGGCAACGGCAGAACGTTCCCGCAGCCTTCGTCAACTCTCTCCGCCAGACCCTCAGACCTTTTTGCCAGCGATTGCCCTCTCCACGATGACGTTCGGCCTCGCGGGTGGCGGGCCTGTCTCGAGCTTTCTGGATTAAGATATATCGCCGCACAACGATCACCCTCTTCGGTTTAGGCTGGGCCGTGGTTCTAGGCACCTCATATATCCAGTGAGTGCCCCTTCCGTGACGACCCACGAGGCGTGCTGACGGGGTGCTCGGTCGGAAGCGTTCATTGAACGGGGAGGGGGGACGCGCAGGCATCGAATTTCCAGTAACCCTCATGACAATGTCGACCCATACAAAGATCCCCCGGCGTGAGACTTCGCCGCCGTCGACAGGCCCTGGGCTGTCCCAAGACCTCAAGGCCATGGTATACACGATGACCGGGAATCCGGTCCGAGTTTCTCGACTTCACAGACCGTTGCACCAAGCTCTAGCCACCTTTCCATAATTGCAGCTTGACCACTCACGCTGATTCAGGATAGTCCGATCTACTCAGGTCACCAATTTCCGTGAAAATACTGCGGAATTGCATTCGTTGTGTCTACCCTCTAGACGGCACCGTTTATCCGGGCGTACTAAATTGTCATTCCGCCTCTGACACAATGTGCGAAACGCATACGTGATATCATCAGCGCGTCAAGGCAGTCGCTCTTTGATTCAGCTCAGTTGTGCCCAAAAGCTAAGGCGGAACCAAATATTCAAGAGGCGTCTTCACGCACGCGAGCCGGTCTTGATTCTGCTAAATCCCATATTTTACCTGGATCGTCTATCTGACGGCCCGACAAATTACTACTTAGCGCTGATTTCTTGAGATACTTCGTACCAGGACATTAATGTACTCACAGGCACGAAATATTAATACCGGGGTGCGCAAGTTCGATGAGGTCAACATCGCCGTCGTCGAAATGTTTGAAGCTGAGTGTAGCCAAGCCCTACGAATGCTTCCATAAAACTCACAGGAAGTATGACCGGCTAACGTATTTATTGCCAGCCATGCTTCCAAGTTTCATGTGTTAAGTATATGAAATTGTTACCTCAGTGAGAACTGCGTTCGTCTCCGCCCTCGAAGCTTCCACTCGAGGCCATCAAGGATTGCTACTTCGCAGTGACCTGCCCATATCGTGTATTGTGAATTTCATGGCCTGAGTCGAGTGGCTGAGCTCCCGCCGGCATATGAATTCACGTGCGAGAACCTTCTAGGGGATTCGATCGATCGTGTCAGTGATGTGCCAAGCGCTTATTGCAACTGACCTCAGACCAGTGTCTTTTATATCTGTTACATTATCTTCTCCCCTGTATTTCAATTGTCTCAGCATCGACGATCACCTATGCCTCGCTGCACACACAAAGGCTGCGGCCAGGATTATGACGCCGCGAACAATGCCGAAGAGAGCTGCACCTATCATCCCGGCGGCCCCGTCTTCCATGAAGGGCTCAAGTCCTGGTCGTGTTGTTCGGCAGTGAACAAGCCTGTTCTGGATTTTGACGACTTTATGAAGATAGCAGTGTGTATATATTATGCTTTGCGATTTGCTGCAGACCCTTAGCCTTCGCAGGGTTGTACTAAAGGGGCACACACGGACGAGGCCCCCAAAGTGGAGGCCCCGCAGTCGTCCGCGAATGTGGACCTCAAAATGACGGGCTCAACGCAAAGCGGGACGGAAACTTACTCTTCCTTACCGTTGGGTGTGCGAGCGGCCGTGCCAGCTGCGCCCGCACCTCCACCAGCACCAGCACCAGTAGATGAAGAAGAGGACGATCTATCCGCTTCAGTGGCGGCGGGCACAAAATGTAGACGCAGCGGTTGCCAGACGGTGTACGAAAGTGACGATGTGAATCGTGCCGGGGATGGCCCTGGGACTGTGTGTACATATCATCCCAAACCTGTAAGTATCGTACTTTTGCTGTACCAGTTGTATTACATGAGTGACATCCACATCGTAGCCAATCTTTCATGAGGGAAGCAAGGTGAGATTCTAGTTGACGGAAGACAGGATCCACTGATTTCGATCTTCGGCCATCTAAAGGGTTACCTGTGCTGCAAACGGCGTGTCCTAGAGTTCGACGAATTCCTCAAGATTGAAGGGTGCACGAAGGGTCGTCATGTGTTCGTCCCGAAGAATCAAGAGCAGACCGTACGCATCCCCCTTGTCGGCGCAGGATCACTATTGATAGGTTGCCGCGTCTCAGACTGAGCAGTTCACGGAGTGCCGTATTGACCACTATCAGACCCCAACGGACGTCCACGTCTCCGTGTTCGCCAAACAAGCCGATCGAGAACGTAGCACTATCAAGATAGAGGATAACTCGGTACTATATGTGTAGTTGCCGGGTGGGCACTTACTAACAGTATATCTTAGATTCACCTCGATCTCTATCTGCCGGGTTCCAAGCGCTTCCGCAAATCATTGGAGCTTTTCGGTCCAGTTAATGCTAGCGCATCTAGCTTCAAGTACTTCGGCACAAAGGTCAGTATATGATTTCGTCCCCTTTGACATACAGTGGTGAGATGCAATCGGGTCAGGTTGAGGTGCTCCTCAAGAAGCAAGATACTCGAAGTTGGACAATCCTGGAGAAGCCTACAAGGGACCTTGGCCCGGTTGCATTGACGTTCGGCGTGGGTGGCAGGACAGGCACAATCGGTGCTAAGGAAATTGTCCTGGACGACATGAACAGGGCCAATAAAATCCAAGCATGAGCGTAAGATACAGATGCAATATGCAGCACGGCGACATCTGGGTTGTGGTCTATGATACTATTCTAGTGTTGTGCATACGCAATGATGATCGTGGTGTAAATGATCACAAGCTGGCTCGCGATTCTACTTCCTGGTATATCTGTATCATGTCGCCTTCGCGGAGACCCTGGAAGTGCTCGAAGCCCATACCACACTCAACGCCCTTGGACACCTCCGTGACGTCTTTCTTTAGTTGCTTGAGAGTCTCGAGGCGTCCTGCAGCCACATCAGCCGATTTTTATCTCTTACAGTTGTTGAAAGACATACCTTCGTGAATGGTAGTACCGTCACGAACCACACGAGCGAGCTTGTTCTTGTCAACCACACCGTTAGTGACACGGCAGCCAGCAACCTTCTTCGTCTGCTTGCCCTTGAGGTGAATGTCGAACAGTTGAAGGACGGTGGCCTCCCCTGAGACCCGCTTTTCAATAACGGGAGGGAGAAGATCGATAACACGTTCCTTGACTTCATCCATCAAACGGTAGATAATAGACGAGCTCAGCAGGGTGACCTGTTGAGATGCGGCAGTTGTCTGAACGGGACGAGGTATGACCACAGAGAATCCAACAACCATTCCTGAAAAAGCGATCCTCAGATATGGTGATAGGGTTCAAGGAGATCTCAGACCCACCTCCTATTGCTTTCGCCCTCATAACATCCGACTCAGTGACATCGCCGACACCGGTGGCCACGATCCTAACCCTGGCGAGGTTATTGCCAATACCCTGAAGAGCGCCGGCGACAGCTTCGACGGTCCCGCTGACATCGGCCTTGATCACAAGTTTAAGCTCCTTGATGTCAGGCTCTGACTTGTCGCTGGTCTCTTCCAACTCTTCGTCCGCCGCGGCTGCATCCGCCTCCTTTTCCCGCAGCTCCCGCTCATTGCGACGCTGCTGGTTGAGGGCGTCCATGTCTCCGAGTGTGGCCTCCATCTCCGCTTTGCGGGTGCGATTCGCGAGCGCCTTCTTGACCTCCGACTCTGTGCCCTGGAGTACTTCATCGCCTGCTTTTGGCAGCTCCTTCCAACCCGAGACGGTTACTGCCATGCCAGGATACGCAGCTTTGACCGTCTTGCCATTCGAGTCGGCGAGCACACGCACCTTGGCATGACTCATGCCAGAGATGATGTGGTCGGACGACTTGAGGCACCCGCGAAGGATTAGGACAGTCGCGACGGCCCTGGTTTTGTTGACAGTTTTAGAGTCATGATGGAACAGCTAGGAATCACCCACCCAAGGCCTTTTTGAACCCTTGATTCGAGGACGTATCCTTGAATCTTACCCTCACGTTCTGCACGCAAGTCCTGCATCTCCGCCACAGCAGAAATGGTCTCTATAAGCTGCTCAAGGCCTTGGCCAGTCATCCCCGAGACGTGGACGACGGGTATATCCCCGCCAAAGGTCTCCAGCTGTACGCCTTCGGCGAGGAGAGCGTGCTCAACTTTGCTCTGCATGCGCCCATTATTTGAGTACGAATGAAGGTACGTAGACTGCGGCAATACTCACAACATCCACTCCAGGCTTGTCGATCTTGTTGATCGCAACCACCAGGCCCACCTTCTCTTTCTGCACAAGCTCGATGACCTCGCGTGTCTGCGGCATGATGCCATCGTCAGCCGCCACGACGAGTACAACGATGTCAGTCACGCCGGCACCCCGTGCGCGCATAGCGGAGAAGGCTGCATGGCCTGGGGTGTCCAAGAAAGTAATCGTCGGTTGGCTACCATCGCTCCCATTAGTCTGAACAGGTACAGAGAAGGCACCGATGTGTTGAGTGATACCACCGGCTTCTCCTTTTGCAACGGAGGTCGATCGCAGTGTGTCTAGCAAAGTCGTCTTACCATGATCGACATGCCCCATGATTGTGACCACAGGGGGCCGGAGAGGAAGAGTAGAGGAATCTGAATGTGCGGGACTATGTAGCAGATTAGAACAGATAACATGAGCAAAGTAAAGTAGCTCGACGTACGGAGGAAAAATGTCGAAAGCCGCCTCATCATTGACCACTGGATTTCGGTTGAACTCGAGGGCCAAAAGAGACGCATACTCTGCAGTAAGTACTATATGCTGGCTGTGAGTTGCACATAAACTGCGGTGATGAATGTCCACCTACAATGATCATGGGATGCTTCGGCGTCCATGCCGACTTTGATCATCTTCCGACGTAAGGGATCTGATTTATATGCATGAGAATCCTTACCAAGTCAGCTCACAAATATCTCACCTAGTCGTATATTCAGAAGTCTGGCTAGATTGCCAACCGACACTACACTAGGGATATAAACGTCCACATTGACAGGTTTCACTGCTTTGGCGGACTTCTTCCCCTTGTCCCTCGGCCTGCTCGATTGCTGGCTTGCACGAGCAGGTGCACGAGAATTAGTCGGGATCGCAACATCTTCGTCCCCTAGCCTGGTCAGAATCGAGCCTCTTTCATTGAAATCTCGCCGTGGCTGCTTCTCCTTTCGGTTGCGTGCTCTGATTGATACCGATGCTATAGGCGGTGGCCGTATTGCGTCCACGACATCGTCAAGTTCAGGCTCGAGAACCTCTTGCTCCTGCTCAAGCGGGTCAGACTCTTTGGGCTGTTCCCGTTCCCGCTCCGGTTCCGGTTTCTGCTCTCCCAGGTCCTGTTTCTTCCCTTTCTGTTCCAGCTCTCCCTCTCCCTCTTCTTCCTCCTCCTCCTCTTCCTCAGGCTCCTCCTCCCGAGATTCGAACGCTCGTCTGCCCTTGACTGGTGTGTCTCGGGTTGCTAGCGCAATTTTGATTCGTTCTCCGGACAATATGGAAGCCAAACTACCGACACCAGGGCGCGCAAAGGGAGAGCTTGCCTGATTTGAAGTGGCCGACCTGTTTCCAGCTTGAGGAGCAGTGGGTTGCCGCTCGATTGCGGGGAGCACTGGGGCGCTCGGCACTTGGTGGGGTGCAGGTCCTCGCTGAAAGGGAGGAGATGGGCTCTGATGAGGTGCTGGTCCTCGTTGTCGTGGGAGAGAATCGGATCTAGATGGCAGCGTCCTCTTCGTCTGTTGGCTTTGACCGTAGTCGTTGGTCCTCGGTTGTGCCGAAGACGACTTATTTGGAGACTGCTCCCATTTTCCCAGTGGAAACGGTAAAGATCCAGAGGCAGAAGATCCGGAGCCTGGTGAAGCTCGCCTTGCCCAGTCCCTATTCGGAGGGGGGGACGACCATGTACTGGGCGAACTGGACGGTGCAGCAGACTGTGGTCTCTCCCACTTGCCTAAAGGTCTAGTCTGCCACTTTATGAGATACAGAAAACAAGCTTATGACAGGAACATACAGCTGGCTTCGCGGCTGTTGACGATGCACGGACGCCAGGACGGGCCGCCCGTATGGACCGGCGCATATTGCTCAAGATAATAAGATATGCTCTGGATTAGGACGAAGGAAACCGATAGTTTAAGCAGACATATCGAGCGTGCGCCTCAAGCAGTAAGACAGTGGGTGCGCAGTAGCGGCGTAGTGTGGACGTCGGTGACGCTACGGTCCAAGCTGCAGCCCAATTGCCGCACAAAACGATCTTGTTTCACGTGGTCGACAGATCTCGATCGACTCGATCCCGATCGGAGCGCTATGATACTACTTACCAGCTTTCGGATGCCCAGAGGCACTCATCCTGGCGGTGATTTAATGAAAGTCCTCGTATAATGCATGCGTATAATGCTTAATTTTGTCAACCCTTGATCATGCGAGTCTCAGACCTCTCGACCCAGCCGTTGAAGTTGAACGCATAAATACTATGGACCCTTCCACAATACATGAAAATACGATGACAATACCATGTTACCAGAATAAGCATCTCTTTTCCTGAGGCGGATTCAACTTTACGTTACGTGTCAGCTATATATGCGTACAAATGTGTTTCAAAGCATACCTTTGATTTAGGAGAACACTGGAATGCTTCAGCGAATTCGGGAACATTGAACAGAGTTCCGTCAACTCGGTATTGATTTGGTGAGTGAGGGTCAGTGCGCACACGGGCGACCTATGCAAGGACGCGTAAGTAATCATGCCTGACTGGCGACGAAGAATAAGGCTTACAGCCGATTGAGTCCTCATGTTCCTTGCCCATGCACGGGCGAAAGAGATGAAGAACAGCTGCTCCCTAGAGAAGACTGATATCAATATGACGACGAACACCAAAAAAGCCAAGGTGATTACCTAGTGTAGTTGAGACCAGGGAGAAGGTATTCGGTACCGCTCTCGAAGCCAGTATCGTATTGTGCTTTCCAGGCACGATACGCTTGGATGATTCCAGTGTCCCCAATATTCTCCCCTGACGTTCTATGAGAGGGAGGGGTACCAATGAGCACACGATTCCATGCACAACCTTGACTTGTATGAGACATACAAGTTGCCCTGGAATGGATTCTCAGTCTGGGCTCATATTAATGTGGACGAAGTAGCACGCACATTCACGTGAATCTTGCCACCTTTACCGTCATCGATAGTGTACTCTGGTGATCGTTACTGATGAGAGGCGAACTCCTAGCTCAGGTAGCCATATCTTACCTGAATACTGCTTCACGATACAATCCTGTCTCTTCTGGAACCCTTCGCTGGTTGCATTCGTCCACCACTGCTCAAGCTTGCCTTGCTGATTGTATAATCTACCAGCCGAGTCAAAGGCATGCTATCTCGGCACATGAACGGATGCATTTGATGAAAAATACTGAAAACACCCACCGTCAATTCGTGTGACGCAACTTGTCCGAATGAGCCATATGACATATAGCCTGGCCTGTCGAGCAAGATAATTTTTGTTGAATGAGTGGTCCCGGTAGAGAATGTGAAGCGCTTACCAATCTCGAGAGAAGAATGGTGGTTGCAATATACCCGCAGGGAAGACGATCTACTTCTCTGTTATGCAACCTCTCGTTAGATTGTCTAGTGACATACCTCGTTTGCCGGAGGGTTGAAGTATGCATTGACAGTCGATGGAAACATCTCCCAGGCCTCTGGATCACGCTGCTTGCCCAGCTTTTGCCACTTGAGGTACTCATCGTTCGCGCTAAATGAGTCCTGACCTTCAGGCACAGCGTTCATGGCTTGAATGATACTGAACGTACCTCGCACTAAGTATATTATCAAAGAACGTGCCCTCATGTATATTGACTCGGGTGTAATAAATGGCGATGGAACGGGGATCAAGAGTGTCCGGGGAAACGGGGTACCCGACTTTGATTCTGATAGCATCAGCCTAATGCGAGTTAACGAGACGCTTATAACGAAAGAACTAATGCGATTATACCTTCTCACCCGCGGCGGCAGCACTCTTCTTGTCCATCCACTCAATATGTGACAAGGACTTCTTAAATGTCTGAACGATATCTGTGAGAGACGAATGAGCCATCACACAAGCTAGCTATCACGAGGCGACGCACCCTTGATGATCTTCGTCCCCTTCTCCTTGGAGTCGCCGGCGAATGTCTCGTTCACAAAGTAACGCCCAGTTGCGAAACCCATAGCCTGTTCCACTTGAGTGGTGCAGAACTCAGCACGATCCCCCACGGCACCCTTCTTTAACCCTTGGAGCACCTCTTGCAGATTGCGGACCGCTTTCCACGCCTCGGTCTCAAGGCTGAGCAGAGGCGCAAGAGCGAGGCCTGCACGCGTCACCAGATACGCTTCTAGTGTCTCAGACGTCGTTGCATTCAGAATAGCAGATAGCGAACTAGGGTAAGTGGTCGACGTGAGGATAACGTTGGAAGGGAAGTTGCGCGGAGTGAAGGCTGCGAAATATTCCGGGAACTTGATCTCCGGTAGAGCAGTTGTAAGATCCTCCAAGGGAGCGGGATTGTACGTTGCAATTGGATCCTGGTACAAAATGTCGCTGCGAACGGCTAAGAGGGTGTTATAGACCGAAGACATTTCTATGAACTTACAGGTCTAAGCTTGCATTCGCTATAGCCTTCTCCAAGTCGATAATCTTCCACGCTAGTTTGCTTGCTTTGGCAGGGGTCATAGGCTCGGTCTCATCGTCATCACCGCCATCATCATCGTCACCACCCCAAGGCGGCCACGGCCATGGGGGCCAGACTCGAAGACGTTCTTCAGGAACAGTCAGAGCCGTGGGAGGCAACTCGGACCGCACTCCCAGCAGTTCTTCCTCGTCAGCAAGAGTCAGCACCAAACGCTGAAGGACCGACTGGTAGAGCTCGACAATTGATTCTTCGTCGTAATATTCCTGTGGACGACATGAGCCAATACGTACCAGCAATTGAAATGTCTTACCTTTGAGGGGAGGCCAAGCTCTGGTTGACTGAACCAGAATGTCATGAAGTTTGGGTCAGCACCCACATCCCCTTCAATGTCCACTGAGAACAGGCCATCGATGCCTGAACGTCGTGTAAGAGAGTATACACACAGCTTATGAGTAGACTACCTCTAGAGTGCAGATAGGCAATGGCAGCAGTTAATCCATTCTTGTTGCTGTGTTTCTCCTTGACAGTAGTATCGACAACAGTGGTCTCGCTCTTCAGCAACCTACGAACACGACTAGTAACAGACGCCAGAGGTTCGGTACCAAGCTCGGCCAGCTTGCTTTCATCCATGCATGAGTTGTAGAACTCGCGTAATTTCTTCAAGATTTGCTGGTCATAGGACGTAGACGAATAGGAGGACTCTGAAGACAGAATTTGCTGCAAAACACGTCTGTTCTCTTGAGCTAGCGCCTCGAAGTTGCCAAAAGCACCCTTGTCAGATGGGATAGGGTGCGACTTTAACCAACCGCCGTCTGGGCGAACATGAACTGAGAGAATCTTGCAAATGTGCGGGGAACGTACTAGCATATTCGTAGAAGTTCTCGCAGGGGTCCTGCGATGTATCAAGAGACGACAGGATTGAAGAGGATAGTATGATGCATTCCGGACTCAAGCAGGCAAGCTGAGTAGAGCTGAGATCTATCGAGACTCATGGGGGTGCTATGATGACATACCTCCTCAGGAGGGCCCGTGGGAACAGGCGCTGGGAGGACAACCGTGCTAGTGGACACGACAGTTGAAGTGGCTGTCTGGGTGGCTGTAGAGGTGTTGATGGCTGTAGAGGTCCTGGTGGCTGTAGAGGTCCTGGTGGCTGTAGAGGTCCTGGTGGCTGTAGAGGTCCTGGTGGCTGTAGAGGTCTCGGTGGCTGTAGTACTTATGACGGAGGTGATCGTGGTAGGGAGTGGATTCTCCCCACCACCCCCACCACCCCCTCGTCCCGAGTTCAGCTTGTGCTGAGCACCCGCGAAGAGGCCAATGAATACAGAGCTGAGCAGGAGGAATATGAGCGCGACAACCAGCAGCACTTTCGTTAGAGGTGTGAGGGGCTCCTGTACGATAGCTGCAAATGACGAGCGTGATGTTCGCTGCTGCTGTTCTCCATCTGGATGGTCAACGTTCTGTAAGAGCGGTGCGGTCTCTGACGCGGGCACCTCATAAGTGATCCGTCCTAGGTAATAGTAGAAGATGTGCACCTTCGTCCGTCGAAGGTCCCGCCTCCCTGTTATCCGCCATTTCGGCGGGCTGAGGAAGTAATGCAAAGCCCAGAGAGAAGAGAACAGTGCGAAACAGGTGCGGGAATGAAAGCCTGGCGATTGCAGCCTGTGTGCAAGGCTGAGGGTGCCGACTACGCAAGAAGCTCCCCACGTGATCGTGCTCCACGGCCACTGCGTCTGTTTCGAATGGACCCCATTCGGCTTACCGTGAAAACATCACATGCACACACGTGATTTCCAAACCGCTCGTAGCACTTTTTTCGACAGCCCTCGAGTGCGTGCCTGAATATAGGAGGTAACATTGGCGCTTATTTATATCATGTGATGCTGCGATTCCTTGTACTTTGTGCACGTGTTCACTACATCTTTGTTTTTTGGTGTTATGGTGACTGGGCTGTCATCTTCCCTGTGTCTTCTCACATTGGTGTTGCCTGTGAGCTGTGTCGTGAATCAATGTTGTATCCTCGTGGTCATAATTAACAGACATGGCTTCTGTGTTGTTGTCCAGTATATGCAAAGAATGTGATGTATGCTAACTCATGAAAAGGTCATGTCTATACACAATTTTGCTATGGAATGCTATGGCGTGTCTCACCATTTGGTGACCACCATACACCATTATCCACATGGGGGTGGTCACAACATTGGGACCCCAAGTCACGTAATCATTGTAGTCTCCTGAGAGCAGAGTAGACAATTCCATCAACCTACACTGGTTCCGGATACCCATGTCTGATGTCTGCTTTCCAGCACACTGTCTTATGGTAAGGTCAGTATTGATGGTCAATTGCTGTGTTCCCACCACCCGGCATATTACATGTGTGCACATACAAAGGCAAGCAACGCGCATCCTGCACATCACGCTAGGGTGCTTGATGCCATCTTGAGTGAGAGGCCTTCAACTTGATGCTTTAGAGACCCCCTGTTTGCTTGCTTCTGATCATGTATTTATGGTCTAGTATTTAAGCAACACTGCATGTCTCATGTTGTGCCATCTGTCAACCAGCCGGGTGCGCAACCATACAACTGGACCTCACTAGCAGGTTTTCTAAGGCTATGAAAACTCATTGAACCCTCATTACACTACGAGCCACACCACTTTCAACTGTACAACTCTGCACCCATTCCAGCAAGCAATGGTGCACCCTACGCTCCGCAGGAGGGCCATGTAGAGTGGCATGACTCGTGGGATGATCAGCAGTGTTCCGAGGAATTGGGGGAGTGCTGTACTTGCACACAAACATGGCCTCAGCAAGGTCTTGTGCAGTTACACTGGTTGCACCCTGTAGAAACTGAGAGACCATCTGAACTCGAATGGGAGAGGCTGGTTGTTCGCCTAGACGTGGTAGCATGATTTCATCCTTGAAGAAGGATGGGAGTGTCCACTTGTATTGTTGCATCTGGTGCAATATATCATCCATATGAGCAGCGCGAGTTTGATCGAGAGGTAGGTGCCCAGGTTCGGAGGTCCCGAAGTAGAGATTGCCATTCTATGGACAACAGTGCGGCGACAAGGCGAGATGCTCGTACAAGTAGGTGCAACTCAAGCGCGCCGCACGACAGGTGCGATCAAATAGTTCGCGCTCCGCTGCCTCTTCGCACTCATTTGTAGAGTGCCGGCCCAAAAACCGACCTCACGGTAAGGCGACGTGTTGGAAAGTAGACTAAATCATTGCCAAAATGCCAATCATATGTATGCTAACTGTGCTGGCGGATGGATCCAGATGGATGGTCTATGCAACATACAACATCCAGAATGCCGCTCCGAATCAGGGCCTCTTAATGCTCGACAATACTCTTCAGTGGCCAGGAGACATTCATGTGTACTGTTGCCATAGTTCACTGGAGTTATGCTTCGTGAACATACGAAATGGCGATGGGATGTGAGCCATGAGGGCCATTAGGGTGTATGCCTTTGTGTCATTATACATAATGGAAGTACTGACATTCCTCCAGGTTTATGCAAATACATGGCCATGTTGTGGAATCCAATAGTGATTAAGCCGTGTAGTTATAAATCAATGTATTGGTGACACTCTCCACGACACGGCTGTAATGTATAGTGCTATTGGATTAGCTTATTATGATGTCACATTGAGAAGTTCGTGAGTGCGGTGGGCAATTCGGACCGGGCGAGCGCAGCTGCCATTATCAACCAAGTCTCGCTATTTGATCTTTCAATGACGATCTGTTGTAGCTCGCTCGAGTCATACATCCGGCATGCGCCCGCCCCCCACTTTTAATATTACAAATAAATGTTACGGGCACTTGTAGGTATATGGAATGGTCAAACTGTTATCTACATTGAATATGGGACCTATACCCTCGGTGTTTTATTCCCGCTGAGAATCATCACTCGCCGGAGAACCACCCGAACCCCATCCCATGCCTGTTCCCACGTCAGCACTTGATCAAGGGCAAGCATGTTTCTGAGATATAAACTCACCCTCCTTCAGAATGGCGTGAGAAGTAGTCGAAATCGATGTTGACTGCGTGGGGCATGTGTCAGACAGGCCTCCAGGTAAAAGACTCTGATACATTACCAGACATCGCCAATACAAGCTATGAATTATGAAGTAAATTACATTGGAAACATTTTTTCCAGTAAGGTCTACGTACCGCACGCTCCTCGATGCCCAAGTCACGAACAACATAAGGTGCTCGGTGTGTATCTTCCGACTCGGGCGGGGTAGGACTGAATCGGACGAAATATTGACCTATGATAATGGTGAATAACAACATTGCACTGCAAGAGGGTGTTGTCACCTGTATCTGTGAAAAGCTAGGTAAACGGTGAGCGACATTCCTTGCCGGATTTATGGCGTGGATCTACCTCGCGCCCAAAACCACGGAATGCACGACGAATGCTGGCAAATTCATGGCCACTGGCGTCTCTTAGTCTGAAGTCCCAGGCCAGGAGTCCTTCATCAACCCGGGCAAGTTGTTGGAAAAGTTCTGTTTCGGGCTGAGGCTGCGGCTCCGTTGCAACAGTCAAAATGCGGCGTGGGTCTTCCCTGAAACAATATGTGAGTCAGATCGAGTTGCAAAATCGACGACAGTTCACACAAACCTGAAGAAGAGATCATATCGTCTGCGCCAAAGATGCCATCGCTGCTGCACTTCGGCAAACGTGTCCAGCACCGGTTCACCTTCGGGCGTATATTCATTAAAATCCTTCAGCCTCTGCACAAACATTCGAGAATTGATGAAAGCGAATGGTCGACGAAGCTGTGAGGTATGCGTTGCCATAAGATTACTGAACCACGATGTTCTAGTAATTGGTTGCTTACCCAGAGGATCGGAGTCCCAGCGCTGTCCATGACAAGTGCTCTGAAAGGCCTATGAGTGCGTAATATTTGACGACCAAATGTCGCGAGGAATCCTCTCGGCTCCTCTGCGATGTATCCTAATGTATCGCCCTCCTCGTTCGCTGGTAGCATAACAGGTAAGCCAACGAGTGTGTTAGAGTCGTATCCATATTGTGCATACAGATGACATAGCGATTCGACTGTTCGAAGCCGATGAAGAGGTTCAGCATCTCAAGCTGCCTGTGTTTATAAATGACTGGCGTCGGTGAAGTAGTACGGACGGATACCTTGTAACGACGAGTTGGTCATGTCCCAGAAGCAATTTCTTGAGTCCTATCTCTGGGTCGCTGAGTGGGGGCCTCTGACTTTCTTCCCATAAAGGTGATTGCTCAAAGGAAGGTCGCTCTTCGTTCATGGATCCTCCAAACGATCCAGGTTCAGAAGGCGGTTTGGACTGCTTCAACAGTGGGCCGACTTTGACACGTTGCCTACTAGTCCCAACGCCACGCTCGGGCAACCTTGAGATGGCGTATGTCCGCCGAGAAGTCGATGCAGCGGCCGCTAGGCAAGCCTTAGCGAGAGGCCTTGAGCTCGTTTGGAGTGACAACATGATACACAGCCTAGTCTTCGGCAGTAAGCTCAATGCAAGCGCATAACAGTGTAGAAGAACGAGAGGGCTTGACGAGTTGAAGTTGCAGCCACATGAGGTGTACGCGAGTCGCTGCGGCAAGCGCGGAGGCAGAACGCGACCGTTCCGAGATTGTGACCCAGCGGATGACGCCGGCGATCCTCGACGTCTGCAGATGCTACCGCCTCTAGTGACCCACAGGTCGTCCACTCAGCTCTTCGGCCGCTCACAGCTGCGACGATGTATACTCCCTGGTGCTAGGCCGCAATATCAGTCGCGGTCATTCTTTGGATGGTTCAAAAAGTCAAAATCCGTAGAGAAGAAGGATCCTGTCCCTCTCCTCACGGAGGACAATTTGTTCCACCCGTTCTCCAAATCCCCTTTCCCCGCTATTCGTGCTCGCGGAGAGGCCATACAAAAGCTTGCACCATGTCCGGTCTGTGCATCTGAACACGGTCCGTTTCATGCTCACGCCCCGTCGCAACCCCTTGCGGTCAAATTTGAATGTCCGGACTGTGGGTGGCCCACGCACTGTTCCGAGGAGCACTGGAGACAGGATGAAGAACACAAGAAGTACTGCGGCAGACTCCGGGAGGTCAACGAGGACGAGCATGACCTAAGGAGTGGACGGAGATTCAGGGAGTTTGAGCTACCAGGTCAGGACATGTCGACCTTCCGCTGTCGTACACGACTACTGATCCTCTGTTATTATAGGCCCTCAGGACTCTGAGGCTGCCATTTCCTTTTCGAACTGGGACGTTTTCTGGTACACGCGTGGGTTTGCATCCATGGATACAGAGCGGGCTCGGAGGCATGCTAGCAAACTTCTCACATACCCCATCACGATCGGGTCTGTCCTCCACCAATTTAGTGGACTTACCTTGCGAAATCAGCGTGTAACTCCAGAAGGGAGTCGGTCTCTGGCAGGTTTGTCTGTCTCTCAAAAATCAAATTGACTATTAACGACCTCACGCTGTCTGTCAGCTCTTCGCACAACGCTGCATGTCGCTACCGGTGCGCCAGAGGTGGAAGCTGCATCAGCTGACAAACCCCAGATGAGGATCTTTATCCTCGGTGCTAGGGCCGAATCTTCACTTCCACCGCACGTCTGGGAACAGCTGTGTTTACTGTTCCCTTCGGCTCTGTTCCATCTGTACTTCATTGGTCCTCAGGTCTCCCTCCCGAAACCAGTCAGTGAGCTCAAGAAGCCATCACCACAGGCGCAGCCCCAGGCATCTTCTTCAGAAACCTCGCAGGCGTCGTCCGACGCCGCGACGGAAGGCGAAAAACCTAAAGAAGAGAAGCCCGTTTACGTGCCGAACATCTACGAGCCGCCAACGCCGGCACCGATTGCCCGTCTGAGGCGTACGCGCGAGTCAATTCAGCAATATGGAGTGCCTTCATACACAGTCCCATATACACCGCAGCTTACCATTACTGGCATGCAAGCCAAGTACATGGATGTCCATGCCCACTTCCAGGAGACGTTTGACCCCTACACGGACTGCTTCGTCCTGTTTTCACCGGGCTTTGGCTTCCCCTCACCCACATCCACATCAGAGGTCACTGGGGAGCCATTGCTGCAAATTGCTTCGCCTGCAGAATGGGGTCAAGTAGTACCACTTCTTCTCGCCAGCAAATGTCCAATCTTCGTCACTGGTTTCTCACCAGCGGATGTCGAGCGAGATGTGAAGTCGTTGTCCACTGCACCGGATGTTGCAGGCGAGTTTGATTGGGTCATTACGCCCGGTCCGAACGCCTTCGGCAGCGACAAGTGGGAGGTGGCTGACTTTGACCCCCGTGTTATGGTCAAGACGAATTGGGGGGTCTGGGGTATTAGAGGCAAGAGAAGGGATGTAAGGGACAGTAGTACCTGGTTCTAGACACATTATAATGTACACAAACTACTATCAGCATCCCTTTTCTGCCACTCATCACAAGGTTTCGACACGTTTACGCCAGAGTCCAAGTGAGTGGCCATGGCATTCGGCCAGCCACAGACGCGTCATGATCACGTGTGACGTTCTACCCGCGTTCGACGCGTCGTTGATAGTGTTCGCGCGCTGACCTTCAATATCGACCACCACCGTTTCGACATAATTGAGGAAGATATTGTTCTCTGTCCAGATATCTGGTCGCAGAAGACTACTGTAGCTGTCGTGATCAAGTCTACAGCTCTGCCCTCACATGGTCTATCTACCGCCACCTCACCTCGCGTCTCCGTCGCGTCCATCATATGGAGAGACATACCAGAAGATCCTCACCACACACCGACGCTCTCCATCTACCTCAGCGTCCTCCGTTATAATGCTTGTGGCGCCAGACGTGGACGCGCTTTGCGCTGCGCACATGCTAGCAGAACTGTTCAAACAGGACGACGTGATGTACCGAATCATCCCCGTCTCCGGTCATGCTGAACTAGAACGACTGCGGGACGAACTTTCCACGTACACAGATGTGCGTGTCCTCTATGCTGGGTTTATGCAGTACATGAATTGATGCAGGTTGGCGTCGGAGCAGCTCCATACCCTGATACTTCTGAACATGGGTTCTATCCTCGACCTGCCGTCTTCTGAGTGGTTTGGGAGCTTCAGCACACAGCTAACCGTTCATGTCATTGATTCATCGCGACCTCAAAACTTGGCAAGTGTTTTTGGAGGCGGGGAGAATGGCGAGCGAATAATCGTGTGGGACGACGGTGGTGCTGAGGACTTGCAGGAGGAGAGGAAGGCATGGGAAGCTCTTACGGTGAGCACTGCACTCACAATCGCTTGTCTTTCGTTCTCAGAACCTGGTCTTGGTGGCTGTAGTATGAACCTGAACCCGACTCGGATGAAGACGATTCTGATCTTGACTCCGAAGAGGACCCAGAGAACGAAGGCGAAGACGACGACGAAGATGAATACGAAGGCAGCAACTCTTCGGGGAAGCGACGCTCGCTAGGAGACGGGGATCGTGCGGGGAGGAAACGGCGGAGAATACAGGTATTCTCTCCGCTACGATGACGGCTCTTCACTTCTCACGTACAGCTATAGCGGGGTCCACCTCGCATGTCACGAGAAGACCGTGATCTATATTCAGCGCGTCTGGAGAAACATTATATGTCCGGGACGTGGCATGGGCAAAGTGCTTCTGGCACGGTCTATCTCCTCGCCACAGTTCTGGAACGCGTAGATAACGATCTCCTATGGTGTGTACATCCCATTCGAGTCCTAGAAGCTGGTCATAATGTCGTCGTCATCTCTATAGGCTGGCCATACTGGGTCTTACTTTTCAGTATATCACATCGCGAATATCACGGGACGACTATGACAAGTACCATTCTGTATACTACGACGAGGTTGCCCGCCTCAACCCCCCACCACCCGCGTCGGCGGCGACAGACTCCGATGTCAAGTCACAACATCCCGACGATAATTCAGTATATGCCTCGGACGAGCTGCGCTTCATGATGTTTCGGCACTGGAACCTGTACGACGCAATGTATCACTCTAGCTATGTAGCAACTAGACTCGGCATCTGGAAAGAAAGAGGAAGGAAACGGCTGACCGGATTGTTGGCCAAGATGGGGTACGTCCTCCATCCCACGCGCTATGCACGACCGTGACTAATTCTCCGTTCAGTTTCTCTATGGCAGAAACACAGCAACCATATCCGCACATGGCCAAAGACCTGAAGCTGTCGCTGCGACAGAAACTGGACCAGATCGCGCCCGAATACGGCCTCGTCGAGCTGTCCTATCCTTCTTTCACTCGTTGTTACGGGTACCGTACGCAACCGCTATCTGCATGTGACGCCGTCGAGGCGGTCTCCGCGTTCATAGATGTAGCCGGAGGTGTGCGTATGGAAGTCGAGGTCGAAGGGATGCGCAATGGCGGCGAATGGTTCGGCGGGGGACGTGTATGGGATGGCGGGAGGGAGAAGAGGCACCGCAACGACGAGCGCGAGAACATCCCGCCCGGCGGGATAGTCAAGAACTCGGTTGCGGTAGCACCCGTGGGAAAGGGAAATGGGGGTGAGGACGGAGCGGAGCTGCAGTGGTGGGTAAAGAACTTCTGGACAGCATACGATGCTCTTAATGAGTAAGCTCATCACACTCCCCGACCTCTTCTAAGCCGCTGAAACTATTTGTATATAGCATCGTGCGCCTGCGAGAAGCACTCCCGCTCTCCATGGCCCTACACCGCGCAATTGTTCGCCAAGGCTCATCGATCATCGACAAGCACGATATCCGGACACTTCGCGGGCACCGCGTTGTCACGATCACGCAGGGTCCCGACCTTGATTTGTTCGCGCATCCCGGTGTGCTCTCGCGCCTCGCGCAGTGGCTTGTCGAGGCATTGCGCGACAGGCTGCAAGGCACCGTCACCGTGTACTCTCGCAGCAAACGCAAGAGCCTGCCCCTCGTCGTCGCATGCCTGAACGAGAAGGAGGGCACGTACATCGTTGTAGGTGTGGTGGCTGCGCTGAACTTCGATGACGTCCGCAAAAAGTATGCTTTCCCCTCGCTGGTCGCTATTGATTGTGATTGACTTGTTCGTTTCTAGCGAATTTGGTCTCGCATTTCTGGATGCCAAGGAACGTTGCAATGCACGCACTCGACATGGTTCGTTCGATACGAGCGTCCTCGAGATCAACAAGGACGACCTGAAAGTCTTTCTCGAAACGCTGTGTGAATGTGGCGAACGATAGTGTCGAGTCGAAGACACCCCATGCTCACTACAAACTTCATCACATTACATGATTCATGATCTTTTATTGGGCGGACTTTGTATTTCATAGACTACACTGGTGTAATGATGCAGCAATTACTCCATATCTAACAATGACTTACATTGGTATGTTTCTCCACTAACCGTGCAGCAGGAAGTGCAATGTGCATCCAGCAAGCCAAAATCTATTGTACATCCAGCATTCGTTCAGGAGTACCTCTGACTTAGAGAACACCCTTGGTGCTCGGGACATCGTCCCCTCCTGTGCGTTCAATTGCTTGACGAATAGCGAGCGCAAGCGCCTTGAACGCGGACTCGGCCCTGGCGTTTGTGAGCATTTACTTTCACGAGGAAAGAAAAAGTGTACCTACCTGTGGTGGTCGTTTTCGCCTCGCAACACGTCGACGTGCAGCGTGACGCCCGCAGCGATGGCAAAGGAATAGAAAATGTGTGGGAGCATCTCCGTCGAGAGGTCGCCTATCTTCTCCCGCTTCAAACCTAGGTCTGTCACGCAGTATGGTCTTGAGCAGATATCAATCACTGCGCGAGACAGAGCCTTTGCGTAGGAAGAAGGGGTTTCGAAATTCAGGCTGAGAGCGGCAAGACAAGAGCAATGCATACCTCGTCAAGCGGTGCGAACCCAGTCCCGTATCGGCGAATACCCCGAACTTCGCCAAGAGCCTGCTTGAACACAGTGCCTAGTGCTATTGCGCTATCCTGTGTAGACGCAGATTGGCGTTAGGCGTCGGCGGACTGTGCATTCCTGCGACGAGGACGCGTGCGATACTTATCTGCAGTGTGATGGTCGTCTATCCAGAGGTCGCCTTGGCACTTCATGGTGAGGGACATTCCGGAGTGTTTCGCGAGGGCAGTGTACATCTTGCGCGAACTAATGAGCCCAAGTGGTTGTCTTAATGTCGAATGGGACATACATGGTCTAGGAAGCCGATGCCGGTGGAGACGGATATCTCTTGCTTGTTGCCAGTACCCGGCTGGCAGTCGAGGCTGATGGCAACCTCAATCTGGGTCTCATTGGTCTTGCGCTCGATCTTAGCGGTTCTGGCGGCCATGGTGTGTTCGAATTGAGAACGAATGAATGTTTTCAGATCAGATCCTCGGCTGAGTCAGTGATCGATCACTGCCACTTTCGGGCAACATTCGGGTAGCGTGCCGTGCCTGATCGGGACCCACAGCCAGGCGAACGAGGGCCAATTACGGCCAACTTAGGCCTAATGTCCCACTGGCAGGCTCTGATGGACAAACATGTGCGCGTATGTAACACAGGCGCCCACAAGCAACCTCACGCCACAACGGCGGTAGACGCTATTCACTCTTCGGTACCGCACCCACAAATGGGCCCCTCCCCTCCCCGACGACGTCCATCACCTTCCACATCCCACAGCCCTTCCCGTCGTTTTGAGCTCCGGCGTAGCACGTCCACCAATACTTAGCAACCAGATCTTTCCCAAATACGTTATCGGTGACGCCCGGCGAAGCTGCAGGCGCTGAGTATCGGTTTTTCATATCCGGCCGCAGGATGCAGGGCACACCACACTTGCAGCGAGGCGTTTTTTCCGCACGATAGTCGGGCCTATAGAACCTAAATGTGATGTTGATGCGTGCATTTGAAGAGACCGTTTCGACTCCCTGATTGTCCGTGTTGGAAGGCGGAAAGGGGGGGTGGAACATGTCAATGGTGCTTTGCGGTGGTATTGAATGTTTGAACATCTCTTGTGTTGAAGCATGCATGATAAGCAACTGCCCCGAAGCCTCGGTCATTGACGAACTTGGTCCCTGCCTAAATGTGCACTCACAGAGTTGTGCGCCAAAGGGATGTTGTACGTTCGAGCGTTGCGTTCGTCCTTCTCATCCGAAGGTATAACCTCCCGTAAGCGGAAGACCCGACTTGTTCCTATAGGGATGCACATTAGTGTCTGTGCGGACATTTGAAAGCGGGGTAAGCACGAACCGAGACTCAGGCTGGCGATGGTAGGATACGGCCCCAGATAGGTCAACTGATCCGAGTGGGGCCCAACACTCTCTTTCGCGCCCTCATAACAATTCGACGCCGCCACATTCGCCCGCCACATTATATTTTCACCAGGTTCATCTCCGTCTTGTGGGGGCTCGCCTGCCCACTCCAGGGGCAACCGTTTCCGCTTGCGCATCTCTGCATTGACAGCGCGCTCAATGAGTTTGCACGCTTCCTCCATATCGGGGGGGAAGGTTGCAGGAGGCTCAGTCTCGCGCCCGTTGTACCTATGTAGAAATGGTCAGCCTATACACTCATGAATGTCGTGTGATCGTTTACAGACTCACCAGTATTTCGCGGCTTCATGCATGTCATGTTCAGCATCCCCATCGCGAGCTGAGTGACTGCGGACGAAGAAGGATGTTCTATGAGGGCTTTCCACGACGCGGTCAAACAGCCACCATCGGTTGCGTCGCCAATTCTGGCTCTCGTTCATCATGTGGTAGAATATCCTGTATATAGATGCAGTCATTAGCATCCCCCGATTTAACTCTGGAATTTACGGGCGCTGAATAGAGAAAATGCAGCGTTGGGGCAGGATTAGCGCCATCCGCTCACCTGCAAGCAAGCGCTGGAGGAAGGATGGACGGGTGGAGCGTACATGACGTATGCTGTGCTACGAGTGTAGGGGTAGCTAGAGTGAGAGGCGGAAATCGAGGGGGCTGCTTGATTGCTTCCTTGGAGTTCGGTGGCCGTAACAAAGTCATAAGTTGGCTTTTAGTAACGTCTCGGCTTTTGGACAGTGGTTTTGACAGTGGCGTAGTCAAATCGTTTGTTGATGGTTCATTCCGTCTCCCTATAGATGGGGGCTTGCTTGTGTGTGATGCGTCGGGCGCGTTGACAGTATCAGTCTTGGATGGGGTTTCACTGCTTGATGTGGAAGCCGATGTCTTACTCAATACTGGGATATAAGAAGCACCAGCAGAGACAGGAGGGCGCTTGATTGGTAGTTTGGAGGTAGAGGCGGGTTTAGAGGGAGACGCGCTCGAAGCGCGGGCCTTGACAGGGGAGCCTCCTAGCCACTCATCCAAGTCTGTCGTTCTCTTCCTCTTCTTGTCATGTCTCTCTGTGCTACTACACTTACCACGCAGCATCGCAGCAGCGCGTTCTGCGTCGCCATTACACTCTACGAGCGCGTCGAGGAGGGTGGCTTGGTCGCAGACGAGAGGATCAATGAGACTCGAGAGTACCGCGAGCAGCAGGTCGTTGTCCATTGGTAATTATTATACAAATGGTGCGTGCAGGGGCGCCCTGGGCAATAAGCAAGCACGTTGTGAGGGGAGGCGGTGAGCGGCGGCAGGAGACAAGCGATTACCGCGCGCCAGACGCGCCAGACGCGATCGAGTGTGTGATCACGTGGAAAGATGACCAGCGCGTCCTTGTCCGTATATGGCAACCGCGGTGGCTGCTCCCAGCGACCGTATTCCTCCGTGCATATAGGACACACTGTGCACGTAGTATTCCTCCTCTCCCTCAACGCCACGGAGCGATGGATTCCAAGATTCTTCCGCTGAGTGTCGCTCGCACATCCCCACCTTCGAACAACCGCGTCAATAAGCATGCACATCGCTCGAGCAGAGTAGGCCCATTCCCACCGCTGCACCTCCCTATCTCTGATGTCTGCATTGCTGCAGCTCATAGTCGTCTGCATATTGATACAAGTTCTCATCCTTGTGTACCACCTCACAGGTCCTCCAAAGTCCCTATCGAGATTCACTCGCACAAGCTCGCATACTGCGCCCGACTTCTCGCATCTCGCAGAGCACTGCGCGCATGTCCCTCCCATACCGGCCGCTTCGTTTCTCGAGCGACAGCAGTCGCTCGCGCAGACGCTTCATTCACTTAACGCGTCAGCATATATCGCAGAGCCAGGCGCCAGTGCCGGCTACTTCGCCAATCTATCGGGATCGCAATGGCACCTATCCGAGCGGCCGCTGCTCCTGATCATCTCACCCGAAATTAATAGTGCAGAGCAAGTGCATGCCAAGGTGTCGATCCTGACACCGGCATTTGAGCTCACTCGTGCCAAACTGCTGCCTCTCCCGAGCTCTATTGACATAGCATATCTTGCATGGCCCGAGGACGCAGATCCATTTGCTGTTGCCGTATCTGCCATTCCTAGCCTTTCTGAGGGGACTGTATTTGTGGATGGCATGACGAGGAACTTCATCGTCGATGGCCTGCAGAAAGCTACTCCCGGCTCCGAGGTCGTTGTGTCACCTGTGGAGATTAGGCGGCTGAGAGAAAGGAAGAGCAAGGAAGAGTTAGAGATCATGAAGTGTGTGAACGAGGTACATTGTCTTTCTGGTACTGTCTCTTCGTGCCGTAGAGAACAGATCGCTGATGCTCTACTCTCAGGTCACACTGCTTGCAATCCGCGCTGTTCGCGACAATATGTACGTCGGTATGCGCGAATCCGAAGCTCACCGTATGATTGTCAGTGCGCTTGCCGCGGCTGGACTGCAGGACCCAGGCGCTCTCACCTTGTTTGGAGGTACGTCATACGTCGGACATGCCATTGATATGCTCACATTGTACAGAGAATGCTGCTCTCCCGCATGGCAGTGGGACTGATCGTGTCCTGGGAGCTCATGACTTTGCGTTGATCGACTGCGACGGCTCACTGCATGGATACCACAGCGATGTTACGAGGGTATGCACAATCTCGTGACATCGATGTCTTGGTACTCACCCCATCATGTAGACTTTCGCGCTACCAGACTCGACCGTCCATGCCGCCCACTTGCGACTCTGGAATCTTGTGCATTCCGCACAAGCCAATGCCCTCGCTGCTGCGCAAAACGGCACAATCACAGCGGAAGTCGACCGTGCCGCTCGTGATACCCTCCACGCTCAGGGCTATGCCCAGTATCTCACACATCGACTAGGACATGGTATGCTGATAGCAACTCCGAGATGAAACTTTGTCTGACACGACATGTCTGCAGGCGTTGGCCTAGAGGTCCACGAGTCGCCCTACCTTCGCGGCGGGTCGGATGATGTCATTCTGACTGGTCATACGTTCTCAGACGAGCCGGGAATCTATATAGAGGGCCAGGTACGTTGTCCGCTTGAAATTTTGGTGACGACATTCTAACATAGAAGAATCTAAACAGGTTGGAGTTCGCCTGGAAGACTGCTTCTACGTCAATGAGGACGGCCAGTCGATCTTCCTCACCGAGGGCGTAGGCGGGGCTGCCACCAGCCCATGGAAGCCGTAAATGTGACTCATACTGGATGGGTGTCGATGCTACACCTTGTACAACAATATTAGTATTCATGACGATGTAACGATCTGGTCGATGGAATATTTGTGCCTGCTCCTTAGTCTGTTGCTACCCGTGGGAATAGGTGATCGGCGATCGCGGATAAAACTTGCAGCTTAATTTCTGGTGCAGCGTCTTTGTCCGAGTCTCGTACTTGATCAGGATTCGACTTCGAAGCCCGGGTCCTCCCACATCTATTGCTTTCCTGCATCTGTGTGTTAGCTATGCCGTCTCCTGAAGAGGCTTCAACATCCGCGTCTCCTAGTCAGGCTCCCGCGCCGACCTTTAAATCTCTCGGGCTCATTGACCCACTCCTGGAAGCCCTAGAGCAGCTGAACTTCAAGATCCCCACAGAAATACAAGTGCAAGCACTCCCGCATGCACTCCAGGGCAGAGACATCATTGGCGTAGCGTCTACCGGCTCCGGGAAGACTGCCGCCTTCGCGCTCCCGATCCTACAGAAGCTATGGGAGGAGCCCAAGGGGCTCTTTGCATGCATAATGGCGCCGACCCGCGAGCTGGCATACCAGATATCTCAGCAAATAGAAGCCCTGGGGTCCGCGATGGGCGTGCGGTGTGTGACGCTTGTAGGAGGGATGGATAAGATGGCCCAGGCGGTCGCGTTAGCGAAGCGGCCTCACATCGTAGTCGCCACGCCGGGTCGTCTGAATGATCACTTAGAAGACACAAAGGGTTTTAGCTTGAGAGGACTCAAGTTTCTGGTGAGTACGACAGTTAGATTCCTCGCAAGCGAGCCTAACACTCTCTACTGCGTCCCAGGTTTTGGATGAGGCGGATAGATTGCTGGACATGGACTTCGGTCCTATCATTGACAAAATCCTGAAGGCTATCCCGAGGGAGCGCACCACATACCTATTCTCGGCGACTATGACGACTAAGGTTGCCAAGCTGCAACGAGCAAGTTTGTCAAATCCTGTACGAGTCGAAGTATCCGAAAAGTGAGTCCAGCTCGCCATGAATCTTTAAAGGCATCATTCATCTCCTATTCCTAAAGGTACTCTACTGTATCAACGCTATTGCAATACTACCTCTTCATTCCGTTGGTTCAAAAGGACGTACATCTCATATACCTAGCGAATATACTAGCGCAGAATTCTATCATCATCTTCACAAGGACCGTCCATGATGCTCAGCGGTATGTTATTCATACAAGCACCTCGTCTCGATACTGATCGCCTAATTGGCAGGCTATCAATTATACTGCGAACTCTGGGCTTTCCAGCAGTGCCGCTGCACGGACAACTTAGCCAGAGTGCCCGGCTGGGTGCACTGGGCAAGTTCAAGAGTGGGGGACGCAAAGTCTTGGTGGCGACAGACGTGGCGAGCCGGTAAGAACTGTCGTGAACAGGCTTTAGGCTATCTCTCGCTTACAAGTATTACAGTGGTCTGGACATTCCACACGTCGATGTTGTGATAAACTACGACATCCCGACTCATTCGAAAGACTACATTCACCGTGTAGGACGCACGGCGCGTGCCGGGCGTTCGGGAAAGTCTATCACGCTCGTAACGCAGTACGATGTTGAGCTCATCCAGCGCATCGAGACGACAATCGGCAAGAAGATGGAGCTGTGGCCGACTGATGCAGAAGAAATTGCATTACTCAGAGAAAGGGTGGACGAAGCAGGCAGGGTGGCAGTAAATGAGCTGAAAGAGCAGGCGGGGCAGAGAGGTCATGTCCGGAAGCGAAGAAGGAACGAGGAAGGAGGCGCGGACAACAGGGACAGGGATGATGATGTTGTTGAGGCTGGAATGCCTACCAAAAAGAAGTCAAAGGGGAGACGGTAGTTTCGCTCTTGACTTGTTTCCCGTCCGTTTATGCGCCAAGTCCCATCGCGGCAGCCCGAACTCGGGTACGTTAGTCCATGAACATTAGATCTGAGCGCAGGACATATTTTACCCCTTCCAGCACCGGCGATCCTTCGTGCAGAAGACATTCAGGACCATGACTGACTCATCACAACAGGTAGACAGCATCAGCAGATTCGTCTCGAACAGACAGCGAAACTGACCGATGCAACAGAGCCATCCCTCGTTTCAGTGGCGGCACCATCGCGTCGCTTGCGTTACCTCTGTGGGTGCGAAAGAACAATGTCTGTCGAGTCGTAAAAGTAAATGAGCATGTTGGCGAGACATTCAATTCACGCATGGAGGATGCACCTGTCCGCCCTTCACACCGTCTTCCGCGCCCGTGAGATACACAAGCAGAGTCCATTCCGACTTCGCACCCGTCACAGAGTCACACACAGTATCGTCATAGTGCTGGCCAAAGTACTGTCCGGGGGTGTATTTATACAAGCGGATATTGGAGTTAAATGAATGCGCAGGACGTGTTGAGGTACCAGGTCGTTTTGCGGATTCTGGATAAGGGAAAGGCGGTAGGTGGGGAGACAGTACCTCGTACAGCCGGTTTGCCATCTCAGTTGATGTAATTGATATCCTATCTTTTGAAGGACGGCTGGTGAGCATAGTCTTCCGGATAGCAAGCACGAAGGCGTACAGTTGACTCTTGCCGCCTCTCCTCTCTTCTTTGGTGGTGTCAGCTCCAATGGTTGATTGTCAATAAATTTGACATAGTTCTTGCACTCCTCAGGTGAAAGAACACCCTGTGAGCGATTCAGCAGACGCAGTGAATGATAGCATCTCTGATGATCTCAACTAACATCGAGCAGTATGATCTGGTCCTCTAGGAATGTACGCGCCTCCAATCTGTGCTTCTGCGTTATTGCAGGGAACTGGACATTCGCTGTCGCACGAGGCAGAGGAGTACTCATAGCGACTTGATTCAGACGAGACTTGCGGGGTGCCATACGTTATCCGGAAGGAAGACCTGACTTCTCTCGAGTGTTATGGTCAGGTACTTTAGATGCGGTGGTAAGAGCGCAAGAAAGCCAAAGATACATTGTTTGTATGTACAGGTCGAGTTAGTCTAAATAATAGGTCACTTTGCCGGAGTGGTTAACGGGATCGCCTGCTATTATTAGCCGTAAGCGGTTGGGCTTTGCCCGCGAGTGTTCGAATCGCTCAGGTGACGACTTTTTCCCCAGCCATTTCCTCAATACCCTGTTTTGCGCCGCCCGCTACTGTGCAACAACATGGTACTGAACTTCAAATCCCTCTCTATGCGGCTGTAGGTGCTGATGGAGCGGATAACTAGTCCGCGCTTTTCAACTTCCAGTCACTGCTCCTCGTCATCCTGCTTATGATCTGCACATGCACGTACGTCCGCGCGGTCATACCGAGGCTCATTGACCGAAACAAGGAGGGGTGCGTCCTCACGCAGAATAACCATGCGCACTAGACTAACGATAGATGGACGCAACTGTCAGATTCCTGGGTTTATTCTGGATGTCTGCGCGCATAGGTTCGCTCAACCTCGGTCTTTGGCTATGTCGGTGCTGATGTGTACCTGCAGGAGAACGCCTGTCGCCATATGTAGCCATAGCGTGCGTCGTGATGGCAGGGACATTGTTGGTACAGTGACACCGATTCTTGTTGTTTCACAAACTGCAGCGGAATTATCAACAGTTGTTTTGATCAGCTCTTGCGACCAGTAGTCATGATGGTATGGTCGAGCGCATTTGTGTGCGGCGCGCTGCCAGTGGGCGTTCTCGCGTTCTCGGGGATCCTTGTCTCTGACGCGACGTACCCGCTGAATGCGGTCCTGCTGGAGGGTGTCGGCCCAGAGGTGTACGAGAACGCGCAACAGATAAAATCCTGCCCGAGCAGGATCGAGGACGTCTTTATTGGGATTTATGGGACGGATGGTAATATGATCAACACTCTGCACAGAGTGCATTATGTAGCTTTCTACCCAGGACATTGCGCAGCTGACGCTTTCGCTAAGGCCCCAGACATAGACGTCTCTCATTATCTATAAATCGACGGATGCAAGGCCTCAAAGCCTCAAGCTCAACGCATCGTCCATCTTCTAACAGTCTGAGTCGTGAGGGTGAACATAATCTGGTGACGTTCAGTCGTGATATTTGTGTGTTTCAGGGGAGTACAGCTACGAGGTCTCCCAGCCATCCAGCAACAGTATGTACCTGGACGCACGGTGAGCAGGTTACAATACGACTTAGATTGATCATCATATCTCTTGTCAGTATAGACTTGTGGAGTCGTGACTTCTCCGCTTGTTGGGGGCAACGCGTTCGTAAATAGAGTCGAGCGCGGTCAACTCTGACTCCCCGAGACATTGCCTGCAGCGCGACGCTGAGTGACAGCGCGCACCTTCCGGCACATCGCACCTGATTCGCATGCACGAGCCATGAGGCTACCGCAAGGCGGGGCTCTTTAGTTACGAGCTCGGACCTTTATCTCGTACCCAGACCCCCACCGCCACGAACAGGGGATCTAGGGCATTTCGGGCGGCGGTGAGATGCGGCGGTGTGGTGGGCCGCAACGGGTGAGGATCTACAGCGAAAAAGGGAAGACGAGCGCGGGCCCGTTCTACATCTGGCGACGTTCGGGGCAAGGCTCGCAGGGAGATGGCTTTTTGTTGACATGCTTAACATCCCCAACGCGCTGTGGCGGGCGCGTGATCTCGATGCCGACGCCGTGTTTCGCGATCTGGCTCGCTTCCCCTCAATCACTCTCCTCTCCTCTCATAACGTCGACTTCCCTACAATTCTGACGCTTGATCGGCTGGTGTGTGCCCTCCCCTCGCCTCAAAGTGCTCACTCTCTACGATACACGGTTCACTCAGCAACCTTTCGACGCTTCCACTGTCTCCGAATTCTGCCTTCTGCCGCGCACACAGCTCGAGTGCAGAGGCTGCATAACGTTTCTGTGCCAACTCCCTCCTTCGTCGAATTCGTTGACCTCATAGCAGCCGTCGGTGACCACAAATGCCCGCATCTTCCTCGTGGTCCTACGCAGGCGTTTCTAGTGTGGAGTGCTGTTCGAATACTACATCTCTCTGGTGTCACCTTTCCCTCAGTCACAACCTTTGTTCGCCTCCTGTAAGCCTCCGATTGATGTCGACATGCACGTTGTGAAGCGTCCCGGCGCATCCGGATTTATCATCAGGCTTGGTGGCTGTCGAACTGACATCTGGCTTGATACGAACTCCGACCCTCGCTCCGTGGCTTATCTTGTCGAATTATTCATAACTACCGGCACTAGTAAACAACTTCGAGGTATTAATGTTCGTCCGTCCCCTGGGCCGTCCCCGGGGTAACAACGGTGTCCGACGCCTCCCTCAATAGGCTCGTCAGACACTCTGAGCATTCGTTACATCACCTTGATCTCGACACATACGAATCCTGGAAAACGGGGACCGGCATAGATGTGTCGTTACAAGCAGACCAGAGTGCATGTGCGTCTCATATTGTGGACCCGATCAAGCGTTTACAACTCGCATGTAAAGCCTTTACTTCAATCTTTCGGAGAACACGTGCTTCGAACGTTTGGTCCTCAGAGTCAACGTCGCCAGCGACAATGGATCAGAGTGGATTGTATTCCATGTTGCGGGAGAAGTGCATACTGATGAAAGCGAGTCTTGAGCTTGGTGCCCGGGACATCAATTGGGTCAAAGCCATGACGCGCAAAACAGCATCCTTGCTGAAAGATGAATTTTACAAAAGCAGGAAGTGCAGAGGCGGGAACACGTGGAGCCTGACTGCCGGAAAGGTCACAGGGTAAATTACGAGGGTCGGGGCCATAACCAGTTTCGAGTGTCTTCATGGTGGACATTCTTCTTGCGAATTTAGATGCGGCTGTTCGCATATGGGGAATCATCTCGTTGCTCGCCTTCTGCACTGCCCTTGATTGACCACAGTGTATGGACCCCGCCAGCATTGTATTGTCCACAACATCATCCAGCTTGGTGCGCACTGCGCTCGGCCTCTACTGCGTTGGTGAATGTCATGTCTCACCCAATGCACTCTCTGGTCATGCTATTAAAGTCTCTGCATACGATGAGGTATCTTGTTAGCGTGTCATACTTGCCCTCCACCAGTTCTCGCAGAATGCCCGGCCATATTCCCGGGGAAAACGGCGCAACCATATTCTCAGATAGGGCTTGTGAGAGAGGTAGGTCTCGGAGACACAGTTACTCAAGGATAAATCTTGACAGCACGCACTCGGAGCTTTCCAATGTTCTGATGTATATCTGATGCATTTGGGTCAATGCGTCATTGTTCTCGCCCGAACGCCGGAGACGGCATAATGGCAGGCATGCCCATTCGAATAGTACCCACTTGCGTCTGCAAATAATCAGCAGTAAAACGAGACCGGAGCGAAAATATTAATACACGAGATGCCTACTTATTGTCGTCACAAAGACCAAGTGCAACAACTGAGACGAGTAGATGCGCCTTGTTTAGAACTTCCATTTGTTTTCCTAGTAATAAAATGATACAAAATCGGTGTGGCCACTCAAACCATCAAATATATACAAAACTCGTATATGATAGGAAATAAAGAATTGACATGGGCACTACTCGTCTGAAGGTGCCCACAAGACACATCTTCCACTAGCGTTGCCGCTCGCGGCTCGCGCAACTACCTTGGGATGTGAACAGGTCACTGCTTGCACAGCAGTGATGCTATGTAAGAGCGACATCAGAGCCAATTTGCGGCGAACATGTAGAGGCGAGGACATACCGGCTGCGATCGGCGAGTCGAGCGAGAAGGTCACCCTACATGCTTCATGTGAGACGTGATTACAAGTCTGAAGTGTGTGGAGCTCACTTTCGCCGAATACATATCAAGCGAGTGTCCCATGTTGCCAATCTGCTCCACATGTTAGTCCCACTACAAATAAAGATCGCTGGTCGACTTGCCGTGAAGTGTGGATAGACATCGGGATTCGGCGACCATTGCGCCCTAAAGACAGTGAGCCATCTACCCTGCAAGCAATTATAATCAGCTTCCGGTGAATGTCATTGGAAGTAACGCATCCCTTATACTCACCGTCTGACAGTCATGTTTGATCTGAGTCATTGGTCTTGCGGAAGGGAATGTAGCGTCGCGTTTCATTAGCGTACCATCGAAGTCCCACACTGTACAGTCATGGATAAGATGAGCTTTGCCACATGCAGCAGACTCAGCATAAGCATACTCACGTCTAAGTGTATCGTCGTAGCTGGTACTGACAATCGATCTGCCTCTTGGGTCCCAATACGCCGCGCTGACAGATTTGTTGTGCCGCCATTCCGCTCGAAGGCAGCTCTTGCCTTCGGGGGACGAGACAAAATCCGCAATCGCGTCATGATCCACCTCATTTAAGTCATTCTTAATGTCTTGAGGCGTCTTGATAGGTATGTCCGCAAGCTTCCGCGTGTCCCATATTCTGACAGGATACTTGAGAGGGGTTTCATAACAGGAGAATTATGTAATTCACCTCATTGCACGATTGTTCGATGCTGTGACGAGGAAGTGGGGGTTGCTGGGATTGATGCTAACGCTGCCTATCTTTTGGTCGGATAGTTGGTACCACTTCGCATGCGACCTGTCTACACGTAGGTCCAAATGTGTCAGACCGCCAATTGCATCCGAGATCCACATCTCGTTCCCCGTTGGCGAGAGGTCAATGCATGAGATCAGGTCACCCTCGGTCGCGAACACTTCACTAGATTGTCCCGATGTGAAAGATAGGTGCCGGATTGTGCTGTCATATGAGCTCGTGTATACCTAGTGTGAGAAACAATTCGTCAGTATGACCTACGCTACCATGAGTGGAGCACAGACACTATGCGCGTCGGTTGGATCAAATTTGATCGATGATATAGAGGACTTTGAGGTCGCGGGCCAATGAAGCTGCAAACGCCAATATTTGCCATTCTCGCGGTCTGAACGACTGAGGGCTGTAGTATCTTCCTCGTCGTCAGCGGCTTCCTCGGCCGGGGCTCGCGCATCCCATATTCCTAGTTGACCATGCTTGTCTATGCAAATGCGTCAATATCATATCCACAAACTCAGCAGGGAGTGACTCACCACCAAAGAATATCAAGTCCTTCGTCGGCTCTGGATGAAAGGCTGCGCTGTATACTCTGTCCTGAGTCACTTTAGCGCGTGCTACGACCTTCAAGTGGCTCAGGGTCTCCTTGAGTTCCGCAATGGCAACATTCTCCTTCTCATCTTCCTCAAAGACAAATGAGTCTTGGGCTGTTGCTTCTCTGGGATGGGCTGTCTTAAGCGTAACCTGCAGTGTAGTTCTCAAGGTGCCAAGCTCCTCATATCCTAGCTCATCTGTTAATGTTGGCAAATCGAGATCCCGATGCCTTGGCTTTTTGGCCTCTCTTGCACGTTCCTCAGCTTCGAGGCGCTCTTCCGCTTCTTTTGCACGTCTCTCCTCTTCCTCTTTCTGAGAGCTCTTATCTTAATGGTAGAACTCATATGAAAAGAATAAGACTTACCTCGTGTTGCCTTCTCTTCGCGGGGCTCTCGGTAGGATCGGCGACTTGCCGTCTAAGACGCGCCGACTGCCGCACGGGAGCCACATCTTTGGCAGGCTTCGCCTTCTTGGTAGGCTGCACGGGTTTCGCGCGGGTTTTAGTTGGCTCCCTCGGCTTCACCTGTGGTAAATCGGCAGAGAAATTAAGCTTGGCTAGCAATTCGCGATTACGCGCAATTGTCGCTTCGCGTTCGTGTTCGCTAGTTCGGCATTAACCTCACTGATAGACGAACAACAGACGGAGACACTCACTAGTCTGATAGATCGGACATACTCAACGTCGATGACGGTTTCAATTTTACTAAGAAGAATCGTGGTACGTAGAACTAGCAGAAGGTTGAGGGTGGCTGTAGCCGGAGGACGCGCTCGGTCAACACGACCTGTCACATCACGCCTGTTGTGACTGTTGGCGTATCCAAGTATCATTTAGCGCCCAATTTGGTGGCTGCTCGCAGCCTACCAAGGCGGTGATTCCGACGTCACAAGTTCCAACTGCTGAAGCGCGTGGTCAGGAACTCGCTCGAAAGCTCGGGCGCGATAGCCTCGTAGTATAAATCGATCGCTCGCTGCGCCCGTGGACAAACGCGCTCGCCACGCCGTCGCACCGTTGTTCCAACACCAACATAGACCACGGTAGCTATGATATCGGCCCATATGTATCAACCGAGAAGTACAGCAATGCTTCCTCTTATCCGGTAAAAGTTTAGAATGCGAACGTCACTTCTTACGCCCCTTACGGCCGGTACCCACCGTACTGGAAGTGCCTTTCATCCTCGATATACAATCCTCGCAGAACCAATTCTCCGGCAGCGGAGGTTTCAAATTGACGCAGGGTAAGTGGAACTGAACGAAATCAGTGGCAGCTCTCGGTATATACAGTTGAACACTCACCCATTGGTAGCGGCAGTCGGCATTGTCGCATGCAATCATCTGTACGAGATACCCACAAATCAGCGCAATCCCCCAGGTGCAGGCTAGCCCATCGCTGCTGGATGTATCACCTACCTCTCCGTAAGAGAGCTTCTGGCAGAAGCAATAAAGCCTCTTGTCTTCTGCGTCTCCGCTGTCGTCCATCCCTTCCTCCAGATCGTCTTCGCCCTCCGCATCTTCGTCAATGTCTGGTCCTGCAGATTCCGTGACGCGCCTTGAGCGTAACGGCGACTGGCGGGTATGTACCCTGGACCGCTGCCCGGTACCATAGGACGGTGCTGCCGACATAGGTGCTGGACTAGGAAGCTTGATGCTCCCTGCGGAAGCTACGGGCATTGTCTTACGCTCTGTTTGAGTTGAAAGCGGTACAAACATAAATGAGCAGGCAGGACACATATATAACGGTGGCACATACTCTTCTGTGGAGGACCAGAGCTCGCGGCCGGTGTCGCAGGCAATTCAGGGATTGCTATAGAATTTCGTATGATCTCGTTTGCCTTCTGGACTGGATCTCGAGCTGCAGAGTATCCGCTCTGTGCAGTAGCAGGATCCAGGTCACCTTGCAGCGCCAGAACCTTGCTTAGATCGTGCGCAAGCCTCGCTCGTGCCCTCTCTATGAGCTGGACCAGACGATTGGCAAGAGCTTCTTTCTCTGCAGCAAGGCGGTCGAGCTCGGCATAATGTTGATTGATTGTCTCAGGAATGGTGCCATCTTTAGCTGAGAGTGTCTGCCCTGGAGTGCCCGATCGCAGAGAGTGGCGGATGAACTTTGAACTCTCCTTCTGTATCTCCTGTTGTAGCTCTATTACACAGAGCGGGGTTTGGCGGGACGTCACGATGGTAGAGGAAGAAAAGTATGCGTGGTGAGCAACCACGGCGGTGATGCCATAAACAGGGGGCGAGGCGAGTGCATTCGCGACAGTGCGATCCACGGAATATGCAGTGTTCAGGAAGGTCCGAATGGCAAGAATCCGGTTGAAAACGCACCGTGGGATCGCGAGTCACGTACCCTAATCTCCGAAAGCAAATGTTGAGTCTCGCTAGGAAGATTATCTAGGCCTGTGTTACGGAAGATCGTGTCAGTGCGCCACAAACACAAATATGGCGGCAAGAGGTCATTGCAACGAGGCACTGCGAAGAAGTGACTTTCTGACGAAGAGTCCATATCCGATAGCCACATGCTGGCGTAGGTAAGATGTACGACGTGAGTGGCACTTACTGGAGACGTATTCTGCAGCGACGCTAGCCGCCTCCTCGAGATTGGTGCTGCTCATTTGATGCGACTGCTATGTCTGGTTAGTGGATATATGGATTGGAGGCCTTCTCGGACGACACAGCCGATTCGAATATCGGCAATGGCAAAGTAGTGGTGATGACAGTAGAAGCCAAGCTATGACAGAGTCTTTGTCATTGTTCTAGAGTTGTAGGTCCCAAGGGGGAGGCTTACGTAATCTCACATCAAACAACCTCAAATCACAAATCCGAGCTTCAAGATGCTACAGTCATTTGTCAGTCTCGAATACAAAATGAGCAATAAGTTACATGTAAGCTACGAGGTATGATTATATGCGAGATAATTCTAGTCCCATATCTACGACAAATGTACTTCTGCCTCCCCGAGGAAGCACCAGGACCTTCTCTGCACCATGCATCTGGTATGTTTCACAGCTAGGTACCGATGAGGATCCCATTCGAGGACCACCTTGAGTTGGAAGGGCATTTATGGCAATTTTGGGTAACGAAAGTTCTCCATGATGAAGGGCAATGAGCGTGACGGGCATCGTGAATGTGGACCCATCCTATTAAACTGTCAAATCATACCATAATATAACGGAATGGTATAGCTACATACCTCAGCTTGGAAGTCGCTTCTCTTACATCCACTGACAAGCCAATCCCCAGTCATATCTTCGATGTCGTAACGGAGAAGACAGCCTTGGGGTTTCTCATCTTCTAGAGGTGCCCAGTGGAATGAAGTGGTGACGCTGACCACAGCTGATATTGGCTGGCCGGCGAACAGAGGCAGTGAGGCATTCTTCGCCTGGGGCGATACCCATGGATTTGGCGTGACACGTAGATGGGCAGCGGCGAGGATCTGGACGAAGTCAGGTGAGCAGAAGCGTTAAAGCGACCGCAACCACTCTTACATGCATCCGGGGAACATCCACAGGGATTATTATTTCACGCCACTCGCCAAAGGGGTAATCTCCTGGTCGTTTCTTGGCAAGGATCTACAGTACGTGTTCAACAAGCAGTATATCTGGCGACAAACTGAGCACGTACCGCATTTAATCGGCGTAACCCATCACCGATATCGCCTTCCTCTTCAACGATGTCCGGAACAACCAGCTCGCCAGTGATACCGTACAGTTCGATCCACTTTGCGTCACTTGATAGTGCATCTACCACCTTGTCAATGAGAAGGTCCCGATGCGGGAGTAGATGTGGTGTTTCGGCGACTATTGCTGCCATCGAGACATCAATCAGGGATTCGACCTCTGCATAGGGTATTTTTGTTAGCTACTACAAGCATACGATGGTTGATATCTCGTACCTTCTCGCAACATGCGATAAGTAATTCGTAGCCGTAAAGGATCCCCAGCTGGTAAAGTGGTTAGGACCATGCAATCCAGGCAAGCAAATGCGACTTACCTTGTCCGCGCGCAGAGTCGAGCTGAAAGATGAATTTGCCTGACTGTGATGGGGTAATGGTCTCTCGTATCATTGTCAGCCGAGTTATAAGGTATGAGCATAGCCATATACATACAACGACGCTAGGCTGCTGTGCATGACACCCTGTGACCTTGACGTTATCCTCATCCTCTCGCGATGTTTCCAGGTGGGCCGATCGAATCCGCACATGCTGATGAGACGACGTAGACAGCGTAAACCGTGTGAACAGTCTGTGGTGCAACAAATCGAGTCAATACAAAACAAATACAACTGGCGATTCCCTCGCACCTTGTCCCTCTAAAAAAATCCTCCACGTTGACCGTCATTGGGAGTGATGTGGCTACGAATCTGGCAAAGCCGAGCCTCCTGGTAATGTCTGGCTCGGATACTGTTGTGTATTCTAAAGCAGCATTGATTCTCTGGAGAAGTATGAGCCGGCTGCAGTGCTAGTAACAAAGATTGACTTACCAGCGTGTGATACGACGAAGCGTCAGAGTGAGGCAGTGAGATTACGACCACACTATCCGCCTCAACACTAGACACGGTCAGAGCGTCTTCATTTATTTCAAGCTGTGCCGAACCTGCGCATGATGAGCTACTGTGCAATTGTTATAGAATATTGCCTAACCATCGCCATCAAGCTTGGCCTCTGAAAAATGAAACTGGACGCCTGATGGAGATGAGAGCATGATCTGAGCAGACACGATATCGTTCCTCCCAGTGTGCAAGGCGACCATGATCTTGGCAGGCACGCCGACTTCGACTACAGGGCTTCATCAGTCAAAGCGCACATGTGATCAGGACCCATAGCATACTGCGTTGAGGTGGACGTATCCTCACGTCCAATGCTCGGATGTCCTTCGGTATGCGAACCAGGGTGGGAACATCCTTCAGCTTTAGGTTCTTGGTAGCTGTCAGAAGCCTAGCGTCTTTCCACTCGAAGGTCAGCTTAGATATTTTGACTTGGCTTGCTTGAAGAGCAAACACGCCCGCGGTTGACGACTAGAATGCGAGGTCATTCATAGTCTACCCTCACGAGTGTAGATCAAACCCACAGAACAGAATAATGTGACCTTGTTGTTCCCAGGATTCAAGGTCGTCGCGTCGGTCGAGAATGTCAATTGAGCACCCTCATAGCCTACGAGCACTGCAATAACCTCATCTACGGATAAATCCTGAACCCTCGTCAGTTACGCGCAACATGAACGACCGATGTACTTACGCACGGTAAACGGTTGCGAACGATCACGTCCAATAGTGCACCATCCTGAGACTCCGCGAGGCGAACGGCTTTGTCGGCAATTGTCAACGATAATGCAGGATGGTCAGGGTGAAGCAGATCTAATATGGTTCATTGCAATGCCATCAGAACTGTGCAATTGTCAAGGTGTAGCAAATGATTTACCTGCTTGCAAACCGCGCGCCGCCTCAATCAAAGAGGTCACTAGGCCCACCACATAGGATAGTTGGTCATCGACGTCCATGAGAAGCTCCTTGCCCATATCCTCCACATATGTCCTCAAGAAATCTAATACGATGTGGATCCACTCCTCGTCCCTCGCCTTCTCCGCCGACGTATGCACCGTCAGAGCCTGCATTCGCATGAAGGATTCCAGTGATGACCACCCATGCGGAGCATAGTGTGCGGGAAGACTTTTGTACGTATCAAATGCGTTCGGCAATCGCTGACGTACCCTACAAGCCGACTGAGAACAGAATGTGGACATGTATGAAGCCACGTACAGGTCGAGTGCGGCGAGGTTTCCATGCAACTTGAGGGCGAACTTCCGACGACCAGCTGCTGCATACAACTCGATCGCACGGTTGATGATCTGGACATACAGATCGAAGAACGCCTCCTTATCATCTATTGCAGATAGAAGCTCCGTTCGTGAGATTTTCCCCGGAGGCGGCTCCTGAGCCTCTGTTGATTCAGGTGTTGGAGCAGGGAGGGCTATCGAGAACGGCGGGCGGGATGGCAGGTGTCCAACTCGGATACCAATAATGTCGAGCTATATCAAATATCAGACACATTCCAACGGACGCGAGGGGACAAGGCAATCGAACCTGCTGCTGTGCCAGTTCCAAAAGCTCGCCTTTGACAGCACTGAACCTGGCCAGGGCTGGTTTTCCCATTTTCACGTCATTCGCCCAGGTATCGACCTGTTCAACGACACTAAGAGCAGAAGAATAGGTCCACGACTCCACAAAGAACAGAGGTATTGTGCCCTATGTCATATATTGAGTACATACGTAAAGCTATATGCCTCGCTCGTACCTCGAGCTCCCGAAGTCGGCGGCCAAAGCCACTAAGGAATGCAACGGCTTTCCTGCAGACCTCTATGACCCTGGAGAGCTTGCTTAGAAGAGCACATTGTCTTGCTAACAAGTATACTCGGAAGTCGAATATTGAGATCGAATTGGCTAAAATCAAATCGCGGTATGGCTTCTTGCTGACAGAGAGCAGTGGGGTCGAGTCGTCTTCAGAGCCTGGAGCGATGAGAGCACCGAACCACGTGAGGTTCTTTTCCCGTAGAACCCTGAAGAAAGAAGCCTCCAAGTCGTTATAATGCTGTAATGCCTCTTCGCATAGACTCATGGCTTCGAAAGACGTCGCCAGACTTTCCTAATGTGTTTGCGAGGTTCATATATAAACCACGAACCGGCACATTTGGATGCATACCTTTAGGATGAAGAATGTACAGAAGTTCCAGCCGGGCATATGCCTTTGGCCCTCCGAACGTTTGACCTCTTCTTCCCGTTGCGTGAACGCTGAATCGAAGGCTGATAAAATCCCCTCCTTGAATTTGTTGATGAGCTCAGCCCATGCTGCTGGGTTCTCATAATCGGTAGACCAAGCGACTTGAATGCATCTGCAGATGGCTCAGAATGAGAACGCGTTATTTTTTAAGGAAACAAACCTATCCTTCTTGTCTGCATTGAGGTCGGCCTTGATCTTGTCGAGCACAGAGGCCTTCATTTGGAACATCCTCCCCTGCCCTATCTTCCCGTCTGGCCGTACTATGTGGACAAGTAACCACTCCTGATGCTTACGTTGACTGACAGACGCGTGCCAGTCTCGAATTTGCTTTCTGACAGTGTTCTTATACGTGTCGTTATCCTTAACTGCGAATTGAGTGCGCGCCCATGATTTACGAATGGTATACGCACGTCGCATACGACAAAGTACACGTTTAAGAGCGGCTTGTCCAACAAGGACTGTGGTATCTGGGACGTGTGCTCATCACGCAGGCTCTCGAGGGGGACAAGGTTAACGTCCACTTGAGGGATGGTCTCGATATTTGCCCGAGATGGGGATTTCCAGTGGAGAGTACGAAGGGGAAACTGACAGAGAAGGGCAGCATGGACTTGTTTCCAGTGGTCGGTGGATAGGAAGGCGGGAGAAGAGGTGTAGGTCACCAGAATCTTGTTGGAGCTCATGGTTGGTCGTCAGATTCTCATCAATATGTATGCCGGAGGTGTGCGCGCGGTGGCCAGGCGTTCAGAGCCCGTATAGCGGGCAAACGACTGGGCGATGTGAGATAACAAGTGGCCCGTGAGTAGCAGAGAACCGAAGGAGCTCAAGAGGGAAAGCGAACAGCTACGAGCCCAAGGGCAGCAGATGGACAACTATACTCGTCGGTGTGTGCACGCGAAGGAAGCGCCCATAGTTGCAGCGTAAATGGAAGCGCGTCATCGACCTCGAATTTCACAGGGACGACATGACCATCATGACACTAAACGCCCTTTCGGCCACCCGCAACCCTTCCCGCCAGGGTCTACGTAGATTGCAGTCGGCCCACCTTGTTTTATAGTACGCTTCGACACTCTTGCGTCGCGCATTCATTCACGGTGCCCCGTTCTTCACTGTAGGACCATGGCCCCCTTCAAAACAGTCTTCTTCCATTCTGTGGCGGCTGCTGTCATGGCCTACGGCTACAGTAACCTCCGTCAGATACCGTTTGACATCTTCATCCGTACTCAGAAAGGAGGGCATAGCCAATACTTGACGATCATCGGGTGAGCTTGTTTGTCAGAACTGAGGCGTTCTGTCATGACTGTCACATAGGCTAAGCATGGCTTTCCTCTGCATGGTCTTTGGCCTTGGACATGACTTGCTACCAACAGTCACAGGTCAGATTCCTGTTAGTCCGACAAGAAAAGGGCATGTTGCTAACACGCCACCCCAATAGTCTTCAGAAGCATAAAACGAATTGTCCTCATGGTCGCGTTGCCGGTATGTCCTGTTGTCTTTCAAATCATGTACATAAGATGACGGTCATCTCAGGTGGCTGTGGTCGTAACCAGCGTCTATTGGAATCTATATCTCTTCGCACCGGAGATGATACTAAAGCCATTGCCAGACGAGATGATGCCGCGGCCTGACGAGACTGTTCCCTCGTCGGCCAGCTCTGTGCCTCTGCAACGCATCCCGCTCAGCATTGATTTGTCCCTGCATGCTGCTCCGGCTCTCGCTCTCTTGACGGATTTCTTTTTCGTTGAAAAGAAGTACTCGCGCAACCAGGCGGTCTATGGCGGACTGCTGGCATGCTTTGTGGCATGCGTTACGTATGGGTCATGGGTCGAGTACCTTGCTCAGTTCAACGGTGCATGTGAGTAATCGGCGATATGTACCGGTGTTGATTTGTCTTGACCTTCAATTCTGTTCTCAGTTCCGTACCCGTTCCTGACTGACAATCCGTTCAACATCCGGGTCGCCATTTATGTAGTCCTGAGCAGTTTCGCGTTGGTCACTTTTTGGATTATGAACGCGCTTCACGCTTAGATGCGGTACTACCATTGTCACTAATCAATGTGCTCCTATTCCTATCTTCGCTGTTGCCTGGTGCCTATCTGAACTCAAGTTGAGAATCGCATGCATGCACCGGTCTCGTCACTACTCTGCAGGATATCTGTCCTGTAGGCGTAATAGCTATGCGCCCTGAGCTTGAGATAGTACCCATCTGATCGACGAGCCCGATCAGGGGCATGTATGAACACGAGGGAGTCACGATCAAAGTCGCGTTCCAAACGCGTCAAATTAGTCTGTCCACTACTTCAATCCTCCACCAGTTCCAGCCTAGCTTCTGCCCCCCTCCAGCGGTCTTTATTCGTGCAATTATGACTGCCGCAGCCTCAAAGCAAAAGCTCTGGGGTGGTCGATTCACGGGGAACACAGATCCTCTGTGAGTATCCTTGCGTATGTGGAACTCAGAATGAAGTCTATATAACGCCGGCATCAGGATGCACGCGTTCAACCAATCTTTGAAATATGATCAGAGAATGTACGCGGCAGACATAACAGGCTCCATCTCCTATGCGCGAGCCCTGGCGCGGGCCAAAATCATCACTCAGGACGAGCAGAACCGACTCGTCGAAGGGCTGAAGCTCGTGCTCAAGGAATGGGAGAAGGGGGAGGTGCGTCTAGCGTGATGCTGCCGCATAGTACCATTGACATATGAAGTGATCCGTAGTTTGTCATCAAGCCAGACGATGAAGACATCCACACCGCTAACGAGCGTCGTCTCAGCGAACTCATCGGCCCGCTTGGTGGCAAGCTGCACACCGGTCGATCTCGCAATGACCAAGTCGCGACGGACATGAGACTATGGTTGCTTGGACAGGTCAGCGATATCGAGAACTCCCTCCGCGGGCTGCTCCGTGTCATGGTAGAACGCGCTGCCAAGGAGATCCAGTACTTGATGCCCGGATACACTCATCTGCAGGTTCGTCCCCGCTCTCCCTACGGTAACCGGGACGCTGACGATGCCTGCCAATAGCGCGCTCAGCCCATACGGTGGTCACACTTCTTGCTATCGCACGCATTCCCACTACAGGCCGACCTGCAGCGCCTTCAGCAACTGGTCCCCCGAATTTCGATGCTGCCCCTCGGCTCCGGAGCCTTGGCCGGGAATGGCTTTGCGCTCGACCGCGAGTTTCTCGCAAGGGATCTCGGCTTCCAGGGTATCATTGAGAACAGCATGCAGGCCGTCAGTGACCGCGACTTCGTCGTCGAGTTCATGATGTGGGCGAGCTTAACCATGACCCACCTGAGCCGACTGTCGGAGGATCTCATCATCTATTCGACCGCAGAGTTTGGCTTCGTTAAGCTAAGCGATGCATACAGGTGAGCTTGCACGCCGGCTTCGCAAGTTATGTGTGCTTCATAGGATGTCGTAGTACTGGCTCGAGCATGATGCCCCAAAAGAAAAACCCTGATTCCCTCGAATTACTGCGCGGCAAGACAGGTCGGATTTTCGGTAATGTAAGCCCTCCAGTCCTGCAGCCTTGAAGTTCACTGACCCCCCTTCTAGATGTCAGGCTTCATGATGTCGCTTAAGGGTCTGCCATCAACATACAACAAGGATCTGCAAGAAGACAAGGAACCTCTGTTTGACACAGTGGACACTATCTCTGCATGCTTAAAAATCGCCGAAGGCGTTATCGCGACATTAGAGGTATGTTTCCCCTTATTTATGACGCGCAGATCTCGATTGAGTAACATATTTTCAGGTGCAAGCAGATAGAATGAGCCAGGCGCTGGAAGACAGCTCTGACATGCTGGCTACGGACCTCGCGGATTACCTCGTGCGCAAAGGGGTACGTTATTTTTCTGCATGCTGTGTTATTTCTCTCAAGGCTGAGCGATGCCTAGATCCCGTTCCGCGAAACCCACCACATTTCCGGTCGAGCTGTCGCATTAGCCGAATCGCGAAAATGTGCGCTCAAGGATCTCACATTGGCCGACCTCAAGGGCCTGAGCGACAAATTCGACACCGACGTCACCGAGGTGTTCAGCTTCGAGAACAGCGTTCAGGCCCGCTGCTCAATAGGAGGTCCTCACGTCAAAATGGTAGAACGACAGATTGAGGTGCTGCGAGCTGCGATGGGGAATTGAGGCCTATCATGCATAGCATATCATTGGGTTGTATAGTATTACAACAATGATCAGCCGATTCTCTCACTTGACCAGCGATACCCGTGCAGACCGCTGGGCGCGGTGGTTCCTGTTTTATGGTGCACTGGTCTCTCCAGCTCCCACCCCTTCCCACCCTCGCAAAGTTGCGCCGAGTACGGGCGCCTGTTTGAGTCGAGCGCCCATAGTTACCTATCTAGAACCCAAACCATCAGAACACAAATAGCCCCTTGCACTGCCCGCAGCTGCTCAAAGAGCACCGCACCCGCCGCTCATTCCTCAGCCCATTGCCTTCGGACTCACCTCCTCCTCATTTCTTCTGACACGAGCAGCATTGATTGTTGCTCTGTCCTTCATCTCTTCGCACTCACCTACTACACCCTCACACCTTTAAATCCTACCTTCTCATAATCACCGCCGTTGTCAAGCATGGCCAGAGACAGACTTGCAGCAATGAGGGTGAGGAGAACTCACTCAGTTGAATATGTGTTCCTGGTTGCTCATGACTGGTGGCCCGCAGGCACAGCAGGGTGCCAACACTGGCACGTACGTACAGTATTGCAACTTCGCGCAGTAATCATGCTAAAGCGCTGGTTTCGAAAGCGACTCCTACCCCATGCAGTCCCAGAGGACGAACCCATATGCGCAACAGGACGTCAGCTCCGACAGCTTTGATTCAGTGACGAAGGAGAGCACCACGGGTCTCAATGCTCCCGCCATGGACAGCATGTCCGCGTTCTACAGCGAAGTTCGTGTGCCCGTCTCCCCCACGGGGCCCGCCGTGTTGACGCCCATACCCGTGTCCCCCTTAGATCTCTTCTATCCAAGACGACCTGCGAACATTCAACGACAATGTCTCCCGCATCTCCGACCTCCACTCACGGTCACTAGATAATACGGACGATGCCGCCACGCAACGCGTCACCCAGCAGCTTGACGAGCTTGTTGCAGACACCAGCGCCCTGAGCAATATGCTGAAGAGGCGGATCAAGGCATTGGAGAAACAGGCAGGGTCAGGGAGAGATGGTCAGATTCGCAAGCAGCAGGTGAGAAGAGTCCGCCGTATCTTGCCAAGCAGACCCGGGTGTGCTGACTGGCGGATGTGTTTAGACGGGTTTGGTGAAGCAGAAGTTCGTGGAAGCAATCCAAAACTACCAGAGCGTGGAGCAACAATACCGGACGAAGTATAAGCAACGCCTGGAACGTCAATTCAAGATCGGTGCGTTCATGAATGTCATAGCGTGTGCTGTGTTAGACTCACAGTATGTCGTAGTGAAACCTGATGCGTCGCCGGAAGAGGTCAAGGCCGTCGTCAATGATGATCAGGGTGGACAGATCTTCAGCCAGGCTGTAAGCGTTCTGCCCACGGCTCACGTTTGAGTGAAGCTGACGACATGTCAGCTTATGAGCTCCAACCGGTATGGTGAAGCGCGCTCAGCATACCGTGAAGTCCAGGAGCGGCACGAGGACATCAAACGTATTGAAAAGACGATCTCTGAACTTGCTCAATTGTTCAATGATGTGAGTCTGCGTGAGCGTGGAATTGTATTGTCGGAAGGTCTGATGCCTCTGTTTTCAGATGAGTGTCCTCGTCGAGCAACAAGATGAGCAAATTAATGTTATCGAGACAACTGCCGGAGAAGTTGAGAAGGATACTGAGGCAGGGTACGTATGTTGTTGATCACAATAATGCTCCTTCTGACAACCGGCGCTCACAGTCTGCAATACACGGAGAAGGCTGTCGTGTCTGCTCGTGCAGCAAGGAACAAACGATGGATCTGCTTTGTTATCTTCCTCATCATCATTGCTATTGTCGCCATTATCATTGCGGTGGAGGTCACGAAGAACAAGAACTAGAACATCGTGGCCGCCTTTTTGTATCATACGCCTCTCATCTGGTTCACGGACTGGACAATCTCCTGGTATTGCTTATTTTTTGTTCCTCTGGGATTACATACAGTACACGGGCTGCACGCCGCATGTCTCACATACTCAGCGGCGTCTTCGCTTCTGTACTCGTTGCCTCCATGCAGACTCGCTATTTAGTCGTCGGTACCGCTCCCTTTAGTTGCGCCAAGCGTTGCGCCCCTGTACAGTACGGACACTTGCCCCATGGCAGCAGCTGATGGTGATACCCTTCCCTCTTCACTTTGACATCCCGAGAGCAGCAGTTGCCGCGCCTACATGCATCCAGAGCGTGTGCTTCTTGAACTGAAGGATCTCACCTAGGCGCGGTACAGGTGCGGTAGCGGGCAGGACAGCCATGCGCAGGCCGCACAGAGGCCTGGCATCCCGATCATCCAGAAGGGGGAGACCGTCGAGCAGACGTCATGGCAGGTGTCGACGCAGGATAGCCATGAGAATTCGCCTGGGCGCACATCCAAACACGATGGATGAACTGCTTACGTGAGGGCGGCGAAGGCGATACGACAGTTCCGAGCATGGGCCGGCGGATGTTGGCCGCGACCTTCTGCCCGTGAAGACCGAGCGTAAACTGGGAGTATGATCGCCGTGGCCGAAGAATAGAGATAAACGGAGCCGGGGCAGTCGAGATAGTCGCTCGCAGAAGTATTGTTCTGTGGCGAGACAAACATCGAGACTTTATAACAGCGCTGTTGCTATATTGTACCTCGACTTATCGCACGCCGTGGTATCGGTGCTGCCAAAACGGAACGCGGGCGGAAAGAGGACCCGGGCGGATAAGGAACTTGAAGCGATGCGAGTCGGCCGATTGCCATGCGGAGGCGGTTGGTATCGCAGTCGGTCTGGAGACAGGAGGTGCGGGCGCAACTTGTGCAGCAATTTTCAAGTTGGAGCGCGCGAGCAGAGCAAGGAGAAAATTGCGGGCTGGGAGGCTGTGCCGGCTGGTGGAAGAAGAGAGAGGCGGTCAGGAAGTAAAGGTCGAGGCCGGAGGAAGGACGGAAACGGATCGGGCAAAAGAGATCTCAGTTACATCGCCTACACGTGCGATCTTAGATCCATGCCCTGCAGTAGCTGACGCGTCCCCCCGCGCCTAGACATATAAACGCATCCACGCAGCCGTCTCTTTCTCTCTCTCATCTATCGCTCGCTTCACTCCACGCTCCCCCCCCCTCCCTCGTCGTGTCATCGTGAGTGCCCGTCGTTGCTGTGTGCGCGCTGGGATTAGATATGGCTGACGGCTTGCGATCCCAACCAGCATCCTATACATCCTCCGTACACCATCTTACGTACAACCACCACCACAACTCCCATCCATCATGCCCGCTAAGAAGCGCTGCCAACTTCAAGCTGAGCCTCGCTGTAATCAGGCCGTGCTGCGTCTAGTTGGCCAGTGCCCCCATTGCCGAGCAGAGTTCTGCGGTACAGTGCGTACCTCCTTTTGTTCGAGTAGCCCGTTGGTCTGATTCAAGTTGTCCTCTATTTAGCATCGTATGCCCGAGCATCACAGTTGCCAGGGCCTCGAGAGCTGTCGACAGCAGGCGTTCGAGAAGAACAAGGCCAAGTTGGAGAGTGAACGGACTGTAGCGTCGAAGATGGCAATGGCATAACCTCCCGCCAGCGTCTGTCCTTCCACCATATCCTCTCCCTCCCCTCATGATACTCGATCCTCTCTCGCCTGCATATATATTCCCTCTCCCTGCACCTGGCCAGGCCATCGCCATCTCCATTGTCGCTACATATTGTTCACACCCGGCTTCTCATGACTCCCACGGACACATAGCATGTAATTATCTTATCCCACATCTACTGGCTGGTTTCTTTCCATGTGACACACCGTGTTACAATAACTTGGTCGTCACTGTCATCGCATACTGATATGCATTGTTCTCTCCTATCTCATTTGAGATCTCGTATGTATCACTGAGCAATTTGGGCACAGTTTAGATATTGCCCACTGGTCCGATATTCCATTTGTCGTCGATGTTCATCACATTGTCAATGCACTAATATGGCTGCTTGTGCGTGAAATACCATGCATAGGAAGTAAGACCGCAGCACCCATGTCCACACCAGTTTCAGTGTGATGTTTGGTGTCGAGTGGGATATATATGACAATTGAGGCAACGCAGGAAGAAAGAGCAGGGCGTAGTGCTCAGGGACGCTAAGGTCCATCTGTGTCTCGCACGCATCTGCTCGCAGTCGTCGAACTGCAATTGCATCTGCAAGGAGTCTCGTATCATGGGTTCTCAGAGTCGGCTCCGAAGCCTAGAGCCGGTCCATTTCCGGATCTACAAGCTTCAAGCACTGCAATATGTCAGGGGACGCACCGGGAACATGTCTCATAAATTCTGCAGCGCTGAATAGAGCGACAATATTAGCGTTGCAAACCAAAGCGGCATATATTCGACCTGGGGTATCTGCAAGAGCTACATAATAAGCTATATGGAGGCGCTGATGACACCCATCTCTTGCGGGAGGGCCTGGGCATCCTATGGAGACCTATCCATTTTGAACGGACAAGCTCATCAAATGGACCAGCAAAGCGGTTTGCGTAGCGAGCCCTATCACATGTACGCGATGCAGAATCAATTCCATAAAGTAGGGACTGACCTTCACCATGATGAGGCCTTCTGATAGACCACAAGTGATGCCTTTCGTCACTTCGATCCGGCTTCCGTCAGTCGCACGCACCACACACATCTGGCGGGGAATGTTAGGCGACACGAGCCAGATCGTACGCGTCCATTCTCTGCCGCCTTTAAGTTCATAGCCTACGTAAGAGTTACGACGTCAGACTCACCTATTGCGTACTGCAGCACACCTGTGACCACATTATCCACCTTCCGAGCATTCCTCCGAGCATGAATGCGGATCATACGCGCGCAAGGCTACATGCGCATACCGCCGCGGGCGGAGGTTGCGGCGCGGGTATTGTGCGGGGAGGCCATGCGGGCAGGGCAGCCTTCCTGGTCCGCGTCACGTCCCATGATGATGCGCGCGACAGGCAAGAGAGGAGTCAAACCCGCTTTATCGTACAATCGGCGCATTCTGGGCTGATCGGGGCCTGATCGTTGCGCGTTGTTTGAAGGGTAGGACGCCGAGCATATATACTTTGCGACGGCATCGCACCGCCCCCGCCCTCTTCATTCCCTTCGTCTTCAGCTCCAGGCTTCAAGCTCCCAGAGCCGGCTTTCGTCTAGACATTTAGAGTTCGAGGTTGCCGGTGAGTGCTTTCCTGTGTTTTCCTGTCGAGCGGTTTTCAATGATCGAGCCGACTCGATATCACGTGCCATCAAATTCCCCGCATTTTGAATCCCCAGAGCCCAAAAGGTGAGCTTGCTGGGGCATATGGTCAAGAAACGCTGCTCACCCGCCCCAAATCTTCTCCTTAACCCTCACGAACGCCTGCCATGGCCACCAGACTCAAGCAAGTAGCAAGTCATCTCAGCGGCAAAACCAAGATGTCGGTCATTCCAGGTGAGTCATTCTCGGTACTGGAAGAATGGCGCATCCACTCACCACGACCATATCTGTCATCCCGCCAGAAACATGGGGTGGCGTTCCGCTTGCGCCTCCCGACGCGTGCGCTATCGCGTTCGTCCAGGAATGTCAATGCAGCTGACGCGTCGTTTCGCGCAGCATCTACAAGCTGACCTATGCGTACAACGATGACCCGTACCCAGAGAAGGTCAACCTCGGCGTCGGTGCTTACAGAGACGACAATGCCAAGCCGTGGATTCTGCCCGTGGTAAGAAAGGTACGTGCTCATTTACCGTTTAACCTCGGTCCAACCAATCCGGAACGTATCATCGCTCCCTCGACAGCTGCGCTGACCCGCATAATCTCCGCAGGCGACCGAAATCACGGTGAACGACCCGGCGGTCGACCACGAATACCTCCCCATTACCGGCCTTGCGCAATTTACGAGTGCCGCAGCGCGGCTCATCTTGAGTCCCGAATCTCCTGCCATCGTGGAGAATCGCGTTTCCAGTGTGCAGACCATTTCGGGCACCGGCGCAAACTTCCTTGGCGCGCTTTTCCTCAGCCGCTTCTATCAATGGCCGGAAGGCCAAAAGAAGGTTGCATATGTCAGCGACCCGACATGGGGTGCGCACGTAACCTGGGAGCACTTTGTCTTGACGCTAATTAATGTGGTCGATTAAATACAGTGAACCACCATCAGATTCTGAAGGGTGTTGGTATCGAGCCACTCACCTACCCGTACTACGACCCCGCTACGATCGGGCTCGCTTTCGACAAATACCTAGACACGCTCAAGTCAGCGCCTCCTCGTTCCGTTTTGCTCCTTCATGCGTGTGCCCACAACCCCACCGGTGTGGACCCGACCCGGGAGCAGTGGTTGCAAATCGCGGACGTCGTCCAGGAGCGGGCACACTATGTGTTCTTCGACTCCGCATATCAAGGGTTCGCGAGCGGCGACCTGGACGCCGACGCCTGGGCTGTCCGCGAGTTCGTCAAACGGGGGATCCCGCTATTGATTTGCCAGGTATGTGCCCGACGCGACTCCACCTTCGGAAAGGGTGGTGAAATTTGTCCGTCTGTGACACTTTGAAATGACACCTTTCATTGCCAGAGCTTCGCGAAAAATGCAGGGCTTTACGGGGAGCGCGTTGGGGCGCTGCACATCGTTTCGCCGACGCCAGAGGCTGCTGTGCGCATCAAGAGTCAGCTGTCGGTCCTCACGCGCAGCGTAATTAGCAGTCCGCCTGCACACGGAGCCAGGCTGGTAAGTGCTTACCCTAATTTCCGCTCTCAGTGCTCCACTGACTGACAATGTACGAAACCGGCCTGTCACCCCCGTGGAATGTTGAACCCCTAACATCTAGATGGCGCTTATCATGAACGATCCAGTGCTGTTCGGGGAATGGAAGCGGGACATCAAGACGATGGCGGAGCGCATCATCACCATGCGGAAGGAACTGCATCGCCTGCTCACCGACGAGTTGAAGACTCCTGGGAATTGGGATCACATCGCCAACCAGATCGGCATGTTCAGGTGAGCATCGTTGACGTTATCCGTCGTTATTCAGTCCGCAATCGCCCTCGAGTGCGTGGATGCGAGTTATTTGTAATGACGAGGCATGCCGATCGTGGGGGTACATGACATCGTGAACGGTGATTGGCGCGGACATAATGTCCGCATTGGATTGGGCACTTGCTCGGACGCATTCGAGGGCAGGTCTGCACATGGCCGCACCTTGTTAATTGCTGTTTGTCCGAGGGTGCTCATTCTGCACCATGTGTGTGATAGTTCGCCCGCGAGGGTGTTCTCCACCGAGCAGCTGCAGAATGGGAGCGTGCATGGAAATGACTTTGCGATATTAGCTCCGTTCGGCTGGCGACTGCGCGCATCTGTACGACCTTCTTGGACTGCTCGTTTGGGCGTAAGGATGTGCCTGGCGGGATTAGGTTTGGCTTTCGAGCTCGCAGGCACGTCGCCGCGATAGCCCCTCCGCGGGAGGGATCGGGAAAATATGCCACCGATCGAGCCGAGATTGGGTGCCGGGTCTAATGCCGATTGGCAAGGGGTGCTGAGCCAATCATGATCGGCACGCGTGTGCTGCCACCACGGCGCGGTGGTTTTATAGGTTGATACGTGTTTCCGCGCACGCTTGCGATGTGTGTCTAGAGGCTGATGGTTTTGGTTTGTTCGCAGTTTCACAGGCATCACGGAGGAGCAGAGCCGCCTGCTGACGGAGAAGGCGCATGTCTATCTAACGACGAACGGGCGGATTTCGATGGCGGGGTTGAACAGTCACAACATCCGGTATTTTGCGGAGTGTCTAGACAAAGTGGTGCGGGGGCAGTTATAGAGCAGCGGAGCGGGCCTGGCCAGGCCGTGGGGCGACTGGCCGGAGGTCGGTTCTCGAAAGCGGCGCGGGCGGCCAATGGGAGGGCGCGGCGGTGTCCCGAGTGTACGACTGTTGATGTTTGAATAGAAGAAACGCCTTTTCGGGGTGGAAAACAGACGCTTGTATGCCTGATTCGGCAGGCGTTGTGAACGGGTACGGCGTGGGACATGACGTCGTGTGAGAATCCAAGGCCAAGTTCCGGGCCAAAAAAGACGGTGACATCATGGGCTGTTGAAATCGCGGGTTGACGCCGGGGCCATCATTTACGGCCAGCAGCAAGCCAGCAGACGGAGAGCCCTGCCAGTGGCTGCTTCTGTCCCTTTCCCGCCGCCTGCTTGCCGTTTTCAGTCCGCCCCCGTCCCTCGCAGACTCCTGCGTCCTCTCTGCCCTTTTCTGTCCGCGTCCCGCCCGCCCCCTCCGTCCCCGCCTCGCTTCCGACTCCCCGCCCCCTCGCGCGGCACACGCCCTCGACACCCTCGACGCCCTCGACGCCCGCTCTCGCCTCTCGGACCCCACTCAAATCATCCGTGTACCCATATCCGACGCACCCTTGTCCCGTTGTTTACCCTTCCGTCCCCGGTCAGGCTTAGAATCCTTCCCCACATAAAGCCTCCACCGCGGCTGCTGGTCTATATGCTGCAACGTCTCCATTGTCCACCGTCTGCTTTGCTTTCTGCTACTCGCGCTGCTTATAATCATTTGTATTCTTGTCCGGCGTGTCTTCTTGCGTCATAACCAAACCTTCTTCATTGGGCCGCCCGCGTCCTCGTGTGCTCATCATAATCGCTATTATACTCACGTTTGCGCGCCTGTCCTTCTCGTCTTCCGCCATCACCTAGTATTCCGCAATCTTCTCGTCTTTGGGTGCGTGTCCTCTCCTTCGTCTGCGCTCTGACATAGACATAACCGCGCCTAACGTTATTGCTAGCCTGCCCGTACATGGGAATCCTTCTGTCATTTTTATTCCCCCGACTGTACATGACCGCAGATAATTCGCGTTCGAGCGCTTCTAGCTCTTCATCCCGCTCTTCTTCGCCACGGCCAGACATTCCTCTTTCACCCATCACCCCATCTTCGCCTGCCCATTCAGCAGATTCCGTGTCGTCTCCTGTTTCCCGCGACCTATTCGTTGAGTCTTCCTACCCCGATATTTTACGCTATAGTCCTCATGCAGTCGGCCTCGGCATTCGCGCGGCCCAGTCCACCTTTGGTGCTTCTGGTGCCGGGTCTCGCCCGACGCTTTCTTCCGTACAGCAGGGGTCAGGGTCGACGTCGTTCAAGGCCACAGAGCCTTCGGCTTCCTTAGGCGCAGACGATTTACGGGAAGGCACTCCGCAATTGCAAGAGGGATCTATCCAGTCGGCAGTCTTACCTAGCTTACAGTACATTATTCCGGCCACGTCTGGAGACACTGTCATGCCCACCGCTGACACACCGCCGTCGCCAAGCACGCATTCAGCTACTTCTGCCCTCCATATTGCGATCCCCATGCCCACGGCCTCGTCCACGTCCACGCCGTCGCCACCGCTCCAGCCCTCTGCAAGCGCGCCACTCCAACCCGCTATGGCCTCCGCCACCCTCGCCTCTGCGTCATCGCCCACTCAGTCGGCGGAAGGCGCATATTTCAATTTTGACGACGCTTCATTCCCCCTCCAGGCAGACATCTCTATGTCTGACCTCGACTTCACTGAGTTCGACGCCGATGGACTTAGTGCACTTGAGAAGATCTACCTTTTCTCGAGGAGTCATGCGGGGTTCCACCGTGTGTTTATTGTGCACGCGCTTCCCAGATACCTCGGTGCCGAGGACACTGACGGCGGGACATATGCGAGTCCACAAGATGTGGATCACGTTACACCCGCTGAGGCGGTGGAGTACGTTCTTCCTCTGCTGAACGGCCTCGCTCTTGACGAAGGTGCGTGCTCACGTTTGACCATGATCTAAAGTGCTGACGGTTTCCTTGCATGCATCTAAAATCATCTTCGTAATTCACTCGCATCATCCGCCCCGAAAACGCTCTTGCATCGTGCCGTCGGCTGATTTCTCACTACGATTAATTCGGCTGTGCATCTCGGTGGCACTCATATAACCTGCTATCGCGCTTATCTACTGCTCGCTAATTAAACCATCAAACCCCGTTCGTCGTCGCCACTCTCAATCATCCCACATTACGCTGTTCATTGCTCGTCGGTGCGCATGTTGCTGTTGCTGTGGCCTCTGACGCCTGCAGATGAGGCAGTGAAGGAAGCCCTAGCGGCAGAGTTGCTACCCATTGTCTGGTGGTTTATAACACACTGCAGACTCGTCGAGGAAGACTTCTCAACCCCCCAGCAGGATACCATCCTGGAACAACTAGCAGAGCAATCACCCGAGCTCGCCGGAGTAACGCCAATTCCGGTGCAGGCATTTACTCCAATTCTGGGGACGTTACTGCTAAGTCAAAACACATTGGTTGGTGGCCCTGCACGACATGCCGTCGTCCAACTCCTCAAGCGCATTCGGCACGCCGAGGAGCGCGAGGACGGTCATCCAGTCACTCTCCCCACCGACAACGAGCGGCCTGAACCCGACTATGCTGTAGGCCTGCTTGGCCCTCCGGAGCGCCACTTGTTCGAGCACGAGATCGTCCACTCTGTTGTCATCGGCATGGGCCGTCTTGATATGCCGGATGTGGATGACGGACCACTTTCCAACATTTCGACGCCTCGCAGTCAGGGTGGGCACCACGAAACGCATATCGAACATCACCCGCACAGCGGCCACGATATGCGTCCTGCGACACCTCCGATTCCAGCAGATGCACCGGATTCGACAACGGCCGGCTCGACGCCACTGGCTGCGCCGTCCAGCACGCCCGATTCGTATTTCCCGGTCATGCCTGTTGCGCCGCACGGGACGCCAGCACCATCTCCATCAGCCTCTCCGAGAAGGAAGCCGTCCGATCTACCGGAACAGCGCGACGCGACATCCCCAATGGCTGGTATCATTACATCGCCAACATTCAGACTCGGGCAATTACCTGCATCGCCATTGGGACGAGGACACTCTCTGAATAACGTTTCATCACCCTCGCCTGTGCGTACCGCGCCTCGCATGGAGATCAATCTCCCCTCTACCGCACAGCCTGGATCACCTCTGGCGACAATGTCGTCGTATGCACAATTTGGGATCCACAGCACAGTTGCTGCGGACGAGATCTTTGAATCGCCTCCTGCACTGAGGCCCACACCCCCTTCGTTATCGAGCCCGACGTCTACGCCGTCGCTGACGTCCTCGTCTTCTTCGTCAACATGTGACGAGTCCCCCGTGCCATACCACACGCCAAGCAACTCGACTATATCCACTGGTCCGGTATCAGTAGCTTCCGGAGGCATTGAAATGCCAGTTGATGCGAGCACAATGATCCTCGACTTGCCTGTGATCGAAAACCCTTGGGCACAGAGGAGCTCTGCAGAGAAAAGCATAGAGGCATATCTGAACGAAATGGAGACGCCTAAGACTATGGAAGGTCTCGGCATCCGTTCTGAAGCGGAGCAGGAGAACCGAAGCAGCACCATGTCTACTTGGGGTGGTTCGGGACTGTCCGAACATGATGTAAACATGCAGGACGTGTCGAACGCGGTACAGGAAACCGCTGGAGAGGACGAAGACGAAGATGACATCAGCGAAGAGGCTGCTGTCGGTCGTCTGTCGAGTATGAGTTTGATGGCGGCCGTTACGGCAAGTGGTAAGTCAGCAACGCGAAATCCTGACTCTGCTTCTGAACCTGAATATCAACGCTTCCTTTGCAGGAACCTTGAAGGAGGAGACGAAGACCGCATTCGTCACTGAAGTCGAGCGGGTAGGGAGAGATCCAGTCTACTGGGTTAGAAGAGAAGCTGCCTTTGCTGTCGGAGCATTAGCCAAGGTTGTGCCAGACGAACTCGTAATCTCATCTCTGGTAAGGATATTGATTTAAAAGAGATCGGTGTACGAACTCACAAAATATTTAGCTGCCGCTTTTTGAGTCACTCTACCAAGATCCTATTTGGCATGTTCGTCACTCGGTGCTATTCGCACTGCCTGCCATCCTATCTCGACTCCCTCCCAATCGCAGGCGCTCGCTGGCCCTCGATGTCATACTCCCTCTATCCTCAGACGAGTCACCCACTGTTCGATCTGCAGTGCTTGAGGCTCTCGGTGAGGTCATGCATACATTCATCGATCTCGAGGATGGACCACCACGTGAGCTCCTCGATATGTTCATTGGCGTTCGCGGAGGCGGCGCCGAAGCGGCTACAGTCATCCAGCCGGACGCCTCATCCACAATCCAATCACCGATATCTGCATCTTCTCGGACAAGCTACAATCCGGGTGCAGAACCACAAACGGATGTGGACATTTATGACGACCCAGCTCGCCCCCTTGTCTGTGCATTCAACTTCCCCGCTGTTGCTCTGACTCTGGGACGCTCGCGGTGGCCTGAACTCCGTAACCTCTACCTCACCTTGTCGCAGAGCTCCTCATTCAAGGTGCGGCTAACTCTTGCCGCCTCCCTTGGGGAGATAGCAAAGATCATTGGACCGACGAACGCTCGGGAAGACCTCATGGACGTTTGGCGGGCGAGTATCTCCGCCGACGACACCGAAGTGCGACTGAAGGCTACCGAATGTGCCGCGGTGTTTGTGCGTGCGTTAGCGCCCCCGGAGCAGGTTGCCGCACTAGGAGAAATAGAGGTCGGCGTTACATCAGGGAAACTCCGAGGCTGGAGAGAGCGGGAAGAGGTTATGAAAAGCCTCGCCTCTTTCCTGGACATCTCTGGCTGCGAGGATATCCTCCGGCGGCTCCTAATGCAAGGCCTCGGAGACCGCGTGTCCGCTATCAGAGAAGCTGCGGTTTCAGCGGTTAGTTACTCTTGATGTATCCCACGTCCACCTTCTTAACGTTTTCTTTATTTGCATCAGACACCGGCGTTCGTAAAAGCATGGAGATATATGCCTCGCCTTATAACCGGGCTCAGGGAGGGTATTAGAGCTCTTGCTCACTCCGATTCGTACCGCGAGCGAACCACATTCGTGACATGCGAACAGGCAGTCCTCGTCTCCACAGAGAGCGATTTTGTCTTGTTTGACGAAGGCTTTTGGGACATACTCTCTCATCTCAGTCGCGACCCCATAGTAGATGTGAGGATCCGCGTCGCACGTCTCTTGGTGACAATCTCCAGTACGTATCGCTTGCTTGTATTACCGATCAGCACTAATTAACGTATTTGTGCAGCCGACCACGTCAATGACGCGCCCATTATGGCTCGTGCCTTGACGCTCGCTGAGCGGCTGGAACAGGATTCCTCACAGGACGTTCGCGCCTTCGCACGATCCATCAGGTCACGCAGCGAGTCAGTTGCACCGAGAAGTCCCTGGGAAATGGAGGCTCCGAAGAGTGCCATTACGTTTTCTCGACCTCCGCCCCTCGCGCCCAGTTGATAAACGTGCGACGAGCGAATTTTCGTCAAGCTCCTCCTACCCTCCTGGGCCTCGTATAGCGGTCGCCGCTCATTATCCCTGCTACTCGCGGATCAGTGTTTGGTACGGCAAGCACCAGTAAAGGCCTCCGCATCTCCGTGTCAACTCTCGTGCCGCCCAGCAGGCCTTCTTGCACAGGCTGCAGATCACACGACTGGACGGGGAATCGTCGACCCTTGTAGTTGTCACGCTAGTCGGAGATGCTAAAGCTCTTCGTCCTCTGCCCCTAGGATGATGATCCTTCTCGGCCGTATACCCGCATCGGCACCATCCTTTGGGCTCTATCTTCTTGTGTTGTCACTTGTTTATTTAAGTTAACATGTAATGGAGGTCGTCCGTTATGACACGATCACATTGTACCAGATACATATATTATAGATCGTATACATCCAGATGTCACTATAGATATTCGCAGATATAATAACGCCATTGACGCCACTACCCACGAGTCTATGCCATAATTACAATCGAGATTCGATGATCGAGTTCAGCACGTGCCGCCGAGAACAATCAGTTTCCCTGATGCAGCCGGGCAAACGCCGAGCGCTTCATATGGACCAAGTACAAGAATGGAGAGTGGCATCACCAGGAACGAGCTGTCCTTTGTTTTCGATATTGAGCGATGTCTGTATCCGGCTGGTGACGGTGGGCTTCCCTACTTCTTTCACGATTTATTGGCACTCAGCCTGGACAATAGGACGTTGGCGTTATTCTCCTCCGCGTTCTCTGCGAGATACGGGAGACTGGCTGGCCCTATCCTCTAAGTGATCGTGGATCTGCTGGCAGCTTCATCGTAGCCATATCAAACTTGAACTGCCCACCATGAACTTCCTGTCCCTATTCATGCGGATTAGAACCGCGGTATTCGGTGAGCGATCAAGTCTGATCTCGCGCACGGACTCGGGTGTTGAGACTGGTGAGTAGCCACAATGATACTCTCGAGCCTGGCTTGGTCTACAGTGCTGTGCGTGGAGCTGTCTCTCAGATGGGATGTGTCGCAGCCTTCGCAAAGTCAGTACCTTCACTTCATTCCCTAAGGCTCAACCTCAACACCATTCTGTATCTCCGCAGGAAATCTCGTCTTCTTGCTCATCTTCGTGAACTCGAGCACATCAATCATACTCCCGACTATGTATGTGCGGTTCGCGCTTATGATTCGCGTTGACATTTAGCTTGCGCTGGTGATTAGGTTGACTATGCAGTTCAAGGCGTGGCTAGAAGTGGTGCGGTTGGTGTTCCTGCTCTCGTTACAAATTGGTGAGTAACCGCAAACCCTCCTCGTCTGTGATGTACTGCTGAGACGAAATCATCGTGTCTAGGCTTTGCTGCGCTTTTCACGGTTTGGAGCCCGACCTTTTCATGTCTTGGTGAGGATGTGTTTGGTACGTGGATGTAGTATATCATGCTTACTGATCTGTTCAATAGATGGAACCTCTGATTGTCGGAGTATCAACACTTTTATACTGGCTGGCAGCTGGGTCAACCCAAGCATACGTGAGTGTAAAAGATTGACTTGCATTCTGTGAATGCTCATGATGTTCAAGTTATCTGTTACTCCGTGCTCCTCGTCGCCTTGAGATGCTGGGTTCGCCTACATCCTGAAGCAGCGATATATTCCGAAAAGCGGCAATCCGAGTTACCGATGATGTCGCCACCTGATGAAAGCCAGACTCAGGTCAAGGTGCCATCAGGCTTGTTCGAAGCCTTGGCACCTGCTATGGCTCCGCTGTCTGTGCAGCCGGCTACAGGTTCCTTTAAACGCGGATCATCACCACCTGATAGCGGCGCACCTCGCCGATCCTCTGGAAGGTTATCGAAACGGCTCCCAAGCTGGTTCTAGCAGAGCATCAATACCCCGAATTGTATCTTATGTCGAGCTTTCGTGCACCATGTATACCTAGAAGCCCTGCACTTGATGCCTGTGCCCATCTGCCATTCTACTCTCTGAACTCGGTGAACATTGCTGTGGTCTAGGTACGCCGGTGATCACTGTTTGGCTGACGTGCCCACTGTCCACATATTCTGACCATATGCTACAGTTTTAGTGCTCTGCTTTTATCCTTTGGCACTGTAGATGGATCTGTGATCGTATCTCGAAGCCCTAGCTACCTGAAAGCCAAAAGGCGCAACCACTTTTGTGGCGTTCAATTTGTAGCGGCATCTAGCTGCGGAGGTGCCGAGCGCCCTTGTCGGATATGCAGGTCAGAGAGAACACTGCTGAGTCGGGATGTTCTGCAGAAGGTCGCCAGTTAGATGGATGTGCTTTTAAGTTTGCTATACTTGACATCGAAGCGCCTCCTTGCATAGTTCAGCAGGTGTCAAGAATGTCCAGATGATGGCTTAAGTACACCGAACACCAGGTTGACTTGTCTCTGGGTTTTCCCCTCCCTTTCGATATGCCATCTATGCTCTTGCCGCTCGACAATACTTCTCTACTGTTGTTGCATCCAGAAGATACTTGTCTGTCAAGCCCAATGGTTGCGCAGGTCACAGTTAAATCGCACAGGTAGGTTGGGAGTAACGTTTGTTGAAAGCCTATCCTTACTATCGCGCTTAGGGGCACAGCGTCCGTTGATGACATAGCTGCTTTCTTCAACGTTCAACATGAAATATCCGTACGGGCATATCTCTGATACTTTGCGTACACGAAGCGCACATAAAAACGCGCATATAGGAGCTCATTGCTCGACTTATAATGACGCACCTGGACAGCCCGCTCCCATCGTCTGTCCTCTTTGAAGGGAATGGCTATACCTTGATCGCAAGTATGTTTCACACCTTGCCTTCTCAGCTAGGCAGCCGAAGAGATCTAACGCGCCATAATCTGGTAGACTGCGTGCAGTGGACCTTTGGTTGCCGGAAGCTCAAGTTCAAATGGGGGGAGGAAGACGTCAAGGCATGCGGCGTTAAATGGATCTTCGTCTTCAAACAATGCGACTCCTAGACTGCCCTTCAATATGGCAATGTACGAAGGCGACGGTCTGATGCGCTGTGTTGTTTTGTAAGTGAGAGCAATCACATGGACGCATTCATGCGAGGAGGCGGTGGAAATGGATAGGACGGATACACGGTTAAGGAGGGCGGCTTCGTGTCCCATTGGAAGACGAAAATACTATGGAAAAACATACTTGGCTAGTTATTAGTGCGCTGCCATGAGACCGCAGTAGTCGGATATCTCAGATCCATCGCAGCCAATCTCACGACGGCCAAGTATACACGGCCCACGTGATCATGCGTGTTGCACCCTCGACTTCGGGAGCGCATTGCATCCGTCCAGGCTGCCTGCAAAGCGTGGCTTGACACACTGTTCCCTACCACTTTGCTCTTGTGTTGCTGCTAGCAACCCGCGTCAAGGCTTCATAACTCCGGTGCTCTCAGTTGCTCTCCTAGACGTTGACACGGACAAACATAACGCTCGGAGCGCGTACTATATACCATGGCGGACTGGGATCCTCCCAGGATGAAGGTCAGACGGCTTCATGCTGAATTGCCCTTGTACTCAATAGCTACAACGGGCCACACAGTCGCAACTGAGACAGACCGCGCAAAGGCTGGGACAGCTGCAAGACAAGATAGAATCCCAAGGTCAAATTACTCGCCGGGACATTGCCACCCTGTTGCAGCAAGGCAATGTGGTCCTTGCTCGGGCGAAGGCGCAGAAGCTTATAGGCGAGGACGTTCTGAGTGACCTACTGCAAACGCTGGAGATGCATGTTGGGGTGATTCTGGGTCACCTGAATGAGTTCGAGAGGAGGTAAGCGACACCTTGCAAGCTCTCGGCATCGGCGGCTCAGTATAATTTACGGTTCCCGTTAGTGAACCACCCGGTCCGGCGGTGCTTGAAGCGGCAGCCAGTATACTCGCTGCCGCGCCAGATGTCGAATCTCGAGGTGTGTAGACCCATTTCGATTATGCTGAAGGCCCTCACCGTGCATTGTATAGATCTTCGCCAGGTCTACGAGCTGCTAGCGAATCGCCTCGGTCGCGACTTCATGCGCTCTGTAAACGAATATGTATCGCCAAGAGTATGTGCACCTAAGCCGCCCTTGCCTCATGCACTCATCGCGGAATACGACAGGTCAAAGCTGCACTGTCAGCCCGTCCCCCTTCAGCGGCTGTACTTGATAGGTACATGTTCGAAATAGCACAAGCAAATGAAGTCTCATGGATACCAGACCTCCTGCCTCAGCAGAAGTAAGTGTTGTACTTCTTTCAAATTCAACTCATGCTGACGGTGGGTCTCGTGGGCCAGAGTGAATGTCATATCTGGAATGCTAGACATGTCGGCTTTGCATGCAGTTGATATCGAACGTCTTCGTGCACTGTGCTCTCGTGGTATGTGCACAGGTCTTGTCAAACATATCAGGACATATCTTGAACGACATGCAGGGTTGTCAGATACCCCTCCGTGGCTCAGACCCAAGGTGTGGAGGTGGGTCTCTTTTCCGCCGTCCCCCATGCTATTTAACGTAATTGAGAAGGTTACTTCTGGGTTATCTTCCGACTGAGAAGACAAAATGGCCCGAGGAGAGCAAGAAGAGTCGGGAGAACTACTACGTGCGTGTGCCGTGCGCCTAAATCATATCTGCCCCTCACAGCTAGCTCAGGAACTTGTCCGTCGGTTACTCGAGCCGTTCTCTGATCTCCCGCCACCGACAAAGCCCCTTGCGCCGATGGATTCGTCGTTGATGGCGTCATCCAAGGAACTGTCTCAAGTACCCTCAGCTCTGATGACTGCTCTACAGGAACCTCCAGAAGCACTGGATCAACGTCCACTTGATGAAGCGGCTTCGAAAGACATCCGCATTGCTTGCGCACAGAATTTGGATCGCCGTCTTCGTGTAATCCGAGAACTGGAGTTGAAGGGTGCTGAGTCATCGGATGCTACCCCAGAAATCCGCCTAGAAAGTATGCCGGAAATACGTTTGGACGCAGCGGAGGCGTCGTCCGACGAAGAGGATGGCCAGACCTCAAATGCTGCGCCCTCGTCGGTTCCTGGTTCTCCGGCGTCCGCACTTTCTGCGCTGTCGACCACTCTGCTTCCCTCGCGGTCATTCGGAGCACACCAGAAGCATGTGTCGGCTCTACTGCGGCTTCTCTACATCCATGCGTCTCTCAACCCTGCCAACGAATCTCCGCACATTGCTTCGCTGTTGGTTCCAGTCTACTCTGCTTTGGTAGAAGAGATGGTACCGGATGACGCTGCGCACGTCGAAGCGGACGCATTCTGGCTATTCGAGGCAATCATAGGGGAACTTGATGATCTCAATGACGTCGAAGGTGGTCGGATATGGACACAGAAGTTCAGCGCGAGGCTGAACTGGGCTGATCCTGAATTAGCAGAGGATCTGGTGAGTTCATCCCCTCTCGACGAATACTCACCGCAATAACGGAACCAAGCAAATCAAAGGGTTGGACCCCGCACTTCCTCATTACTCCTTGTAGGTGTCGAGTTCTCTTACAGAGACATCGCTAAACGATCGTCCTAGCCGATGGCTCGTACCTGTCCTCACCCATACGCTACCACTGCCCTCGGTACTCATGGTGTGGGATGCTCTACTCTCCCGACCTATGAGGCAACGCGACCTCAATGCGAAGCTAGAGTATCTCGTCGATATTTGTACCAGTATGCTGCTTCGCACAAGGGGCATATTGTTGCGGTATGCTTAAATTCAGTTTACCCGTGGCTGGTCTAACGATTCTTTTAGGCTGGGTAGATCTGGGAGTCATAACCCAACTTTATGGTCAATCGGAAATCCTGCTGCCTATACAACACCACTCGATCCTCGCGAGCTCGAGGATGCTTTTGCGGAAGGCATGACATTCCTGCAGCAATATCCGATCGAGGCAGCTGGAGGTATTGAAGCTATCCTACAGGCTGCATACGACCTGTCGCTGCGCCGTGACGCCGAGCGGACTACCACAAGGGTGCCCAATACCGGTTTCGGTGCTAGGTTACGAGATACTGTATGGAGGGGTTTTGCCACCCAAGCACCGATCGCCGAGTCACATCATGAGGACCACGAGAGTGATCATTCAGACAGTGACTATGATGATGATGAACCACAAGCTCTTGTCGCGCAAGGACAAACGCTGGCGGCTCGTTTGACTGACACGGTGTGGAGGGGTATATCTAACGAAAGCGCCATGGAGGCTCCACCATCACCCACTATGCCATTATCGCCCTATCCTTCTTCTCCTGAACCATCGTCGAAGGCTCTACCTAACCCGCCGTTAGAAGAACCACCGGAAGCAAGCACGAGATCATCGAACAGATCCTCGATGTGGGGCTATGCCGAGAAGTTGAAAGAGTCTGACGCAGCTGCTACATTGGCTAAAGTCAGCACTAATTGGAGGGTAAAGGCGCTGGACGTATGGAACAAGCGGCCAAGTGGTGGCCCATCCACTTTTCTTGCTCCCCCTTCGACCTCGCATACTCCTCCCGAAATTGGTACGCGACGTGCTTCATTCACTCAGGATTCGCTAGAGAAAGTGCAAAATGACAAACGACGAGGGACTTCTTTGCCTGGGATTGACCGCTCAGATGCATATTCGCCACCGGCGCGTCCCGCTTTCTTCCGCCCGCCAAGAGACAGTATTATATTCACTGGCAACCAGTCACCATTATCCCCCACTAATGTCGACGTGTCTTCCATGTCAGACACAGGGTCAGCTCGCAGCTCGTCTTTTAGGCAGTCTCTTACTGCGTCCCTCGGAATGTCAGATTCCCCGAAACCGACACCCAAATCAGGTCCCCGGCCGTTACTCCTTAATTCGGCGTCCTTGATTACGTCCGGCCACTCGCGCTCTCCGACAAACACCCCAACATCTGGCGCTTCCGAAAGGGCATGGGTCGACAGCATCAGAGACAAACGGCCATCCCCAGTCAACAGAGAATCATTGTCGTCAGCATCGTCAGTTTCACCGTCCGATGCACGCACGCGGTCAAGACCAGGGAGCCGTGCCGAGGTGGAATCGGGCATTGGAAGTAGAATTGTTCCTCTGCGATCGTCGCGATCGCCCATGACTGCGAACTCTCGACGAGCGACGCCCACTTCCTCTGTCGCCTCTAGCCCTCCGCCAACACATCGACGCATGGATACAGAAACATCAACACAATTCGGTAGTGACGATGGTCATAGTGCTAAAGGATGGGCTCATGTCAATGCCCACGATTCACCTCCCACGGGTCCATCGCCCCCACCCCCTCGTACGCCCGATGCCTTCTCAGCTGTGGCCCCAGATGTGAGAGTCAAGACTCCAGATACCTTCAGAGGTTCTGTGACCCTAAGCGATAACAACGAGACTGATCTCGACAAGCCCATGCGCGGCGGATCAGAGGCCAAACTGGCACGCAGACAGCTGCCACGCTTGTCTGTAGGAGGGGATTCGTCCGACTCATCTGCAACGCAAGCGCCTTCACGAAACTCTCGGGTCAAATCTAAACGTGTCCCTCCACGATTAGCGACGGCGCATTCTCAAGACGAATCCAAGACAGAAGTTCAGACGCTGGCACCTGAGTGGACAGACGAGATTGACAACGTAACGACTCCGCGGGCCCTATCTTTTGAAGCCAACCCCTTCCCCACTACGCCTGTCTCCCCGCGCACGACAAGACGTGTTCGGAAAATATCTGGTGAAGGAGATGGTGAAATCCGCACTCGGAAGGTGTCAGGCGAAGGCAGAGAAACTCGAGTACGCAAAGTTTCCTCTGATGGGCATTCTATCAGGTCTCGCAAGATCTCTGGCGAACGTGGTACTCCCAAGCACAAGCGGGATAGTTCTGCCGTTGAGGGAGACGATGAGGGTTACAACGACCTTCTGAGTGCATACGAGAGCGAAGAGAATCCCTGATGGGCCATGTACGCGGTGAAATTGGATACCTTGTTTGCCAATATTATATATATATGCATTGTCATCGGGAGCTATTATATCGCTGAGCAACAGTCTATGCCTACTACCGGTGGGTCATTAGCCCCTACGGGTTGCAAGGTCAGTAGAGGTATACGTCTCGGCCGAGTCCTGTTCGGTCGTGTGAACCACACCTTTGCCCAAGCCAAATGATCCTCGTATTCCAACAGCATGTTCATATGAAAAAAACGAATGCAGTAAGATAATAATGTTACACGAAAAGTGATGTACTGATGCACTAGACTGTGATTATCGTTGTGTCCTTCGTGGATTCCTCGCAACTATTACATTTGCTGGTCGCTCAGTCAACGTTCCCTTAATCGGGAGTCCTGACTTACTAAATGGCCCGTTCGCCAATTTCTTGATTCCAAACATCGTTTGCTGGGGCAATGTAGTCGACGTTGCTGTCGATGACGAGGAAGTGGAAGAAGACGACGACTTGAACGATGGTGGGGGATCCTCAGACGGTGGCACGTTTTCTGAATCTTCCGGCTCATCCATCGCTTCAGGTTCTTCATCAACAAGCATCCCCTCATGAACACCATCCTCCGGAGCTTCTTCTTCTGGTAAAGGTAGGTGCTCTGCAAGGAATGTTTCGCCACAGGCATTCGAGACACCTCGTCGCCTCCGCTCCTTCAGTAGAGCTTCCCTGCTCCCCGTCAGCTCCCATTCATCGACATAGTTCCAGGACCGTTTGCGCGGGGTTGTCCCTGTCGGCCTATCCTCCTTTGCGCCGTCCTCGACGATGGAGTGTGTTGCCTGGCGCAAACCGGATATATGAGAGACGGCAGCTGAATGATATTGCTCCATAGCCACGGTCATGCTGGAACTATCTGAAAGTATCCGTGTGGACGATGTTTCGATATTGCGCGATGTCGAAGCGACGCCACGATTGACGTATCGATAGCCTGATTGCGTTTCAGCAGCCATGGCGTCCGTCGCCTCTATTCGTGCTCTCTTGGCTCGAGAAACTCGTTCGAAAGCTAACGATACAAGGTCAGCCACCTCCCGCAAATGTATGAATCCGTTATCGTACCGTCGCTGCATGATGAATCGAATTTCTGGGTCTGCCGGTGAAGGTCCGCAGAATACACCGATGTCGAGGTCATGACGGAGTTCTGCACATCTGCAAGACCATCTCGGATGGTTGTCCGTGCAGAGTTGATGGTCTGAAGCGACACATGTCAGAAAACTATGTGAAGAGCGTATGATGCAACGCTACCTTGATGCCTCCATCCCGGGTTCTCTTCCCTTCCGCACCTCGACGCTCCAGATCGACACTCCACTGTCGACCTCGGGCAATCGCGTTCTCTAGTCGCTGACCTTGCTCCTGCATGAGTTGTGTCATCTCCTGTTCAGCAGTGTTGTTGCTCTCCGCCATCTCGGAGAAGGCCTCTCGACGACTGTGATCTTGCTTCGCAATGAACTCTCCAAGCAGACCGGAAATGTTCTTGATCAGCTCCTCCTTGAGCCGCTCCGCTTTCTGCTGCTCGGACTCCAAGAGACGAGTCAAGAGTGCGTTCTGCTGCTGTAAGCGGAGAATCTCTGCACTGGTCGCTGTATCCGCCGATGACTTCGACTCTTGCAGCATCTTCCGCTCGCTAGCAACGTGTTCTTGTGCTTCTTTCAGAATGGTTTCGGCCAGAGTACCAAGAGCCCTGAACGTAGTTTCTACCTAGTGGAAATCGTCAGCATCGTGAGCATGACTCGATTGGCACGGTGTGGTTCTCACATTAGCACAAACAGCCATAGTGGACGTTTCCACTTCCTGACAAGTTGTCTCACAGTGGCTGCGGAGGTCCTCAGTCCAAGAATTGAAGCCTTTCTTCAGACTCTCTTGCATCTCCGCGATAGCGCTCTGTATGGCGCCTACCGCGTTGCCTGATGCCTCTTCTCGTGTGTGGATAACCTGCAAACCTTCCCGGACTTTCTCGAGCTGCTCGTTGATACGCTGCGAGAACAGCGAGAGCGACTCGCGCTCTTTCGTCTGGAATTGTTCAGCCTCTGATCGGATATTCTGCAGATGCGAGCTAGAGAGCTTGACGAAGGAATCCAGTTTCGTCGTCAACGCCAGCGTCTCGGTGGAGAGAATCTTGCTGTTAGAAGAAATAGCCTTGGTATTGGAGTTGAAGACGGATGTCTTGCGTTCTGTGCTGAATCTCAGTAACGGGAAGATGCCTAGTATCGTGTTCCTCACCAAGCTTGCTATGCAGGCGTCCAAGATCGCCCAAGCCTTCCTGAGCAACCTTCCTCAGACCAAGCGCAACGCTGTCCAAATTGCCCTCGCTGTCTTGGTAGGCCTGTCTGACGACGACTTCCTCATCCAAGGCTACCTTCACCGTCCTCAGCTGGGTTTCTGTGACCTCAAGTTCCCCCTCCGTCTCCTTCAGCTTCTCCTTTGTTTCCTTCAGCTCCCCGTCCCTCTTCATCAACAGGGCGATGCTCTGTTCGAACTCCTCACGAACATTTCGCAACTGGCTTTCGACGATCTCGACCTGCTTGCGAGCCTCCTGGATTTCCGTCTCGCGGAGCTCCTGCTCAGCAACCATCTGATTCCACGTCTCCTCTGCGAAGAAGATCCCATTCTTCTCCCGTGCAGCGAGAACGTCTGCCTTGAGCCGCTCGATTTCAGCAACGTACTCCTTCAGCAACGCGTTGCGCGTCATGCGCTGATTCACTTCGGGTTTATTTCGAATTGATTTCGCTCGTATGGCGTAGTCTAGTGTCGAGAGCGTCTCCTCCAAGTTGCATCGCGCAGGAGAGATGGTAGCAATAATACATGTCTTGGTCCGACCTCCTAGGGAGTCTTGTAGTAGACGGGTTAGCTTGGACTCTCTACATTGGTTTATGAGCCGGTCTTAGAATAGTCGATAAATTGATCAGACGCACCGATAGGGTACGTGAGACGAATGATCAACCAAGGCATTGATAACTCTACCCAGTGTAAGGAGACTCTGGTTGATCATGCCTGCCTCTCTAGCACGTTTGTTCTCCGCCCCGGAACGCCCGATGTTCTCGGAACCCGCCAAGTCAACCAGGTTCAGCTTACCAACTTTCAAGAGGTCATCGCCTACCGACGACGTCTCCTTTGTGTGGACAGTAATGGAGAAGACAGAATGTGAGCGACTAGAATGGTCGTTGAACTTGGTCGCTGCGATTTGTCTCCTCTGGCTACCTTTGGTGAGGAGCGCGAGCGCATCCGCGGCGTCCTTGACGCATGCGTCTTCGAGACCCTGGATGAAGACACCCTTCTTGGTGACATCATCAAAGATCTTCAGGTTTCCCTGGGCGGCTGCATCCTTGGAGGCACCCATCCCCATAGGCTGTGTGGATCCTACTGGCGCCGCCAGGTCTGGTGCCAACAGATCACGAAGCTCTTCATTGTACAGCTCGACGAATGAGATCTTCACGCTGTAATCTGTACCCGAAGACTCCAACTGATGGAATAGGCGAAACAGGACTCGGGGAATCATTCCTGCTTGTGGCGATGGGTTGCCCATGGGTGTGGTCGACAAATCGCCCTGCATAGTGTAACTGTCAAACGAAGATGTATCTCAGATAAATATGAGAGAAAAAAAGTGACAGGGCATGCATACGTTTTGCCTGTACCCGTTTGACCATATGCGAATAGCGTGCAGTTGTAACCCATCAGGACTTCGTCTAACATTGGGCTTACTACGTCGTGGTAGACCATCGCCTGATCAGCCTCGGGACCAAAGACAACGTCGAAGGGGTATGTTCGTGTCGGAGGGAGAGTAACAAGACCAAGACTCGAAACGGGCGCAGCAGTTTCGATAGTGATATCGCGACCCTTCGGCCCATTTGTGGTCACAATAATTGGAGAATTCTCCTGCATCTCACGTTCAGAACGACGTCTACACCGGACAACCACTTGGATATTTGTCTCCGAGTCATCTTGCGCGGCGCTCTGTGTCTGTTGCCTCTGGACGCGTGAGGATGTAGCGGCGTCTGTTGGTGTGGCTTCCTCAATCGGGGTGGTTAATCCTGAGCGCTGAGAGTTGTTGGACCTTGCAAGAGCTGAGCGAGGCCGAAGGCCGCTCGAGGAGGGAGGGGGCATAGAGCCATGCGTCGCAGTCCGATTGCGTGTCGAGGGAGGGCGGCGGGAAGCCATGAGGAGAGGGTATAGGTGTGCACCTGGGCTGAGTTGAACACGACGCGTCAAACCTGCGCGTTTGATCACGTGTGCGAGGACACCGTGGCAAACACCTGCCATAGAAGGATGTCCCCTGCCCGATCACTTATAACGGCTTTGCGGTCTCCTTCGACTTGGGCTCTTCCTTGAATCCCGCATGGGTAAACGCAAGAAGTCGTCGCGCAAGCCGCAAGGTCCACGCAAAAGAGAACCTCTAGGTTAGTGGGCGACATGTCTGCTCGCACAGAGCCCGGCTCATTCAATTTGCAGAGACCACCTTCACATGTCTCTTCTGCCATCATGACAAGTCTGTTACAGTCAGGTTGGACAGAAAAGAGGGTATCGCGCAACTGTTCTGCAAAGTTTGTGATCAACGCTACCAAAGCAAGGTCAACCGTACGTCTGCACTTGCTATCATCCTCGGATCACGACTCACTGGACTCTCCGTAGACCTCACAGAGCCTATTGACATTTACTCTGAGTGGATAGACGCTGCGGATGCTGCTGAAAAGGAGATGGTGTCTACGAGACGACCAGTTGCTTCGTCCAGCCGACCGCTCCCTCCTGCTGCCTTTGGTAGCGACAACGAGTAGCAGACTACATTGATCTGCGCGATACACCTCTGTAGCACTAAGATATCCTGGACTTTGTACGTTCATATAACCAGTAGTACCTTGCATTGTACTGTATACTACAAGTCTTCTATTCAATTACGCCCGAAATTTGGCTGTGACGTTGCGAGCTTGAATGAAAACGCGACGCCACTCTCATGGACAGTTGTTGTGTATTACGCGTTTGGAACGCGTCGCCTCACGCTTGACAACAGCCGTAAATAGCAAGCACAGTTCACTCGCGAGAGCCTTTTCATCCGAGCGCACATCTCGGACTCGTCTGTTCTTCCATCGTCCCCACACTCCTTGACACTCTAGAGGGAGCACCTTGCCAGTGTGTCCCTGATACCTTCGGCAGCCACTCGCGGCATATCGCTAGACTAGACGTCCCACCTGGTCCATCTTGACGCGTATACCCACGATGGCTTCCTCTACGAATATCAAGGTCGTTTGCCGGTACGCAGCGATTCTGTCCGTTGTCACGTCTATCATTCCATATTCAAAACTGTCGTCGTTGAACGCAGATTCCGGCCACCAAATTCTCTTGAATTGCGTGAAGGCGGCGAAATCGTAGTATCCTTCAGTGATAACCTGCAGACCGTGCAGCTCCGCTCAGCACAGCTCAGTTCGGGTCCAGAGAGGGATGGATTCACATTCGACAGGGTGTTCCCTCCTGGGACGAAACAACATGAAGTATTCGATTACGGTGTCAAAGAGTGAGTGCGTTAATTGCTTGGCAGACATGCCGTAGTCACCTGTGTCCATAGGATCGTGAAGGGTGAGTACTGCCGTTCAACTTGTGTCTCGACAGCTGCAAGAGAAGATGCATGGCGAGAACGATTCCCTATTTCCCCGGAGTGGATTCTGTTGGCTCGTGCTGAATGTCTGTGTGTGCGCCAGATGTCTTGGATGGATACAATGGCACAGTATTTGCGTATGGGCAGACGGGTAGTGGAAAGACATTCACGATGATGGTGCGGATGTCGTGCTATCGTGCTTTGTTCTCACTCACGAGTATGTCGCATGCTTCAGGGCGCGGATATTGACTCCCCAGACTTGAAGGGCTTGATTCCCCGAATCACAGAGCAGATCTTCCAATCGATTGTCGAGTCGGACGCGCACCTGGAGTATGTGGTGAAAGTCTCCTACATGGAGATCTATCTTGAACGAATCAGGGACTTGTTGGCGCGTGCGTGTCTTCCCTTCTTGTCCTCCAAACATCTTGCCAACGTGGGCGTGTGTATGCAGCGCAAAACGATAATTTGCAGGTCCATGAGGAGAAGAACAAGGGTGTCTATGTGAAGAATCTGTCGGACTACTATGTTAGTAGTGCGCGCGAAGTATACGAAATCATGCGACAGGGTGGTGCTGCCCGAGTAGTTTCCTCGACTAGTGAGTACCACCATAAGGTTCTGATACAATGCTGAACTAACATCACGCATAGATATGAACGCTGAAAGTTCACGCTCTCATTCCATCTTTCTGATTACGATTCAGCAACGAAATACAGAAACAGGAGCGCAGAAGAGTGGAAATCTCTATCTCGTCGATCTGGCGGGTTCGGAGAAGGTTGGCAAGACTGGTGCTTCCGGCCAGACGCTCGAGGAGGCCAAGAAGATCAACAAGTCGTTGTCCGCCCTCGGTATGGTCATCAACGCCCTCACCGACGGGAAGGTACGGATTCATCCGCTGTACTGAGGGTGTCGCTTATGCCTCTTGCAGGCAAAACACGTTCCTTACCGAGACTCCAAGTTGACGCGAATCCTGCAAGAGTCGCTTGGTGGTAACTCAAGGACTACACTCATCATTAACTGCTCGCCGTCTTCCTACAACGAGGCCGAGACACTTTCCACTCTACGCTTCGGTATCCGTGCCAAGTCCATCAAGAACAGTGCTCGCGTCAACGCTGAGTTGTCGCCTCTTGAGCTCAAAGGTCTACTGGCAAAGGCTCAGGCAGCAAATACGCAATATCAGAAGTATATTGCTGCGCTCGAAGCCGAGCTCGCTATCTGGCGCGCTGGCGGCCATGTTGACCAGGCAGACTGGGCATCATCAGACAAGGCTAGCTCGGGCGTGGTCTCAGCACCAAAGAAGGCGCCGACGTCACCGACACCATCATCAACTCGCAGCGCTACACCTATCATTCCTGCCCTGGAGGGTCTGCGTAACGATCTGGACAGCCGACCGCAGACGCCTACTGTAGTTGGTCTGGATAAGGATGAGCGCGAGGAATTCTTGAAACGGGAGAACGAGCTCAGCGATCAGCTGGCAGAGAGGGAGTCCGCCCTCAATGGCGCACAGAAGCTTGTGGGCGAACTTAAGGAAGAGCTTGCGTTCCTCAAGGAGCAAGAGGCCTCCTTATCCAAGGTTCGTTGCTGATGAGCATGGCGTATAATTCGCTGACGTTTGTGCGGAACTCTGCAGGAGAACAAGACCATGTCTGGTCAACTCAACGAGTTCCGTCTCCAAGTCGAACGCCTGGACTACGACAACAAGGAGAGCGTGATCACCATCGACATCCTCAAGGAGCAGAACCAGGATACAAAGGCTGAGTTGGACGAGCTCAAGAAGACCATTTCAGAGCTTAAGGCTGCTCAGAAGGATGCGTCCGCCGAGGACAAGGAGAAGCGCAAGCAGGAGAAGATGGCACTCATGATGGCCAAATTTGACGCAGTGAGTTCTCTTCACTGTCCAGTGACGGGCCAAGGCCTTACAACGCGTCGCCATTTCAGCAGGGCACTTTCTCCGAGAAGGATGAACAGCTCCGTCAATTGCTTGCGAAGCTTGACCAGATTGACACGGATGCTGCTGTGTCATCCTTGTCGCATGAGGATGTCGTTGCGGTCCGTCGGCAGTTGACTGACGGGCAGGCGCTCATTCGCGAGACTGTCGACCGCCTGAGACAAAGTCAAGAGGAGAACGAGATGAATTCTCGCAGACGCGATGAGCTCGAGGCTCGCATCTCTGCTTTGGAAGCCGAGTACGAAGAGCTTCTTGGTGTGTTTCTCCATTTTATTTACGGCGTCAACCTATTGACCCGGAGCCGATGTTCACAGAGAAGACCATCCACGACGAGGAAATCAGCAACGTCGATGTTGCTGAGTCGATGGCAGAACTGAAGGTAATGTCTCTTTGTTCTGGTAGCTGCCCTCGATTTCACGTGAATTCACTTTGATTAGAACAAACTCGAAGCGCAATACGCCGCTAAGCGCGATGCTCATCTGAGCGAAGTGCAAGATCTCAAGCAGCAACTGGAGCTGCGGTCAAGTGAAATCCGCACCCTTAATGCGACCATTGACAGCCTGAAGAGCGTAAATGAAGAGCTCAAGGTGAGGTCTTGTCGCCATTATCGGCGGACAGCGGAGTTAACCTACAATCTCGGAAGCGGGCATTCGCGGTCACATCAGCTGGTATCGAGGGCGGTAAGAACCTTGCTGAGAGCGCTCAGGATCTCGAGCGCACTCGGAAGGCGATTAGCGTCCAGCTGGCAGAATTTGACGGCGTGAAGAAATCGCTCATGCGTGATCTGCAGAACCGTTGTGAGAAGGTGCGTCTGCTTCTTCCGCAGCGCCTCGTGACTACTGATAAGGTTTCCAGGTCGTCGAACTCGAGATCCAGCTCGATGAGATCAAGGAGCAGTACAACAATGTTATACGCAACAGCAACAGCAAGGCTCAACAAAAGAAGATGGCGTTCCTGGAACGCAACCTTGAACAGTTGACCGTAGTACAAAAGCAGGTTAGTGTACTCTCGAATTGACAGCCGCGTCATCATCTAATGCATCCGTCGTGATAGCTCGTCGACCAGAACTCCGCGCTCAAGAAGGAAGCGGGGATCGCGGAGCGCAAACTGCTTGCACGGAACGAGCGGATACAGAACCTGGAGGCGCTCCTCCAAGACGCTGACCGTAGGCTTGCTGCTCAGAACCAGAAGTTCGAAGCACAATTGCAGGCGGTGAAGGAGAGGCTTGAGCAAGCACGCGGTATGATCGGACATGCCATTCTCTGCCGCTTGTGTGCCGTACTCACATTCCAACTCATTAGCGCAAAAGGCGGCGTCATCCTCACCACTCAGCTTCGGTCGCATTGCCAAGCCGCTGCGCGGTGGAGGCGGTTCTGCTGCAAGTGCGGCCGCTACGAGTACAAGTCCATCACTAGGTTCGACTTCTGCCAATCCGCTGGCGAGGATACAGAACGAGGAGACAGGGTGAGTGCTCATCAATTGAGTAACAATGACATGTGCTGACCTTCACCCTAGCACCGGAGGTATGCGAGATTGTCTCTATGAATTAAAGCAATGCTTACGCGATATGAAAATTTTCCGCAGCCAAGCGAGCATCTTGGTTCTTCAACTCACGGTGATCGCTCGCGTTGAGTCTCTAGAGATCTCAGTTCGTCCATTATTCTCTACATCTGCATACTCGTCGCACAGTGGTTGTATGTTTTGCATCGCATCTATCGTTTTCTATAGTAATGCATTTCTGGACCTCATGGCCGGGCCGAGAGGTGGAACAACCGTACCCGCGTCAGGGTCGGCAGCGGTGATCTGATGAAACGCGATCGGGGGCAGCCAAGTCGGGTCTTCGAGCGCCTCTCCGACAAACAGAATTGGATTTGTTTTACCCGTCCGGCGGCATTCTAGACGACGGGGAACGCAACACGTGGCGCAACTGTGCGAGCCCCGACGGGCCAATTGACATTCTAAACGGAATCAAATATACGCGTACATGCCTGGGTCGCCCTTCTCTCTTTCGCGCGGGTTGGCCGGAATCCTCTGTTCCTCTTCCACCCAATTCAGTTTGGCTGGAAGTACGAGGAGACCACCACACAGCCCTAATCACTTCAAGTTCTCCTTATAGTTTGTGAGTTGTCAACGTACCATGAGCGCGTGTCTTAATGACTGCTCCAAATGAGGGCTCTCCGCGACTCCCCATTCCGAGAATTCTTTCTGCGCCCATGCTTGATTGCCTGCAGCCTTGCGGCCTTTTGTCGCTTCGTTTTATTTCCTTTATTCCCTATATTCCCTTTATGACTCGCCTAATTCGCTAACTTTCCAGCTTTAACAGAGAGCAGGGCGGCGCATTCATCGGAATCTGTGCTCCGCTTCTGTAGCACTGTCCTCTGGTGACTACACGTCTCATCCAGCCATAATCATCGCTATGTCCACCTCTAATACTGACGCCGCGGCGCGCAATCCGTCTGGTTCGTCAACTCGCTCCGGAGGCCGCTCGCCCACCGGTTCACCTAATCATGTACGAACCCATATCGTTCCTACTGATATCCTCTGATGCCTGTTCCTCATAACTTGCAGACTCAGACGCAGCGGAGCGTTCTGTCAGCTAGTATCCTCGGAGTAGGCTTGTCCTCCGGGAATAGTCTCAAGAGCTTGAATCCGGGCTGGCAGGCATGGACTGTGTCTCCGTAATGCTACGAATAACGCTAACCAAGAAGTAGGTATGGAGAAGCCCGCCCACTTCGGCGAGACATGTGTCGGCATCGTCCGCCGCCAGCGTACCAGAAGCATCAGCGCAACCTGAGTCAACCTATCGCTCATCTCTTGGGGATGCATGGGCTCCTCGTAGTGCCAGTGGGGCATGGGATGAAATGATAGACAGTCCTCATATGAAGGACTTACCGCAGCTGGTTAGTATCCCGAACTCGGCTCGAGTACTATGTTAACAATATGCAGGAGTCGCATTCGTCGCTGCCACTTCACCAAACGCGCTCAAGGCACGTCACAGGCCCTCAATCTGTGCCCATAGGATCTTCCACTGCACCAGTATCGAAGCAAGGTCAATACTCTCCTCAGCGATATAATGCCGGCCAAAGCAGGGATTCTGCTCCGTCTCGTTATTCGCCCGCGTCACCTTCTAATCCTATTCCTTATGCCGTGTCCTCATCATTTCCATCGCAACAGCATGGTTTGCAAGGAGACCAATTGCAAGCATCATCATTCCCAGACGATGAGCTGTCCATGGCACTGCGTGGAATGGTTGTCGCGGATGATCTAGGTAAGTTACACTATTCCATTACCCTTAGCACGTAACGTAATCGCTAACATGTTATAACACTGTTACAGCGCAGTCGGCGCAGGTTTCTCCGTTCCCTATGCGTGTACCTTCACAGGTTCAGCAGCCCAGAATGCCATATGGCAGTTATCCGCAGGGTGATTATACCGCGTACTACACTGGTCCATCCGCACATATTGACTACTCCTATGCGTACGATGCCTATCGTGCAACGTCTGACCCATCCTTGTACGCCTCATCTCCCGCATTGAGCGCTGCTGTTGCAGCTGCGCCTTCCATGTACCCTGGTGTGGGACCTCATCCACATCCCATTGCAGAGATGCACAGTCAACAACCCGGTGTATTTTATGACTTCTCGGGAAGTTCGCGTGCTCTGCCATCCCAGTACTACTACCCCCCGCAGCCGTTAGTATACCATCATCCAATGGACAAAAAGCGAGGAAACCAAGTAAGTCATTCATCAGTCTTCGTGATATGCGTATGAAAAGGCTGATGACATGAAAAGCAACCCAGCCTACCTCATCCTTCTCAGGGCCTTGTCTATGCTAACATCCAATCGGCGCCACAACCTCATCCCCAGGCTTACCCTGCGCCCGTGGACTTTCACGCTCAGCATCCCATGATGGTCCCTCCTGGAACAGTTTATGGTCCAATGGGCATGTCACCGCACCACTTGCGCTTCCAACAGCCTCCCGGTGTGCGGGGACATCGTCGTAGCGACGTTGACCACCGAGTTGCTATTCGTAGCCCTCTTCTTGATGAGTTTCGCATGAACAGAAGCAAGAAGTGGGAGCTGAGGGTGAGGGTTCTTCTTGTACGATTTTGGGCTCCAGTCACAACTAGCAAATACTAGGACATGATGGGTCATGTCGTTGAGTTCAGCGGCGACCAGCACGGCTCGCGGTTCATCCAACAGAAGCTAGAGACGGCCACTAGTGAAGAGAGGCAACTTATCTTCGATGAAATAGTTCCGCAGAATGCATTGCAACTCATCCAGGATGTATTTGGTAACTATGTGAGTAAAAGTTGTGATCTCACAGTAATATCCCCTGACATGGCAATATAGGTCATACAGAAGTTGTTTGAGCATGGAACCCAGATTCAGAAAACCATCCTGGCCAGTACTATGGAAGGTCACATCTTACCATTGTCGCTGCAGATGTATGGTTGTCGCGTGGTACAGAAGGTTTGCAAACAGTCCTTGTAGTCGTTGATGGAGGCCCTCATCACTGCATCATTTCCTAGGCTGTTGAATACATTCTGCCTGAGCAGCAAAGCACATTGGTACAGGAACTAGAGGCAAGTGTGATCCGGTGCGTGAAAGATGCCAACGGCAATCATGTAAGCGGTTCTTGTTCATGTTCATGGCTTGCTCTCCCTGATGTGTCCTCGCTATCGACAGGTGATCCAGAAGCTCATAGAGCGTGTTCCCCCAGAGCGTCTGGCCTTCCTGAAGGCTTTCAAAGGCAATGTCTACGATCTTGCAACGCATCCATACGGATGTCGTGTCCTGCAACGGTGCTTTGAACACCTTCCGGAAGAGTACACTCGTCCGCTCATCGATGAGCTACACAAGCATGTCAATCATCTCATGCAGGATCAGTTTGGTGTGAGTCCGAGGCCTAATGTATGATTTTCATATTGACGCCACTTCGGTAGAATTACGTCGTGCAATTTGTCCTCGAACATGGCAAGCCTGAGGACAGAGCCATCGTGGTGTCGAAGCTTCGTGGTCAGATGCTTCACATGGCCCGGCATAAATTTGCATCGAATGTGTGCGAGAAAGCGCTGACTACAGCTGACCCCGAGAGTCGCCGGTTCCTCATCGAAGAGATCATGACGCCGAGACAGGATGGTGTGAGCCCGATCCTCACCATGATGAAAGATCAGTTCGCAAGTAAGTACGCTACTGCCTGTTTGATCGTAGACTTTCTCAATGGGCCCTTCCCTCTTCAGACTACGTCCTACAGCGAGCACTGTCTGTGGTGGAGGGAGATCAGAGGGAGGCGTTGGCTGCCAAAGTCCGGCCCCAGCTCACGAATATGCGACGATATTCGAGCGCGTATAGTAAGCACCTCGTAGCGAGTGAGTACAAACCGTTCTCTCTGTCAGATTTGTTGTTGAAGCCTGCGAGTAGTAGAGCGCCTTCTTGAGAGGTGCTCTCCTTCTGCCTCCGGGGAAGTCACACCGAAGGAGAATGCGGGGACGCCTACTATGTCAGAAACACTCTCTTCAAGACAGAGCTAATAAGCAGGACATTTTCTACATCTCGGTGGTATAGTACTCGTATAATGGCTTTACTCTCGGACACTGCATACCCTATCCATGCATATTGTGGTTTTCCTCTCCTTGCAGCCGCTCGTTCATACATAATCTTTCTCTCTTTCAGACGTGCATATTGGATGTCGGACTTGATCACAGTGCTCTCTTGGATATGATACCATACAATGCACATCATTTAGTCCTCGTAGTACAGTTGCAAGCGTTCTTCACTCGGATTAGATACCTTGGAGGACATCCTCTATTAATGGCACATCTCTCAGAATCTATTGACTGCCGGAACACATCACTCCGGGTTACTCAGCCGCATTCACTCATACTGAGAGTCGCTGAGAATGCACGTTCACGAGGTCATGCAATCATACGTGTTCACAGTTAACGGCGTCTAAGAGTACTACTGCTCCTCAGTTCGGTCATCACGACCTCCCTCCGCATCCGTCCCCGCCCACAACTGGCTCGTGTCTCACCGACAGCAAGCCCTCATGGAAAGCGACGCTGGCGAGGCGGCTTCTCTCTTCGGTGCTGCAGATTCTACAGCGGGCCTCTTTTCCATGGAGGGGGACGCTGGCGTGTCAAATCCGACTACTAGCGGCGAGCCGTCTCATTCTCAGTCCAACACTGCTTCGGACTTGTTCAGTTCTGCTTCAGAGGGCACAGATTTTTTTTCCACTGCAGGCGTAAGCCCTCTTACGAGCCACCAGGAATATGATCTACACGCTCCTTGGGATGGGGTAGCTCAGTCGGAAGCAGTCGATGCAGCGGGTGGTGTCGTGACCAGCATGGCCACTGCGTATTCCACTCAGCAATATACTGCAAATGGGTTCTACGGGGATTATGGAGCGGTCGCGCAACAAGGTCACCCGCAAACATATACACCTTCCGGTATGGTACTCATCTTCTTTCCCCATGTCCCGCTCTCAAGGCAATGCTAGCATATGTCCCGTCATATCAGCCGCCTACGCAAAACTCGGTACCTCATGACCCTTACGCGCCATTGCAAACGACGCAGGCTACTGTACCGGCTTCTGGCGTGACCTTGGCGTATAGATCTTCGCAGCAGCCGACATCATCATACGACCCGTACAAACCGACCTCTCAGCTGGCTTCGGGAACTGCTGCACATACGCAAACAACGTCGGCCACGTACTCCTCTTATGGTTCTTACGACCCATATAAGCCTGCGCAAACCAGCGCGCCGGGTATGGATGTCACGCGCCCAGAATCCTATGCCAATACATCCGTGATTCAAACTGCAAGCTCATTTGCGGCAGTACCCCCTGTCCAGCCGTCCATGTCTGCTCCTCCTTTGCGACCAAAGGTTGTCAACGCGTATGACCCACCACTGCCTCCCCCCAAACAACCTAAGTATGGATCGACGCGTGCGTCGTCTATGCTTTCTCCCCCTGCACTGTACAAACCCTTGGCTCATGAACCTCCACGATCCCCGATTCAGAGTGCGCCGCCAAAGAATGTCAGCCGATTTACCTCACCACCCCCACCGCGTCCTACCCACAACGGTGTCACACCTAATACGCACATTCTAGATCCCACATCTTCTGAGATCTCCACGCACGGCGGCATATCACCACCTACGAACGGTCCACACCCTGTCTATCCTGCAGTGCAGAACAGTCATGAAACAGCGTCGGAAAATGGACGGGGTCGGATTCTGTCACCAGATTCGTTCTCATCACCGTCTTTGCCTGTAAGTAACAGACAGCAGATTCACTCTCAGGCGCTTCCGCGCGAACCTTCGTGGCCGGGTCCTCCATCGGAGGGTTACATGTCTCCGGAATATGGAAGCCCTTATAACCCTCAGCACACCTTAGCGGTTGATCCACCATACCAAGGAGCACCTGCGAAGATATCTAACAGTCATACACAACAAGTGAACCTATATGAGCCTCCTCGTAACTCTGTAGCAAGGTCTATGTCGCCTTGGAACTCTACTCACGCCGAGCCGATGGACGCGAATCCTCCTGTCAATGGTCGACATGTTTATTCTCCTGACGCACGACGTTCTCCTGAGAGAACGAAGTCTCCCGGAAATGCCTCAATACGTTCGTATACCAGTACTCGCAGGCAATCGTCGGAGAACGCATACCAAACGGTGTCGTCGCCGCTGCCGTCCACAAGTCTTCCGAATGGCCATTATCATGCCGGGCATGAGAGACATTATGAGCCGGGACCAACCAGTGAAGTTAGGGCTGCTTCACCGTCCTCAACAAGCTCCAGGGGTGGTTCTATGCGAGGCGTCCCTGATCCGTACGCGCCGACAACCCAGAACCGTAATCGGTCTATGTCGAGCAATTCCGTGCTTTCCTCAATTTCTGCTGTACTTGAGGATCCATATGCTCCGTCTCAGCATACACGCCAGCAGCCGAGTAGTGACTCCACTCGAAGTTTCTCCAGCCAGAACGATAGGTTCCCCGTCAATAACGCGTACCACTCGCAGTCGTTTACCGTCAGTGATGCTGGACAAGTCCTTATGGCCCCACCTCTGACCCAACACATGTATGCGCCTTCTCCTTCGTTAGTAGGAGCCAATGACCCTCTCGGCCGTACTTCCGTGCGCGTTCCTGTCATCAGTTTCGGGTTTGGAGGGAAACTGGTTACTTGCTTCCACGGTTCATGTTCCATGAACACTGGATTTGACGTTGCCCTCGCATCCCGACAGTCGACTGATGTGAAGGTGCATGTGTTGCACAAAGTCATTCCTGAATCAGCACTCGATACGTCTGCTGCATCCTACCCCGGGCCCTTATTCTCTGATCCTGGAACTCCATCGGCCAGTCTTGTTCGCACGGGAGCAGCCACACAAACCAAGAACAAGAAGGCGCGGGTTGTTCAATATCTAGAGGAGCGAGCAGAAGAGATTTCCCGGGGCATTGGATACTTCCATCCTGGCAGCATAGACAGCAGACGGGCTGAAGCTAAACACATACTTGTGCAACTGTTGAAGGTCATGGTGGAAAACGACGGCCGCTTGTCTGGCAGGTATACTGTGCTTTCCGAGTGTATATTCATTGTCACTGACTAGATCTACTGTTTCAGTCCGCAAATTGACGTAGCAGTGAGAACAGCGCTAGTTCCCAGGTTGACTACATCGTCACCAGAAACTCTGACAACTACATCTGCGCTCAGCATATCTGGCCATACCGACGCGCAGGCTTCCCAACTATCGGGTTCCCCGTTTCTTGGCCTTACACCCAGTCAGGACCCCAACGATACGCCTGTGGCTGTCCATACTGTTCGTGCCTCTAATCTGGATAAAATCCAGGACTTCCTACTACGTGGCGACCGTCGGGCTGCTTGCCACTATGCTTCAGATGAGAAGCTATGGGCGCATGCCATGGTCATCGCAAGCAGCATCGACAAGGACACGTGGAAAGAGGTCGTCACAGAGTTTGTTCGCACCGAGTTGACTACCAATAGGCACGTTTCGTCAGTAGCGGAGGGATCCAGGGCTACTCCGAATGGTCGAGAGCCATTGAGGGTGGCGTACAGTCTATTTGCAGGCCAAGGCCCAGTGTCCAGTAGGTTAAATAATGCTCGTTTCAAGCTTGTTCTAATCTTTTGTGTAGTTCAGGAACTTGTCCATCCCAAACCGTTTGCTCCGAGTGCCTCTACGCTTCAGATTCCATCGTCATCCATGACATCAATCACACCGATGTCGGCTAGCTTCCCGGTTGCAGCAGAGCCTTTGAACATCCCTCCTGAAGTTTTGGCGAAATGGGCAGACACGGCAGCCATGATATTCACTAGCCCCATGACACTAGAAACGTCTTCAGCATTCACGGCTCTAGGAGATCAACTCACGAACAATCAATGGTACGAAGCAGCGCATGCCTGGTAGGTTCCTACATCCTCTCTAGTGATGATGTACCTAGCTGACTTTCGTCTCAGTTATCTGTTATCGCCTCAGACCTCCCCTATGGGTGGCGTTGGGAGCTCGAGTCGAATGGTCCTCGTTGGATATCAGAGCCCGTCTGTTTCAGCTAGCTTCGCCAGGGATCCAGATCCTATCATATTCTCCGAGATTGTCGAATTCGCATTGTCGCTCGCTACTCCTGCTAAGGGACAGGAGCATTTCGCAGGATTGCCTTATTTGCAGCCATACCGCTTCGTTAGAGCTGCCGCCCTAGCGGAAATGGGACACGTTCAATTGGCGAATAGGTGCGTACAACGAAGATGTCGTTGACTTTTCTCAGACTCACACTAGTGCAGATATTGTGATGCGATCTCAACCTGTGTTGGGCGAACCTCGCCGTACACGAATCCTACCTTCCTCGAACAGCTCAAGGGTCTCGCGGACAGACTTGTTGCTGCCCCTCAAATCGACAAGTCAGGATCCTGGATAGGTGGTAAAGTCGCCAAGCCCAGTCTCGACAGTATCGGAAACTGGCTCGAAGGTCGCCTTACGAAATTCATTGCGGGCGATGCGGATTCACCACGACCAGAGGAACGTGCTAATATGCAGCATCAGCAGGCTTTTAGCGGCCCCTTCGCTCATTATAGTACCATTTCATCTGTGGAAAGTTCTGCGATGCCATCTCCTCAGCAATCCAAGGTGGATCTCACGGAAATGCGACACTCACCGCCTCCGTTCCGTACCGGATCTGCAATGGCACTACGGTCTTCAGCTATGCCCGTGCAGATTAATCGTGCCTCATCTGCTATGGACTATGTCCGTCCTACGATGACCCGCAAGGCGTCACCTATTCCTCGGGTTTCGTCTGCGAGCGCTACTCAAACCACGTTCTCAGACGGGTCGCTGTACAGTCAGGCCCTCAACGGCCACGCGTTCGGCAGTAGCTCGAAGCAGAACTTGAATGATCTGAGACTAAACCAGGAAAGGGGCGGTGACGCCGAGGAGAGCGGCCCATCAAATGGCACCCCGATAGGTACCTGGTGGGGGTCGTCAGACGCTGATGCTCCCACGCCAACTGCGTCGTCGTTCACGAGGATGGACGAGAGTGGCGTGGCCACTGCGCCGTCATCGTCCGGATTCGTCTCCCTCATGGACGATCCTGCGTTCTCTGCCACCCCTGTGGCGCCTCATGCGCCAACCAACTTTGCGAGGCAAGGATCTGCGTCCTTCGATGACGAAGAGGATGACCTCGGTCTCGGCAACTCATCGCATCGTCCCAAGGAGAAGGCGGCCGCTGAGGACCAAACTGCGGACAATGAGCATGCTTCACATGAGGCGACGGAAGGGTCCAAGCCCGCTCAGGCTGATGAGAAGCCTGGTGAGTCATTTTGCAATGACTGATTAAATATCATTCGTTGAAGTTGTTTTCAGAGTTGAAGTCGTCGTCTGGCTCATGGATTACTCGGTTGTGGAAGCGTGACTCAACGCCTGCACCTGTCAAGGCCAACCTCGGAGAGCAGACATCATTCTACTATGACAAGGAACAGAAGCGTTGGGTAAACAAAAGTGTAAGTCTTAGCGTATCTTTTGTGAGCACTAGCATCTAACGTGACCAATCCAGGCTGCATCTGAAGAACCGAAACCGACACCTCTACCGCCACCTCCCCGAGCGCAGACCGCGTCGCCTGGCAGGTCGCTTGGTGGACTCCCTTCTGGTGCGACACCGCCCCCGCCTCCACCAGCGCGACCGGCCACGGCCAATGCTATGTCTGCCGGTCCTCCGCAGCGCCCACCCATGCGGGTGCGCTCAAACTTGGTGCCCATGGAGACGGAGAACGGGTCTGCACCTCCGACGCCAAACTCGGCCACGACGCCTCCGCCCTCAAGCGGTACGCCGCCCCCGGGAGGCACTCGATCCGGAGCACGCGCTAAACGGCCTATGCGGAGCCGCTATGTGGACGTGTTCCAACAGGAGCAGCAGGCTGGAGGGAATTGACCACTCTGGTCCTCATATCACAACTAGAGGTAATACCCGTTATGACGTAATCTTCGCATACTTATATCCGGTGCATTATCGTTTTGGACGTTTGAATATACGGCGTCTTTCTTGTCTCACGGATAGTCTCAGATATTCGCAAAATAGAATAGGAATCGCTTTCGTCCGTCGCAAACAGTATTGCGCATTTACATGAACACGGTCGCGAGATGCAATCTAGAAAAGCAACTTGAACGGGTAGTCTGCATCGATTTATGAGCAAACTCATGAGGGCATATTAATTCGCACTTACTCCTGTTCTTCTCCCTGAAAAGAGAAACTAGGACAGAGTACATGATGAATATGACTCCAGCCCATAGATAAACCTGCATGCGCTGCCGCTGTGGTGACAAGTTGTTGGGCACAATCAGGGTAAGCATGAGAAAGCCACCAGCAAGCGTTCCGTCTGTACGGTCAATTGGGTGTCAGTGCGCAGCAATCCGCACAAAACGCAGACTCACATATCATCGACACGACCTGCACTTCCTGGCCAAACATGTTCTGGTAGCCAGGTGCGATCCACTGCCCGTTCGGGCCACTGTGGGGCATACCGCGGATGCGTACAAACATGTAGCCGGACGTCATGACAAGGGAAGTCAGCACGACAATGACGGCCCAAGTCCAGCGCGAGCGGAGGATGGGCGCCATGAAGCGCAGCGCGGCGACGAAGGCGAGCGCCATGAACACGAAGGTTGCGGCGCGCGACCAGTCAAATGGTGGCTTGTACGGGATCGGGACGGGCGTGTAGTGCGAGAGCTGCTCTGCCAGGGGTGCGGCCTCGAATCCCCTGAAGAGGGGTGAGCGTGCAGCGCACATGATATTAGCGGTAAACATACTGGGAGAAGTCGAGGGAGATGGCCGTCCTCCCACTTGCAGATTGACGGGGCCCTTCGGTTGCGGTATAGACTTGGACGACAGGTGCGGATTGGAGGTTCATCTGTACTAGATGAGCGCCACGTGCTGAGCAGAATACTCAATTGCGTACCTCCTGGAAGACTGGCATGGCGTCGTCAAAGTCGAGGGTGGCAAAGAAGTGGGAGTCGCGTTCCGCAGACGATACTTTGGACCATGCCTTGGCGACGGCATTGAATGACGGGCCGAACTCTCTGCATGGTGTATGCATCAGGTGTGTAGATTCAAGCTGAATCCAACTCACCTGCATGGGGTGCACCTCCGCCGCTTATCCATTGCGGTGAATTGGACGGACGCGGACCAGTTACGCCTGGGGCTGGTGAGCAGGCGGTACGTGCTCTGGTCTAGCCTGATGACGCCATCGTTGGCAGCAGCAAGCTGGACGAGTTTTGCATGATTTGCCTCTGTCGATGCAGCGAGACAGAGGGGGAGAGCGAAAAGAGCGAGGAGAGGCAGCAACATGGCTGCGAGAGTGGGCTGGATGGAATAGGCGCCAGGACGCGACGTGTCGTCCATACCGCCCGATCAATGCTTGGATCAATCTACTTGAGTGCTCAGACGCGTCCATGGGCGCGTAGCCATTCGACGCGACCGCCCCCTCTCCTTACACGTCGCCCACTGCATGTCCTCGCCGTCCTAGTCGCCGCAGAACATGTCTCATGCCCTCCTGCTCCGCCTCTTCCTCTCCCCGTCCTTCTTCTCCGTACACGTCGCACTCCAGTACCTCAGGATATATGCGGACAACATCGGCATTACCTACTACCTCACTCGTAGGCTCCGCGAATATGATACACGGGACCTGCGCGAAGTATGGGGCTTCATATGGTCAGACATTTCTCTCCGAGTCCGTAACTTGGCATGGGCTGAATTCCGTGGGTAAATGCAGTCACCTCCTGGTCACTAGACCGTCCAAATCCAGGGCACTCGAATGCTTTGTCGTCGAGATCGCACACAAGTCTACACACATTGCCATGCTGGTACGCGTTGTGCTTCTGTGTACGCTGGGCAAATGTTGACATGTATGCAGACCCTTTGGTACATGCAAGCACATCTCAAGGACCTTGCGCAGCCCAATAATAACCCTCAATCGTTCCTCATTTGCCAGAGAGTTCTGCATGAATGTCATGAGCTCATCTTCGGCGACATACCCCCTCAGTCGACTGCGCCATATTCCTCCATCCACTTTCCTGCGCAATTGGGGCCCGTACGACGCAAGGTGCGGCCGCATCTTCAGCCCGCCTTAGTCGGCATAGGCATGGTCTTGGCAGGAGCACCGGGAATACCACAGCTCACTCAGGTCACGGGAGAGGTCGCTATTGAGCAAGGGCGCATAGACGAGGAGGGCCAAGACATTAAAAGCCTTGAGCGGATTGACGACGACATTGTCCGGGGTGCGCCCCCGCAGTCGTCGTCTCCCGAGCCAACGTATGAGAAGGGGGACGAGGATGACTCAGACGAGGATGGGAGTCTGGAGCCTCCAGCGGTACCACGCATTGAGCCCGCTCCCCCTAACCTGGCCAGCAGGTTACTGTCACGGTCGACGCGACGGCAGACTATTGCCGCACAGACGAGTCCTGCATTGCCTATGCATCTGAAGGGTATTCGCAGGTATAGGCTCTCGGAAGACCCGTTCAGTCAGGAAGACATGCCGTCACCTATACCCACCCCTTCACCATTTCAGTCAACACCTACTCTTTCAAGTGCGAGGCATCGTGCTAAGACATTGAGTCTGCATGCAATTGACATGGTATCAAAATACGACTTCCGATCTCAGGTTCACCTCCTGCGCGGCCACTTCTGTCGGTCTGAGGTCCGTGCAGCATTCCCTTTTACGCAGGACTTTTTGGTAAATATATCACGCGCAGATCAGATTCTTGCTCGCCCTCGAAAGCATCTGCAACAGATTACTTGTGGTACCAAGGCCAGCTCGTGTCAGTGCACTTAGAGCGGAGTTGACTGGACTCAACCACATGCTCCCTGCAGAGGTATTTGCAGAGACCTTTGGCCTCATTCTTCGCTCATCCAGTCTTGTAGGTATGCATGCCGATGTGGTGCTCGTCCTCAGACAGCCCAAAACCCCCGCAAGGAATACCCGAACCGCATCACAGGATTGTTCGAATACCTCCGGGCGAGAGCGTCGTCCTCAATTCCGCCGAACGCGCACCTTACCTTCTGCTCGCCGAGATCCTACATGGCGATCTAGACTTTGATCCCGCGAAGCGCAACAACAAGGAAATACTCAAGAAGATCGTCCTCAAGGAGGTCGAGCGCGCTGGCTCGTCCAAGGATTTTGTAGCGTTTGGCGGCGCCCAACGACAATCGACCGCCGGCGTCGAGCAACCGGCCCCGCTAGAGGCGGGCATCGGCAACGACGTAGACGATGTCAGTGAGACGCCTACAATCGTCGTGTCGACATATTCCGCGGGACCTGTATCCCCAATGCCCCCTTCAGACGACGACGAAGAGATCGACCTGGTGGAGCAGCTTTACGGCGACGATAACTCGCTCCTTGCCCGCGAGGTGGACCTGTCAGAATCCATTGTCCTCCCGCCCCCGCCGAAGAACCGAGAGCTCGACATGGCGACATGGTCACGCTCGTCATCGGTTCCCCAGACTCCTGCCGTGGAGAACGAGCCGTTCAAGTCGCACACGCCCTCGAATAGCCTGTCTGGCTTCATCCAGCGACAGCCCTCTGTCTCTTCAATGCACCCATCCCCCGACTTGAACGGCTACGGTGCCGGGCCGTCGCGTACTCTTTCTTTGGATGAGTACTCGGAGCGCATGCGCACAGCCGCGGTGATGCTTGCACAGCTCAACGCGAATCTCGTACGCGAGTCTGCCCCAACGGTTGTCCCGCCTGGCACACCCGTCATGGAGTCATCCGCACTCGCAAACCCCTTCCGCTGGCTCACCAACACGCCGATCTTGTCCGTGAACCCGGACGAGGGCCTGCCGCCGGCGACGCCTGCGCCAATGCGCATGAAACTGCAGGCGGCGGAGGCCGGGGCGATCCGCGAGCGCATCATGGCCGAGATGCTCGCGCTGGAAGAGGAGCGCATGGCGCGCATGCGCGAGAACGGAGTGGGCGAGAGCATACTGAGTATGGGCGGTGACGGGAGCATGAAGAGCGAGGACGAACGCATCATTCGAAAGGAGCTGAGCAAGGCGGATCCTTCTGCGGTCGTATTCAGCGAGTCGTGGGCGGCGAAGAAGGTTGGACCAGCTATCGGCGCGTGCATAGAGAATTTGCTAACGCAGTGAGGCAGAGTCGAATACGACAAGCTTCGCCTTATGGCCACTTAGGTAGGGGTGCATCATGTCTCTCTGAGGCCGTGCTAATTATGCGCGCTGGAAGCGAGCTGGGACTGTGTCTCCGTCATTGTCAAGACAGGGGGTGATCTCCGGCAAGAACAGCTCGCTGTGCAGCTCATCCAGGAGTTTGAGAGGATATGGAAGGAGGAAAACTGTTCATGCTGGGTGCGATAGTATGTCCATTCACATCATGTGTGATATGCGCTCTCAATGTAGCATCTCTACAGTTTCCGCATCCTCATCACTGGTCACGACTCTGGCCTTGTCGAGACAATAACGGACGCTGTATCGATACATTCTATCAAGAAAGCGGAGTATGCCCGAAGGCTCGCAGCAGGTCGGTTGGGACATGTCACCCTCTTCGACCACTTCAGAGCGGTGAGTGTTTTCATGTTTCACCCGATGTCTATGAGAATCTTGACTCTTGTGTAGACGTATGGCGATCCCTCATCCGCGAAGTTTGCCAGAGCACAGCGTAACTTCGCGAAATCCCTAGCAGGTATAGCTTATACACCGTGATAAAGAGCCTCTCTGATAGCGTTGCAGGATACTCCCTTGTGACATATTTTCTTCAGATCAAGGATCGACATAATGGCAATATCCTGCTTGATCGCGATGGCCACCTTATCCACATCGACTTCGGTTTCATGTTGTCAAACTCGCCAGGCAACATTGGGTTTGAGGCGGCTCCATTCAAACTCCCTCTGGAGTACATCGAGGTACTCGGAGGGGTTGACAGTAAGCCCTTCGCGGAGTTCAAAAAACTTTTCAAGGAAGGCTTCGAGGCTGCGCGGAAGCATTGCGACCGTGTCGTCAGTAAGTGAACTTATTGTACTTATGATGCTCGCCCTCTGATGACCGGAACCTCTTCAGCTCTAGTAGAACTGATGCAGAAAGGTTTGTGTGGGATGCTTCGAATAACAGTGAATCTTTCATCGATGACATATTTCAGATTCTTCACTGCCGTGTTTCGCTGCACTTGGCGAACAGACCGCTGCTCAGTTGCGAGATCGCTTTCAGCAGGGTCTGACGCAGTCCTCAGTAGAGGAACATGTGAATCGTCTCGTCGAGACGTCGTTAGGCTCAAATTGGACGCGGCTATACGATTCAGTAAGTTTCCTACCTTCCCGTCGTAACCAAATGGGATATTGATGGTTCTCTATAGTACCAATATTACTCTCAATCAATATTTTGAGAATGTGATTCCCAGAGTGACCCTGTGCAGCATTCATGTTGATGACACCTGCCAGCATCCTGGACGATCATCATGCCTAACGTCTCGCACACGTGCTCAAGGTATCCAGTATTATATTCTGTCCGACCTGCAGCGAGAACTATAGATAGAGTATATCAAGATACAGAGGTGCTCAGAACAGGGCTTCATATCGCTTTGTGCAGCTGTACCACTCGTAATCTGAAGCCGACGCGGAATGAGTAAGCATCCTCAGATTGGTGACAGGTAAGCTCACCGAAGTTCTCCTTCGGATTGCACCAGCACTTTCCTTGCGAATGCAGGTCGCCCTGTGGGCAGTGCTGGAACGGGTTGTGGCGGTATCCTGTAGTAGGTATTAGTCACATTCTCGGAGGCAGGGCCAGCGTGGACATACCGATCTCCTTGAAGAAGTGGATTTGCTCTTTCTTTGCGAATAGAGCGGCACCGATACTATGGACCGGGGCATCACCCCAGCGCTACGACATCCTCAATACCCATGCTAGGATATTCAAAGGATGGTGAACAGACCTCATAGTAGAAACCACCCTTCGAGTCTAAGAAGTCGAAGAACTTGCTGTATGCCTCGCCGCGCCAGAAGTCGAGATCACCGATTTCAAAGTTGCTCCAAACTGTATATTGTCATGAGCCTGGATGTCGCAGGATGAGATGTCGGCAAACCCACAGTGGCAGTTGTTGTAACTCTCCCCGCTGTCGTCAGACAGGAATGCCATAGCGTTCCCAGGTGTCACAAGGTCGGGGTGCTCGTGAATAAATTCTGAGTGAATTCCACATGTCAGCTGCAGCAGATCAACGACAGCAGGAGATCCCAAACCTTTCACTGTATCCCAAAGTGTCGGAATGGTTGCTTGGTACTCGTAGAGAGATACGGTAAAGCCTAGCGATTGTGAGATTGTTTCAGCAATGACGTGGGACACCACTATATCGTCACACACGCACCATACACTTTGTTCTGGTCTTGCATGACCAAGAATGGCTATGGTACGTGAGACAGGGTTAATACTCGAAGGTTAGTTTGAACGGTCACGCACGTCAGAATGCAAGTCGCAGAAGAAAGTAACATCAGGTCTGCAAATATATGAGTAGTCTAACCTAGGTTAATTGACCTCAATACATACTCGATTCTCCAATAATACTTGTACTTGGCAAGCAATTCGTGCCTGTAGAAGAACTGAGAAGGAATGAGCTACGCCTGACATGAGGTCGCACAATAATACGTACGCCTGAGTTGAAGCGACACATGTTGCGATAGCTGAGCAAAAGATGAGCGCTCTTTAGTCAAGAAAAACACGATTAGACACATACGGGACGCTTCCTAATCATTATACGATGAGACGAGGCACGGAATGGTGAAAGTGAGGACTAACCTCCATATATGACTTGGTTCCTCTGCATCTCATTGCGGGCAGCCTCTGCCTTCTTCTCGTCAATCGAATCCGGCTGGTACCAATGATCACGGGGGATCAGTCCAAACTCGACCTTTGCGTTGGTCAGTCCCGAGACGAGGCTGTGGGAACGTCAGTGGATTGCTAGCACAACAAGCAGTACACCCGTACTTCTTGAAGTCGTCGCTGAACGGCTCCTCGTTGAGAAACACGTAAGGGTAGTTGTAATGCTTGTTGAAGCGATCCTCTGCGATATATGGAGCGTGAGATGCTGCACAGGCTCCTCAACGGAAGAGCCTACCCATCTGCTTCATGCTTCCAGCAATACCATTGAGGTCGCTGTTCCTCGCGAGAAGAACAAACGTTGCATTCGCTCTCCGCGTGTTGTTGGCTAGGGGGGTGTCTTCGTAGTAATGCACTGACGGTGAGTAGTCTTCTGGAGGTGTATAACCCTTGAGCTGGTCCGTCAGACGCGAGAAGGACGTCGCCTTGCTGTACTCTTCATGCGAGAAACTCAGCATAAAGTGAAGACTGATCTGTCATAACGTATGAGACCAGAACAGCAATGGGAAGTGAAACTCGACTTGCGATGATGGCCAACACCAGCATTACATAGCGCATAGGCGTCATCATCTTGACGACGAGCAAACCTCTTTACGAGGCGTATAGGCGTCGCGCGCGCTGTACTAAGATGCAACGAGGAAGAGAATGAAATGACAATGGCGGTGGTGGTGGCTGACACGGTAATATGTAGTCGCTTGCGCAGTAGAACTAATTCGATCGCGACCACGGCGTATCTGGCAGCCGCGGGTGATCTTGCGGACTCAAAATTCAAACGGCGAGTGTGCGACCACATGGGTTACTATGTAGTGTGCTCAAGCAAGTACATACAGAGAAAGCGATTGTAGAGTACGGGGGAAAGAGAGGATGCACCACAAGCTATGGAGGTGAGAACAATCCGACATCAGACCGAAAATGGCAGCGAGTATATGTCAATGAAGAGAAGGGGACACTGTGGGATATGTATTATGACAGCGCAGGGAAGCAGTGTCCTCGTAGAAGTAACAGTGGTCGACTCGCGAACTCCTTCAACGCATGGCACTGCTAGGCGCCACTGTGTCTTCCAGACTCTTATGTGCTTGCAAATCTCGCAACACGGTAGGATCGACTGTGACCAATGAACCAATTCACTGGTTAGACGCAATTGAAGGGAAGAGGGTCCACCGCCGCCACTTACCCGGAAGTGCGCTCTTCCGCCTCGAGTGGACGTGTGCACCGCCCGGTGAAGAATGTTCAACGCCCACCTCAGGGAAGGGACGCTAGAACGACCGCTGCATTAAATCATCGTGCCAACGAGATGACAAGTTTCCCGCAACCCCACTTACGTCTAGACCGGGGTCCGCCATCGGTACCCGCTCGATGCCAGACTCATCCAACTCGTTCAGCGGAACCTCCGCGTCTATCGACACTGCATTGAGGTCGATCGTCAAGTCCATGATATCCGCGTCGTCAACAGGTGGTGGTGGTGGTGTCGGTAGGTGATCAACGAAGTTCGGAGGCAGCTTGCCGCCACAGTTCTTGAGGGCTTTCTCGCGTAGGTTTTGCCACTCCTCATACCGGTCAACAGCATGTTGTCGCTCCCTGTGTGCATGTGTCAGACTTTGTTGGATTTGCGAACTCGGTGTAACATACTCGAGTTTTCGTTGCTTATATTGCTGCATTGCATCATCGAAGAGGTCAGGATTGATCTCCATGAAAAGTTTCAGAGCATTGTAAACCATTCCATGGATCGTTCTGGAAAGGGCAGCATGCATGTATGAGACCATGTATCCTCAGAAGACTGATTTGGACTGACCGGTTCCAGTGCGATCTTGAGTTTGCGTACAAGGCCGGGAAGACAATGGGCAAAATTACCGCTAGATTGTCGCTCATGAGGTTCACGATGTACTCGTTGTTCCAGTACATCAGAGCCCGCTCTGCGACTTGGAAGTGCTGACTATTGATACAACGTGCGAGTTGTTGGAATAATGGCACCTGAATCTTCTGGAACTCAACCGGGTCGATGACGTCCAGAACCTCCTCCATCTCGCTCAAAAACATGACTTCCTTCGGTGAGTTGACTTTAGGCCAGAACTTGAGCAAACCAAGGACGACGTCCTCCGCTAGCGCCGCGTCCTTCTCCAAGAATTGGACTACACAGTACGCCAATTGCGGATGATACATCGATAAGCTCTTGACCTTGTGTAGTGGGATCAAGACGCGCATGAGGAAGGTCTTGTGCTCCTCCTTCAATGGCAGCGCGAAACCATTGATGATGGAGCCCAAAATTTCGAGAAGTTCAGCAATGCCATTGTGCCGTTCCGTCTCGTAGATGAAATGGAAGAACACGTTGTTGATGCTTCGCCGTATAGGAGCCCGGAGATTCAGGAACTTGCCATAGATACGATGCAGCGTTGTCTTGAGAAAGTCGCGCTCCCGAGGATCTTCCGAGTCGAACAGCTCCAGAAGGTTCAAGACGAAATTCTGGTCAATATATCGCTTTGCCAGGTTAGTGTTGAAATCCGGGCTCTCCACAAACCGGAGAAAGAACTCGTATACGATTTTCAGGTGAGGCCAGGCTAGCTCGAGAACCGGCTCGTCTTCTTCCGGGTCGAAGGCATCTCCTGTCGGGTTGACAGGAGGGGGTATAGAGCGGAAGAGGTTGGTGGCAAACTGTCAGAATGAACAGTGAGATCCATATGCGCACAATATAGATCACACGTACCATTTTGACTACCTCGGGGTATATGGTTTCAGTTATGACACCGCGTTGAGTTGAAATGTATTCCAACATTTCGTGAAGAGTCTGGGTCTTGATTTGTTTCCCCTTGAGCTCGGCGTTGGTATCGTTGAAGTCAAACAACACAGCGCATTGGTGAAGTTTCTTGATAAATAACTGCGGACGCTCGCTAGGGGGCGTTTCTGCGCCCAATTTGTGAGACGGCCTGTCGAAGGGGCATTACCACATGCGACATACCCAGGAAAGGAGGCAGCCTCTCAATGTCAACCTTCTCTGTAACGACGAAACGGCTACTCCTCTGCTTGCGTGGTGGTTTCCCCACCATGGGAATTGTATCCTTGGGGCCGGGACGCAAACGGTTGAGGTTTGCTCGCGGAGGAGTCAAAGGGCCTCCAGCGGTATCCATCAACCGGTCAGGCTGTTCAGCAGCTGCATCGGGGCTGACAACCACGATGGGCGGGGCTGGAGTCGCCCTATCTGGCGCGGAATACCGACGATCGGCATTCGGCGCTGGGATGGAAGAGACAGCAGAACGAGTAGAAGAACCGTTAGAGGTAGGGAGCGAGTGGTGGCTGTTGTTGGTGAGATGATTGAGACTAGCGACAGCCGACGTGGGTTGAGGGAGTGGTTTGTTGCTATTAAGAATAGGTGCCGGTGCAGCGTTGGCCACCGCAGTCGCGGAGGGTTTGGACTCTTTGTTCTTGGAGGATGATGAATCCTGAGACTTGGATCTAAGCTAGAGAACGGAGTTGGTCAGAAGCGCGTCCTGGAGGCTGAGTAGGTTGGATATTAACCAGTGTCTTCTTGAGACCCTTCATGGTGGCGAGAGGGAAAAGAATGTGCCAAATTGGCCCTTGTACGCCCGCGCTGCCGTTACAAGTTGGGAAAGCGGGCGATGAGAAGTAGGCGTCGACGCTGTGCGGAGTGTCGCTACCGCTAACAGAATCGATGAGCCGCAACAGACGGGCAATGTGTGACACATCACGCGTAAATGTGACATGCGTGACTTCAGCGCGCAGTCACTGAATGCGGCTTGTGGACTGTTACCATCCGGGTAGCGCAGCAGTGCTTTGGCGGTCTTCCACCCGTCTTCCTCTCCTTTGCGAGGACTTGCGAGTATCTGTAGCCTCTCGTTGCTGTTGTTGATTCTGTCAAGATGGCCGGTAAGTCGCGCCCTAACCTATTCGCTTCGCATGTCTTAAAAGACCCCGAATATAGCCATCTACACGGTGTATACCTCCCCAAACCACCCGCCCATTCCCAACCACCTTCCGACCCTCATCGTGACACCCCATGGTATGTGTTGCGTCCCTAATGATTCTACTATACTGACTCTCGCAACTGCTAGGACAACCGTCGAACATCCTGTACTCATACCTCCACACGAACTTCGTGAGCCAAGTGATCGTTCTCATCGTACCCTCATCCCACTCACAGCTCCGCGCAGAACACAGAGAACTACCTCTTGACGCCATCTCCACAGGGTGACCTCTGTGTAGCGAAGCTCTTCCCTCCCCGCCAGAATGCCCCCGGTAAGACCACCGCGTCTGACCCTGGCCATTCTGCTCCAGCCAACTCCCGGGTCGTCCGCTGCGAGGCATCTCGTAACCTCAAGTGGTCGATAACGAATACTGGCGTCCTATCTCCTATCTACAAGCTGGCGTTACCGTCGCCAGATTCTGCCGATCTGCCGTTATTCCAGATTTCCAAGCCCAACCCGAATGCAGCATTCTGGAGCATGTTTTACTTCGCATATGCCGGGCACAACATCCCACCCAAGCGCATTGAGTTCGGGAAGATCATGAAGAACCCACCAGGACCGAACGGCGGTGGCACGCGCATCAGCATTACAGGCAAGACACCTGAGGAGAAGGCGGTCTGGCAGACGCTGGGTGAAGGCAACGAGGACTGTGTGGAGTGGGTGGTTCTATGCGCTGCTCTGAACCTACTCGAGTACGTGTGCTTGCGGTCGCTAAGCAAAATTCGCGCTGATCAGCCTCGTTTCAGCGATGAAATCATCAAGGCGGCCGAGAAAAACCCGCCTCCTACTTCGGCATCCGTTTCTCCGGCGAATGGACACCCACCTGCGGGCCCAGGGGGCCGCCCTCCTCCTGTCGCTCTCCGCGATCCAGGACCAGCGCCGCCTCTCGGCCCTAGTCAGCCCACGCGCTCCGCGACCATGCCGCCCAACCTCCAACAGCAACAGCAGCATCCTGTCATGCGTGGACCCGCGCCCGGCGCAGGACCTGCGCCTCATCCCGCTCTCATGCCTGGTGGAGGGAGAGGCGGCCCGCTTCCGGGCCCGCAGAATTTCGCGCCTCCGGGCCCGCAGGGCTTCTCGCCTCCGGGCCCGCAGGGCTTCTCGCCTCCGGGCCCACAGGGCTTCTCGCCTCAGGGACCGCAGGGCTTCCCGCCTCAGGGACCGCCGCGCGGGCCAGGATTTGGCGGCCCCCCGCCGCCGCAGGGCTATGGTCCCCCACCTGGCCAAGGATACCCTGGTCCTGGTGTTGGTCAGCCGCGGCCTGGTCCTCCAGGTCAACCGGGTGCGTACCCTCCAGGCGCATACCCTCCTCCGGGACCTGGCCGTGTGGGGCCTCCGCCTCAGGGGCAACCTCCACGGCGATTCTAGTCGACTTAATCCTCAGTCGCTGAGGCTGTTGACATGATCTTACGATGCGCATGGGGTGATGCGGACCTGATACCTTGTAAATGGCTGGAGTGGACAGCTACGTCACGATTGAATCTCGTTCTCATATCCGATGTTCTCATATCATTTGTAGCTCGCTTCTTTTCTGGTCTCATTCTCTCCCTGGCCCTTCGGCATGCTTTTCATGATGGTTTTTGCCCTCGTATTTGTGCTGTCCCTTCCAGTTGATATTGACGGCAGATGATGCGGTTGTAGTAAATATACATCCAATCCGTGGTTCCGATTGTCCATCATCCCGGAGCCACGCGCAGATACCCTGCCCATTCTCTTACATACATGTCCCACAGCAACACGTCCTATGAACTCTTGACGAGCGTCTCGATGGTATCCATGGATAAGGCTGGTTTTGACATAATCATTATTGTCTGGCTCAACAGACAATTCGGCATTAATCACTCACACTTGGGTCGCTCGATAGGCATTCCAAGGGCTGCAGAACATTGTCAGGTATGTTTCTATTCTCGCCGGCACTCGCATACCTCTGGCCCAAACAATCTGCGTAAGGCAACCCAACGCTAGTGGTAAATCCAGATCAATAATAGATCGGTAAGAGCGGCAATTTGCCTCACCTCTGGAGACTCCAAAGATGACAGTATAGTACTGCCATGCGATCATTCTCAGACTAAGATGAACTCATATCTCAGGTGCGACACATACCTTGAACTGCGTGAGACCATAATGATACAACACACAGCCTGATGACGCGTTAGTGTTCACTTCCGAGCAAGAGGGATATTATCATTACCCGAAGCAGCGTCAACGTTGGGGAAGGGATTCTTCGTCTGGGAAATGAAGTGTGAGTAACACCTGTAGAGGAGCGACTATTGCGCCCAAGCCGCACCTTGCCGTGTTCCATCAGCACGCCCGGTGCTACATCGTAGGTCTACGCGCTCATCGTGAGTCGACATCTTTCATCACGTTCCTGGTCACAACTGACCTTCTTGACAAGTTGGATCACAGGGTCCTTGAGCAGCTCTGGACGGGTCTCGCAGAACTGCTGCAGCGCGATAAAGCGCGGATCAGGGTTCCTTAGGACACCATGTCCGTATCTATGCCATGAAACTGTGCCTTAGATGGGCTGAGGTACGAAAATGGACGAATCGTCTGCGTACCCAGGTACGACCTGTCCACTTTTCAGCGTCCGCCAGAGGAAGTCCTTGATGTCGTCGTGCGAGACGTTGTCGCCAATCTCCTTCTGCATGTTCAGTTGCCATCGCAATACCTCCTGGTTCGCCAGACTATCGCAAATACTGTATCAGAACACTTCTCACTGATAGCCAGCGCTTATACGCACCCGTGTAGAGGACCGGCAAGCGCGAAGAGCGCGCCGGCATAGGCAAGGTATGGATCCGAGAGGGTTGAACCAATCAAGTCTGCGTGGATAATGCTGTCGACTGCGAGTCCATAATTAATCAGGATGCTGACTTACGAGACGTGTGCGCCGAAGCATTGCCGCCTTCGTGATCCCCATGCAGAGCGATGTATAATCGGAGGTACTCGGTAAGATCATGATTGTCACCGTATCCTAACATGTTGACATAATTTCCTGTGGGTCGGATCATTAGGTCATTGGTCCGATACGACGTCTCCCCATCCACCGTACTCACCGACGAGGTCCAGATCCTTGTTGACGCTAGGAATAGGTGTGCCGGGGTTGTAAACGTTCCGGTAGATGCGCGCAGCGATGGCCGGGAGCCGCGCCAGGAGATTCATGCTATCTTCCAGGGCGTACGTCCAGTACTCGCTCTTCTTGATGCCTCGTTCGTAAGCAGATTGGAAGGCGCTCTCGTGGTTCAGCGCCGCGACGGCCATCCCGAGCTGTGTCATGGGATGTAGGCTCGCAGGAAGCCTGCAGCGCACACAAAGAGCATCAAGGCATGACACACACAGTACAGGAGAGATGAGCGTACGAGTCGATGAGCTTTACCAGGTAATCGGGCAGCTCGCCCTTCTCCGCTAGCTCGCGAGAGAGCTGCCGTGTCTCTGCTTCCGTGGGCACTTTGCCTGTGAGCAGGAGCCAAAGCATGCTCTCCGCGATGATCTCCTTGCCCCCGGGTGCAGCAGGAAGCACTTTTTGACACTCAGGGATGGACAAGCCGTGGAACCTAATCCCCTGCTCCCAAGTCAGAGGATGAGGGCGATGAGATAGGAGTAGCACATGCCTCCATGGGGTCCAGGACAGACGCCTCCCATAGCATAGCTTTCAACCCTCTCATACCCCCAATTACATGTTCGACCTTCCAGAAGCTGTTGAGTACGCTGCGTCGTCGTGGAGTCAGAATCTCTCACCTTCACATCGCCGATGACAGTTTGACCGTGCTCTGCTTTCTATCCTTACGCTTCAGCATTGTACATGGCACCATTAATTACCATGAACTACTCACGAGCTGCTTAAGGCGCGCCTGCTTGACTGGGATAACTTCCTCCAGCACATCGCGGATAGTCTGAAAGACGTCGCGTTATCCTAGCCAATTGACAAAGAAGTTGAAGACGGACCTTGGTAGAGGCAAAACGGCGCTGCGAAGTAGCCGCCGCCCTTGATAATGACCTAGCAATGTGAGAGTGGCCGTAGAACATGGTGAAGTACAGACGTATGGTAACTCTAGGGGAGTCTATGGGTGGGGACAGAGGGGTGGTTGTCTATTATACGCCGACGAGAGGGCTAGAGCTGAGATGACAGGCGCGCCTACCCCGCTTACAATCTGGGGTAAGTCTGGGGAAGCGAGCGGCGGCATCTGCGCACACGATCACACGCCTGTTCTTGTCCCTGGTCAGGAGGTCTGCCGGTAACAGCCCCTTCACCGACTGCCGGTCCCCCCCCCTGTTCGGAAAGCCCGACGTACAGCGCATCATCGCACTGCGCCATGTCGCAGGTACATGCGTGCAGGCTCATATTGCGGAGCCAGAATGGCCGCGGTCGTGAGATCCCAAATGCCGACAACGAGCACAACAGTGTGAGGCGGCACATGAGAACACCATGCGTTCAATTTACTGATGCGTATGGCCGCAAGACGACCGGAAAGACTTGGTTGAGCCAAGTCAAAATTTAACGTGCAGGACATAACAGCGCGTTTGATGATGTCAAGATGCTGTATACTAACTTCCCGATTAGGCAATGACACACGCGACTGGCGGCAGCGCGTCGTGCCAGCAAACCGTCTGCACAGCGTGACTGACTCAACGCTCATCTGTTCCTTGCCTCCACTATGGCCTCGGTCCTGGTGCCCGTCTTATATGTGGCCATTGTCTTTGGTTCTCTCCTCGCATTCAGCTCTTGGTACAGACGTCGCAACGCCAGTGAGTGAATCCATATGCAGCAAGTAAGCATGTCAGCGACTGAGCGTGTCGCGTCCCCTCAGCCAAGATCTATGAGCCCTATTTCCCCCCGCACCGAGAGCGCGATCTCTATGTAACTCTCCTTCAGAAGGCCGATCCTGCACCGCCCGAATCGCTCCTCAAAGCAGCCCTTGTCCGTCGGGCTATGACCGATGTCTCTCGCATCTTGCGCATCCGCGAAGACAAGCCCGCTCTCCAGATCCTGCTGCAAAAGGGATCCATAGGCGATGATCTTTGGAACAGTCTCCTCGCGGCGGAGAAAGAGCTCGAGGCCGAGATCCTCGAAGTCGCCGCGGAGGCAAACTCATTCGTCGAAGGCTGGGGTCAACTCATCTTCCAGACTGCAACAGAAATGATGCACAACGAAAGAATGCGTGGCATCTACGAACAGATTCCGCAGATGCGCGCCACCAGGGGTGCGTCCCAGACACTGGATGCATTGAACACATGCTTATATCGGCCTTAGAACGGAAGTATGGACGTATAGCCACATCCAAGGCAATTGAATCTGCTACACCAGCATCTGCGTCTCCGCCACTTGTCTTCACGCCCCAAAAGCCTGCTTCTCCAGCGCCTTCGCAGACACCTGCCTCTCCCAAATCCACGAACGGCTTAGCGCCACCTCCTAGCGTGGGCGCGGATAGTGGTTTGAGCGATGGCGAAAGTCCCGCTTCCCCCGCCTCGCCCCGAACGCCGTCCAAATCCGTCAGTGATCTGTCCGAATGACCCTCGTTTCATCATACTAACACGCCACAAATAGTCCGCGAAGAAGGCAAAGAAGCGCAAGTAGATATACAGTCATTATTCCTCTTGGTGGTCACAGTAGTCGTAACGCGTATATGACGGAGAGCAGCGGACTCTCGTCTACGTGGGTAATACAGAGCTCGAGATGAAAGACAGGATACATGTGAGCTGTCAGAAAACGAAAGCCAAACAACGACGTGTCCACGACCTCAGTCATTAAGGTATGCATTCATCACCCCTTAATGACAATCGCCTTCTCTCCTGCACCCGTTCTCGTCCTCCCAGACTTGTCGATATGATCTAGTCCAAGGACATCTTCCGGTGCGAACTTATGGTCGTAGATGGTGTCCTCTGTAGCAGTTCTAGGTCAGTATACACGTACGGGTACGAAGGGGTATGGTGGCTTCACCATCTTCGATATAAGAAGGTTGCTTGAACGTTGCCACTTGAATGAGCGCGAAGCGGAACTTAGCGAAGTCCTTGTCTGATGCACCTATCCGCACTTGTAGGCGCTTCTTCGTCTCAGAGAACTTCTCACCCTGCATCCACGTCACGTCATCAGTACAGTCCGTACGACGAGGCGAGAACAACATACCGGTTTCACGACGAAGCGGAACGGAACACCGTGTGTTCGAGAAACCTCCTTGGAGAAATGGAATACGCTGATGACTTTGTCGGCATCATCGGCCTCCAGCTCCTCCCGTGGAATCTCCTATACCCGTTGTCAGTATACATCCTGTACGCACGAGGAGCTCTGCGCTCTGACCTCAGCAAAGAGCTCAACCGGATCGGGTATGTTGCCAATCATCTCTGATCCAGTGAACTCCTTTTGCGTCTTGCCATCCTTCGACACCTCAAACACGCGGATCTTGCCTGTGCCGCCAGGCGAAAGCTTCACCTGTTTCGCAAGATGGTCCGCGAGATCATGTACCGAGCTCGTCTTCGGTAGTAGGAACGGATGTGCCGACTCCTCCTTGTTGTTGATGCCGGTCCAGATGACCTTGAGGCTACGCTTCGTCTCCAGTTCCACGATGCTCACATCCAGCTTCTCGTACAGAATAATCGTCGTTTGTGGGTTGACGTAAGTGGGCGAGATAATCTCCGCGACGCTCTGGTTCAGCGAGCGCTTCAAGATTGCCTTCGGTGCGCCGTTTGTAGCGTGCGTCGTGGTAAAACGAAGCTTGATCGGGTCGTGCCTCAAGTACTCGCCAACTTTCGCGGACATCTGCATTGGGACGTGTCGCATGAGTCTAGGTATGGTATGATGGAAGAGCAGCGCCTACGATGTCATAGTTCTGCTTCTTGCTGAGGACAAGGCTAAATTCAGGATAGTCTGGGCCGGACTCCTCAAACTTGGGCCGGAACATGACCATTACACGATTTTGCAAGAAGTCATAGTACTGAGTAGGGTTCGAGTAGAGACCCTGGCTCTCGAGGTCATGAAGTCTGGTTCTGACGTATGAGCATCATATATGGAGCCCGACAAGAGATCCCACGTACTCCTTGTCGTTGATGTCAACCTGGAAGCAGATGATATCACCGTCCTGGATCTCGCTTTGCGTAAATGTGAGCTTGGGCTTCATAAGCTCGATCATGCCAGGTTTGATTTCCTGTACGCCAACCTTCGCATCAGCACAGGTCCTATTCTAGAGGCGAGAAGCCCTACCTCGTATAGCTTGAGAGGAGTGCCTGATGTCCACCGCATGCGCTCATTAATGAGAGGAATGAGATCGCCGACTTTACTGCTCCGCAGCACATGGACCTTTCCAAGACCAAAAAGACTCTGTTTCGTGGTATCGAAGTGCTTCAGGAAGATCATGATTGAACCTGCAGAAACTTCGGGCTGAATGAATATATAGATCAGTATGGATCAGACCGATATCTAGCGGCACCACATACCTTCGTCGGGTCGGGAATGACATCGAGGTATAGTCGTAGGTCATTCTGCTGCCTGACAGCCATGTTATTTCGGATGACCTCCACAGCTTTGAAAGCAAGTTAGGAGCCACTGATGCCAGAGAAATATGTTAACGTACTGAGGCCGGGTTCATTCTCCGGGATGTGCGTGTCAGGCCGCACAGTCTTGTTCTGCCTATTGACCAGTACCCATAGTCGAATCTGAGTCTCAGGGTAGTTGAAGTGCTGCGCTACCCTCGTCTTGAATGTGCTATATGTTTCGCTCTTCAGGACACGGAATGTAGGCAAGTCTGATGGCGGCCAGTTCCTCTCGTCGAATGTTGCTAAGTCGAAGCCTTCGTGCTGGACAAAGGTCTCGTCGGTAATGACCTGACAAGCGTAGTGTTAGCCCTCCCATATCGTCCAGTTTGCTGCACCTACTTTCGCAGTGAGATAGAGATGTTGCTCTTCTCGCTCGCGCTTCTTCGCTTCCTGTTGTAGGCGCTCCTCATCCAGGCGCTTCTCTGACAAAGTGCATGTGACATCAACCCTCTGAAGCGCACATACGAGAATGAACCAACGCTCACTGAGGTGCGGCGGTGTATCCTCCTCTTTGAAAGGTGCCAATACTTCATCGATAGCCGACTCGCGAATGTACACCAACATGTATGCGTTCGTAAAGCGCTTTATTGAGCGCACCTGATTTCGCTGCATGGGCGAGACCAAACCGTTCAGGGCCTCACCACCGTAGTTCTCTTCCAAAACCTCTCGGTCGGTGACTGGCGTGACGCGGTCATCATCAAATTTGAGCCATCTTGTTTCCCGATCAGGCTTGATGAGTGCGAAGTAATGGCCGCCATGCAGATCGCCTGAGTGCACCAATACTCCGTGGAGTTTGTATACCCATGGTTGTGACCGGTCCGTAGCCTCATCGAGGAATTCATCCAAGTCTATCTCGAAGGGGAATTCGTGACGGTCGTTGATCTGTTGACCTCGGTTTAAGAATTGATTTGAGAAAAGAGTTACGCACACCTACCTTGACCATGGCATCACGTTGGATATCATACTCGAAACGCTTGAGTTGCAAATGGAGGACAGGAGGGAAGGATTGGAATAAGATGCCCTTCTTCGCCTCTTGTAGACCGTACCCTTCGGCTTGGTACTTGTTCTCGCCTTCCAGCGTTTCGACGGCCACGTAATCCCTGAACGACTCTAATAGGTTTTTCATGCCCTTAACGTTCAGTTGGAGATCTGCGGACGAGCATGTGTACGGGTGCAATTTCGACAATTCAATCACCTACCGTTGAATTCCTCAATCCTGGAAGATTCGTAGTCAACGTTGACGCACTTGATATAGCTCTTCATCTTGCCCACGAAGAGCTTCTGGATAGCGCCTTCGGCGATGGTGCCCTTTTTAATATCAGCAAATAGCGGCGCTTCGTCGTAGCACAGAACATACCTTCATCTTACTCTCAAGCTTGTCCTGTAGAACTCGGTTGAATTCCTGAACATCGTGCTGCAAAAATGAGTCCAGTGACTTCCACCCAAAAGACTTTGTCAGCTCCGTGGTACCTGAAGTTTTACTCCTTAGTGGGAATGCGGGTTACACACTACTCGGAAGTCTCACCAACAGGTTGGTCAGAAGTCTGCAGATGATAGAATACCCGCTGTAGCGCCAGAGCTACGCTCTCCGTTGGATGGTCATCCTCCGTGGGAATTTGGTAGACGGCCTGCGCAATGGTTAGTATTGCAGCGCGCCAATGCCGAAAACATGTAACACACTTTTCGGAAGTATCGCGTGCAGTACAAAGACTGAAGCAGGGAGTTCATGTAGCATGTCGCACCCTGATTCTTGAGCCCAACAAAGCCCGTTTCCTTCTTCGAATCGTAACTAGCGCACAGGGGTTAGCATGGTGTACTCACGGAATATCATCATACTCACTTGACGAAGTTGTGCCATAGCACTCCTGTCGGATCCTCGAGTACGCGGACGAATACACTGACATCTGCAGTCTCATCCTCAATTGTTGGTCGAGTGTGGCCCTCCTGGACACTGAACAACTTTCGCAATTCGCTGAACCGCGTGAAGCCCCAGTCGCACTCCTCGGCGATAAAGCGATGGTGTGCATCTGTTCGAACAAGCGTCAGACAATACCATACATGCATTGTAATTACGTACGGCTGACAGTGTAGATGGTCGGATCGTTGGGGTTCGAGATGACCAATGCGAATTGGGCACACGCATGCCATCCCTCAGGCGCTCGCTTAGGGTCGGCATAGTCAAGATATACAGAGACAGTGTCATTTGGTGGCGCATTCGAGTTCCCAAACGGAAATAGTAATATCCGCCTGCGTGGTGTACCATGAAGCCGCAGAATACACAATCAAGCAGTCTCTGAACATACCATCTGTGTCCTCCACACTCGAACTCCGGGCTTGTGATCTTCTTCTCCAGTTTCTTCCAATTTGTCAACCTCCAATTGTATACATGCACATCCTTAATTTCATGGCCCAGGTCGGGCATGTGCTTGGCGATGAATGCTTGTTCTGAACGGATAGATATGGCGAAGTTATCAATATCTGAAGCTACGCCACCGAGCGCAGATGCACTCACCATCGCGAACTGAGACAATCTCCTCCACCTCAACGGGTGGTGGCCCACCGTTCACTTTCTCGTCGAGGACGTCCATTGTGTCGCTCTATGACGCACGGTTCCAGGTCAGCGTGCATCGCACATGGGCAGACTACAAGACGGACCATGTCGAGTATGCCTTGATAAGACACAAGGAAGACGTCGATGTAAGACCCGTCGCAGGGGTGCTAGAGTACAAGATAGAGCCGTTTGAAGACGCGTACGATATGCAGGACGATGAGCACTGGCCTAGCCGGGCGGGGCCGTGGTAAAATTCTGCCTTAGTCATCCTCGGCCTGCTTATAAGCCCATTCTCGTGCCTCTTAGCTTGTTTCCATTCCTTTTTTCCACCGACTCGTGCTTGCCATCCACGTATGCAGCTCGCTCGAAATATGCCCGCAGCTTCTATGTGATCTCCTGGCCTTTTTCGAACAGAGCTGCTTCAATTTCCGCTCGTTAGCCCGTCTTCCCACACGATCCTTAAATTGTCTCGACAGGGAAGCCTTGCTTCCACCAGCCTTTTCGCTGTCTACTGTCGGTAATGAGTCAAAGTCGTGTAAGAGCAAGCTATTGGATCTGGATTCTGCTTGGTCTTGTATTGGGATCAAGTAGGTTCTTCCAGGTCTATCTGCAATGCTGACGTGCCGAAGGCAACGTCTATTCATTGGCGTTGTCGTTTTTCACTGTCGGCTCACATTTTATGTATTTGGACTCCTGATACACGATTGTATATGTATATATGAATAAGTATCTCATCACCCCATGCCACCATCTGGTTACAAGATCATTGCCCTTGTGGGTTCAGGCTGTAGACAAGGAAAACAATCATTCAACGCGTCTGAGGGAAGTCCCCCTCGATCCACGCAATTCTCGTTGTATCGGTGAGTCGCGGTTGTTCAAACGTTCAAGCTGAGGGTTCGGTACACTTTTCTGAAGGATATAAGCAATGCCTGGCCTCGATGACCTCATAGGTAATTCATCGACTGCTTGATATCGGACCGTGCTCCCTGTTAGTCTAGCTTTACATCCTAATCCAGCACGACTGTTTTGCATTCAAACATGCATCTGTCCGATGGCTTCAGGATACTACCGACATTGTTGCGGATGTCTCATCCCCTCAGCTTCAGGCGGAGGCATCATGTCAACGGTATGCCGCCATACTTTAGCCACAGAGCAGAGGCAGGATTATTGAGCATGAAACATGGGTGCCACAGAGGGTCACAAGAAGACACAGGCTGATCAAATTCTGTCGAACCTCGAAGGCGAGCGCTGGCAGTGAGCGCGACCAATTGAGAGGCGAGATGCACGTCGCTTGAGACCAAAGTGGGACTTTGGGAACGCTCGCGTTCTGCCTCATGTCGACAGCGGCCATTTTTGGCTCTTCTCGTGGCTGGCGTTTCCTGTTCCCTACCTCTACTACCCTGCTGTACCTGGTCTTCTCCGAGGTTGACACCGCTACGTTTTCTCCCTACGACTGGACATGACCAGTCGTCAGCGAGCGGCCACCAGCTCTGCTCGGAGAGATGACAGACCGCTGTGGACTGCAAACGACTCAGATTCCGACCGCCCTCGCATGACGATGGCCGCCTCACAACGGCATAATATCGACCAAGCTGCCAATGCCGAAACTTATCGTAGGCACCACACTTCCTCTGGGCGTATGGATGCTTCGAATACGGCTCCCGCAGCTGATGGTTCGCAGCGCAAATCGTCGAGCAAACATCGCTCTGCTACTGTCCCTACACCTTCCTATAGTGCAGCCCAGTCCCAGAATTACGCGGCGCCGAGTGGTACACCGGCATCCACTTCTCAAGGTCGGGCTTATGACGGTTATCCTGATGACTATAATCTACGCGCCTACATGAAGAAGAGATCTGAAAAGAGAAGCCCTCTATCGTCGAACGAGCGAGTTGCTCTTCCTGACGACGCAAGGACCTCACGCGCTCCAGCCCAGGCCCGCGGCACACATCCTACCGCAAGTACCATGGTGCAAGCCCCAACCTCAACGCAAACGTACTGGATTGATCCTGCATCAGCCACGCATAATCCATCTTCGTCCTCTCGTCGGGAGCGGGAAAGGGACAAGGATAAAGTCAGAGAAAGGAGAAGAGAAGAGAAGGAGAAGGACGAGACACGTTCGAGGGACCCGGAAAGAGAGCGTGAGCGCGAGAAGGAGAAAGAACGAGAGCGACGCAAGCAGAGGGCCAAGGAGAAGGAGCGTATTAGTAGAGACAAGGACAAGGACAAGGACAGGGACAGGGACAAGGACAGGGTCAGGGAAAGCCGGAAGAGGGTGGACCGGAGAGTCGTTGAACGAGGCAACGGTGAGGTCGCGCAAGAACAAGGTCCAAGTTCGTCAAATACGCAGATCTCCCAGAACGCAGACAACCAACTGCCGACCGTGACGCATGTATGTTTCTTTCACCTGGCATCTCACCTCATATCTCGGTTTATCATGATCCAACAGGATAGATATGGCAGTCAGACCCGTCACCCTGCTTCTGCTTATCCGAAGGTACCCTCCACCTCTGCAAATAATGCAACTCCCCGCGATGCATCGTACCCTCTCGGGAGCAGCAGTCGGCAACCTGAAACCGCTAGTCCGGCACCGCTGCCGATACCATTGCGGGAGAGGGAGAAAAGTTCTACTCGACATCATCGCTCACACCGAGTGGCTGGACATCAGAGCGGGCAAGAATCAGGCATGTCAAGCAGCGAACAGGAGCATTCTGGTCGCGAGCGTGTAAGTACCTAGATACATGCTGCATTATCACTTAGCATGACGTATCTGTGTGTAGTATCGGACCGCTGATCGACGACATGGAACGCGCGATTATAACGTCGACAATCATCCATCAGGTCCTTCAGGAAGCGAGACAGAACGAGGTAGTTTGCGGGAACGCGTGAGTAAATCATGCAATGTTTGTGTATGCGCGCTGAACAATGTTCACGGCAGCGCAAGATCAGTCGCCCGAGTGCGGAGTCCACCGTTCAAATGAAGGCCGCCGGCAGTGATCCCAATGGTGCACGTACTCATCACGTAAGCCTTGAATTGATGTGCGATACCATACATTGTGACAAGATGTTTAGGCCAAGCAGTCCTCCCGTGAATCACCCGCTCACCGGCCAATGGGAAGTTCGCATCTGGCCTCAGCAGGAATACAGCCCCATACACCGGGGCCTCCCGTGGGCCAGACTGTACCCGTAGGTGTGACATCCCAACGTCATGCACCACACGTAGTCAGTATTCGCGCTGGGCAGGGTCCTGCTGATCCTCAAAGTCCCGTCATGAAGCCATACGGTACGGCCACAGTAAACCGTTCGCAACAAAACAATGTCGGCGATTATGTACCAACACATGAAGGTGCGAGGGTCCAAACATCTATGGACCCTCCAGCGGCACAGTATGGAACGCACAACGCATCTCATCAGACTTCGGCGCCTGTTGTAGAGCAGCAACCTGCCACACGCACGGCAACGCATCAGGATCCATATAATGGTCAAGCTTCGACTGGTTTCCTTCATCCCGTACAGCAAGCCATCCGCTCGGTAGAAGGAATCCTGCGCCCCTCCTCGAGAGTCACGCACCGCTCAGCCACCGCCCCGCCTGCTGCCAACCAAGGCTTTGCCACAGCACATGCTGTGCAGAGCCATGTTGGGTCCGTGGTTCACCAGCTTCAGTCTCAATCTCAAATACAGAATGGAGGGACGGATGACAGAACCCGTCCTCATAGGTCCGCGTCTCAGGGCAACCCAGGCATATCACAGGTATATGGTGCAGTGAGTCAGTCCAACCCCGCGGTTGCTCGAGCTACAGCGCCATACTCGCCTTCCCCTACTCATAACCCGAACGCGGACATGTTTCGGTCCCCTGGCCTCGCTACGTCGACTCAACTCGAAGGTACGCCTGCTGATATTCCGCCAGCATCATACGGTGCGAGCACTAGTAGCCTTCGCCGAAAAGCAAGTGCCTCAAATCTGAACGCGACCGGTACTAAGCAGAGTTCTGCAACGCCATATGCAGATCGGCAAGCGATCGCACAGCCAACTATCTCCGTCCAATACACAACATCTACGTATCCGTCAGCTAATGGCATCTCCTATGATCCGCGCTCACCCAAACCGCCGACTATCTTGCCACAAGCGGTGACAGTCGCCGAAGCGACATTTGTGCCACCGTCCCGAGTGCCGTCGGCTGATCCTCACTACAAGGAGTTGTCATCCCAGCGCCAAAATGTTGTGTTGGAATCTGTGTCGTCACCGGTTCGTCAAGTGCATTCCAAGCTTGCGCCAACTGCTGCCCACCATCTGTCTGCAGATATCAATGCGGCTGTTCATTCTCCTTACCGCAATCCTCATACGATGTCTCGCTCACCTGGCATGTCTACTATCATGCCGCCCAACTCCACACCCAGACAGCATTCCTCAGCGCGGCTGCATTCTCACCGAAATGGATCTACTGATACCATCACGCTATCCCCGGCTCCTAGACCTTCTCAGACTGTGCAATCTACGCAGCCGCAACCATTGACGAACCGATCCAGCGCGACGAATTTACGAGCAACCACATCACGACCTGAGACGAATCCGACAGTACGAACTGCTAATGCTTCATCTGGATACCCTGAACCTGCTCGATACCGCTCGCCTGCTCCTAGTCAATACCCACAACAAGCCGCAGCCTCAATACCTCTTGTATCATCGTCAACATCTTCCCTTCCGAATCAAGCTCAGATCTACGGTAATCACGCCCCCTCTTCGAGACCTGCTTTGTACTCAGGTGGCCCGTCTTCCACTGCTCCCGAGCCTTCCCATAGCGCTTACCGAGGCGCAGACGTGCCGGCGGGATACTCTGCACAAACGTCTGCATATCTTGCGTCCGCAGGTTCATCTTCGACGGTAGCACCTGGAGGGCAACGTGTTCCCCCTCGCACCGCTGCTTCCCCTGCTCCCACGGTTAACGCGCGACAGTATAATGGCGTTTCTACGCCCTCTTCTCAGCAGACCGTTCTACCACCCTCTCATCCTCAACAAGCACGGAACAACACGTACACTAATAGCTCAGGCCGCCGACCAGAGCCTTCTCCAGTCCCTGACCCCTCTCATAGTCACGCTCGAGCAGCTTCGGATCCTCATCATGGCGTGTCCACGAGCCGTGTTGGATCTCATTCTGCGCACACGAAGAGTCGTTCGGACACTCGGCCTGGTGAAGCTATTGAGCCGGAAGTTTTGCTGACACCTTCGTCTCTGGCGCCGACGTTGCCTCGTCAGCTCTCAACTACATCGACTGTCGCACCAGGCACCGCCCGAGGGTCAAGGGACAAGACGGTGGAGAGGGAGCCGCGCAAGAAAGGGGGATTCTTTAGTCTGTTCCGTTCGCGTTCTTCGCCACCTAAAGAGCCAGAGGTGCGTCCTCCAGCAGCTGTGCATCAGGCTCGCCTTCGTAAAGAATCCGCCCCTCCAAATCCTGGTGTTTATTCGGTAAATCAAACTGGCGCTCCTCAAGCGTCGTCCGCCCATCCTTCGTCTGCTTATCCCTCGTACCCCTCGTCTGCAAACCCTTCCACGACCCACCCACCAAATCTTTCGACATCCCATTCATTGTCCGCTAACCCATCGTCCGCTCCTATGTCGTCCAATATGATGCAGCAGGACGAGGAGGCGCGGAGACTTCGCAGACGTGCACAGAATGCAGAGGCAGCAGTTCCAAGCGGTCGCCGCAATGGCCCACCTGACGCGTTGTCCACCAATGCACCAGCAACAGGCAGGAAAAGCCCTGGATCGAAGATGTTCACGCCTTTTCGTCTACTATCGAAGCGGCACCGAACTGTCTCTGCAGCGTCAGTTGAAGCTGTGGATGGGACGGTGGTAAGTCAAATACACGTAATCTCTTTGGATTTACATTGACTGGCGTTACAGGCGAACACTGTTATCACTGGTGCGAGTTCCACGAGAAGCTCTACAGCGGGCAGACTCTCTCCGCCTTTGCGAGACCCTGTGATCGCCGCGCAGGAATGGAGGAATAGGGAAGAAGCCGACCAGATGTACCGCGGCACACTGCGGAGGCGGCGACCAGGTGTCACCTTCGAAGTGGAAGATGGCCGCTCCGAGGCCAGTCAGGCACTGCAACGGGACCCTCGGTGACAGTGCGTTATCGAGGTATGATGAATGTTTCTCTCTGTGTGGTAGATATCGCCGTCTCGCTATGCTATCGTTGAACCCCTATGCTTTGAATGTATTTCTATCTATGCGTGTAAAATATTCACTATCTGCTTGTCAGACTGTACTATAATTCTCTATAGTGTGTACATACGCTCTTGGCTTATCGCTGAATTTCATCGGTCAGCAACTGAATTGCGTGACACTGTCTGACGTGACCAGACGCGTCTGTGTGACATTACGCGTTGAACGCGTTGGAATCGAAACGCGACTTGTTCTGCTTCACGCTTGGAGCCACATACCCTAGTGTGCAGCCTTTCACTTGTTGTGCTTTCACTATATTATTTCATACGGCATGCAAAACGCGCGTGACAGGAAGATCATCCCGACTGGAGACAGTGCAGGCCAAGTGGAGAAGCATTCGACGCACATATACCCACATCGGCTCAACTTGTGAACCGTCTCATTTTTCCATGCCAGTATACGACTACTCACACCCTGATAGTTATGACACGCCTCCTCTAGGAGACATCACAATTGAAGAGTTTGAGACATGCGCCCTTGATCGGCTTCGAGTACTTGCTGAGATTGAGTCTTCCTTCGTACGGAATCGAGCATACGAGGAGCTGAAGGAGGTTACCACGAAACATTGTCAAAAATACCTTCCTCTCAACAGCAACTCAGCGCACACTCTGGACCTAGATGCAGAACGCAGGAAAGACCACGTAGGACATTTCGTCCTCAGGCTAGCATTTTGTCGTTCGTGAGTTTTCAGGTCTAGTCTGTGCTCGCAATTCAGTGCTAAATAATGTACAGAGAGGAGCTGCGCAGAAGATTTGTCAAAGCTGAAACAACCTTGTTCCGCGTACGGTTCGACAATGATGATGGGGAAGAGCGAGAGACGTTCCTCAAATCAAGAAACTTCGAATGGGTGCTGGTGCGACGAATTTTTGCTGCTATGTAGCGTGTGTCCTACAGCTTGACACGATTGCATAAAGGTAACAAATGACGAGAAAAACCAATACAAGTCGCAGTTGGCTGCTACGACAATGAAAGGTGCGAGCGTGGACACAGAGAGATACTACAAGGTCAGGGGATTTCGTTTCTCAGACACTCCCTTATATTCATGGAACTTCGTCCGTGTTCAGGTCAAGTGGACTCGAGTACCTGATCTTGTGGAACGACGGAGAGTACTTTTAAAAGCGGGATTTGCTTACGTCCCCTCGCGAGAGATCTCGAGTGTTGCGTTTCAAGAATTTCAGACGAATCTCACCAAAGCCCTAGAAGTCAGTGACAGCTCATCTATGGTTCGCTTTGCCTGACATCTGCCGCGCTGCAGATGACTGCAAAGGCCTTGCCTTGGCTTGACGAGGACACTCGTATTGTGCCCATTCTCGATAACCTTTCGCAAGGATTCTTGGCTGGCGTACCATCAGAATGGAGTGGCATGTCGACCGGTAGCGGAACCGAAATCACAGCAGAAATGGTGGATGATCTCGCTCGCAAACACTTCCCACTTTGCATGCGAAATCTTCACGACAGCCTGAGAAGAGATCGTCACCTCAAGCATTTTGGAAGACTGCAGTATGGTCTATTCCTGAAGGTATTGTAGATATCATCTTTCCAGGACAGTCAGGATGCTCATTACCACGGCCGTACACCCAGGTGCTGGGCCTTTCGATTGAGGAAGCAGTTACGTTCTGGCGTAGATCATTTAGCAATATCCAAGATGACAAGTTCAACAAAGAGTATAGATACAACATCCGACACTCGTACGGACTTGAGGGAAAGCGGGCGAACTATCCTGCAAAGAGGTGAGTTGCACATTTCCGCCAGCATCGAAACAAACATGCTGAAGCTATTGCAGTTGTCAGCAGATTCTCATGTCCGATCAACCTGGGCCAGGCGACTCGCATGGTTGTCCGTATCGCCATTTCTCTCCGGACAATGTGCAAACTGCCTTGTTGTCTATGTACTCAAGTCGGGGACTCACCGCCGCAGACCTGCCAGAGATTATGAATACTGTGAAGGGTAGCCACTACCACGTAGCCTGCACACGGGTCTTCGAAATCACCCATGCGCAATATGGCGTCTCCAAGGGTGATGGTATTGGTGGCGGAGAAAGCGTTACACACCCGAATCAATACGCCGCCAAGAGCAGGGAGCTCGCGAAGGAGAATGAGGGCACAAAGGCCGAGGGTGACGGGGACATTATCATGATGGACTGATTTCATAAGCGTATTCGGTGCACTGTACTTCTGATAGCTTGTTATATCTTATTCTCATACTCTTCTAAGCCGCTGTTCAATGAACGGTCGAGTGACATTCAATGGTCGTGTGCCAGGAGCTCGGGTCATCGACCACGCGCCCTGACGCCGTGCGGGACCTGTGCGGGTGTGTGGTGGTGCACCGCGCTCTGCCTTACGCCCACCTTTACCAAGCCCTATCTCGTGTTTCCTCGATCGCGCTTCTCGTATCTCCTATGAATCAACGGAAGACCACAAGCAATCCTTCAGATGCCCACACAATGGAAGAGAAAAGAGCTACTGCGTTGCAGCAGTACCAGGACACTGAGGGGCACTTCTCACTTGTTAGGTGCAGTTGACTTGGTTTACCTCTTCAGCTGCTGTCGCTCATAGGCATATTGTTGTTTCGTTGACACAATGTAGGAATTTTCGATTAGCGGACCTCGTCACCATTGCAAACGGAATATGTGCATCGCTGTCAATATTCATGTCCGCGAAGTACCTTGCTACGAACGATGAAGACTATCTATGGTCGGCTCTGCTATTTCCCTATGCGGGATTAATGTTCGACTTTCTGGACGGGAAGGTAGCAAGGTGGCGGAACGAGAGCAGTATGCTTGGGCAGGAGCTTGACAGCCTTGCAGATCTCGTACGCCTGTCCCTTCTACTTCTCGAACCACTATGTGTTAACCTCCCGCATCATAGATCTCCTTTGGGGTTGCACCTGCTCTACTTGCGTTTGTAGTAGGCCTCAGAACATACCTCGACACGGTCGTTCTCACAGCATTCATCTGCTCTGGTCTTGCACGCCTCGCCCGTTTCAATGCCACCGTCGCTCTGATTCCTCAAGACATAAAGGGAAAAGCGCGTTACTTCGAAGGCCTGCCGATTCCCTCCTCACTCGTTTTGGTTGCAGTCCTGACCTATTGGACGAAGATGGGATGGATTGAGGGCAAGGAGGGGGTACCTATGGGCACTATCACACTTTGGGGATCGAAGGGTGGTGATGGCGACTTACACTTGATGTGCGTCGTCTTCGGGCTGTGGGCGGCGGCAATGGTTAGCAAAACGCTGCGCGTTCCCAAGATCTGAGAACGGTACCGGGTTAACTACGGGCTTTAACGACTTGATGTGTTACGAGGGCGATATAATGCTTGGATCACATATACTAGTAACTGTATATCTGAAGAAAAGGAACTTAGACACGGATTTTGCCCACATGATTTTGAATCTTGCTCCGCCTGCGAAGCGCCACCGCGTGTAATGTCGCGAGACGCGTCGCGTCGCGTCCTTCGACGCGTCTTCGCCTCTGACCTCACGTCGGCCCACCCTCATGGTTTCTTCTAACGATGTTCACCGTCTGTTCCTGCAGGCAATGCTGTCGCGACGGATCATGTCGCGTGCTCTAGCCATGAAGATATGGGAGAAATGCATTGATGCTGTGAAAGGTGATGCGGTACCCTTCCTACTTCGCGAATATTGACGCGTATACTCCAAAGCCGCAAATGATACTCTCGATATCCCCTTTTCTGATAACAGGAATGCATGGGACGCGTTCGTCACTCAGCTGAACCAATCTCTCAATCCACTTCATCTTGAGCTGGAACAAAGGCACGATGAGATCTCGGGGAAAGAGATGGTCGTCCTTGTCAGTTTTCTTTCCGGCCTCCAGGATCGACCATCTCAGTAATTCTTATGATGCTAGGTCAACCGCAAAGGGGACGAAATAGCCCAAATGGCCACAGAGTACTCTCCTTTGGAGATTGCCTTCTTTAAAGCTGTGGTACGCCCTCCTGGTAGTAGCCATGGATGTCGGGCTCCTCACCAACCCACTGCTGTCACAAGGTCGAACAAATCATGCTTGCGCCGAACGAATCATACTCTATCTCCTCTATGGCTGCTTTACGAGAGGTCAGCTCATTGAAGGGCAACATGACTAAGACCCAGGCAGAAGTACTCTTGAGCAGTTTCGTGGCCAGGGGTTGGCTTGTCAAAAGCAGGTAAGCTATATGTTGTCGGTTTGGGCGAAGATTGATCCGTGTGCCTTCTTTCCAACTAGGCGAGGACCCTACTCACTGTCTACGCGGACATTGCTGGAGCTGCAGCCATATCTCCGGCAGACGTATCCAGATGAAATTCTCGAGTGTACCATCTGCATGGAGGTTCGCTGATCACATAACTTCATCTTTTCATAATGCTTACCGTGTTGCTCCAGATGGTCACTCGCGGTGTTGCATGCTACACGCCGCAATGCAAGACACGCCTGCATAAGCATTGCCTGACCAACTACCGAAAGCGTTCACAGAACTGCCCTACCTGCAACGAGAACTGGTCAAGCAACATGAACAAGCTCATGCCTGTCGGCGAAGCCGCGTTCAAGAATGGCCAAGATAAGCATAAGCAGCACACCAGGAGACAGACCACCGAAGAGAGTGACGAAGGCGAAGATGAAGACGGGAACGAAGACGTCGAGCCTGAGGAGTCTCAGCCATCCCAACCACCACAGCCCTCGCAGTCACAAGCGAAAAAGGCGAAGAGGAAGGCCGTCCGTGAAGAGAGCATGGACGTCGATGATGAAGATGAAGCAACTCCGCCCCCTCGGATACAGAAGCGCAAGGGGCGGCGTTGATGATCGCCTGCACAACGAACGTAGTGTGTACAAGTAGCGCTGTAAATTATCTTATGCATATATACTAGACTTGCTATATACTACTGGGAACCCATTGTCCTCTCTGAGGGGGTGTCGGCTGTGGCTGCGACCTCTACTTTCCCCAGGCCTTCACTACTGGTTGTCTCCACGGTGAAGCCAAATTTGCCCTTGCCCCAGACGACCTGCTTCCGCCCTTTGCGACCCTCGCCGAACTCTTCATTCCATTTGCGCAGATCCGCGAGGCTGCCAAGTGACTCGGACGAGGAAGGACTAATCTCCTTGAGAGCTTTCTCGAAGTTGTGCCAGGAGACTACTCGTGCTTCTGCAGGTACCTCTGCCAGAACAGTGGCTTCAGCCTCACCAATCGGCTCGCCTTCTGAAGTGGTCTCATTGCTGTCCAGGCGCTCAGAGGTAGGGGCTTCTGCTACTGCCACTGCGTCCGCTACGGCACCGTTGTCTGCCTGAGTTTCTGCCATAGGTGCCTTGCTTTGCGCGACTGTAGAAGACAAGGAGGGCCGTGAACGCCAAGGCACAGTAACTCGTTCCTTCACAGCATCTAGTACTGCAGAGACACATAAATCTGGCCATCAGACGTCAGTAGTATTCGGTGTCGACGGAGACTGAACAAACTCACGCTTCAGATCAGATCCTGAGAATGACTGCGTGTTCTTGGCTAGTTGTTTGGTGTCCACGTCGGGTGCGATTGTCTCGTCACGAAGTAGGATCTTCAAGATCTCTGAGTGAAGATCAATGAGTCATGACCCCCAACGTGATAACGCCAAGAGCCAACCTTCGCGCTCCTTCTCGCCCGGAAGATCCACTAGTAGTCGTCGAGGGAGACGTCGGAGGACAGCATCATCAAGATCGAACGGGCGATTGGTCGCACCGATCACGATGACATTATCTTCCTTCGACGACCTCAAGCCATCCATTTCTTGCATGAATTCGGTGATAACACCTCGGTGTGCGATCCCGCCACCTGATTCACGAGACACACGCGCACCGAGGAGCGCATCGAGTTCATCAAGGAAGACGACACAAGGAGACAACTTGCGAGCCAAGGAGAAGACACCTCGGACTAGTTTTTCACCCTCTCCAACGTACTACACCATGGTCAGACAACGTAGCAGAACTGTACATTGAGATTGACTTACCATATCCATGACATCGGAAGGCTTGATTGCCAGCATTCGACATCCAGCTTCCTTGGCGAGTGCACGCACAACCAATGTCTTACCTGTACCGGGCGGTCCAAATAAGAGAAGGCCTGTCATTCTATGCTCCTTGAGCAGGCCGTGCTGGAAAGCTGAAGGGAACAGAAGCGGTAGGGAAACAATAGTCCGCACAGCATCTATGGTATCGTCCGGAAGGTATACTTGACTGAACGTTGTTGTGAGGGATGCTACGATGGGTTGAGTTAACGCAAATATTGTGGGACGGTAAAACTTACTCTTGTCAACTATGCAACCAAGTAAACGGGCCTCGTGCGCATCGAGGTCGGGGTCCCTTTTGATACGTTCGACGACTTCATCGACTTCATTTTCCTTGGTTTCTCCCTCTGTCTGGCCTTCCTCATTTTCATCGTGCTCACGCAAGATCCTTTGTGGTGACTCTATCAGCACGGACTTCCATAAGTCTTGCGCAGCCTTGTCATTTGCCCAGGCTTCGTAGACTGCTAGCCATGTGATGGGAGTTGGCTCCAAAGATGGCAATGTCGATTCTTTGCCATCTCTTGCAGCAATGACACTACCGACTGCTCTGTCTGCAATGCGACGGACCGTTGACCAAGGCATAGCGACCTTCCCCCATTCCTCCCACATACGATGGGCCTTCTGCGTAGAGGATTGCTCAGGATCATCCTTGGGCGCCTCAATAGGCTCCATCTTGCCCAATTCCCCGCCAACAGCTGCGACACCCATTCGCACCGTCAGCTCGTTGATCTCTCTCCGCCGCGACATTCGGGTTGCTCGCTCGAGCGAAGGCGTACGAGCGTTCGGCACTACAAACGAAGTGCGGAAGAATTGGCTACGCGACTCGGATTCTGCTGCGGGTGCCCGACTGCTAGAGCTGGCAGCAGATAGGCGGGAAAATGCGGAATTGAGTACAGCGGGCAGACCGTCGGCGCCACCCATGATGACGACGTCAGGCTTGCCTCTGGACGCCTCGTCGGACTCTTCGTGAGATGCTAGCTGCGGCAGGTCTTGGGAAGCGTCTCCTCGAGCCCATCGCTTGAAACGAGCCATCATACGCTTCTCCCGTGCTCTGTCACTAGCGGCATCTTCCCCGTATTCCGTTTTGGGTGTCTTGTTCGCGACTGCACCTGTCGATGATGTAGAGTTACGAGACATAAGGAGATTCATCAAGCCTTGTCCAGGGCCAGACATACTTGAAGAAGGGGATGGCGCGACTATAGATGGAGTTATGCCGAACACAATTGTGGTCGGATTGAGCACCGGAGAAGATGACCGAGATATCGGACCCTGACGTCGCTGGCGCACCGCTGCTTGAAGTGCAGGGTACCAGGAAGCCGATGTCGGAGCAAGGGTAGCGAAATCACGAATGTAGATGATACGAGGTCTGCGAGATGGAGTGTCAGAGGGCCCCTCACAACCACTAGACTCAGCCGACACATTGATGATCTCGTCGAAGAATTGCTTCAGCCTAATCATGGAGTTGGTCCTCGGCGGTGCAGTCAAGACCGGACGGCCTGGCCGTAAGGTGCCGGGAGTCAGCACTTGCAGAGTCATACGCGTGGGTATCATGAAAGGTGGAGAATCATCCCAATCATCGTCGTCTTCTTCGTACGCAGGTGACGGAGGAGCACTGCTACGAGGCGGACTAGAATGCGATGAGAGATGCAGGGGGTTGTTTGGGAGCTGCAGGACTGAAGCAGCTATTGCGAACCTTTGTGAGAAGTCTTAACTATAAGGTGTAATGCAGCTGAGCTCACCTTTTCCGAACTGTCCTGACGCACCGGCAGCAAGCTGGACGGCGTCGATCATCACTACCTCGGAGCCCGTCCGACGCGCTAATTCACGGACAGTTTCATCTACATAGACGTCCCCGCCTTCTATAGGACAGTACAAGGCAAATGTAGGCTCAACTAGAGGGCCTGCTGGTGGGAGATATGTCGCCTGGTGCTGCGTCCGTGGGAGCATCGTAATATGGAAATTATGCAAGATCTCGTCGAACATCTCGGGCGGTGGCAGAGCATGCGCATGGGGTGAGTCACTCGGATCGCTTTCTGGCGTCCACAGGATTTCTAGTCCAGATGGCAGTGGGACGCCAGATGACAGCGGGACGGAAGACTCAGCATCTTTACTCGCCGCTGAGGATCTAGTTCGACGTTTCGGTTTCTCCTCTGCACCGTCTGGCGGAGGCTCCGCCGGGCTGGGCAAGGCTGGCGGCGTAGGTTCATCAGATTCAGCTGGAGGGGGAGAGACTGACGAAGAGGAACGTTTCGAAAGCCGCGGAGCTGCCTCCGGGGAATGTGAGGGATCTTTGCGAGGATAGCGAAGGGCGTGAGTTGACGAGAGTAAAGCACGGTGGTGAAAAGACGGGGCCTTTACCAGTGACCGTGTCCGACGAGAAAGAAACTGCGACCGCATCCAACAGACCAAATCACCCGTCTACCGCGACAGATGGTAAGCCGACCAGAGCAAGAACAGTGAGCGCGCAAGCGCCCGTCGTTAGTAACTTCGCAAGTAGTACCGGGAATCCGCACCCGAGGCACATGAGTAATAATATTACTTCAAGTAAGTACGATCTGCTATTACTTCGTCCCATGACGATGTGAGGCTTTTGCAATGAAAAAAGCAGATTTGAATATTGCGTTACAGTAGAAGCCACCCAGTACATTACACGGAGGAATATGAGTACTACGATAGAGATTGTTCTAACAGGGTGGACGCGTCATAGCAGGCGAATGAGATCCAGTCATGTCTTCTTCGCCTTCGAAACCTCCACTTCCCGAGCCTGTGCTCGCTCGGCCAAGTCCACACCAACGAGGATTTTTGATGCCTTCCACAGCTGCACAGCGTTGATGAAATTCTTGGTAGCACAGATGGGGAAGCACACGGCTGCCAACAACTCCGCCCACGTCCATCCCGATAGGTAGGCGACATCCATACCAATCGACGTCGAGAGTGGTGTGTGAACCCATTTCATGAGATAAAGTGCAACGAAAAACATTTCGTTGCCTGCACACATGACAAAGAGGGTTCGCTAAAGCACAGAATGGTAAGCGGTAGTGAGACGCGGAGACGAAGCAAGATTATGGTGACCACATACAGAATCGTAATAAAGCTTCAGAATACGGCTCACATCGCTTGTAACAGCTTTGTGGCTGCGAGAGCCTGTGATTAGCGAGCTAGCGTAGCATCACACTCAGTTCATATGGGCAAGTATCAGGACTGTGGAGCGGACCTACCTGTACATGTGCATGTAGTGACTGCTGAAGTCGAGAGTAATAAGAAACTGGAACAGCATGGCATAGTCCGGGTACGCGGAAGAGAGATAGCACAACAGTGTAGACGTCGTGCAACTGCGTAATCCTTGTCAGACGAGGCAAGAAGATGGTCCATGAGACTGACCGATCAGTGACCATGTCCAACACCGCACCGAACTTCGACGTTTGGCCTAGTGCTCGTGCTGCGTGTCCGTCCGCGGCGTCTAGCAAGCAGGATACCCCATACGCAATTGTGCAGTACTTCGGATGATAGCTCATAAAATAGAGCGCTACGCCCGCAAGTATGATGCGTGAGTACCCTGTGTAATAGACGTATAAGAACGCTCCATTCTACTCATGAAACCTACACGGCCGACTTGCCAATGAGATTGGGCACAAAGAGAAAGACATTCTCTGAGTATGATTGAGCCGTCGCGAGATCCACAGCGACCTTGGCGTCGACCACGTCGATTGATCCTCGCCTGCGCGTCGCTGATTTTCTTGTCATGTTCTCCAACCTGAAGCCGTGTTTCCAAGCCAGCAGAATATGTGCCCTAGCTTAGGACAGTGAGAGAGAACGGAGGCGCAAAATCGCTTATGCAGCTACGCGTTATGTCAGACGTAGACTAGGCCGCCGAGCGTTTTGATATGCCGGCTCGGCACCGACCAACAGCCGCGCGGCGCGCACTGGCGCGCATCGTCACTGGTGATTACCTCACTTTGATCCACAGTAACTCTGATTATAGTTTCCTTAACTAAGTAGAGGAACCATTCACGTCCAATATGAAGGTTTAAAAGGGGTGGGAGCTCGTCTCAGACGGTAGCATATCATACGTCTCGTTTTGTCACCTAATGAGCGCTGAGTGGTAAGCTGATACTGTCAATCTTACGTACTGCAGTACCATTCTATGGAGCATAAGATCATCTCCAGCGAGAAACCACTACGTCAGCAATTATTGGCGCATGCGTGTAACAGCAATCACATAATCGTACGCTGATGTGAGGTATGAGCAAAGACAATCCCAAGGAGAATGACCAGTATTACTCCTTTTTCAGAGGCACACCACATTTTCTCCGTGGGACACAGTCAGTCATCAACTAGAAGACTCGCCGGCTTGAATAAGAGATACTCGATGAGAGCCGACAATGAAGCCTTTTAACATATTGAGATGTTCATTGAATAACACCGTACTTCGACGACTTTGATAGAATGTTGCACGGTGGCTTGGTGGACGTCGTAGCGGTGAGGCAAATACCCATGAGAATATAGGAGAAGAACAGGATACGGTTGATGAGGCACCAAATACTGGTGGATGTTGTCTCGTACCCAGACCCACCTTGTCCGCACCCCACCACCGCGGAACGTGTGCGGGCATGGTGCGTCTGGGTATGAGACAGCTTGGATGTGGAGCGCGACTGGCGCTTTGACATTATTGAAATAGATCCAGCATTTGGATCTCCTTCAAATAAGGTGTGATACTGAATAAATAAGGTCAGCTGCTACATTACCCAAATAATAGTCGAATGACAGACAGGTAATACATTTTATGCCGCTTCAACAGAGCAATAGTAGAGGCCGGGTATATCCTTCTGTTCCACTGCGATGCTTCACGGAAGAGACGGCGAAATAGCGGACAACAATACCCATGTCGCCAGTATCTATAAGGTATCAAACGGATGCTGCACGTCCATCGCGTCAGGAACAAGATGCGCGGAACATATCCGATGAAGACGAGGGGCGACGGAGGAATTTGACTGCTCAGGATCTTTCCAGACCTCGGAAGCTATCTTATGGTTCGCGCTAAGGCATCTTCGCACCCTGGCAAAAAAAAAGGGCAAGCATCTTCCTCACGTCTGTCGACAAATGTTTAAACTACCTGCCAATGTGCAGGTCGTAGGTGAGAGAAACGAATAAAATAATCTCACGTTGTCATGTACGCTGTCAGCGACGCGAAAAATGAACGCGGGAAGTATAATATGAACAGATCTCCGGCGTGCATTCCAGGGATATTCGCCATGGCGACACATTTGCTATCATGATTGCTTCCCGCTTCTCTGTAGGAAGCGTAGAATTGAATTGCGATAAAAACGCACCATGGCTTCTGGAGGAACAGCCCGAAGTTCGGGTTAGAACAATAGTACGACGATAACCTACACTGTGTGAAGGTAGAAATAAATCATAGTTCAAGAGGTGGCCGATGTGGAATGGCCCAGGTGCAGGTACAAGAGACCCTTGGTGTGAACGAGGTAAGTGGTACACGGCGGTACGCAGCTTACTTGTAGATTGTGGACTAGAACACTTAGATCTAGATTTCTCATCAGACATTCAGGTGAGCAAACCAGCCATTGTCGCTGAGAAATTGCAAGGGTGAATTCGTTGTTCATGGTGATGTTTGCGACTGGAGAGGCTCTCGCGGGTTGCAAGGATCACGGTAGCAACAAGATTCAGATCGATCCATCAGGGTCAACTCCGGGCGCCCGAGAAGCGACTCGGAGTAGGAAGCCCGGTTGAACACAGGAAGCGGTAGCAGACTGCGCTTTCGGAACTGCTGGCACAGAGTAGCTAGCGAGGAGGCTCAGATTCGTTCGAGGGACGGACCAGACGCTTGAGAACGGGCTAATTGAAGGGTGGTTTAGCGGTGGCTCCTGGGCGTCTGACTAACAAACTGATCTCGATCAGGTCACACTGTACTTATCGGGACGTGGTTGACATAGTTCGGATGACGAGTGTGAATAAGGTCCGGGATTGCCCTTCAACCGTCTCCTATGGGCTCAGATACACATGTACCTTCTCGCTTAAACGTCGAAAAGGACTGACGAGTAACCCCGACAACTGGCACGGCTCGTTTGTGAGGAAAACAGTCTCGGCAATTGTACCCGAGAATCAGAGTATTGGTGATCTGTCTTCGGTCAACACGTTCCCCAACGCTCACGTCTAACGACCTTTGCAATGTACGCCATAGAACTTCGCCCGGGGGCAGTAGCCGCCTTTTCACCTGATACAAAATCTAGACTGTGGTGAAGCCCAGAAGTATCAGACCCTTCCCCTTTTGATCTCAGACGGCTTCAGATCACCTCCATCATCATGGCTGACCCCAGTCCCACTCCTCGGAAAGCTGTCATTGTTGGTGCAGGCCCTGTAGGATGCTTGGCAGCTATATCGCTGGCCAAGACGGGCTGGAATGTGGACATCTACGAGGGCCGACCAGGTAGGCATATCTAGTGCCCTATCCGTGTGGCACCAGTATCAGACAAACGCCCTAAATTTCAAGACATGCGTCTACCATCCTCCAAAGCGGCGGCCCAACAGCGTTCTATTAATTTAGCGATATCCGCACGGGGAATCGCGGCTATTGAAGCCATTCAACCTAGCGCGGCTGATCGCTTCTTGAAAGCAGTCATTCCCATGCGTGGAAGGATGATTCACCATGTCGACGGTCAGCAAGAGAGCCAGACCTACGACAGGGACGGACAGGTGCGTTTCACATCGCTTCTGACATCAGCGCCAGTGGCAAAAATTGACACATGCAACATTGGCGTCCCGCGCGCCGTCGTGAATTTCTCACCAGTGCATTAATTCTATCGGACGGGGGTTCATGAATGAGGATCTCCTGACGGAGGCCCTTGCTCTTCCAAATGTATGCGCATTTTTCAACCACAGAGTCCTGTCTGTGGACTTTGATGGCAGAACTATGGCCGTCCGCGACAGTGACACAGGCAAGGAGATCGAGGTGCCGTTCGACTTCTGCGTGGGTGCGGATGGTTCATACTCGATTATACGGCGTCAGCTGATGCGGGTGGTCCGGTACGTCTATCTACGAGGTCTCGACCAATAAGTCCATACCTAGACATTCCTCCTGACCCGCTGGTTCTATCCCGCCCCTGTAGGATGGACTATCAGCAGGAATATATCCCACACGACTATCTTGAGCTGAAGATGCCCGCAGGGCCACCCACGGATATCGGCGGTGATCCTACATATCTATTGGACCCAAATCATCTCCACATCTGGCCGCGTCACACGTTTATGCTCATAGCTCTGCCGAATAAGGTAAGCTATCGCCTCCTGCTGACCGTACGCCGCCGCCTCGTTGTGACATGAGCTTACATGGATCGTCGCGCCGCATTCATAGGACAAAACATTTACGTGTACCCTTTTCGCGCCCACCGCCGATTTCGATCTTCTACGCACGCCAGAGGCCATCATCGAATGGTTCAGCACGAATTTTCCAGATGCATTGCCATTAATCGGCGAGAAGGCCCTCCTGGACGATTTTGCACGGAATCCACGGAGTTCGCTCATGACGATTAAGGTACATCTTCCAATGCACGCGAGCACGCGGCGCGGGCTGATGATTTATATTTCCCCACAAGGCGAAGCCTTACCACTACAAGGACCGAGCCATTCTACTCGGCGATGCGGCGCACGCCATGGTGCCCTTCTATGGCCAGGGTTTGAACTGCGGCCTCGAAGACGTCCGCGTACTGGATATTTTATTACGAGAAGAAGCCGTAGACCCAGATATCAGTGTACCAGGAGAGGTCGACGAGCGCCTTGCTAGAGCCTTGGACAGGTACTCGGCCGGAAGACACGAAGACCTGGTCTCTATATGCGAGCTTGCTATGGATAATTAGTGAGCCCCCGCTTCATTGCCGCCCGAAAGATGCATTTTGTTGATTAAGTGTGGTCGGGGCCATTCGGCTAGTGTGGAGATGAGACACTCAGTCGTGACATTGGCGTACCTTTTCCGCAAGACCCTGGACAACGTCTTGTATTCTCTGAGCGCACGCTCGGTGCCCTTCAGCTCCGTCGTTCCTGTTCTCTCTCGCGAGGCGTTCCCGTCGCCTTCTCCCGCAGGCTGGCTGCCGCTTTACACAATGGTGACCTTCCGACCCGACATTAGTTACTCAATCGCTAGGCGCAAGGCTAGGAGGCAGCGAAAATTTTTGGAGTACGCGGGGTGGGCAAGCGTCGCTGCAGGATTAGGTGTTGTCTCGATCACGGGCCTAACGCTGTGGCGCCGTACGGGCAGCCGGGGATAACTCCCTACGCGCTAGAGGAAGAGCATTGAATAGAATTGTCAGACCTATCACACCTGCCAAAATCCACCAATCACAGCGTTGTTCCAGTGAGGTGGCCCAATAACACAAAGTTCTCTTTTATGTCAGCGCGGGATCATCTACTAGCATTTATGGAAATGAGACCGATGGAGATTAGGTGTCTCGCAGCGTGCATGGCCTATGTGGTCCATCACTGCATGGTCGATTATTAGCAAGGTGTGCGCGCAATGAAGCCGAAGTACATTTCGATTGCAATTCCCCCCTTCTCGTAGCTATACTCGAACACCCGTTGACCATCAGTACCGTGTAAATGAAAAGCGGAAATAAAAGTGGGCCAAATGAAATGATATAGGACAAAAAGCGCATGAGTGTGGCGTTGAGCGCTGAATTACGGGCCAATAAAACATACAACAAGGGCAGGCCCCACGAGCGACAATTGCTTTAGCAGAGGGAGGGACATAGCGGGTCGTAAAGGCGGCTTCGAGACAGTGTGTAACGACGTATAGTTCCGTCTCGGTCGAGCATTCACGCTCGTCATCTAGAGAGATCAAGCAGGAGGATTCTTGCGAGGCCGTCCTCGCTTCTTCTTCGGTGTGCTACTTGTTGCAGCAGGCTCCGGGTCGTCCCTATCGTTGTCGCCCGATGGCTCTGGTTTCGGTTTGGGGGGACGACCCCTAGGACGCTTAATCTTGGGCTCTGCTGGTGCCTCATCTTCCGACTTTCTCTGGAGGTCCGTAAGACGCGATTAAACATCCAACCACGGCGCGCGGCTCACCTTTGGTGGGCGCCCTCTCCGTTTCTTATTGGCATCTGAGGAGGTTCCTGCCTCGCCCGATGCCTCGCCCCCTGATGGAGCGGTCTCTGTAGACGCAAGGGTTTTCTTGTTCTTGCTACCCTTGGGACGTCCCCGTCCGCGCTTCTTTGGTGGCTCGGCCTCTGCGTCCGCGGCTGGGAGGGGTCCGGTCAGGTAAGAGGGCTGGTACGGCGCTTGCTACGGACGGAGAGCCGGAGATGGAAAGCGACTAACCTGGCTCTGGCTCTGGTTCGCCGGTGTCGTCTAGCTCGTCGACCTTCTCGTCGGTGGGATCGTCTTGCGGAGGAGACGCAGACATGGAGAGAGCGCTTACGGGGGACGGGACGATTGGCGAGGATGAGGGGAAGGAAAGAAGAGCGAGGAGCGTACAGTGCCCTCGTTTTAACGAGTATTTCCCCTATTAGAGTTCTCTCGCGTGCAATAATTCCCCGAAAGAGACGATTATTATCTCTCATGAATCAAGCCTTCCATGAATTCCGAGATTCACAGGGGAAATGTACGTAATGCTGTCTACAGCTAGGCGACCTCGGTCAGCGCTGTTGGATGGCAGACGCCTGACCCGGACAAGAAATGCCCACGACCTCAGCAACAGAGCAGATGGCAGGATTGTAAATGCCAGAGGTGCTTATGGTGCCGGTCGCCCAGGCCAGGAACGCTTCGACGGAGATATTGTAGCAGCGTATATTGGGCGGACTTTGTTAGTCAGGGCTTGTTTGATGTGGGTACGAGGGGGATATAATCAGATAGAACTGGAATACACGGGCTCACATGAAATAGGTATTTTGCGGTGTGATAGGCTGCCGGTCGGCTCCTGCCACGAGCTGGGAGAGTCAGATGGCAGCGAACAAGGGGAAGACGATACCAGAAAGTCGCGATGTTCCCTGACGGACGCGTCGCGGGCAGTTCAACGGCCAATGCCATCATCTATCCGCCTGAGCAGGCCATCAATCGCTTTTCTATCAGGCGTTCATCCGCGGCCATATGCTCCTCCTGCCATATCCGGCAGAACGCGGACTCTGAATCTCCCTGCCGATGAATCTCCGATAGATTCAGCACGTGCAACGCGCCACAACGCCTGATGCCATACGCGTGCGCCCACACACAGACCAGCCCGCCCAGTCGTCTGCCCCAGCTATGCGGCCCTCGCTCACTCTCTTTCTCCTCCCCCTCCTCGCCGCTGCTCGCCTTCACCATTCTCTCGTCCCCGAGGACCCCTATGCCTTTCCGAAATACCGCGTAACGTTCCTCAACGGCCTCCCCGTCCTCAATGAGACCGCAGATCGCTGGCTCCGCGACGGCCTCCAGGGCGGCGAGCTCGAGTTCCTCGACCAGCCCTGGAGGGACTCGACGACCCCTGCGCCCCAGCTGAAAAGCATCGAGGGCAGCCAGCCCCGGGACGCCAACTTCGCATCCGCGGTCTGTATGCGTGCCCATTCAGTGGCTATCGACTGACGGAGCTATCACGCAGCCAGCTCCATCACATGCATCCGATTATGCTCTCGAACATATGAAAATCGGCTCACGCATGTCATATGTCTGTCTCATCCCCCCGCCGCCAGAGGATACCGCAACTGCAGACGAGCCGTCCACTGACGTGACACCAGTTGACAGCTGGTCCCTTTTGCAACCTCTCATGGGAACATGCCTATATGTGAGCCAAGTCCAGCCGGGTCTCCACGACGAGATGTGATATTTATGGAATACTTTGCTCCGCCAATTGCAGCATAAGCAAGGCTGGTTTACGTACTCGTATTGTCATAATTTGCACGTCCGCCAATTCCACGAACTGCTACCACAGCAGCCGCTCCGTCCTGGTGAGTATCCCTACCCATTCTCCTGTCTCGCCGCGTGCCCACTCGTGAGCCCTTAGGCGAGTACAAACCGGAAGAAGACACGGAGGTAAGCGCATGCCCTATATTCCGTCTTACGTCGATGTCAAATATTCGAAATTGGCCTAGTGGGAATCATATACGCTCGGCAGAGCTCCCCCGAGTCTAGAAGCTGGAGCAGACCTCACTGTCGCAGAGGAAGCTGCGCGTGTCGCGAACCTCGAGCTCGCCCGCGGGGCAGGCTCGCGTTACCTCGTGCAACGCTGGGGCGATGGCACATACTGTGACAAGACCGGTAGGAAGCGTGAAATTGAGGTCCAGGTGCGAGCATATTTCCCATGTGCTTCTAGATGTTCTACGAGAAGCTGATTAACGCACATGCGCAGTTCCACTGCTCAATGACCATGACGGATACGATCCTGTTCGTGAAGGAGACTCAAACGTGCCACTACGTGCTCCACATTGCGACGCCGCGCCTATGCGGCGTGCCAGGCTTCAAGTCGCGCGTGGACTCGCGCGAGGAGACGTACATCCGCTGTCGCGAGGTGCTCGGCGTGCAGGAATACGAGCACGCCGATCGCTCGCTCCCCGCCGCAGACCAACCGCTGAAGAAGATCCGGCGCGAAAAGCCGGTCATCGCACCGCCGCCGATCGAGGAGTCTGTCGCGGACACCAAGGTCTCGCCAAAGAAGCACGGCGATCTGCTGCGGCAGGCCTTGGAGCGTTTCATGTCCCGCAATGACGTCGGAGATCTCGCGGACACAGAGATCGTCGTGGAAGAATTCGACGATGGTGGAGATGGAGAGGTTATCATCCAGTTCATCGCCGCGGATGTTGAGGTCGATGGCGATGAAGAGGGTTCGGAGACCGTCACGTTCGGCGGGGAATCCTTGGCAGAGGTGCTCCGCACCGCTGGCTACAATATTAAAGGCGAGAAGATCAGGCAGAAATCCCCTGGAGAGAAGTCCGATTCGAAAAAAGAGGAGGGTCAGTCGAAGAGGAAGACAGAGAAGGGCCGAGGACGAGAAGCTGGAGAAGCCAAAACTCAGCGGCGAGACGAGCTGTAATCCCACTTTGTGTATGTTACATGCTGTTTTGGACGGAGTGGATCCTATTTATTGCGTCGTCATAAATATGCTTGTCAATTAGTCCTGCCTTGAGAAAGCTGTGCACCCTGGAGCCAAAGAATAATGACGAATAGTCCTTTGCATTGCATTGAATTTACGCGTACAATTACAAGAGCACGCTTTCTATCTTCACTAACATAAACATATACATCTGTATTTTGTACCTGTGTGGAAGCCACGACAATCTATGGCAAGAAGCATTGATCATCGAGATGCGAAATGCAAAACGCGAAAAACGAGGGATAATGTGCGCAACCGTGCGCGCAACCGCCTGTCGGCACCTTGATATGAAGCAAGCAATCGGACTCTATGCACAGAGGTAAACTACGAGCGTCATGGGGGGGACGTCGGACAATATATATGAATGACAGTGGGAATGGCGAAATCGGTTGCGAACGGGCGGTGGCGGACAGGGCAACGACGGCGTCGCGGAACGGCTAGAACAATCGCCGCTTCCCTTGCTTCTCATCGACGCTGACCTTGATGTGCATGTGGTTCGGCTTCGCGCCCGGCTCCGAGCAGGGCATGATGCTCCGCAGCCACGGGTCGCCGTCGTCCTCGTCCTCGGGCTTGTGCGCGTGGTCCTGACAGCGCGGGCTGTCGCGCGCGTGCGAGAGGCAGCCGCACAGGAGGTCGTTCGACTTGCCGAGCCCGTGCAGCAGGTCCGTCAGCGTGCAGCGCGCAGACGGCTCGATGTGCATCATACGCCGGATGGCCGGGCGCGACTCGCGCGGCAGCAGACGGAAGATCGACTCGGCGCCGCCCTGGTGGAACGTCGCCACGGACGCCTTGCTGTCCGCGCGTCGGCGCGGCGTGCGCGGTGTCGCGTTCTGGTCCTTGCGCGGCGTCGGAGCCTTCGCGGTGGACGTGCTGGCTGCGCTTGACTGCGGCTTCTGCACTTCGGCCACCTTGCCTTGCACCGCTTCCACGGCCGCGAGCTTCGCGTCCTTCTCCACGTCTGCGGAGAAGTCCTTCACCTTGACCTCGACCTGCGCGCTTGGAGCCTTCTGTGCCTCCTTGGCAGGAACGAGCTCCGGGCTTGTCGCCGAACTGAAGATCGGCGCAACAGTAGCCGCTGAGCCGGCGAAGTGCATTGGCGGCTCTCTCCTGAACATCTTCGGCGATGGGGGCGCAGGGAGAGACTCGGTCGAGTCCGCGGGGCGCGCGAAGGACCGCACGGACGGATCAGGGTCTGCCTGGCTCCCCGTGGCCGCATGCGGAAGGAACACAGCGGGCAGTGTCGCCGTGGAGTGCGAGACGACGCCCTGCGGGAGGTTCGCACGCACGACCAGGCGGCGCTTCTCCATCTCCTCGCGGCCGAGCTGCTCCGAGTCGGAGGATGACGTATCAGACGAACAGCAGCGGCGCATCGACATCTTGTCGGGTCCCAAGGACTCCGTCTCCGTCGTATCCGATGGGACGGTAGATGGAGCAGTGGACGGAGCGATCGACGGCGCGGTGCTGTTCGACGCGGAAGTCGACACCGAGTCCGATGAGCCCTCGTCGCGCTGGTGCACGGGCGCGTCTTCGATAGTCTGAGGTTCCTCCTTCGGCTTCTCCGAGAGGTCGGGGTGCGCCTGCACGAACGCCCTGAAGCTCGCGTCGCTCTTCGGGTCTGGGATCTTCCAGGGGAACCGCCGGAGCACCATGCACATGAAGATGATCGCGACGCTCCACACGTCCGCCTTGCGTGGATCGTAGCCCTGCTCACTGAGTACCTCCGGCGCAAGATACGGGTCGGATCCGACTACGCCGGACGCGAGCGTCGTCTTCTTGCCTGGATAGTGGAAGACAGTCGCAGTGCCGAAATCAATAAGTTTCACGACATTGTTCGTAGTCATCACGCAATTATCGAGCTTCAGGTCGCGGTGCGCAAGCCCGAGCGAATGCAAGTAATCCACGCCGTCACAGATCTGGCGGAAGACGCAGTAGATCTCCGGACGCGACATGCTCCCAGACATCACGACGCTGAACAAGTCGTACGGCGCGTACTCCATGACCTTCCAACACGCCACCGTCAATCTCCGCCGTTACGAATAATGGCCACACATGCACGACGTACCTCATAATAGTGACCGTGGTCCGTTACGATATCGACGGTCTCGATGATGTTCCGGTGCTTCAATGTGCTGCCCACACAGAACTCCGCGGTAACCTTCTTCTGGTACTCGCGCAGGCTCTCGCCCTGGCGTTTGGGTCTGAACTCCTTGACCGCATACGTGATCCCGCCCATCTTGCTGGACGCCTTGATGAGACGCACCGTACCACCAGCGCCACTGCCCAACACACGGCCCCACTTGCCGTACTTCTTCGACAAGTGTGCGTGGGTCGCGGAAGATAGCGACGGAACGACGTACCCTGGCGGATGCTTGTGGTCCGACGGAGGTAGGAAGTGCTTCGACGCTGATGCCGACGTAGTCGGAGAACCAGATCCCGAATGCGAGCCAGAGCCCGGCGACGGCGGAGTCGACTGGGACTCAATCGTGGGCTGAGGCGAGCGGGAGCTCCGCTTACTGCTGCTCGCAGTGGAAGCGGACTTGCCATCCGGCGACGGCGTCTTCAGTACCCGGTCCTTCGCACTGGGCTTGTCCTCGTTGGCTTTATCCTCCGCCTTTGATTGGTCCTCCTTTTTATCCTTCAGCCCGTCCTTGTCCTTATCCCGGCGCAGGAACGATGACACGCGGGACTTGGGCTGCCTACCACCTTCAGCCGGCACATTATCCGTCAAGCCGTTCGCAGGCGAGGCGGGCATCGTCGACATGTATCCTGGCGTGCCAGGGGTCGCAAGCCCAGGAACCACCTCGATGAGACTCGACTGGTCGAAATGCGCACCTCTCCGTTGCTGGTTGAGCGGCTGACTCGGCTCTAAAGGCGGAGTCGCGGTAGCGGATGTGGGCGCGGTCGACGAATTGTGAGAGTGTGAATGGGGTATATGGTGGTTCAAGAAACGCTTGAGATCGTGCAGAGGCCCTGGTAGATGCTTTGTGCCTTTGAGTGTACCGACAGAGCCTGGTGTAACGGGGGCCGACGCAGCCAGCGAAGCTGCGTTGGGCGGTGTACACGGCACTTGTGGTGGCTCGTCGCGATCTGGTGACCGTCGAGGCGGTGAAGACGCGTCGGACATATTCATAGGAAGAGGCTGGCTCGGGCGGCGGACGAAGGGGAAGCGGGAGGTAGATGACGCGCTGGAGGCAGGCAGGTTGTCGGTGGACGGGTTTGTGGACGGGTTTGTAGAAGGATTAGAGGAGCGAGACGGGGAGGGCGAACGACGGCGAGGGAACGCGGACGTCAGAAGGGAACGAGACGGGCGTCTCGAGGGGGTCGGAGCCTACGAAGAGAGAAGAGTTGACATTTGAATGCATGGGTCAGCGACTTGTCGCGAGGAGAAAAAGAGCAAATACGAAGTGTGGTGCGGATGAGTAGAACAACGGGTAAATACCAACCTGCTCCTTCTGATTAGTGGGACGTGCAGTACGCGGGTCAGACTCGTTTGGGGTATTAGGATGTGGACTAGTTGGAGTAGTAGGCAACGCTATTGAGGGCGCGGAGGGATCAGAGGGCTGTGCGGGGGCGACGGGCGGAGCGTCAGATGGTGAGATGTCAGTTTTCAGAGACAGCGTGGGGGGCTGCTGAAGCTGTGGGTGCGTGTGGTCGTCGTCGCCAAGCGGGGGTGGGGGTATGGAGATGGCGAGGGGCTGCATTGGGCGGGCAGACAACATGGCGGGAAGGGCGTCGTCGCCGACGGCAGTGAGGAGAGGGGAGAGAGACGTCGGGCAGGAAGACGGGGAATGATATGGATGGGATGGAGAAATAGGCGAGAGGGAGGAGTCGTTTATGGCGCGCATCACTCGGCAAGCGATCTCAGATCACGGCCGCTCCGGGACGACACGCCGCTCCCAGCGCCTGCCCGCCGACCCGGCCTCTCTCCGGACGTCGCCCCCATTCACGAGGATCACCACCAGGGATGCTCCTCTCAAAGCGGGCACGCACAGGAGCTGGCACACAAACCCTGGGTCTGCACGTCATATCGAACGCGCACAATGGGAGGCTGGCACGCCACCCCAGTCTCTTCGGCCAACTGTCCCTCCAATCGGCATCGCCTGTGCCGGGCTATCCTCGCACTCGACCCATCTTCGCCGTCCTTCCCTCGCGAAATTCACGCGCAAATGTTTTCTCTCACCAGCTACGCCCGTCCCTCTCCTCGTTCGCCACTGCCCAGCTCGAGGGTCCGACAGCCCTCCGAAGGGCGGTACGAGTTGTGAATGGCGGCCTGCCCGCACCCGCTCCACCGTTCCGAGCTGCCCAACGCGGCGACGCCCACTCGGCAAGCCCATGCCGAGGGCCGTCAGCCAATCATCAGCACGGCGACGTCAGAAGGGATAGTCGCATAGCGTCACCTCATTTACGCGAGCGCCCATGCGGTACTTTCCTCTTCCAGCTGCGGCGCCCCGAGCGCGTCGCGATTTCGTCCCGCCCGAGAGATGCCTGGCGCGAGAAGTAGGGCGCCGCCGCTCGCCCGGGGCCCATTCGGAGGTACGAATAAAATGTCCGCATTTGCGTATGGCGGGTCTCCTGCGACGCCCGCCCATCCCGGTGCTGTCCGATGCCGTCGCGCGGTCGCCCTGCCTGTGGTCGACGATCCAGTCATCTGCCAAGCTCTCTTCGTCAACCTCTAGTCACCCATTACTCCGCATGGCCCTTTCATGATCTACCCCCTCCCCCCGATGACCTCCCGAGCCCCTATACAATGCTTCCACTCGTCCCTACACGACTCCCTGCCAACATTCAAGCTCCACACGCTCATCTGCCCCGTCTGAAAACTCCAACCCCGCACATTTACATCACGTATCTCATTCATCTCCGCCAGTCGCCGGCCGCGTTTCATTCATGTGGCCCAGGCCCTCCGCAATGCTCGAAGCCACAGCGCGGGATGGCGTACCCGCCCTCGGCCCCGCTCAAAACCCGCCCGCGTTCTTCAGGCATATCTCTCCCTCGCCATATACGCAGGAACTTGATTTTCTTCATCTGTTTCGACGCGCTCAGGTTATCTATAGCCATATCGCCCCTGCGCCCGCGCTCTACGGCCGCAGGAGGTCAAATAGCCTGCCACAGCTCACCCCACTCAATGGTAAACACACCGCATGCAAATATGCGCGACCATGCAGGTGCGCACTGCCATTCGCCCGCACGGCCTTGCTCCCCGCTTGTACGACGCAGCAGCAGTGCCGCGGGCTTAGCACCACGCGCTGCAGCAGATGCAAACTCAGTCTGACACTGCCGCAAAAATAGCCCGCTGCTCACATCTCCATTCTGTCAGTGAGGCGCCCATCTCAGCACCGCTCCTTATAAACTGGTGCATTCTTGCGCCCGCTGCGTCAATGTCCGCGATCGATGCGAGTGCACGTTGGTCGTGACACGAGCGCACCCGTGCGTTGCTCGTCATCGTACGTGCGGCGATTGTTTACCATTGGTCGCCCTACGTTAATCTTCGCGGGAAAACAACACCCGGCAGTCCAACCAATGCCCGACATTGCAGCTGGGTTGATTAGGTTAGGCCGTATCGCGCCCTTGTGCTTCCGTATCTCCACGGGCTCAAGTGCTGCCGAATATGTGTCCCACGGCCGTCCCCAACTGACCAATGCTCTGGTCGTCCGCTGTGCGAGGCCGTCGGACATGTCGTGGCTTTGGCAAGTACTAGGCATTGCCTAGAACGTGAAATGGTATGTGCGTTCGACTTTCTTGAAACTACGAGATTGTCAGGCGGCTCGAACATTCTTTTGTTGCGACGCTTGCACAGTATGCATATCAGAAATCGACAGGTAAGCGAGAGCGCTGGTTGTGTTCTATCATTTGGGCTTGTCGGAATTTAAGAGACGCTTATACATGGCTTATGCGAGCTTGACCTCGAGCCTGTAGCTTCTCTATACAACGCCAACGGTCCCAAGTTCCGCGCTCAGGAAGCATACATCTTCGATTTGACAATCACTCATCCCCGGTATTCCTGCACGGATTGTTGATCAATACTTACGTCTACGCCGGTCTCTTGCTGACCTCGCAAGTCATCTGCACAGATGCAGTGGCAAGTTCCTTTTCGGTCCGGGCCGTTACGCACCCACAGCACATTGCATGCATGCAGCCCGCACACAACTATTCGGCACCAGTTGGACATGCACCACGGAGCACCCTGTCTCTCGTAAGGCTCTACCCCAACTGACTCTCGCTCGGCTTGTGCATTACGCCGTGGCCCACGGGCTAGACCCGCCCACACATCCCTTAGCGTCCCCATTCTCATCCTTAAGCTCGCCCGCGCACGCCACAAGCCTTGCGCCGCGCCAGCCCGTGACCCGCTCCCCCCACGCTGACTACGCCCCCTCCCCATCTTCCCAAGCGCACGCCTGGAAGCCCCGCGTCACGCCCACCCAATCTGTCAGACGGAGCCTCGCGCGTCCCGCCGGCCCTCCCTGGACGCGCGCGCCGTGCACGCTTCGCGGGCGGAAATCTGCGGCGCTCTCGTGCTCGTGACGCGTCGAAGCCCCGAAGGTGTCTCCAGCGGCTTTTGCCTTCCGCACGCCCACGCCGTCGAGCTTATCCCAGCCCGGCCTCGTGCTACAGTGTCTCGAGAGCCGGAGCGCGGAAACACGAGGCGAAGGTGTTTTGTGGTTATGACCCTCGCTACGGAGACAGGCCGCGGTGTTTTGTCCAAGTCCAAAAGCATCTCAAAGGGTCGTTGGTAACTGTAGCGATAGAGGCCTAACGATGAATAGTAGGCAAACATGTACGGTAAATCACTTCGTGTATATCACTCGGCCTGATTTCTCCCAGCGTTCCTATTGTTCGTTGATGGGCCATCTATCGTCCGACATTCCCAACTCTCCAACGTCGCCTCCTCGGATCTCGGCTGTCAGTGCAAGCTCGCTTCACTAGGGCCCCCAAATATATTTGACACGCTAAACGACATATACACGCGGTCCCAGAAAGTGGTGCGAAAGTGGCAATTCTCGCGACAATTGCAGCCGGAGTGGGGCGGAAGACCTTTAGTATAACAGCATATAAGGTACGGATCATGCATAGACGGGTCTCGAGGTCTCGAGGAAGCTGGCTGATAGACGCAGACGCCGATGCGGCCCACAATCTCACACAAGTCGGGTCATGCGCGCAGGGCCCCGCCGTTGGCGGGCTAGCACAGGGCGGCTTCTGCTCGGTGGACTGAATTGCATCACAAACCATGCCCCACCGCGAACGGCAGATGACCTGCATGCGTCCCCCGACAGACAGCAGACAGACAGTACGGAATTCAACGCGCCTGGAGGCGCTCTGCATGTCCGTCCATCCTCCCCAACGAAGGTACTTCGGGACTTGCTCGGGTGCACATCAGTCAAATATAAAGTATGTCATCACTCGTCCGAGCGCACTGACGTAGGTGGCGTAGAAGCCACGAAAGGGCAGGAATCTGCAAGCGGAGTAGCACGTCCAGGATTGGAGTTGGACACGGAGGTCAAGGTCGCTCACCCTGTCCGCAAAACACTCCGTCGCGCTGCCGCATATTTACTTGCGCGCGACTGTGCTCGTCGGTAGTCGATGACCGAACAGTCGGACTCCGGAGTCCGGCAATCACGATCGCACGAATCGGCCAGGCCCCGATCACCGGCCAATCGACGATCTGCGGCCGGCTACGGCGTCTCTGTCCGGGTGCCGTCGGTTAGCCGCGGTCTTGATCTCCCGACCTCAGCCGAGAGGAGTAGGCGCCCGGTGGAAGTTACGGTAGGTTACGGTTGTGGAACCAACGGGGTTCTAGGGATGAGGAACCGGGTAATAGGTGTGTTGCAATGGTCTTTCGGTCTTCGAGGGGCAGGGGTGTCGTTCGGAAACAAGTTGGCACCTAGACCTGAGCTAGAGCTACGAAGACAACGGAAAACGACACTCTCAGCAGGGTACAGACAACACACCTTCGAACTCCCATTTTTAACAAGAGGTTACCTCCAGTGGCCATTTTATATCGTCGTGCAAAGTACAGGCTTACAGTAAAATACAGCATGTATGAGAGTGCGCCAAATGCAAGCGGAAGATTGAGCTTCTCTCACCGCACGTTCCTTCACACCATGCTTTCCACCTCCCCTCCGAGCAATGGCGATAAGAGCACCCATGCAGTCATCGAGGCTATTCGACAGTGAATTTAACCTTGGTCTTCTGCGTCTCGCTTCCTCTTCATTTCCCTTGAGACCTTGTGCTGCGCTGCCTCGTGTTTTGCCAACTCTATAGGTACCTTTGAGACCGGACTCTTCGAGATCTCTGAACAGATGGGAATCACGTTAGCACACTGAGGCGGAAGAGGTATCAGATAAGAAAAAGGTACGGTACCTTGCTTGAGATCGTACCTGCATTATGGGAGAGATAAGCCACAGGTCAGAAAGTAATAAGCAATCTAACGGGAGAAAACGCACATGACTTCGTCGTCGTCGTTCGTCAGGAACGTGATTGCGGTACCTTGCTTGCCGGCACGACCCGTACGACCTGCACGGTTCACAGCATTGGTGAAAGTATTCGTAACGGTAGAGAAATTGGCACTCACCGATACGATGAACATATGCCTCGATGGTGTTTGCCATCTGGAAGTTGATAACCAAAGTGACGTCCTGTACATCAATACCACGACCGGCCAAATCGGTGGCGACAAGAATGTCTGAGTCGCCCGAACGCAGAGCCTGCAGCGCGGCTTCTCGCTGTTCTTGGTTCTTGCCGGAGTGCAACGTAGCGGCGTTCCACTGAAAATAGTAAATCGTGAGTTAGAGCGGCAAGAAAGCAGACTGAAAAACATCACGCACGCCAGCACGCTGGAGGTCCTTGGCCACCATGTCTGCAGTCTTCTTCTGATTGACGAAGACGATGATAGGTGCAGCATACATTCCGCTGTTAAGGATCTCGAGTAGTAGCTGCCTGTGAGCGAGGACGTCAGCCGGCAAGACATGAAAGCAACATGTATACAAACTTCTTCTTTTCATCTCCGTTGACAAATTCGACCTTCTGGTCGACGGTATCGACGGCCCTACCAGCTTCACCAATAGTGATGATAGCGGGCCTTCTGAGGTATTTCTTGGCAAGACGCTCGACAGGAGGCGGCATGGTAGCGGAGAACAAGGTCGTCACTCGCGTTCGGCCCTTCTTAATCATCGTCTCGCCGTCTATGTCCATTTGTTCGCCTTGATCTTCGCCGACCATAGTATCATTAGGTAGTTTATCGAGGATGAAGGTGAGGTCGACTTCAAAGCCAAGGTTCACCATCCGGTCAGCTTCGTCCATGACGATGTACCGACATTGGGAGAGGACAATGACATGTCGCTCGATGACATCTTTTAAACGACCGGGCGTAGCAATGATGATTTCCGCACCGGAACGCAGGTTGAATTGTTGCTCTTCCACCGAACGCTGAAAGATGCGCACGTCAGTTAGAGCTGGTTGTCAGTGCAAGAGACTTACCCCTCCGACGATGGACACGCAAGTGAACCCCAGGGGTCCCGCAAACTTCTTCGTTTCCGATTCAATCTGCTGGGCCAGCTCACGAGTCGGAGCCATAATGAGAGCATAAGGACCCAGATGTCTGTTATCGTCCGTGAAGAGCGGCAACTTGGAGATGAACGCAAGCATTGGAATCACAAAGGCGGCCGTCTTACCGGAACCTACACACCCTCGTCAGGAGACAGACTGGATAGGGATGATAATGCTCACCGGTTTCAGCGATACCGATAATGTCTCGGTTCTGCAGCCCAATTGGGATAGCTTGTCGCTGAATAGGTGATGGGTCTTTGTAGCCAATCTTGTCAATGATCTCCAAAATCTCGCGGGGTATGATAGATTCCTCCCATGACCGCAGAGGATGGGGAATCGTGCCGCCTGTAAGAGAGCGGTTGAATCAATTTCAGGTCAAACAAAGTAGAACATGCTTACCCCTTGTAGCAATGCTGAAGTCTTCTCGGAAAATGCGCCAGTCTCGCTCCTTCATCTCCTCCAGCTTCTTCTCCGTCCAATGACGCTCGTCCAAACCAGATCTCGCAGCCTTCCTCCTTTCGAGCGGGTCCGCCAGCTGCATTGGCTCGACGCCGTTCTTTTTAGCCACAGGCACGGTCCCACCACCATCGTCCATGCCGGCAATATGTCCACGCCCAAACATGATCTGCGCGCCCTGTCGTTGACTTCCGACAGTCGCAGGTGCCTCCGCATTGTACGTGTCGTCCTGTTCGTCCCAGTCGAAGACAAACTTGCGGTCGTTCATCTTGCGGATCTTGCGCTTCTTCTTGTCAACACCAAGATAGCGCGAGCGGATGGCTGTAAGATCGGTCTCGGTCATAGGTGGCACATAGGAATCTGAGCCCGGCGTGGAAGGCGCAGCGCTAGCAGAGGAGCCCGATGGCGGTGGTGGCGGAGGCATCGACGAGGACGCAGGAGCATCAGGTGCCTTGCCCCTCTCAGCACGAGGAGCAGTGGGAACGCCCTGGTAAGAACCTTGACGTCGGTCGTCGTGCGGTCGCCTGTCCCTTTCACGGTCTCTGTCTCGATCCCTCCCATCCCTCCGGCCATACCTGCCTCCATCTCTGTCTCTGTCTCTGTCTCGATCGTAGCGGTCATCGTCTACAAGTGTCTCATGAATGAGAGACGAGTCTGCATCACAAGTGCATGAGTTACTCACACCGACCAACCCCATTGCCATACCTGCTCGTGCGATCGCGCTCCCTCTCTCGCGCACGGATTTCTTCTGCCTCCCGCTCAAGGCGGTCGCGGTCGCGCCGCGCTTGTTCGCCCTTCTCACGCTCTTCTTTGAGTTCTTGCGCTCGCTTTTGGATTGCAAGCTGCGCCCGCTGCTCTTTAGTCAGGAACCGAGGCTACAGACAGCATTGTTAGGACGTGCTCTCGGCGCGCTGCTTCCACAGCGAACATACCTTTGACGAGGCCTCTTTCTCTTCCTTCTGCTTCTGTAGCAGACTCTCGATGGAGAGGGGCTGTCCACGAGTTGCAGCCATGTTGCGGTTTGAGGAAAGCGTCGAAGACAGAGCGTCTCAGCGCGCCATTGCAAGGCGCCCGATCTATCCCCACGTGAGCCACGTGGTCCCGCCGTTGGTCCATTTCCGGAAAACTTGTAAGAGGGTCGTTCACATCGGACGCGCACACCACCACCACCGCTCGCATCTTCCCCACGCCCCCAGCCCCCGTCGCGAGCGCGAGCAAAAGCTACTGCTTTCTGGTCTCGAGCCGACAACCAGTCGAGATGACGCGTGACATCGACGATTGGCGCATGCAGTCTCCGCGTCCAGAGACACCAGAGCCCGACTCGCGGCAGGGGCGCAGGAACGGCGCGGCGGGCGTGCAGCTCCTGGACAACGATGGTGCGATCTCAGATCAGGTGTGTGGTTCTGCGTCGTAGCTTCAATGCCTCGCTCTCTGATGCCACTTCTTGATGCTCGCAGCTGGAATCCTGCTTGAAGCATATTTTCGCTAAATATTGCACACCTCGTCCCGCGCCGCCACAAAAAGGTGTCGGCTTGCTCATGCCGCCGGAGGGCGCGTACCTCTCACCAGAGGGGCTGGACACATGGGCAAGCGACACCAATGGAGCGCCGTTCGACGACGAGACTAAGGAGGAGTTGATGGAGTTTCTAGACGTGACGGAGGACGGCAGCCTCACGTCAGTGACTTCTTAAATCGTCCTTTAAATCACGCGAGATGTTGATAATCCTTGGTGCGTAGGCTCAAGGGATTCATGCAGGTATATCAGCTACAGACGGAGAACGATGAGGAGGAAACTTGGCGGGATCTCGTGAGTACTTAAACGACTTTACTGCGACAGCGCCAAATTTGAATTCGTGTTGTCAGTCGTCTCATGGTTTTGACCGGACGCTCAGACTTGTGGCCACCCGTAGAGAAGACACCGATATGGACGAGCGTGATCCCCCGTATGCCTTCCCGTAGGTCTCGACCCGCAGCACACCTCGGAGTAAATGCTCCTTTCGATACTGATGCCTGCGGCGCTCCAGGGGTTACACGAACGGCACGAAGGTGGCGTAAAACCAGCTAATAAGACGTCGCGGATCACGTTTTCAGGACTCAGGTTTTCCTCGCGTCGAATCCCCGATACCCTGATGACCTCTCATGTCCATCCACAGCATGAAGTGTTGCTATCCTCTCCATTTGCATTGCTTTGCAGTATCGTAGATTTTGTATAACACGATTGTCATTGCTGAATATTATCAGACACGCGGGCATTGAGCACCTTTTCAGTTAATGTAAGCTTCCAGATCTCTATCCCTTCCCAGTCGACCTTATCCCACGTTACTCCGCCCTTCTCCATGGCTCTGACAAGCTTCTTGTGAGGCACCCTATCAAGTGTGAAACCCCACATGTTCTCCGCATTTGACAGCGCGCGGTTAGTTAGAGTTGGATCGCGTCTCTCTAGACATATGTATACCGGGGGTGGACGCGAAGAAGGTGATGATATCAATGACATCCTGGTCAGAGCGTGCACAGTGCGGAAAAGTGGGGAGATAATGTCAGGCGAGTAGATCGTATCCGAGGAGATGATGAGGTCAAAGGGAGGGCCCATGGTCTGCGCATCGCCGGCCTCTTGCCACACGTCCGGAGAGGCCACAGCGGTGTCGTCATTCCAAGACCATTGTTCGGGCGGAACAGACCAGTCCAATATACGGACCTGGATAGTGCCGTGGCCCAGGGGCAGCTGCGAGACGTTGCGAGAGATGTTGTCGGCGAGCACGGAGGAAACTACGGCCGGAAGATCGGTGGCCAGTACATCGTAGCCCATGGCAGAGAGAGCGAGCCTACACACAAATGGACGGAGGATATAGTCATTGCCGGGTCAAGCGAGGTCAAACTACTGAGAAGCGCCGATAACGCACGCAGACAAGCCGATGCCGCTTCCGAGCTCGACGACGCGGGGGCGTCTTGCGGATGTGGCCTTGTACTTGAGGTTGTCGGCGAGATACCAGGAGAGAAGTTGTGCGCCAAGCCAGAGAGCGGTTCCATTAGAGGCGCCGTTGTCGAGTTGAGCGAGGTGGAAGAGCGAGTGGCAGAATGGATAACGTAGGAGGGGGACGTGCTTTGTGTGGTGAGCGGGTAGCACTGCGAGCATATTGGAGAAGCTTAGACTGTAGTGGACGCGAAGGCACTGCGCGCGAAGAGGTGATGGGACGGATACAAACTACGCCACGAGGCGTTAGCAGCGTGTGATACAAATCACCGTGCATATTCGACCGCCTCCCCTCCGTCGGCCTTGTATCCACGCTCCCTCCCAGCCTCCCCCAAGCTGGACTCCCTCCCGCCTCGCCATGAAGGCATTCCTTAACCGCATCAACAGGGGCCTCTCCAGTCGCGGCGACAAAGACAAGGAGCCCGTCCTCAGGGAAAAGATACCCAACCTTCCTCCCCTCCCTGATTGGCCTCCTCAGCGCGCAACATCCACCCCCAGCACCATCGATTCCTCCAAGCCGCTACCGGAACTGTCTGTACGCCCCCTTCCGCCGATTGAGGAGCCCTCGTCGTCAGGCTCAACCGACTCGTCTGCAACTCCGACTCCCGTCCCTCACGACTCGGCAGACGATGAACCTGGCATTTCCAGCAAGTACGCTTCCCCAGACACCTCAGCCTCCTCATCTCGTCCAGAGCCCGACTCCGCCGGCCGCAGTTCGCGCAAGACGACAAATGGCACAATGAGCAATGGTACCAACAGCGACGTGCAGAAAAAGGTCGCATTCCTCTCACCGCCCCCAACGCCTGGCCCTACCGATCGCCCTCTACCCGACGTCGAGACATCCACGCCACCCAGCGCCGTGCCGTTAAAGACGACTGTGTCGCGTTTCCAGGCCGCGCATGCCAAGGACACGCGCGGATCAACATCAACGGCGACCTCGTCGAAGACGGACATTCCCTCGACTGCTCGTTCAGCGAAGCAGTCGTCGACGCGCGCCGCAACGTCTCCGTTCACTGCGCGCAGCTATGGCGACGGCGCGTCTATCCACCCTTCAGTGCGATCAGGAACGCCATACTCCCAAACAACGAACGCGAGTAGCCGAATACTAGCCGCCCAATCGTGGAGTGAAGTTGCGGAGGAGGATTTGGTGTCCAACATCGGGCAGCGGGAGAGGACACGGCAGGAGGTGCTCTGGGAGATTGTGGCCAGCGAGGAACGGTGCGTGCTGCCAGTACAACTTCTACGCTACTTCTAATGAGATAAAAGATATGTGAACGAGCTACTGAAGCTGAAGGAGACCTTTATTGACGCGCTCATGCACCCCTATTCCGCATCCTCTCCTATCTCGTCGCCTACACCGATCGAATACGACGACTATCCTCGATCGGACACGCCAAGGGAGTCACTTGAACATCTTCCAATTGCCGCACGCTTCCTGTCTCCCCTCGGTTTCCGCTCTGACTCGCCAACGGGTCAAACGTCGCCTCCGCCACCGCGGAAAGACGATGGCCACCCGACCATTGACGGTGAGTCGTTGAACTCGGCAGAGGAAGAGGAGGCGGACGACCGCATGGGCGCTGCGTACCATTCACGAAACAAGACCTCGACGGGCATGAGCCAATCGGCGAAACATAACCACCCGCGTTCACCATACAACGCGCGGTCAGGCGGGGCGAAGTATGGCACGTCAGTGCCGTTCCCTTCGCGATCACATCAATCTCTGCCGCCACCTCCGCGAATGAACCCAATGTCGTCATCGACGCATTCTCTCGGTCGACAGTCGTTGATTGCGGACAGGAACGGTGACTATCATGGCGAGACGGGTGCGCCATCAACGAGAGCGACGACGTCGGCGGGTTCCAACGTCTTGCGGAAGTTCAAGAGAAGCAATGCAACGCCTGATCCAGTAGTGGGCAGCGCGGTGCCATCAAGGGACCTCCCAGAAGATCTGCGAAAGTGCTTGGAGGTCATTGAAGGGGGCATCCTTGAGGGCCATATCAGGCTGAGTGAGGGATTGCGGAAGAGATACGAGGAGCAATACCCTCTTGTGCGATCACTTGCGGATGTATTTGTCTCGAACGTGAGTCCCGATGTCCGTACTACTCAATCCCACGGGAATCCTTATTTCTGCTACGCATACAGTCGCATATACTCCAGGGGTACGCGACCTACGTGCTCCATCTCGAACGGGCGCTGGAGCAAGTCGACAACGCTTTGTCGAACGCGAGCGCGAACAAAAAGCCGAAAAAGCAGGACGCAGATCAGTGGCAAAAGATCTGCCAGACGCTGCAGCGGCTCGAGATGGTTGCGTCCGAGAAGGGCGAGACTGGGCTCGCGATCTCGCTCTCGAAGCCGTTCCAGCGGCTGCTCAAGTATCCGCTGCTTTTCCAGAATTTGCTCTTCCATACGGATCCGAGCACCTTTGAGTACGAGAGCACGCTGCAGATGGTCGCGGAGGTGGAGTCCATCGTGCGTAGCATCGAGGACGAGAAGATTCAGAAGGAGGAGCGCGACAAGACCAGGGACGTTTTTGCGCGCATTGAGGGGCTCGACAAGGTTAAGCAGCTCATGGTCCCGAAGCCGTCACGGGTGCTCATGGAGGAGAGGCCGGCGATGGGCGTGAACCCGGATGGCAAGAACTCGGGATCGCCGCCCGGGAGCGGACCGGGCGCGAAGGGCGTGAAGGGCAAGACGTCCTTGAAGCGTCTCAGCGATGTTCTCCAATCGAACAACGGCGTTGGAGGGAAGAAGGACCAATGGCTTGTGGTGTTCAACGACGTGGTGCTGCGGTGCCAACGGACGGGCACAACGTCGTTGCCACTGGTGGCAGGAACAGGTTCGAGGACCAACTCGCTACCGGAACTACAGGGGAAGGCGAAGTACGCGACTACGGGCAGACGTGGTTCGCAAACGAAGCCTCGCAACTTGTACAAGTTTCTCAAGGTGCGTGGAGACCGGGTCTCAGGAATTGATTGGTGACTAACATGCTGGCTTCGTCGCAGATAGAGACATGGGCTATTGGAGACGTGGTACAGCCGCGAGAAGGTGTCGTCTCTATGGAAGAGTGAGTAGCGATGTCTTCTCATATGATCAACCACGTCTGACATTTCGTGTCAGTGTTGTACGCTCGCGGCAACAGGCACATTTGAGTGCGCAGCCCCGAATTGTGCCTCTTCCTGACGACGACGAGGATGGTGGCGTGGAATCGGACGACTCAGATCGGAAAAGCAAGATGAGCTTCTCGTACTGGGGTGCGGACAAAGTCACGCTACAGAAGCCCACTGCAGCGAAGAGACAGCTCGCAAATACCGCACGACGAGGTGCAGCAGGTTCTTCGACAGCGTATGGCCGTGAGTCATCTGCTAATGCCAAGTTTGGCACGCGTCTCGTCTCGGTGGAATCAGCCGGTGGTGGTGGTGCCCGTCCTGCGAGCCGACGCACCCAAGCGACACCAGCAGGGCAAGGGCGGCGGCAGGCTCACTCGGAGGAAGATCACTCTGTTAAGGCCACAGTGACAAGAGACCGTCCAGGTTGGAACGGCAGCACGCGCGCGACGTTGACCCCTGTGCCCAAACGTCCTCGGAACACCTCACAGACCAGCGCGGCCACGAGAACCACATCGAACGCTAAGCAGCTCTCGTCGCCAGCGCCATCGGAGGACTCTGGTGTCGGCTTTTACCGCCAAATCATCGCTCAGAACCCGTCTCTCAATGCTTTGAACGCGAATGCATAGATGCTCATGGATCCTCCCCTCTTGTCGATGCCCGTTTCACGCTCTCACGCTCTTATGGATAATATAAACGACCAACTCTGCCACTATCGCTATGACCGGCATATGTTTTCCCTGTGTCAATATGCTGCTCTTTTTCATCTCCGTCTTCATCATTGTCATTGAGTACCCACAGCTGATGATACCGTATCACTCATTATTTTGTCATGCGCCCCCTAATAATCTGAGTACCCTCATTGTGCAGTCCATCTTCCTTATCTCTCCAGTACCAAGTTACCCGTCATTCTTTGCGCAGTTATCTCTTTCCGTCCTGAGGAACGATTGCGGAGATCCATGAAGACACTTCACGCTCTGTTCTGCTGTCATCTATATTTCTTAGATTTCAGATGTATTACAATTATTACCGTCAGTCTACTAACTCGAACCATCATCATACGCCGCATTGTGTATGCTCACGCTCCGCCCGCTCGGGTCAGACGAACAGCCCCAATCTCCTCGCGGCACCCACCTGTAGTGATGTGAGGTAAGTTCGGGAGGGTTGGCGCGGAGCGACACGACACATACCTCACCGCGGTCTCCGCCGCCGCCTCTAGGGGGAACAGCCCTGCGGCACGAGAAGGCAATCTCAATAGGCATACCAAGCCAGATACGGGCAAGCCTGCTCACCGTCGAAAATTTCACGAATCCAGTACGCTTCTTTCGTGTCTGGCGTGCTGACCGGCCATCGCTCTGTGCGCTTCGCGAATGCTTCATCAGAAACGACCGCGGCAGCGTGGTCCTTCATGCTGCAATGTGGTCTCAGTGTGCTGTGCGCGGACCGCCCGTGTGGATGTGTGTGGGCTCACCCATCGATCCACGAATATCCCACACCGTCGGAGAATTGCTCCTTCTGTCGCCAGAGGATTGACTTGGGCAGATAAGGCTGATAGCGGGGTCAGCGGTAAACTGAGCTTCTTATCCGTCAATACACACCTTCCCGTCTGGCGAGCAGTCGAATGCTTTCCGCAAAATGTACTGTGTCGCGGGATGGTGAATAAATACAAGAGTCAGATCCCTAAGAGTTAGTCTCACCTTTTCCATCTTAGGTGAGCCATCCTCGTCGACCTGCTGCGCTGCACCTTTATTGAACATCTTCTCCTTAGGGTCGACATTCATTGCCACATCCAAGAACTTCTTGTCCAGAAACGGCACACGCGCCTCCAGACCCCAGGCCATCGTCGACCTGGACCGCGGTATCAGACCGCGGACCATCAACACGAGACAGGGTGACGGCACTCACTTGTTCGCCCGCAAACAGTCCGCGGTATGCAGGTTCTTTACCCGGCGTACGCACTCTTGGTGGAACGAAGCCGGGTCAGGTGCTGCGTGGAAGTACAGGTATCCTGAAAAGCGCCGCGGAGGTCAGGAACATAGCCGCCACGATGTCCACGGAACCGGATACCCACCACCGAAGATCTCGTCGCTGCCCTCTCCGCTCAGGACCATCTTCACGCCCATGGCTTTGATTTTTCGGCTCAGTAGGTACATGGGCGTGCTCGCGCGCACGGTGGTCACGTCGAACGTCTCAAGATGGTAGATGACATCTGGGATAGCGTCCAGCCCTTCCTGCACCGTGAAGACGTATTCATGATGAACTGTGCCGAGGTAATGTGCCGCTTTCCTTGCAGCGAGCAGGTCGGGCGAATTTTCTAAACCGATCGAGAAAGAATGTAACTGAGGCCACGACGCAATGGTAGCTGTGTCATTGAGGTCAGCACGGCCTGATATCCTTTGAAACTCCTCAAAACTTTATACCTATTTCTGAGACGCCATTGCCACTCGGCGAAGGCGGACCGCTCTGCGCCTCAGCCAACATTCGTTTTCTCTTCTCTACCTGCGCCTGTGCGACTTTCTCGGTTTCACGTGCAGCAATGGCAGCGATGAGGCTGCTATCTAGCCCGCCACTCAGGAGCACACCATACGGCACTTCCGACATCAGCCGCTTGCGCACGGCTTCCTCTAAAGTCTCGCGCAGCAGGGTGAGGTCTGCGGGCTTTGTTGGGATGATAGCATCGGGACCCTCGCGGTCGCCGTCCAACCACGACGGCTGGTAGTAGCGCATCGTGGACTGATCCTGGCTGTCGTAGACATGACCTGGCGGGAAAGAAATGATACTGTCGCACTCGTCCACGAGAGCCTTAAGCTCGGACGCGAAGAACGTTGCGCCGGGGCGTTTGGAGGACCAGCCCTGGTAGAGGGTAGTGATACCGATGGGGTCGCGTGCGGCGATGATACGTGAAGGGGTGACGGACTCGTCGAGGAGGACGAAAGAGAACATGCCATCAAGAAGGTCGCAGAGGTTCTTGCCGTGTTCCTTATACTTTAGATCATATGCTATTAGAATGTTAGTATTGAGTGGTATTATAGGAATACACACCAGAGGAATAATGACTTCGCAGTCAGAGTGCGTCTTGAAGTTGTACTTTTCCTTGAGACTTGCTCGTAGCTTGATGTGGTTGTAGATCTCGCCGTTCACGGCAAGAATAATCTGTCCGTCGGTGCTCACAAGCGGTTGTGCACCAGTGTCTGCAAGGCATCCATCAGACACGCGTACAGTTCGGTATCATTAGCGTCTGCATACCGACACCAACGATGGCCAGTCGCTCATGGGCAAGGATTGTCTGCTTTCCGTTGTGGCATCCCGACCAATCCGGTCCTCTATGGCGGATTTTCTTTGCGCACGCGATTATACGCGGTCTTTCCAGCGCTGGGTTATCGAGACCGTGCGCGACAACTATCCCGCACATCTTGTAGGAAATTTGGAGGTGAAAGAGCGGGTGGCGGAGAAGAGAGAGCCGGCTTGACTGAAATATTGGCCATTTGGTATTCTCCGGTGACTCGGGCGCGTCTGGGCAGGAGCGATTGTCGATCATGTACTCGCATAGATAAGATAACATTTTCGCGGGAACCTCATCAAATCACATCTCGTCTCTTTCATCCTAATACATATGCCCATAATACTGTACTCAACAGACCACTTTTGGCCAGCACATTTATCACCCCTACACATGCTCTGCCTGGTCGTAGACATCGTTTTCACCTCGTGTTCGCTGACCGCCTTGTTGATCTTGGCCAAGTCTTGGTCGGTTAAGAACACGTCGCCACCCGCCAGATTCTTCAAGGTGCGCTTCTTGTATCTGTAGTGCCACAGTTAGCCTATCTAGCCAACGTGTGCAGCAGTGACATTCGGTATATACGACAAGCCCGGGGTATGATGTGCGATCCCAATACGCCTTTCCATGCTGCGCAGGGCTTATTCCTTAGTCGTCCGCGATGAATATAAGTGCCTCGCCAAAATACTACAGTCGAAATGTCCCTTCGCTTTGATGCAACAGCACTTGCCTGGTCGAAGCGATGGAACAGCCGACGTGTGTCGCGCTCTGTCTCATACATCAATAGTCACCTCTTTGCACGGGGTGGACAATGGCGGGCCATAGTCATTGCAGCAGCACAGCTTGGCGTTTGTAGCTTATTCGTAAAGATTCTCCCGCCCGAGGTACAAGGCTCAGTTAATATCTCATGTCAGTTCACCGAGTCACAGGCTTTTGGACCAGACAGGTCAAGAATTTGAGCGACCTTTAAGGTTGATCCGCATCACTGGGTCGAGACAAGATCTGAATGGCGAGGAATATCTCTGACCTTAATCATGCTAACAAGTCATTTCATCGTTTCCTCGGTAGAATAGTGATGCTCGAGTGGAGGAGGTCAAGCTTCTTCGTTCTCCGAGGGACAGCATCGATGTTGACCACGCTCGCACGAAGGTTCTCATGGCTGTTGCGTCCATCAGTCATGTTTTTGATACACCCTTCGCCACGTACGAATCGTTTGTTTCCAGAGCACCTGGGCTCGCAGCTCCCTTGAGATGGGTAATCCATGACGCGCAGCATCCCGCAGCCATGGAGAAGTAACGGACTTGACAAACAAGAACGTCTTGTCGACGTAGTCCGGTACTATTCGAAGAATCTGGTTCCCAGCTCGAGGTTTGCTGTCGTCAGGCGGTTGCCGTGTTATTCACCTTTGGGGATTGGAAATATAAGGCTGACGGATCTCCATATTCGTAGAAGCGGAGGGTACCGCTGTTGAGGAGCATCCTCGCTCCAGGAGACAAGACTTCGATCCCGGCCTTGATCCCTCGAAGCATTGCTCCTCGGGAACGGGGCCATCTTCCCTCCACCCAGATTACGAGCTACATGAGAAATCCCCCTAAGGTTTGAATGCTATGACTACGACCGTCTTAATCATCAATTCGTGCTATGGCAGCACCAATGCAAGTCAGCACCGAGAACAGGGGACTCGCAGCTGCACTCACATATTCCAGCTTTAGCAACAGTCACACTAGAGGCGATACCTCCGAGCTTAACTATGTTGTGCAACATCGTGCAACCTTATCAATCGTTCCTTGAGACTAGTGAATACTAGAGGATATCAAGTAACTTTCTCTGGTCACTTCTTACATACTTCCTTCAGACGCACAATCACATACGGCTGACTAGTGTGATAGCTTCCGAAGAGATGATGACGGATGCGAATCGGGCACCCAAAAGCCATTAGACCACTCAGTATCCAGATATCAAGGCAGCAAGTCCAATTCTGTGGACCCTGCAGCCCTGCATTGTTCCGTTGTGAACTGCGCCGGACACCAAGTGGGGTCAGTCGCCTAGTGCTGCGGTCTTCCAGAACCAGGCACGAGCACAACGAAGACAGCCATGGAGACGCGTTAGAGGGTATATCACATTACATCGTCCCTCAGGCCTCGACTCCGATGAAAGATTCTTGGAGATGTCAGCCGTAATTGGCCCCGGTGATATCTTCAGTTATTGTGGATATTGATTTCAGGTGCAAGTACGAGTATTGCCGCCATATTTATGATTCAGTCATCGACACCATACTAGCATTCGTAGTCGATAACATCAAAATCTGGTTTTTGAGAGGATTTCGTCGCTATATTTCAAGTCAACAATCTCGATTCTTTACGTTACTCGCTGGTACAAACTGCTCCATGCTACATCCGACTCATCGTGAGTACATGCGCTCATCCCCACAGGTGCGCCGCCTCAGGGTTGCCGAAGTAGCGATCGCCCTTCACCTCGAAGTTACTGATCGCGTCGTTGATCTCTGTCAAGTCTTGCTCAGTCAAAACTACGTCGCCACCTCCTGAGTTCTCTAAGGTACGCTTCTTGTGCCTGTTCGCATCTGCTTAGCCTGCGATAGCGAGACATAGAGCGGGCAGATACGCACGATGAGCCAGGGAGAGGGAACACGTGCGGGCCCAGGGCCCCGACCCAGGCGATGCAAAGCTGAGCGGGGGTAATTCCCTTCTTCTGGGCGATAGACTCGAGTGTCTTCACGAAGGCTATGTTGTGGCTGAAGTACTGCGAGGATGGTCAGATTAGTATACCTTGTCTCAGTACAGATCACTTACCTCCTCACGGAAGCGAGTGAGTCTGCGACGCGCATCGGCCTCTGCAAAGTTGAAGTCAAGACCTGGCGCGAATGATGTTTATTGAGAACAAACCAGGAAGGTCGCTCAGGCTCTTGATCTGGCCAGTCAAAAAGCCTCTGCCTAGTGGACTAAAAAAGAAAGATCGGTAACTGCAGGAGGCATCGAGCAAGTGCGGTCAACGTACGAATAGGCCACCACGGAGATGCCGAGTTCACCCGCTGTTGCGATGACTATGTAGACCGGTCAGCATCTGGTCACAATAAAATTATAAGGGACGGTAGTAACCCTTCTTGGTCTCTTCCTCGTATGACCACGGGCTGACCTCTATCTCCACGGCAGTGATAGGGTGCACCTACATGACTTATTCAGCCGTGCATCTCTTCTGGACCCATGTCTGATCGCTGACTTACGGCGTGCCCCTTCCTGAGCGTAGCAGCGCTGCATTCGGACATGCCAATGTGATCGAACTTGCCCTCCTTAATGAGGCCCGCAAGAGTCTTGATCACCTCCTCGATCGGATGCTTGGGGTCGACGCGTGCACATTCAAAAAGATCAAGCTTCTTAGTGCCACGGAGGGCGGCATTGATGTTATCCACGCTCGCGCGGAGATTCTCAGGCCTACACGGTTTATGAATGAGAAGAGGTCCCCTGCTTTCACTCAATGAGACTCACGAAGAGTCCGGCGCCATGTTAGTACGATTAATAGCGCCCTGGAACATCAAAGCTATGTCAAGAGGGGCATCTCTACTACATGAAATAGAGGCTCTACCTTAACAGACAAGAACGTCTTGTCGGCATATTCTGGATACTTGGCGAAGAACCTTGCCACAAGCTCAAGGTTCCCGGTCCCCAAGTCGTTCGCGTAGAACTCGCCTGTGGACAGTAATAGGTTAAGGCTGATGTGCTGGGGCAGTGATCTCGAACGCACGCACCACTGTTGATGAGCATCTTAGTACCCGGAGGCAAAGCGTCGACGCCCGCCTTGATTGCTTCAAAACATTGCTCGTCTGGGACAGGTGCCGAACCTCCCCTCCATCTACGTTGCGCAAGTGATTATAAGCTTTACGAGTAATCCTTTCAACCATGCTCTACGCACGTCATCATCATGAGCCCATGCGCGACTTTGGCGACCGTAACATTGGAGGCGGTACCGCCGAGCTTAGCAGTATTCTGCACCATTCTGTTGACTGTGATGATAGAGAGAGTGGTTCAAGGGGCGTTGAGCAATAAGGTTGCCGTCAAATGTTCTTATATATATGTACTGCGACCACACGTCCGACTGAATTTGAGTGCTGCCGAGGGGATGACGCACGGGTTGGGGCATCGTCAAGTAAGCGTAAATGGGTAATGCCATCTCGGAATGGTGCACCTGTTCAGTACTGTCATCGCCCGGCATGCGTTGGGTAAGCCTCCTCCGCGAGGTCGATCACACAGCGATCAAGATGCCGCTCCATCAATTCAAATTCCATTCTGCTTCAAATCGGACATCATGTGGGGGCCGATCGTACTCGAATCGAAAATCCCTGGAATACATAGCGAATCACGCTCCTGTGGACACCATCTCTTATCCCCATAGATGAGCCGCGGCGTCGTTCCCGAAGTAGCGGTCGCCCTTGACCTGGTGGCTGCTCAAGATCTTGTCGATTTGCGCTTTGTCGGCATCGGTCAGGACAATGTCACCCGCAGCCAAGTTCTCGAGCGTACGCTTCTTGGAGCTAGAGGCAACATGAATTATTGCGACCGTGTGAGTGAGACAGATGCCCAGTACGTACGAAGATCCGGGCAGCGGGATGACATGATCACCAAGCGAGGCTACCCAGGCGATGGCGAGCTGCGCGGGCGTGATGTTCCTCTTAACAGCCAGTGCTTTGAGTTCCTCGACGATAGCGATGTTCTCTTTGATGTACTGTCGTTTCGCGTGAAAATGTATACAATCACTTTAATCAAGCCTATTCATGCTAAGCGTACCTCGTCCTTGAATCGTGTCAGCATGCGGCGGTAGTCACCATCTAATTGCGTGAAAGAGGGTCAATACTTCCGTATGTTGAGTGGCTCATAGACTGACCCGAAAGGTCACTGGTCGACTTGATGGATCCGGTCAAGAAGCCCCGTCCAAGGGGGCTGCATAGTGCCGTTACTGATGTGCAGCAGACAATGAGGTAATCACGGCACGTACGAATAGCCAGCAACAGCGACACCGAGCTCCTTAGCCGTAGCGATAACTTAAATTAACATCGTCAATCAAAAGGCGGATCGAAGGAGCAAACTATCTCGCCTTTCTTGGTCTCCTCTTCGTAAGACCACAGGCTTACTTCAATCTCCACGACCGCAATCGGGTGCACCTGCGCGCACCAGCAATTAAATCATCCGGGGGTCTCGCATGTTCCGCCACTCACAGCATGCGCGCGCCTCAGAGTCTCTGCCTTGCACTCGGACATGCCGATATGGCTGAACTTACCCTCCTGAACCAAAGCGGCCAAAGCCTTGATGGTATCTTCGATCGGATACTTTTGGTCGACGCGGGCGCACTCGAACAAATCAAGTTTCTTGGTGCCGCGGAGGGCGCCGTTGATGGTGTCGACGCTGCGCCTCAAGTTTTCCGGGCTGGCGGGGTGAAGAGTGAGTGAGTGAGTGTAATGTTCCGGAATAGAACACGCGTAGCCTACGATGTGTCTGGACCGCCTGGTTTCCCTACAGACTTTCCGATGGCACCCTACAGAAGGTGAGATGGCGTGAGATGCCCAAGGTCATGGTAATTCGAGGAATGACAACGTCGACACACCTTAACGGAGAGGAACGTCTTATCCGCATAGTCAGGATACTTCTCGAAGAACCTGGCCAGCAGCTGCAAGTTCGCCGTGGAGAAATCGTACGAATAGAATTCGCCTGAGGATAGGAGGCCATCATCAGTGCTGCTAGGCCTTCGAGTCTCGTAGGCAAGGTTTACCGCTGTTCAGGAACATCTTCGCGCCAGGCGGGCAAGCATCGACTCCCGCCTTGATAGACTCAAACGCCTCCTCATCACTGAGAGGGTGTTTCGGATCCCTCAGGCTGTGTTGTCAACATTCAGTAAGAGCACCTGGAGACACGCGCCGGCTCGCACGAACGTCATCATCATCAAACCTTGCTTAAAATGAAATTTATGTCAAGACAGACTTTCACAGGAGTCCAATCAAATATAGTACGTACTGCTATCTTCGCGACAGTGATGCCGGACGCGGTCCCTCCAAGCTTGGCAGTGTTCTGGACCATCTTGCCCGTATGCAGATATGAGCAGAGATTGAACAAGTTATGATCAGTTTACTGAAAGTGAATGGCGGCTCGCGCGTTTCGCCTTTATACGCCTTTGTGCTTGTTACAGCTAGCACATGACGCGAACATGCTGGTTGCAGCCGAAAGGTCGCGTTGTCCTAAGTGCCAACGGCAGCTGAGGCTCACGAATCGCTTCGGCGATAATCATGCCTAGCCGCAAGCTGTTCACTAAAATTGGAGCCTGCCGGGAGGACACGCCATTACGCACAGCTTACGGCCACCACCGCGTATGACGCCCAACGCTGTGGTTCAACAGGGTATATCGCAGGGACACTGTCAGGCGACGGATAACTCATCTTAACACGTAACTTGCATTTGAGTAGTTGGTCGCCAGATGGAGATGGAAGCTGGCCAATGAGACCTTAAAGGGGTGAGAGATTGCCGTCCTTTCGTTGAGTTCGCTGGCCGACCGAATTGCAGCATTTCAATTAAGGCGAACCTCCTATCGCAGATGGTGCTTTGCGCCAGACGTGGGGCAGAACATACAGTAGGACGTACAGCAGCCTGCCGGGAGGGGGACGCGGAAGTACGCAGAGCTCACGGCCGCCACCGCGTATAACGTCCGGCGCTGTCATTCAATGGGACATACCGCAGATGTACTGTCGGGCGACGGAGAATTTACCTTAACACGTAACCTGCATGTGAGTAGTGAGCCGGCAGATGGAGGCTACACAGCGAGAACTTACGGGTGTGAGAGATTTCAATCCATTTATTGAGTTTAGTGGCTGGTCGCATCACAGCCTTTCAATAATGACAGACCTCCTATCGCAGATCATGCGTGCTAGACGTGGGGTAAAAGATACAGTAGCATATGGAACCTACCCGTCGAGCCCTTGCAGCGACGTCACCGTCGAGACGCTTGTCCCGATGGCTGCCGACCGTTGGCCGACCCTCCTACATTTGTCTCGCAGAGCACGATGGCGCATTCCGAAGAGGGGGCCTTTGTGTCTCTCCCTTAACCTGTTTACACCCGAGGGCCGAATGTCCATCGTTATACAGATTGTTGTAAAGCATCTACAAAGCAGGTAATGGGACACTCGTACATTATTCCCGCTGACACCGCGACATCATGGATTAATTTCATTACAGAACAGGTGAAAGACTTCGCCGTAGTCGGTATGGAGATTCAGGCAGAACGTACTAAGATTATGAGCGACTCACTAGGCTTTCTAACTGCAGGGCCCAAGACGCGCTCTGCACGCGAGCGCATTGGAACTTAGATTGTCAGTCAGAGTGATGAGCCGTCCAGCCGTTCACCCTACCAACTGTGACAATTATGCTTAATGGGTGATGCTGACATGTCTCCGAGAGCCACAAGTATTCCAAGATGAATGTAATTCTGGCAGAGATAGACAAGACTGACGAGACAAAGCTCGAATCTCGGGGCTGATGTTGTAAGTTGGACCGGTTTGTTGCAGTGCCACCGCCAGCCGTTGCCGCGCCAGGGCGGGCATGAATTGTCGGGCATTAATTCCCACGGTCGCGCCTACGAGCCTCGTTTAGTCCTGTTTAGTCCCATCCGGTGGCGCGATCCTCTTTCTTGACTTCCGCTCACCTCTTGCTCGTCGTATACCCCTCACTACACCATGGCCGCCCGTGACAGGCTCGCCGCCTTAAGGGTGCGTCTCGTCACCGCAGACGAATGCGCAGTCAACGGAGGCTGACCATGCACCGCGTCAGAATAGGCTCAGAGACAGCAGCAAGCGAACCAGGATGGCACCGCCCCTCAGTACCATGAGATGACAGGGCTGCAGACCCCTAGTCCCATCTCGCCGCCGACGAATGGCAACGGGAATGCGGAGACTGACCCAATGACCAGGTTCTATGCTGAGGTGCGCATGCTGTCTGTGATACTGAGGCGGGGCCGTCTTTGACTCAATTGGTACCATCCCATTGCATTAACAGGTTTCGTCCGTTCAAGATGCCATCTCAGAGTTTAGTTCCAATGTGGCGCGCATCGGCGAGTTGCACTCGCGCTCCTTGAACGGTACCGACGACGCTGTGAACCAACAAAATGCTGCTGCGCTTGACGAACTCGTTGGGAAGACACGCGTTCTCAGTAACAGCTTGAAGGAGCGGATACAATCATTGTCGCAGTATCCTACGCCTCGGCCACAGGATGCGCGAATAAGGGCCAACCAGGTATGAAGGCTGCCCAGTGTAGGTATCGCGGACTGAGCCAGATGTTGTTTCAGACCGGAGTCTTGCGCTCAAAGTTCGTCGAGATCCTGCAGAGCTACCAACAAGTAGAGCGGGACTACAGGGCGAGATACAAGCAGCGGGTTGAACGGCAGTTCAAGATCGGTACGCCCTACCTTACCTGTAGACGTGACAGTATGACTTAATGATCCGCAGTCAAACCCGACGCGTCACCAGAGGAGATCGACGCTGTTGTTAATAACCCCGAAGGTGGCGGCGACCAGATCTTCGCGCAGGCCGTGTGTAGTGCCCTTGCATCCCTTCGCTCCACCACTGATATGCCTTCTGTAGCTGTCGAACTCAACACGCTATGGCGAATCGAGACAAGCTTACCGAGAGGTCCAGGACCGACAAGCAGACATTCTCAGGATCGAAAGGACCTTAGAGGAGCTCGCGCAGCTGTTCAATGATGTATGGCTCAAATTCTTCTTTGTCGATGTTCTAACCTGAGATGTGACTACCAACAGTTGAGCGCGGTTGTTGAGCAACAGAATGACGCCATTGACGCCATCGAAACTACTGCGGGACAAGTCGAGCATAACACGGAAGCTGGGTACGAGCTCAATGTTCATGTCTGTTCTGCACCAGTCCTCATGTCTCTCTAGTCTGCAACAAACCGAGAAGGCGGTGGTGCACGCACGCAGAGCCCGCCGCATGCGTTGGATCTGCTTCATCATTGTCCTCATCTGTCTTGCTGTCGTAGGCATCGTCGTCGGTGTAGTGGTCAGCAACAATGTCAAGGCCAGTCATAACAACAACAACAAGTAAACGCCTACTGGAATCGTGCATGTCGTCATTTCCATCATCCCGTTCATGCTCATGGATACCACACTGGACAGACGAGCAGAGAGCTGCTAGTGATCTTTCACGACGTTTATCTATATACAGACTGTTTGCTTAATGTCATACCTCATTCCCCACGTTCCTTTGCGCGTATATTAGTTGTACCCATTCTGTGCTCTCTATTGGTGTATCGCTTGTTCCTTTGCTACCTCAATTGAATGGACATGCAGTATGTGAACGAAATCTAGCTTCTCGCGAAGCATAAACAGGCATTGCGACTGCCGCGTAACTCCGACTCGTCGATCAGGGTGACATGGAAACACGCACGAGGCTACCGACCGTCCTCGAGTGTAGCCACCATTATCTTCGCCGTAAGAGCTCCCATTTTTTGGCTCTCATGTCGTTGCCGATGATATATACATAAGTCGTAGTCCTCTCGCACCCACCATGACATCCGAGTAAGGTCGCGCCGGTCGATCAGCCAAGATGACCCATCGATTCTCTTGCGCTCTCACTAGTTTGTGTCCGCACACCCGGACGCTATTTGACCTCTTGCAGACTCAGTACTCATTACCTAGACCCTAGCGAGGTCGACCGACTCGCCGTTACTCATCAGCCGACTGACTCGGCGCATAAATCGACAGTAGCGTAAACGAGAGCACTAGCAGCGCTGCTGAACCTTGCACCCGAGAGTCCATGTCGTCCGCCGCAGACATCTTCAAGCCCGCCCCGGGGGACGACCCCCTCCGCGCATTCCGCGCCGAGTTCGCCATCCCGACGAACCGCCAGATGAAGGCGACGGCCGTCGGCCCCGAGCTCGGTGAGCGTGCCTCCTTCCGTGCCCTCCCCGGCACTGCTAATCCTCCCCGTGCCTCCGCACAGCGGACGCGCCATGCACGTACCTGTGCGGAAACTCGCTCGGCGCGCAGCCCCGCCGCGCGCGGCAGCTCGTGCAAGAGGAGCTCGACGTCTGGGCGACACAGTGCGTTATTTTTATTTCTTCATTTCTCTGGCTCGGGCGCGCGGGGTGTGTTCCCCCCCCCCCCCCCCCTCGCCCAATCCCGCCCCCGCGGCTTGGTGCTGACCGTCTCCCGGCTCCTTTGCAGGGGCGTCGAGGGGCACTTTGACCATCCGCACGGCCGCGACTGGATGCACATCGCGGATACCGTGCACCCCGTCTTCGCCGAGCTCGTAGGTCAGTGGGCAGCGTCCCCGCTCGCGCCGGCCAGGCTGACACTACCCTACCCCCCACGGTCCCATAGGTGCACAAGAGTCCGAGGTCGCGTGCATGGGCACGCTCACGGCGAACCTGCACCTCCTCCTGAACACGTTCTACCGCCCAACGACGGCGCGCTACAAGATCCTCTGCGAGGCGCGCGCCTTCCCTTCGGACCAGGTGCGTGCCATCCCTCCTCCACCCCCCGCTTGGCCTTCCCTGCCGCAGCAATGTGAACTCGAACTTGACTGTTGACTGCCCTGCACAGTATGCGATGGCCTCGCAGGCGGCCGCGCACGGCCTCGACCCCGCCACCGCCATCCTCGAGCTCGCGCCGCGCGCGGGCGAGCACACGCTCCGCACGTCCGACATCCTCGACGCGATCACACGCGAGGGCCCGTCGCTCGCGCTCGTGCTCTTCAGCGGGGTCCAGTACTACACCGGGCAGCTCTTCGCCATCGAGGCGATCACGCGTGCCGCGCACGCGCAGGTGCGCGCTTCCCCGTCCCCTCCCCCGTTCTAAGCGTGTCCCCGGCGCTGAGCTGAGCTGTTTGTTGCACGCGCCGTCCGTCGCATTCGCAGGGCTGCATCTGCGGCTGGGACCTCGCGCACGCGGCCGGCAACGTCCCGCTCGCGCTGCACGACTGGGGCGTCGACTTTGCGGCGTGGTGCACGTACAAGTACCTCAACGCGGGCCCGGGCGCGATCGGCGGCATCTTCGTGCACGAGCGCTGGGCGGACGAGCCCATCCGGTGCGTGCGCTGCCCCCATTCCTCATCCCCCATCCCCCCCCTCCCCGCTTAGCCTAACCCCACGCGCCGCCGCTGACTGCTCTCCCCACAGGGCCGCGGGCTGGTGGGGCCACGACGCGCAGACGCGCTTCGCGATGCCGGCGACGTTCGCGCGGATCCGCGGCGCGCAGGGCTTCCAGCAGTCGAACCCGTCGGTGCTCGCGACGGCGGCGCTGCTGGGGTCGCTGGGGGTGTTCCGCGCGGCGGGCGGGATGGGCCCGCTGCGCGCGCGCAGCGTGCGGCTCACGGGCTACCTGGAGGCGCTCCTGCGCGCGTCGCGGTTTTTCGTGGACGTGCAGGCGAGCGAAGGCGGGAGGACGCGGGTGGGTGTGACAATCATCACGCCGGCGGACGCGGCGGAGCGCGGGGCGCAGCTGTCGCTGCTGTTCTTGCCTGTGGGGAGGGGCGTGATGCCGCGGGTGCTGCAGGGGCTGGGCGAAAGGGGTGTTGTCGGGGATTCGAGGCGGCCGGACGTGATCAGGCTGGCGCCGTGTCCGCTGTACAACTCGTGGGAAGATGTTGAGAGGGCCGTGAGTGTGCTGAACGAGGTTTTGGAGGTCGTCGAGCTGGAGGGTCTTGGCGGTAACGAGGCCTCTGCATGATGGGAGAACAGCAAAAGGCGGTCTTGAATATACGCGTGTACTATCTATCTCTCATGGAATCTCTCAGAGGCTCACACGCACAGACAATGCGAATGAAGACGGGTATAGGTTACGGTACTTGGACAACAACCATAAAAGTACGAGGAATAAGTAGGACTATAGTAGTGCTAGTCAAGATACAAGGTCCTCCGTCATCGTGAAGGTCGTGAACGGGTAATAGTGTGAGACATGAAGTGTCTAGTATTTGAGGATGATGTAGAGGGCATGGATGATACCGGGGCTGGCGCACGGCGTGAGTCCTGGGCATGGGGTAGTAGGGACGGCAAGGATAGACTCACATGTAACCTAGTGCTGTCTAGAAGAGAGGAAAACTAGAGTCAGGTCGTGGTTGATATTACAAGGGGAGAATAGAACGCACCAGGATGATGTTGATGATAAAGTCGGCACCAAATCCACGCTCGAGGAAGACGCCAACGGGCGGGAGGATGATGGCGAAGCTGGGTAGGAGGATGTGAGTACGGTGCGCGGTGAATTGCTCGGTTAGGAGAGGACTGACATGATCTGTCGCAGACAAAATCAGGGGTGAAATTGACGAGAGGTAAGCGAGCATACCTTGCAGATGTCTGAGCCGGTGAAAGGCATGGTGGGGAGTGGCGAAGGGGATGGGCTGAAGGGAAGAGGGTTGGATCGTTTATAACGGGGGCCTGATGGGTGCATGACGTCAGCGACGCATACGCCGAGCCGATCTGTGCGACTGACTGTCCCGGCCGACGCCTGCCTCATGCGCCTCTGTGCCCCGGCCCTCCGCCTCCAGTCTGCCGCCACACGCCGCGCAGCCAATATGGCGATGTCATCTGCAGAGACACACCCCACTCGCATCGACGAGCATCTCAACATCGCCTACATCTCCACCTCGCCACCCAATCCATTCCACCAGTTCGACCTCTACATCCCCAATCCAACCCCCGCCGCGAAGCCCCCGCTCATCTGCTTCGTCCACGGCGGTGCCTGGCGCTCGTGAGTACCCTCTGCCCTGCGCGCACCCGCCGCCGGTGACCCACCCCCGTCCCCCAGCGAAGACAAGGCCGACCACGCCGCCCTCGCCCGCCGCCTCGCCGCCCGCACCCGCTGCCCCGTCGCCCTCCCCAACTACCGCCTCACCACCCCCGCCACCCCGCTCCGCCACCCCGCACACGCCGCAGATCTCCTCGCCTTCCTCCACTTCCTCCTCGCCTGGCCCGGCCCCGCACACGCGCATGGCCCCCCGTACGACCCCACCGCGCTCTACCTCATCGGCCACAGCTGCTCCGCGCACATGCTCACCTCCATCTTCCTCCAGCCCCCCTCTCCCGCGCCGCCCGCGCCGCCCCCCTCCCCCACCGACGCGCTCCCGCCCGCGCCCGTCCCCACCCCAGACACCCTCCGCCCCGCCCCCGCGCTCCTCGCCGCCACCCGCGCCCTCGCCCTCTCCTCGGGCCTCTACGACCTCGACCTTCTGCTGCGCGCCTTCCCCGCGTACAAGTCCTGGTTCGTCGCCCCCGCCTTCGGCCGCCTGCGCAGCTACGCGCCCTGGAACACCGCCGCGTACGCCCTGCGCGCGGGCGCCGCGCACGCACGGTGGCTCCTCGTGCACTCGACGGGGGACACCCTCGTGCACCGCGCCCAAAGCGAGGCCGCGTGGGCGGCCCTGCGCGCGCTCTATGGTGAGAGCGCGGACGCGGACGCTGAGCAAGGCGGGCGGCGCATGGTCGAGCGCGACTGGGACTCGCTCGCAGAGGAGCACAACGAGGCGCTCGCGGGGGAGGCGTATCCCCGCGTCATGGGCGACTTTATCCTGGACGACATGCAATGGCGCGCGAGCGCGCGCGGAGAGTAATCGCGCTCCTCTCTTCAACGGCTTCCACGCGAGCGCGGTGCCATTCTGAATACGACAGGCAGGTGAGTCGCAGGGGAGTAGCACGATCGCAGCTGGTACCGGAACGTATCATGATGTCCTGGGGGGAAACGTAGAGGTGATGTTTCGCTAATATACGAGGTTGCATTGATGGCAGCGCTTGGATGCCGTCCGTCAACGACGCTCTGGCACGAGGGTGATAGATACTCGGTTCTGCGACTTCAAGACTCAAAGACAAGAGTGAGAGCGCGTACAAAACGGCCAATCACGCAAAGTTGATGCCCTGGCGCCGCCGAGCCTTCGTGTCCCGCAGCACGCAAGTAAGAACAGAGAAAGCTATGACAGATGCTAATACGGAAAGCAAGGTGTAGTGTACACGGCAGAATGGACTTCGAATTTGGTTGGCTTCTACTCACTCCCGCTCCCGTCCTCCTCGCTCCCGTCGCTCTCCTCTTCACTGCTCTCGCTCGCGGTACCTCTGGATCCGGGCGGTCGCGCGGCGGGCGCAGGCATCCTGGAGGAAGCAGGCGGCGCGGCGGGGTTAGTAGACGAGCTGGAGCCTACTCCGGGGGCAGATGCTGCCCTTGGCGGCACTGTTACCTGCGAAATCATGGGCGCGACCCGCTCGACAACCGTCACTGTTGGCGGGACAGGGACGCCCACCGCGACCGCGTTCACAGACCGCCCAGCTATTGTGACGGCGCTGGTGACGGCCTCGTCGCTGCTCTCCTCCCCGCTCTCCTCGCTCTCCTCCTCGCTTTCCTCGCTCTCCTCTTCACTGCTTTCACTCGCGGCACCTGCGGATACGCGCGGTTGCGCGGCGGGCGTCGCGGCGGGAGCAGGCGTCCTGGAAGAAGCAGGCGTCGCTGTGGGATTGACAGACGAGCTGGAGCCTACTCCGGGGGCAGATGCTGCCCTTGACGGCACCGTCACCTGTGCAATCATGGGCGCGACCCGCTCGACAACCGTCACCGTTGGTGGGACAGGGACGCCCGCCGCGACCGCGTCCATAGGCTGCCGCGCTGTTGTAACGGCGCTGGTCACGTCCTCGTCGCTCCTCTCCTCCCCGCTTTCCTCCTCGCTTTCCTCTCCGCTCCCCTCCTTGCTCCCCTCACTCTTGCCGCTGCCCTCCTCCTCCTCCCCACTCTCCTCGTCCCCGCTCTCCTGCTCGTCGAACTGCTCAATCATGCGCGCGCCCACCGCCCAGCACTTCTCGAGGCCCTCACGCAGCGGCCCAGGCTTCGCGCCCTCGCCGCGCGACGCCGGACGCGCGTACCACGCGCGGATGTCGTCCTCCTCGACGATGTCCGCCTGGTACAGCGCGACGAGGATCTGCCCGAACAGCGGCAGGCGCGGCGACTGCGCGCAGTGCGCCTGCAGCACCTCGACGGTCTCCACGGCGTCGACGCCGCCGATGCGGTCGATCAGGGCGCCCCAGCGCGCGACCGTCGCGCCGATCGCCTGGCGCTGGCGCGCGGGGTCGCCGTCGACGACGTCGATGCGCTCGATGATCGCGGCGACGACGGCCTCGCGCACGCGGCGCAGGGGCACGTTGCTCGCCATGCGCAGCGTCTTGAGCTCGACGGCCGCGTTGTCGACGCTGTGGCCCTCCGCGAACGCGCGCTCGAGCGACTGCCGCACCTCGGAGCGGAACTCGCTCTCGGCCGCAGTCTCCTGCAGCGCGTGCAGCGCGGAGACGGACGCGTCGGGCGCGAGCGAGGCGGACGTCGCGGAGGAGGTGCGCGAGAGTGCGTGCGTGTCCGAGTCCGAGTCGCTGTCCGAGTCTGAGTCTGACTCGTCCTCGGTGACGGAGCCCGCGTCGGAAAGGTCGAGGTCGGACGCGTTGTCTCCTGCGGGTGAAATAGGTGAAATATGAGGACAAACAAACTGCGTTTCGCAAAGCTCACACGCACCGATGCGCATAAGTCGTTGGTTGTTATAGGACTCCACAGATTCATCTTCGTCATCTTCGTCCTCGTCCAGAGGTTTCTGCGGCCAGACGACGGCATTCGTGCCTTCGCCAAGCAATGAGGTGACGCTCTCCTGGTCTGCTGCGAGTCAGATGTTGATTCACTCTGAAGCGATCTGTCCACTCACGAGCCTCGACCATCTCCCACTCGTCGTCGTCATCCTCGTCGTCTGCCTCTTCGCCGCTGAGGTCCCTGCGTCTGGAAATTCTCTCGAACTTCGCAAGCCGTGCATCCTTCCCGAGAACCACACCGTTCCCGATGACACAGCCCGAGCGCACGATGCTCCCTGATCCTATGCGCACCTCGGACCCGATGATGCTCGCCTCGACACGCGAGCCAGCGCCGATGTTGGTGTCGTCGAAGATGTACGCTCCTTCGAGCACGACACCGGCGCCGATGGTACACCGTTGGCCAATGACGCTGCCCGAGATGGATGCGCCATCGGCGACGGTGGTGTGTGCGCCAATGAGTGTATTTGGCCCAATCTTGCATGTACTGTACTTGGGTGATCAGTGAAGGTGAAGCGTGATGATGAATGTTCACACCCACCGGGACAGGGATACGGAATTGTCTTTGGCGATGTACTTGTTCCCGCGAAGATGGTCATATGAATGATCACTAGGATGGTTGTTGTCTGGAACCAGGGGGAACGTCCACCTTGACAAGATGTCTTTGCTGCAAGTGCGACAGTTAGCTGACAGATGATCTAACGCAGCTAGGTCTACGATGGTCAGCACACCTTATCGCGTCGTAGCTCCGTGTATCCGCTACACGAGCAGCATAGCCCTCCCGTGCGACGTAACAGTAGATGTTCTTCATCAAGAGGTCCGATGTCAGCACACCATACACGAAGTCCCGCCGGATGTCGGCGTAATCAAAGTTGTCCTGAAATAACGACGGGACCTAGAAACGGCTTCGGATATCTGTATGAGCTGCAGGCATGATAGTACAGACATACCTCGACCGAGCAGACATCTATTGAACAGTCGATAAGATCATTCCGAATCTCTACTTCTGGATGTTCCGCCAGTACCTCTCTTGGGATGTGGGCGATGCTTTTTGTAGGGTGCCCGGTGACAGGCTCATAATGCAGACACTCTGATGTATTCGCGTCCAAGACGAACACGCCCGAATCTCCCCGCGATCTGTCAGAGCTTCAGTGTGTATCCGCACTGCACCGCGGTCGCTGGTACAACTCACCTTGTGCGATGTTTCGCGCCGCTTTCTTTTACGACCATCGTCATGATTGCATCCTTGTTGGTCTTCCGGCGCTCCTTGTGCGCGCGCACGACCTCGTCTATCCGGATGTTGCTCACGAGGTCGCCCGTGACGAGAACGAAGTCGGTGGTGATGATCCCATGCGTGTAGATGTCGCGCATAGCATCCCCAGGGGAGAAGGTCTCCTTCGCCGTGATGATGGGCACAATCTTCAGGCCTGAGCTCGGCTTCGACCATTTCGAATCCCTATACGAGCATACTCAGCAACGGACTCCAAATATGAGCATGTATATATGCGCATGTTGCGCTCCGTACGCACCGAATGGCTGCCTTCACGAGCTCGGGATACGATCGACAAATTACGAAGATCTCCTGCACGCCCGCCAACGCCAGACTCTCGAATGTCCAGTCTAATAGCGTGGCATTGCATATAGGCAGGAGGCACTGCGACGGACGCCAATCTTTCCTTAGCCGTCGGGTCTCTGTCTGTACATCAGAACAAGGCACGTACCCTCGGCTTGCCTATAGTCAATGGTCTGAAGCGCTTATTGAAGCTGTCCGCGAGAATGACCGCTTGGAGGACGTCGTCCTCGGCAGTCAGATCCTTCTCCTTGCCCGCAGAAGACTTTGGCGGCATTGCGAGTGGTGAATACGATATAGAATGAGTAGAAAGGCAGGGACCGCCACAAACGGTACAAACTCCTCGAATGCCATTGCTTCAGGCGCATCGCGTCTGAAATGACTCGATCAGTCACATGCAGCCGTTTTCGGTGCGGGTTGGCCAACATGTCTTCCCAGCGTACGAAGTAGACTGCCCACAGCCACAGGATGACGACGCAGTCAGAACGAAGTTGGAGATATGCAGGCGTAGCAGACTCATGGCAATTCGGTCAAACCGTGACAAAAGGATGTCGATTCTATGTACTTGCACAAAGAAATCTCCCTTACACTGAATCGGAGTACAACACACTAAAGAACGTAACGTGAAGGCATGCTGCATTATCATGACCACTCCTGATAGAGAACAAACTACAGGAGTTGCAAGACCATGAAAGCACGCAGCTAGAACAGAAGGAAAGTGGGGTATGATGACACGCTATCCGGATGGACATTAGCTATGATGCGGGCCTAGCTACACGGTATAAACGAAAACATGCATCGTGAATGAAGCAAACTAAAGACTAGATCCGCGTCGTAAAATAAGACCATGAATGAAAGAGATGAGGACCTATCCAGATGAGCGGTGGAACGAACCAGCACATGAAGATGCGAGCGTAAGCGAAGATGGCATCGTGACACGTCATAACGTTAGAGCGAACCGACCAATGGCCCTTACGCAGCAGCAGCAACGACGGGAGCAGCGGGTGGTGCCTCAATCTTAGGCTCCTCCACCGCAGGTGCCGGTGTCGACTCAGCAGCCTCCTCCGCCGCAGGGTTCTCGAGGGGAGCAATGGGCTCAGACTCCTCGATCTTCGGGGGGTTCTCTTCAACCTTGGCGGGCGTGTTGTGCTCCGCTTTCGGCTTCGTCTTGAAGAATTCACCGACGCGCGCTGACAAGCGGCGGTTAACCTTGGATGACTTCGGCTTCTCCTCCTTCTGCAGACATGATCAATGACAAGATCAAATGGAAGTAAGCACTAGTGGCATACCTTCTCCTTGGGGGTCTCAGTGGTCTCGGCGGCGGGCTCAGCAGGAGCGGCCTCAGCAGCTGGGGCCTCGGCAGCAGGAGCGGTCTCAGTTTCCTTCACAGGCTCAGCGGCGGGCTCGGCAGGGGTCTCCTCGGTTGCGTGAGCTTCAGCAGCAGGAGCCTCTTCGGGCTGAGCCTCTTTAGGCGCCTCCTCAGCAGGAACGGCAGCCTTTTTGATCATAAGCAACACCCTACAAAGGTGGGAGGACGAAAACTTACCTCCTCCTTCTTCTCAGTCTTCTTCACAGCCTTCTCTTTGGGCTTCTTCTCGGTCTTCTTCTCGCCTCTTCCCTTGAAAGGTCCAAGGAGCTTAGCCAAGAGACTAGGGCTCTTGGGTCGATCTTCCTTCTTCGTCTCCGTGGCAGCGGGCTCAGCCTGTGATGGATGATCAGAAATCACGACAGACAACTCGACAGCAAATCAACGTACGGGCTTAGCCTCCTCAGTCGCGGGCTCAGTTGCAGCAGGCTCAGCGGCGGCTTCAGTGGCAGCAGGTTCAGGTGCAGCCTCCTATAACGAGCGATTTAGAAAGAAGTCTGAAAAGAACAACGTGTAAATCCTACCTCAGCCTTGGCCTCTTCCGTAGGTTCCACCTGACAGCAAAACGTTGAGAAAAACGCGTCGTTGTCAACATGACAAGGTCAACTTACAGCAGCAGGCGCCGCCTCAGTGGCGGGCTCGGCGGCAGGAGTGGGCTCTTCGGTGGGAACCTCAGGCTTCACCTCCTCAACAGGCGCGGGGGCAGCAACAGCGTCAGACATTACGGATGACTAGGTGCGGACGAGAACTGTAGGGGGTGTCAGACGACGAATGTGCACACAGATGAAAGGACGGAGCAGAGGTGTATATATAGTGGCGAGTGAGAGTATGAAAGAGAGAGGCTTACAATTAGTGGTATAGGAGAAGAGAGAGAGGCTGTTGCGGCCTGACGACGCAGAGGAAGACAAGAGAGCGAGAGAGAAAGAGATAGGGAGAGAATAAGCTCTGGGCAGCGCTTCTTATCCCTTAAGCAGGCTGTACAAACAAAGCTAAACTGTTTTTGGGCTTTCCACGTTATGAGCGCCCCGATTAGGCGACGCGTCCGCTTCTGCTACAACGCTTGTTCTGACTCATTTTGTGTGTCTGCTCAGTCCCCTCAATTCGCTCTGCACTGCCAAGATGCGGACCTGCCTCACAGAGCCGCCCTGCATCTATCAGAGACGGGCAGATGAGTACAGCTGCAGCGGGCTAGCTGTTTGTTGGGTGGCTTGAATTTTTGAGCGTGGGAAAGCGAGCTGTTCACAAGGTGACACAACAAAATAGATCGAAGCAACGGGGTCATGGAATTCTGGCGTGGACCCCAGCCGATCAACTGACACATACGTAAATCCACCGCCGCCCCGCCCGCCATTTCCTGTCCCCGCGCTCCCGCTCTCCAGTATCCTTCGCTTTGCTGCCCGCCGTGCTCGCTTTACTCGACGGCGCCGACAGCAAAGCTCGCAAAGGGGCAGGCCAGAGGAGGACTGGATCGGCCTTGGCGTCCAGGTTTTGATGTACAGCTCGCTTGTAACGCTTCTTTTCTGTTCCGGGTAAGCATCGACGCGACCGCGACCGCGTCTGTGTTTCAGCCTTTAGGACCCCGCCCCTGCTTTTCTCACGCCCTCCATGTTGGCGGGCTTGTATACGCGTGCAGGGGCGCGTGCCTCTATTCCGCTCGTCTGCCTCGGTCCAACTCTCTTGCCGCTGCCTCTGACGACGTCGAGCATGCAACAGGCGTTCATGAAAACACCTTGGGGGAACCTAATCTCACGCCCCCCCCAACTCCACTCAATGGGGTCAACATGCTCTTCTCGTATAAGGTCTACTCGCCTGCCCGTGGAGCTCTGCCCATGTCGACCTACTCTTAAACACCTTGGGGAGACACTGTCTGTGCTCGTCTACCGCCGCTAGTCGAAGACTCGCCACCGCAAGATGCTAGCTGCTATCACCCCGTTCATGTGCTTTGTCGGCTTTCTGCTCCTGCTTCTCGTGTCCCTGTCCGTGCCCATTATCAAGGCTGTATACCTCTTCCACCTCGTCGGGCACGCGGGCATTTCTCTGCTCGACGTGAGCGCAGGCGGCAGCGCATGGTTCGGCGTTTGGGGCTACTGCGTATCGGCAATTGACGTCTCGTGAGTCGGCCATTCAGATGCATTGTCTATATCTGCCACTGACGATCTCCTGCATTGTCGCGTGACGCCGCCAGTGTCGTCGGCATCGACGTTGCCGGGACAAATGCAACATGCTCTAAAGCAGAGCTGGGATATGACCTCAGCCCCTTCGTCCTTGACGTGTTGCACGCCTCCGACACGAACCTTGACCCAGCGACTATTAACCGTGATATCACTGCGGTCTTGGTTTTGCATCCCATTGGTGCGTCTCGTGCTCCGCTGTTACATTCAGGGATAGCAGTGCCTGATCTAATTATGTGTATCTAGCCTGTGGCATTGCCTTCCTAGCTCTGGCCACGTCGTTCATTATCGTCCGCTATGCGCGGTCCGCGCCTGGAGCTCCTCGGGCACTCCCCATTATCGCCCTCATAGTGGGGTTCCTCGCTGCGGTTCTCACCACGGCGGTATTCCTCATTGACGTAATCTTTGTCGCCGTGGTGCGCAAGCGCGTCGAAAGCAAGTCTGATGGTATCCTGACCTTGAACTGGGGCAATGCTGTAAGTCCTGATCTGCGAATCCCTTTCCTGTCTGAGCTTGACTGATTGGTTGACACCGGTGTCATCGGCGGTCAACAGGTCTGGATGGTCTTGGGTGCCACGGTTGCCTTATGGTTGGCGCTGGTCGGTTCTTGCGCGGGCGTGTGCTGCATGCGAAGACACAGGTACGTACATCTTCTTGCAGCAGGGGACCCAACACATCCTATCGTGTATTTAACACTTCCTTCTTCCAGGAAAGTGAGCAAGTACTAGAGTGCTCAATAGACGAGTTGCCGTGCCGGCAGAGAGCGGACTCGCCTGCCCCTGCCAGCGCACATGGTCAGCGCTTGCACGGAAGACGCCATCCCGAGTCGCCTGTTTGGACTGGTCAGGCCCACAGCAAAGGGGGCGGGAAGCATGGCATCATTCGCAATTATGTGCTTCGTCCTCATCTTCTCTGATGCGATCTGTATCTCTATTCTGGTGCTCGGACACTGCTGTAGCGGCTCCGATACCACAGGTGATAACATACCCCCTTATATGTACCGTGCAGTGGCAGCTGTGGGCAAGCTTTTGGTGATAGGCGTATCATTGTCGGCCTAATCGTGCCATGTGAGTATATGGCTCCATTCCAAACCTTTCTGCCATCCTCCCGGGGAGTTGGCCATGCGAGTAGGAGAGACGATCCCAAGATGGGTATTTGAAAACGGCAGAGCGCAGTAACTGTTTATCTCCCCAGAAACCAAGTATCATGTTCCGATGAAACCAAATGACGAGATCTGAGACTACTTGCGCCACCACTAGAACGAACTGCGCGATGAGAGGTGAGCTCACGCCGTGGCTTCGACCACCGTGGGACCAGCTTCCACAGGCTTGCGGCGTGTAGTGACCCGTAGACCCTTGGCCTTCATCGCCTTTCGCCTAGCCTCTACCTTCGATTCTGTTGGATCACTGTCAGCAAGTATACCCATAACAAAGCAGTCGACAAACGCACCCTCGATATACCGCATGTCCTCATCGTTGTTGAACTTGAGGTCGTCGGCGTCGATCGCCTCGCCACTCGTGCTGACGACGGGCCCACTGTCCTCGTCGCGCGGCTTCGTTTTCACGCGTTTCTCCACCTTGAACTTCGCGACGTAGAACCCGTCCATGTTGTGCACGTGCGGGTAGAACCGCCGCGTTAGGCTGACCTTCTCGTTGAACACCTTTCCCCGGTAGTTGGTGTAGCCCGGCCGCCCAAATTCAAGGCCCGTGTCGACCAGCTTGACGTTCGGCCGCTTGCGCAGTGCGTAGTCCACGACCGCCTCGTTCTCGTCGACCGTCACGGAACATGTGGAGTACACTAGGTACCCGCCGGTCTTCGAGTCTGGTGACACGCTGTCTATGGCGCAGAGGATCAGCTGCTTTTGGAGGTGAGACAGGAGAGTAAAGTCCCGCTCGGTCTGTCGGAGGGTTAGCGTACCGCCGGCACCGAGAATGTGCTACACAACAAACCTTGTTAGTTTTCACACCGGTATCCTTGCTGATAATGCCCGTCCCGCTGCACGGGGCGTCCAGGAGCACACGATCAAAACCGCCCATCACCTTGGGGAACTCCCGGCCATCATAAGAGCACACGACGACGTTCTTGCAGCCAAGCCGATGCACGTTTGCCGTGAGACTCTTCGTGCGCGCTTTGTTAACGTCATTGGCGAACACTACGCCCGTGTTCTCCATAAGCGCCGCCATGTGCGTTGTCTTTCCGCCCGGAGCGGATGCCATGTCCAGGACACGCTCGCCAGGTTGCGGGGAGAGTGCGATGACCGGAAGGAATGAAGACGCGGCCTGTAGCATGTAGTGGCCTGCAAGATATTCTGGTGTCGCACCGATAGGAACGCTGCTCTCGAATACCTGTAAACCGACGTTTGTCCATTTGCCGATGGATTCAAGGTTGACGCCTCTGTTGATGAGTGCCTGAGCTAGATCTCGTCGTCGAGTGCGAAGGGTGTTCGTCCTGATTGTCACGGGACGGGACACTTCATTCGCCTCGAAGAACTCGATCGCCTGTGACGAACTTAGGGTGAGCGCAATCACTAATTGAGACGGCCGTATGGAAACATACCTCAGCAACCGGAAACAGCTGGAACAGCTTCTCCGCAAGGAACTCGTTATATCCGTAGTAACTCGCGATATCTGAGATGAGCTGCTGGACATATTCTGATCGTGACCTGTTTAACGGTTCCGATGAGCCCTTACCGTAGCAAAGAAATCAAAATTGCGCTTACCGTCCCTTAGCAGCCAATCTCTTGAAGCTGCCCATCACACGTACGCATTCCCGCATACGCCGCTGAACAGTGTGAATGTCTGGTCCACCGCTCTTCTTTTCTTCTTCTCTCTCCTCCGCCGTGGGTAGGTGGAACTCCTCGTCACCTTCACCCTCCTCCCCGACCTCGTCTGCGTCAGCGAAGTCATCATCGCCTGCGCCTACTAACGCTGCATTTTGCATCTCCTCAGCGTCCAACTCTGCTTCTCGGGCCGCATTAGCGTCTAGTGCGCGAGACCGTGCCTCCATATTAGCAATGGTCACAGGCCCATCCTCATCGTCCTCGTCGGAATCCGAAGATGAGTCGTCCGAACCAGTAGGGATAATTTTGGCGGGACGCTCATGCTGTTTTGACTTCTTCCCCTTCAGCTTGGACGGTGCTAACTCGATTTCCTCGTCGTCAGAGCCGAGATCAAGTTCCTGCACGGGTCCACGCAGGAGGTCGTCACTGAAAGGAGGTAAGGAGGTCTGGCGTAGTAGCATCAAATATTGGACATACTCGTCCTCATCACCCTCCATGTCGAGGTCTTCCAGGTCGCCGACGAAGCCCTCACCCTCGTCTTCGCTATCATGAAAGAGGGACCTGATCGGACATTCTGCTTGAGAAGCTGCTGTTGAACCAAGTGCACCACATACTTTACTGGAGCTTTTATGTCGTCGTCTCGGACGCCCTCCCATCCTTCACTGCTACTTTCGCCTTCAGACTCCTCCTGGGCTTTTCGTTTAACCTTAGGTTTACTTGCGGCCTTCTTTATCTCCTTGGCTATGGAACCCGTCTTCCCCCCGTTCTGCTCTTTTCTGGAGCTCTTCTCCTCATGCTCGCGGGCTTTCTTGGCGGGTCTCTTGCTAGGACCGTCTTTGGCGTCCACGTCTGCCTCAGCCTTGCGTTTCCCCAGTCGCTTCCCTGATGGTCGGGCAGATCTATCCTGGGAAATAGGTTCTGGATCACCCTGCTTGTTTTTTGCACGACGCCCCATTGCGAAAAGCTGAAGAAGACCGGCAAGGATGCAGAGAGCCGCTAGGATTTCCCAGAAAGGTAATCAGAAAATGCGCGGACGAGTGACTTGGTGTGACATAAGGTCACGGTATATGCGCTCAGGTGACATGATGTCATTGCTTTCGCGTTCATGACTTAAACGAACCTGCACAGAATTCAGCTCCTTCTCTCATCGCAGCGTACTTTGACATCCCAGCTCACCAGAATTCAGATTCAGATATTTGCCATGCAGTCCTCATATATTCTTGGCCTAACGCGTCATGTCGCTGCGAACTCCCGTGGAAACATCTTCCAGCCGTCCTTGAGCAACAAGCTCTACCACGCCAAGCCTCTGTCCTCCAGCCCGTGTCTACGTTGGAACGTATCGCAATCACGAAGGCAAATTTCTGTTGATATATACCCAAGACCACCGGCAAGAAATACCCGGTCCCTACTGTATAAAGCCGCGGGAGTAGCAGGAGTAGGCATTGGTGTCTCCCTTTTCGCAGCTCCTACAGTGTTCTGTGAACGTGAGACATACATTTGTTGCTGCTCCTTGCGTTATTCACTACAGCTGACAAATCACTACAGCCGCTGTCGCTAGGGCTTCTCCCACAACGCTTTCGCAACCCAGCGGTGCTGCACCATTCCAGTCCGCGGAAGCCGCTCCGCCCCCTCCATCGTCAAACGTTCACTACCTGGAGCTCACCTTCGGGACGGTGACTGGAATATGCGCCGGAGTATTCGTGAAGAAGGGTGCCAAGGCCGTCGCCTTCGTACTGGGCGGCGTATTTGTCCTGTTGCAGGTCCGTCGTCTATGATTACCTTTCTGATCTGGTCGTGCGATTGACCAGCGTTGTATAGTACCTTGGTTCTCTCTCTCTGGTTCGGGTTGACTGGTCGCGAGCGTCGACGCGCTTTGAGAATCTTTTCTATACCAAGGATGCGGCTGGCAGGACGAAGGCTCCCAACGTTGGCTCGTTCTTCCGATGGGTCATTGACTTCTTGACCTCGGACTTCCAACAAAGAGCATCATTCGTTGCTGGATTCGCGTTAGGATTGAGAATTGGCTAAGAAAGATAGCCCCCAATTGTTCACAGGTTGATGAAATATGTCGTTGAACTGTCGTCTTCATCAAAGTTTTAGAAAGGGTTAGGACACGAAAGACACGTAAAACCAGCGACGCATAAAGAGACCGGACAGATGCCTTACAATCGCGTCCTAGAGTACATATATGCGGAAGCGTTGACTCCCACCGTAAGCCTCGTGGATACGTAGTGCTGTGTACCATGTCAAGTTCACATTGACAACTGCCAAGCATAACGAACGTACAGTATAATCAGACATCAGCAACTATCGACCTAGATCGACCTAGACAGGCGAGACTGCGACTGGGGTCGCAACTCGCTCTGATACGGTAACGACAGAGGCGAGAATACAGGCACGGCAAGCGTCCAGTGTTCACTGTCCAAGAAACGCCGGATCCGAATACAAGCATATAGCGCCCACTGGCAGTGTCTGTCTCCGTAGTCGCCCAATTGTCGACACTGTTGAGGACTCCCGTCGTGACCACTCGACGCATATTTGCACAAAACTGAAAGCGACAGCAGCGAGCGCCGGGATGGCTTCACCTATCTCCAAGCGGAACGTCCGTCATTGCGTTCGCAGCCTCGTCGTCACCGTCATCATATGGGTTAGGCAGCTTCAGCTTGGAAGTTGGCTGCCTACTGAGTGCTGATGATCCCACGGTCCGTTTCGAGATGTCGCCGGCCCCCGCAGGTGCTGGGGAGGGAGTGCGCGCCCTGTTCTCGTTCCCGTCCATGAAGAGCAGGCTGGGGGCGAACGAGCGTATTGATGTCGGTGTGCCAACGCGTCTTCCCAGTGGGACACGCGCAGTAAACTGCGATAGCGCGGGCTCGTCGGAGGACGTCGACGAATCACTGTTTGTGCGGTGCAGCGATACGGGCGTACCCGGGCGCAGCTGTGGTGGTACAGCGCTGGCGAGCAGGGAGGACGAGCGAACGTGGCCCGCGATTACAGCCTGCTGCGGGCGCGCCAGCGGCATATCCGCGGCATAGCTGTATGTGCTGTCTCGCGAGCCCCAGCTCACGCCGGATAGCGGAGTAGGTGGTGTTCCCTGCCGGAGCACGGGGTCGACGACGTAGCGATTCAGTAGCAGGGGGCGCGTGCGCCGCGTCGGCGGCTTCCGCAGCAGGATAGGGTCAGTTGAGCTGTACGATGGTGCGGGACTTGCGGATCGGTCGATGAACCCGTCCATAGATGACGCTCCGTATGGCAGCGTTGGCAGAGCATCGGTGGTGTCTGTCAGAGTGGGCGAGTCCGCACGTGTCCGCAAGAACTGTGAGGTTGCACGAGTGGCGTACGCTGGTCGCACTGAACCGCCCATTACAACAAGACTTGCTGAGACTACCTGTCCGCGCTCGGCTTGCGTGATAACGGGAAGTGGACTGATTGCATCCACCTGGGGGCTCTTCTCTACGTCGTCCATAGACTTCTCCGGGAACGTGTTGGAGTGTGGGGAGATGACATCCGGAGGAGGCGGAGGACCAAGGGACATGACAGCAAGATAGATACTATGGAGAATAACTTGTGACACGGCTTAGCCGCGGGCTAAAGACGTGGAGATGAATACTCACAAATCACAAAAATGGCCCAAGTTACAAACAGAGCGAAAGTATACGTGCTCTGACAGGTTCCCTCCGAATCTGCGTCATTGATGAGGTGGGTCAAGTCATGTATAAGGGGACCTTTTGAGAAGATACTTACTGAAAGCAGTACAGGCAAAGCGGGATTCGAATATTGTGAAGGGTACGGCAATCGCTGCAGGTACCTCGTTGAATATCTCGTACATAACTCAGAACTCCTCGAACTCACCTAAATGCATTGCAGCCAGAATGAGTGTCCGCCTAAAGTCCGCCCACAAGCGGAACAAGACGACAATCCTGTGGCAGACAAAGTGAAGTTTAATACACGGGGGTAGAGTATTGCGTTACTGACATGAGATAGAGCGTTACAGAAGTGTACACATAAACGCCTATCATCACCAACACGATGGCGCCTGGTTCTCGTCAGGTTTGTTAAACACAGAGCGGTTAGGATGGAACCTACGTTGGCTCTGTATAGCATGTGGCCATGCTCGAGCTGCATACACGGACAAGACTATAGCCCACACTAAGCTGAAGAACGACACAATACCTGAGGGGTGCATTCAGCACGCCAAGTTTCATATCATGGTAAAATCCTACTTACCGAAACCAATCTTGCGGACTGTACGAAAGAAAGACCACCACTCCATAGCGGCAGAATCAACGATAAATGAATGGAACTAGTTATACAACCGGTGTAAAGAACGAAAGGCCGCCAGGGGGGAAAGCGAAAAAGACCAGGGGCCGACTCAGTCAGTGCCCGCGAACGAAGAAAGGGATCCTGGGGGGAGGTCCTAAGAGGCAACGACGACCATCCAGAGTATTTGACGGGGTGTATATACGGATCAAATGGCAGCCGGTGACTGATCAAACATGTTGACAGACTTGCGCAGCCTCGTTTAAATATGTACACACGACGCGAGCGGTGGCAGCATGTCCATGTCTGCTCGGGCGTAACTGAGAGGCAGCTTGAAGATGATCATGAGCAACGTTGTTCGGAGAAACGCGCCTGCCAAGAATACTGTAGTGCTTGCGGGCGAGATCGAGCGGGTCACACACGCGCGCGCTTGTCACAAAGGCAGTGATCGCGACGCGTGCAGTCACGCGCGATCATGCGCGTCTTGCAAGGCACGGCGCGGAGCCGCAAAGCGAGAGGCGGCGGCATCGTGGGCACGCACGCACACTGCAACACATACTTGCCTTCGCCATGTCTGAAGTAGACCCCCTCCTTTCCTCTCATATCCCACCAGAAACAGAGGAACCATACAGCTGGAAAGAGTGGGCAGCTGAACACCTCGAGTCCCCTGCACTGCACAAGACCGTCATTGCACTGGCTCGTATTCTTGTTTTTGATTGCCACAAGGAGTGCCAACACTGCCCCAACAGGTCTTGATAGATTCGGCTTGCGTGCTCGCCGATCTGGGCTACACATTTCTCAACGAGACCTGCACGCCTGATGAAGAGAACCAGCCTCTGTGGCTGACCATCTTAGCCCATATTTCGTTGGCCATCACGGCCTTCTTCCTGGTTGAAATCCCGATAAACATATGGGCGTTCGGCTGGACGTTCTATCGGCCTGGGGGACGTGCCCTGCACTCGTCTCTGCATTTCTTCGACGCTGTCGTGATCGCCACCACGTTCATCTTTGAGGTCGTTCTTCGAGGTCGCGAGAGAGAACTCGCGTCTTTGCTAATCATTCTGCGGCTGTGGCGCCTGGTCAAACTCGTGCAGGGTTCGTCTTCAGTTGTTTGTGTAAGTGCGACGTGCTGGGGCTATGCTAACGCCACATGGCAGGGATCGCGGTCAGTGCAGGAGAGCTAGAAGAGGGGAACGCGAGAAAGCTAGAGGAGACTGAGCGCGAGCTTGAGGGTGTCATAGTGGCCCTCGCGGATACACGGGAAGAGAATCATAGACTTCGCGAACGCATTCGCACTCTCGAGAGTAGTTCGTGATCTTCTCACATACCCCCGGCGCAGCGGGAATTTCTTGCAGCCACGGAACGCAATATATACATTGACATCCGTACATCTACATGCTATAATCTAATGGATACAACGAGCGGGATTATAAATGATAGATACAGGTGGATCGTGCAAGCACAACAGATATGGCGATGTTCTACAGTCAATGCAGAATCCTTCAGAGAAGACGACGACCCGCAGGCGGGCGCCCTTGAGAGCTACTGCTCGCATCGGTGGCGGCGACCCACTCCGATCGGTCCCCCGCTGGAATAGGCACATCCGTGTTCAGCGTGTTGTTGTCAGGAAAGATACCGAATGAGATGCGGTCGCTGTGTCCAATAGACGGGAGGCTGTAGGCGCTTGCTGTGAACGCATCATTGCCACTATCCGGCTGCGCGCTCTGGCCAAATAGTCTGCCGAACGCCTTGGGTGGCGGAGGCGGAGGGGCCGAAGAGACTCGCGTTGTGGATACACTCCAACGCGACGTGACCGCGTGAGAAGTAGGGAACGGATCGTCTCTCCCGCGACACGTATTTGTCCTGGCCCACTTGGGCTGGGTCGGGCTCCCGGTACTCTGTCTCAGTGGCGCGGAAATGACAAGGCCTTTGGGCGCAGGGGGGTCCTCGCGCGTGAATTGTGCAACGAAGGTCTTTGTGTCGGAGTAGCTGCGGGACAGAGCATCGTCCGCCTTGAACGCGGGGTTCTCATAAGCGCCGCCCTCCAGATCCTTCGAGCGACCTGCTTGTACCGGAGCTTGTTGCGTCGTGAACCAGGGAACAGCCGTGACTCGGGTTGCCCAAATTGTGGGATAATGTGTGGCGTGGGCAATCGCACTGACGAGCAGAGCAAATGTGTACACCCAAACTAGAACATAGATGAGCATTTTGAAAAGAGTAAGGTGAAAGATGCGCACAAGTCCATGTCGACAGCCAGGCCACAATGGCTAGTTCAAATGACGAGCCACGCGGAGTGAAGTCAGTGGCTACGGGTGAATCGGTGAGTCCGGGAAAGAGAGATACGACTCATGAATGAACCGACCTCCTGCTTTACGTGCGATGGAGCAATTCAAGGTGGCTAGGCCTGCAGCGACTAACCGCCGTGTGAGTTGTCAGATATCACGAAATATATCAATTATCCCCCGACGCACCAAGTTGCAACATGCAGGAGACAAACGCCCATACGAACTCCAGGATCACTTTGGGGCTCCAAGATCGTTGTGCCAAACCTCTGTGTGGAGACGTGAGTCAGGAAGCGGCACTTCCAAGCAACTAGGCAGACGTACAAAGTAAAGCAATACAACATCGTGCAACACGCATTGAAAATAACCAGCACAGCAGCAGCGTTGACTGCGCCTATTGACCATTAGTCGTGTGGCAAGGAAAGAGGAGGAGCCACATACCCGCGACATTGAACGCAGCGATTATAAGGAGAAAGACATTAAATAAGCCGAGAGTGACTACGCCACGCCGCCACAGTCAGCTTTTACAGAGGATTCCGAAGGTATAGGATTTGCTTACGCAGGATGGTCAACCGCACGGCAAGAAAAGGGTTCAGCATCTTGAGTCGATTATACAGAAAAGGAGGAGGGATGGCTACAGGGGTGAATGCTCGTAGAGTTATATAGCAAGGTACGATAGGTCAAAGCTGAGCGATTAGCAGCTGTAGTCGTTATAGGCACAATCGAAGCAGTGTTGGAGATGGTTCAAGCTGGTAAAGCGGCGTCGGATGTAAGTTCTAGAGCAGCCAGAAGACCGCCGGGGCCACGCAGCAGGGTGGACTGTGGCGAAGCATACTTATATAGGACGTCGCTAACCGAGCAACAACAATGGCTGCTCAGGAAAACAATGGCCAGCATATTGAGCGCTGGGAATTGATGTGCACGTTGTTCCCTGGTTGCTCCGCCGAATCACAGCACGCCACCACGCTTCGCAAGCCAATGTGGCGCCTGAGCATACATACAACGACCGACATCCTGGAGAGATGTTGGGAATGCCATACTCCCAAGTGGCGGGGGCTCACTGGAAGGAGCAATCGCAGACGCCGAAATTGACTTCATACTGATAGGCGCCCATGCATGTGGCTCATTACCGGTATTGCTGCACGAGCAACCCCTGCTGGTTCTCTCGTCATTACTTTTCGCTGGACTGCAGTATGCTAAGGCTCAAAGGCTCGGATAACACGCTGGCGAAACCAAGTTCCACATCTGTCACCTGCTGCACCGACGGCAGTCGGGCAACCGGGGAATCGACTTGGAACCAGTGGAAGGGAGGCTCTAGATCACGTAAGATTACCCGACTGCTTCGCAAATACGAGGGAGAGCAGGGTGATTATCATCGTGCGGACTTACACAGGAGGAATATCGCTCAAGGAGGTGCAAACCACCCCATCATCGCTCACCTCCGGCCCTATGGTTCCGGATGTGTGGGTTCTCCGTCTTTCTGCCCACACTTATGGAGCGACTCAAGAACTCCGGCTAGTCAAAGGCGTCGTGGACCCTCTTCCTGGCACAGGTGACCCGTCGCGGCAGCCGCGAGCTACCGGCGATCTCACTTGAGAAACCGAGTGAATGAGTCCTTCGGTGCTCCGTCGAGGATGTGCAAGAGTCAGCTGCCGTACATGAATCCTGTTGCAGACCCATATTTTTCCCTATAAGATCAACCAGCGACTGCTGAGTAGGATTGAGGCGCGTCGAGGATGGCCGGGCTACATCGCGTCACACAGTTTCTCGGGCTTCTTGGCACTTTTGGAGCTCTGTCTACGGTCACTACTGCTTCGCAGACGTATCCTGACACGGATGTGGTTATCGTCTCGAACAACGACCTGAACCCATCGAACCCGAACCGTGCTAGTGCTCTGTATCTCAAGAGCGGCTTCACATGTACGGAAGCATACGACGCTTGCTCGCAGTTCCAGGAGACCCTACTCCTGGCCCCCAATAGTACAGGGCTTACTGCAGCCAATCTGTCTGTCGCGTTGACCTCAGAAAAGCATGGAGCGGCCTTGGACACCACCCAACCTATTTGGATTGCTGGTAGCGGTACGCGTTGTAAGAGCGTCGCCCAGGAAGTGCTCTATGCTAAACCTTCGCCAACAGACTCAACAGAATGCGCTGTATTCACGCCAAGCTACCAATATGCGGGGGAATACCAGATGGATGCCAGTGCTGATGCCAACGAGTTACTCCCTGTCCTTTGCACCAACTCCGCACCTCTGACTCGGTCCAACGTGACTTCATATGATACAACACGTCAAATCCGACTTACTACTCCATCGGCTGGTGTCTTGTATGGGTACCGGGACAAGTTCACCTATCGCTTCCTCGGCATAAAATACGCTGACTCGACAGCCGGAGAAGGGAGGTTCCAACCTCCCACCGCGTACGAGGTGGAGCCCAGTACGGAAAGGTCTGCTGTGGCGTACGGAACCATGTGTGCTCAGGTACAGTCAAATACGTAAATGCCTTTCTACTTTATCATTGTAACGTCCCGATAGCCACCAGATGCGGACAATGGCCACCTGTTGTACACAGACGAAGACTGTATGTATCTCAATGTCTTCACTCCTGTTGTTAAATCTGGAACCGTGGAGATGGGGTTCGCGCCGAAGCTGCCTGTCATGTTCTTCAGTAGGTGTCCTTTCGTCCGAGATTATGTATGATGGTCTTTAACCGTCCATTTACGTAGTTCACGGTGGCGGTCTGAACACTGGCGATAGCGGACCATTCCCCTTCAATATGACCACAAGTGGGTTCGTTGGGAACTCTATTTCCAATATATACGACGGCACCAACTTGGTCTCGTATGGCGGAGTTGTTCTTGTGACCATCAATTACCGCTTGACGGCTTTCGGCTGGTTCAATGCATCGAATGCTGCCTTAAAGGATGCGCTCCTCGCTTTGCATTGGGTGCAAGATAATATCGAGGCATTCGGTGGCGACGTAAGCATAGCTGAGCTTCAAGGATCATCCCAGCATACTAACGTTCTTGTCTAGCCCACGAAAGTCCTCATATATGGAGAGTCTGCCGGTGGCACTATGACAAGGTACCTGTTGGGAACCAATCCTGCATATACCGACGGCTTGTTTAGTCAGTTATTACCTATGTCTCTTAGTGCGATGTTGATGTTGACAATTCAATTCAGGCGCCGCGGTGCTGGAATCAGATTTTGGACAGGGAGATCCTTTCCTCGTCCCTGTCTTGGCGAACAACAACTCCCTAAAGATTGCGCAGTATCTTGGCTGTGCGGATAACTCATCAACTACATTCACTGACACCATGGCCTCCTGCGTCCAAGATCAACCGGCTGGTGACATTGCGATGGCTTCTTACAACATGGGTCTATCTTGGAGCATTGCCATCGACGGGGATTACGTACTGAACGATATCGCCAGCAGTATCATGGATGGCCTCTATGCGCGGGTGCCAACCATCTGGTCGAGCAACGACTGCGAATATTGTTACTTCCTCCCAACCACCATTGCGCCGAACTCGTCTGCGTCCGTTTTCCCAGACAATCTATCGATTACGTTCAACAGCACCCAGGCGCAGCGCATTATGGAAGTCGCGAACACCACAGACCTCTGGCCATACCAGACGGCCCCCGCAGAGGACGGCATATCCGGCGCTGTCCTCCAGCTTGCGCACCTGATCACCGACTGGGAGGTCCACTGTCCTATGGTCTATCTCTCCTCCCTTGAGACGAACACCACAAACCCCGGCAACTCATACAAGGTCGTGTTCACCGTTGGCCTCGGTTCTCCGCTCACGCCGAACCCTGCCACCTGCCCCGGGCAGGTCTGCCATGCGGACGAGTTGTACTGGGTCTTCGCTACTGCTGAGACCGACAATCTCTATCAACCCTTGACAGAGAGCCAGGTCATCACGACGCGGGAGGCCATCAACCGATGGACCTCGCTCGCTTGGAACGGCAATCCGAACTACGAAGGCGCTGTGGTAGAGTGGCCGCCTTACACGGGCGACAACGAAGTCGTCATCAACGCGACAGCAACGGAAACAATCGAGCCGTATCGCGTAGCTCAGTGCGATTTCCTCGAGAGTCAGCTGGGATTAGTGTTCGGGGAGCACTAGTCAGACTTTCACGTTCACTCGTCTACTTGTTTGATTGACTTCGTGATGTAGTGTTGGTACCACCGCCAAAATCGCATGTGGACTTAGCATTGGGAGTCTCGTCAACTTATGTTCACCTACCGATGATAGCGGGCAGCGGACAAGCACGCAAAATTATTCCTAGTGATAACCAGCATCGTACCCAAACGACGCCGACATGCTTGTATAAACTAATGTACAGCATCGTATGGTACAGAGATGGACGGGACCGTCCAGCGAACCCGACCATGCTGTATGCTGGGGGAGCCGGCGTCAAGAGCTCAGTTGCTACGAGTTGGCCGGAGAACTGAGCAAAGCCCGTCATCATTCTGCCTATCTTGTACACGGCACGCGTGGCGCGTGGGGCGCTGTGGGCTGGCAATCCACTGTCAGAGGGTTCATCGTCTCTCGTCGGACCGGGTCCTATCACCGGTTGGCTGTGATCATGGACAAGTCGAGCGACGGCGGCCGGTGCAGTCTGAGAATCCGCTTCTTCTTCGAGCCCTGCTCACCCGCTGCGGCACCAGGGGACACGGGGGTCGTCGCCAAAGTAGCAGATGGCGGGCTCACGGACAACTGGAGGGGCCGTGGGGTGAAGGAAGCTGGCGGGCGCTCGAAGGAGGGGCGAGGAGCAGTATTCGGTGCTACACCGCTGGCTGCACCACTCCTCGGAGAGGCTGGCACTGCAGAGAGTTGGAACTGCCGGGGCGTGAAGGGTGCTGGCGACCGAGGACGATCGATAGATGGACGTGGTCGGTCGAGCGAAGGACGCTGCTTGTCGAGGGAGGGGCGCGGCCTATCGAGCGAAGGACGCGGCCTGTCGAGGGAGGGACGTGGTCTGTCGAGGGAGGGGCGGGGACGCTCCATAGACGGGCGCGGCGTGGCCGGGTCTGTCTGGATGGGCAGCGCAGCAGTCGGAGGCGTCGTGGAACCCGGGGCGGCCTGCTTCTCAAGATCACGCTCGCGCGCCACGACCATGCGCTTGGAGAACTCGGTACGGAGGCGGCTGCGCGCAGACTTGAGCGCGTTACGGCGGCCAGTCTGCGTGGGCGAGGGGGGCGCGCTGCCAAGAGACCGGCGGACGGCAAACCAATCATACTCGCCCACATTGGACTTCCACACGAGCGGGTCATCGCCTTGGTGCAGGATGGCCACCACTGCGAGGACACAGAGATAGAAGAGCACTGGACAAACTGTCAGATTCAAGGCATTGGCTTAGTTGGTACAGAACTTACTGTCAGCAGCACCGGTCCATGAGAACGCGAGCATGAGCCTCGTCGAAATGCAAGGGCCCAGTTGGATCAACCCATCTAGCGTATTTTAGTGTCACCGCCGGTTGAGACACGAGCATAACAACATACCATTGTCAGAAACCACGCATTCCATCCCAGACATTGTCGTAGTGACAGCACCAGCCGCAGCTACACAGCATCAGTTTCACTGTTCGCGTTTCAAGCCGAGCATGACATACCGAACTCCAGTAGAGCGAACACTCCAACCCACAGACATTCGAACCATACATGACGGGTCACCGACTGCTTGCGCAGGACGTCGATGAACAGTCTGCAAGACGATCAGAATGTCGATCGGGACATGAAGAACGGACGATCGACACACATGGGGAAAATGAACACGAGCCCCACCGCGCCCATAGCGATTGCCACAGCGTCGACCTCAATCGAGGCTGTCAATTCGGCTCAGTTCTCCTGCTCAGCGACTCATAGTGTGTTGTGCTACTCACTCGTGAACTGAACCGCCAGAGCAATCGAAAGATTCCATGCCGAGACACTGCAAAGAACGATATTGCAAACGATAAACAGGACTGTCAAACACATTCATGAGCACTCCCTCGCAGCCCCAAACAGCGTACCAGATAAGACTCACCGAAGACAAAGTAACGGTAGGCCGTGAAGATCGTGTTCATGATGCCGGAGTCGTAACAAATGAATGGAGACCGCTCAACGGTGCGAACTACAACGATACACAATGCAGAGAACCCAGCTCTGAGGGCGGAAACCAGTCCCAGAAGCGTTCAATGGCGAGCGTGTCCAGAGGAGCAGCCAAAAAGCGCTACCGTCCGCGAGCGAGCTTGCCCGCTTTATGTATCGCATCACTGAGCGCCTTGGCGACCACCTGTTACATTCCGCACGCACCGCTTCATCATCTACACAGCTTGCACTCCACCTCGCGCTCGATGCACAGTTCAGGCTGACAGACGGGATAATTCATCGTTACAATATATATACGCAATAGTTCGTGTATTTAACATCGGAAGTAAGTATAAAAGCAAGCCCATCGTCGCAGAGGAATGAGCCGCGCAGCATCGACGTAGTCGCATATTGAAACAAGTCGTCAATCATCATCATCATCATCACGCATCAACCCGCCCTGGATGTGCCCGCCTCCTCATGCTCCGCCAGTAGCCCCTCCTCCTCGTCGGGCTGTTCGTACGCAGGCGGCGGCTCTTCGTGAGTGACGGCCTCCAGCCGCAACCGCTCCACCTCCGTCTGCAGCGTCTCGATCTGCCGCCGCAGGTTCGAGTCGTCGTATTGCTCGACCACAGGTACGGGAGGTGGGCTCCCGATCCCTGTCCCGCTCTGGCTGTACAGAGACGCGTTGGACGGCGCAGACTGATGTGACTGTCGCCGTTGCAAGTCCGCGACATGCGCCTCAATGTCGCGCATCTGGCGCGTGAGCTCCTCGCGCCGCATCGCCGCCTTGCTCTGCCCACGCACCTCGCGAGGGGATCGCGCGGAACTCGCGCCCGCCGCGAGCGCGGCCGAGGAAAGCTGCCCCGAGCTCGAGGTGGCAGGGATACTGGACATGTTCGTCGCGGCGAAAGACGAGGCCGCATCCGATAGCGCGGCCGCGGTGGAAAGCGGACGCCCAGAGGGTGTGGCGGCCGAGCGTAGCGTGTATTGCGTGGGGAGCGTTGGGCGTGAAGTGCTCAGGTCACTCGAATGCGCCTCAGACTTCGGCTCGATCGCGTCATCGTGTGCTGCGAACGGGCCCATGCTTCTGATCCTGTCTGCCCTGCCACGGCCGCGCCGTCGCCAGCAGAAGATTGCCAAGAGCGCGATGACCAGCGCGGCAACACCGCCGACCACACCGCCTACAATTGCACCGACAGCCACATGTGAAGTGGGGGTGGGACTCGACGTTCCACGGGTTGTCGCGGAGGACGAGGCGGGGCTTGTGGCACTCCGTGATGTGGTGCTCGGGGTGCCGACGGTGATATCAGAATCATACCTGGAAAAAGTTCATTGTCCGAGCTTAGTTGGAGCCAATGAGGACTAAACCTACGTATACATGGCCCAATCAAAAGCCATATAAGAGGCATTGACGTCTCGACGAGGAGTCATGGTGAGTGTATGTTGCGCGTCCTTCAGCGATGTATTGCTGTATAGGGTGACGTTGTATTGATAGGCGTCGGATTCACTTGGAATGTGAGAAAACGACCCGACAGTGTGCCCGTCCAACTCGAAACTAATATTCACATATGTTGTCGCGTACGGGACGTAGTTCGGTATGACGCCAAATACCCATATCGCAGTACCTGTTTTCTGCTTGGTGAGTTTCGAAAATGCACATCATGGTAAGGCGCACCATTGAAAGTGAGAGTAACATTCCTGGGCTCCGGATCCGACGGATTCGCAGTAACATCGTGCCATGAATGGTCAAAGCAGTCGTCCACGTCTGGCTGTACGAAACAGCCCGGACAAGTAGGTCCATAATTCCATACACCCGATGGGGGCGCGTAGACGGGCTGAAGTCCTGTCACGGAGTCTCCATTTTCGTCGTCAATAGTCCTATTCGTAAGGGTGGCAAGGGCGACATGGGCCAGCAGGAAGAAAAAACAGGCGACCCGCCAGACGGCTCGGGGCGCTACAACCGACATGTCGACGGAAAGGTCGCGCAAGCACCAAGAGAGACGAGTGGAAAGCGCGCAGCGCGGCGCAGGCAAGGCACGAAATTAGTACCTAAGTAATAAGGGAACTGTGTACACCGAGGCTGTCGTTGACAGTCAAAATCCCGCCAGTGCTCCAGGTCCAGAAGGCTGGCTCGCAGGGGAAAGAAACTCGTAGCTCGCAGAGAGAAAAAACGCGACGGCTGCACGGTTCAGAGCTGGGGCAAGTACTGTCATCATCTTGATGGCATATTTGAGTGTGATCCGCCTCGTTGTGCTGGACTTGTTCCTCAACTTCAAAATTTACCCTCATCTTGACAGGTGCTGTGTGCTAGTGCGGCCAGGGCAGATCGTTATCGTGGCCTAGTGCCAAGGACATATGGCACCCCCCTGAGTCAACTTGAGTGCTGTGAACCGTGAATGCATGAAGAATGGATCCACGAACAGGCGTAGTTACGGGCGGATTGGCAGATCGCCATTATTGACGGCGTCAGACACGGCATCAGCGACGTTCTCGCTTGAGCGAAAAGCGGTGTCGGCTCACTAGGTAATTGATCGGCGCAATGTCGGAAAAGCCCTGTACCTCAGTCCGCTAAGTACTAGTACGCCCCCGCCTCAGTGTCATCGAATTTACCCCTTCAATGCCGAGAATATCGCTCAGCCGCGCCCCACGGGTCCTTATATGCGCATCCATTACAGCTAACGCGTACGATGACTGGGAATCACCTCTGTTTGCCTTGGGGCCTGACGTTGAACAATCACTCCCAGAGTATGTGCGGGCGGGATTTACACATTCCCTCTCATCTCGCCCGCCCTGGTCGCGCATATGAAGCTTTCCCAGCTACAGCTAAGCACCATCATGCTAGCGTGAGTCATCATCTATTGCAGGTCTTAGAATTTTCAGATTAACACGGCTTGCTAGGGCAATGGTGGGCCAGTACGCAACGGCCGTTCCAGTAGGCAAGGTACTGGACCGCTACGGCCCACGGTGCTCTTCTCTTCTTGCATCAATAATGCTCTCTGTGGGCTACGGCCTCTTCGCTCTGGAATACTCACGGACGCCTGAGCGTATCGAGGGCGCCTCCCCTTCCGCCTTTGCTCACCTCGTGCTATCCTTTGGATTCCTCGGTGTCGGCACTCTCTTCTCGTGCGTCCTCACACCGTAGCGGATAAACTATAGCGGGCATCCTGATCAAGCTCACGCAGCTACTTTGCGCTCCTTTTCGCCGCGACGAAGACGTTCCCGCAGTACATGGGATTCGCCACTGGCACAAGCCTCGCGATCTTCGGCACGTCACCCCTCTTCCTCAGCATGATTGTGTCGCGGCTGTTCTCGACCACTAGCTCTGGTGTAGACGTGGCGCGCTTCTTCGTCTTCATGGCTATCCTAACAGGTACGGTGAACTTCCTGGGCGCGCTGATTTTACCAGGCCCGAGGACAAACATTGTGCTTGCGCCCAGGCCACTGGACGATCCCATCATAGGCTCAGAGTACGCAGAGGATCGTCTCGTAGATCAGGACGAACGAACTTCCCTATTGGCACCGTCTGTGAAGTCTGTCGCCAACGTCGTGGTCGTGCCCGCACCAGAGCCGGACGACCTCGCAGCCATCGACCTGTTAAAAGAGCCCTCCTTTTGGGTGCTCGCATTAATTGTCTCGCTTGTCGTCGGAGCCGTGCGTCTGCGCTCTTACACTCTCTGCCAATGGCCACTAATTCTGATTACGATTACCGTCCCAAGGCCGAGATGATCAAATCAAACATCGGTTTGGTCGTATTGTCACTTTCCACTGCATCTGGCGCCCAGGACATTTCCCGTCAGGTGCAGGTCATTGCGGTGTCCGACACGCTCACGCGCCTCCTCGTGGGCCCATTCGCAGACGTCGTCTCGCCCGTTGCGAGCTACTCCAGTGGCGGTGTGTGGGCGTTCCCGCGCAAGCCGTATATCACACGCATACATTTCTTGGCAACCGCGTCTTTGCTGTTTACGACTACGTTCTTGTGGCAGATCTTGGCTGCACGCTCGCAAGGGGCACTTTGGCCGCTGAGGTACACTCAGTCTCGCTTTCCTCATTTCCGCCGCTTGTATTCTCACTCTGATGTTCTCAGCATAAGCACTGGTATCGCAAACGGCACCATCTTCACCATGTTGTACGTCAAAATATGCACTGCAGTGCATGATGTATATTGAAACTTGCATAGGCCCAGCATACTCACCTCGATCTGGGGCTTACCCAACCAAGGTCGTAATTTCGGTTTCATCTCTTATGCGTGCTTCATTGGTACTACAGCCTTTTCGTACCTTTACGCGTTTGTCGCCGACAGCCACACATCACCCGATCAGGGCATTTGCCATGGTGTGCAGTGCTGGCGCACCACCTTCTGGGTGAGCGCAGCGGCCACGCTGTTCTCGACCGGCCTGTGTTGTTTGCTATGGAATAGGTGGAAGACGAGGGTGTAGTTAGATCCGGACATGTTGGCTCACAGACCCAACGGTGCCTGGCACGCGTCCTTTCTGCTCTCGTGATGATAAGCGTTAAATTATTGTCGATACCATAAATGAAGTGTCGTATTACTCTCGTTTAGAACCCGTTTGGCTGGCCTTGCCCTCTGAGTAGCCGAACCACACGCCAAGCACAAGGGCTGCGTTTGCAATGGACAAAGTGGCCGATGATACGGTAGTCGAAGGAAATACATTCCATGCATACTCGACGGCAAGCAGCAACGCCAGTCTGAATATTCTCATCCAGTCAAGCGTCATAGAAGGGGATGGAATTACTCACTTTACAAAGACCGGGAATCTTGTCCTCCAGGCAATGAATGGCAGCTGGAGAGCGTACCATGAATAAAATTGATAGTGCAATGACCGCGCAAACAAGATGCCAATCAAGTTGGATGTAAAGAGCACTGTTGTAACATCTGCACCATCTGTTCAGCATGTTATGTCGACTCAAGATCAGAATAGACGTACAGTCTGCCGTCATGGGTACTGCTGAAGGAGCATATGAAGGTCGACGCAGGCCGCTGCTCACGACGGTCCAGACACCACCATCACGTCTGCACCATCTGGATAGGCCGAACGCAACAAGCGTGGCCAGGTGCCCAAAGAGCAGGCCCCGCGCCCACCACGCGCTGAGGAACGCTTCCTCGCTCACGAAGCGCCAGTTGACCGTCCACTTGTACAAGAACGCGCGCGAGAACTCGTATGAGTACCTCAGGTAGGCGCGCCAGTTGTGCACGAGGAACGGAGCTCCGATGCCACCTTGGATGAGCACAACGCCGAGAACATGCCCCAGCGTGCTGAGGAGCCCGTGCCGCCTGAAGAGGATGACAAGCAAGCCGGGAAGATAGAGAAGCGCGGACATCTTGATAGAGAGTGCGCATCTAGATGGAGACGTCAGGGCTCGTGGAGGGCGGACCTGGGGAGCTGACTGACCCGAAGAGTAGAGTGCCCAACACGTCCCAGCTAGCACCGTATGAGAGGATCGCGGCGTGCGCAGCAACAGCCATCCAGCAGTCATTGAAGAGGCGTAGAACGAAGATGGAATGCAGCCTCTTGCTGAGGGGCAGGAGCAGCAACACCCAGTTGGGTACGCCGCCGGCTTGGCGGTAGGTCGCGATCACGAGAGCGAGGAGCGATAGGTAGAGGACGGCATAGATTGCTTGGGCGGATACTATGTCCTTTCCAGAGTCCGTGAGCCAGTATAGGACTTGGTGGACGTATACATGTCCAGCAGGGTATCTGCCTTTCGATTAGCGTCACTTCAGCCACATGTTGAATCGCTCGTACACGATGGGTCCTGTAGGTCCAGAAATGAACGTATAGTCTCTTTCTCCCCCCAGGTAGAGTTCAAGCTGATATATGTAGGTCTCCCAGTCGATTTCGGTGTCTGTGCACCGTGAACTTCAGCGCACATGGTGAAACCTTGAATTAACTTACACGGGATGAAGCGTATGATCAAGGCTGTCAAGAGAGCATCCCCAGCAACGACTAATCCACCGAGTATGTAGAGGTAGCTAGGATCAAAAAGCAATGAATGGACAAGGCGAAGGCATTGGTGCAGCAAAGAATTCGGTTCAGCCGTTCGCGGGGTTATCGTCGTCATACTCGAGCATGACGATCTCGAGCGCCGAGGTACCCAAGTCAGACGCTCACGTAGAACGCAGTATCAGAAGTAGATGATATTGAGACTACATTAAAATTATATATGGTATCCGAAATCCGACAAAAGGAAACCCGCGATACACGTTTGTCCCAATTAATTCGTTCACTGACCCACATGAGAGCTGACGATGTTTTCTCCGTCTTGTAATCCCTTCATGAACCAATCCTGGTAGTACTCTTCTGTGCCGGGCTTGACAACACTTGTACCAAGCTTCGCAATGCTGTCGTTCATGTATTGCCCAGTGAAGCCAAGTTTTGACATGCCGTACTGGGCAAATATCTTGGCCGTCAAGAAGCCGTCCGAGTATCCCCTGGCGATAGACTTCTGTTCTGGAGACATACCGGTCGCTCCGTCATACTGTCGACGGCCATGCACATGCAGAGTGGAGAGTATGTGTCGCTTGCGCGAACTTGAGGTTGAACCGGACCTATGTCTCCGAGACCAATTTCTTCGGCTTACAGGTGCAGTCGTAGGGCTTGCACTGGCATCGTAAGCATATTCAGAAGTAGTCGCACTTGGGTTTGACTGTGCACTAGCCAGGATCGCCGATGTGGAGGGGGCGTTCATATCCCCCATGAGGTCAGCCAGAGATGGGAGTTCCGCAGGATCCGTCAGCGGGCCTTGTCCGTAGGAAAAGAATGTAGAAGGCAGGCTGTTCCCGACAGCAGACTTGAAGCACCACCCTGGGTCGTCGGTGCAATCCTCCTTGTTATAAGCTTGCGGCCGTATCGTTAGTCACAGGATGCTATAGAAAGAGAAAGGTCATACCCCAGAATCCCCAACCCGCACTTGTGTTAGCATACATGACCATCTGGCCTGTGCAGAAGTCTCTGCGGGACTGGTTCGGGTCCGACTCATTTGCCAGACTTTGTGGTGTCAGAGCACAAGACCACTCATCGATGACTAGATTCCTGCGTGCTTGCGTCGATGCCGTGGCTATAGATGTCGATATGTAGCCTTCAACGTCTGCTGTGTGCTGAGAGGCGGGTTCTGCATCGTCGGAAGGAGTGAACACAAAGTAGGAATGATGGTCCACGACAACGAAGTCCGTTCGGTTTGCGACATAAGAGGCGTACTGCTCCAGATCAAATCCGTCATGTATATAGAGAGGGAAGCTGGCAGCTGCAGGCGAGACTTGTCTCATGGCCGAGATGGCCCGTGTATCTTCAAATGTCGTGCATCAGAGAGTTGCGCACGAGAATATAAAGAGCGACTCACAAAAGTCAGGAAGCTCAGGCACGTTCTGAGGCTCGTTCAAGATCTCAATACCGACAATATTGGAGACGTTAGCCAGCTGCTCTGTCAGAAAAGTGAGCACGGCTATTGTCATGTTCATGTACGTCGGGCTGTCGAATAGACCAGTGACGCCGTCAGAAATCCCAGAGTGTGGTTGTCCGTTTTGGCTGCCAGGAGCCCCGTGCAGGTCAACCAAGACGCCCATGCCCGCCTCGCCAGCCATGTTGATTGCTCGGGCCACTCTGATCCATGAATTTTGGTAGACATTGGAGACGTTCTCGAAAGGTGTACCCTGACAGAAAGCAGGTCCCAAGCTCCAGTAACCAATCGGAAGTCGGACAGTGTTGATCCCAATGCTAGCAAGGTATTCGAAATCACTTTGGTTGATAAAAGTATCCCAATGATGCTCCAGAACTGAGCGCGCATTAGCAGTCGAGTTCCAGCCTGATGCAACGTCTAGTTCCGAGAGCTGCTGCCCAGCCGCGCAGGCGAACACAGAAGGCGTCATCCAATTTTCATGTACGAACCTGAAGGTTCAATGTGTTAGTAACAACGCTCTGAGCGAGACTACAAGACTCGCCAAGATCCCAGATTGACTGCCTGCTGCTGTCTGTAGCGATATACATTCGCCTTCGCTTGATCGAACGGTGGAAACGTCTGGTCCTCGATGAGCGATGCCTCATATGGGATGACATTGCATGCGTCTGCATCATCTTGCGCATAGTTTGTCTGAGTAGATGAGAGTTGCGAATACGCACTGCCATTTTCGACCGCATGGGGTGTCGTAAACCCGTCATACGATGACGATGGCTGCACTCCTCTGTCGAGCCCTGGATATACAGCTTGAGGCGAAGTGGGGTACGCTGGAGTCGGCTTGTAAAGTCCTTGCGTCAAGCTCAAGGCTTGCAGCAACGCAGAAAAGTAAGTAGTCGACAGAACCATGCTGCGACCAAGGGCACTAGGGCAATATAACCAGGGACCAGCCACTGACGCGAAGGAGGTACGGCAATTCGGAAGGATCCCACTTATGAGGAGATACTGAGAGGCTGACAGCAGGTCTCGCCCGAAGAACGAGAGTTATGATCCTGACCAGCGGTTCATGAAATTCATGCATGTCTTGGAGTCAGCTCCCGGGTCTCCGCCTGAGAGAGATTGAGAGCTCTGTGAAATACTCCATTTTTGTATATAGCGTTGTCAGTTTATGAAGCCGTAGGGTGTCAGGCTTACAAGTCTGAGGTGGGTGGTGGCTGCAGCCCTAACATCAGCGAAACCTCTGAAAAATGCCAGTGCCTTATGCCGGTGACCAATACGCACCAGCATTCCCGCCCGCAATAAACCCCTGACAAGGTATTTATAATGTAGGTACAATGATGATGATATTCGAGAGGCACTCAACATAATTGGAGGGCTGTTGTCATCCTGAGGCATAAATTCCCCGGTTTGACAGGGCTTGTATGAGGCTTGCAAGAAGGCCGACCGTATGCCGAGTGATTGCGAACGTGCAGCAGAATTGGGAGATCTGGTATTACCTCATGGTTACTCACGTGTAGGTTAGGGTTACACCCTCGAGGAATGCCGACGCATAACTATCCAAGCTCGATTTCCCCTAGAATTGCCATCTGAGGGGTATGGTTCCGCTCTGTTTCTTGGATGCAATCATTTTTGTATCTCGAGTCAAACTTACTATGCTCTTCTGTGGGCATCCCCCATGAAGACTGGCATTTGATAGACATATATTTATTTTATCAATCGCTCTGCATCTGTAGTCTCCCGATCAACCTGGCAGCATAAGGATCATGTTTCAATTGCCTTCATGCGCTTCGCACACGTAGGGTCTAGCAGGGACTCGCTGGGCACTGGATTCCCGGCCAACACGGACATGACGTGAGTGTGGCCGCTGTCTCTATGCAACACTGAGATCCGTATGTGAGTGAATTTACTGCCATATCAAATAGCCAGAGCTATGCATGGTCTAGGTTAGGGTGACTGTGACACCCTGAATTCTCCGCTGCCCCGCTGATAGCATGGAATTTTCAATGTCTGACTGCTTTGGAAAAGTTCGACCCACACTCTAGACATATATAGGACCATGGTCCTTCCAAGCAGGACCTCCCATACTTGACTTCGAGTCGCTTTTGTCTTTCCAACCAACTCAAGTCCGAGCTTTGAGGAACACTCAATGATATCTCCGATCTACTGGCCAACTGCTACATAGGCTGTGCAGTCGGAGTGATCCTGGTACGTTGCTCGCCATTGTCTGTCTGGAGCAATAGCGATTTTTGACTGGACTGTTGCACCTCAAGCAGCCGAGCATGCTTTCGCAGTGGTGGACTAAGTGAGTATGCATGTTATCTATCATAACACAAACTGACTCTATATATACAGATCGGTTATCAACCGTGGCTATTGGTGCTTGAGCATGTCTTGCAAAGACCCAGTGATGTATCTTGCTCGTACATTGTAAAATAGTAGTACTTGTATTTCTGTGCACACAATACATCTCCTTGACTTGATGTCTGCGAGCTGTCTGAGCAACTGTGATGACTGGCAAAAAGCGCCTCAGCAATGTGATGCCCATAAGGAAACAGTCGCTCAGTCTGGCATGTTCTTAGAATCCTGGCGACCTCATATATGACAGCACAAACGGGAATAGATGCTTGTATGGGCAGTTTGTACATATCTTGTGATGTCTTGCATTGTATTATAAGGCAACTCAAATATGGCATCAATTGGCTGGACGTCATCAGAATTGCACCTCTGGCATCGATTGCGAACATTGGCATTTTGCGTGAGCGCTATAATGCCTTATCAAACCACCGCAATAATTACGAGCGATTGCATCGATTGTGGCGCGTTCTAAAAGCCTTATAGAAGCCTTACAGGATAGAATTAGTTTTGCTGATGAATGATGTGAGCGGCAAGACCCCTGGTACAGGTTCTTCCACTACTACTTGGATAAGATTAGATTAGGACACATGATCATGTCTGGTAGCTGCTTTGCACCGACACTCAGGATGTATGGTCAATGACCTCTCTGATGTATATTGGTGGTATAATTAAGTGAACTGAACAGAGTCCCGAGTCCAGTGAATGTGCATGCCCATGCAGAGAGGTGGAGAGGGACGTGGGCGATCCTGTGGCATCACATGACTTGAATCTAATTTGTCGGAAACAAATTAGATTTTGAGTCATGCGATATCTAGGATCAAGATAAGATAGTTATGTCAGCTGAGGGCGTACGAAGACATAGAGTGGTCAGACCACGGTCAATCTGGACCAAAACTATCTCCAGAGACGCAGAATACAGTAACGATGAAGCTCCGAAAATTCGGAGGTCAACAACGCATGATTTGCATCGCACAGAAGAAATTTGGCAGATTTGGCTTGAAAAGCTAAATCTGGACCCCTGATCCCAATCAATAGGGTCGCCGCAAGTTCTAACGAACCCCCCTTGGCTGCAGCTCATCAAGCCTGCGGGCGCTCGGATTCATCCTGCTTTCGACGCACGTCGCACGACCAACACCTAGTACGGTGCTGGCAGAAAGGCCAAGTCTAATGGCATGCGCCGCGTGGCACCCTTACTGGAGCATCCTGAGCTAACACTCATAGAATGTTCCGCTTGGCGTGAATATAGAGTGGCCAGCCCACTTATTCGCGGCGCACGGAGTACCAACCTCCAAACATACTGGCAGGACGTGGTCGCGACAGTGCTGGTCGCTTGGCTATGGTCTTCGGTGAGCTACCGGTTTGAGAGCTTGACGGTTATGCTCAGACAGTTTCTAGCTGACCGCTAATTCCCTTTCAATGCTGGCATTAATCACAACGTGGTCTTTATATGTGTATGCGCGATGCACTAGGGTCCTATGGGGTGAGTGCTTGCCAAACAAACCATTCGCATCACGATGACCTGATCAAAGTGCACGTCATGCCGCAGAGTCAGTGATAGTCCTTCCCGCACTCGGCTTGCAATTTGAAACACATCGAGGGTACCCTCCAATGCCGTTATTCGCGCATCGCCGTTTCGTTCCACTCGCGTCACTCCAGGACTTCATCATAAACGAAGGGCTGTGGGGCTGGAATGTGCGCTACTACCTGGCTGCCATTCATTATTCTCAGCAAGATACCCTCAGTCTCCGTGTGGCTTATGAGGTAAGCCATTGTTTCGCGAGAAAGATTGCTCGCGCTCAATGCAATGTTGTTAGAACCTGCTACCTCGTTTCCCGGTCATTCTGGAAGTCTATCGCGGAGTACACGAGATGCTGAACAGACATTGCTCCTAATACCAATGCATGATTGGATCCACGACATATAGCAATCTCATAGAGGCACTTTGCATAATTTGTGATACCATTATTGTTTCACTCGCAGACAGAATCGGCATGGCACGGATATGTTTGTGTTAGCACTGGTGCTTCATAAATGAGACAGACATGCTGTGCGGTAAATTTCAGTGGCGTTTGGGCAGAACAACACCGGCGTGCTTTTCGAGGTGAAGCATTGGGCGCCTGCTACCTTCCGAGTGTGATTGAAGCGCGCAGCGGTGGCACTGCGCAAGGCACTTGCTCCACTATTGAACTGTTACGCCCACGACGTCCAGCTAAACGCCGACCTTCGCACACCGCACCATGGCACACGCAGGCATCAAGAGTCAGTACACCGCTGGTTTGGACGTTGACATACTCACGCGTATTCCGTAGCGGTCATACTTCTCTCCTTCGTGTTGGCCGTGGGGTTCCTGCTTATCATCCTCTCTTGCGCACTCTGGGCGAACTGGCTGCCTCTTCTTGTTGGTATGTGCGGCCTATAGATATCCTGGCTTGTACACTGAAGATGCCATATAGCCCTGACATTTGTACTCGCACCCCTTCCCAATGCACTGTCTGCGAGCTGCGGAGGCGACGAATTCTCCGCCGACTACGACGGTCCAGGACGAAGTGACATTGGCCGCTTTATAACCGCGACAATTGTAGTCACTGGCTTTGCATTCCCTCTTGTGTTGGCGCATTCAGAGGTAATTCGACCAGGAGCATGCGTCATGTCGATCGCGGGCGGAGCGTGAGTGCATGTTCAGATAATCAATGGACAGGCCGTGCTAATAAATGTCCAGTCTGGTCTACGGAACCATCCTCGCATACAGTGCTACATTCAAGCAGGAAGACTCTGAATTTGACTAAATAACTTATGTTGCTACCAACTAGTTGGAATGCTGTACATTACTGGGGCATTCCAATGAGATCTCGTGTACTCTATGGTGCACGGCCTTACTGCGCATATCTTTATATCTTGGTATGGCTCCTGGGTGGGTGCAGGCCAATGAGCCTTGGGCCTGTGCCCCGCGAGCATTTGTGATCAAGTAGGTTCTTGCTATGTGGGCTCGACATTGACAACTGCTCGGAGCTGGCCCCGGCCGACTTGACTCGACGGCGCTGCGAGACCAAGCGCATGGACTTCGGCGGAACAGTCGAACCGTCCGCCTGATACAAAGACGACAGGTGTATCTGCTACTTGCGACTCGCCTGGAGCCAACCGCCCTATGGGAACGTCTCTGATCGTGCCTTGAAAAAGGACATGTTGTGCAGGCTCCAAGGATAAGGTGAGTGTGAGAACGAGCTCCGAAGCTTCGAGCACATTCAGTTAGGCCATGCGGGCAAATAATAAGGGCAAATTGCTCACCAGAGAGGTTTGTAACCCTCGTCTGCAAATATACGAACTCATGAGGAGGAGGGAGGGATTTAGAGCCCGAAGGGTCAATGGGCACAGGCACCGTTCGGTCGTCATCATAGCTGAGGAGGGACATCTCCACGCGTGCCGTCTCCGTCCGTAAGGCCTCCAGCATAGGGAGCGTTAGTCGTTGCTTGCGTAACGATAGTTCGCCAGAGCGTGTACCGCCACTCTGGAATCCCGTGAGTAGCCAATACAAACGTCGTTCACTAGAGCTCACTTCTTTCCATCGCCCACTGACGGCCTTGAAGAGTTCTTCTCGATACCAAAACAACTCACGCTGCGCCTTCTCTTCTGACGATGTCAAGCTCGACTTGGCCACAACGAACTGCCGGTCAGAGAGTGTAGGTATCGGTTTTGAGATGTGCTCTTCTGATAGAAGCATTTTCTTGATAGGTATGATAAGGCTTAGTTCACGGTGGATCAATACCACTGCGTCCAAGTCACGACACGGAACACATACCGTGAAGTTGAGCCTGGCGGTACAAGACAAGTTGTTGATACATAGTCTGAAGCCCCAGCGAATGAGCGATGGTCTCATGCGAGAAGACTTTTGAGACAGACCTGGTTCGTGGCGTTCGAATGTTACCTCGAAGGGCAAGCCGTACGTGTTACGAACGTCGATGGTGAACAAGCACCAGTCCGCCACGTCCCCAACATTGAGAAGGGCTTTCCTTGCGTGTACTACGGGAGAGTCCGAGTCCTCATCTGAAAGAGACGATGCGAAAGAGATAATCGTGGAGTATGGTACAATGTCCATCGCATGACATTCAAGCATGTGGTAGACAGTGACCACTACGGGGTATGAGAGTTGTCGAGTGTATAGAACGTCTGATGAATCTTCAGGCGTTTCGCGTTCGACATGACCATACGATACGTGGATAGCGCCACTTGTACTAGACAGGTTTACGTCCAATCAATTATACAGAAAAAGTGAACCAAAGATAGTACGCACCAACCCACTTTGCCGAAACATCTCACAGTGATAGTTGTTTTGTCGCCGGGGGCAACTCGTTGCATATCACCGGTGCCATCCCAGTTGAAGACAGCCCTGTGCATCAGATCATACTCCGTCTCGTAGGTGTCGAAGACCGACAGCTCTCCATCCGCAAGAGACTGTTGGGCAGGGGCGATTGTCGAGTCATCAAAAGTGAGCCGCATGAAGTCGACGGGTAACGAAGAGACATTTTCCAGGGTTATGCGCACAAACGATCTAAGAAGGCATGCATGAATATTGAACCTAACTTATAGGGGAGGGTGGCATACGTTTCTCCGTCATAGAGCATGACCGCGCCATGAGTTAACGATGTCCGCCGTATACGCAAGAGAGGTTGTTCTGGAGCCACTGTACACTGCAGATAGCGCACACTGGGTGTGCTTGAGGATGCGACTGCGCTCTTGCTGATACGTTTCCTCGCACGCTCCCAAGGCCGCGAATCCAACCCCGCGTGTTTCGATCGCCCCGTCTCTGTGTCCAGTGCACTTCGCCTTCGGTTCCGCCTATCGTCATCGTCATCAGAGGATAGTGGCAAGGCGTATTCTCGAGGCACACCGCCAGGGGTTTGAACAATACAACCGCGTATCACGAGTGGGCCCGCTTCAAGCGCCTTCCCGGTCAGCACCACGGGATGGTATGTGTTTGCTGGTACGATGACAGGTACACTCTCTGATTCGATGCGTGCGCCAGATGTACTGGTCTCGCAAGCGATAAGTCAGCGTGTTATTTTGTCATGGCTACGACTGAGAGAATACCTGAGCGCAAGGCTTTCAAGCTGAAGGTCGAAAACGAATGGATTTCGTAATGTCACGACCACCTCAAATTTCTCGTTCTGTACTAATATGCTTTGAACCTATTCGGATGAAACATAAGTAGGACATATGTGACGAGGATAGAGAAATTAGGGTGACCTGTCCTGACATTGTTTTCCGGGGATTGTAGAGGAATGGATCTTTCATGCCGGCAATGACAGGATTCATATTCGACTGCCCATCTGACAATGCTAAAAGTGACTTGGGTTTCTGTATCGGCAACCGAATGAGAGGCAATCTGGAAGTAATGAGCCCATGCTTAGTGCAGTAAACAGAACGCTTAACTCACGGAAGCACTTCAATGCTGACGATCGGCCGTCCAGCCCAGTACGCCACCGTCCGTCTGTCACCCCTCCGAATGGCTGTCGCGAGGGCCCGTGTGGCCGTATGATACAAGTGAAATTGGTCACTTTGACTCATAACCGGATGCAGAACCTTAAGGGACGATAGCGAGAATTGTGCGACAGAGGGGTAGTCTGAAAGGGTGCCTTGCCTTCAGACACTGGCTGGGTGCGCTTACAAGGGAGACATACCAGGAAGCGCCTCCGCAACGGCGATTGCTTCGCGGACGATGCCAATTTGAAGCTCAGGCCAACCGAATGGGTCTTGATGCGAGTCGAGCATTTCATCCTCCTGGTCTTCATCAACGTCTTGCTCTTCTGTTCTTGCCTTGCCACCGGTGGCTCCGAAATCTACCAATTTCACAGCTTCAAGGTCGACTCCATGCACCCGACAGATGTGCTTGATGATCCTCAAGACACTTTCATTTCCTTCGACCCGTTGGTTCTCCCTGACGCCTACGGTACCCTGGGTAGTATTACCTGGACCTGAAGGCAGCCGAATTCCTAGTCCAGTAGCAGTCCGTCCTGCACCGCCTTCTTCGCGTCCGCAGACTACCAAGTCCATTACGGAACCCAACAGCTCGCGCAAGATATACGCCTCCTTGCGCATGTAACCCAGAGCGCCGTACATCCCGGCGACTGTCTGCAAAATAACAATCCGTTCACGTGCACCCAGATGCAGTAGCCAGGGGCCGTGGACCTGAGCAAGGACAGTCGCGATCTGAGCGCGAGATATCCCTGAAATCGTAGTAAGACGCTCCATTTCCGCGTAGGATGGACGTAACTGAGGCTTGGGTACAGTGACTGTTATTCCATTCGAGTCCGTGTTAGCGTCAGCCGAACTGGGGAGTGGGAAATAGGGGTTCAGTCCTGGGTGCACCATTTGTGCAAACGCAAGAGGACCCCAGCCTTTGGAACACCAGACCGCGAAGAGGAGGGAGGTATGTCTGATGACACACTGCGCAAATAGGTAAGCGAGAATTGGGTATGTTGTTTCTGGTTCCGAGGGAGCGGCAGATTTTTGGTATAGAGCGGTAGCCTGGTTTAATTTATCGACGGTGTCTTGCCATGGCTCTCTGTCTCCTGTACTGATCTAAAGAACTTCATAGTCAATGTGTTTTCCTTGGCCCCAATCCACGTACTCGTCACGAACCGTTCCAATATTGGAGGACCAGGCTTCGACTACTGGGATTGTAGCCAATCCCTCCAATGCAGACGCCTGCCATGCCGTATCTTGCGGTCCTTTGAATAACGCGATCGCTTCGGTGTACCTGTTATTACCGCTCAACGGTAGATCTTAATACAACATCAGGGATGGAACAATGTACCATACGGAAGCATCTTGATGTCTTCCCGCGAGTAGAAATAGGTCTCCAAGGACTTTGAACAATCTGCCGTGAGAAGAAGCGGCGCCTATGGCGCCTGGACGCTTTTTGGCTGTTGCTGGGGTTGGCGGCAAGCTTGAATGTCGAGTGGGAGCTAAGCCCGGCCCAGTGGAGACACGTTTGAGGGCTGAAGTTACCTTTGACCGGGCCATTCCATTCGATCCCAGGTCTGGCTGGCTGTTACGAGAAGGAAGAGGTGGTATTGAATCCCGACCCTCGTCTTCTAATGATTGAGGTATCTCCGATGTAGGCGGAAGTGTGGGGAAGAGTGTGCTATTCAGATATTCGTTCCCAAGGGGACTTTCGAGAGATTGCATCTGCACTAAGATGCGTAAGCAGCATGCGATGGCAAGAGGGGCAACGAACCAACGTAGCGAAATTCGCAAGTATCTGTGAGCATAGGCCGGCAAGCAGTGTACCAAGATGCACTCGCTTGTTTCCCATCATACTAGGAATTACAACCAGCCCAGGGAAGCGATCACCGACGTCCAGATTCGCATCATTCTCTTCGAAGACGAAGCAAGTTTGCGCTACTGGAAATATAGACCCTTGAGACGGCAGTCCAGCCGTTGAGTTCCGGAACGAGGATAGAATGGAGGACATGGAGTCGGAGCGAGAGCAAGATGCGATACCAATGACACCGAGGGGGAGCTCGGACGGCCGGAAGAGACCGAGAGACTGGTGCGAGAGGGACGGCGGGTGAGATTGGAAGTTGAGGTGTAGGTGTCCATTCGCCAGAGGATTGGGCATGAAACGGGCTAAGGGAGTATATTAGTGGTTTGTACGGGCGGGCAGGGACATCAGCTCGCCCACCTCTCTCGTCTCTCATGTCAGCCGGTATGTCGCCGAGCGGAATATGATCAAAGCTTCGGATTTCCGCTGCCCATTTTTCATATGCCTCCCTGTGGATGGATCCGACAGGTAGAAACAGTATGCGTACATGGGCCAGAGACCCGAATGCAGGAGGCTCCATACGCCAGATATCTCTTACTCGCTTGTCGTAAAGTATGTCTCCCTGTTCCTTTTACCAGGCACAAGTTTCAAAAGACCGGAGCAAAACGCGTCAAGGGAAACGGATGAAGCAATGTATAGGCGCGTCGTTGCGGAGAGTCTGAGTACGGCTCAAGTACGGTCGATCACTGCTCTCGCGCAAGGCACGTGAGTGACTTCAGCCGAATTCGAGTCTAGTAATAGTACTCAAGTTGAAGCTTTGGATTCCCGTTCTTGACTAGGCTCCCACCGCTATGTAACGCGGTCGACGCACCGGCGACGGTACATAAAACCGATCCGCTGAGTTGGACCAAATATTTTGGACTCTATGGTAAGCAGTTTGCGACTGTGATTCCGCATGCGCTAATGCTCCAAGAGATGGTCAGTGACCAGGTGAAAGGAACAGCAATGCTTTGCACTTCGGGGTTTCTTTTCACATCTTACACTATATGGGCAGTATTGCTGGTAAGTTGTGGCCTAGTCGCTAATGCAAGCCGCCTCATCATTATGCTCAGCCGTTCTTCGACGAGTCAAGCCCAATTCACAACATGTTTCCGTCCCGTGAATGGGCTGTCCGTATACCCGCATTCACACTCGTCACTGGTATATCAGCCGTTGCAATCTTCATAGGTCTAGCTATTGTAAGTGAGCAGGAACCGAGAAGGGGTCAATGGCCTATTCATACGCCAACTATTTTTATTGGATTCTCGGCGTATTTCTGGTGGACATGGTCCTTGGATCCAAACACAGCCATTGAAGTTGTTCGCAATCCGATTCCTTGGGCACATTCGCGACGAGACGAGACTGTCAGATCTATTGGCGTCTGTGTCGCACTGGATGTTATATATGGACTACGATGTGCGACATGCGCCTTCTGGCTGACATGCTTCGCGGCTGTGCGTGGGTCTCAAAACCACTGTGGGCATACCTCGTGTGTGGCCAAGTCAAAGCGCTCGCCGATGCGGGAATTGGTGCTCTCGTATGGCATATAGCTTTTGTTTCTTTCTAGTATAGGTACTGTACAACATCGAGGGTAACTATTACATTCCACAGTGGCAACACCCAGCTTTAGCTAACTGATCTTCGTCCTTTCTCCGGAAGTGAATCATACCGTTCCGCTGCATGGAGCCTTTCCTCCGTCCGCATCTCTGTATCGATTTGACTCACATAGTACTCATGTGGTATATGGGCTTGCGGTTCTGTCAAGCTCTGCATCATCCGCGTAAGCTATCCGTTTAGACTGTGTGTCAGCAGTTTGGCAAGTGATTCTAGAGTTAGAACTGACCTCGGCTTCGCCCTAGACGACGCCGCGTAATCGGCCAATGATATTTGCTTCTGACGAGACATCCAATGCGGCGATGCGGGCCTGACGCAAGAATCAAAGTAGGTCTGCGACGGTGGTCCACATAGTGGAGGCCATCGGCTGGTAAGCGTTTCATCTGGGATATGTGCTGAAGTGAGCCATCTTTACTTACTGTGATTGCCAACACGCGCATCAGCCTCCAGGATGCTCATGACGCTGCTTGTGAGACGTCGAATGAACGTATCCGGGTCGTTGTCCAATGTCCTAGAGTGTATCCCTTAGGGATTCGTGTGCAGCTGGAGCGTATCCTGGCTTTGATTCTGGTGCCGCTGCCAACCGAGTGATGGTAAAGAAGTCGGATGATAAGAGTCTATGATAATTCCGAAGGATCAGCTATGTTGAGTAGAGAGATTAGTCTCATCGTGCACAGAAAATAGCCCTCCAGACGCAAACCTGCCACAGAATAAATGGGCCGCAAGATTTACGACGAGAAATGCATTCACATTAAGAGCCGCGCTGTTGTCAGGAACGTCTTGAGCTGATCTACCAAGACGTCTCCGCTATTGTGCTCGTAGTCGAGAGAATTCAATAATTGTACTGCAGTTTCGACAGCATCACTTCACAAATAGCAAATAAGCGGCTGCTTTTCTTGGTAGAAAGTGTCCTACATTGCAAAGTTGCTGATGAGCATTGACCATCTCTTGATAATTTTATGACAAGCTGACAGGGCCAACTGGCGAAGCTCATAGCTGACATTAGCGGTAAGAATTCCCAAAGTCCTCCGAAAGGCACGCTTCTGGAGGTTCTTCAGCGCAATGAACGTCAGCGACACCATGTCCCCAGTGTGAACAAAGAGTTCCAGCGGCACGTCGACGAAGATGGATCTTATTAGCAGTGGATTCCTTCCGCGTACGGGCCACCCATTATACATTATGGCCGGTGCAATATCGCATGGCTCGGCACAATCGAGGATCAACATCAAATTGTTTAGGACAGACCTCCGATGTGAGATTGTGCACCTTGGTACTGGATATGATAAAGGTGGTTACTTGCTGTTGGAACCAAGATTACCTCCTGAAAATCTAGAGCCCTGACAAGGTGCTCTTTGGCTTTCAATGATCGGATTTGGTCAATTGGAATACCCTCTGCTATCATGCGCAATGACAAGACAGATTCAGGCGTTGTTGTGTCGCCAAGGATGTCTGGTTCGGAGTCCAACCGCTGCATGAAGCCTAGCTGATGAATACACTGGAGAGCGTGGAGGGCGGTCTCTTCCGAGAAGAACTGGAAACGATCTCCAAGCTGATGCCTGAGCCGTGCTAAATAAAAACCCTCGAAGGGGTAGATCGCTTCACCTGAGTCAGAAACTGCGAAACTCTCCAGCGTGTTAGCAGCGATCAGCCCAGAAGACGTCGGCATTTCCGACTTTGAGGTAACAGGCAGTTCGATGCTGCTCGTTATGAACACCAGAACCTGCAGATTGGAAGACATCAAGCATTGTGGCGAACGAACGCGTGGTGTTCGAATTCTTGCAGATCGCTCTCATCCGGAGACGCATCTGTTTGACCCAATCACAACGATGGAGCCAAGTGCAACCCCGTGCAGCAGTATACAGGGATTGGACTTTAGATTCCTTCCGTCCTCCACCCCATCCCTCGTATCGCCTCATCACGACTCTTCGCCTGTCTGTTGGTTCTGAAGGAGCCTCATCCTCACCAGAAGCGGTTGTGCAAATCTGGTAAGACATGCTCAACGGCCAGCGTGACGTTTAGATGAGGTGCAGTGGAGAGTCTCTTCGCATCGTGTGCGAGACAATTCAGCAAAGAGCTCAGACTGGCTTGCGGGACACAGCGTCTGTGCAATCTAGGCATGCGATTCCTCCGGGACCTGCATGACCCTCATCAAACCTTCTAGTTGAGCTTGGGGTGTACACACGTGTGAAAGGTCTCCCCATTTGTGACAAAAAGAAGTCCCCTTGCAGTCATTCCACGACCACAGGTTGACCACAGCACATGGAGTGAACCGCATGTTCTTGCAGACGCCGATGCATAAGTCTATTAAACGCCTTCTTCTTGCACAGCGACAGCAACCAAGGCTACTAGTTGTTATCCTAGTGAAGAGACTGAACTGGACATGTGCATGAGCTCCGAGACTAGAACTAAGGTAGTGAATGGAGATGTGGATAACCTGGATAACCAACCTTGGACATCTGGACCAGTGCACGACAAAAATGGAATGTGTCAACGGTGGTTAAGTATATCCGCTTACGTAAGCCACTGCGCCGTTTCATGCTCTCCATGGCGCTCGCGGTCGGCGCTCGCAGGTGCACCGCTTCACCGCTCTTCAACCCGGTCATCCTATACAAAAGGCGGCCGGTGTGCTTGCCCTCCTTTGCGTGCGGCTTCGTGCATCTCTTGACGACTACTTCGTTCACATAAGCAAGCCCGCTGTTACCTCGGACCTACAATGGCTCCTGAGCCACTTCTGAGCACTAGGGCCCAACGGGCCTTCATCGGCACCAGTAGGTTGCATTTTGTGTAACAAGACATCTCGCTCATTGACAACTGCTTCAAGTTGGTCTTCGTGAGTACTAGCTGCTCTGCAAATGATCCGCGAGGTGACCGGAAACGGGTTCAGAGGCGATAATAGTGCTTGTCATGGTCTCAATCACATTCAAATTTGTGCGTCAATGCGTGTATAATCATCCCAAGAACTACACCTCACACTGCTACCGGATAGGTCGAAGAGCATGTTGATTTGACGATCCCAAGATACAAGGTCAGTCTTGCCGCGCCACATTCCGTAGCTCCCTATTCTTGAACTTTCTCGTCCCACGATGTAGACGTTGCCGTGTTATCTGGCGCTATTCATTCTTGCCGAGTGCGTATGTCAAGTTAACAAATGCACGCGGCGTCTAACGAGCACACAGGATATTCGAGATGTTTATGGCGTTGGATGCACTCAGGTTGCGCAATGTCATTCAGTTGATCGGCATTCTAAGTACGTCCGTCAGTTGCTAGATATCATCCCTCAGTATATAATCTTCCTCTATAGGCTTTCATGCAGCTATGATTGTGATGGCTGCTCTGCAAATTCATGAGACACACACTGCGTTATACGAACAACCGAATTCTACGTCATACTATAACCCATACGTTGTCAGTAGTGCGCAATCAACTGCTGGTTCTAGACTCATTTATACTGCACAGAACGGGGACGGACCAGGGACGCTCTGGAGGAAGATCGAACCATTTCTCGTTGTCACGCCTATCATCATTGCCTTGTCCTGGGTATGTCTAGTATTTTTGTTCCGGGAATTATATCATGAGTTCGGGTGCGTCTCCAGTTCATTATGCAGCTCAGATACCGGGCTGACGTCTTCTAGCTGGGCGATCTTCCACGTTGTCGGCGCAAATCCTGTCATGAAGAGTACGTTCACGCGCCTGTAATATCTTGCTGACGCCTTTAACGACACGTTATAGCAATGTACCAATACTACCAAATCATGATATGTCTGCTCAAGTTCGACTTCTTCGCCTTTATCGGTGTAACAATGCAGGTCAGCAAGTTTTGTTGACATTACAGGGATATAATACTCATTCACAAAAGCTTCTCATTGTTGTGCTCATAGAGAGTACTGCTGAGTTTGGACTCACAATTGCTGCAATCCCAGTGACATTAGTGCTTCTCATCATGGCGGGTGCAGCGGTGCAACGAGAGATCAAATCGTAAGTATCGTTAACGTCCGATTGCATCCGGATCCCATTTCATATTCATAATGACAGCATAATGAGCATCTCGCTTGTCCTCATGTTGGCATCCCAAGTCTACTGTGAGTCTTTTTTTTTTCTATTGTGTCTAATGTCAGTTGACGCTAAGCTGTGCGCGTCTTTACAGTCAGTAAGTGACAGGCGGTCTCTTTGCGCAACTCGTTGTCATGTCTTCCTCAGTTTACAAGCTTGTGCGTTTCTACGCGCCAAGCTCAGAAGACCAATATATCACAACACGAGCGACACTTACTGTCTTCAGTACGCCCATGATGCCTCTTTCAGTGTGTCTGATTTCTCACCATCGAGATGTGCAGCAATCGTCGCTTCATTGCTGCTCTTTGCAACATTTGGCGTCGGCGTTCGGTGTTTCGCCGACTTTGACAAGGGCCTACAGAGCTCAAAGATGCATGGTCAGTACTACAAGCCTGTTGCAACGCAACTCCGCGAGAACCTTTTTGGTAATTAATATTCCTTTTTAAAGGTGTGACATGGGGGCATAAGTACTTATCCTCGCTCCTCGATCCCCCAGGCGAAATGACCGACCGCAAGTCATCATATACTGGTGGAGCACCAGTGCAACCACGGATATCCATCGAGTGAAATTGCTGCGATGTTTTCCGTTGGAATCTCATGGTGCTTCTTGGGTTATTGGATGGACTTTACTTTTCACGATCTTCATGCTATGCGATCAATTAATGATGCCATACCTGTCTGTACGTATTAACGGAGAATGGATTATGTATCATTGACTTTTTTGTGATCTTGATGAAGCTGCGGAGTAGAATCTGTCATCTCAGCTTACGCCTCAATGAAAGGAATTCGGAGGTGTCGTCACGCTGTCACTAGCGCGTCGCGAACCGTCGCCAACGCGTGACGCGTCTGTGTAAACGCGTCGACATTTGAACCGCCACCATGGATGACCGCGAAGATCCAATTGCACAGTTCTTCTCCGACCCGGAGAACGTCGACCTATACGATGTTCTCTCAGTCGGTCATGACGCGAAACTAGAAGAGATCAAAAAGGCTTATCGTCGCCTCGCCCTACAATGTCATCCAGACAAACATACCACTGCGAGCGATTCCGTACGCGCCGACGCGTCCTTGAAATTCCAACAGATTGGTTTTGCATACACCGTGCTCTCGGACGAAAAGAAGAGGCAGCGGTACGACCGAACGGGGAAGACGGACGAAGGCGTGGAGTTATCGCCAGGCGAAGACGGGTGGGAGGCTTACTTCGAGGATTTGTTCGACCGAGTCACGCGGGGACGATTGGACGAGCACAAGAAAGAGTATCAAGGTGTGTGGCTTTCAACGTGGGGGAAGAGGATCAGAACTCATTCGCTACAGGCTCGCAAGGAGAGGTCGATGACATCAAACAGGCGTATGTCGATACCGAGGGATCTATCGAGGAGATCATGAAGCTAGTTCCTCATTCGACGTTCGACGATGAGCCACGGTTCATTGTCCTTATCACTAAACTCATCAAAGATAAAGAACTGCCGTCCCTCCCTCTGTGGGAGAGGAGTGTCAAGGACGAGAAAGCGAAGCTAGTGCGAAAGAAGCAGAGCCAGAAGGAGGCGAAGGAGGCAGAGAGCCTAGCCAAGGAGTTGGGAGTATGGGATGAATTCTACGGTAGCGGCAAGCCAAGTGCGAAGAGAGATAAAGGGAAGGGAAAAGACAAGCAAACCAAGGCGGAGGACGCGGAGGACGAGGAAGATGAGGAGGATCACTCCGCGTTGCAAGCCCTCATCCTGAAGAAGAGGAAGAATATGGACGGCTTCTTCGACAGCTTGGCAGCCAAGTATGCCGAACTGCCTACCAAGTCAAAGAAGGGGAAGAAGCGCGGCAAGCCAAAGGATGATGAGGAGGTTGACGAGGCCATGGAGTCGCCGAAGAAGAAACCAAGACGGGGCACTGTAGAGCCTCCTGACATTGACGAAGCAGAGTTCGAAAAGCTGCAACAAAAGCTCTTTGGCGACAAGGTCAAGTCAGGGTCCAGTTCAACTAAGGCAAAGAACAGAGGGCGAGGTGCTACGAGTAAGAGAGGTGGCTGAGGACAATCTCACCACACTGTTCATTCTGACCGGATACCTCTGTGTTGTTCATGGGCTGACTGCGATTTTGCAGTTGTGAAACATATTGTGTAATCATAGCGTGGTATATATGTATAGTCTAATGCATACGGATATAGTTTACAGATAGCGAATGGAATCAATACCGAGACTGCGACGGGCATGTATAATGGCAACAAGTTCCTTGATGGATTCCTCCAAAATGACAACGTTGTCCAATAACCGGGAAAGAGTTACACTGGCGACCTGCTTCGACTTCTCCTCATCCTCGTCTTCGTCTTCCTCGACGTCCTCGTTGTGACTGTCGCCCCATTGCCCAGAGGCGGAGAAGACATCCTCTTCGTCACCATTCCACTTGCGTGACTTCTTGGGAGTCCAAGGTCCTGAAGAAGGAGCTGGTGCCATGAATGGTTCGACCACGATGGCACCCGTCTTCTGGTAATGGGGGCCAAATGGACTCGCGTCCACGGCCCTGTCACCACCTTGTGTCGGAGACGTGGGTTCCGCAGCAGGAGTTTTGGCAGGCTTGTTCTTCTTCGGTGTGAGGAAAGACACGAATGACGAGGCGGACTTCGCCTTCGCCTTTGCCTTAGGAGTGCTGGGTTCGGAATTACTCCGTTGAGTACTGATTTTCGGCGTTGTACTCGGATCGAAATCCAGAGCAAGTGACAATGCATCGGTCAGGTTCTCTGAGAAAAGCAGGCCCTGTCGTCGCTCCATCAAGTACTGGTCAAATTTATCCACCATTTGCCTGTACCGCTCGAGTTGGGAGACAAGGCCGTGGAATACAGAATGTACCACAGGTCGAGACTGTTCGTCGATACTGGACGCCGGTAAGAAGTTGGTCTCCGAGGCAAGATTCTCTTCTATCCGGAAGTCGACAGAGCGGTCATCTCCGTCGTCACCGTATGTGAAACTGTCGCTTTCTGGCTGCTGTTTATTCGGCATGGGACTGGTTTCCCTCGGTGCGAAAGTGAGCCACCCCGCTAGCGAGCGATCTGGACATATTGCCAACGTAGCGAGCACGCCTGTCAAAGCCATGTTCATCTCGGGTGTGTTAGAGAAAAACGTCCGCAGCGAGTCGAGGACTCTCAAGAGGATGGGGTCATTTGCATTAAGTCGATGCTTCGACTTCTCTCTCGTCTCTGCGTCAAGGTCCTCCTGGAAACAGATGTGGGCCTGAATTGACAAGAGTGCATCGCGCAGATAATGGTCATAGCCGGTACTGAAGGCGTCCTCATTGTGATTCGGATCGACCCGGGACACAAGAGTGAGATACAACCCCATCTCTCGCTCGTGAGTCCAATATGTGGTATTTGGCTGTGCGAAAGCGATCGGTGGAGCTACAGTCAAGCTGCTGGCAATAGATGTTCCAGACGTTTCTGTCCCCGGGTAGACGAATGTCTCCTCGTCATCATCCTCGGCAACGGCAGACACCTTCTCGTCAACAATCAACTCTATTTGAGCTGGTTGAGGGAAACTTGTGGCATGGGGGTCATGGATGACAACAAGAAGTCTATCTGCCGACAGAGCACAGTATTGCACCAACAGCGACTGAAACAACTGCAGGGCAGCAGTAACTGTTGCCGGAGACTTGGATCGGAGGCTGCTCAGCAGCAAGTCCTTGAGGGTGAAGCGGCCCATCGACGTGAAGTATTCGGATTGTCGCCTTGACTCAGGAGCCTCCATTTCTAACAGGACCATAGCGGTACTCTTGCGTCGTCTTTGTTTGGCTTCTTTGTCTGCAACAGTAGCAGATCGTGCGCTTGGGGGTGCATTACCGCTGAGATTGAGCGTCGACTGGTGGCGAGGACGATTTCGTCCGAGGTCGTCGCTATTGTCCTCGCTCGTGAGGAAGTCGATCAGGACGTCTGCAAGCTGCCCATTCTCTAGCGTGCGGATCATGATCTCTATATAAGACATGACCGCAACGGCACTTCCGTCGGCGTCTGAGCATTCGAGGATTGACGGATACAGGACGTTCTCTAGGAACACCTTTCGGACGGCATCCAGGATGGACTGCACGATTGCAGACCCCACAAGGCTCGAGGGATCTAGAGTACCGTCTGCTGTCTCGCGGACGATATTGCGCCGGAGGACGTCCTGAAGGAACTCGAGCAATTTCAAGAAATGATCCAGGCGTGCCTTGAAGTCAGGGCTTGACGAGTCCTCAACGCCCATAGCGCGACTTTTCTCTCGTACTTCCTCAAGTTTGTCCTTCTCCTCACCGGAGAGTTCCGCTGAGGAGTTGCCAAGCACCATGCTGCTGTTCTGCGAGTTCTCTATTGGCGCCGGCGAGCGCACTTCGAGCTTGCGCGGTAATAGCGAGTAAACGGCTGAGACGCCGGCTGCAAGCACCTCGGAGAAGTCGCCATCAATGATGTATTCTGCCAGTGCAAGGGCGGCGTCCGTGGTCGGGTCTGATTGAGACTCCGGCAAGGAAGTCGTCGACGACGACAATGACAGGGCGTCGCCAGAGGATCGGTTGGCAGACTCGCTTGGTGACATTGCAACATCCATGAGGAACAGTAGACCAGCCCGCGCAAAGTCTCCAATCCTCCCTTCTCGGTGGACAAAACGAAGGAGGTAATTGAAGAGGAGGAACTCATACTCCGGCTTTTTCATCGTAACAGAAGAAGCTGGAGCGGACGTGACGGTTTCCTGAGATGGACTGGGAGACGATGGACGCTCTGCTTGAGTCGGACCGTCAATAGTAGACATTTGCTGGCCTTCAGGGGGTATCCCTGAGCTTACTCCCTGATCTTCGCTCTCGCTCTCGTCCTCGCCTTCGTCCTCGTCTTCCTCCTCCACAGAGAATAGAGGTTCCGGGCGGTACCATTGTTTGTCGTGAAAGAATATCATGAGTAATTCACGATATGTGCGTATGCGACTGCAGAGGATGCATAATAGGTTCACGACTGCGATTCTTGGTCAGCCAGTGCCACGGGAAATGACTGACAACATACGGTCTTCCTCGTACTCCGAGGGCTGGCTCCGCACGGCGTTGCCAGCTGCCCCCATTACTTTGTTGCGGCCATCGAGTTGTTCTTGTATATCGTCCCCAACACAACTCCTCAGCAGGCGGAGGACCGCCTTATGGACTGCAGAGTGTACGAGAAACTGTTCGTCCAAGAGCACCACCATGTTCTGGACTGCTCGCAGCACCTCTGCTTGGGTCCCGAACGGACGGTCGGCTTCGCTAAGTTTGACCAGCGTCCCGAGAACGTCTATACGTTTGTTTCAGCGAATCAGTCATGTTCTGCAAGTGTCAGGCAGTACCATTCTTGAGCAGGTACTCCAGGCAGGCACCAGTGCCTCTGGTAGTCGGTTTCAGGGAAAATACCACTGAAGGGATACATGCTACGCACCCTTCCTCTGTCCGTGTCGACTCCCAAACCAGCGCATCGACCATAGACTGCAGATGCATAGGGACATCGGTAGACTTGATGCCTCGCGACAACTGACGTTCGTCTGGGTGCATCAATGTGTTCTAATAGCCATCAAGTTAGAATTCGTAAGCACATTGGCTGGTAAAATACCTTGATCAACACCCATGACTTATGAAATTCTTGGGCATGGTCCACCTGGAGTAACCATGTCGTACAATCAGCAGTATGGGAGTTCTCGGCCACAGTCTTACCTCAACCTTTGGACTGGGTTGGCTGCCTGCTCTCAAGAACTTGGAGAAGTAGTCCATTTTGTTGCGAGCAGTGAGATGTGGTCCACCTCCGCTCTGAAGAAGATCACCACGGTAGCATAGGAAGGGCAGAAGTGGCTGAGCTCGGGAGCGTGATCGCGAATCAGGCCCTCAAGCCCACGCGCTTGTCCTTGACCTTTTCATCTCATGTTCGAGCACTAGTCTCCGTTCCACTCGATATTCTCTATGTTGCTTTTCGCTAAATCTCTAATTTTGTCGTCATCGGTATTTACTGTAATGCCGCGCAGTGGCGCACGACTTTACGCTCGAGGACAGCACGCCAACCCTCGACAGACGACTTCTTTCAGTGGGCAGAACAGTGCTCCATCGCTCACGATAACGCAGGATATGTGCGTCATCACGATTCTGTCTAACCCATACCGTGATGCTATTGATCATGACGGAGGATCTGGGGCTGACCTCTCTCACTCGCTTGCCTTACCGTCAGCCTGTTCATGGAGGAATTCGAAGACTGACGACCACGCCGTCCGCAAGTGTTGTGAACTGCTCTGCCGCTATTGCATCGCCTTGCTGTCTTTCAGACCATGTCTATCCTTCCGGCTCCAGTTACCATGTCTCAGTCTAAGCCCCGCGTCAATATAGGCAGAAAGCTACCCACTTCTTCTGGGGAGCATCAAGACTCGGAATCGCAAGAGTTTGGCTGGTTCTCGTCGACGCGCCCCGTAGTCCCCTCGTCGCGGGAACTTCTTACTCCCATCATCGTAATCACTGAGGACACCTCTTCTACCACTTTCGACCGAGTTGACTGTACGCTACCTGTTCCTGCTGTTGCGCATCTGAACGACACCAAGCTGCCCTCTCCATCCGATGCAAGCGTTGTCGGACTGGCGCAAAAGGTCGGACAATTGGTATCCTTAGTCGTGAACATGGAACACGATAGAGGAAGTCGCGGAAATTGCGAAGACGTCCTGCGCCGCGAGATCCGTACTCTGCATGACCAAAAGGACAGCCTGCACCTTCAGGTGGCGTCTCTCCGCAAAATCCTACGCACATCCTCGAGACGCTTGAACGACTGTGTAGATGCTTCGACCGTCGCGATGGATATGGAGAGAGGACTTCGCCAAGAAGTCGAGGCCAAGGCACGACGCTCGGAGGCTCAAGTCAAGTCTCTCTTGGATGAGAATGCGCACCTCACACGGGCGAAAGCTGCAGTGGAACGGGAGCTTGTATTGGCTGTCGCGGACTCCAAGGCCTGGCAAAATAAGGTTCGCGCTGCACAAGATATGCAAGAGATGGCTATGACGACATACCACCGATGCGAGGCATTGGAGAAGGAGAACGCTGAACTACGACAAGCCATGCACGTTTTCGCACAAGGCTCGACGACCGTCATCGTTCAACAGTTGCAGGTTATGATCGAGCGATTGTCAGACGATTTGGCACAGCAGAAAAAGTTAAACGCTGCTACTTTATCAAAAGATAAGAAGAATTACCGTGACGAGAATACGAACATGCTCGGGGAGATGCGTAAGAAAACCACAGTCCTGCAGGTATGTGCTCCAAGTCTAGAGAGCCACCGATGCTGATGACTTTGCAGAGACGGTCCCGGCAGCTCAGCGAATACAATGGTGACACGACGCTCGCCGCTGTCAATACGAACTGCCATCTCCACACATAATTGTTGTCTGCCAGTGTCGGATTTCTAACGATTTCCTTTCTTTCATGTGGTTGCATAGTATGTTGTGAGGAAGGCCGCATGTCCGTATAATTTATGAGCATGAATTGGGCCTATGATACGCGCATGGAAAGTAGCACTAATATAGTTGCCAAGCCCAAGCTGAGGGAGAGCAACGGATGTTCCCACGCGACGCATGGCGATGAGGAAAAGGGAAGCGCTTCGCTCCCGCAACAATACCTTCGCGACTGCCGCCGTCTGCAGCCTTCTCCCTCACCTTCCGCCTTTTCTTTGCCGTCCTTTGACCCAACATAGCACTGTTGCTGGTCACTTCCGCTCATTACTGACCGTCTTTGACACCGTCCACTAATACCCAGCGCGATTCGTTCCTCTCCGACGAGGCTATGGCGGCGCGTCCAGGATACGACCTACCCGATCCACCCAACCCCTTCGCTAACCAACCATCTCCGTATGGCCAACCTCTACGCCAGTACTCGGGCGATTCAGATCCCCACGACAGCTATGCCAGCCGAAACGCGAGCAGCGTCCCGCTGAACAATGCTGCATATTATGATGAGCAGAGAGTTTGTGAGTATATCTGGTTCTTCTCAATCTCCACAAGCGACAGGGCTACGTGACTGTACGCGTATGCGGCTTGTTATATCACACCGAGTCGTCTCTGGCTTCCGCACGTACTTGGTCTGGCATTTACTCCCCCACGGCGGCATGGCCCTGCTGCGATCCATGGCGGCCGTCATCACATATCCGGATAGCGCTCATGTGGGCTGGGCAAGATTTCTAATTGCTACTGTCCTGTGACAGCTCCGCCTATTCTCTGCTTCTTGACATGGTGATTCTGACGTTGTTCTCTAGCTGCCGCTGCAAGCGTTGACGACATAAATGATTACGGTCGCTCGTATGCGGCCTCAATTGACTCTCGCATGAGCACGGGTACGAATGCTCCTTACAACCCCTTCTCCGATATACCCGGCTCTACAGAGCCTTACCCCGCGTGGTCGTCGGACCGCGATGTGCCAATGTCTACGGAGGAGATTGAAGATATCTTCCTTGACCTTGCTCAGAAATTCGGCTTCCAGCGCGACTCAATGCGCAACATGGTAGGGACCTCAGTCATAGTCATAGTCTAATGAACGGTATGGTTAATATCTCTCCTAGTTCGACTTCCTCATGCAGCTTCTCGACTCGCGCGCGTCGCGTATGTCTCCCAACCAGGCGCTGATTACCGTTCATGCGGACTATATCGGTGGTCAACATGCCAACTACCGCAAATGGTACTTTGCTGCGCAGCTCAACCTCGATGATGCTGTGGGACAGTCGCAAAACCCTGGTCTGCAGCGGCTGCGCAGTATCAAGGGCAATGTACAGACGGCGAGCACCAAGTCTCTCGACAGCGCGCTCAATCGCTGGCGCAATGCGATGCACAACATGAGCCAGTACGATCGCTTGCGGCAAGTTGCGCTCTGGTTGTTGTGCTGGGCCGAGGCGGGAAACGTGCGCTTCACGCCCGAGTGCTTGTGCTTCATCTTCAAGTGCGCGGACGACTACTATAGAAGTCCGGATTGCCAGAATAGGGTTGACCCTGTACCCGAAGGACTTTACCTCGAGAGCGCCATTAAGCCGCTCTATCGCTTCATGCGCGATCAGGGGTACGAGGTGGTCGACGGCAAGTTCGTGCGAAGAGAAAAGGATCATCATGAAATCATTGGTTATGACGATATCAACCAATTGTTCTGGTACCCCGAGGGTCTTGCAAAGATCGTCTTGAACGATGGGGTATGTCAGCTTCACTGTATCTCGTTCCTGTTGCTAACGAGAACCCTTCCAGACTCGATTGCTTGACATTGCTCCTCCTCAGCGCTTCATGAAGTTTGGCAACATCGCGTGGAACCGCGTCTTCTTTAAGACTTTCTTCGAGAAGCGTTCGCTGGCCCACCTTCTCATCAACTTCAATCGAATCTGGATTCTGCACGTTGCGGTTTATTTCTTCTACACGGCTTTCAACTCTCCTCGAGTGTACGCGCCCGCGAACAAGACAAATCCTTCGGCAGCCATGACATGGTCGGCTACCGCGCTGGGAGGTGCTGTTGCGACGCTCATCATGATTGCTGCAACGCTAGCCGAATTCTCGTTCACCCCTACTACATGGAACAACGCGTCGCACCTAACGACTCGACTTATCTTCCTCCTGATCGTCCTTGCGCTCACTGGTGGACCAACTGTCTACATTGCCATCGTTGACGACTCGAAATCCAACATACCGCTCATCATCGGTATCGTGCAATTCTTCGTGTCCGTCGTCGCTACTCTCGCCTTTGGTATCATCCCGTCTGGCCGTATGTTCGGTGACCGCGTGGCGAGCAAATCACGAAAGTACATGGCATCGCAGACGTTTACCGCATCGTATCCTGAATTGGGCGGGAGTGCGCGTTTCGGTTCCGTCTTGATCTGGTTCCTCATCTTTGGCTGCAAGTTCGTCGAGTCCTACTTCTTCCTGACCAACTCATTCAGTCAGCCAATTGCCGTCATGGCACGTACAAAGGTCCAACGGTGCAGTGACAAGTTCTTTGGCAGCGCACTTTGCTCGAACCAGATGCCCTTTGCGCTCGCCATAATGTACGTGATGGACTTGGTGCTGTTCTTCCTGGATACGTATCTCTGGTACATTGTCTGGGTGGTCGTCTTCTCTGTCTGTCGGTCATTCTACCTTGGCTTGTCCATTTGGACACCCTGGAAGGAAGTCTACACTCGAATGCCGAAGAGGATTTACGCAAAATTGCTTGCTACGTCCGAGATGGAGGTGAAGTACAAACCGAAGGTATGTGCAGGCCACCAATGTTGCCGATGCGGCTGCTGAACTTGCCCATAGGTTCTTGTCTCGCAAGTGTGGAATGCTGTCATTATTTCTATGTACCGCGAACACCTTCTCTCTATCCACCACGTCCAGCGCCTGCTTTATCACCAGGTGGACGGTCCCGAGGGCCGTCGTGTCCTCCGTGCTCCGCCTTTCTTCACGCACAACACCGGTAGAGAGAGCGATTTCTTCCCAGCAGGCGGAGAAGCCGAGAGACGTATCTCATTCTTCGCGTCGTCCCTAACTACTGCGTTCCCCGACCCACTTCCTGTCGAGTCGATGCCGACGTTTACGGTGTTGGTTCCGCACTATTCCGAGAAGATCCTCTTGAGCTTGCGCGAGATCATTAGGGAGGAAGATCAGAACACGCGTGTCACGCTCCTGGAGTATCTCAAACAGCTTCATCCTGTCGAATGGGACAACTTCGTGAAGGACACCAAAATCCTCGCCGAGGAGACCTCTGCGACGAACTCTTTCGACGGCGGTGATCACCACGAGAAGCATGACAGCCGCGCGGATGACTTGCCGTTCTACTGTATTGGCTTTAAGACATCGGCTCCAGAATACACCCTGCGCACGCGTATTTGGGCGTCGCTCCGAGCCCAGACACTCTATCGTACCGTGTCAGGTATGATGAATTATTCGAAGGCCATCAAGCTGCTGTACCGTGTCGAGAACCCGCAGATCGTCCAGAGGTTTGCCGGTAATACCGACAGGCTCGAACGCGAACTGGAGCGCATGTCAAGACGCAAGTTCAAGTTCACCGTTTCCATGCAGCGGTACTCCAAGTTTAACAAGGAGGAGTTAGAAAATGCCGAATTCCTGCTGCGTGCCTATCCGGATTTGCAGATCGCGTACTTGGACGAGGAACCGGGTCAGAAGGGTAGTGATCCCAGGCTCTTCTCTGTCCTGATCGACGGTCACTCTGAATTTGATGAGAAAGGGAAGAGGAAGCCCAAGTTCCGCGTGGAACTTCCTGGTAATCCCATTCTCGGTGACGGCAAATCGGACAACCAGAACCACGCGATCGTCTTTTACCGTGGCGAATACCTGCAGCTCATCGACGCCAATCAGGACAACTACCTGGAAGAATGTATCAAGATACGGAACATTTTGGGCGAATTTGAGCAATACACAATCTCGGGCCAGTCTCCGTACGCCCAATGGGGCCACAAGGAGTTCAAGAAGTCTCCGGTTGCCATCGTCGGTACCCGCGAGTACATCTTCTCAGAGAACATCGGTGTGCTTGGAGATATTGCTGCGGGTAAAGAGCAGACGTTCGGTACGATGACGCCGCGTGTGCTGGCTTGGATTGGCGGCAAACTGCACTACGGTCACCCGGATTTCCTTAACGCGACATTCATGACTACGAGGGGAGGTGTCTCGAAGGCCCAGAAAGGTCTTCATCTCAACGAGGATATCTTCGCTGGTATGACTGCGATCAGCCGCGGTGGACGCATCAAGCACTCAGAGTACTACCAGTGCGGCAAAGGTCGTGATCTTGGATTCGGTACCATCCTGAACTTCCAGACGAAGCTCGGTACCGGTATGGGTGAGCAGATGTTGAGTCGAGAGTACTATTACTTGGGCACGCAGCTCCCGCTGGACCGATTCCTTACGTTCTACTATGGGCATCCTGGTTTCCACATCAACAATATCTTAGTCATCTACTCCATCCAGATCTTCATGGTCACTCGTAAGTTCTGTCCAGTTGACTCCATAGTGCTCGTCATTGACGTATACGGTAGTGCTATACCTCGGTACACTGAACAAAGAACTCGCGATCTGCCCCGTCGACTCTGCGGGTAATGTGATTCAACAGTCAGGCTGCTACAACCTGATGCCGGTCTTCGACTGGATCAAGCGATGCATCGTCTCTATTTTCCTGGTGTTCTTCATTGCATTCCTCCCCCTCTTCCTGCAAGGTACGTCTTAATATCTATCGTGAAAGATGCCACTGAGATACATTTTCTTGTTGTGAAGAACTTCTCGAGCGAGGAACGGGCATGGCGTTAATCCGGCTGGGCAAGCAATTCTTGTCCCTCTCGCCCATCTTTGAGGTCTTTTCAACCAGGATTTACTCTCAGTCGATTCTCAGCAACTTGACGTTCGGTGGTGCTCGTTACATCGCGACTGGTCGTGGTTTCGCCACAACGCGGATGTCATTCACCATTCTCTACTCTCGATTCGCAGGTCCGAGTATCTACATGGGAATGCGCAATATCCTCCTACTCCTCTACGCCACTTTATCCTTGTGGACGCCGTTCCTCATCTACTTCTGGTTCTCGGTGCTGTCGATGTGCATCGCGCCGTTCGTGTTCAATCCACATCAGTTCTCCTTCCCCGATTTCATCATTGATTATCGTGAATTCCTTCGCTGGATGTCCCGCGGTAACTCCAGACACAAAGCGAGCAGTTGGTACGGCTACTGCCGTCTCTCTCGGACTATGATTACTGGCTACAAGAAGAAGAAACTCGGACACCCGTCAGAGAAGCTGTCCGGAGATGTTCCTCGTGCTAGGTGGAGGACCGTCCTCTTTTCGGAGGTCATTTGGCCTATTTGCCAGGCAATTGTCTTCGTCATTGCGTACATGTTCGTCAAGTCTTTCCCGACGAAAGGCAAGGAGAACCCCAGTCCTCTCATACGCATTGCCGTGATATCTGTCGGTCCGGTTGTTTGGAATGCGGCAATGCTCCTGGGGCTGTTCTTCCTGTCCCTATTCCTGGGACCCATGATGGCATCGTGGACCAAGTTCGCCTCTATCGTGGCCGCTCTCGCGCACTTCCTGTCTCTGTTGGGCCTGATCGTGTTCTTCGAATTCTTCGTAAGTCGCAATCCAAATTATAGAGTTACGCACTCATCTAATTTACTCTTCCAGTGGTTCCTAGAGCTTTGGGACGCTTCGCATGCAGTGCTTGGTGTCATTTCTATCGTGGCCGTGCAACGCGCTATTCAGAAGATTCTGATCTCTGTATTCCTCTCACGAGAGTACAAGAGTGACGAGACGAACATCGCTTGGTGGTCAGGAAAGTGGTATGGCCGTGGCCTCGGAAGTTCTGCTTTCTCACAGCCGGCACGAGAATATGTCGTGAAGATTGTCGAGATGTCCCTTTGGAGCTCAGATTTCCTTCTAGCGCACATTCTCCTGATCATCATGACTCCGCCAACTCTCATTCCCTTCGTCGACAGGCTGCACTCGACGATGATGTGTAAGTTGCCTGTAAATTTCGTATCATGGCATGTTGACTTTGAAATCCGTAGTCTGGCTCCGACCGACGAAGCAAATCCGTGCGCCGCTTTTCTCGACTAAACAGAAGCGACAGCGTCGCTGGATTGCAAGTCTATTTCGCGTACTCTTTACTCCACTGAACTGACATGGCGTGATTCCAGGTGGTGAAATATACGTTCGTCTACATCATCGTGGTGTCAGGCTTGGCCGCTCTGATCGTTCTTCGTACGTCCCATAAACGTTGTTTTTCTTTTCATGCGCTCATTATTTCCCCATCCATAGCTGTGGTCTTCCGGGACCGCATTACACTGACCTGTAAAGTATGCCAGAGCATCTAATGCTCCTTGTTCGCATTGGTCCTCAGATGGCGGATTAGCACTGGCGCATCTTTCGACAGACATTCACTGTACATTCGTATATTCATCTGGTTTACGTGTAATATCAATAGACATCGCATCCGGGATTTCATAAGACTCCTTTTGTGTGCCGCGATCATGTGACCGTGTCACGAAGTTCAACGCGCCACGGCACTAGCACGCGCCCTGTGTGTTGTTGTACTGCGTCCATGCCGGACCCTGCAGCGTTGCGAACGGCAGTCGATGAGCAAACCAATAAATCTGTGGAGGCCGCGACCCTCGCTGGCTTCTGATGACGCTGGCACAACAATTTTCAAGTATACCATTCCTCAGACTATTACACAACCTCCTTACGGTTCCACTAGAGACAGTGCTGCATCATCTTTGCTGTATGTCCCATCTCTTGCATACTTCTGTATACAGACACTGCTCCCTTTTCCGGACCAACTGCATTCTCTTGGCCCAGCGCGACTCCTATACCAGCCCCCGGAGTCACCTGATGCGTACGACATTCTTCGCGCTCTGATCCCTGAATATAGAACAAATGAGCCACTCCATCCATCACAAGTCGACCCTCGCCTCTGGGCCATCCTCGTCCAGCTATATACTCATCTTCCCTCTACGTTCCGGCGGTACACACTTCCTCTCTCTGATGAGCATCTGCCGTTGCTCCAACGCATCCCGTGCACGGCAGAATTTGCACTCCTGACCGTTCTCGAACTCCCAGGCTGCAGAGAGCTTACTGACGACACTATCGTGGAATTAAGAGCTCTTCACGGCTTATGCGCGCTCGACGCTAGTGGGACAGCCCTAAGTAGTTGGGGCATCAAACGGCTCAGCAAAACACTAGTATTCTCGGAAGATGAGGACGACATCCCCGCGTCCACTAGAGGATCTAGATGCGGTCCATGGGGTCTCAGAATCCTAAGCCTAAGGAATTGCATGAGTATCATAAGCGATATCTTTGACTGTCTTGGGTCATTCCCTCTATTAAGTGTGGTAGGCATGTCAGCAGAAGCTTCACGTCATGGAGAGTAACTTATGCATGTTTGTAGATCTCAGAGGAACACGTTGTTTGTCATCATTGAGCGGTCCATTCCGACCTAGCCAGGATGCCGCCCTCTACCACCCTTCCTCTCTTACCGATGCCCTCTCCCGTCTTTCGCAGATCAGCTCTCCGGAGATCTTTTCACATCAACAACCATTCATCCTTCACGTGAAGGGCTTGCATCACCAGGCACCCCCGAAATCCAACATGTCAAGGTTGACTGGACACCCGACCGAAACCGGCAAGAGGAACGTGTTCATGCCATTCGGTGTCGTGCCAGATATCTTGGTACCTGGATCGGGCCGTGATGATGATGATGATATATCCACGGACTCCGGGAACGACGACGGTGATACAGACGGGGAAGAGCAGTATGGCGACGAGGATGCGTGCGGCGACGAGGATTCATGCGGCGACGATGACTCCCGGAATGAAGACGACTTCTCCGGTGACGACTATTCGGATGACGGAACGACCGTGACAGACGAATATACACACGACATATCTCAAGACGGCGTCACTAGGCGCAACCGACTGCCCTCGCTTTTGGACCCTCTCAGTGCTGTCACTACAGAGGAGGCACGCATACACGCTCAACGCACGTCCATACTGCGTTTCTATGCCGAGCCTTCAAGGTCTAGGCCACCGTTGATCAGCAGAGCCGTTCCACCCAGTGTGGCGCCTGTCTTGCTGCACCCTTTGATGCTCTATCGTCCACCACGCCCATGGAGCATCCTTCCATCGTCTCCCGCAGACGTTCAATCTGCTTCCGACTTGCACAAGCCAAAGCGTCCACGGTCAAGCCGGACGTTGGCAGACGGCGAACTCATCGCTGCAAATTCCGTACGACAGTCCTCGCGTGTCCAGCATGGGCTGAATGACCTGCGCAGGATGATGGAAATCCGGGCAGCATCGACGGCGGCTAGTCGTGACGCGGAGCAGGCGAAGGAAACCAATTCGAGCCCTTTGTCCTCCAATCCCTTCATGCGGAAAGCTCCCGTTAGTAAAGCTCGCAAATGGCAAGGTGACGAAGTCAATCGTCAGGGTGCGTCGTGCGCGAAGGAGCCAGGATCAAATTCAGTCGCATGCAGGAAAACGTTAGGATCGTCAGCTCCTCTCAAATCCGATCCAACCATATTGGCTACCAAACGACCGCTCAAACCCATTTCGACACTCACCAAACCCGGGCTGCCCCCCAGCACGCGACCTAATCACAAGATGAAAGCTCTGCGCAGAAGCACACAGCCTATGAACAAGACCAAACAAATAATGCTGCCCCAACTGTCAAGCACTCCTGCTACGACAACAAACGCGTTGCACTCAGCTTCAGGTGCTAAAGGAATGCAAAAAGCTGACAAGCCGAAGACAGCACAGAACCTCGTGAACGGAAAGAACAGAAGCCAAGGGGTGCGCTTCGACTGGAAAAGCTGGGGCTGTGGAAGCTGACACCAGATCGGACACGTAAATATAATGTGTGCGAGCACAGACAATGACCCTTCTATGCAGATACTAACATCGATGAAACGGAGACCCGTTGTGACCTGCACTAGTCCGGTGCAGCTTTCATGAATGCCTTATTGGATATGTATAGTCTACAGTAGCCATTTGAAACCATCTATTCAATAATATTTGCTCCTTTGAATGTGTTATTGATACTTATTGTCCCTTCTATTGCAGTGACCCTTGTATAAGTATGTACTTGTGGATGGGCGCACGCCGCGGGGATCAGGTATACATGATCGCATCTCATAAAGAGAAATGAAGAATGAGATTTTGGAATTACTGGACTCAATCCGGTACATCTCCGATATGCCTGCGGTCGGAGCGTCGTTTTTCTCAATCACACTTATACCCATAAATATCGAACCATTGATTTATTCCACTTGATGTCACGACGTGTTCCAATGACGTTGGCTTGCAGTGACTACTCAGTGCGATTTGGCGTGACAATATGTGTTATCTGTTGCAACGTGACGCCCGAAAAGTCAACATTTGAGGCCGGAACCGAGAACCGATAGTAGGGATCCACTCTGAAGCATCCGAGTCCACCTCTGATTTACTATTATACTCTACCCTCGACTTATTCCCTTCGCGGTGGAAATATTACACACGATGGCTATTTCACGACATTCAGCCAACCTCACACGATCGTTTCCTATCACAAAATGCCAAGTGCGGTCTGTTTCCTCGCTACCTCGACCGTACCGGTTCCATGTCGGAGCAAGTTGGGCGGGGAAACCTCCAGACCCGCAGGCGCGTCGTATCAAGACGAAACCTTTCCGAGCAGATAGCGAGGTAGGTAGGTGGAGAGACCAACTGCTCTCCGAGTATCATTCTGCGGTAGGCAGTCATGTCGGGGAGGACTTCTTCTACGTCCAAGAGGTACGCTGTCAAAACCTCTTTGTCCGGGCTGTTAACCGGTGACATGATTCACAGATGCGAAACGGTTCGGTATGCTATTAGCAATCCGTTTCTTAGCTCGTACACTTATTACCAAAACATGGTAACAAAGGGGGTATCCTTCGGTGTCGCCGATGGCGTCGGTGGCTGGATTGACTCTGGGGTAGACCCTTCGCTCTTCTCGCAAGCGCTGATGTATCACGCCCGACGTTATGCAATGACCGCCTGGGCTGGTGAACCAGAAACCGACCCCACACAAGATTATGAGGAGCGAGAGCGAGTCGATGGCTGGGAAATCACTCCTGCGGAGTGTCTCGAGCTGGCGTATGGCGGCGTCCTGCGAGAACGAACGGTGCTGGCGGGTGAGCCCTCATAGGCCGAACCCCGCGTACCCAGTACTCACCCTTTATGAGGCGCGCTCGAATAACCAGGCTCCAGTACAGCGTGTATCCTGACCTTAAATGCCTCCTCAGGCGTTTTACGAGCCGCAAAGTATGACATGTCACACTCATCACGGTGTACAAATCCTGATGCTTTCACATAGTTTGGGGGACAGTGGATTCTTAATATTGCGGTCATCTGCTGTGGCCTATCAACAGCGTACCCAGCAACACTTCTTCAACTGTCCAAAGTATGAACTGGCCTTGTAAATGTGCTGGACATGCGTCAACTGATCCCCCGCTTCAATTAGGCAGCTTACCAAACTACCGGCATCTACGCCAGCTTTCTCCCGTGCCTGCATCGACTCCCCCCGAGATGCCGACACATTCGAGACGAAGTTACGGGACGGTGACATAGTGGTTGTGTATGTATGTATCAATGATCATTGTCATATGGAAATACAGCTGAGGACAACTGTACTCTAGACGGATGGACTATCAGATAATGTTTTCCCCGCAGAACTCGCCCAAATATGTACTCTCGTGGGACGACAATTTGCAATAGCAAATCCGCCAACCTCGAGTACAGCATCAGAAGGAGAATCAAATGAGCCAAAGGTAGCCCATCTGTCAAAAATGTGGACGTGTCTTACGAGGGAGCTCAGGATACCGAGGATATACTTGTGCAGACCATAGCAGAACGTATCGTCGACTACGCCGGCGTCTGCATGGCAAAGAAAAATCGCGTAACGCCTTTCGAACGCGCGGCCGCCCGGGAGGGCATGTACTTCCGCGGGGGAGTGAGTATCTCTACTACTTTTGCTCTACGCATCTGACAGCTATACCTCGATAACTGTAGAAAGTGGACGAGTGGGTAACGCATTTGTCAGTATTTGTGCAGCGCTCATCACCCCCACAGTGTTACAGTCGTTGTCGCTTTAGTACGGGAGACGATCTGATTAGATAGTTTCTCTTCTTCAGATATTCGTCTGCATGCTTCTCACATCCCAGACACGAACCGAAACTTAGTAGTAGTCGGTACGTTACATGATTTGGGGTATTGGTCTGGACATTGCTGCGGCCCACCCGAGCTGGCAGCACCATTACAAACTACTAGAGCGTAAACATTACTTATCCAGCCTGTATATTGTAGCATATACCCCCAGTAGTACTCGGTGAAGTTTCGCAATCTGTCCGTGCTTTGATGTCATGGATTAGTAAGAGCATACGTGAAGCAATATTCTCACCGATGGAACGGGTTCGTCGTAACGAGTTGCAAACATTGATGCGAAAATGCGTGTTGCCCGATAACTTGACATCGTCAAAGATACAAATACATGATGTTTTCTGCGACAAACATGTCTCTGGTGCCATAACCGTCAATTCAGCCTTTTTACAACTGCCGCTCGATGAAGCTCTCGATGACCCCAGCAGGCGTCAGAGGATATTCTTTGAGTACTACTTCGTCGTTGTCGATGAATGTATTTGGCTGCACGAAGATCTTGCGGGGCTGATGACGGACCCATAAGCGCAGTGATGTTTGAAGTCGCGGATAACGACTTACCAGCTTCTTCTTGAGCACCAGGTCGCGGATCTCACCTTCCCACCCAGGAAGAGGAGTTGTGAGTTCTGTATAGTACGCTCGCGCCCCCGGGCCATCCGCTGTGCTCTTGCGCACCTGAAGCTCCACAAGGAGCCTGCCCGCCACTTCGCGGCCCTGCGAGAGAACCTTCTCCTTGTCGACCTGCAGAGATAGTGTGAATATGATATCGTTTGAGCTAGTAAACGTGAGTGCCATACACGGATGTAGAGGTTTTCCAATGAACCATCAGCACCGCGGACCTCCTCGAGGCGTGCGATGCCAGATTTGATCAGGAACTGCGTGATTCCAAGGCTGTGGTAGTGGATAGGCGTCGGAAACATAAGCAAGACGACAAGGGGTCTGGCACGCACCGAGCCTGCATATGTGCCTGACCATGCTTCTTGGTTGCGGGGTCATAGAACTCCAAAGCGCGTAGACCGGCTCTCGCCATGAGGAGGAAGGTCACATATTGAACGTCCTCTACATCCTTCTCATCCACGTACTATGATGTATCGACTATGAGTGAGGAGTGGGGAACAAGAATGATTGGAACTTTACGTTGAAAATCTTGAGGATGTCCCGATTGCCGACGACTGAGGTACATTAGTGCGAATAGAGGTATATGTAGTACTACACATACGGTAAAGCGCGACGGTCTCTGCACGACACTCCTCCATCGAAGATGAAACCTCGCCAAGAACAGACCCCGAGGTTTGTCCGGGCTTGTACCACGATGTGCTTCAACGAGAGAAGATGAGCCATGCGCGAACCAAATCCGATTCTGACGAACTCACATCGGCTTACCGGTGAGCGGGTTGATAACCTATCAAACCGCCTTAAGATCCATAAACAACGCACTATGTACCAGCACAAACCTTCTCCGGGTCGAAGTTTTTCGTGCCATCAGCGTTTTCCTGGAAGAGCTTGCCGCTTCCGTGCCCAAGCAGCTCGTGGTTTGCGACCTGTAGCTCGAATGCACGCGAGTCCCATGCGTTGTACAGGTCGACGTCATCAGGGTGGATGAGCGTGAGCTCCTCGTCTGCGGGGTATATTTTGTCGGCGACGTGTACGTGAGCCATTCCAGGACAACGTACTGGGAGCCTTGGCTGCAAGGATATTCTACAGGCAAATGTCAATGGGAACGACAAAGGTGACAACCTGTGCACTCACCACAAGAGACACGTTCTTGAAGCCAACGGACTCCCGTATCTCGTAATAGTTCTAGAAAAAGCATCGTATCAACCGATGTGTGTCCAGCGGGAGACCCAACTCACGGGAATCTGTCTACGAGTTAGCTATTGTGTAGCAGTGACGGCGAATGACCTACATTGATACCGGCGGGAATACCTTGAATCACCGATGAGATAGTAGTTTGTGCATCAAAACAGTACATTACCTCCTGTGGCAAACGTGACAATCTCCAGCGCTGTGAAGTCCGGCTTTCGGAACTTGTCGACCTCAAAGTCCTTGCCCCATGGCAGGACCTTGAGCAATTCAGGCGCGCTGCTGACAAGAGTGTCGTACTTGGCGCTCAAAGTCTTGTTCACAATAGCGGTAAAGCCTGGAAAACATGCAGGCACCCGTCAGTCATCAACAAATCTGTGGCGGGGGACGAAGCACCTTCCCACTCCGCGCGACCGCCGTAGGGATCAACATAAGTCTCGATAAAGCCTAAGTAGCTCTCTACGACGGGGCCGACGTCCTTGACCCACTCCGTCGAGCCTTTCTTGTGAGCCTCAATGGATCCTGTCTCGAACCTACGCACAAAGAGTAGGTGAGCGGATAGTTCATAATGAACCATCCTGGATGTGACGCACGATTCAACGTAGCCTTCTATCATAGCGGTCTGATGCTCATTAGCGGTGTATTTCTTGGCCTGTGTCCTGAGATCAATACAAAGCCGACAGGAGAATGCAACCAAAGGTGTCACCTCCTTCAGAGCGGCCACCGCTTTTTGCAATGGTTCTGCAAAATCGCCATACTCCACAGTCAGCTTACCGCCCTTGCCCAGAACCTCAATTTCGTGCAGGGAAGAGGGTTGAGGTTGAGCGGAGGCAACCAAGAGAGCAAAGCTATTTGGGCCGTCCTTCCGGACACTGCAGCAGGATATTCAGTCACAGACATCTGCAATCAACAGAGGCTTGGTACCGAGTGTTGAGGACATCAATTCCGATCTTCTCGGCAGCGGCTTGGACGGCAGCGACCTCGTCATCCAGGATCGGGTATCCAAGATAGTAGTTAGAGACCTGCCCAAGATGGCGCTTGCCAATAAAGTTGCTAGACTCAGGGACAAGCTGATAGATGTGTTCTTTGAGCTGCGAACGATGACTTGTGCGTTAGAATCCGCGTGACGTGAATAACGAGGGGCATACTTCTTCCCAAAGCGGTAGGGTTTTGGAGGCATTCGGAGACTTTGCGACTACCGCAGCAAACTTGTCCTCGGAGAGACGAGGGATAATTTTGGTAAATCCGAAGCTCTTGTAGTTCGCCAGGTTGCTCAAGACCTGCACGCACACGATTGTTATAATATCTGGCCACTGTCGAAACACAAACAGCCGGGGTTACCTGGGTTGTATATTGCACGAGAGTGTCCCATTCCTCGGGATTGAGTCCGGATCTCTGCTTCAAGCCTCCAAGGTCGGCCAAGTGGCCCTTGTCGCTGAAGATGAGGATCAACAGGTCATTGAGCTTCTGCGCCTGAGGCGTCCATTGACCCTGAATGATCCGTGCTCCCGCCCAGCTTGCCTGCCCAATGTAGTGCACATACTTCTTCTCCTTTGACCTGATGGTTCGCAAACAGATAAGTGATGCCGACATAGATGACCCACGATTGGCCACTTACGTCAATTGCGAGAACGACTTGGCTACGTCGAGACTACACAAGGGTGCAGCTCGATCAGCAAGGAAATGTTCGGCTGCAACGTTCGCCATTGTCCTTCGTGGCTGCCTTAGTGATGCTGTGCGTTGTGGGAGGAAAGAGGCAAGATGGCGGAGAGAGCACGAGGATAACCTCATTAATGCTTCCTGGTGCACTTGCCAGGGGAACCATTGCTCGACCAGCTCCTGGCAATCGCCGGACCAGATCTTGCGATCACCGATGCGCAATCGATCGCGATACTCACCGATCTCCGGCCACAGCCAGCCACAACGGTGTAAAAAGTTATTCGTGGATCATCGGTTCTTCACTACCTTCAAGCCGTGTGAGCAGGGAAAGAGAGGATACATATATATGGCTACAATACATGAATATCGAGGCGAAAGGCGGAGCACGTAATGCAAGCATCACCGCACATCCTTCCTGGAAGCATCCCGCATACGGACGTAGTTCGCCCACAGTGCCTGCCATTCCACTTCCAAAGTACCTTCTCCTGCCTTCCCAATTCCACCCGGTCGGTCTCCAGCAATCCCAGCCCAGCCTAACGCTCGCTCGTAGCACTCCAAGGCCTTTTCCGCCGATCCTTTGCCGCCGTTACTCTCTATGAGGATGCCCATGAGGTTCCAAGCCTCGGCAGCGGTACGCCTTGCATCCCGAAGCAGGCTCGTGGCCGGTCGCGCCATAGTCCGTGACTTCGAATATTCTGCTTTCAGCGGTGTCTCCGACGACGGTGGGTGAGGGATTGCGGAGTCAGGAGCATCAGGGTGGATGAGAGGCAAGCCACTCAACACCAACGCTACCCGTTCCGAGGACTCAGCGGCACGTGAGAGCCATTGGATAGAGGTGACAGGTTTCTCTCGGAGAGCGTACATGACCTCGGCTAAGTGCACGGACAGGAGAGAGGAGCGGTGGAGGATGTATAGCGCATGCAGTGCCTGAGGGGATGTCGATGTCTCTAGCGACTGCGGCTGTTTGACAGATCGTAGCAGTTCAAGGGCCGACTCCTCGACAGAGCGTGCCTGCTTGAGTTGACCAGAAGTCGCATAATGTGCGGACAGGGATACAAGTGTCGATACAAGCGTGCGCTGGGCCAGTGGGGAGGAAGGAGCAGATGCAGGAACGACAGGTGGAACAGTGGCCAATTGAGTGTTTCCGGCATCTTGCACTAGCTGAATGGTGCGCGCCCACCATACCAAAGCATCTTCGGGGTCGCCCAGTCGTTGATTGAGATCGCCTAGTTTCAGGGCAACGCGGGCGGCGTCAATGCCTTTACCTGGCAGGCCAGCCCATACTCGTTCGAATTCGGCCCTCGCTTCAAATAGCGCTTCCTTCGTGCCCATACGCTCCATGACGCTTGCATGACGGCCGATGAGGTCGGTGACGGTTTCCTTGCGTAACTTCCCAGAGCTCGCGCCCTTCAGGGCGGAATTAATCGCAATATTGAGGAAATCTTGCGCATACTCGAGGCGTGCCTCGACAGCGTTCACCGCGCTGCCGCCCGTGTTCCCGCGACCGCTGTACGCCTTCGAGCCGATGACGCTCGTCCCCGAACCTATTCCCCAATGTTGAGCGATCCAGGCACTACGCACTGCAAAGCGTCCCATCAAGCTGAGGCCAGGATCTGTTCCGCCCGCCGCGCCGCCCGACCAGCGCTCCGCCTCCTGGTCCCACTCCCATCTGCGCACCTCCTCATCTGTCTCAGACGCGAGCTCGACATGCTCGATCCACATGTGCGCGCCCGTAAGAGCAGTCCATGTCGTCGCACTAACGGCAATAATGCCGATCGCGGTAAACCTGACGAACCGACGGAAGAAGTCTATGGTGAAGACGGTGGACCGTGAGTAATTCTCCTCAACGAGGATCGACGGCGGGTCCGTCGTCTCTGTACGCCAAGGCGTTGGTTTGGAGGGTTCTGTGGATGCATGACGGCAGAGCCTGAGAGGTGGCGGGCGGGCGGGGCAGCAAAGCAAACGGAGAAGAGCCTGTCGTGGTATTCTTGCAAGCATTACGCCTATGCGTGACAGAATGAGGTGTGACCGGTGCGCATGCTAGTGTCACGACCTTACAATGTCACAACCGGATTAATTCAGCGCCCGCGGCGCTTACATTGCAGGTCACCCCTTGACCTCCTTGGCATTACTTGTGGCCACTCGGGATACTTCCCGTGCAAAATACACTTGATCTCAGCCTCGCACAATAGCTTAAGGCATTTCGTACTATTGCATCTCGTTTGGACTAGCAAGAATTCATGAAGTTTCACATTGACGATCTACCTGTAAATGGATACCGTACATTCTACTTCACCGGCATTCATCCTCATGCACGTTACGCACAGGTTGTCTTCCCTTATGACCGGATATATCCTGGTAAAATATATCTCAAAACCTCGCTGGCCGCTTCTTACTATCTAACAGAACAATATGCGTATATGTGCGACTTGAAGCGCACCCTGGATGCAACGGTGGGTACATATAGACGGACTGATATCGGAACAAACTGACCTGCTTTTCAGGGCCACTGTGTCCTTGAGATGCCTTCCGGGACAGGCAAGACGGTGTCCCTATTGTCTCTCATTGTATCGTACCAGCAAGTAGGACCCCCTTCGTCTCACTTTATGTTAAGAGATACTGAATGCAATGTAGTTCTACCCGGCAAAACGCAAGCTTATTTACTGCTCGCGAACCGTGCCTGAGATTGAGAAAGCGCTGGAAGAGCTGAAGCGTCTTATGGCATATCGTGTCTCATGTGCCGAGACAGAGGAAGAGAAGAAAAAGGAGGAGAGCTTTTATGGGCTCGGCCTAACCAGTCGGAAAAACCTCTGCATTCATCCAGAGGTGAGCCACCGTCTCGAACCAATGCCCTGACCTTTTGTTGCCGCAAGTCCACTTCCCACTTGGGAACGCCTCTAACTTGCTGGTAATTTCCAGGTCGCCAAAGAGAAGAAAGGGAAAGTAGTAGATGCTCGTTGTCGCGATCTTACAAATTCTGCAGTATGTGAGAAAGGCCGCCAGAATCCCGGATCAGTCGAACTCTGTGACTGGCATGAGGTTCGCTTCCGCACCTTGTGTCGCCCAAGCCCCTGTTTTGTGCTCACCTTTGTCCGTTTGCAGAACTTAGGAAAGCTTGAACCAGGCAGCATCATTCCGCCTGGTATCTGGACGCTTGCAGATGTTCTTCAATACGGCCGCGATAACACCATTTGCCCGTATTTCACCGTCCGCAGAATGGTACGGCTTGTTCTCCACGGGGAATTTCCGAGCTAAACAGTTGACTCAGATGCCCTTCGTAGATGTGGTCATCTACTCCTTCCATTATCTTCTGGATCCGAAGGTTGCCGAGCAAGTTTCCAAAGAAATGTCGAAGGATGCAATAGTGGTCTTCGACGAAGCCCACAATATCGGTAAGAGCGGAGAGACACCGAAACACTTGACGGAGAGGTGACACGTGCGTCCTGTAGACAATGTCTGCATCGAGTCCTTGAGCATCGATTTGACCAGACCAATGCTGGATTCAGCAGCCAGAAGTGTGGGTAAACTGGGCGACAAGATAGACGAGTATGTCGACACTTATAGACTACTTTAGCTCGTTCACATCTTGCTATAGGATCAAGAAGACAGACGCCTCCAAATTGCAAGATGAATATGCCAAACTGGTTGAAGGTCTGCAAGATGCTGCCAATGATGAGGATGCGTTCATGTCCAATCCAGGTTTGTCATGCAGCATCATGACGCTCGGTATTGAGGTGTTTGACGCTACGTTGGTCTATTGCCAGTGTTGCCGGAAGATCTCCTCAAAGAGGCTATTCCTGGTAATATCAGGAAGGCCGAACACTTCGTGGCTTTCCTCAAACGCTTCGTTGAGTATTTGAAGGTATAAAATTATAATTGCACAGTGCATGATTGGGTTCACCGTTTCACTTCTCAGACTCGAATGCGTGTCTTGCACGTTGTAGCAGAGACACCTCTATCATTCCTGCAGCACCTGAAAGACATCACGTACATAGAACGTCGACCGCTGCGGTAAGTGCCGGCTTTACCTATCCAATGACGATGCTCATCGGTATGTAAGCTTCTGCGCAGAACGCTTACAATCACTCGTGCGAACTCTTGAGCTGAGCCGGATAGATGAATATTCTGCTCTGCAGAAAGTGGCGACATTTGCTACTCTGGTCGCAACATACGAGAAAGGTACCACACTGATCCTCGGGACCACTAGAGAGCTGATAACCTCTTTCTGAATAGGGTTCCTGTTAATCCTTGAGCCTTTCGAAACCGACAATGCCACGGTCCCGAATCCGATATTCCACCTAACGTAAGAAGTCTCTAGTCATCTTGAAGGCGGAGGGTTGTGATTTTTATGCTACAGATGCCTCGACCCGGCCATAGCAATCAAGCCGGTCTTTGAACGATTCAGTTCTGTTGTCATTACATCCGGAACCATCTCCCCACTGGATATGTACCCCAAGATGCTGCAGTTTCAGCCTGTCGTTCAGGAGTCGTATGCGATGACACTTACCCGGAACTCCTTTTTGCCATTGGTACGTAAACGCGTACTGCCCTGTTGTTATCTCGCTCACCCCGCTGTAGGTTATTACTCGTGGTAGTGACCAAGTCGCGATAAGCTCCCGCTTCGAAGTGAGGAACGACCCAGCGGTGGTACGCAACTTCGGCAGTATCCTCATTGAATACAGCAAGATCGTCCCGGATGGCATTGTAGCTTTCTTCCCAAGCTACCTATACATGGAATCCATTGTGGCAGCATGGAACGATATGGTCAGCTGTCATAATCTCGGCTTTGCTCTATTATTAACACGGTTATTAGGGCATCTTGAATGAAGTGTGGAAGCACAAGTTGATATTCGTGGAGACCCCAGACGCCAATGAGACGAGCATTGCGCTAGAGAACTACCGCAGGGTACGCATGGTGATCTGCGGGCTTCGGCCGGTACCTGTAACTGCTCTGCTAACTTCCGCGCCCTGACTAAAAGGCATGTGACAACGGACGCGGAGCTGTCCTTCTCTCTGTCGCGCGTGGTAAGGTTTCCGAAGGAATTGACTTTGATCACAATTATGGAAGAGCTGTCATCATGTTTGGGTGCGTGAGAACGTCGCTTGGCGAAGAATACTTTTTACTAACGATTTCCTTCGCACACAGTGTCCCGTACCAGTATACGGAGAGTCGAATCTTGAAGGCCCGCTTGGAATATCTGCGAGATGCATATCGTATCCGAGAGTCCGAGTTCCTCGGCTTCGACGCGATGCGGAATGCAGCGCAGTGCGTCGGACGCGTTCTTCGCGGAAAAACTGACTGGGGCCTCATGGTTTTCGCGGATAAGGTGACCTGGACAATGATGCCATCTGAACTCTAATTGACGCTTCTATGCTTCAGCGATTTGCTCGCGCCGATAAGCGCGCTAAGCTGCCCCGATGGATCAACCAGTATATTACCGAGACGGCCTCCAACCTGTCCACGGACATGGCGTTGACACTGTCAAAGCTCTTCATGCGCACGATTTCGCAAAACCCGAATGAGAACCAGACCGGCATATCGCTCTGGAGACTGGAGGACATTGAGAAGGCACAAGCGAAGCAGAAGGAGCTGGCGTTTGAGGCCGAGCAGCAACATGGCGAGCCTATGGACGAGGACGACGAATATGGCGACGGCGGACTTGATGATCGCATGTTGGCCGACGTCGACTTGGATGTATGATACGGTCATATTCGTAGATACTCGATACATATGATACACTGGTATATGGCAGAGGTTGTGTCGTGAGCATAGCGGTCTATGATGGGGATTGTGTTGTCTCAAGGACATCGAGGGCACTTCCCCGGCTCCTGAGAGTGAACGTCAGTATTTGCTTGTGATAGTAGATGTTAGGCAAGTATACTGACTTCACGTGTAACGATACGCTCAGGTTGACTGGTCGCAATGTCAGCCACAGAAGACGGCGTCAAAGTGCGGACTGCACTTACGTATAATAACGACGGCACCGGCAGGATGTTCCCGAGCCAGGAGTGCTACATGTCGGAGGATGCGCGCTGCTAATATAACAGTCGCGGGCGTTGCAGTCAATGGTGGTATCGCCAGTGAAAGTCAAGTGACCGCATTCATTGGACTTGTAAAATCTGAGTTGGCGGTGACACATCTGCGAAGGTTAATCCTCAGCCACGCGGATCGGGAAGGGCGAAGAGGACAAACTTACTGCGAGCGCTATAAGCGTCGGCGGAGGTAGGAGGTAAGAGAATGATTGCAGAGGCTGACGGTCGATTGAAACGTTGATCGAAGCCGTGCGTTGTCTTCGATCGAGCCTGACTTTACCCGGCCAATAAGGGCTCGTCGTCGTCGACTTGTAGGACAGAGTGGGTCCACACTATAGAGTGGGGGGGCGTGCGGCCGATGCACGCGTACTTATATGGGCAGGACGAACAGCGTTTAGAGTGACGGACCTTAAGCGGACCGAAAGCGAGACATTACCCTATTTTATTGAGGGGCGCATGTGGAGGCTTGCGGCACATTCCAGGGAATCGAAAGTACAACATTCGACTGATTGACCATGAGGACCACAATGATGATCGCCCAATTACAAGAGAACACACCCCGCAGCGGTGAGAACGTAGAACATCATTTCGGCAGCCACTTCTCATTCGGGTATTCCCTGGAATCACGTGGCAGAAGCTCCGAGGACAAGCGCTGCCCGATACGTTTAGCGAGCGCCGGCCATTCGGGCGCGGATAACGATTCGTATGTTGTCCTCTCTCCTTGCCGGGTTCGCCCCAGGTCAGTGTGTGCGTGTCAACAATGATAGGGAAACGGAGTTGTCTCGTTACTGTATCGAATCGAAAAATACGCAAGCAATCTGTGTCAGAACGACAGCTGTGGACCCCGTGCAGGCTTGACTAATTGACTGAAACATTGTGCAGGGATGACTAGCCCGTTCTGGCCATCCCATTCCGCGGTGGATTGGCCTCCACCTGCTCTGCGTTATCAAATTTCCAACCACCGTGACGGCGATGCAGTGACATGCATTGTTTCCAGTGTTTCAACGTACGACCGTTGGTAAGAATACCCCGCGGTCTGCTTAATGAACCGTGCTGAAAATCGCCATCCGTTGTGCCACCGCCAGGTCATCGTTTTCTCTTACGCTATTGAAACCTACCAACCGGCCCGCAGGAGCATTGCACGGCCATTTCCAATGCAACAAGAATCCCCCTCCGAGCGCGCTTAACGGACTCCCTACTTTCGTCCATTACGATTCAAACCCACCAGAATCTACCACCACACTGTGTCTGCGTGTATGTTACGGACAGTACCCCCACTCTCGGCATGCAAAGTTCTCCGACCGTAGCCCGTCGCCCATTTGCCCCATCTTCATCTCTCATCTGGCCTATCCGAGTATATTGGTTCCCACCGACTACAGGTTCTCGTGGTTCTTTCCTCCACTCATGGGCAAGTCATGAAGTTGCCTCCGTCCGTATTACGACACTGGCCAGGCCATTGACGGCATACCCTATATGACGCCCGCTTACTAGGGCTAGCACGGACACTCCGTGGATTGGGTTTCATATCAGAAGGTCATTGCGTTCTTATCTGCGTTCATTGGCATTGACTTTCCATTAAGGACCGCCCGAGACTCTCGGTCGTCCGAGTCGTGGCTTGTCACTCGGGCAAGCATGTAGGGCGCTGCAGCCATGCCCATCGATACCCCGAGGGCCCTGACGATCGGTACGTCAATGCGACGTCAGGATATTGCACGATCAGTGTCAGCCTGGAAGGTGCGCCAGGCGTTGCATCTAAACGCCAATACGACCAAGCCGTTCCCTAATTAGCGAGGCCGCAAATTAAGCGTTAACTTTGTCGTCCGCGAACCTTGTCATCCGCGTGCAATAAGCCTTCTGGTGCGGCCGGCGACAAGCCTCTGAGATGAGAATGTACTCGCCTCCTTCGTCGCGATGTCGCCACAGCAGTGGCTACTGGTGCCTCATCGTGCCGGACTCAGGCTTCCTCGGCACCATTCCTAAGAGCGGCTAGTCCTCTCCTACCCCCCCTTATACCTTGCGGAGAGAAGTCGAAGCCATCCCTCTCGGAATGTGCCACTGTCAGGCAGCCCCTTGATCTCATATGACTAGCAATTATTTATGCTAGTTCGCCGACAAACGCACCGTGTCTGCAGCCAAGGATCTCAGACCCACTTGTCAAACCGGGTGGGAGACGAGTCACATGCGGCCCGAGGCGTTCATCTTATCCACGCCTTTTCGGTAAACTCAATGGAATGTGTTCGTGATAGAATTCGACCTGTGCCTCTCAGCCGCCCTCAAGCGCTGTCATTGTAGTGTTACTGCCGTGTAAAATGCCTGTACTGTATTACCGCGTCTACATAATGCAAGTCGCCGTGAAACAAAACAGACGGGTTAGCCGCTTGTGCGACGGTTGATGCTAGGGTATTTTCTCGGTACTAAATTGTGCTTCCGCGAAGGCGCGGTGTGGAGTTGATGACATTTGGCGGCGATCGTTGGAAAGGGTATAATTGGCCTCCGGTGCGAAACATTGAACCGCAGCACCATGTGTTGTTAGCTCGCTATGATTTATTGAATTGGTACTCAGCATCCTTGGCTGTGCGCTCACTGCGGGAGCGTGCCCAGGAGCGCAACCGTCGTTACGTCCACCGCCTAGCATTTATGAGGGCATTCTCTCCGAGTAGTCCTCCGACATGCCGGCCCTACTTGTCTGTGGCACTGGGCCTCAGCACCGGTTCAGTCTTTCCTCCGTTGGAGGCCTCGAATGAGCATGCTTTTATAGGATAACTTACTAGCCGGTTGTGGGGATAAAGCGGTTCGCCCGTCTCATCTGGAAGAAACGCGGTCCTTCTATGCAAGTAGCATTGTGGCAAAATATCCGCACTTATGACGTCCCTGGCAACGGCGTGAATCCACATAACGTGCGCTGCCGCATGTTTTGTAGGTTTAATAAACCACTACTGCCACTGGAGAGACGGCAGCACGATCATGTTCACATAAGGTTTTATATGTGGGCAAGAATACGGCAGAGGCGATACTCGGGCGGGATCCATCTCGCTCGGGCTCTCGGAGAAATTGGCCTTCTTTTGCTATCGATGCAAGCGATGATCTTGCGTGTCCCATTAGACGGTGAGTCTGCTATTAATGTACTGTGATCATATGTGCGCGATTTGGATGAAAACTAAGCAAAGGAGGTACGACAACAACATTACACTCAGATGACAATGCTATGAACTCGGCTCCTCTGACAGTCGTGAGAGGTCCTCCTGGATGACCTCTTTGATATTCCGTATCGGCTCACCCTTGATGACCTTCTTGACTTCTTCGACATCTAGAGTCTCATGCTCCATGAGTGCGGACGCCAGCTGAAGCACGAGGACAGATGAGATAAGTGTGGGTCTACAAGGACGTCGATATACAACACTTACCCGATGCAACTCCTCTTCTTTACTTTTCAGAAGCGTCAAGACCCGTGACTCCCCGGCCATCAGGAGACTATTGCATTGTGATATGCCAGTCAGTGATGTATACATTTCGGAAACCATGAACATGCCATTCCCCCGGAAGGGTGGGCGTTCACAATTATAATAAGGAAAGCGCGCGGGGAATATGGGATATGATTGAGGAAGACACATACCTGCGAACTTCGCCTTCTATCTCGTCGCTCTTCGTGGGGCTGATCGACTCCTCGCGGTCGTTGTAATAGACCGGCCCAATTTTGTCAGAAAAGCCCCAGTTCTAGTGCAGGCGTCACAGATGTGCGATATGAATCGATCCAAGTTAGATAACGTAAATTGGTCTGATGGAAAATGTCGAATGTCAGGGCACTGACCTTGACCATCGCACGGGCGGTTCGAGTAGCCTGCTTCAGGTCCGAGGAGGCGCCACTAGTGACATTCTCAGGCCCATAGACTGTGTTGTGTGGGAGTATTACCGAGACGACGGCGTCAATGATGGACAGAAACTGCAGCTGAACACGTACTGATTTCTTCAGCCACACGCCCACCCATGCACACGTCGATCATGGCCAAGTATTCCTTCAAGGATACTGAATATCGGTCGTCCTCGGGCAGCTGGCTCGTCTGCCATTGCCACGTACAATGCACAGGTTCAGTAAGAGTGAATGTGGCTCAAGGAAGACCTTACAATGCCCAACGCGTGGCCACGAGGCACACAAGTGACCTTGTGCAGAGGCATGGCGCCATCCGTATATAGTGCTACAAGTGCATGGCCTCCCTAAAGATGCATGATAATTAGGCCGCAAGAACAATGAAAACGGAAGGTGACACCCGCCTCATGGTACGCAGTCATTTTCTTCACATCCTCACTAATGTACGCAGTCCTCCTTTCCGAACCCATCACGATTCGGTCCTGCGATTTATATTTTCAGCGGAGGTTAACCTATTTCAGTTGAGAGACTGACCTTAGCCCACTCAAAGTGCTTCAAAGAGACGGCCTTAGCACCTTCGCGAGAGGCCTGCACGGCGGCTTGGCTTAGCTGGGTGTCAGAAAACAATATACAAACCATTCGACCAGACGAAGTGGCGACTCACTTGACCATGTTTTGCAAGTCAGCCCCTGAAAAGCCTGCGGTGCCTCGGGCCAGAATTGTCGGGTCGACGGCTAGATGCGAAGGTGTTCACACACATCATCAGTTCTGTGAACATCACATACCTGCTTCAGTTGTGACGTCCTTCATATGATGCCTCAAGATTTGCACCCTTCCACGGACATCAGGCAACGGAACGGCAATATGCCTGTCGAAACGACCAGGGCGCACAAGAGCACTAGGATAGGTATTGAGATTTAGGCACACAGTAAGATAATCGTCCCTTCACTCACGGATCCAAACTATCGGGGAAGTTAGTGGCTGCGATGACGATGACTCCCTCGTTTTGCAAGAATCCATCCATCTCGACCAAAAGCTGGTTCAGTGTCTGTTTCAAGTAGTGCTGGTCACGGTTCGAGCGCCGTCCACCTATCGCGTCCAGCTCATCGATGAAAATAATGGCCGGTTGCCGCTTGCGCGCTGCAGTGAACAAGTCGCGGACACGCTTTGCGCCGACACCGACGAACACCTCATCAAATTCCGAGCTACGTGGTAGACGCGCGATGATAAGAGAATATAGCGGACAGCATACACAACGCACTTACCCAGAGGCAAAGAAGAACGGTACGCCAGCCTCTCCCGCGACCGCACGTGCCAACATCGTCTTACCCGTTCCAGGAGGTCCAGTGAGTAGGATACCCTTCGGCAACTTGCCGCCAAGTGTCGCGAACGTAGTTGGGTCTTTCAGGAACTCAACGACTTCTGACAACTCCTACACTCGCAATATCAACACATTGCCAGATCTGAAGCTGAATGAATACACTGACATCTTTCACCTCGTCAACGCCATGCACGTCACTGAATTTGTAGGTCTTGCCCGCAGCCGGCTCGAACTCGGCTTGTCGCGGTCCAGCCTTCATCAGCCCGGAATTCTCCAGGAGTACTGCGAGCATGACGAGAATAACTAAGAATATCACGTTTGTTCAGGCACGCCAATTCTAACAAAAGGGGTCATTGTACTCACAGAAGCTGGACAATGCCGTCAACACCAAAAACCGAATCAGTCGTGGTACCCATGATCCCTTCGCTATCGTCGTATAGCTTGTCAGTGTTTGCTTTACGTCCGGTGCGATAGGAGAAACAAGCTCTGATCAACTCAATGCGACAAGATCGCTCGTAGACACTAGAAGGCCATTCGCAGACAACTTTCACGAGACATTGAGCGTGACCCGATTATCGCTAAACGGCTACAGGTGCAATTGACAGAAGGAGAATCGTCCCCATCCTGTTGCTGAGCTTTAACGCGGCGCCCTTGCATGAGAAAAAGTCTCAAAACTTTGTCATGCGTAACATGACTAACATGCAGTTCAGTCATGCCTACCGCAGTCTGCATGCAGCGAGGTTCCACATATGACCAAGCAACAATGCACCTAAGCACGAGGAAGTGGAAACAGGAAATGACAGTAGGGGCCAGCACGCACAGTAAAGGAAACAATCACTTACGTTCATTTAGAGTCACTACGAGTGGGTTCCCGGGGACACCTGCGCCGCCGCCAAGACCAGCGGTTAGCTTCGTGGTGTCCGCACTCGCAGGTGTCGCGCTGCCTACTCCCGGTGCAGTTCCAGCTAGGACAGCCTGCGCGAGCTGTTGGCTGGGAGTGACCGTTCGACAGGGTTGTGCCGGCGTCGAGGATACCGATTCCGATGATGCAGTGTTAGTCAAAGAATCCGCTGAGGCTTGAGTAACCTCATCGGAGGCCGAGACAGAATCCGAGGTAGCAGAAGTAACACCAGTGGCAGCAAGAAGAGAGTCACGTCGACGGACAGCAGCGTCTATTGATGAGGCAAGGCCGTCCTTCAGGAGAGCTGTGAGGTAGAGCTGGAATGCAATATCCGAACGAAGCAATGGGTTCTTGGGATCCTTTCAAAGAGCATTAGACCTTAGCGATCAGACCTACAGGCAGAGGGACATACAAATTCACACATCCGTTCCCACCTCGCAATGGCGACGTCATAGCCAGACTTTACGCCTGTCCCTACAAGAGCCTCAAAGAGTGCCACTTGCTTTTGCAAATCTTGTGGGTGTGCATTCGCTTCTGCTTCGATTGCAGTCACATGTGCCACTACCTTCGGTGGTGGTGTCGGCGTCGGCTTCGGCGAGAATATTGAGCCAAGCGACAAGGGCCTGACAAGGCACAGAATTGGCGATGGTCTTCTGTGGACAGAGCTTGAAAGCTGAGAGGGGACGAAAGGAGAGGGTGATGAGGAAAGCGAGCGGGTCTGGAGGAGTGAGCGGATTGCAGGTGGTGGTCGCGTACTACGCAGCGAAGTGCGCAACGCACCCGCGAGCTAGCAAACGCATTGTATGAGACTCACCCATTAGGACAGATTCTGTGTCATGGACTCACCAAAGATGCAACGCTCATGGGCTGTGCTCGCCGTGGCCTTCACTGTTGGGACACGAAAGAGAGAATGTATACGACCAGTGACGCCGCCAGAGCGTTTCGTGCACGCGCACGTGCCCTGCGTACGACGCGTCTCGGCGAGGAAGCGCCTGAGGGCTGAACGTAACATTGAATCTTTACAAGTTTCATGGTCCAGACTGCACAGGACAAAACCTACAGAGGCACCTTTGACATGTGAAGTTCGTTCTCGACGCACCGCGTGTCCTCCGAATATCGCCATTCTTGTCATGTCGAGCTCGACTTCAGGTTCTCTAATCGGTGACGTGCTAGACTGGCTTGTTCACTTACGCTGAACCTTCTCGCTTTTGACCTTGGCAAATCTTGAAAGTAAGTGTCCCTAGATAACCGAAACAAGTAGACACGGCGGCCCCAACATAGATCTGCTATACGCTGGAGTGATCGGATGAGCGGACTGAACTTTGTTGCCCTGCATGTGACGTCGACGTCCCGCTCCATGCCCCTGGGCAATACGTTTGTTCAAACCAGGTTCAACCACTACACATTAGACCCTCTCTTTTCGCTGTGGACAATTTACTCTCATGAGTGATCTTAGTAAGGTCACCCCCCCAAAGGAGCTGAGCAGCACAGATCAATCCGCGATCTTCCAACACATCTTTCGCCGGCTTGCCGCCTCCCGCAACACAGCAGAACTCTATGCTCTTGCAGAGTATACTCTCTCGAATCTGACGAACGAAAAAAAGAGTCTTATTCACGATGCGTTCGTACGGGACGTGAATCGGTGGGCCCAAAACTTGCTTCAGCATGCTTGGTTGGCTTGTGATGAACCGGGCGGGGGTGCGTTGTCGTTATAAACTGCAGCATGATCAGAACTTCACGCCACGCGTGCACCCAGGTGCAGTTCCTGAGCTCACTCCTCTATCTGATACATCGACGGTCGGCCTCCAGCCTCTCCCCAGCCATGCAGATCTGTCAAAGGTCCTCAACACGGTCCTGTTCCTCAACATCACCACAAGAAAGGCTTACTCCTCCAGGACTCGCGCTTTCCTCTCTGCTCTGGCGCCACTAGATGAGAGTGCAATAGCCGCGACACTGAAGGACCCAGACCATGCACTCAGGGAGGCGGAGCGTAAGACGACACAGGCGAAGCAAGAGGCATCCGAGCAATCTAGGACACTCCGAAATGTTGGCATAGGCCTCAGCGCTGTCGCAGGTGGGGTACTCATTGGTGTCACTGGCGGGCTGGCAGCGCCCTTGGTCGGCGCAGGTGTAACTAGCATCCTCGGCTGGCTTGGTGTTGGCGGCACTGCGGCAGGCCTTCTCGCCAGCGGACTTGCAAGTTCGTCAGTCGTGTGCGGCGCTCTCTTCGGCGCGTATGGCTCGAAGAGGTCCGCGGAAACCGTCGGCCGCTATCTGCGGGAAGTCAATGACTTAGCAATTGTACCTGTCCACAAGCCTCGCAATACACTGGCCGTACGCCTCTGCGTGAGCGGATGGTTGGATTCTCCCGAAGACGTGATCGCACCATGGACTGTGTTCGGCGATGGCGAGGATACGTTCGCACTACAGTGGGTTTGTGCTACCCCATCACTCAAGTAGGCGATTTCTGAGTCTTTACGCGCTTCAAATAGGAAGTGGATGCACTTCAAAACCTCTCCAATGCATTGTCAATTCTCATCAAAGCGCAAGCCATGAAGTACGTCAAGGCAGAGATCATTAGGCGGACTGTGTTCGCGAGTTTGTTTGCGGCACTATCGCCCACTGCATGGCTGAAGCTCGCCCAAATCATTGGTACCACACTCTTTTCGTGTCACGCTGTACCTGCTGACCAAGGTTGTCCTAAGACAACCCTTGGATGACTGCGAAATCACTCGCAGGCAAGACCGGAAGAGTGTTGGGTAAGCTGCTAGCACAGCGCGTTCTCGGAAACCGCCCTGTCATCCTGACCGGCTACTCCCTCGGTTCACTGGTGATCTTCGAGGCCCTTCAATACCTCGCCTCGCTCCCGCCCTCGGAGACTGCTGGTCTCATACAAGACGTATATCTCTTCGGGTCGCCCGTGCCCACGGACGAGACCGCATGGGCTGCTGCGCGCCGCGTAGTTGCCGGCCGCCTCGTGAATGGGTATGGCTCGAACGACTACATCCTCGCTGTGCTCTCACGCGTATCTGACATGAGCTGGTCCGTGGCGGGCCTAGAGCCCGTTGTGGTGAAGGGCGTCGAGAACGTCGCCTGCGAACAGGTGGACGGGCACCTGAAATGGCGGAGCGTGATAGGGCAGTGTCTGCAGATGTGCAACGCGCCAGGCCTAGTCGAGAAGGAGGTGAAGGAGCAGAAAGATCTAGAGGTCGAGCACGAAATGGACCTACACGGCCCTGACATCAAGCAAGTAATCAAACTAGCACCAAAAGGTGAACCTAGATAGTATATCCGCAGGCTAAGACTGTCCCTCGTGTACTATCTGGACTGCTGATACGGTAGAAAACATAATACGAGAACTGTCCCAAGCGGTGTCCATTTTCACGTATTATCGTGAATATCAGAGAAAATGCGCAAGAATGCGGTCGGTGGCGAGAAGTAGCAGTCCAAACAAGTTTAGAATACGTAATGTATGTGGCTGCTATGTCCAAAGAGTCATAAATCGGAGAGAGCCTAGCCTAGCCTAGTGATGACCCTAGATCGCGAAGGATATTACCCAATTGATTCAGATCAGACTCGTTGATACCTGCTGACTGCAGTAGACCCTGTGATGAGAGAGATATGTAGATGAGTATACAACCGGGCACCCATGTGAGGTATGACTCACCCCGATGTTTTCCTTGCTGAGTGGACACGCGAAGCTCGTGCTGCCACTAATGGTGGGCTTCACGGGTATGAGGAAGACTTTAACACTGACCTAGGTAACAGGAAATATCAATGTGAAGCTCGTCCAATCTTGTGTGTCAAATAACTTACAATAGCGGTGTAATCGAGAGTGACATCTGATGAAGCGACCCCAGGGACGACACCACACTTCTTTGCGAGATCGACCAGGATGGAGAAGTTGGGGTCATCCGTCACGTTATATAGCAATTGTGCAGGGAACGTGACATTCGTCTCTTGGTGTGACCTGAAGTCCACATCCTTCTTCTCCCCACCCCCAACAGCCGTCTTGTTGTTGTTTAAGGGGTAGAACAGCTGTGGAGAACGCGGTCAGTCTATAAGAGGCATGATTGCGCTACATTCAGACGTACATTAATTTTCAGGTCGGTCAGGTCGACGGAGAAGTAGTTCGGATTGATTACACTGGGAAGTCCATGAGTACCAATTCTCAATACTGTGCACTTTCATCGTACGTCGTGTTTACGTCAAACATGACCGTCAAAGAATCATTGGCGAGTGTGACCTATATCCGGTGAGTCAATGCAGAGAAATACGGAAGACAATGAGGGGCGTACTGCGGTTGCGCTGTCTGACAGTCCGAACTGGTTGACGACGAAGGTTGGTGGTCGGATCCACTGCATAAGACGTAAGTATCTTGAGGCTTGGGAAATAAAGAATAGGATCTCACCAATGCCAGCGAGAGCAAGATGCTCACGAGAAGAAACAGGAAGATCATGATAGTGCAGCATAGGAGCCTGCCGCAAGTACGGACACCACCACCTCTCGTCCACAGATCCCCGTTGTGCTCATATCTCCATCGTCTTAGGTTACGCGACGTCCTAGAAGACTTGAGGGTAATTCCCTAGTACACAGGGGCCATTACTCACTTCGGCCCAACAGGTCTGTTCGGAATGGCATCATCGACCTCCTCTACCACAGCTCTCTCCTTCATGTAACCAGAGGCATCGTCGGTATATCTGGGAGCATTGATTCCGCCGCTATCGTAGTTGTATCCCCCTTGGTCATAAGTTCTATGAGGCTGTTCATTTGCATAGGGATTGAATGGCTCGTCGTATTCGCGTTGCGCAGGAGGGTATTGCTGGGTACCGTATGGGTCGCTGTAGGCCATGATGAAGTACAGAAAGCAAGCTGAAGGACGATTACAGAAGCTGTAGAGCGCAGCAGATGCTTATGGAAAGAAAGCGACCTGCGCCTGGTGAGAGAAAAGGACAGCCTTATGGTTGGCTCCACTGCCTGCGCGTGCGCCACGGTCGGAGTTGGAATCTTCGGATCTGAATCGTACCAAATTCTATTTATTGATCGGAGGTTGCTAATGATCGGGTAGCCCGGACCCTTGGGGCAGCACACACAATCGATGACTTCATGCACAACCCCATATGCAAAGCGCAAGCCGCACAATAAAATTATAATATCGCAAAAAGTAGGACAATATAGGCTTCGAAAGTACAACTCAAGCCCGTCAATTCTAAGGCCCCAACGCCCTGACCCAAGTCTCCGGTAGCGTCAGGTACGTTTGAATAGCCGACGACTGGATGCGCGTTCATGCTTTGAAGTGCATTTGTTGAGCGCCGGACAGAGCCATCGAAGCAGATCGAGACAGAACACCAGAAGCGCGCTGGAGAGCAGTAGCAGAGCGAGCAGGGGTAGCACCTTGGAAGCGTTCACTATTGACAGGTTGTATAGAAGAAGGCAAAAATCGCCGAGTTTGCGAGTCATCTTGCACGCCGAAGCGGTCAGACCCACCACCTGATCCCGTTCCAGGTATGAAGCGACGCGAGTTGCTCGATGCGCCCACTTGCTGTTGCGGTGTCATGGGTGGCCGGAAGGAGCCGCGTTGTTGCAGGGTATCTGAACGCAATTGAGGTGCAGGCGGCGGCGGCATCTGAACTTGATCGTGCTGGGCATTCGATGCCCCGGGCTTCGCGGGTGGTCGCAACATGGCAACGGGCGCCTGATTCGGGACATGGCGCGCTGCAGCTTGTCTTGTAGGGGCCGCTTGGGCATACGTGAGCGTCCGCGCTTGAGTTGCGTGCGCTTGAGGGGTTGGAGGCGGCATATATGCGTACTGTCTAAAGGGGAAAAGCATGTCAAATTCACCAACGTCATCTGATGGCGTCGCTCGCGGCACTGCATGAAGGCGACGCACTGTGCGAATCGACGCGAGCCCGGTCGATTGGTATCAGGTGGGAGCGCGTCTTGGGCATGACTCCGAAAAGACTGCTCCTGAAGTATGTCATCGCTGTGCGATCCTCCATGTGAAGGGAAGGCTGGCTGTTGATGGTCGGGAGGTAGCGTGAGTCTGCTAGGTCCGACTGGCGTCATGACAGTACGCGGACTCGAGTTCGTGCGCGCTCCACTGAGATGTCTGCACGAAGTCAGTTGCTGTGTTGTACGTCACCAGAGCGCGAGAGATTGCTCCAGAACGTACTGGTGTCTGGCCACCATTTGCCGCTTTCTATTCATGTTGGGAACCTCGGAAGGGACGCCTGGATCATAGTCCGCGTATTGTCGTAACTGTTGATTTTCTAGCCGCAGTTCGTTAACGGTACTGGTTTGTGCAACAACAGATGAGCAATATGCCCCAACGACAGATGAGCGTAACTATACCTCTTTATGTTCTTGTATTCTTCCTTGAGACGCTCCAGCAGACCGCGTTGCCGAGCGTATTTATCCTTGTAATGCCGTACCAACCTTGCCAGAGTCTCCATCTGGAACTAAGTCGGGTTCGGGACCGCTCAAACGCGACTGACAAGACTAGAAGTATTAGAGAAACCTACCCGAGTAGCATACGCTACCGCGTCCAGCGACACCGTGACAGACTGAAACCAGTCTGACATTGGAGCATCCATCTACGGAGATGGTGAGGATGAAGGCGACTTTAGCAATGAGCATGCAGGAGCACCGACCTCTCGTTGCAGAGGTATTAGTTGAATTCCTTGAGATCCGCATTGCGCGCAACTTTGGTCGGCATCTATGAAAAGAAGCATGTGTTTTACGGCGTTAGTCTCTTGCTATCGACGTGCTCACTGAGATGGTTATTGCATAAGACATGCCCGCATTCCGTGAGCCAGAAAGGTACTGGAGGCGTCCCAGAGTCCGTCGCGAAAGGCAGATGACATCGAGAGCAGTTCACGAACTCCCAGAAGTCCAGTTCTTGACTGGTCGCAGAAGTGTTAGACATGTGGGCAATGTACACGGTGGTCCTGGTCCAGCGATGTATGAGCTAGGATGCGGTCCTAAGTAGACGTCTCTTCAAAACGGTACGTCGCAGCGGTCACGATATTCCGGAGGAGTAAGCCAGGAACTCAGCGCAGGGCGAGCGCTGTCCACAAAGTGGGGGTTAGTGGATGGTTTAAAACGAATGAGCCTAGATTCTGAACAGGATTACAACGAGCCTAAGACGTCTTCAGACTGCCCGTCACGACGAGCGTGACGGATCGCGTTTGTCACAAAGCGCTGCATCCAAAACAGGCAAGTAGGAATGAAAGACGGTTTCCCATACTATCTCAATCTGTGCTGCGAGCTCACTTCAAACCACATCTGAGCCACTCTCCAACGTACACTCCCCTACTACGTTCTGTGCTTCAGGGCTGTGACAGCGGGCCCAGTGCCATTGCGGCTGACCCATCTAATTGATGCTTCCTGGTGAGAAGATCCAACAAGTTGAGGCTGTCTCCTCCGCACACGGTTAGACGCGCCTGCGTCCTCCTTCGACCAGACATCCGGCAAACTCACTCCCCACTGTATCTGACATCGCATAGCTCAGGCGATGGAGAGAATGCGACATAAGCTTATGCAAAACAGCACTGAGTGGGGTAAAGCGCCAGACGGGAACGCTCGAAAGTCCCCCATACTGTCACCCATGACTGGACCTTCTCGATCGCAGACGAAACCGAAAAACCAGGCTGTCAGGCGAGCTCAAATCTCTTTCAGTACAGAAGCTCGCGCTGTAAACACCCAGGTAGCATCAAACCCTTCCAGCGACCTGAGTCCTCCGACGCCACTGAAGGCGTCGATCACCACAAGAGACTGGACACTGGAGGGACTCATTGCAAAAGGCAAACGATTTCGCGAGATCCCACGAGTATCTGCCCAACAATCCGGAGATGTCTTGAAAGGAACTATAGAGAAACACGAACAAAGTGGTGTGCCGCTAATAATCGAAGGGTGGCACAAGCATCACAAATGGTCGTCAGACATATTTGATGTGCATTGGCTCGAGAAACACCACGGCAACGATAGTAGGTGGATGTGCTAGGAGCGTACCTGGTGCCTAATGTCACTCTAAATCGTGTCATAGCTATCCTAACGCGCAACGTTCACGATCGAAGAGACAAGGAGCTTCCTGTCGCGGAATTTTTGAATAAATGCCGTGAGACAGAGCCTTTTGCGAAACCAGACGGTAGGGATCCGCTTTTCAAAGCCTTATACCATGGTCCTGATGCATGACTAACCAGAGACTGAACGGCTATACGGCAAGGATGCAGCATGCCCCCCACAGTGGAAAGATTGGCTAGACTCTCGAGTCTTGCCAGCTTCTTTACTTCCCAGCGGAGATAACGATCTAATGCAACATTTGCCTCGATCTGTAGGTCTTGTATCCTCGTTTGCCTGTTGGACCTTATCTCATGCGTCTAATTACCACAGGGGGAGGTAGAATCTCTGCTGTGCTATCACGGGGTTGGTGATACCTTCACGCCCTGTCACAAAGACTTATGTGGATCATCGGGGCACAACCTCATGTGCTATTCCGAGAAAGGTGGTTCTTCCTTCTGGTTCATGACCGCTTCCCAGACAGCTCCGGAGGTCGCCGATTATTTCCAAAGCGAACTTGGACAAGAACTAGATTGGGAAGGACATGTGGCTACCGTCAATGAACTTGCGCGGGCACCATTCCCGGTCTACATTGGCGAGCAGAAGCTAGGGGACTTGATCCTTGTCCCACCACGGAGCTGTCACCAGGTCGTCAACTATGGCGGTCTTACTATGAAGATCTCCTGGTCAAGGATGACGGTGCGGGGTCTGGGCATAGCATTACATTATGAATTGCCCATATACCGACGGTATGTCATTGTTCATCTGACTGATCACCTCGACTCAAACCGAATACAGGGTATGTCGTCCCGAACAATACCGAGTGAAATCAGTCCTCTATCGATCGCTACTGTACTACACTAGCAGACTGAACATCGCAATGTCTCGGCGTGCCATACCCACTGCGAGACTGTCGTCGAGGCAGACCTCGGATATCAACATGTCCCTAGGGGATTACGGAAGTTCCGAGGAAGACGATGTCCCAATTGCATCCGTCCTGCATCCTCCTGCGGAACTTTCACCGTTGCATGTCCACGACAGCCAAAAATCGCGATTCGTTGATGCCCTACAGAGTTTGCTCACGTTGTTTGATGAAGTTCTAGTCGACGAATACGCGCAAGAACACGCCTCATTTCCTCACATTTTCGGCAAAAGTACGATGGAATACAGCCAACCATCTACACCTCCCTGGAGGAAGGGAACAGAGGGAGAGACTTATTCGTGCACGATTGCATGCGATTTCTGCGGTGCAGATATATTTCAAAGCTTTTTTGAATGCCAGACTTGTGTACCGGAGGGGGCAGCACGACCTACTGCCCTTGGTGATGGTCTTCTGATATGCGCGCCTTGCTACGTCGAAGGACGATCTTGTTCTTGCACCAAGATGGCACCTGTTCAATGCTGCCCCTTTGAGCTACTTCTGGAGAAGCGCAACAGGGCGGCGGCGGTATTGCGTCAGTTCGAGACACATACAACGAGCCATAAAGTACGAAACACAAAGCTGGAAGAGAGGTGAGAATACATATTCCCAGGAGATGTTTTACTCACCGCAGTGCGACAGTGACTTACTTGCCGATGAGGATCACATCGCAATCTTCACAGCAGCCTGTGCCCTGCTCAAATTGAGACGCGAAGGTGGCCCCAAGGTACATCAGTAGTCTTTCATGATTCTTCGGCCGTCTCACCAGTCTTTTGCTTTGAAGCTTGCAGAACTTCGATCTTGCAAGATCTCGCTAGGTAACCGACACAAAGTACCGCGACTTTCGAGCATTCACTGTGGCCCTTGCCATGATTCTACATGCTTTGAGCACATCTTACTGAAAGGTATCCATTGCGCTGAGGCTCTTTTGGTGATTACCCGCGGCCACGAGCAAAACGAATGGCACGAATTCCACAAACGCAGTAGGATCACGTTCACGCAGGGGAAGCCGAACCTAGAAGAAGCGGAGAAAACTGGGGGCCTTTCGCGACTCAAAGATAGGCTTGTCCTGGCCGCACAACGATATCGAACTTGTAGACCGATTATGGAAAGATACACTCGGCGTGGGTGGTACGATTGTGAGACTCAAGAGGTCAGTACTGTTGACAGCACTGCTCGAGATGTGTGGCATCTCAAATCGCCGTGTAGTCGACCATTGATGAAGTCGCAGGGTTAGGCTCGCCCTTGCCATCAATCGCTCCTCCATCGAGTGAAACATCGAGCCCAGAGCCCAAAGCCATAGGAGCGGCACCTTCAGAGCAGCTGCGCAAGCCATCAATCGAGCGCTCGAATATTTTTCCTTGTGAAGATGACGAGCCGCTGTCAGATCTCTCGGATATCGAGAGCACTGGAACGGACCATCCCGTACCATCAAATGTGCACACAGCTCCTCAGCCGCCCACCGTATCTAGAATGTCCTCGCCTATGTCGATTTCTTCGTCTGGTTGTGAGCTGCTCACAGTCGCAGCGGAGTCTGAGCTCAAACCAGACAAGGAGACGGATGTTGTATATGTATCTGTTCCAACCGTAAAGGCGGGAGATCGCAGAAAGAAGAGACGCTCGTCTCCTACTCCTGAGATCTCTAGGAAAAAGCCGAAGAGACAACCAAGTCCTCAGAAAGATCATGCTCTCGATGCCGATGCAGTGCGTACTTAGCTCCGGGCAGCTTGGATGTACTTATAACAGTTGTCTCAGTCTCGGCCAAGCACTTCTCGGCCCGAACATGACGACAACGATACTGTTGGTGGCAATTACGGCAATCAGCTAGCCCTTGCGATACAGAGTGCACATACAAATCAGACTCGTCAGAGTCCTCTCGTGAATATTCGAGGCTCAAGGCGTCGAATTCTATCTCCTGATTCCCGAGAGCCAACGCCTCTAGTGCCTACACAGGCTACTAAGCGCACCACTGTCCCTCCAGAGGCCATCAATGTGCCCCAGCCACTAGCTCTACGGCAAACAGCAGATGCGATGTCAGAAGGTATTGTGACACCTTCGTAGCTCATGAAATGACTAATAGCGGGGAAACGTGGCACAATAGGTGAGCAAAATTCGAAGACGAACTCAAGCATACGTGCGCGTCGAGGACGACCGCCTGGCATCAGACATCGTGGGCTCTCGAAAGAGAAATCGCAGGCTTCCACCCCTGTTCCCAAGACGCACCAACACGGGAAGCGATCCTTGGTAGTCAAGGTAACGTCTTCAGCCGGCCGGCCAGAGGCATCCCAGCCTAAGGAAAGAATACATCAGTCACACGAATTGCGTCCCTCGCAAGAAGCTATCGAGATACAAGTAGACCACACGCGGCCCGGGCGCAGCCAAGATGTTTCAGAGAGGCACGCGACATTCGACGGATTAGAGCAATCAACACTAGCGAATGACTTAGAGAAATCGCCGGAGACTCAGCAGAAGAATGAAGCAGAGCAGATTGCAGACTTGAGGACGATAGTGCAGGAACAAGCACTCCTCATCCGTCAACAAGCCGAATATATCGCAGCGTTGCTGCGAGTTCAAATCAAACGTGATGGTATCTCCAACACATCAGGTGAGCTATTGTGTTTGTCCAACGCCGCAGGTTTTCAAAAACCTGAACCGCATGCTGATAAATACGTTTTACAGAGACGTTCGCTCACGAGAGCCAATCAGCGAATCCTCGACTGGCAGGCGCAATGGATAATGACCAGTTGCGTGTACTCATCAAGGAGGCTGTGAGAAAGGTACTTCGCGAGGAGTCAGCTGCATCTGATCCCCTACACGCGCAACATCTCAGTAGGATACACCAAATCCCGCCATCCCAGGTAGGGCAGTCTACTCCATCGAGACCAGGGGAGAATACACCTAGCTCACTACATGACGTGAGCGATCCTCTGGAGAACTTCTGAGTATGTTTAATGGAGAGCTTTTTTAGCGAGCTGCCAGTAGCAGTTCTTCTGCTGATGACAGAGCCCAACAATGGTCTATCTACCATGATCAAGATAGAATATATCCGCCTCGAACGTGGACCGTCGACTCGCTGGACTCCTCGCTCGCATCTCGAGCAATCCACCATACAATCCGACACGATGAACCTTTCACGAAGAGGGAATATAATCTGGCTCAGTACCATCCTTCGTTTACCCCACGCGAGCGTCTCGTGGAGGCCGACGCACGTTCCAGGCAAAGCCCTTACTGGGTCCCGCCACATCATGCGCGAAGGATCTCAACGAACTCCGAACTCGCAGCTATTGATCAAGATTTGTACGACACATACGCGGGTTATGGTACGGATACCAGGGGACTACATCATCCAGAGCTGGAAATGTCCTCCCCAAGTCGACTGGCGCGGCGTACAAGGAACTTTCCTCGTAAGTCTTGAGACAGCGATCGTCAAAATACAATCTCATTAGCTGCTTTAGATTATGTCGGCGCTAGCCGAGTCCCTTCAGTGGCACTTCCACACTCGGTAGGCCGTACTTCTTCAGAGTCTCACCGCGATCATGAATCCGCAATCCGCAACGCCCGTGACAACAATGGCTCGTCTACGAATGTGGCGCCAGAAGCACCCGATACGGATCCCGCTGCCTGTGACTAGCTCTCGACGGGGGGGCTGGACGTGACTTCGCGTGTACTACCACGGCTTACCCCCATTGAGCTGGCGACGACGACATTGGACATTACGCTAAACCTGATTTTCAATTCCTGTATAGTACTACGCTGATGGCCTGCCAAGTGTTTCTAGGGCTTCGAAGAAGCGCCATTACGAATTGTTCACTAGTATAGACTCTGTACGTATATCATTGGTTGTAATGTGGTGGCTGCTTCGAACCCCTGCAAAAATGGACCAAATGCACCAATTATGAGAATTGTCAGACGAGGTTAGATTGTGTGTGATGAAGACCAAAAGAAAAGCAACCCGTAGACATGATAGCGATGATAATGCAGTCAGGTATAAGTTCGCGAAAGAAACAGCGAATGAGAGTGAGCAGAGCATGAAAATCCAGTAATGAAGGAGCGGACGGAAGCGACAAGCATGAGGCTCAACCACACCGACATGTCAAGATCTTCCATAGGGTGCTTTTAGGCGGCTCTGCCTCCCCTTGTCCCTGATAGTCGCCCCCGTTAGATACCCCTACCTCGCCCCCTTGGGCGCGGACGTTGCTGAGCGCAGGTGGTGCGGCGCCTACAGTCGACACCATCGGCGATGCCCGGCCGTACGCCTGCTGGCTGGCAGAGTACTCCTCCACCGTCTGCTCGCGGGCGTACGACTCGTGGCCCGCGCTCGCATACGGGTGCTGGGCACTATGTTGTTGGCTCATTCGCCGTTGCATGGTGCCAATGGGGACGTCCATATGTGCGCCAGCGGACGACATCGGCGTGATTTGACCAGGGGTGGTGATACCACCAGGAGCACCGGGAAGGGCACGCTGCTTGGAGCCGTGTCGCACGAGTGCTGGTGACGGGGGAAGCACGCCAGCGCCACCTGTCTGAGACACACGCCGTCGATCCTCGCGTGCTTGACGTTCGAGGTCTCGGCGACGATCTTGCGCGGCGGGACTTGGCCCTGCATTCTGGATTTGGGTGAGAATCTGGTTCTGGCCCTGCGGCGGAGAAGTGAGTGCTCCGCTATCTCCAAACCGGTATCAGGATACTCACGAGGGATGCTTCCCAACCCTTGCCACCTTATCGGACGGATTCAAATGAACGGCACGTTCGTCGGAAATGAATCGGGTAAACACACCATTGAGAAGGTTCCAGTCATAAACTCCGTCATCTACGTCATTATTGTTCTTCATGACCTTCGCAAAGAGCTCGCGCAGGAAGTCGTAATCGGGTGTTTCCTCAAAACCAAGTTTCCGAACATAGTTGAGATAGATGCCAAACTCCTCTGCGAGGGCCAGCCTGAGCAACAGTAGACATAGCGGTATTTTCTGCGTACCAGGGAATCCATCGCATAAGTCCTTGACTTGCGTCGACTGCTTCTTCTCCCCAATCTTCTCATACTTCTGTTTGTTGGTTGCGGCTTTGAGACCTTGCCACGGTAGACTTCCCCGAAGAAAGTACATGAATACGTGACCGAGCGACTCCAAATCATCTCTTCTTGACTGTTCTAAGTGATACCAGATGTCAGGTATTTATATTAATATCACACTCGAGCTGCAAACCTCGTCCCAAATGCGTGTTGATGCTCATGTAACGGGCCGTACCGCTCAGACTCTTCCTCTCCCGGTAAGGAATGTGCTGCTTCGTCTTCGGGTCTCGGTATTGCTTGGCCATGCCGAAGTCGACGACGTGGACAACTAGTTACGCATATGAGCTAACAAATGAGTGACATGCTGTGCGCAGATAAGCTCAACCGACCGTTGGCTCCCTTAGTCCCTGGGCGACCGATGAGGAAGTTATCTGGCTTGATGTCACGGTAGATGAGGTTCTTCTCGTGTATTGTCTGGACTCGGGTCAGCTATTTATGCATGATGCATGTTAGCATCCATGGTGAATCAGCAGTAAAGCGATTGACGGACCATCTGCCGTGCCGCCATGCACACCGTCTTGATAGAGAACTTCCTACCACACATGTCGAACAGATCCTCCAGACTCGGGCCTAGCAGATCAATGACCAGGATGTTGTGCAGGCCCTCCTGCCCGAAGTGGTAGATCTGGGGGATACCAGCTGCAATGCACCGCTTGTCACCACCAACCCCAGCAAGTGCAGAACGCGCAAACTACTGACGGCATCCTGCCAGAATCCTGTACGACCGGCACTCATCCCGCAGCTGGGGCGCCTCGGCTTTCCTGGGTTCCTAGGCACGCAGTACACGGTGTGAGGGCGGGGATACATGGGCGGACTACAGTGCAACGCGTACAAACTTGATGGCCACGGTCTGCGAGTTCAGCAGATTCGTGCCTGCAAAAGTAATCATGAGCCCGCGTCCAGGGCACCGTGCGCAGGCACTGCGCGCGACGCACCCTCATAGATGACCCCGAACGAGCCTTCGCCGATCTTCTTGCCTAGCCGGTAGTGCTGGCCTACGATATTCGACGTTGCCGGGGCCGAGTGCGCGTGTGAGGCCATAGCAGAGGGGGGGATAGTGAAGGAATGGCGGAAGAGAAAGAGAGAGAGCAAGGCCAAGCAGGGCGCACTCTCCAGACCCGCTGGAACGCATTATCGCCCTCGGCAATTCCCGACCCCTCGCTCCCGTCGCAGCAACCGAGTAACAGACCTCCAAATATATATTTCTGCGGCTCAGGGTCGTCAACGAGTACATATATACTGTCATGGCTTTACATGCAAGGTCGCGCAAGATGTCAAGGATTTTTTAGAAGCATCGCGTTCTACTTAATACGATGGCACAAGTACCACCGGACCGATAAGCCCCTCTAACCCCTAAAAAGGGTCTATCATTTTCACCTGTTTCACCTCCGCGCTGCCTGCTGATCCGCTTTACGACGACAACGCACATCGTGTATGATGTATCGACAGACGGCTGAACCATATATCACAGGAAATTGTACAACATTATGAGTGGTATAGCGTCAACTAGACAAGTACAGACGAGGTCATGACATGCGTGATCAGATATATGAGCGAGGTACCGACGAGATGTCCTACGGGGGATGGGGTAACACGGTTTAAATCATGACGAGTAGATGCACGAGCCAATGCACATGCGAAACAAGACAGGGCGACGGGGGAATGCGTCTCGCAGAGCTACGACAACTTTTGAGGGTGGGTATCTCAGTCACGGCGCACTCATCGAAACTCGAACGACGACGTCGTAGGCTCTTGTACATGCACCAGAGACAGCTGCTGGTATCTGCATTCATAAAATGTCAGCACGCTGCATCTACCCCGACATAGAGCACACGACGCACGGCTCGGAGTTCTGGTGGAAGTAAAATCCACTCATCGTCGCGACGGGCGGTGATGAGTGCCCCCGCGATACGGACCGTCCTATCCGTCGACCACCGTGACTAGAGGACGCCCGCCGTGCACGCGATTCCATCTCAGGCTTCGCAACTGCCTGATCATGCCCTTGAAGCGCCTCTGCTGACGCGAACGGCTGCCCGTGATTCCCCGCGGACTGCTGGGGGTTGAAGTCCACACATACGTAGTAGAACCCTGTGGCCACAACGCTGATGATCAGACCGATGGAACTGAGACACCGGCGACTCAACGTACCCGCGAAGCTGGCGCCGTTTATATCCTGCACACGATGGTCAGGGACCAAAAACTTCTCCTTCCACCTCATGAACACTGCCCCCCGGTTTGCATCCTTCATCGTGAGATGGGGCTTCTTCAAGTCATGTCTGACGTGTCGAAATGCAGGGAAGCGTGCCCAATGTACCATATCCTCTTGCTCCGTTGCCCCCCAATTTCGCGTTAGAAACCCATAGCGACTGCCGATGATTTCAGCGTCAAAATACGTGGTGAGCTCGGGCCAGTCGTCTGTGAGTCCGCGTATGCGCAGATAACCACACAGATGAGACGACGAAAAGTCGACATTCTACAAAAGTAATGTTGGAAACTCCATATGCAGATAGCGCGAATAACAGACTGACCACAATAGTGACGTTCACATCATAGCTATTTCTGCCGCTCTTCTGCGTACCCTGGAATGTCGCGCCGGGGTAGAGACAGTGGTGGCCTTGCGAGCGCACTCGCAGGCGGGTAATGTCCACGAGGGGGTCCGCCGCAACTATCTGAGGCGCCTTGGACCACGCCTTGCTGCCCGAGGCAGAAGCAAGCGGACTAATGAGTGATGGCGGGATCGCCTGAGGCGACCGCGGCACTTGAGGATGAATAGATCTGGTGTCGATCGGGATCAACGGTGGTCGCACAGAAACTGTTTGTGCAGGCGGCTGCGTGTTCTCCGGAACCACGGACGAGGGCGTACGTGATTCTGCGGGGTCCACAGACAGCAGTGAGGCGGATGCTGGCGAGCCCATTTCAGTATCTTCATCCGGACAGCGCCCATCAGCGGCATGCGGCGTGGTTTGGCTGGCTGGTGACTGCCGCAAGGCAGCTGCCTCATTGCGACCACCAGGCAAGGAAGCCTCCCAACGGAGAAGCTCCCGCTGCATTTCAGTGAAATAGCCGCCCCTTGTCGAGGGCGGCTCTGTGCGGGCAAGACGGATACGACATGGGCCACAGACAACACTTGTTTCGCTGGTATCGAGACCGTCATGCAGCAGGAAAGGTGTGGTGGCTGAGTCTACGGAAAGTGGACAGTGACAAGTAGAGCAGAGCTTTATCTGGCTTTGGGATTGGTCGGGAGGTTGCTGGTCGTGAGTAGTGGTGATAGGGTGTTCCGACGGCATTGTGTGAGTTGAAGAGGAAGATTGGAGAGAGGCAAGGGAAGAAAGCTAGGACGTGGGGAGGAGGAGTGTGGGAGGAGGTACCAAGAAGCGACTTTTGGCTTCGTTGGCGAAGGTTGTCTATTGGCACGTGCGGCAATCACTGCTGGATATCTCCTCACCGAGCGAGTCGCAGCTAGGAGGACCTCGCCCGTTTCTGACATCCGCCCTGCCCCTTCGCCCTTTCCGCGGCGCCCTCGACATTACCATTCGGCCGCCAGAGACCAGACTCGTCGACATCGGTCCAGCTAGCGGCCGGAACACCGCCTCGGGCTGGCGCCCCGCATCCTTGTTCGTCGGCGTCTCGCGGTCTGCGCGGCAACAATGTTCCCTTCGCCCCTGTCTTCTAAGTGCGACATGCAGTACCTCTGGCGGCGCACAGAGTCGCCCAGGGACCATCGCCCCTAATGCCGAAACTCTGATGATCGGTGCTAGCGCAGGGGCATGTATCGAAGACCGTAGTCAGAACTCGCATCCTACCCGCTTGACATGACACCTCGCAGCTTGCTCGGGATAGCCATGTCGGCCATTTGAGGCCCTCGACTTACCTTGGTCTCCATTTCGGCGCTTCCGTTAATTGTGATTCACCATTGAGGCAAAAGGATCAAGTCGTGTGTGGCAATTGTCGACGTGCTCAGTTACCTGTCCATCGGTCAATCATGAGATTGCACGCACTGTATCTTGCAGAACACCTTCTGTTCGTCGCTCCGACCTATGCACCGGTAAGTTTACCAGAGACACTACGGATCTCGGCTGATGCAATCGGGCACACCCACAGAGGCTCGGACACCGGGCATTTCTGCTGACTGTCGTGAGTACCGCACGCATCTATGAGGGTCCGATCAAAGCTATGTGCCGACGAGCCATTCGCACGTCGCCCTCGCTGTTCCGGCGGGCTCACTGACTTCGCTCATCGAACCTCACATCATGCAGTGTTGACGGTCCCCTTCCCGACTCCGTGTGAGTAAATCCACAAGTGCTACATTGATATAGACTGTCTAAAAGTTGCGTACAATATATCTAATTCAGATGCCATGCGTGTCGTGCCGTTCCGAATAGTCGTTAATGATATGCATGAATGCTCGGGTCCAACATGGAAGCCGCCACCCTGCGCCCACAACAGACGCTACCGCCTCAGGCCGCATCTCGTGCCTCATCTGGATTGCGTCTTCTGTGTGTCGTCCATCTCCGCGATCGTCTGTGTGTCCTCCTTTGATATCGACGACCGAGGTTTCTCGCCGGCGGTATCTTGCTGCTGGTCATCTCCAGCGGCCGGGTCAATAGGTAGATCTGACGGGTTCGCTTCTGCGACCTGTTCGGCCTGCCCTGCCTCGAGATCCGCATTGTTCTGTGCACCGCCTCGGACGATGTTTCGTTTGAGCGAGTAGTTCTTCAAGAACAGCACTGCGATGTCCGTGTCAAAACTTTGGATGCGCAGTGAGAAACGAAGCCTGCGGCACGTACCGAGGATGAAACCCACTCCAATGATTGGCGTGTTGACGGTCCAAATCGTGCTAATTGCTTGGCAGTACGCTGTCATAAGTGCGACACGAGCTTGTTCATTCTAAGCGCACAAGTCAGCTACTACTCGAGAAACAAACACGATCGACCCTTACAGGAATGTTCTTGATTTGAGGTACGAACTGATTTAGGTTGGACGCGGACGTATTAATCATAAGATTTGGAATGTTCTTGACTTTCCGTTGCAAAACCTACACACGAAACGTCAGCTGGTTGCATCGGCGATCATGACAGCCCAGGCGTACGCCGGACAGGATAGCGTCACCAATGGTAACGCCCATCGAGCCTCCGAGCAATCTGTCCAGGTGAGACCGTCAGCGCATGTGCGGCAGCGACCGCCGACACAATGTGCTTACCGGAGGAAACCGAAAGTTGCCGTGCTAGTCGCCATATCCTTCAAAGGCATCGCGGCTTGGAGACCGATCAATGGCGTCTACCGCAGTTCGTCAGTGAATCAGATCGGCTAGAAGGCCGTGCGACCGACGTACTTGGAAGAGACAACCGAGACCAAGGGCACATATCAATGGGAGTATTTCCTTCACAGCACTAGATGGAAAATTAGACATGAAACATGCGGATGATGTTTGCAGAGGAAACATACGTTGAGGAGCTCTCCTTCAGCATAATCATGAGGCCCATTCCCAGAGTGAAAACGGCCCAGGCTACCCACATCACCGGTCTCCATTGACCGGTACGTGCAACGACTTGTCCTGAGACGACGGATAACATTGCGGAGCCGAGGGAGAAAGGAAGCATTCTGTGTGATTGTCAGTAAACTGCTTTGGATTACAGCTGTAAAACTCCACCCGTACTTGACACCGGACAGCGTGGCAGAAGCGCCTAGCACCTGGTAGTAAACAGGCAGGTAGAATGTACCACTGAAGAACGCGATCGCATGAAGGAAGACTGAGATGAGGATAAACCCTGTTGTCCGGACCTGTAATGAATATATGTGAGACATGTGCACTCAACGCCGATGCTTGTGGAGAAATGTCGCCAGACCTTGAAGAGACGCGGTGGGACGATGGGCGCCCGTGGAGTGAACACTTCATTTGCTGCTGCAATGAGTAGTAGGGAGAAACCGACTACGAGTGGAGCAATCGTTGCGGCAGAGTCCCCTGATGGCGATGGCAATGAATACAGCGAATACTTACATGTCACGAGCCACTCACAAGCTGTCTCGCTGAAGTTGAACCCAATGAGAATGCATACAACGCCGCCCATGATGAGGAGAAGCCCAGAGAAATCGAATTCTCGGACATGGTGGCTGAAGGGTTTGCCCTGATGCGGATTGAGGTTCAAGAATACATACAGGATGGCGAACGCAACTCCACCCGTAGGTCTGTTGATCTACGTGTGAGTAACGAGATAATGTTGCTGCGGGAATACCTACAGGTTGATGAAGAAGCACCTGGCGTAGACGATCAATAAGCTTATGAGGAGAATTACATGCGCATATACTCACCATCTCCAGGAGACATGTTCCGCAAACACCTGTAACACGTCAGTTCACGAAGACGACTCTAGAATTACCGAGACTAATAGCTTACTCCTCCCAAGAGGGGCCCGATGACACTGGTGAACGATCACCGTGAGACCATGCTTCCAAGTCCAATACATTAGGATAGCTCACCTAGCCACACCCCACGTAGCGCCAATAAGTCCAGCATATTTCCCTCGACTGACCGGATCGTCAGCTATCTCAGAACACAGTGGGACGATAGGACACTGACTCTCGCAGGGAGACGATGTCAGAAATTGTGATCTGCACGAGTTGCATAATGCCGCCACCTCCTATACCCTGGACGGCACGGCATACTACGAGCCATGTCATATTCTGAGCGGCACCGCATAGTGCAGAGCCGATCTGCATACGAGGGTGCAATGAGATCAAGCCAAGTGGCTTAAAACAGCTACACACCAAGAATATTAGAATTGAGCCAAACAATACGGGTTTCCGACCTAGATTCCGGGGTTAGACAAATGAAGTACTTCGTGGGGTAATTCTGCGCACCAAGAATATCAGACAGTTTTCCGTAAATGGTGGAGAGTGCCGCTGCAGCGAGCAGATAAGCACTGTTTAGGGGTTGTAAGCCTAGCTTCCGCAAATGCAAGAATGATTCGAACGCGCCTGCCGACCCATCCATAATCTTTTCCACCTCCAATCTTCTCTACAATTGTGGGCAATGCCGTAGAGACGATAGTCTAAGACCATGCGAATTAGGAGGCGGAATAGACAACCTCGGTATATGTAGCTTACCTGGTCCAAAGCAGCCAAGAAGACGGTTGCCATCAAACCAAGGAATACTATGCCTAGTCTGTTTTCTGGGAGGACTTGCTCCTCGTTTCTCCATGTCTTCTGCTGCTTTTCTTCAGGTGCAGCTGGAGTCGACTCAGGGGCTTGGGGCTCTTTCTCCATTTTGAAGTGCTGTCAAATTCGACCTTGGACGCGAGGACGATGTAGTCTTGAGGACGGACAAGGAGTTGCCTCCGGACAAGTCTGGGACGGACACTGGACACACCGGGAGGGACGTGTGGGGCGAGAGATCACCCCGAGGAGCATTCGAAGTGTCATAAATATAATCTGCATACATGTAAGCCAGATCCCACCAGATGCTACATGCAACGCATGCCGAGATGCCGCACGCCCGCAGCGCTTGGAATTATGAATCATGCCGAGGGACCGCGTCTTGCGCCATGGGGTACCACCACTGTGCCTTTCCGAGCAAGAGCACCTCCTATTCGAGTTGTCGCAACTGGAGCTTGCAGGGTGTACTCACGGCTAGTTCACCTGTGCATGCATGCAGGCGGAAACGTTTATGGTATGGAATAGTCAGCCTGTGTAGGTCAAGAAGGGATGCACTGCAGCGCGCGTCTGAATCTGCACGCTGCAACTCTAGTTGCCGATCGGTGTCAGCATCACATGGCCCCATGCACTGGCTGCTCGGCGCGGGGTTTTTGTGGGACAGTGTAATACGAAATCTGCTCAGGACTAATGGATATCCGGAGCCTGCGTATATTGAAGGAAGTGTATCACGTTCTGCTCACAGCAGGCTACTCAGGACGCCCTCTTCCGCGTTGAGACCTCACAATGGAGTCCGAACAATTTCCCGAGCGATGAACGTCCTCGATGTCGACATGAGTCACTGAGTTCGCGGATCGTTGTGGTCTGGCAATTCGCAGTTCTTATGTGGTCTAGCGATTCCTTCTCGAGCCGTATTCGTTGTACCGCCCACCTCACGGAGCTTGGCGTGGGGTTACTGCACGTATATGACGTTCGAGGATAATGTGGCGCTGCGATTCGTGAATTATCGGACTTGACAGGGCTTTCAAAGCACTTGGGATTATATTACCGCTCATATTATCAGTACGCTCTTTATGTAACGCGGGCTTTGATAAATCGCAGGCTTCTTGCTGCTACGTCCACATCTCGCATATGTCAAGTTTCACCAGCATTGTTTCCGTGCATCGAAGATTGAATGCGTCTGAATTCCTCGACTGCCAGATCTGGTAAATATGATCGAATGATGTCTCGGATTACATAAGTTGCCTTATCTAATTTCATCCTTTACAAGTTCTTTCGCGTTTTCACTCAGGACCACCACTCGTCTCTCTTCCACTTACTCTCATCTGTTCTCCATCTGTCCTCACAAAAGACTTCCCGATGGCTGACCAGACTATCCCGACTTTCAAGCTCGTTCTTGGTGCGCAGATTGTCTCCGTGTTCTGCTGCGTTTGTCTGACTAGCCACTCCGTGCCATTTTCACGATCGATGTCCTCTTCCCATTGACCGACGCGTCTACGACACTGCACGCGATTTGTTTGTCTTCGTTGCAACGCGATGCCACCTGATAACATCCAGTTGGTGACGGAGGAACCGGAAAGACCACCTTTGTCAAGGTACGCAAGGCTCAAGATGACCTCATCCGATCCCTGCTGATTCCCTTTGTCATGTAGCGCCACTTGACTGGTGAATTCGAGAAGAAGTACATCGGTAGGTATCAATGGAGTAGTATTCTACAGTCATTCTTCTGTGACACTGAATGTCCTTCATTCTTGTGTAGCCACTCTTGGTGTGGAGGTCCACCCTTTATCATTCTCAACAAACTTTGGCACCATCTGCTTCAACGTATGGGATACTGCTGGGCAGGAGAAGTTCGGTGGCCTCCGGGATGGGTATTACATCCAGGGCCAGTGTGGCATCATCATGTTCGACGTCACCTCCCGTATCACGTACAAGAACGTCCCCAACTGGCACCGTGACCTCGAGCGTGTTTGCGAGAACATCCCAATTGTACTGTGTGGTAACAAGGTTGATGTCAAGGTGAGCCACAGTCCTTCCCGCTCGTTTGCGCTCATGACACTGACCGCCACACGACTCGTAGGAGCGAAAAGTGAAGACTGGCCAGGTGACCTTCCACCGGAAGAAGAACATCCAGTATTTCGAGATCTCGGCGAAGTCAAACTATAATTTCGAAAAGCCGTTCCTTTGGCTCGCCCGAAAACTCGTTGGGTCCGTATCGTTCGCGTCTATTACTGTCCTTGACTGATTGTCATGGTTCCTTTCAATAGCAACCCGTCCTTGGATTTCGTTGCTGCGCCTGCTCTCGCGCCTGCTGAGGTGCAGGTCGACGCTGCACTCATGGAGCAATACCAGAAGGAGTTGCAGCAGGTGCGTGTACCCTTCGCTCATTGTTTGCGACTGTTCTCATCGCAAGCGCTTTTCTCTGCGCAGGCCGAGGCTGTCCCCCTTCCCGAAGAAGACGACGACCTGTAAACGTACTGTACTACGCATCATCCTGCTGTCATCAATATTGTCCAACCTACATTGTGTTTCCACTACTGTTTCAAATACATTTCCATCGCAGTCGGCTATCCCCTCCGTACCCTCGTCATGAATTTTTATGAGACATGTCTGTCCGCAGAGTTTGCTACATCGTTCACATACACAATCTCCAATGCATGGAGGTACGTACTACGTGTTACGAGGTCGACTGGCATGAGAATGCATGGATGCGGTAGATTCAAGATCGTTGGACGAGTTGTATTAAGGTACAATGCAGAGTTTCCAAGGCGTACGACGACATCGAAAATATTGTGATTGGGATAGCGAAAACCGCACAAATTCTCGACACACTTGGTTCACTAGGCAGTACGTAGGAAGTTTGGGAACTGAGCAAATGGGCAGAATCAACGCAGCCTTGTACAAAACGTGGACGATTTGAGCATAGAGCAAAGCGAGGAATTACTGGTGTACACGATAGACGACCCGAGCACACGATGGCAATGACATACACACGCAGCGAGAACACATAGAGTTGGACTTGACGTTTTAATGAGCAATCTCTTGCTGGTCCTTCGAGCTGCGATCCGCTAGCTTTGTCAAGCCCGCCGTCAGCAATTTGAAGTGTAAGGGAGACAATTTGATATGTCTATCTAGCCAATCGTCGCGATCTGACAGGCTTGCGATAGCGCTCAGGTCGATGGGGTTCTCAATTCCCGCAGCGCGCAGTTTGGGCATTATGGTTTCGGTAGGGAGCTTGCAAACAGCAAGAAAGCGCTCGACAGAGCTCCTGCCAGGCCTCTTCTTGGCCTCAATTGACACTGGAGCATGAGAAGTCGACGCGTTGCCGGGAGCGTCCGGTTGAATGCTCTGGCTTCGACCCTGTCTGTGGCTTACGTGAGGGTTGAGCAAGTCTGGGTTCAAGGATGGTTCCTGCTTCACCTTGGATCAATTAACTAGAAAGACACACGAGGAATCACATGAGAGCACTTACCGCGATATGCTGGCTGCTCTGTATGTTAGAGAAAGAAGGACGTGGTAGGGGCAAAGGAGGTGGCCGCCTTCCGATAAAGGTGGCCGAGATAGATCGGTGGCGAGGCAGTATCGGGTGCCTCGGTCGCGAGTGAACACGAGGGAGCGGAACCTGCCCACCACTTTCCACATTTTGTAAAGTATGTTTCGCTCGTGATGAGGATCCTTTCCTCAATTGTGTGCGCAAATCCCTCAAGAAGATGGGAGTCATTCGCTGTAAAGGCCAGTGATTTGCATATTCATCGATGCTGGGCCATGCACGCCGAACCTAAGACGTGTGATTACATCAGTTGATTAGTCGATAGTCATCGCTAATGATATGGTCTAGAAATTCCCCACCTCATCGTCGTATCTCTTTAGGGCCCGTCCATCCTGCTCTTTCCACGATAAACCGGCATCGAGGTAACGACATGCCAATTTACGGGAAATATCCTGAATGAGAACTTTTAGCACCATTCCGCCCGAGGTTTCTGGATATGAACTTACCACTAAGCTCTTGAATGCGTCAGTGGGTAGGCCCATCTGCTCACAGAGTGTCTCGCCATTGGAAGAGTCAAAGAGACACTGTGCGAGAGATCGAGGTCTCGGTATCAGAGGAGGATGCTCATCTGCACCAGGAGTCCCTGCTCTCCGAAAATGTAAGTCCAATGGCACAGTCTCACCATTAGGGTATTCTACTTACCGTTAGACATGTCGACAATGGTGGTTGAGGAGAGAGTCGACCGGTTGCAAGATATATATGTGCATGTTAATTTTGAACATTGGACGCGTGATGGGCCCGCTTTGATGGTTCTGGACGGGAAGCATTGGCGGCTAGGCCAAATACTATTTAGTATTGATGCGGTTTCCCGCTGTACGAGGCGTTGCGGCGCGTCCGCCATGGAATTCGTAGAATAATCACTGATCCCGATCTCGCAATCAACATCGATCGGGAGCCACAACCGGAGTTTCTATATTTTTACTTACCTCAAAAGTAAATATTTCTTGCGACAAGAGCACTCGTGTCTACAGATGGGTACCCCACATTCTCAGAGGACAGAAAACAGTTGCATATCCTAGCCGATGGGACACAATATTCGGATGAGCTCTGACTGCTCCCATGATGACTACATATAGCCTGGTAAATAGCAGCATAGGCCAACAAGGACCAGACATAGATGCGACATCTTCAGTCAAGCAATGGTATATTTCCCGTAGCTCTTTTCCGGGTCGTAAACCTGAGGTGCAAGATATGAGATTATCCAACCGAACGAAAGATAACGGGATGCGTACCTCCCATCTGGACGCAGGGAAGATATGTTTGTTGCGCTGGTACCAACTTCTCTCGACAACCTTACCTGCATGAGACTCATCCTTCTCTACTGTGGCATCAGCGAGAAGACGAACATCGTCGTGTACGTCGAAGTTGAACAGCGGCCCCGACTTCCCACGCGCCTTGTTCACGATGAAGTCATAAAATGTGTAGTGCTAGGATGGTGATGTGAACACTTTGTCAGAGTACAACGGCATTATGACGCACATGTGGCACAATCAAGTCCTCCTATGGAGAGGTCAGTATATTTCTACCTTGCGCATAGTTTCATGATATTGCGCACCTTGACGTACATCAGGTTGTCCACGCTCACACCCCTGAGTTCTGGGAATTGCTGTCGGCATTTCTCGAGGAAAGTAGAGATGTCGTCTCCCTTCTTGCACTATGTAGTGGTCGTAAAGGTTTCCCATGCATGTATCTAGGTGGTCAGGCCACATCCTGTAGCGAACAAGTGAGAGCGTGCTCACCACGACGCTCTTGCGATGTCCACTTCCGTCCCAATACGAATAAGTGATCTCAATCTCTTCACGCTTCATCTCCTCCTGTTTCCTGAGCCACTCTTGTCTCAGCTCCTCCCTCTGGCGGCGCTCGGCTTCCTCGCGCTCCCTATCAGGTAGAAAAGAGGTGTCGACATTTGGGTTCTTGCGTGACTTGGGACGCTTAGCGGGCTTCTCTCCATCTCCGTTCTGTGACGGAGAGTCGCCTTCGCCTTCACCACCCTCATCATCCAGAGCGAACGAGAGTGTGGACTTGGCCATCTTCTTCCGCTTCTTCACTTTCTTCTGTTCCTCTCTAAACGGATACTCCACACACGGTGAGCAGCCTGAACGCAAGCAAAAGCTGGTTGAAGGAGTGTAACAGGAAATGTGACATACTTGAGTTCATTGGTACGTGCAGCCTCACGGGCTTTAGCTTCTTCCAATTCTTTCCTCCTCTGTTGGAACTCCTCTAGTCTGACCAGACCAACGGTGCTCTTCTTCAGGGTATCTTCCATAGAGTCATTCTGACCAACGAAGCGATTGGAGGAGGGACGGGCCTTCTCGGTCTCCTGGATGAGGTTCTGTTTCTGCCGCTCGAACTCCTCACGCATCTGAGAACGTTGTTTAGCAAGCGCATCTTCGCGACGGCCTTCCGCCTTGCTGGTAGACATAGCAAGACCGTTTCTATTGACAGAATAGAGATGATGAACACTTGGAAGAGAAGTAACAAGTCGACGCGGGACAAACAGAAGCAAACCTGGGTTGCAGACGCGTCATTCACGTGACCTGCAGGGAAACGCAAGCTCGACGCGCGTCGGTAATGTAGACCCCGCCTCTTCTTGCCTCCTTGTCCAGCTTAACCATTCGCCGCAATGTCCAGGTCCTATGATCGCGGTATGCACACCGCTCGTCAATTACTCCCGCCCACTGAGTAGATTGCGCACAGCCCTCACCGTCTTCTCCCCCGATGGGCACTTGTTCCAGGTCGGTGTTGTGCATGTACAGAAAAGCGCGGAGTTGAGCCTTTTGTGACGCGTTATTAGGTCGAGTATGCGTTAGAAGCAGTGAAGAAAGGCACATGTGCCGTATGTCTCATGTCTCACATTGCAAATACCAATGCTCATGTCCGTCCCGCAGGTTGGCGTCCGCGGCCAGGACGTCGTGGTTCTGGGTGTCGAGAAGAAGTCAGTACTTCAGCTGCAAGACCCCCGTACAGTGCGCAAAGTTGTTATGCTCGACGACCACATCTGTCTCGCGTTTGCTGGTGCGTATGCATATCTACGCATTCTTGGCTGAGTGCACTCGCTCATGATTGCCGCAGGTCTCAATGCCGATGGCCGAGTGTTGATCGACAAGGCACGAATAGAATGTCAAAGCCATCGGTTGACGGTTGAAGACCCCGTTACCGTGGAGTACATCACCAGACACATCGCAGGCATTCAACAAGTGTGTGCCTACCTTAGTGCTTTGTTCGTAGCTGTGACTTATAGTTCACGGCGTAGAGATATACCCAGTCAGGAGGTGTGCGTCCGTTCGGAATCTCAACCCTCATTGTCGGATTCGACCCCCATGACACCCGACCACGACTCTACCAGACAGAGCCAGGAGGCATCTACAGTGCTTGGAAGGTATGTCTGACTATAAGCTATATGAAATCGGCGTAACAACCCGTGTCCTGGCGCGATCATAGGCAAACGCCATTGGCCGCTCTTCTAAGACTGTCCGTGAGTTCTTGGAGAAGAACCATAAAGACGACATGACTAGGGATGAGACAATCAAACTGACCATCAAGAGCTTGCTCGAGGTCGTTCAAACTGGTGCCAAGAACATCGAGATAAACGTCATGGAGAGCTACGGCAAGATCACTGTAAGTGTCCGCACCAGGATCAAGGCAGCGTCTGATCGCCATTCTAGGCTCTAGATCTTCCACAGATCGAGGCGATCGTAGCGGAGATCGAACGAGAGAAGGAAGCTGGTACGCTGTGACGTATTTTATGATACCACATTTCCTAACGTCCTTTACAGAGGCGGAACGCAAGCGTTCCAGACTAGCTGCGACAGCAGCTGGTCAAGCAGCTATGTCCCAAGCGGCTCCTGGGTCAGGCGGACCATCCGGGCAGCAGTAGAACATTGTATTTGTACCACCACCACATCGTCTTTTAACGCTTTGTTGCTTCGGTTTACGCAACTTGCCAATTTCAGGTCTCAAAAAATAACGCAGCTTTAGGGTATCGGACGCGATGAAGGTCACAGCCGTCTACGCAGCCTCAAGATATATCGCGATTAACTTGGTCTCCGCAAAGCTTTTTGGTTTGTAAATCAGATGTATAATCCTATGAAGCGGTTTGTTGTCTTGCGACTGTGGCCTTGTGCGCTCTAGTGCTCAATGCGTCAAGCGCAATGTCCAGCGCCGTTAGGGAACACTAAATCTCTGTCAAAATCACCCGCGCGCTCGCTAAGAACGTTTGCTGTCTGTTGATGGGATAATTCGGGCAGCCGAGGATTTCCACTGACACATGGCAGCCCACTCCAAGTCTGACAGTCGTACTTAGGCCTCTCTGGGCTGCGCTTTGTGCATTCGCAGTTGTGTCACCCTGTTCCACTTTTCACACTGTTATATCTTGTAGCGAGTATTCAGGGCTCGGGAAAGAACATTTTGTGTGATACTGTATATGATATATGACAGTGAGTTGACATAATGTTCGTTGCAGTGGTCGCTAGTCATTCCCTCAAATGATGTTCATCACAGCTGTACACGAAAGTCACCCATATGCATTAACAATTCCGCCATGACTCATCGCCCCTCGTAAGCTGCATCGCGCAGTGCTAACGAAGAGCGTGCGTACGCGTGTGGGACCATTGCGTTTTAAGATGAGTCCACTGCTTCGAATCCAGTCTGCCTGCTCGCTCCAGCTGAACGCTGATTGTCTCTTCTCTCCATCTGCTAGCTATTTCTCTCAGCTGACAACAAGCTGTACGGACCTTCCTGGTATAATTAGAAGATACCATGTTGCTCCCCAAGGGTCTCTTCTCTGCGATCCTGCTCCTTGTCTCTTGACTTCACACGATCGGGTACGTGCTCCGGTTCCTCCCAGTGCTTACCCGACGGCCCTCGCGGATCATGGCGTAACCGTACCAATCAAATGCGTCTGAACGGCATATGGGTGGAGTTCCGCAGAGATCGCACTGATCTTGCACTGCTCCCTTGAAATCAACTCATCGTCTTTGTGGCCCATCACGTCGCTCAGCGGTCTATACGAGCGCTGTCCTGTTCAGGCCATGGATCACACATGCTGTGTACCATCAGGTTCTCCCGCCTACTGCGCCTCTTCCAACCCCTTACCAACAATCAGTACCACGGCCAATGTAACCCGAGAACGAATGTAACGCATCGACAAACAGGAGTGACCTAAGATCGCCAATAGCATAAAGTATAGGGGACCGCATGGAGGACATCAGCGTATATAATAAACGCACCGTAATGCGGACAAGCGCCAGGTCCTCGGAGTCGCTGAGGCGTATAGCTCGCCCGTTATGCTGTTCCACGGTGTCGTGCTTGCGTTGCTTTCTTCGTTGGCTGTCGGCAAGCCCACGCAACGTGATATGACCATGCAGGTGCACGAGGCTCGACAAAATGTGCCCACTGGATATACTGCTACCGGACCTGCTTCGTCGGACACTGTCCTGAGCCTACGCGTCGCCCTCGTACAGAACAACATCGCAGGACTTATTGATGCATTATACGATGTCAGCAGCCCGTCGAGTCCCAACTATGGAAAATGGCTCAGTAAAACTGAAGTATGTCATTTCTTTGTGTCCTGATCAGAGACAACCTCCTCAACCTTGACCAGGTCGAGGCATACGTAGCCCCGAAGCAAGACAGCGTTGCGGCTGTCAATTCCTGGCTTAGCGCGTACGGTTTGAATGCGACTGCACTCTCCCCCGCAGGCGACTGGCTCGGCATTGAACTTCCAGTCAGCAAAGCGAATAACATGCTAGCTGCTAACTTCTCTGTTTTCTCATCCACGGTCACCGGCTCGACCACTGTTCGGACACTCTCGTATTCTGTCCCATCCGATCTGGTTGATCATATTGACCTCATACATCCGACAATCATGTGTGTGTTTCGCGAGCATTGCTTCATCAATGAACTAATAAGAATATCAGTTTCCCAGATCCAAACGGGGCGAAGCGCCCCGTCATCCGTGTTGCTGACAGGACGGCCTCGAAGACATTTGATGATTCCTCGCCATGCGCGTCAGTGACGGAGAGCGGCTCGATGACCCCCGCATGCCTTCAACATCTATATGGCATTCCTGCTACTCCTGCAACAGTCTCATCCAACGGCATAGCAGTCACTGAATATGAGGAGCAGTATGCCCAAGGCGCTGACTTGCACGTATGTTGCCTGTTCAGATCTAAAATCGAGCGTTACTGACCTAGACTCAATGAACCAGTCATTCCTACAACAATTCCGTCCGGACGTGAACCCTGACACAAACTACACTGTCATCAGCATAGACGGGGGTGAGAATCCTCAGGATCCCAATGACGCTGGTGTTGAAGCTGTAAGAGTGATAATGTCTCGACCAAGCTCGTCGGTTCACCTTCATACAGGATTTAGACCTCCAGTATACTGCAGGACTGGCAACAGGTGTCCCTGCCACGGTCACTATAGATGGGGAAGATGACTTCTTGACAGGGCTCCTGAACACTGGTTTCTCTCTCCTTGGGCTAGAGTCTCCTCCGCAAGTGGTGTCTACTAGCTGGGGTGGGGACGAGAACGAATTCTCGCCCTCATATGCAACGTGAGCGTCCTTTAACATCCCTTTCAAAGAGTGATCTAATTGTTTCGTGCTATTCAGCAACCTGTGCAATGTGTATGCGCAGTTGGGTGCTCGTGGCGTCTCGATGATATTTTCCTCGGGCGATGGAGGTGTTTCTGGAAACCAATTTGAAGATTACTGCACAATCTTTAACCCAACATTTCCATCAACGTGCCCACAGTATGCATTTACATTCATCGTCGAAAGTCTGCTTCCTAACTCTTGTGCGGTTACACAGTATCACGACAGTAGGTGCGACGTACCTCATCCCCGAAGTTGCAGCCGACTTCTCAGGCGGTGGTTTCTCCAATTATTTCCCGCGACCCGACTACCAATCCGAGGTCGTCTCGGCCTACTTGGCACTTCTCGGGAATAATGACACGGGGCTGTACAATGCGTCTGGTCGTGCATACCCGGATGTCTCCGCCTATGGAGTGAACTGTTCGGTAGTCATTGGCGGTGTCACTCAGGTAGTCAGTGGTACAAGCTGTTCGGCTCCGATCTTCGCAAGCACCATTGCTATTCTCAACGACCGACTGCTTGCCGCTGGAAAGCCTACCCTTGGCTTCCTCAATCCGTGGTTGTACTCTGGAGCTGGAGCCGCGGCGTTCACGGACATCGTGTCAGGAAACAACACCTCTTGCGGCGACGACGATAACCTGGGTTTCTTTGCAACAAAAGGATGGGATCCAGTGCGTTTTTGATCTCGAAATCCTCAAGGTGCTAATGTCCATTTGCGGAACAGGTCACCGGCTTCGGTACGCCGAAGTTCGCCAGTCTTCTTTCGGCAGTGGGTCTATAGACTCCTCCTAAACAGTGGCATTGTATGGTTCTCCCACCAAGATACGGTCTCATTATCACAGAATGAGTTTGTGCACTACATGTCACACGATATGGAAAACGAGTAATATGATGCGCCACATTCACTGTAGCCCGAGCTGATTCTCCTTTGCCTGCATCCACTCATTGGCTAGTTCAACCACGACTCGTGGCAGAAGTGAGGCTACTTGACTGGCGTCGTTTCCACTGCCTTCCAGGTAATACTTGATCTAAGATGTATCAGATTATAAGCCGTCGTTCTGTACATCGTTTAAAATTTCCCACCTTTGGTTCCGTGCCGCTTGTCCTTTTCGCGTTCTCATGAGCATACAGCCAGGAATACTCCGTGGTGGACATACCTCGTTGTAAGCGTGATCTTGGTGCCGTCGGTGGGCGACTCCGCTCTGAACTGTATCATATGGCCGGAGGACAGCGGCAGAGTCGGTTTATATGATGGAGGATTAGCGCTATCGTAGCCGACAGTCAGATCCCGAACACTGGTGACGGTCAGACCCGCTATTTTCTTAGGGTAGCTGGGACTTGCAGCTGTGCCCTAATGGCCATGGCACCACGATTAGGATATTAAAGTTGAGAAAAAACGGAAGTGAGCAGGACACACGGCACCGTCATAGTTGCGCATTCTAGCAAAGATTTTGTCGATCGTTGCTGGCTCGTTGCAGATGAAGTAGCTGTTGCTTGTCTGAAAGGAGCGATATTTTCAGTGAACCTGTTCCTTCATAAACGACACTCGCACACCTGGAAGAAGCCATATCTGAATCGAAGGTTAGTTCTATTTAGCCGCAAAGCCCGCGGCGCAATGGGACGTACTTTTTGTATAGTTCTTGCAAGTGGGAGCTAGCAGTCTTGCCCTGTCTTCGCAAGGCTACTACCATCTCCGCGAACATCACCTGTACCAGAGCTTCGGTGATATATTCTTGGAACATGTGAGGACAAGAATGATGCTTACGCTGGCGGCAACACCGTCCTTGTCACGGATCTCCGAGCCAAACATGAAGCCGATGGCTTCTTCGTATCCGAAGGGGACTTGATATCCTTCTTGTTCCAGCTTCAGTGCAGTATTGCCGATGAATTTGAATCCTGCATCAAGAGGTCAGGTCGACTGTGAAGGTCAAGGGATGCAACGAACATACCCGTGAGACATTCCGCGAACTTGAAGCCTTCCGCCTTTGCCATGGATTCGATCATCTTGGAGCTGACCGTGGAGGCGACCATTGCGAGTTTTTCTGCAGAGAAAATATGCATGAAACCAATGCAGCGCCTTGCGCCATGACGTAAATGCCCACCGATCGGTTTCCCGGAAGTTTTGTACTTGTCAAAGACTGAAGTTGTGAAAAGGGTGCCTAGCTGGTCCCCGGTAAACATAATCCACTTTCCATCCTTGCTGCGGTTTATTTCATCACTTTGACGTTCCATGAGAACAAACAATCACGACATACCCCCTCTCTGCAGCGGCAAATCGATCTGCGTCCGGATCCTGCGCTAGGACATAGTCGGCACCACATTCATTCGCAGTGCTGATAGCAAGATCCTGGATATGCGCGTTGAGATTGTGTCACAGAAATTGACGGCGAAACATACAAGCGCTCCTAGAGGTATATCAGTCGTTGGCCATCCACAATCTGTAACTGAGCACCATACCCTTCTCCTCTGGATTAGGGAACTTGACTGTAGGGAAGTCTGGATCCGGTATTTGTTGCTCCGTTACAGGGGTGAAGGCAGACAGACCAAATTGTTCGAAAGCCCGAGTCATGAATGGGTGGCTTACGCCATGCATCGAAGTGCTGACGAACTTCAGTGATGTTTGCTCGTTCAAAGGCCTAGAGTAATAGACGGTAATACATATGAGAACATTTTCACAGACACGTAGGGCACGCCGTTGTTATTCTCACCTCTGCAGGCAGAGCGTACTGAGAGCTGAGAAATACGCCTCTTTCATCTCTTCGGTCTTGTCAATGCATAGGGGAGAGTTATGAATGCTGTCCGTCTGCCATATTTGAGGCTCGAGATTCGCTTTGATGGAAGCTGAGATACCCTTGTCGTGAGGCTCAATAATCTGTGCTACTAGTGAGTCCTTGTTAGACGAGGAAGATATCGTAATCTAGCGACCTGCACTGCGTTCTCCCAATAGACCTGTTCATAGGTATTTTTTCTAGGTTACTCAGCGTGCAGATAGTTGGAGCGCTCACTTTGTAACCGTTGTCTTGCTAATAGAGAAGTGCATCGTCCGTCAGATCCGACTCCTCAATAAGTCAATATTTTTCAGCTCACCTTCGGATTGTGACTAGCTATAGCGTGCCATTATAGCGTGGTCAGTTACGCAAGCACACCTGATTAAAAGTCGTACCAGTGATCATTACACCACACGCCGCATTCAATCTCTTCACGCTAAAAGGTACACTGGGGCACCTTGTATGAGTCGAGCACTCTACAGATCGACGAATACGAGCTCTTACATGGGGGTGTGTACAAGGCCCCTGTGCAGGTACACCTTCACGCCATTGGATAGGAAGGCTGCCGCCGTCAGCTGTGCGAACCGCTCTGAGTTGTGTCGGTGATCGTGTCCAACGACCACGCCTCGCGACGCCGCATCGCGGACATTCTGCAGAACATATGCGCATAGTCCCTGCGATTCCCGTTCCTGTCTGAGTATTCGAATTTAATAAAGAACTCCTATGACCCACTTGCGAGGCCTGGATGACGATCATATCGTTCATGCAAGCCCAGCCAGCAGCCATGCGGCCACGCAATCCTGTGGAAATAGCGTTAATGTTGATTTTCTTTGCTATAATTGATAAGGTTGTCCATATATACCTGCAGTGCCAAACTCGATGCGTTTCCTGTTGTTCAAAGCTTGTAAGACATTCAATCGGTCTCGAGCTCAGAGGGCCGGTCAGAACCTCATTCGTCTTTCTAGTTCAGCATTGTCTTTAGCCGCATATAGCCGCTGCACCTCGGCCTTCGTTACCTCGTTCTGGCAAGCTCTGTGTTCAACGCTGGCCTTTTCGACTCAAAGAGAGCATACCTGGTCCAGTCGCAGCCACTCTTCAACAAGGGCTTTCAAAGATGTGTCGAGTGTCATATCGGAGAGGTGCTAGACCAAGGGCTACACACAAACTTCCAATTAATTCTAGAATTGAAATCCTGAGAGCATTTCTTACTCGGGAATACGATGCTAAGTCCGTACAGCTGATCCGATGGTGGTAGATTCAGAGAAGGATCTCTAGATCAACACCGAAATGTGGATTAGATCACTCCTCGCCACCACAACGTTAACACGTGTTACGACCGCGCAGGTACTCCATGTGTATTGCGCTTCAATAGTAGTTTGTGTTCGCCATAGTTGAACCTAGGACCCTCCCAGTGGAAATACAACACTGTACATTACATGGGCGAAGATTGCTTTCCATTTCGCACGAGTCCCTACGCATTCTGTGCGCGCGACGCGACTGCCAACGCCTTCGCACCCACCGCCGCCGCATCGTCAACGACCTGCACATGCTTGAAAACATGCCCGCGCTCCCCCAGTGCGTCCAGCATCAGCCCACGGTACGTGTCCAGCCCCGACAGCGAGCCGCCCAGGCACAGAATGCTCTCCGACGCACGGATGGTGCGCGCCTTACCCCCGTCGCCCTCGGGCCGCAGCAGTACGCAGATTTGGTCGACTAAGGCGCCACTCGTCGTCTTCAGTACGTTCAGTGCGAGTGGGTCGCGGTCCTCGAAAGCCGCGGCGAATACGAGCGGCGAGAGGGATGAGAGGCGCTTCTCACGTGGAAGCAGGACCGGGTTCGGATCCGTTTTGGACGCGCTGCCCGCTGCCGGGGGATCCGGGAGGTGCACGATAGTTAGCAGCTCGTAGATGTCGGTGATGCCGAAGCGCTGCAGGAGGCGGCCCTTGAGGCCCCATGGCTTCCCTACAGACCCTCCGTTGACCTGAAGTGTGTCATGCATGAGTATATTCACAAGATGACATGCCAACGACATACCTGAGCGGGTTGTTCCTCCACGCTAGCACGGTCCGCCTCCTCGAGTACCTGGCGGATCGCCTCGCGGCCCACATGGAAGCCACCGCCTTCGTCTCCCAGTATCCATCCCCATCCGCCCACACGGCCCAGCTCCTCCAATCCAAGAGCGTCAGCTGCGTTCGCAGAGCCACTAACCGTGGGCACATCCTTCCTCTGCGTAGGCTCCCGGAAGCTGACGACGATGCCGCCTGTCCCCGCGACTACGGCGATGGCGCCAGTCACGTCCGAGTAGAGCGCCATCGGGGCCGCAAGGAGATGTGTGTCGTTCGCCACGCGCGGTCGGACACCGAGTAGAGCCTCAAGCGGAGGGGTGAGTGTGGCGATCGCGCCGGCTGAGTCGCATCCCGAAATACCGAGCCAGGCGGCGGCGAAGTATGGACGGCCTGCGGGTGGTGGAAGGATAGACTCTGTCGGGTCTTTCACTTCTTTCGAAGACGGTAGCGTCAGAGCAGTTATTCAAGTTAAGGAGAGCAACCGACCAAGTCCGGGAAGTTCGACAGCCAATACAGCAGGGTCACATGCCCGCAGAGCTTCTTCCACCGTCTCTTTTACGACCGCAATGAATGGTGTCAGGCCGAGATATGAGTAATTCGATGACCCGCCCAGTGCACGCGACACTGGGTTGCCGGTGCTATCCGCGAGGACGACAGAGGTCTTCGAGCCGCCGCAGTCGACACACAGGAAGAGAGGCATAGGTCGTCGTGGTCTGCTACCTGGGCTTCGTTTGCAGCACAAAGAGAGGTGGAGGGCCCGAACGGCGAAGAGATAGAGAATAATCGCTCATGATCAGCTACATATAGACAGCAGCCACAGGACAGTCAGGAGCACACGGCGCGCAAGGGGGAAGAGATAGGCTATCGAGATCGTATTCGCTGAGCGCTTTCCCCCGCAAGTACTTGTTTGCGTTCCTCGGGCCTCGAGCACGCGGTAACTGAAGGTGGCGACCACACGCAATGAGCTGCAAGATGAATGTTGCGCGTGCTAGAGAAGATGTCCTTGCGATGCGCACACTCGATCGCACGGCAATGTCCGGCGCTGGCATGTGCCAGTGGCCACACTGCAGCCCGTCTTCAAGTTCAAGTTTCCATAAAAATTAGCCAAACTACGACACACCATCAGCAAATTCTTCCGACGCCAGATCAGTATTGACAATATTCAGCACACATCCTTTCATCGAGCCATGGACGCCAAAACAGACGTCCACGGATTCCGCCAGCCCCACAGCAGACTCTGCCACTGGATTCGAACGAAACACGCGAAGGTAATGTTTGTTGATACCGCTCGTGTAGAAGCGCGCCTTCCCAGGCTGGCCAAAATGTGCGGAACACCAGTCAAGCCTTTAAGAGGCAGCCATAATGTCAATAAAGAATAACATAGCAGAATGGCAAATTTACTCACGATAGATTGGAGTTCACCGAGACGCAGTCCGACGACGCGGCGAAGAAAAGCGACTCGCTAGAATTTGCAGCCGCAAACATTCGCTGGCTCGCGACTGCAACCCAGTCTGCAATAAATTCTGGCTGTCTAGCCCTATCTATTGCGCGGCGGATAGCTATGGCCCTGTCGACCAAGGTCTTCTCCGTGCCATCTAGTAATGCTGGAACCTAGCCGTTGCCGTCTCTTAGCGTCATCCAGCCGGTCAAGGGTCGTAGCCTTACAATAGAAATGGCATTTCCGGCTACATTGCCGTCAATAAACGGTGCTTGAACGCGGCGATACTGCCGAGGTTAGCCACAGAATGTTCATAGCATGATCTGTCTGCTTACGCACACTAGCAGCGTTTGTGACCATCCTGATGCTAACCCCCGAACATCGTTGCAATACGGACACTATGTACGCGGTCAAACAGTCCTGTATGGAGATCTTGACGTTCGTCGCTTTAATGGAGGCGGCCATTCTATCCCGCAGGCGAGACAGCTTGTCCACCGAAATACGAATGCGAATTGGATGAATGTCCTCGTTCGCCTCTGCACAGAGGCCCCTCAGTATCGCTGCTGGATATGTGCGAGCCAGATGAGGCATCAATGGCAGGTATCGTTCTGTTGTCTCCTGTGACGGACGAGGGAGGTCGTGTTTGGTGAATGTCGGTCGAGGGAATGTGGGTTGTAAGCCCTGGTAGCATTGGGAAAGGCAATGCATGAAGCGCAATAATGTCGTCGCGTCTCCTATACCGTTGCGCTTCAGCTCGTCGTATGCTTATAAGGGCGAGCAGCAAACCCAGTGTATGATGCCAGGATATCCCGATGGCGGTCTCCCCCGCTGCAATTGTGAGCTTCAGTCGGAGAAGAGGTGCATCCCCACCGACGGGGTCCCCTTCTGCACTGCTGGACGAATTCAGGAAATGGGCAAGGTCATCTTGGACAACCCAGGATTGCTGTATGCCCACGTCGGGGCTTGTTCTGTACTCGATCTGGACGGGAACTTCATTGTCTTCAAGAGCAATCTGCAGTACGTGGATGAATGTGAATATTCACGCAGACGTTCGACGGAGGTGTATACGAGCACTAACGGACCAAGAACCGTCCATACGCTGTAGACGGCCGGCGGCATGGGGATAGTAACATAGCGCATCCGCAAGGGCATCGGTAAATTTTGGGACGTCCAGAGGACGCGGCACGACGTGCACATTTTTTATCTGCACAGAATGAACGTCAGCGAGGTGGTGCTAATCCGCGTAAGCTGCAGGTAGCACTAGTATGAATGAGTGCCTGATACAAGTTCACGAGCATCAACAGAACGGCACCGTCATATATGCCGGTTACATAGTATGAGTCTACTGGGGGAAGTACAGACTGTGGGCTGGTGATAATGTGGGATCTTACGAAGGTCAGCCAGAGGTCATAACCCGGCAACTGGATTGACAGGTCCAGAGATGAGGACCTCAGTCTCGGAGGCACCGTCACGTCTACAAGTCGATTATGCTCGTCTGAGCAACTGTCCTGCGACGTGCTAGACTTGCTTTGGTCGGCAGTCTGCATGGCAATCAAAGGACATCAGGAAGCAGTCTCATCTCCGAAGGCGGTGCGAGTGTGAGTTCAGTCAGTGCAAACTCAACGGAAGGCCCGTGACGAACCGCCGTGCGGCGGCTGGAGGGAAAGCCAAATCTCTAACATAAATGGTGTAAGGAACGGCTGTGTCAAACTTAAGGACACCAAGAAAGATGCTGTGACAATGGTCTGCTTGTGATATTACAGACTGCTACATTATATGTACGACTTGGTATGCTGTGATAAGTATAACGCAGAACAACAGCCTCTGAACCAGAAGAACAGGCCACTCGTGAGCAGTACACGATAAAAACTCCAACGTCCATACGATACCTATGTACTTATGCCTCACTCGAGACGGAGGTCTCCTTTAGGGAGGCGGACGTGGTAGATGTTTGTCTCCGAGTTGAGCGCCGCTGGGTAACGGAAGTCACGTCGCGTCGCTTCGACCCCCGACCCCTTGTAAGAGCGCCCCGGGGCTCCGATGTCGGTGGGGGCGGAAGAGCGGAGATAGAGGGCATGTTGAGACTACCCAGACGAGGCAAACGTATCTTCAACGAAGGAGTTGAAGATTCAGCCGGCTTAGTAGTCGACGGTCCAGGAGTTGAGATCGCCTTCGTGCCGTTCGGAGGGGGAGACGGTGATCTACGCTTCTTCTGAGGCGGCTGTGGATCCTTGTGTGGTGTAGCAGGTCGCTTCCGACTGCCGAAGTTGGCACTGAATCTCGGCCTGAGAGCAGACAACGGAGTTTCCGGCTCTTCGGACTCATCTTTAGTCTTCTGGGAGCCCCCGGCGTGAACCGGAACAGAAACAAGAGTTGGTGCGGGTGCAGATGGAGGTGCAAGTGCAGGTGCATTTACGAGAGGCACAGGCGACAGTCTCCGCCTAGAAGATTGGCGCTGCCGCCTGGGCCTTGCAGAAATAGAAGTGGGCGCAGAACCTTGTTCTGCTTGCTTGAAGTTCTCAGGAGCAACTTCTCGCTGTGCATCTGAGGATGTGCCGTTTACTTCTTGTAAAGCCTGTGGATGTATGGACTGGTCAGATGTATCTTCAGTCTTCTTGCCTTTGCGGTCCACAGATCGTGAGGGACGACTAGATGCAACTGGGACGTAATCGGCGTCGTCAACACGAGCTTTCCGCCGGGCTTGCGAGCGAGTACCGTTACGTTCGCGTGGAGCAGCTGTGCGTCGAGGCCTAGACGAATTGGCCACCGGCGTCGCGCTTGCCGGTGCCGATGACTCGGTGGGCGCCGGAGGTTTGGCAGGCGGCTGAGCAGACAGCTGTGGACAAAATACCTGCTACGTGAGCTCGACTAGTGAGAACGATCACGCTATCCGACCTCACCTTCGCAACACCGTTCACGGATAATTGTGGCTGATGATCAGGAGAAGATGGATTCATAGCGACAACCCCATCGGATTTTTGACGTTTTCTCAGGTCAACAAGGGAAGGCACTTCCACGGTCTGCACAGGTTCCTGTCGATGTGCGGTCTTTTTACGTCGAAGCTGCAGTCCTGACAACAACTGATACGAAGAAACTCGACTATCAGCATTCGATGCTATGATAGGCAAAAAAGAGACATACAAGTGCCACCTCAATGTCCTCCATAGAGAACAACGGTGCAGAGGGGTCCAACATCGGAGCATCATCGTCCTCAGGCAATGAGCTAAGCGACGACAATGGGGACGACACTGCAGATCCATCTTCGCTATGCCTGAGGTAAGCATGTTAGTTAACATCAGCGGGGCGATGAGCAAGCAACGTACTCCTCCATGAAGCCGCGATTTCTGCTGACTTTATTCCAGAAATCCAAAGTGATGATCTTCTCCGGTATTCTATATCGCCGTCCATTTATGAGAACTTCATCCACTGGGACCTTGTGAGGAGGAGGAACGGGAATTTCGGGCTGTATGATTTCGATATTTCCGTTGTTGTATTGGTGAGGTCTGGTGATGTCTATTGGCACAGCGTTCGCCTTCGGTATGCGTCGCTTTGGTTGCTAGAAGCAATATAAACGCTTAGTAAAAATCGAATGGCGAGACATGACAAATAGACACACAATGACTCGATCAGCATGATTAGGACACATCCACTTCTTCCCCCAAGGCGGCATGAAGGAGAGAGGAGGATCCACACAATCTAGATGCCAGTGAAGATGACAACAATCGCATGAGATGATGCTCCGTCCAGTTTCTGAGTAGCTACTGCTGCTCGTCTCTCTTCTCGGACGTTTCGCGACAGGCGCCGATGCCACGAGACTGGGGGGTAACGCAGACGTTCCACAACGGAAGCACAGCACAGGATCTCCGTTGCGATCCTTCAGCCGGTAAGGGTCTCGGTCCTCGAGCTGACCATGACGACTAAAGACGCGTATGAGTAATACTCTCGCATAATGCAGGCGATACGACTTACTTGAGACGAGGCGCTTTCACCTCCGAGGAGTCCACATACGTTCCTCTAGGCCCAGTCGCAACTGCGAGAGGGATTAGGGATATAAAAATGACATTCTGAGGTCAACGTACCATCCTTGAAATGAGCTCTAATGTCATTCGGTAACTGGTACTCCGCTGGAAGGGTCGTTTGTAGATGTTCGATAACGGGTGCCATGAATTTGAGAGATGCAGGAGGCTTTGGTGGTGGCTTCTAGAAGTGGCGATGAGTAAATCAGAGTGAGGGATATACAGAGTTTCATACTCGTTGAAGGGTGCATGCTGGACAGAACCATCTTGCGTCTCCCTGTGGCAACTCAGATGCATCCATGGGGGGGTCAAGACACCACAAGTGGAAGGCCCTTGGACACCCGTCACAATACACGAGGGATCCCAAGGACCGGCATGAAGAACAGTGGTCTTCGTTCGTCTGCAAGTCGCAATTTTGAGTTCACGCTGGCAGAAGAGAAAATGAGGCAGACTTACGAGGAGAGCAGGATCGCTCATAGACAACGTCACCACTGAGGGCTCCTCCTTGATTCTCACAACCGGGTCCCTCTCCCTTCCCTTCCCTTTGTCTCGTTTATGGGGTTGAGTCGACCTCAGGTTGCTACTGGCAACAGCATCCTCCCCGTTCGGAAGCGAGTTCGAACGGGAAAGCGTTAAGTCATCCGTATCGACAGCCATCGACACTAGGTCAGAGTCGGGAATCTGGTATGAGGACGAAGCCATCGCTTCCTGAGGTGCTGGGGGATCTGATGCGGGGGCGTTTGCGCTGAGGTTTCGGGCGGAAGCCCGCTGCGCCCTAGAGGTAGCCGTTCTGGTTGGGGGGAAACCCAAGTGCCCACGACGCGCACGATACGCAAAAGGTTCATTTTTGCAGAGGTCAGGAGAGCAAGATCAACCGTCAAACTTGTCCTGCATTGTGTAGAATTTTGTGCACTCACCCCTTGTCCAACCTGGCCCTTTTCCTCCGCGAGCCGTCGACCTCAGTAGTTGAGGCCATCGGACTCGCCAAATGTCCCGAGTATGTAGTACCGGGATCAGAACTGGGCAAGTAAGAAAATACGGCCACCGTTTTCCTGTGATCCTTCCGTGGCTGGCCTGCCTGCTGCACGGATATCAATGAGGGTGGACCAGGAAGCACTTCGGTCGCCAAAGTGGGATCCCCCTCCAAGTGTGCTGGCTGCACCACGGGAACACCTGGCAACATGTATGCCGGGACGCTTTCAACAGACGCCATGGCTGTCGAGGGGAAAGGACGGGTCGGAGCCAAGTGAGAACGGCCGACCGTCTTAGATACGCGGCTGGGTTGCGTCAAAACGAGAAAAGCTCAAATCGGCCGGTGCTCAACGCGGTGATGGTGGTAAGCGACAACATTCGGCTCAACAGTCGCCAGCTCTATATACATGTGTCGTGCTACTCCTCTCCGCCACACATACACGCCCCCAAGGCCTGTCATAGCGGCATACGCCCTCTCGTTGCCATGAGCCTATTCGGACCCCAATCCAACCCACATACCACATATCTGGAAAACGGCTACGGATATTGTCAGACGCTTGGTTCCCTCGATGAAAACGCATAAAAGCCACTCACCAGTTCTTTCTTGTTCAATCCTCTTCGGCGCAAGGCCATAGGCCGCGTCAGCGTAAGCTGAAAAGAGCTCAGACCGGCTGTCAGACCGATGTGTGGCGATAGTGGACGGTTCAAGCACCAGATAAACAGCTTGACCCTGTTATTGTAGCCATTGCGGTGGCGAGCAGCGCGGCGAACTACCCCTGGAAACGCCACCGACACCGCCCTCCTCTTAGCGATCATGTACTGCCAAAGCACAGTCGAAATCAGAGAGCAGGCCGGCTCTATAGACAAGAAATCCTGCCAGGCAGCATGGATGACATCGGGTCCTGCACGTCAACGGTTATTGTTATAAGAGGCTCAAGTGCTTGGCCAAAAACAAGCTTAGGGACCTTGGCTACCTGATGTTATGACTGAGTATGCGCCTCCCGGTGGGATGTAAGACTGGTTACATACTGTCTCATGTCGTGGAACCGAGCGGTGAAGTTCGCAAGTCTTCAGAAGCCTTACACGCGCGGGAGGGACAAGACAATGCGGATGCATCAGCTGGTGATCTTCGAATAGGCTCCACGACTAGTTTCGAAAGGGTCGCTTCTCGATGCAGGATCAACATAGAAGTCCCGAAGCCTGATTACTTCGTTGGCGCAGTACTATTTGTGTAGCCGCGTTGTAGGAGGTTCTGTCAAGACGTCAGTATTGACGGAGCGAGACAAAGCATACCAGAGTCCCCATTGCTCAGCACCAGACCCAGAAAAAAGACAGGTAGGAAGGCCTCAACCAGCGGATACAAATTGAGGCCACGAGGAAGGAACCTTCTGCAGTACTGCTAGGACTTCAGTGAACTGGGAGACACGATTTCCAGTCTGGACCCAAAAGAGCCAGATGCAGTGATATCTCAATCCACAGAGTAGGCAGACCGCTTGAGGACAGCTTCCTACGAAGCAAGATTGTGCGAGTGTTGGTGATGTGGCAAGAGGTTACACATTGGACCTAGAGATCCAAAGTTGAGAAGAGGATCGTGTACGGGCGCCTAAACTCCGATCGAGGGTCGGACGCGTTCTATACCACGAGCCACCATCTTCCGCTCAGCCACACATGGCCAACACAACCGTACGTGGCGCGCAGGCCATCCACGGTCAAAACCCACAAGTAAGAGTATAAGCACACCAAAGAAGACATGCTCCTGATTGCTGACCCCGCAGTTTCTAGTCGAGACGGTCATCCGGAACCGTATATACGAGTCGCCCTTCTGGAAGGAGCACTGTTTCGCGTTAACCGGTAAGTCTAGATGCCATTGATTCATGTTGTCTGATGCTTCAATGAGAGTTATGTAGCCGAGAGCCTCATCGACAAGGCGATAGACCTGAAGGCCATAGGCGGCGTATATGGGAACCAGAAGCCGACCGAGTTTTTATGCCTGCTTCTGAAACTGCTCCAGATTCAACCCGAGAAAGAGATTTTACTGGAATATCTGCAGGCCGATGAGTTCAAGTGTGTCTGTTACATGTCGAACAGTGAAACGACACTGACAGATCGTAGGTACCTACGAGCTCTAGCCGTTATGTACATACGCATGACCTTCAGTGCGGCCGACGTGTACGAAATTCTGGAGCCGCTTCTGAAGGACTATCGAAAGATACGATATCGAGGCATGAGTGCGTATCGCCTCCCGCAACGTTCTGAATATCTTGGCTAATAAGTCACTTAGATGGCTACTCGCTAACATACATGGACGAATTCGTCGACAACCTCCTTGTGGACGAGCGAGTATGCGATATTATCCTTCCTCGGCTTACGAGGCGCGACGTATTGGAGGATAACGGGGAGATTGGCCCCAGAAAAAGCCGTCTACTCGACGCCATGGAAGGCAAGAGCGATCACCGTAGCGCAAGCCGGAGCAGAAGTAGAAGCAGCAGTAGGACAAGAAGCTCTGGTAGGGCCAAGAGCCGCAGCGTATCGCAGAGCTCACGCCGAGGCAGAAGCCTTAGCCGGGGCAGTAGGTCTGCGTCACCTGCAGGCTCTGGATATGTCTCGCGCACACCATCCCGCTCACGGTCGCGGTCGGGCTCTAAGTCCCCTTACCGCTCCCGTAGCCGGAGCATCTCTCTGGATCGAGTTAATGGTCTTGCTTCTCCGTTTAGATCCCGCAGTCGCAGTGTTTCTGCGGATCGCATGGAAACCTCATGAATATATCTCGAGCGGAGACTGTTGTATAGTAACTAGAGGGTGTGCCTGGGTTTGGCGAAGCCCTGCACCTTGTGACGGCGGAACTGTTGCGAAAGGACTTTCCATCGCTCCTCCACCACCGGCATCGTCTTGACGGCCGTGGACGACAGGTATCCCCTGTTCTTCCACTGGGTGTACCAGACTGTAGCGAATTGTAAGAGCTAGTTTCTGCAATGTTCATGCAACACGTACGAATGTCTCTGCGATGCGTCGGTGCTGCTTCTGTCCTATCTGTTCGACCCTTGACGCAGTCTTTGAGGGCCAACGGGTTGTAATATTTGCAGAACACGGTGCCGCCTAGCTTCTCGACCGCACGGATAGCGCTCTGTGATGCTCGCGAGGGAGTGATATGGATGGGAGTCTTTAGGTGCTCCATCCCCTAGAAGAAGCATTAGTAGCGATCAGGGAATCCATGAGCGCAAAGCCTACATCACCCAAAAGCTTGATACCATCATGGACTTGGTGAATGCAGCCGCTCAAAAGGAGTTCGCGGGCAGTAATGGGCTTCTCTGGAGAGGACTCTAGGCGGCCCTGGTCTATCCAATGCTGTATCCGGTCCAAATTAATTGGCGCGTACTTCTTGCCGCTCCTGCGCGGACAATCAAACACGAACGACCCTGCGTAGTGGACACACGTACGAATTGACGAAGCCGCGCTTCGGGAGGAGCTTTGTTATTGGTGTCTGTCCACCCTCAAAGCCAACCCTTGGCCCTCTTCCGGCCCGTGACTTTTGGCCATTGTTACCGCGGCCGGACGTCCCGCCTCGACCCGAGCCCTGTCCACGACCTACACGTTTTTGCTGGAGGAATCATATTAAGATAAAAGGCCAGCTGAGTGTCAAGTAAGACATACAGCGTGTTGGGAATTGACTGCTGGTGAAAGGTTAAACAAGTGGACGCGCCCAGTCGCTGCGCGGAAGGTGGACAAGGACATGGTCGATGTCAAGTGTACTCACAAGCGCCCAAACGATCGCTACCTCCGCCATTTCCACAAATGGAAACCCCGACTGATGGGGTATAATCCCAAGATCCCGATCTCACTATCCCGGTGTCCTCATCTACAAAGTCGCGTTAACCTGGAGGAACATACTCAAGCACAAACAGAGGGAAGGTCTGCCAGCCCTCAGGCAGGTATGATGGCCTTGCGTCCTCTCATTGCCGTTTGCGGGACGACAGGAGTCGGCAAGTCTAAACTTGCGATTGAGCTGGCTCTCGCGCTTGGGCAGCGCAAAGAAAACCGCACACATGGATACCACGGTGCTCGTATCATCAATGCCGATGCCATGCAGGTATATAAGGGCATGGACGTCATCACAAACAAGGTTTCGCTGGAGGAGCAGAACGGCGTCGACCACCTTCTCATGGATTTCAAGCAACCTGGCGAGCAATATATCGTGACCCAGTGGGTTCGAGACGCCATGAAAGTGGTAATGAACCAACAAATTCATGTTTTTAACGCTGCTGACAATTCGCATAGATTGATGAAACCCACCTACGCAAGCAAATACCAATAGTTGTTGGCGGTACCTCATATTGGATCCAACATCTTATATTTTCCAACCGACTAGTATCCTTTGACCAAGCTCCTGCAGAGGAAGAGTTGAAACGCGATCCGGGACCCATGTCGGAACCCCTTGCGCGGTCCTTTGCCTCCCTGCCGCCTGAACTGCTCGACCTGTTAAATACGTTACCCGAGCAGGGTCCATCCGCTACCACTCAGCCAGAACTCGCTCATTCACTGCATGTCCTACTATCTACCCTCGATCCACCCACAGCTCAGCGATGGCATTGGCGCGACACCAGGAAAGTATTGCGGAACCTGCACATCATTCGTGAGACGGGCCGTCGAGCCAGCGATATTTTAGCAGAACAGGCACAGGACACTGCTCGACCACGGTAATGATTCTGCTGAAGCTCGCATCGATTGCCTCATTCCCTCAATGCGTTCTTTATGTACAGATATCGAACTTTATGTTTCTGGCTATACGCAAAGCCAGAGATTCTGAAGCCCCGCCTAGATGCCCGTGTAGATGAGATGGTACAGGTACGGAACACAGCATCATATAAACACCGCTCAAAACACATATGCTATTTTAGTAGCAAGGGCTATTGAATGAAATTCGAGCATTGCGAGAGATCGCGTCCGCAAATCCTACGAGATCACTATCTTCACCGCACAGCGACAGCGAAGACGATTCAGATACGGAAGCGCCCATCACTGACTACACTCTTGGAATATACCAATCCATCGGTTCGTGTGCATCTGGTAATTCTTATGCTAGAGACTGACAGCGGTACATTAGGGTACAAGGAGTTCCACAACTATCTCAGTGCTCCCGAGCATTCGGAAGAGGAGTTCAAACTTGCAATCGAAAATATGAAGTCTGCGACGCGGAAGTACGCGAAAAGACAGATTATGTGGATACGCAACAAGCTGTTGCATGTGGCCAATGCGGCGAACGGCGCAAGCCGCGCTGAGTATGGGTTTGATGTCACTCCAACCTACCTGTTAGATGCAACTGGTAAGCGACAATACTTCCCAATTATATCGTCCTGGCGGGGTGACTAACTCGACCGTGATGCAGAGCTCGGTAAGGCATGGGACACAAATGTGAGAACACTTGCAGAACAGATTACTGAAGGTCAGAGACTCCCACTATGCATCGCTCGCGTCCGCCCAACATCCTCACCATCAGATTTCTTGAATGGCAAAGATCTCCCTGACCCTTGTTCCCTATCCGAAACTGCCCGTGAGATGCTCAGCACTTCTGATAAGCGTCCGAGGCAAGTTTCTCTAGTTGCATTGTCCGTGCTTTGCGTCTGACAGACCACGACGTGTAGTGTTGACATGCGGCGCAAACTGGTTTGCCCGACATGTACGGTCAATGAAGAACGGCCGGTCATGATCGCAGAGGGGAAGGAATGGGATGTGCATGTGCGAACACGCACACACCGGAGGCTGTTTAAAAAGGAGCATCGGCGCAAGGACGCTGCAAATGCGAAACAGACGCAACCGGAGAACAAGACTGAGGAGAACACTTCGGAAGACGACTCAATCGTCGACGCCAGTGTACTGTTCGATGCATGACGCGGCTGGTCATGCTCGCCGCAGTGGTAGACTACATGCAGTCGAGGTAGAAACAGTTATCAAGAGCAAATTGGAAGCACGGCGTAAACGTATCCCGAAGGGACGGTTATAATAGACAACGGAGCTTAATGAACCCTGATATCACCGCTCAATATCAATCTTCGTTCGCCCACGTCGGCAGCCACTCCTCCCAGCCATACCATTCGTCACCGATCTCGCTATCAATGGGCGACTGCCGGTCTGCCGCTTTAACATGCATATGCTTGAAAGGGCTGAGAAACCTGTCCACAATGTGGACAGCTCCATTCCGCGCGACAATATCTGCCGTGCGGACCCTCCGCCCCTTCGCGATAATAAGGGTAGAGTAGGAAACGAGACAATGGGGCGGCAGATGGACAGGGAACGTTTTTGCGAATCGAGAAACCTGCACATGCAGGGTGTCATTCGTAAGACTAGGCACATCCAAGTCGACAGAGTAGATCGGTACAAGGGGGCGTCCGGACGTGGATGGACCGACTCAGATACGTCATGCGACGGCGCAGGGTCATGACAGTCGAAGTTGCTATCGGAGTACATGGGCTTTCGATCCCCTCAGCTGTCCTGAACCATGGGGCGATCAACGCTTGCTCATGGGCGCTCAGGACGATGGGCAGGTTATCCAACGGTGCAAACAATGTGATAATTGGCTTATCCTGTGAGTGGAATGGCTACATTGTACGGGTAGGAAACACCCACTCAGTGGATGTGTCATTGGGCAGAGCGGTAACTTCCTCCGAAATGTTGCAGCCTTCGTAAACCTGCAATCATTACCAAATGCAAATCAAAGTTAGTATTCGAACGATGGAGGAAGACGGACAATACCTACGCCAATCGCCCAGAAAATGATCGATTGTCTTGTTCTCGATCCCTAGCGGTAGATGTTCGTGCAGCTTTGCCGGGAGGTGCTATTTGTGAGGAACATGCATGTCCTAGGTTGTCCATCTAGGTCCACAGGATATTGAGGAATATTACCTCCAGATGCCGGATAAACGGTCTCTTCGTATTCACAAGCGTCGAGATAGAAATCCCTAAAACAGGATCTTGACCTGGTCGCCCATTGGCAACCACCCCAAGTGGTTTTAGGAGGACAGCCACTGCAGTGAGGAGCAGCATCAGGAGCAGACGAAGGAATGTAAGGTCTAACTACTGCTCAGACATGCTTTCACGGATCATACAGCGAACCATGGCAGTCCGCACCATCGCAGCGCCCGGTAGGTCTCAGGTAGACACACGAGGGATATGTTCCGGGATCAGCTCAGACCTGCGCAGGAAATTGTTTAGAGCGAACCCAGCCGCAGTAAGTGTGTGGAACTTCGCCAGCCCACCCCCCAGCTCGGCTAGATCCGTATGGATTGCCGTTCAGCAAGCACATCTACATGGGAGTGACGGAACTTGGCTGAAGACATGAATATGAAGTGCGAGTGAGGGGGTGAAACAGTGTTTGGGTATGTTACTCTACGAGCTGCCGGAACTTCTCCTGGATCTCATTATATAATGCGTCCATGCTCTGCTTGATTGGTTCCTTTCCTTGTGATGGCGACTGCGCATGGTATAATGAACATCTATGAAGCCGTCTACAAACAATGAGCTTACCTCGAACTTCATCTGCGACAGCTTGTACATGATGTCGCCGGCAGAGTCCCTGATACGCGCGAACGTGATGTCGCTTTGTGAAACCGCCTTGAGCGCAGCATCATGGAACGCGACAAAGTTGCGTAACATCGCGCTCGTCTTGTAGAACGGACAGAATCGGTCGTATTCGCTCATACCGTTCTGCTGGAGGAAGTCATCCTTCAGCATCCGCGCGACCTCCAGCGTGATCTTGTCCGCCTCGCCGAGGGCGCTCTTGCCAACCAATTGCACGATCTCCGCTAGATCGTCCTCCTTTTGGAGAATCTCCTTCGTCTTTGTGCGCAGCTCCACGAACCCAGGCTCGGTCGTCTCATAGTGTGGCTCGAGCACCTTCGTGTATTTGGAATACGAGATGTTCCAGTTGACGGACGGGAAATGCTTCCGCTGCGCGAGCTTTTTGTCAAGACCCCAGAAGACTTGCACAATACCAAGCGTTGCCGACGTGACAGGGTCTGAGAAATCACCACCCGGAGGCGAGACTCTAGAAAAAGGTGAATCGCTAGTCCATCTGAAAACAAAATGTACTCACGCTCCCACAATTGATACAGTACCTTGGCGAACAGGATTGCCAAGACAGGTTACCTTACCTGCTCGTTCGTAGAAGCTAGCCAACTTCGTGCCCAAGTATGCCGGATAACCTGAATCAGCAGGCATCTCTGCCAGACGACCAGAAATTTCACGCAACGCCTCAGCCCACCGAGATGTCGAGTCAGCCATCATGGATACGTTGCTGCCCTGGTCACGGAAGTATTCTGCAAGCGTGATACCAGTATAAATGGACGCCTCACGCGCCGCGACAGGCATATTGGAGGTGTTCGCCACGAGCGCGGTACGCTTCATGATAGGCTCTTGGCGGTCGCCGACCTCCATGGTTAGCTCTGGGAACTATAGCATCGTATTAGATGGAACACAATTGCAGACTCTCGCACTTACGTCCATCAACACTTCCGCCATCTATGTACACATTAGCACATCACTAAGCTGACATCCAGCTCATCTTACCTCGTTTCCTCGCTCGCCACATCCGACGTAAATGATAATATCGCTGTTGGAGTACTTGGATAGCGCTTGAGAAATGACGGTCTTTCCACAACCGAAGGCACCAGGAATAGCTGTTGTTCCACCTTGCACGCATCTAAAAACGATCGGTAAATCGATAAATAGAAGACACCTGGGACGCGACGTACGGGAACAGCGCATCCAGGATGCGTTGTCCGGTGAGCAGAGGATAATCCGCGGTGTGCTTCTCCGTTACAGGCCGAGGTGCCCGGACAGGCCAGACTTGCATCATCGTATGCTTCGTAGTTTTTCCGTCAAACTCGGTCTCCAGCACGATATCCTGGGATAATTCATGAAGCCTAGTATATAGCCGATTGTGCCAGATAGTACGTACGTCCACTGCATAACTGCCTTTCTCTGCGGTCCAGGTAATTGTACCAAGGGCGCGTGGAGAAAGCATGATCTTATGTTGGTCGACCAAGGAGTTCTCATAGACGCGTCCAAAGATGTCACCGCCGGAGATGTGGTCTCCAACCTTGTAGTACTCTATCAGAGTTGATGCGACAAATATGCGTTATATGACGTACCTTATAGTTGATTGGGTCGTAGTCCCACTTGAGTGACCGATCGAGGGCGTCTGTGTTGATTCCGCGGGGTATGTATATCGACTTGGAGAGTTCTTGAATGGACTACGGAATGATCAGCGCTGAAGACACTGCGGATGGTAGGGACATACACGGAGTGGTCGCTGAATCCCGTCGACAATATTGGACATAAGACCTAGCGAGCTGTGAGATATCATACCAGACTGCGCAGCTTATTGCACACCTGGGCCAAGCTCTACGCTCAGTGGCTTCCCTGTGCGCAAGACGGGGTCGCCGACCGTAACCCCCGATGTCTCCTCATAGACCTGAATTGTCGTCTTGTCCGCATCGATACGAATGACCTCTGCACGCGACCACTGTCAGCATACATGGGCGCATCCAACATACGTTCAGTGCCGACCTCCGACAAGCTCATCATGTCCCACACGGACGAGCTCGTACATAGCAGCTCCCGTCATGTTCTCCGCAATTACGACGGGTCCGGAGACGCCATAGACCTGGCCGAAGCGCGACTCGCGCCCCTCATCAACTATCTTGGGTAGGTCCCTCTTCGCGTTCTGGAGCGCGCCAGCCATGATGTAGATGCGAGTGAGTGCAAGTCCTGTGTCCTGGAAGTGCCCCGAACTGAGGTAGATGCGCCGAAGTGCGTCAGCGATGGGCGCGCTGCCCGAGGCCGCGTAGGGGTCTGTTTCACGTGACTGATGCACCGTATATGGACACGTAACGGAGATAAGATGCGCTACGAGCGAGGCGCGTCGTACTGACGCGTCCTCGAGCCCATTACGAATCCCTTCCACTTCCACTTGTTCTCCCATCCACATTCCGTTCACGACACAACATGGCACCCAAATCGTGCGTATATGCTACCTGCGTAACCTCACGTGTGCTAACCAGCTTATTGCAGTGACTGGGAGAAGTGTGCGTATGGTGCGGCATCCTGAGCGCATTGTTTTGACGTTCTCTGGAATGCAGGGGAGAAGAAGGCCGACGACAAGGACGAGAAGGAGATCAAAGGCACGCTTATATACCCTCTCTCTCTGCTCGATATGCTCACAGAAGTCCAGCCCTCGACGACAGTGACATCCAGATCCTGAAGACATATGTACGGTCAACTCACAGCGTTACTCCTGACATATCTAATTGAGATATAGGGCCAAGGACCATATGCTCAAAAACTGAAGAAGATTGAGAACGACATCAAGGACGCGCAGAAACGTGTAAATGAGAAGCTTGGTATGCACTCACTTGTCCATTTTGCGCTCAGAATATAACCTCTCTGTTCTTCAGGTATTAAGGAGTCTGATACCGGACTTGCTGCGCCCAACCTTTGGGATCTTGCGGTCGACCGACAACGTATGGGCGAAGAGCACCCGCTCCAGGTCGCCCGTTGCACGAAGATTATCCCCATGAACCAGGAGGCCGCCGCTGCAGCGCGGGCAGTAAACCCACAGGGCGCTCTTCAGGGCCAGAAGGGTGCCGACGAGCAAGACAAATATGTAATCAACATCAAACAGATTGCGAAGTTCGTTGTCGGCCTTGGAGACCGGGTTGCGCCAACAGATATCGAGGAGGGGATGCGGGTCGGGTAAGCCATAGTCTATGATACCCACGTACACAGACTAATGACGAGTGCAGAGTCGACCGTAACAAATATCAGATCCAAATTCCTCTGCCTCCAAAGATTGACGCGTCTGTTACCATGATGCAAGTCGAGGAAAAACCTGACGTGACGTACTCCGACGTCGGCGGTTGCAAGGAGCAGATTGAAAAGCTTCGGGAGGTCGTAGAAACGCCGCTCCTATCGGTATGTGCACCATGTTTTGGCCAGGCGTCCACCTGCTGACACGCCCATCAGCCCGAACGGTTCGTCAACCTCGGTATCGACCCACCCAAGGGTGTCCTACTCTTCGGCCCACCAGGAACCGGAAAGACGCTCTGCGCTAGAGCAGTCGCCAACCGAACAGATGCTACATTTATTCGCGTCATTGGCTCAGAACTTGTACAGAAGTACGTCGGTGAGGGTGCGCGCATGGTGCGCGAGCTGTTTGAGATGGCACGGAGTAAGAAGGCATGTATCATATTCTTTGACGAAGTCGACGCGATTGGTGGTGCACGATTCGACGATGGTGCTGGTGGAGACAACGAAGTGCAGCGGACGATGTTGGAGCTCATCAACCAGCTGGACGGGTTCGATCCGCGAGGGAACATCAAGGTGCTGATGGCGACGAATCGGTGTGTGCAATCATATCAAGGACCCTCATCTTGTGTTGAACGTCCATTTACAGACCCGACACGCTGGACCCTGCTCTTCTGCGTCCTGGTCGGCTAGATCGGCGCGTCGAATTTTCACTACCTGACGTGGAGGGCCGTGCAAGCATCCTCCGAATCCACGCAAGAAGGTTGGTAGTTTTTGGTCAAGCTGTACTGTACACCGCTGACATGTGCCTTAAAGTATGAGCTGCGAGCGTGACATCCGGTTCGACCTGATTGCTCGACTATGTCCCAACACGACGGGTGCCGAGTTGCGATCGGTTGCTACGGAAGCGGGCATGTTCGCAATTCGTGCACGGCGGAAGGTCGCGACAGAGCGTGACTTCCTCGATGCCGTCGAGAAGGTCGTGCGACAAGGCACGAAATTCTCTAGCACGTACGTGTTTCCCTCGTTTATTGCATGGTTGGCCGGCTGGCTAACGGGAATATTCTCCAGGCCTCTGTACCAGGTGTATAATTAGATTCTCGTTTCTTACTATGTTGCATTTATGACTCGTATCAGTATGTGGATGTGATTATGGACACTACGCCATGAGATCTAGTAATGACAATAGCCTCGTATTCGAGGATGTCTCATTAGTGAGTCAAGAAGAGCGTTATGACAATATCAATGCGGGCGCAATCATGGCGCTGGCGCGGTTGGTCGACGAGCGTTCGCCATGAGAGGACTGCATTTCTATTCATTGCGACCTCCAACACGCTCTAGTCTGCAAGGCAACACATTCCCCTGCCGTTTTGAACATCGCAGGTCTCATATTGGAACGCGTAGAACTCTACATCTGCGGCCCAGTGACTACGAAGATGGAGGGATATCTGCAGCAGAGCTCTCGCGGCTCATGGAGGAGCACGCTGAACAGCCTCCCCGCCCGCTCACGCTCTCTACGCTCCTCTCGCTCGCCGACCCGGTGACCCCAGAGTCCGTCTTAACCTCCGTCCGGTATGTCACCAACGAAATACCCCGCCGCATGGCTATGCGTGCCCGCTCCCTCGAGGCGCTCCCCTACATTGTGGGCATGAACCCGTTCATTGCACGCACCCTAGAGGCGTACCGCAAGAGCTTCCGCTTCTTGACAACGTACCCACCTGTACAGACCCTCGAGGATAACCAGCGCCTGACGGCTGAGCTCGATGGGCTCGTGCAGAGTCATGCAAACGATATCCCCACCATGGCAAAAGGGTGAGTACCATTCATTCTACAGGAACCTCACTGCGATTGTCCCTTCTGTACGATGGTGACACCTGCTCAGTGCTTCATGATGTAGCTTCCAGGAATGTGCCCGCTACTTGACTCCGGAGCAAATTAGCACCTTCCTCGACGAGGCCATCCGCAACCGCATCGCCGTGCGCCTCATCGCGGAGCAGCACATCGCGATCTCGCGTGCCCTCGAGGAGGGCGGCGACTTGAAGGATCACCACGGGGTCGTCCACCTCTCCTGTTCGCCCCAGGACATGATTCGCATGTGCGGCTCCTGGGTGAGCGACCTCTGCGAGGCGACACTCGGCGCACACCCCGAGATCATCATTGATGGCGAAGTGGATGCTACGTTCGCGTGAGTACCTTCGCACTATCCATTCAGCGTAGACCTTTACGACGGGGCTCCGCATAACGCGACAGGTATGTCCCTGTGCACCTCGAGTACATCCTCACGGAGATCCTCAAAAACGCATTCCGTGCGACCGTCGAGCGGCATGCCCGCCAGCCTTCCTCCATCCGCACCTCGCCGGTCCCGCCCGTCCGCATCACCATCTCGCCGCCCCCGTTGACCCCCATTCCACGCCCCCGCTTCCTTTCCATGCGCGTCCGCGACCAGGGTGGCGGCGTCTCCCCTGCGCATCTTGCGCAGATATTCTCATACTCCTTCACCACCGCGGGGCGTGCGACAACGAGCCCTGGCGGCGGCGTCGGGTGGGACGATCAGGAGACTGGGGGCGGCCCATATGCCGCGCAGCACGTCGGGGGAAGTGCGGCCATCGGCGGCATAGACTCTATGGGCGGCGCCGGTGGTCTGTTCGCAGAGATGACAGGACGTGGAGTGCAGGTGGGGATGGGAACAATTGCCGGGCTCGGATACGGCCTGCCTATGAGCAGATTATATACGCGGTGCGTGTGCTCCTGAAGCGTATTGTATGTTGCTGATGTTGCTGCAGTTATTTTGGTGGCTCCCTCGATCTCATGTCTTTGGATGGCTGGGGTATGTGGTGTATAATCGCTCAATGTGCACTGTTTCTGATCCTAGCTGCTTAGGGTGTGATGTATTTCTCAAGTTGCGATGTCTGGACGATGCAGGAGACGTAGAGATATGAATGGAGTAAAGTAAATATGCTTTCTTGCTTCCAGGGTAGTCTGTACAAGTATCACGTCCAGAACCCCAATGAGCGGCATTGAATCCAGCTGTATTGGTATGCAGAATTGTGATGCGAGTACGTATACGGTGGTCAATTAACAACAGTAGGCACGACCAGTGTCACGAGCGAGCAGATCAAAGCGATGGGGTGCTGATAAAATACAGAGAACCTGGGGTATGCAGCAATGTGGGATAAGACCAGACCAGCTTGGAAGTTGTCAGCGTGCTATGTAATGTAATGTGCAGATAGGGAGCAGGTTCTACGGAGAAAAGCGGATAGGGTTCGTGAGGGCAAAGCAACATCAGGGCATGATCATTTCGCGGCCTAGAAGGATAGTCAGATGAGTATCACATTGAAAATGACGTTCATAATTCACCATTGTCCGATTAGAGTGATAGGACGACAACGACTGTGCTTGCGACGTTCTGTATGTTCGTGATGAACCCAGAGTAGAATGAACCGAACTCGATCCACTTGGCGTGTTGGGGACAGTGCCATTCGTGCGGGTGGTACGGGCTGTCAGGGGAGTAGGGGCACTGATCATAGACTTCTTTGGTGTCTCGGTGACCTTGCTCGTCCGAGAAGCAAAGTTTGAGGTCGAGGTCAGTAACGCCTTTGCTGTACCGGGAGTTGGACTGGCGATTTTGGCACGCCGGCCGGCGGTGATGAAAGGATGTCGTAACGCCGCTTGGGGCTTCACTCGTCGCTCCGGGTCCCAGACCAGACACTTCGAGATGAAATCGATGAATAGTTCATCGTCGCACCGTAAAACTTGGGCCAGACTTTTAGAGCCAGGTCTTCGTCTCTTCCCCTTGGAGTTGACTACCGGCCGAGGAGCACCAGTGGTATCTACGACAAGACATTAGATTAAGGTTTATATGCGAACCTCTAGTGAACAGTTCTTACCAAAGAAGAGCCTCTTGCGTGAACTGCGGTTGACGAAGTCTTTGTCCGGCACACCAAGGACTTCCATGATACAAGAGAGCTGTTCTTGCTCGTTCTCTCCGGGGAAGATAGGGAACCCTGTATAAAGCTCGGCCATGATGCAACCCAGACTCCACATGTCGATGGCCATATGGTAGTTCATGCCCAGAATGACTTCAGGAGATCGATAAAACCGACTTTGTATGTAGGTGTAGACTGAAGATGACGTTAGTTCACCGATGGATCGCAGGAAGTGATTTGTCCCACTCTTCTCGTGCTCGAAGCAGCTGCTACCAAAGTCAATGACCTTGATGGCGCTCTTGGCAGGATGCCGGAGGAGAACGTTCTGTGGAGATTTGTGAGACACAGGTATCACTATACTATGTAATGCATACTTCGGGCTTCAAGTCACAGTGAACAATACGATGATGCCGCATCAGCGAGAGTGACTGCAACATTTGGCTTGTGAAACGACGAATGAGTCCCGTGGTGAACCCGACAAAGCCGTTGGCCTTGATCAACTCGTAGAGATTGATGCTGAGCAATTCCATGGCAATGCACAGATGGTTGCGGAAGTAGAAGTGTTCAGTCATTTTTATAACATGATGCTTCTCATCCTCGTCCTTAAGTCTTCCGTCAGTACGATCTCAGCCATAACGTGCGTAAATGCTCACCCATTTGCGGAGGCTATCCAAGATCTTGATCTCTACGAGGGCTTGGTGGTGGAACCGCTTCTTGTTTCGGATGATCTTGATGGCTACAGATTCACCAGTGCAGTGGTCGCGACAATGCAGCACCTGTCCGAAAGATCCCTTGCCCAATGTATCGATGACTTCATAACGGTATGCCAGGTGGTCACGATTGACGACAAGATAGTCACCACGCTCATCGTCATATCCATGATTGTTCGTAGAGTTATCGACAGTGGCTGGTTTTTTGTCACTGTGAGCACCAATGTAATAGACCGATGGGTGATCGAAAATCTCCTTGCGCTCATAGTTCGAAAGGTATTGAGCTTGAGAGCTTTTCAGAACAGCTGAAAACAATGTCAATATCTGATAAGGAAACTATTGAGAGTGTACCAACCTTGTGGGGAGAGCGGCGCGGCTGGAGGAATGGGCTCTGGGAAGCGTAACAAAGCGTCAAGATCCTCCTGAGAAGCACCAGTCGCTAGCTTCTTCGCTTGTTGCCTCCTAATGTATTGCAACATTTCCTCATCTCCCACTAGCTCCTCCTCATCGATAGAGCTTGGAGCAGGTGAAGGCGTGGACAGGGACTGCCGGCTTGCAGAGGGAGACGCCATAGCCTGCTGGATGCTGTGAGACGACGAAGAGTTCGATGACCTTGAGGTAGGAAGAGACATCTTCGGGCTAAGTAACTTGAGACCCTTTGAAGGGGACAGCGCAGAGAACCGATGCGATGTTTGGGGCTCATTCTGCTGTTGTTGCGCAACCGAAGACACAGATGCTACAGAACCAGTGGAGGACTTCCGTAAACCGGCAAAAGACATCGAGTCACGGTTCTTGCGTGGGATAGAACCGTTAACAGTAGTGGAGGAGGGTGCCGAAACCTGACGAGGGACACGCGACGACGAAGTGGACGGAGACGCCCGGACTGAATGACGTTGGCTCGATGTGGGTACCTTAGATGGAGTCTGGCCGGTCTCAAGGACACCAAATTCGTTCATTGACTCGTTGCCCGCAGTCGGTGACGTGCCACGAGACGGTGCAAAAACCGTGTTGCTCACTAGGAGACTTGCTCTCCGTGCTGTTCCGTTCGCCTTGAGTGTGGGGGAATTCGTCGCAGAGGACCGACTCGAGATCCGCGGAATCTTTGTAGGTGTCTCCTTCGACAAGGAAGCAGTAGGGTTCAGAGACGAAGGAGGCGGAGGATCTCTAGAACCCTCTCTTACATGAGAGCTGACGCTACCAACCGACGGCGAACCAGCAATAGTGGGCAATGGATTACGAGTGCGGACTGATGTGTCAGGTCCCTTCTGCGACGAGCTGACAGTTTGAGACGTCACTCGTGAAGACGTCAGTCTGGACGTTGACGTCGAAGATGTAGGCGCATTCGAGTTCAGCGAAGAAGAGGAAGACTTCAAACTTGCTACTCGTTGAGCAGTCGATGCGGATAACGCCGACATTTGCATAGGAGGCAACGGCACTGGCTCAGTCTTTTTGGGCTGTTGCGCAGAAGACAACGTCTTGCAAACCAATGGTAAGTATTACGCTTCACATCTTTATAATAGATAGTTACCTTCCCCCGCTTTCTTCCTAAGTAGGCAGATATCCTGCTCTCACTTCGCTCTTTATCTTCTTTCCGTGACTTGTCCTTATCGGAATCCCGAGCTTTATCTTCCTTACCGCTCCTAGCGTCGCCTTTCTCCTTGTCAGAATGCAAGCTGCGCCGTGAGCTAGATCCTTTCAACAAAGAAGGAAGACCAAGACTCAGGACTGATGACTTCTTGTGCGAGGGGCTTGTCACTGAAGGAGAAGAGAGACTCGTTTCCTTTGGAGGAGATTGACGACTCGGCGCCCGGAGGTAAGTTGAAGATCCCGCCTGGCCAGAAGATGTAGGCGAAGGAGGAGGCGGCATTGATCGAGACGAGGGCACCTGGATAGACTGCGACGACGAACGCCGGATGAACGGAATCGACGGGATCGACGAAGGAGTCAGTCGTTTCGAAGAGGGAGCCTTTCTCATTGACGACGACGGGCTAAGAGGCGCCTGTGGGGCTAGAGTTGGTACGTTAGTGCTCGCACTCGAAGTAGTACCGCAACTGGCAGAACGATCGGGCGTCCGCGAAATTGCGCCTGGCGGTTGCAATGAGGTCCCAGAAGCATTGGTAGGCAAGGAGCCCTTCCCAGAACCCACAGAGGAAACCGAAGCCAATGATGTTGCTGACGCCATTGCGACGGAGTTAATTGGTGACCACTCTTCAGTAGACATCTTGGACGTAGGAGAAACAGGATTTTCCTTCGAAAGCGACTTCCTGATTTGACCACCGAACGTCAGTGAGCGAGGACTGATGGGGAACCCAGGAGACTTTGACGATGCTGAGTCCTTCACGGAGGTCATGGAGGATATCGACGGTGAATTCGTCAGCTTCTTTCCAAGTGGATTGGTGAAACTCCATTTCTTCGACGGCGTCTTCTGAACATTTGCTGGAGTGGACGGCTGATGCACCTGAATTGAGCTGTGCTTCGAAGGCGTGGTGGGGAAGGAAGGAACCTCAAGCGACATCTGGAACGACATATCATTCATTGTCTCACGTTTAGACCTTGCGACAGGGCCAGGTTCTTCGCCGGAAGACACAGCTTGCACCTGAGACGGTACCTTGTAGTGCGAGATATCCTTGGGTAGAGGGGGCACAGGAGGGACCTCGTTCTCTTCGAGCACGTCGGAAGTGCCAGCAAGGGCTGCAGCCCGGTCGCGCACTGAGGTAGCGTCACCACTCGAAATGTCGCTTCCCGCGCTGTTCCTCTTGTTCTTACCGATTGAGTGGCGGCCAGACGTAGCAGATACTGACGTAGCAGAGGTACTGATAGACAGAGTAGCAGAATCACGCGAACTGGTCGTGGGAGTGCTCGTGTATGTGCCAGACGAAGCGGAGCCGCGCTTCGGGGTACGAGTGCTAATCGAGTTCGACTTCTTGAGCGGCCTGTCCGGCAGCGGCGAGCCAGTCTGTACCTCTTCGCCTGAGGTAATGGGCGTGCCGTGGCGCTCAGCGTCCACTGAAGTATCCGCGATACCCAGTCCAACGACTTGACGATGGACTACTGGCGAATCTTTGAGCTTATCCTTGTCCTTGGAGTTGCGAGTACTCGCGCGTCGGCTGGTACTTGCACCTTCAATGCCTTCCCACTGGCTCGTGTGCGACGCAGGAGTGCCGGGCCGACTGGAACTTGCGACTCTGCTCTGTATACCAATGCTGGACCTGACACGAGCGCTCCGACCAGAGATGCCGTCCAACTTCCTCAACGCCTCGACGGTTGCTTGATCGTCCAAGTCTTGCCAACCCTCTTGGTTGCCCCGCAAAAGCGAATGGGCTACGTTTGAAGTAGCGTGAGGCAGCTCACGCTCCCGGGAAGAGCCACGTAGAGGCGAGACAGCTGCACTGCCCGTACCACCATGTTTGAGGAATTGCTGAATGGAAGACGAGGAAGGAGATGGGGGTAAGTGCGAGAAATCAGAACCATGGGCTCGGCGCGTGTGGTGCGCCTCCCCGTGGCTAGAAGATGAAGAACTCGCGGACGCCTGTCTGGAGTGCTTGACTGTCACCGATAAGGTGTCCCTGCGGCCCTTGATTTTCTCTTTGGTAGAGGCGGTCGACGGTGAAGTTACTCCTAGACTCCTGTGCCTTCGCACGGAAGTCTTATCCTTCTCCTTTGCGGTGGTCGACGCTGGATGAGAAGCATGCTTGGTCGTCAAAATACCTCCGTCATCCATCTCGAATTCTTCAGATGTCCGCTTCTTCGCGCGGTGCGCGGACGTGGTAAATGCACTCGGTGGTGGAGATCCGCGACCCATGTGTGATGCGTACAACGAAGCAGCAGCATCGGACTCGTCGAACAGTTTCGCATTCTGGAATAAATCGAGATGCTTGGAGCTACTTCCGCTGTCAAGCGGGTGCGGATGACGAGGATAGAGGATCTCCTCGCCGCCGCTTTCGTCGGCCGCCGAGCGTCGCGATCGTAGTGCTCGCGAGACGGGCTTCACATCCAGCAGCTAATGAAAACAGGCGATCAGAACGTGCCGCAGCCGATCTGCGCAAAACACCAACCTCGTCCTTCTCATCTGCCTCTCCATCGACAGCCTCAATTGTCCAGGGACTGTCCGGCAGGTCCATCTCCATATCCAACGCAGCGACTTCGACAAATCCATCATCTAATTCTTCTTCCTGAATTTCGTCCACCTGGTCGTCAATCTCTATCTCCTCCTTACGCGGCGCTCGCACCCAGCGGGGGGTAGCAAGCTCTCCCACACCGACCAGTCCTCGTCTGTCAATGCTCGCAGGATCCTTGCCTGGAGTGACAGGTTCGACATGTGAGCGCATCTCGGGTGTCTTGAGCGTGTTGTGCACGGTGGGTACCGCAGGAATAGGCGACACCGCCGGAGTTTGAACACTGAAGTAATAGGGATCCAGAGACGATGTGGCAGAGGCAGAACGCGGCTGCTCGGCATCCGTCTCCAGGAGGTGCTCTCCGGTGGTATGGGCGCGAGGAAAGGGCTGAGAGTCATGCAGCGTCAGTGTGAACGCACCGATGGCTCTTAGCATATAATCATACCCTGTGTGCATCCCTGATGACATCGCGCTCGTATCGTACATCCCCGTCCGACGACGCCGTGGGATCAGCTAAATTCAGCGTTGGAGGCCTGTCTCTCCTTTTCGTACGTCGCTTGTCGTGAGCCGCTTGTCCAGCATTGGGGGACGGAGGAGCAGACATGTGAGAAAGAGAGAAACGAGTGAGCGAAGAGAAAGAAAGACAGCGTCGACGACGGAAGGGAAACCAAGACTGTTAGAATTAACCGTTACGCAAATTTGGGGAATGTATGGAAATAGCTGAGGGGCGGAAGACGGTACCAGCTGGCCGTTGAGCTCAGATGGAGGACGCCCTGTCCGGTGGGCTTGACATTTCAGGGCGATCTCGACACAAGAGCTCAACGGCCTCGTGTTGTTTGGTCCTATTTATTCCCCGTGGCACATTGTCTCACCAAACTAGTTACACGCCCTTCTGCGGGTGATCAACGTTCTCCGTGGTATCTCATTTATATCACCAGTACTCTATACGGATGCAACAGCAGGATGCCCGGGACTAGGTGTGCTACCGACAACCTACCGGGGCGGGGGCGACCCGGTCGTCGTGTTCCAGGCCGGGCCCGAAGGCACCTCCCATGTCCCATGACATGCGTATTCCCAGTCGGTCTCCTGTATGATCTCTTTCTGTGCTTCCACGAACTGCGCAAGAGAGCACATCCCGTCCTTCTGCTCCGGACACCCCCTAATGCCTGTCAGAGGGACCACTCCGTCGTTGATAATGATTCGGATTTGCGGATCAGGTACCGAGCTACACGACAACACTGTACCGCAGGGTTCAAAGCGTCAGCGATACACGGTCGCTTGTGCAAGTCACGATGACGCGATACATACATTGGAATTGGATATTCGTGGCGAATGGCGCTAAATGCGATGCCTTGAAGGAGTGATTGGGGGGTATGTGATCCGCGGGCAGCGGGCCATTCGCAGCCAGCGTTGTCAAATTGAGTGCAGTGATTACTAGATCAAGTAAATAGAATGAGCAACCATGAGAAATCCCACCATGCCAATTCATCTCACCGTGCAAAACGACGACCTCGTGAGTCGCATCCACGTAAAGGCTCTGGTCCAGAGGGAATGTTACGTCACTATCATCCAGCGTGGCATTTGTCGAGGTGTTGTGCGTCTCGATCCGAGTGTGTGTGAGACGTGAGACGAGTTCCTGAACGTAACCTATGCCAAGGACCTTCGCGAGAGGTGCGCCAAACGCAGAATCATACCAGAAATACAAATCCATGCTGCAATAGGTTCTGGTTATCTCTGACCGTCGTGGTTTGAGCCATGAATAGCACGCACGCGTAATCAAAGCCTTCCCATTCTTCCTCGGTAAACAATTCACAGAACTTGGAATAGCCAATAGCAACAGTCTATAGGAGAATATCAACATGAATTAGCTTATGATATATCAAGAACATTTACTGACCTCATATGCGCACATCTGTTGGAAGGTATACACATCCTCGATGGTCATATTATAGCCCTTCAACTGGGGGGAGAGTCGAGCAAGCGCGTCCTTGAGGTAGATCGATGCCCACTGCTCCACATATGGGAATGCACGGTCTGCCTTCGTTGAAAATGCTGCATTCGGGCATCTATAGAGCGGGTTCAATACCAGGAAGCAGTCCTGTTCACAATAACTTACGTCTTGTACGGCGCGAGGGTATTGTTGTACTGTTGGCAAATCATGAGGGATCATGACGAGTTTCTGGAAGCTTCCGCACTTACACCGTTTTCCTCGATGGTGATACTCTGCTGGTATTGCCCCTCGAATGGGTAGCCAAAGAATCCAATAGCGAAGTTAAGAGCCGAAGCCAGCATGCGATCCCTAGTGTCGATGTGTAAGATTGACACAGGTAGGGAAATTGTCTCGACCTACTGAGACTCCGTCCGGAAGACGGGAAGAGTGTTGCTCTCCGTGAAGTTCTGCATGCGATTATTGAATAACGGAACACACAGCCCAAGATTTACCCACCTTGAGCAAGTAACCATATTTCATCCGCGTGGACACGCCAAGGTCGACTAGGAGGCTGTATTAGATTTGTGAAGTAGACAAGCAGTAAAGTGAAATACACAGTTGCTGACGGCCGAAGGGAGTCAAGACTGTTGGGAACGTGAGCAAGCCAATGTTTGCCAAAGAGCATGAGAATACCTACTCTCCTCGCCAAGCTTGTATGTCCTGGAAGCGGGATCGGGATTAGCAGCACAATATATGTCACGAATGGCATCCGTACCAATCATTGAGGAACGACAGATCCCCACTTGCTGTCCATTTGGAAGCTACCTTGTTGAGCCTTGTAGCGAAGTTGGCGGGACCACCATACGATGCTATGAATAAGTTAGCAATGCGTTATCAAGCACCGCGCCAACGCATCCGGCATGTCTATAGTGCTCGAGCTTAGCAAAGTGTAGTAAATCGCCATTGCGCTTGCAAAATAAGCGAACTCATACTATCACAAGTAGAGTGGTCTCATTCAAGAGGAGTTGATTGAAGTACTTACCCCAGCCAGTTGGGTACCGCGCTCCATGGCGGTGAAGGAGGTGCAAGCCAGTGACACGACAAGTGTCAGGAGCTTCGGGGCTAGAGTCCAGTCCGAATGCGCTCTTCCCTACGCTGAACCAAGGCGACAGGTTTCCCCAATGTTTGAACAGGTCAAAGTCGCTCTTATTAGCACTCGATTTGCTGAAAGTAGGCGAAACAAGATGTGCAGCTCCGCTATGAATAGGATATGACGGCGCTGTAGCAATCAGCGCTGGCTCTGCGCCCGTTGGAGTAGGCCCAGCATGGCCAACCTCAGTAGGAAACATTGAAGGAAAGACATTGGTGGGAGTCGCTGGCGGGAATTGATGAACCTCAGTGGAACCGACATATGGAGGTGCCAATACGTTAGCGTGTGTCGAGGAAGTGGTGTCTGTGTTTCCGCCAAGCCAGTGACGGGGGCCGATGAGGACTTGTAGGAGCAGACATGTCAAGACACCGGCACAGAACGCGACGCACGGCTGCCAGGAGATGCGGGACGCGAACGTCGAGCAGGTGAACGCGGACCTCGGTCTTGGTTCGGCGTTGCACTCTTGCTCGGTGGTCGGCAGGAGAGCTTGACTCTCCGGATCGGAAGAGTGATGCTCTTTGTATTCGTCCCCGCCCTGCTCGTCCCTGGGCCACGGGTTCATGTCGATGCTGGGTTTGGTCGAAGCGGGAGAAGTCAGGCAAGCGCCGGAGACCGACGTCCTCGTACGCGTGCGCCCATAACTCCCGCGGCTTCACCATATATGGAAGGCATGGTAATTGTCCCTCAGCCATTGGCAGCCATTCCCCGGCACACTTTTGACTCATGGGGCACTCCGGAAGCTGAGGATGGTACATCTTACATCATGATAAATTATTACCGTTGCAGATCATCATCGCCGAAGCCAAATGGTAATAGAACGACTGAACACCTGATACCAGTGTGCAACCCGACAATCGAGGCAAAACCGGATTCAGATTGTTCTCATGAATGACATGCGTGGATCCAGACAAGCGGTGTATGATTGAAACATAACTTAGTAGGTATGTTACTATTTCGTAGACGTGAGGAGCATGACCAGGGATGGTAGGTATGCTTCGGAAAGTGCAGATAGGTAGAATTCGTGTTCCGAATTATGAGGTCCCACAAGGTTGTGTGCAATCTCATGCGCTAGTGTAAAGTACCTGGTTAAGGCTTATCAACAAGCATGTTTACTGACAGGAAAAGTGTGCCATACCAGGAGATGTAAGCATCCGTCAGTTCCCCGGTCTGCACTGCTGGGTCATCTGGGTTTTATATGAGCCTATGAACAATGGTGTCAGGACGACGGTAAACTTACGCCATGCTTCGAAGTATCGTAGATTTAGGAACAAGCTAGCATTCCGATTGAATGCGATACGTGGGCCTTCTGAGTCGTAGTAAATGTGTATGCTTGATGCCGATAGCCTGTACACCTCGCAAAGAGGACGTATCACGTAAATGAAACGTGCTATGGTTTCAGACTTAGTCGACATGAGCGACTTCGCATCCGGCACATCTATCAAATTGTGAGCATCAGAATAAAGTAGAAATTACAGGACGGACATACCTCGGGATACATAAACCTTGACGCCACCCATATCGCCTGCAAGAGCATGAGTGAAGCTATAACATAAGTCGCGACATCTTGCACACCGATAAAGATGAGATCAATTGCTTCCCCAGAACCATCGCAATAGCCCTCATTCAGTGTCTCCTTGACCATTTGCATATTTTCTCTAGCTCTTACTTGCTGACTGTTCTCTTGTTTGCAGGCATCAACGGCCATTGCAATATTTGCAGCTAAAAAGATGAGAACTACATCAATGAAAGAGACATCGCGCAATGGGTTTTGCCCACCTATATTGCGCCGCGGCGTGACACCTTGGTGCGAGTCTTGACGACCCATGTCACTCAGTCTCCCTGGCGATAGAGTCCTTGGCGGAGGCATAGGTGGTGGCGCTAATCCGGTTTCGTCAGGTTGAGGATGTGTCTCCTTGTTGCCTGCTGAGTGCGGATCTACGGCAGTCCTCGTGGGTGGAACGGAGTCGTTATTGGAGCTGCGAGATGCGTCATCACCGCTGTGGAACATCCGTTTTCTCCAGTCATCAAGAGACTGCCGGAACATGGTCGACGGTCCCGACACCCGCTTGAGAGCATCCATAGCCGTGTTCTGCGGCGACTCCGTGATACCCGATGGAGAAGTCTGAGCCGCTGGTAACGAAGGGAGGGGTGGTGTAGGAGCCACAGGCCCCGAAGGCGGTTCGGGGGTAGCGCGAGAGACAAGCGCTGTGGATTTTGCCTTCTCCTTATTAGCTTCTTCCTGAGCGTCGCGTTGTGCCTTCTGCTGGCGAAGTATCCTGTCGACTACGGAAAATTAGACCGCCTCGTGGACGATGATGCATATATACATACCATTGTAACCCCTCCTGCGCAAAGCCCGCAAGTCGGTGGACAAAATAGTCATGAATAGGAGAGCATCATTGACTTTGGCTGATTCAAAGATCAGTCGGCACATTGACGTTGCCACCCTATACATTGTTGGCGTTGATTATGGGCGATATAGCAGTCAAAGTAGAAGTGCTTACTCATACATATCCACTTGATCGTTGCCAGCCAGCCAGAGTTCGATGGGTCCACGTCCATCTCGCTTTGCTACGGCGGACGTATCTTGGCTCCTTGTGGCGCGGATGCTGCCAAATTGTAGTGTCTTGATGACCGAAAGCTTGCCGAAAGTCCTTACGACGAAGTTCGTCTCATTGTTGAGCCAGGTGTAGGACACGCGCGGTCGAGAATGTGTGTGCTCGTGTAGAAAGAGAGGCAATCGCTCAAGGATCAGGGATCGGATTTCCGTAGCTTTCCGAGAGCCTCGGACCTCAGCACTGGTTCGATATTCCTCACGAACAACGGAGCTGAGAAGTTTGGAACCCAGTTGCAAATAGAATGCTTTGTATCCATCAGCCGTGATTCTGGAAGAATCAGGTTTAAAACAGTGTACGAACCTTCCAAGAGATCTTCCTGAGGCGCCGTGAAGATGGAAGTCCCGAATGACTGGTAGGCATGTGTATCGTCCGCAATGACGACTTGTTCAGGAGACAACAGATCGTACTCAAGATCCCAGTCATCCTCATCGAGGTCACCGTGACTATCCAATGCCGGCGAAGCCTTTTGGGCAGACTTGTCCTTCTTAACTCGGCGCGATCCAAGCAACACAGGTGCTCTTTTGAGTCGTGTGATAGTGGTCGTCGATATCAATCGGTTATTCACGGCGATGTTACGGAGCTCTGCGAGGTAACTAATGAAAGAAAGACATTAGTATTGCAACATCGCTTGTGAGACGCCGCCGTACTTATCACGACCGTCTGCCAGCTCGTAGAACTTTCGCGGATCTTCAAGCAGTATCTTAGCGATCTCTTCGACCGACGGCTCGTGTTTGGTTCCACATGCGCTCAAAAACTGATTCGCCTGATTACCGAAGTCGACGAAGACAAACAATTTAGAGTGAAACTGGACATTCGAGGTGCCGCTGAAATAACATTGACTCGGAGGCAGCATACGCGTATTGCCACCCTTGACTTCCCCGGCTGGGACAAATGGCAGGGTAGACAGCTTCTTCAATTGGGCCGGCGTGAAAACTAGCATGGTGGAGATCAGACTGTTGATACAGCGGGATGAGGGCGAAACTACCTGTGACTCGACTAGCCAGCACGCTAAACCATTCTCTAGCAGCCGGGATTGTATTTGGCGGCGATCTTTCTAATAGATTCACTAGAGCCGTCGTGGGAGGATGTTCGGGAATCTTCAGTTTTGCCACAGCATCTGACGGAAGAGTGGGGTCCACTACAAGGAAGCCAAGCTGGGCCCAGCTTGATGAGGTATACACCTACCTCAAGTTTAGAGACGATCATATGAAATATAGCCGCGACACAAACCTCGAAAGGCTTGGCCAAGCAACGTCCACCGTTCTTGATGGTGGGAACGAAAGCTGTGTTTTGAAATGTACCAGGGTCATAGTCAGTATACCTCGTTGCCAGGTTGCTCAAAAGATATTGTAGAGCCGTGGAGCGAATGTCCTGGTCTTGGCTAGTGCAGAGCTCGATGACAACAGGTAGAGGAGGGAAGCGACGCAATCCCAAGCCGTAAAGGAATTTCGCTGAAGACCTGTCAGCTAGGCTGCTTTTCCTGGCATAAATAGCGGTGCGTACCTTCTTCTGAGTTGGGACGCCACCTTGGCTGCTCGCCCCATGCAATGATAGGAAGTCCCAGCTTCCGTAAGATATCCAAGGGCTCGTAGAGATCGCTGGCTTTGTATCTGGTAGCTTTGTTGTCTTTGCTGTTGCCTGATTCGTCTTCTTTCAGGAATGCGGCCGTCATACGAAGACGGTCTGTCTCCAACGGCGACAGAGTGGACTGCACAGCGACTAGATACTTAATAAGTTCGGCAATTGTCCAGTCACCGGTCTTGATCATCCTACAATACCACGTCACTCGTGATGCACATCCCAATACTCTACTAAGCTTACCTGTTGAACACTATCTGGAGATCGACGTGTTTGCGCACCCCAAGTGCCTGCAACACCTTTTCCAAGGGCCCTTTCACAGGTGCGTCGGATGGCATATGCACGATAGGAAGGTCGCGAAAGACGTGGGCACTCTGGAAGTATGCTTCTTGAGGTGTCTTCAACCCGGCTGTTGTGGGTACACAACTCTTGTCCCGCACCAACGCAACAATTTGTTCCTGAACGTCTTTGGACAGATGCTGCCATGCTCGAGATATCACTTGAAGAACGCGTTCAGCCCATTGAGCCGACTTCGTAAAATCATGCTCGACGTCAAGGCCTGACGCAGCAGGGTCGCTGATAGGTTGAAGCCATTCGAGAATGGATAATTCTCTCCATGCGAAAGCTGAGCTGAGCTGCCTGGTATCGAGCTGTTTGCTTATACCGACGGGAAGTAGGTGTGGTGGTAGTGGTCCGTCGGTAGGCACGATCGCCCCCGGCATTGCGCGCGTATTGAGGAATGTCTGAATGGAAGACATAGGGATCACCTTCCCGCCCTTGCTTTGCGTCTCGCCGATAAAGAGCAACGCAGCATTTAGTAGTTCACTCCGGATTGTTGCGTATTTCTGGGCATCGACCTGCCCTTGCATTCCCGTCCACCACTTGAGACACATCACCATTTCCGCTTCCGTAAGAGGTCTCGCTCGCAACTCTTGAAGGACATCGACGAACTGGATGTCACGGATCATCCCTCGGGTGCGCAGAGCCCCGACGATCATCTCCGCTCCCGTCGTGACTTCGCCTGGCAGTACAGGCAGCTCCTTGAGAAATTCCATAAAAACTGGGTCAGGACGGCGGACGTCGGCTGCGCTTCGAACACCACGAGTAGATATGATCGGAAACGGGTGGTTCGCCGCACATGAGAAGAAGGCTGCTTCAAGTTTGGCGGATACAAGCGAGGAGGGAGTTGAAGGACGGAAAGTGAAGAATTTGAGTGCATGTATCGCACGGCCCCGTAGCCATGTTTGAAGCTCTTCGTCCGGGAGGGCTGTCCCGCCATCGCCCCTTGCAGATTCGGCTGCGGCCGTCCATAACTGGCGGATATTGTCCATCTCGAGCTCATAGGCTGCCCGAGCCACGAAACCGCCGATATGGAGCAACTCCTCATTCCACACTGCATTCTATGGTCAGATTGAGTTAAGGCATGAAGGCTCAACATAACCAACCTGCTACAGTGCGATCCCTACAAACTCATCGCTCATCAGGTATACTGTGTAAGTGGATGAGCGGAACTCACATCAAGTCGATAGACTCTCGTTCGACCGTCGGGATAAATCTCGCAGCGAGATGTCCGGCGAGACCCGTCGTCTGTCCCGTCGAGTGGCCCTGTCGACACGTGTCAATGGCGCATTCATTATGTAACACTTGATCACTCACAATGAAGACTTTGGCTGCGCCAGCACTACGAAGGTGTCAGTCACAGGGCGGCAAAGCTTTGTGATGTAAAGGCTCACCCTTCAATATCAGCTCTGAGACCTTGGAAGACACTGCCGGTGCTCGCGGGCTGCCGGTCATCCTCTTTCCTACTCGCGTCATATTCGTCTTTACCTGTCTGTGTCCGTCGATATTCGATAGTCAGTAAGACAAGAACCGGAAGAATAGCTCCGGACTAACATAGATAAGCTCCAGACGCATAGTGGTAGGTGGATTCTTCTTTGTCGCACGATTAAGCTCCGACCTCAACTTCTGGTCGAGTCTCACGGCAATGCCTGCTGTAAAGATCAAGAGCACGACGCTCGACTCCGTGATCGTTGTGGGATCGACTTCTTCCGTCGGGTTAGCGGCGGGAGAAGGTGTAAGAGGACGCTGAGGGGCGCTCGTTCCAGACAAAGTGGAGAAAAGGGACGAGAAGAACCCGCTGGGTCCGGCGGTGGCGGCAGCAGCAGCCTTGACTAGCGTTTTGCTAACAGGCTTCTCACTTCCCGCCATGTAGACCCATCTCATTAACTCGGCCTTGATAGACAACGCTACCCAGTAATGAGCCCACAAAAGCGCGAAATGATCACCGGATCAACTGACGAGTAGTATGCATCTCCTTAACTTGCATGAGATTTCGTGGACTGTTGCATTTAAGCCCTTTGGGAATACCGATACTCTTCGGGAGACCAGGGTCCTTAGTCAACCTGGAGATTCGTTGGTCGTCCAAGTAGACGTTGATCTCACAGAGATGTGCCATGAACGTTATAGATGATGCAAGGAAGCGAGTCAGATCGAAAGCTCGCGGAATAGCTACTGGCTCTCTTAGAGACATCTCAAAGGTGGTCCATGGGTCGTCCTCTGCTGAGGGTATTTTACCCCGACGGGCAAAAAGCTGAGTAGCAAGGCGATTTAGCGTGCAGCTTCAATGGTCCAAATCGAGCTCTTCACCTGATCCTTTTTGTCCTTCCAGTAGAATCCCATCCATTGACCTGTGTGATACCGAGAACACGTAGTCAGAGCCTGCACGACAGGTAATAGAAAGAAACTAACCGCCGGAGGTTACAAAGGGCTCCTCTGTCACGGAGAAGAGACTGTAAAAGCCTGAAGTATCTTGTCAACACGCAGGCTTGCATACTACTTCACAGTTTTACTGACCGACCCCAAACGCGCCTATTTTCTCCTCGTCTGGGTTACCCTCGGCTGCAGCGCAAGTAAGCACAAGCCGTAGCTGATAGGCCGAGGATTCCCACCTATCTTCTTGAGACGGTTCCAGTCTTCGTCTCGGAAGATCATACCATTGTTCCTGAAAGACCATTGGTGTACCTATATATCCGTTACATATATTCTGCATGTGCCTGGAAATCGACTCATACAAGGGCTGCCTTTTCATCAAGGCTCTTGGGCCTGCCAGAGCTGGTGATGGATTGGACATCCTCGGACTTGCGATTCAAGTACTCCTTGGTCTCGAAACGGATCTCAACAGCCTTTGCACCCGCATCATCCGAATTTTGTAGTAGTTCACGAAACACTGTTTGCATTGAGCAATAAGCCCCGCGAGTGACATACCAGCATGTACAATGAATCATGCACCTGTAAACTCGCCGGAATAACGAGCGAGCACCTTGTCTATGAGGGCACGTTGATTGACTTCGACAGATTCATCGTGACCACTCTCCCACTATTATGGTAGATAGAATGAGAACCCAGTTGTGCTGCCACTGTTCGCGAAGGCGTACCAGTGCATCTCTTGCAAGCGCCATCTATGATCACCCAATAGCAAGCCAACGGACTTCCGATTCTCAAAGGACCGACCAAGAGTAACTACGTGCCTAGATAGACGGATAACAGGAGAAACAACCACAAGAGCTGGCTATAGACAGCTCTAGCAACGACTGCGGATGACTGAACCGGCGACAAGGACTCTAAGTGGGCGGCGACACTGGCAGGTGCCGCGCACTGCTTGCAGGTAAGCGCCCATAAACATAACATTACCATTACACTGCCAGAGCTTGGTCCCGAGTCTAACCTGAGTTCCCACGCCCCGGGGTCACCCGGAGTCCCCGGATTGGGTTTAACCCACGTCCTCTTGGCCCCTCGCCCATCCGCCCCGATCCCGACGTCAGCTCGGCATAGGGAGTCGGGGAAAACCCAAAGCCCGCAAGCATGGGGCCGGCGCTGAAACTCCCTCAGGCCATGGATAGGGGCCACCCCACCCTTGGCTTGCATCCGCCCTCGTATATATTCGCTCCTCTGCCCTCGTTTTCTCGTCGCTCTTATTCTCGTCGTCCTGCGTGTCGCTCGTCCTATGCCGCCAGTCCTGTCCACAGTTGCGGACACTGACGGCCTTGAGGTCACAGTCATGTGACCTGGGTAACACATTGTGACTGCGCATTTTCCAGCGTGAGTCGTCGTTTTTCTTCCTCAACTCCCTGCACCTGTGGCCGACTGGAGTACATGATATTGACAAGACTGACAAGACTGACATACCACTGACAATAGCGACGCACTAAT